GGACTGCTCACCCCAGGTTCCCAGACGCAGGGCCCCGAGTTGGCAGGGGTACGGCCTCCCTTCAGACCCCAGGCAGGGCAATCGGGCGCCGAGCCGGTCGACTTCGCCTCTGCCAGTGCCGTTTCCCCCGTCACAGCCGCCGGTCCGCGGCGCAAGTCGTACAGCCTCCGAACACTCGAGAACTGGTTCGTATTCCGGCTCTACGCCCACCTCGGAGACCTCGAACAAGCCGCTGCCACGACCACGCACAGGCAACGGCGCGCACCCTTACGCGACCTCGCAGTTGCAACAGGCGCATGGGCTCTCCCCTATCGCAGAGTCGTTCTCGTCAGGGCGCAGGGATGCGTACAGGAACCTTAACGACTTCCGACCAGGCACGCCGTCCTCGCGCAGCAATCCCTCACTTGACGACCTGCGTCGGAAGCTGATTAAGTTCACGCTGCCCGAGGAAGGCAAGACCACGACATTAAACGTCGCCGATTGCTCCGGTGGCGTCGAGGTCTTGACGAAGGCGCTCAAGAAATTCGGAAAGCTCGGGCCGGAGAGCTCGGAGTCCGTCGAGTCCGACGATGGGGGGCTCAGCGTCGACGGTTGGGGCGCGTTCTCGGAGTGGGGGATGCCTGAGGCGCAAAGTACGTGTGCTGTAGTAATGCCTATATGTGCAACACAGTCTGACAATAGTTTGCAGGGAGTCCGCTTAGCGAGGCAGAGATCGTGGAGTTGTGCCACAAATCCCCAGACGATCCAGCGCGCGTACACGGCTTCACGTTGCGCAAGACACTACGGGCGAGACGCGGATACGGCTCTCCCTCACTTACCGTATCGGACGAGGACGAAGATCCGCTCGACAGGGCGTTGGCGGCAGAGCCTCCGGTCTACACGAAGGCGATGAAGCGCGCGAGCTCCGTCAGCATCCTCAGCGGGCTCGGCGTGCCTATCCCACCACCGAAGACGGACGTCGCAGAGCCCGAAGCGCAGGCGTCGGGGAGTCCAACGAACAGCCAGAAGGGCCCGAACAAGCTGCGCAATTTCTTCGGGCAGCGCCCGCCGAGCGAGTTGATCACAACACACCTCGCCGCGTACTTCCCGTTCACGGAGAAGAAGGTGCTGGAGCGCACGCGCCGCCAGAGCATGATGCGCCAGAGCGGCGTGCCCGGGCGTCGGGACAGCATTATCTCGTTCAGCATGCCGTCGCAGTCGCGCTTCAGTGTGAGCACGCTCGGCTCGCAGCGCACAGCCTCCCCGCGCGCGTCGATGTCTTCGTCGTCTATGACCGCGGTCGAGCGCGCGCCGTCGCCGTACTCGTCCCAGGACTACGACGACGCCGAGGCACCGAAGATCGAGGAGCCGCCACGATTGTCGCTGTCCACGGACGACGGAAACTCTGTCGACATCAACGTACCAGATGTCACGAGCCCGCACCTGCTGCCACCAGTGGCCTTCCCCTCGGAGTCGCTGTCAGAATCACTCAACCTATCTGACAGCCAGGGCTCCATCCGCTCGTCAAGACGCCTCTCCACTGCGTCGAAGCGGATGAGCTATATCACTGAGCTGCGCAGCAAGCGTGACCGGTCGGATACCGCCAGCTTGATGACAGTCGACGAGATTACCGCAGAAGTCGAGAGCAGACAGGAGGCCGCGAAGTCTGGGGACTCGGATGAGTGGACGAAGGTGGACATGCCTGATAACGCGGACCGCGAGAGCATACGGGCGCCTGAAGACGAGGAGGACGAGGAGGAACTCAGCGAGGAAGAAGAGGAAGAAGACGAGGAGGGCGAGGAGACGGCCACGGATGAGGACGAACCGGGCAAGGCTATAACGTCCACAAACAGTAAGCGGCTTTATAGACGGGATCGCCACAATGCGAGACTGACAGCGTCCTTCCAGGCGAACGTACAATTAAGTGGATCAAGGGCGCACTCATCGGCGCTGGTTCCTTTGGAAAGGTCTACCTTGGCATGGACGCCGCCACCGGTCTACTCATGGCTGTCAAACAAGTCGAGCTGCCCACGGGTTCGGCTCCGAACGAGGAACGGAAGAAGTCCATGCTCAGCGCGCTCGAGCGCGAGATCGAGCTTCTTCGGGACCTACAACACGAGAACATCGTCCAGTACCATTGTAGGTATTCCCACTCCCAAATATGTTCCGCCGCTAATTGCGCTTGTAGCTTCTTGTATCGATGACGACCACCTCAACATCTTCCTGGAGTACGTTCCGGGCGGTTCGGTTACCTCATTGCTCAGGAATTACGGCGCGTTCGAAGAGCCCCTTGTACGCAACTGGGTCCGGCAGATTCTGCTCGGGCTCAACTATCTGCACTCGCGTGACATCATCCACCGCGACATCAAGGGCGCAAACATGCTCGTTGACAACAAGGGCGGCATCAAGATCTCCGACTTCGGCATTTCCAAGAAGGTCGAGGACAGTAAGTGACCGAGATTCCAAGCTGTCACGAACCGCTCCTGACGTTGCGGCGTTAGATCTGCTCCCTGGTCACCGCGCACACAGGCCTTCCCTGCAAGGCTCGGTGTTCTGGATGGCGCCCGAGGTCGTGCAGCAGAAGGCGTACACCTTCAAGGCCGATATCTGGAGCGTCGGCTGCCTCGTCGTCGAGATGCTCACGGGCGAGCACCCGTGGCCGACCCTCTCGCAGATGCAGGCCATTTTCAAGGTATGTAGATCCTCGCGCGCAAGTTGGTAGTTCGTACACGGTGGCTGACGTGATGTGCAGGTCGGATCGGCGAAGGCGAAGCCCACGATACCCCCGGACATCTCTGCGGAAGCGGTCGACTTCCTCGAGAAGACGTTCGAGCTCGACCACGAGCTGCGGCCGTCGGCCGCTGAGCTCTTCAAGCACCCATGGGTCGCGAACCAGCCGTCGCCGTTCGGCTGATCTCCGCCCGCTCGCCCGTGTTTTGTTGTTACGCCCTCTCACGCGCATGGGCCCGGCTCCCTATTTTATATCTAGCAGCATATCTAGTCACGCAGGTCGGGTGTGTTTCTGTACTTCTTCTCGGAGTCATGCTTTGTAATACGGTCGAGCTCTGGAATGTCATCATGTTGTTCACTCGTCGCCCTCCTGCTCCCGCTTGCGCTTCGCCGCGGGCTTGGCCCCTGGGCCCCAGTTCGGCGCCGGGTTTTGCTGGTAGCGGACGAGTTTCACCTTTGACGACGCAGTCACCGACTCTGGATGCCGCTTGAAGTTGGCCTCCGTCCTGCGAAGGGTGAGCACAAAAACATTTACCCAAAAGTGCAGAGTAACGCACCTCGCCTCTTTGCCGAGCAGTACACGAGTTGGCGAGTTCTCGGCCACCTTGTCCATCCTGACCGGATGCGTTTTGACCCACGAGCGGAAGATGTCGTGAATGTCTGTGTACGTAGCGGTGGTTTTGAGTGACCCTGCACAGGCGTGCGAGCGCGATATCTTGTGGCCGGCGTTGAGCAACGCCGAACTGCACAAAAAAAGCGGATAAATCAGTTCTCCGAGCATGGTCTCCATTGCAAGGCACATACGCGGTATCATCCAAGCTCGGGCATATGCAGTGGAAATGGCTTGCGATTTTCGAAGGCGTGAAGTAAAAGGGAGTCTCCAACTCCTATACTCGAGGTCAGTCTCTAAACCCTCGTTACCGCATAGTGCGACGGACCTCCTTCGCAACCGTAAGCATACCCTTCATCCTTGCGGAGGTACCGTACTTGTCCTCATTCTCTTCCACGTGGCTGAGAACGCTGGTGATGAACTCCTTGTTATGAATGGGTCCCGACCACATCGGTCCCGCCACCTAGTGAGGATTGTTAAGACTATCGGAACTGGATAGGACATGAGGCTCACTCACATGGAGGGCAGAGTTGCACTCCGGACACCGCTCAGACACAGGCGGGCCTGATTGCACCTTGAAGTGCAATGATGCGTTACCCTTTGCGCTGACCTGTTCGGTCACGCGACCCAGGGGCTGCTCATAGAAAGACTGGCAGCCGCTGCAAACATGGTATATCGCGGTCTTGCTACGATGTCAGTTGTGGTGTGAATCGACGACGTTTAAGCGGCGCTGGGCATACCTGAACGCTTTCTTTACCTCGATGGGGGAGGTATATACGCGCACGAAAAGACGCACGTAGAAGTCGATCGATAATGACAGGAGCGGTTGTATATAGCGACCGTATCGTGCCGCGGAGGTAGACAGCGTATGGAGAACGAGACGCAGTGCCTGCGAAGATATGTGAGGACATTAGTCCTGAACAAGAACGCTGCACGTACCGCTTCATGACAGTACTCAGCCTTGACGGGTGCACCTCCGTAGTTTGAGAAGCTGTGAAAGTGAGCATTCTTGCGGATTATATGAGACGCAGATGCACCCACCATTTTTCGGGATAATTAATGGTCGCGAGAACTGACATGTCTGTACATGTTACGCAAAGCAAGCCTACATAGCACTGTTAAACCTGCTTTGTACATGCCCTGTGCGAGAGACAAACCTCCGTCATTTACGCACTGCACAGCGCCATCGATGAACGGTGCTGCGGTGCCATATGGATCCAGGTCGACGACGTCCACACGGTTGCGTTCACTCCGGTGGTTGTACATTAAAGCGCTGTGATTCTCGGTCAGTATCCCGCCTACCGCGTCGTGCTTTCGACTTACCATGCATCACCTTCGTTCACGCGAACCTTGGCTGGCCGGACCTTGGGCTTATCGCCACTGCCCTCTTGTGCAGGCTCCTCCTTTTCGTGCAAGTCATTGAGTTCGATGTTCCGGCGCATAGCTTCCACGGCAGCAGGTGATAAGTCGTTTGCGATGACATGTCTGTTAGTGAATCAGAAGGTGTAAATATGGTGTACTCTTGAACATGAGCGTACGGACTTTACGAGAGGGATCTCGTGCGCATAACGGATCGAGCGTAGACCGGTCGCGGAGAGGGCTTCGAGAATGATGAACTGCTGGGGTTTGAACTGAGAGAACGTTAACCATTAGGGGGTTGTACTCTCTCCGATGCTGCAACCTCTCACCTCTGCCTGAGCCTGTGGTTTCGCGACAGCTTTCGAGGCGTCCTCTTCCGGGACAGCCGCCTCCTGTGGTGCACCAGCCTGCGCGTCCCCCTCAGCTACACCACACCCCTACTCGCATCCATGAGCGCACCCGCCCCAGTCAACCGCACGACTCACTCTTCAGCTTCTTCGCTTTGTGCCCGCCGCCGCCCCCACCCGCCGCCTGCCTCGCGCGGCGCTCCGCCCACTTGCGCTCCTTCTCCGCGGTCGCGGTCGCGCCCCACGTGCGGATGCACGCAACGCTCAGGTCGCGGTTGAACTCCTGCACCGGGTTCAGGAACGTGTCGTTGCCCGCGGCCGGGAGCAGGATCGCGGACGTGTTCTCCTTGTGCAGCGTGAAGCCCTCAGGCACCGTGAAACTCGCCGGCGCGCTCATAGTTCGCAGCTGCTGGTGAATGGCAAGGGTTCGCGAGTGTTTAAGGTGGTGGCACAGAGGCCGAGCCGGAAAGAGGTGGAATCGGGAAAGCCTGAGTACGAGCAGTTTTGCGGCGGGCGTTCAGTAGAACCTGCTCCAGAATTGAGCAGGGATAGACGCCCGCGCCCGCTCATCTTGTGCAAGTACTCCTAGCCGCGCGCCTGGTGGATAGGCGGCCCCGAGATGTAGGTAACGACGAATAGCGAAACCCTGACACGCCTTGCCGGGAGTCTAGCCAAAGCCTGTGTTATTACCGATGCACAACTGAATGTGTGTAGAGATACAGTGTTGTATGTATGCAGCCACCTCTCGAATGATTAACTACCTGTCTATAAACCAATGGTCCGAGTGCGACGCAGGGAAGAGTCCGACTGTCCAGTGAATGAGCGACCGACCCGCGCTGGCGGGCCATAAACGAGAGAGCGGGAAGAGAGAGCGTCCGAGTGCGCGGGTCCCAGGGCTCAGTACGAGAACTCCTCCGAGAAGAGCGTGATCGAGCCGCGCATATCGCCGCGCCTAATGCGCCCCGGGTTGATCTGCGCCGCAATAACCTTGCGAATCATCGCGTCCAGCGACGTGGGGCCGCAACCTAAAACACGCGTCAACAAATCGCCCGCAGCAGCACACATAACGCAACGAATATACTCACACGCGACGGCTACCGCGCCCTTTGCGCGCTCGACCTCGTCTGCCAGGATGCGGTCGAGCTTCGGCTTGCCCGGGCGCGCGCGCTCGGCGACGATACCGACGTCGTCGACCTCCGTGTCATCGAGGTCCAGACGCAGCTGCTCGCGCACGGCCTCTACGTCGCCACTGGGCACGAGCGCCGCGAAGCTGTCCGTGTCCGTCCAAACGCTGAGTCGTGACCGCGACCCGAAGCGCGACGCGGGTGTGATCGGCGTGTCGACAGACTGCTCTGAGAGCGCCTGCGACACCCGCCGCGACGCCGGGGTGCTCGCGCCGGCGCCGTAGCCGAGAGCGGAGAGGTTGCGCGAGTGTCGTGGCGAGGACAGTCCCGTGTCGCGGAACGGGTCGATGAGTGGATGCGCGCTATTTGGTGTGGCTGTCAGAGGTGTCGCTGTTATCGGTGTGAGGGGCCCGCGAGGGCTGGGAGGGGCGTCGGTAACGTTGATGTCGAGGTTCGGCCGCCGTGAGTTACTGCTCGCGTCTGTGTTGATAGGGGGTAGGGACGCGCGCACGAGCTGTGAGGAGGACTGTCCGGGGCTGTCGAACTGGAGCTCTGTGGCCTTGTAGATCAGCTCGTGCTTCGCCATGACCGCCATCGTCATCCTGCGTGTATTCCGCCGACGCGCCCTCCCCTCCTGCTTGACCGAGAGGTTGAACTGGGCCTCCCCAGGTAGCGCAGTGTCATTGTCGCCCTCGAAGTTCGTCAAGTCAAGGATGTGCTCTTCGTGGCCGAGCTCGCCTTCCTCCTCGTAACCGCCAGTGTAGTAGCTCAGGTCGACGTCGGTGTCTTCTCCGCTGTCTTCCGATGAGATGGACGAACGGGGGCTTGCTTCCTGGACGAAGACGGGGTGGGGAGGCTCCAGCTCCACGTTCTTCTCCGTCGGTTTCGGCGGCGGAACGAAGGATATTCGGGTGGGCGCTGGAGCTCGCTTGGGTGGGGGGACGGGCTTCACGTTCGTCACGAAAATGTCGATTTGGAGCTCGGACGTCGGCACGATATCCATGCATCGTCGCAGCACGGACGCGCACCACTGAACGTGTCCTGATTCGCATACATTAGCCTTATGCGAGAACCTCGAACAGACAGTGCACTTACCGAATTCTCGAACTAGCCATACAAACCGCACCCGAGTAGTCTTGAATCCGGGTTGCCCAAACCCGCCCTTCTTGCCTCCAAGGAACCGCCCGTCCCTTCCGGCCAAGCACAGACAGATGTACTGCAGAACCGAGAGCGCATAACTCACGCCCGACCCTCCCGCGACGATAAGAACGCTGGAATACTCGTTCCAGTGAGCCCGCGCAGACGACCCATACGGCCCGTCCACACAGGCGCGCAGCAGCACGCCGCGCCTGGGCATCTCGCAGCGTGGAAGGCCCTCGTCCCTCCGGAACTGCTGATTGCGTCCGGTCATGATTGCAACCGTGTCCCAGAGATCCTTCGTCCATCCGTTTTTCGCACGGATAAGGAAGACGAGCACCCTGCCGTCGGCCTGCGCGTTCTGCTCATCACAGATTGACGCCGCCGTGAACGGATGGGTGGTGAATCGAGAGATGGAGGGGGCGGATATCAGGAAGTGTTGTCCGGGAGTCCAAGATAGGTAGCCGGGGGTGACGATGCGCAGACGCACGGTGTGCCCAGGGAGGAGCTCGGCGTGCGCGAAGCCAGGAGGGGGGATGTAGTCTGTCGGCAGCGATAGACCCATTCCAGGAGTGAGTTCCAGCGACGAGGACGGGGGATAATGCGTGAGCCCCACGGTCGACCCGGACGCCGGATTTCTGGGCAGCGAAGTCTTGCCAAGCTTGGGAGGGTACGGTGCCTCGACCTTCTGATCGTTACCTCGGACGCGTGAAGACGTCTTGCGCAGCTTGTTGGACGGGGAAGGCGCGGCGCTGCCCAGGTACCCGTTCGTGTACAACCACCAAGTGAAGCGCCAGGTACGCTCGCCAAACCAGAGTCCCAAGGCTGCCCAGCACCACCACCAGACCGGCGGATGGTGGAGCGCCGACATGATGAGCGTAAGGGGAACGAGCAGGACATGGAGGAAGTAGAAGGCCTCATAGTGGGCCCGCCTGAGAGGAGATATAGACAGCGCAAAGAGCAGGCACATGCAGCCAAACGCCTAACAAAAATAGATGAGCATTTTTAGACATTGCGAATGGAAGAACCGCCTGGCAACGCACTGTCCAGGCAAACAGGAACTTCTCGTAGCCCCAGGCGTACGTGTATGCCATCTTGCCCGTGCTTGCCCGACGCTCTATGCACAGCTGCACACTCCAGAAGGCGACATGGAGAAGAGTCAACAGGAAGATGAGACGCGCCGTCCATTTGTGAAGCCAGAGCAGCTTGTCGCAGTAGAGCTGGACGAGGAAAGGGAGGGAGAAGATGGCGAATGGAGGCGACTTGAGGGCGAAGAGGATGCACAGGGGGAAGAGAGTGAATGCGATGAGTCCGGTGCGATTCCCGGTGGTCCACCAGGCCTTCGGAATGGTGTACTGTGGCATGTACTTGTAGTAGTCGGACATTTCATACCGCTTAGCGAGCGAGGTGGTAGCGGAGGGGTAGTCCTGCAGCGTCCATAGCGTAGAACCCGGCGCGAGGTAGTCGGGGCCAAGGAAAGTGACAAGCAACGTCGCAACGACTATGACGCCGAGCGTGAAGATTTGTGCGTTCGCCGGGAGAGAGAAGGGCTGCCTGTGCGGTTGACCATTCGCTCTCGCAACGGCTAAGCTATGTTTCTTCCTCCATGTCCGGCGACGAATAGCCCACTTGCTCCAGAGAGCGCCAAAGTAGGTGCCTCGAAGGTGGAGGTGGTGCAGAATGGAGAAGCCGAGTAGGACGGCGACGAGGGCGACCCAGAAGATGTAGGAGTATATGCGACTAGCATCGCTCAGGACATGGACAGTGAGGTAGGCTGTCACGAACTCGAGGTCATTAGTGTAGGCGGGCGAGGCGGGGTAAGCAGGCCGTGATGAAGCGGTCGCGGTCGCAGCAGCCATGCGAAGAGGGAGCCCTGCAGGGACCGAGTAATGAGAGAGTGTGGGCGGAAGGGGGCGCAAGAGAGTGGTTACGGACCTGGACGAGTTCTGTATGTTTAAACGCGTTGAGGACCGAGCCGCAGAGAATCTAGATGGAGACGGGTTGTTCCAGGAACAGGCCTCTTGGCCCGATTTCTTTTGGCGATCGAGAGGCGGGGGAGCTGTGGCGGGGGAACAGTACAGTCGTCAAATTGGGGCGCCTGCGCGGGCTGCTGCGGGGGAGGTGTAAATATTACTGGGGATCGTGAGCGGTGCAGAGTGGTGTCATCGTGCGCAGCTCGCGGTCGCGGGGAGAGAGGACGCGAGTGGGAGGAGAGAGAGAGGGAAGAAGAGGACAAATCCGCTGGGCGCGACGGGTCTCGAGTGGGCAGCCCGTCGTCCGTTCCTCGGCATCGTCATGCTCTTTCTTCCGAGATCCCGATCCAGCAGCGTGCGCGCTCCGGCTCGCACAGACCCTGACCCGGCCGTCGGGTACCCTCCCAAATCAGCCTCGGCTGCTCCACTACGCCTCGCTTGCCTGGCTCACCGGCGGCCGCCTCACCGCATATCACTGCACTCGCTTCGACCGGCTGCCAACGTACTCAACGCTTTCGAACACGGGAGCCTATCTTTCCAATCTGAATCCTACACATCAAGAACCGCGGGACATCCTGAGTTTCGTACATCCCCATCGTCGAGCAAGACGCATAGCAACCGCACACGATCATACCACCGTCTCTCCAGAGAGGATCTAAGTGAGTCTGCGTGAGCCTCGGCGAGCCGCGCCGCCTTATCCAAGAACACCCACCTGCTTGCCGGTCTTTGCGATCTTCGCGTGAAGGTCGTCGTACGGAATCGTGCCCTTGACGAGCACCTCCTGCTTCTCCAGGCTAATGTCGTACTCCGCGACACCTGTCCTCCCCCGTTCGCCGGTCACCTCCCATCCTGAACCGCCCGAGGCTCGATAAAGATACGCACCGTCAGTCTTCTTCAGCACGCGATCAATCGCGCCTGAGCATCCGGTGCAGGTCATCTATAATTCCCCCCGCTCAGTCATCCCCCCTCGGCTGATTATGATGACTCGTCATCACCTTCACGTTGAACTTGTAAGTGTGCTCGGACTGCGCGTAAGCACTTCCACCGTCAGTCGTGCTCTCCTGTTCCTTAGAAGCAAGCGGACCCACCATGGTGTATATCGGTTCAAGAGGCGGGCTGCGGCGATCGATCGTTAAGACACGCCTCCACGCCTTGCCAGCTGCACACTTACGGATCGAAGGGAGAGGGGGGTGCGGAGGCAGAAGGACGTAGAGATACAGCAGATGTAGAGAGGTGCGTATGTCGCCGAGCTCGTATTTATCTCAGCGGCGACGGCGCCATCGTGATCAATGGCGCAACAAGCTCACACATCCAAGATATCGCGCGGAGAATGCCGACGGTAGCTAAGCCGACGAATAGCTCGGTGTCGATGAGCCTCATCAGTCAGCATGGCTGCGGTACTACTTGGTTAGGGCCTAGCAGTAGGCTCTGTAACGCAACTTATGTTCCGGAAGTGTTTGGGCCTCACAGCTCTATGTCAGATCTTACCAATCATAGGGATAGAGGTACGGCCGAAACCATCCGCATCCAGAAATATCAGCCACAGTTACCTCGCAGCACCTGTGCGGGAATGCGTCTATACTCTGAACGACCCATCGTGTATGTTTAACACGCCCGTCATCGCGCGGGCGTCCGCGACTCCTCCATCTCGACGTTCTCGTCCCCTTCCGTCGCCACCGCCTGCCACCCCGCGCCAGGCGTGGGTCTTCCCCTTATCCGCGATGCCACGCCCGAGAAGAAAGCTGTACAGAAAGGCAGAACGTCGGTAAATCCGCTGCGCAACCATTCAGCGAGACCACTCACATTGCGCCCGTCCTTCGTTCCGATGCGTGATGTAATACAGCGGTACCCCGGCGAGCACGAAGCCTGCGAAAACGATCAGCGCCTGTTCCAGAATGCGCACCAGTGACGACGAACCTAGTACGGCGATGGCTTCCAGAGGCGCAGCGATTATGGGCATGCACAGTAGGAAAATGCACACCTGCGGAAGGCACGATAGAGTTAATATTAGCGAAGGCTCGCGCAGTAGTCCGGGGGAGGCGGTGGCGGGGGCGGATGAACGGTCCCACTTACTGCGCAAAAAACCAGCGGCGTAATGATCCACGTCCGGTATGGCCTATGCAGTGTTGGCTCCTTGACGCGCAGGATCACCAGTCCTAGAACCTGCAACTCCGCAGCTCAGCTTTTGCGCTACACCGCGCTAGGATTGTTGACACACCGTTAGGAAATAGAATGCCCACGACGCGACTACGGCGAAATTGATCAACGATCGGAACCCGCCACCGATGAGGATGAACATCGTCGTGAGCGCTGCGTTCAGGCACATGGCGTTGAGGGGGGTCTTGAGGAAGGTGTTGTGGCGGCCGAAAAGCGCAGGGAGGTAGCCCTCTTTCCCGGCGACATAGATTAATCGCGAGGACGTGAAGAAGGACCCTACGAAGAGGCGATGAGCGAGTTGAATTGACAGCCATCCCGCGACACGTACCGTTCAACGCGCCAAAGCAGGAGAAGGCCACCATTGCAGCGAAGATGACGCCGCCTATTGGCCCGAATAGCGCGCGTCCGAAGTCTATGGCGACAGTGTTGCTCAGGCCAACAGTGTTCTGTGACTGGCATAAGGTTTCGGACGAGGCGGAGTGGGACGAGAGCATTCACCTTGTCTAGTACGGTGAAGTATGCTACATTCGCCAGGATGAACAGAATCTGTCCTGACATTTGAGCAACTCTTCGGTCTCAATTCCGTCCGGTCAGACGTACCATGACCACAACCATACTAGAGTGAATGGCGCGAGGGATGTTCTTCTCCGGGTTCTTCATCTCTCCACCCACGTAGTTGGCCTGGTCCCAGCCGTCAAACGCCCAAAGACCAGAGTAGAGCGCCAACGCGTAAGCTGAGGGACTTGTACTCGAGTGCTCGAAAAGAGGCTCCGTGAACGACGTGGAAGCACGTCCTCTCGCTAGTTGTACTAGCCCCAGAACCGTGATGGAAACCTGTTGATAATTGGTTTCAATGCCACTTAACTTGCAACCAGTGTCTGCCCACCAATGCAATTATCTACAAGTCGTGAGCAGCTTGTCCACTACGGCAGCCGGGGTCTTACTAGCTTACCTTGACAGTCGTAAATACTACAGCGGCGCGCGTGCCTAGTGTGGGCGTCGCGACGCAGATGACCGAAACTACCACGACGGCGGCGACGGCGGTGAGCTTCGTCGCCCAGACCGGGATATCATCCGGCGAGACCTCAGCACGGGTACTATGCCAGAAGAGCCTATTAAGATACTCGGCGAAAATTAAGCTGATGACGGCATTTCCCCCTGCATCACTGTATTAGTTACATGCCTCGCGAGACGGGGAGAGAGAGGAACCGACCTGGTTTGAGGGCGGATATTGCTGTCCAGGCAAAGAGATATGATACGAGAGGCCCGTAGGCATATTGAAGGTACGCTTGCGCTCCTCCGTTTACGGGTATAGAGGATCCTAGTTCTGCGAAACTGCTCGCGCCGGTCCAACCCAGTACGCCTGCCGCGAACCAGACCAGTAGACTTGCTCCGACGCTCTGGGTATTTGCTATCACCACGCCGGGTGAGGAGCTATGGACACCGTCAATTCAAACGCGTCGGTGGACGATGCGTAAGCAAACGCACAAGATGCCTGAGCCGATTTGCAGCCCAACAATTAGGGCAATGCCTGACCCCACCGTGGTTCACACTCTGTTACGCATCACAAGACTGAAGACGCACCATTGACCAAGCCCAGCCGCTTCTCGTGTGACTCCGAATGAATCTGGTCTGGTTCGCTCAAGCTCGAGCTGAGTGGTAGCAGGTCATGCTGGAAGTCAAATCCGGAGACAGAGTATGACCGTGGCCGTAGCGGCCGAGTGGTTTCTGCTAGCAGTGGTCCGTCGGAGAGTTCCAAGTCCCGCAGAGAGTCATCCGAGTCCTCCGAGATGCGGCTCGAGCGTATTGATGGAGAGTATATTGGAGAGATAGCGCTCCGAGGTGACCTGAGGTTGTCTAGTAGTGTCGCGTTCGGAGTAGAGGATGTCATAAGAATCCGTCGAAACGGCTAGAGGCTCGTGGAGTACTTGTTAGGGTTGAGATGGCTGGTACAAATGCGACCGCCGTGTTATTCAGAATGGTCGTCTCAGCTCGTGAATGGTTGGAGGTCGTTTGCACCAGGGTAGTACGTGGGTGTAAGAGGCCAAGGTGCCGGACGCGTCGGATACACCGTACCGCACGGGCGCTTCGCAATACATGCCGAGAACGGTGTCACTGTCTGTTGTACTTACTATTTAGTACTATGCATGATGTAGTGACTACATACTTGGTTGATTCTGGTCATAACACATGCCCAAAATACATATATTGAATGCCTTGCACCCGTACTGGGAAACATCCCAAACGTGTTGAAACACTTGCGGCGTGCATCTCGTAAACGAGTAGCATACATGCGCATGGATTACTGACATGCCATGATCATCCGGGGTGCACTACGATGGCCGCTCGCAGCAGGACATCATACTTTGCATGGATAGCTGCTCCCTGTGGACGAGTGTCTGGATGTGTCCCGTAGCACAAGCTCGCGAGGAAGTCGGTGAAGCTTATTCGAAACTAACAGGCATCGGATCCACCGCTTCAAACTGAAACCGTGATCTTGAGTTGCACGGCTCACTTCATCTTCGCGTAGTGACAGCTCAAGCAGATAGTTGCAGGGAGTGCGGTAAACAGACCGAACGTCATGTATTCTGGGCTTTTTCGAGCAACGACTGAGCCATCACTGTGTGTATGTCTGCGCAAGATTCCTGGCACGCCTCCATGCACTGGGTGACCGTTAGAAATATTCGCGACATTGCCAAACCGAGCTCACTTTGATCGCCTCATCGGGCGCCATTGAGCCAGACTGCCATACGCTTGTAATTGTGCCGAGAGCAGGCAAACCAGCAAGCACTACGCTTCCGGAGGCCAGTTTGCTCTCCTCTTCTGTGGGGTCCATCCAAATCTCCTTGCCCACAACAGCCTGGGGAAAATTAAATCTACGATAACGTAGAGAGCAATGTTGAACTCACAGCAGAGCAAGATGCTACGAGACCGAGCATCTCTATGCCTGCATCTGCTAGCGCCACACTGGCCGCCACAGACCCAGCAGCGATACATCCCTCTATACCGTCGTTCTCGATGACGGTGACAAAGATATCAAGTGTCGACTTCGGAAGGAGTTCTAGTCTAACCGCAGAGGCCAAGGCTTGTTGTATCTGTACCGCGACCGAACGGTCCTCCGCATCCTATGCCGCATATGAGCATCATCGACGGTAGATTCAATCCGCCCGACCTGACGTACCCGGATCGGAACTCTTCGTTTTGTGCACGAGAAAGGCGCAAACTTGACTTCCACGTTCAGCCGGCCCTTCTCGTTATATACCGTGGTTTTGGACTGTCGAGGCCCGTACCTATAGGAAGCCTGGTTCATTCATCTTCGAGACAAAACGAAGAGCGCATGCATATACATACACTGCGCACGCAATCTTCGTCCTCTCTGTCTCAATATATGCGGATCCATTCGCCTGATTTATCAGGCCAGCTTTCAGATCTTCCCAGACCCGTAAGCCCATGCGCAGAGTTGTGAAGAAGAGTGCACACATATTGGCCGAATGTCCCGCGCCGCACGCCCTTTCCGAGGGGTGCCAGCCTTCCACCTCGTCTCTTGCTCGTCGTCCGCCTCGAATATAGGCTGATAACTCTCATCAGGACCGTTGATACGCCTCCGGTCGAAGTTGCTTTGAGCCATAGTGCAAATCGCGAGTTCAAGAGAAGAAGGTTCACGACCAAGCAGGGCGCCTGCTATATTCACGCTGCTACTCCGAGCGCTTGCTCTCAGCCACAACTCTCTGTTCTCCGGTCACGTCATGAAGGTCTCCTTCTCACTCAAGGGCAAAGCCCCAGCCAAACCAGCAGGCGAGGCCCCCGCGCTCAAACGCCCCGCCGCGTTTGCCTCGCTCGACGACGATGAGCCGATGGACGCGGCCCCCACCGCAGGCGGCAGCGACAAGAACAAGGTCGCCGCGAATAAGCAGTTCATCGCGCAGAGCGTCGAGATGAGCAAGGCGGCGAAGAAGCGCCTCGAGCAAGAGAAGCGCGTCGACTCGACCGTGTTCCAGTACGACGAGGTGTGGGACAAGATGCAGGAGGCGAAGGTGAAGCAGAAGGAGGCAAAGGAGGTCGACTCGAAGGAGCGCAAGGTGAGTGCGCAGTGCCGCGCGCACATACCCTGCCGTCCGTCCGAGCGCTGATATACTGAAGGTGTTTGCAGCCCAAGTACATTAGCGGCCTACTTACGTCGGCGGCGACGCGCCGGCTTGACCATTTGAGGGCCGAGGAGAAGATGATCCAGCGCGAGCGCGAACTGGAGGGCGACGAGTTCAAGGACAAGGACGCCTTCGTCACACAAGCGTACAAGGACCAGATGGCAGAGCTCCGGAAAGCGGAAGAGGAGGAACGGATACGCGACGGTGAGCCTACTATTACGCCTATGTCCCGACTGTTCGGTGTACTCATGCCCGCATCACAGAGGAGGAAAAGAAGAAGAAGGCGAAAGGAGTGGGCACAGGAATGGCCCACTTCTACCGAAAGCTGCTAGAGGAGTCCGAGCAAAAGCACGAGCAGACGGTCGCGGCGACCGAAGCACCTACAATAGGGCCGCAGGGCCCCTCGCAGAATCTCACGATCACGAAACCCGCCGACTTCACGCCCAAATCCGACGTCGAATTGGCACGGGTAGCGCGGGAGCAGGGGAAAGACGTCGAGCTCAACGACGACAACCAGATCGTCGACAAGCGGGAGCTGCTCTCCGCGGGCCTCAACTTGTCTGCACCTAATACGCGCCGTCTCGGGCTGCACAACTCCTCCAAGACCAGGTCGGGGTCCGCCGAACCGGCACAGGTCCATCGAGCGGTTGGGACCGCCGCAACCAGGAAGGAGATCAACGAGCGGCGGGCGCGGGAAGTCCAGCGACAACTGGAGGAAGAGCAGGAGCGTCTCGCGGCAGAGAAACAGAAGCGGGACGCGGAGAATCTCAGCCGGACTGTAGCCAAGCGGAACAACGAGGACTCGGTGAAGAGTGCGAAGGAGCGGTACCTGGAGCGCAAGCGGCGTCGATTAGAGGAAGGGGCCGTGGACACTGGCGCACCACCAGATTCATGACGAGAACCATTGCTCGTGTGCTATTGTATGTAGTATCTACTGGTTCATGTACAACTAGACGTCTGTGCCCATAACGGTACGCATCAGGCCACCCGTGAGATTTCGACGGAAGTCCCTGACGCGGGCTCGAAGTTATTGAAAAGGCTTCGCACAAAGGTTGGCGTGTGACGCATGCGAAAGATGGTTTTGTTATCATTGTCGTATGCCTACGCCGAGACTCGCGACAAGGTTTTCTCCCAACTCGTCACTCAATACGTCGCGGACATCGCTCTCCTGCTCGACCACCCACTCATACGCTTCTAGCAGTATGGTGTCCGACAGCGGGACGAAGTGCGCCGTGAGAACCCTGATGATGTTGCTCACGCGGGAGATAGCGACGCGGGTCGCGTCGTCAATTGTCTATCATCCCCATGTTACATTATCAGTAATAGGACTGGTGGGGGGGAGAATTATACTTACGTCGTTCCTATTTGAGTACACAGCCTCGGCGTCGAAGCCCTCCTCGCCTTCCTGCTCGCTTGCTTTTACGTGCTTGCTGACCCAGATGTACCCATTCAACCCGAGGATGAGGTCCACGCCGCAGGGCAGCGTGACAAAATGCGACTTCAGTCGCCGGATGAGAATGGGGGGAACGGCCACAAGTTGCCCATTTCGCAGCTAGAGAGATGACTCTGAGCAAAATAACGTGCGTGTGTGTAACGCGATGACATACCTTCCCGTATCTCAAGGAACGCGTGTGGAGAGACATCGCGCCGTCCGCGAAGAACGCTTGCACCTCAGCCACGAGCAGGTCGCCCTCTTCGAAGAACGTGCGCATTTGCAGCTCGTCGCTTTCGAGTTTACGGCGCTAGTAACAGGATCGTCAGTGCAGTTCGCGAGCTCCGTCATATATGTGCATACCTGCACGCCACCGGGAAGGTTAACTGACGAGAGCATAAGGACGGCGTCTTGCCGTGAGTTCGCGTCGACTTTCCATCGCCGCGGTTGCACCTGGGATGCATAAGAGGGCATACGCAAAGAACCATACATCGCTTACTTCAGTAATGCGACCTACGACGAGGTCACCAACCTCCGGGTTGTATCTGCAAGGAATACGATGTTAAAAGACAACTTACGCGAAACGCATATAATGTACCTGCTCCGCACTGAACGGACAGTGATGAGTTTGTTCACGCGTTCAACAGTCCCAGCTACCGATGCAATGACCTCCTCGCTGTCTACAAACGTTCCGTGCCCTCTAAATGTCGATGAGCATCACGCCGGCTGTAAACATTGCTTGTGTTCGCGTACCGCATGAACGCATGGGAGGATGTAATGGGCTCTCCAGGCACCGTAAGCCTCTGCACGTTCTCCTCAAAGTCGTCTTCATCGAGGTCCATTCCGATATCATCTTCTACATCAGGATGATGTCTTGTGCTTGTGGACGCCTCAAAGGTCGAGGGGAAGGATGCAAAGGAGATCATTGGAAAGGGAGGCGCGCGTTTATCTTGGTGGATCTTGTTGTAGGTGCCAAGCAATTTATGTGAGAAAAGCGCAGGCGTGTCGCTTTCGCCGGTCGTAGAGGAAGTGTAGTGAGGCGAGAGGTGGAAGAGCGAGTGAAGCCGACGCGGAGTACGGCGTCTCAGGCACTGAGGCAGGAGTTTTGAGCAGATCTCGATCTGAGATCTCGCGTGAATGACGGCGCTTACCGAGCGTAAGTCCTCGAGCCACAACGCCCACGACGACCTGCTCAATCTCCTCTTCCACCGTGTTCTGAGAGGCTACGATGTCTTACTACCCACCGCACCAAACATCTGGAACGACGTATCCCTATGCGAGCTATCATCCTCAAACACCGGGCGCGTACGGCCATCCTCCGACACCCGGCGCGTACCCAGCAACAGGGTACCAGCCATACGCACCTGCGACCGGAGTGACCAGCTACGGCGCTGCTTGGCCGTACCACCATGGGTACAATTACTATCCCCAGCAGCACCAGCAGATACCCGCTACCGCTCCCAAGCCGGCTGGCACGACGACCACGCAGCCTTCAACTTCAAGCACGCCCGCACCGGTGACCGCTACCCCCGCTGTTGCTCCCCCTGTGGCACCTCGCCAGCCTGCACCATCCACGTACACGTTCTCGTCTTACAACAGGGACTCTGCCCCTTTCAACAGCCGGAGTGCTCGAAAGGGATCGAGCTACCGGGGGATGTTTACCAAAGAATGTACGTGTGGCGCGTTCTGAGGCTCCTTGTACGCTGCTGAACATACCTCGCAGTGCGTAATCTCATGTACGGCTTCGGCGACGACCGAAACCCAGCGAACGACACGGTGAACGTCATGGAGGAGATCCTCATTGAATACATAGTGGACGTGGTGCGCGAAGCAGTCAACAAATGTGACCTTTCCAGGCCGATCATGCTGACTTGGTCGCTCTTTAGTGCCAGACGGCTTCTTCCGGCGGCAAGAAATCGCGCCTCTCGATAGAAGACCTCCGCAGAGCACTGTCGCGACCAGCAGACGCGAAGAAGCTCGCACGTATGGAGGAGCTCTTGTTCATGCAGGAGGACATCAAGCGGGCACGCGCTCAGTTCGAGGAGTCGGAGATGAACCCTTCGGGCTCATACCAGCCTTGATGATACCTCACGACGCTTTTCACCCTTGTACTTGTAGTGTAGTGTACCAACGGACTGTCAATACTTATGATTTGCTGCAGAGGAAAAGCTTGGCGCCCGCCATGGGGTTTGCTGCATTCAGAGCGAGGGCGATGAGTGCGGGCCAGTAGTCGTACAAAGCGGAGAAAGCAGCATTTACTCCTCCATGGCATTCTCGTCTTCATGCCCTTCTTCGGCTTCGCCCTCCTCACCTGGTGCGCCACCTCCAGCGGCCGTCTGGGCGCGCAACGCGTGACCTTTGAACAGATTCAGTAAGAGACGATCATGCGGGTCATACAGGCGAACGACATACCTCCACTTTCACCGAGGGGTTTGACGTTCTTCTGGAGCCATTCTTCGGATTCCCAAACTGCGGGGAAAGCGTCAGCGTTGTCGGCAGAACCTTGGAGGATAGCTGGACATACTAGCTCTGTTGCCTTGGGGTTGAAGAGGGCCCTTCATAGGCCGGGCGAGGTTGACCCTGAGCACCCGACCATTGAGTTCGTTGAGGTCCATGTTGTCGATGGCATCCTGGGCATCGGCCGGCGAGGAGTACGTCACGAAGGCGAACCCACGATGTTTTGAATCTGCGTCCATGCGGATACGTCAGCTATATATACTCACACGGTGCCAGCGCAACATGGACTCGCCGTTAGGGTGCGAGGGATTGGACGGTGCGGTCGGAAGTTGTACTTCAATAACGTCACCTGTCCGCGCGGGATGTAAATAACACGTCCGAAAATATTAGAAGGAGCGCGTACCGAAGGGGGAGAAGTTCTCGAGGATGACGGTCTCGTCTACGTCGTCGCCGATGCCCCCGACGAAGACGGTTTTCTTGGATTTTGTGCCTTCTTCCATTAGGCCGTGAGCGTGCTCAACATGGCAGAGCGGACGCTTGCCGAGGTTCCCACGTGGGAGTGGTTGCGGCTGTGTGGACGAGCGTTTGGTGCTGTGCCACCTGCTCGCCCTGCTCGTCCTCCGTTCCGACCTGCCTCGTTCCCTCATCACCGCGCCCTGGGTCTGTGCCGTCCCTGGGAACGCCGGTCCTGTTTCTGCAAGTGCTTATTTGCTGGCTCATCCTTTCTCCGCGTCCTCCGAGCTCGAACACTGCAAGTCCGCGCGTCTTATCCCGAAAAGGCACGGAAATCTCTCGCTGGGCTCGGTCGGCGCCCCCCTCCCGTCCTGCCTGCATGCCGTGCGTGTGTGTTCTCGCTCTCTTTCTGGCTCTAGCCTCCGACTTGTTCTCCTGAAGGCAGAGAACACGACAACCGTCTGCCACACCCAACACAACGTTCCATTCGCCGCGCGCGGCCATCAGCCACGTCTTTCGCGTGATCCTGGCCCAAGGACCCGAGACTCTACTGCCCCACCTTATCTGGCAAATCGTTCGTATGATGCACTGGTGGGCTCTGCACCTTAATGAGCAACAGCGCCCGCCGGCAGCGATGGTCGCGCTACCCTCCTGTCATTCCGCTGACTTCTCCGACATCTCTACCTCCGTGCTCGATCCCTCCTTTCGGGTTTCTGTCTCCACGAGTTCTCACCGCTCCTCGCCCCGCCCAGTGACTTGCTATCGCCGCCATCTCTCCAAATACAGCACTTAATTCTCTGTGCTTCCGAGTCCATGTCTCCATAAGAGCGTCTTGCTGGGCGCAGTGACTCGAGCTTGTCCCTTCCGAGCGCTACTCTATGATGGCACCACAGTCTCCCCCGCGTTCTCGCCGTCGCACCTCGCAGAGCTCTTCTGGAAGCTCGAGCAGCTTTAATACCTCCTCGTCATCTAGTTCTTCCCAGTCCTCCTTGGACGAGGATGCTGTCAATATGCGCGTCACGCCGTACTGGTGTGCGTATCGCTGTGTCATCGAGAGCCGAGGGTTCCGGCTCGACACCTACAAGGACGTCAAGGCCTGGTATCACGAGTACTGGGCCAGCCTCGGTTCCCAGGGCCATACCGTGTCGATGGATCTGCCAGGCTACATCCGAGCGTGCCGCGGCAAGGATGAGAATGAGCTCTGTAGGGACGATGGGTTGGTATGTGCGCTTTCATTGAGTCACTGTGGCGGATACACGATGCTTACCGTTTTAGCCGGAACGTTTGTTTCGCGGAACCCAATGTTCCTCGGGTGTGAAGGTCGTCATCAAAGCCGTACATCTGTATAGTCGTGAGTACGATGTCATCCGGCATCTTTCCAGCCCCACCCTCAGAAGCCATCCTATGAACCACTGTATTCGTGAGTACCCGCATGTGCCCGAAATAAACACATTACTCATGCCAGATTTAGCGGTGCTGGATCTCATCGAGGTGCCAAGAGACAACCTCGCCTTCATCGTGATGAAAGAATGGTCCGCACAACTAGTCGCCGATACCCCCTGCAATCTTGGTCTTTGCCTGAGCGCGCTACGCCAATGTATAGAAGTGAGTCCCGAAACGCCACTCTTGTTTGCTCCACGCAGATCAGCTAACCTCTTTCTGCAGCACATCGCCTTCATGCACGCACAGCACATCGCACATCTAGACGTCTCCTTACGCAACATTCTCACGGACTACAGGGGCAATTACGCTTGCATCGATTACGAACTCAGCACACGATACGACGGCGTCGCCACCCCCCGCATCTCTAACGCTCGAGGCACGGAGATCCCTCCAGAACTAGAGCGAGGCGAGTGCAGCGACCCATACAAGGTCGATGTATACGCGCTGGGCGTTCTTCTGCTCAGGGCGATGGAAGTGAGTAGTCATACGCCGCTTCTCTTCGGGCTCCTATTAATAGCCCGGCAGCTCACAGGTTACGACGTCCCGGAGCTCCACTCCCTTGTCAAGCCCATGCTCTCTCATCGATTCGAGCAGCGTCCTACGGCGCATCAGGTGCTCATATCCTACAACGCGATGGTGGCGAGGATCCACCCTTCGAGATTGCGACTACTTCCGCATCAGTCATGACACGCTCCTACGTCTGGTGAACCGGTATACCTTACCTTATTTATCTGCTTCCTCAAACACTCGCACGCCCACGAACCTACTGTAGAATCTTATTGTACATAAACCAGTAGATACTACACACAATCACACGAGCAGCGTGGTAACCGTTATGATTCTGGCGGTGCGCCCGTGTCGATTTACTGAGTCCTCGATGTTCCGCTTCGCCACAGTCCGGCTGAGAATCTTCTGCTCCTGCCTGCGTTTCCGAGTCTCAGCGCTCAGCCACGAGGCGCTCCTGCTCTTCCTAGCGCCACCGCAAACCGTACACTGAGCACTTGTGAGTGATCGATATCCTTCCTGGCCTTCCTGGCAGCGCATATGCGCACTCCCGAAGTCCAAACCTGACGGACTTCCTGTGATGAAACTCCCGTTGCATCGGAGCTACGAAAAGTCGAGCGACATATCTGCTGACTTGAAGCAGTCATGCAAGTATAGGCGACCCAACCAAGAAAAATCTGCTGACGGTGCCCCCAAGACTGAGATAGGCAAAACCTCGAGTATCTCAGTGACGTCCACATGTACACCGCACGCCAACATTTGTGCGAAGCCTTTTCGACAACTTCGACTCAGCCCGCGTCAGGGACGTCAAGACTCTTCGTCAACGGGACTCAACGGCTCGACATACTGAGCTCACTAGCAGTTTTTCTACCGAGAATGTACAGGACCGGAAGGCGCCAAGGACTGGACTTGTAGGACATAGGATACCCTGAAGGAGGTAGGACCTGCCACAGGACATATCGTGGGGTGCTGTTTTCTGAGGTGGTAAATGTTCTGCCTTACTCATAGGTAGGACATCGTGCTTCACCGCGATGCACGCCGGTGCAACACATCCGTGCGAACCCTTTGCTCTGACTCCGATCCAATTCTGGGAACGTCAAGACTCATGGTAGATCGCTTGGACGCCGATGAGTACTGGTACTGTTGTTCCCGCCGCGCTTGTGCTCACAATATCACTGATAATACCTATAACAACCTAGATGTCAAGGATCCACGCCAAGCATCAGCCGATTGATGCGCACCTGCCGCCGTGTCGGCGGCGCCGGCCTCGAAGTATCGGCGCAATGGCAGGACTGGTCGACGCCAAATCTCCGGCGGCGTCTCATATCGATGGTGCACAATGTCGGCGGCTGGTCCTGGACGTTGGGCTGTAGACATATTGCCGCTCTTGCCCCGACATGTCCAGTATAAAATCCTCCGCATGGGAGCTCAAGGATATCGATAGCTTGGGTCATCACCCCTGCAGTCTACTACCCGCACGACCGCCCGACTTTCAAAGCATTTCCTCCGCTCATGGCTCAGAGATATCTCCACATCCCCGATATCATGGCAGCCTGGCCATGGCCACGACGGATCCACCCTATGTACGAAGAAGTCTCCGCCGAATCGAGCGCATGGCTCAAATCGTTCGCCCCGTTCACGCCCGAGTCGCAGCATGCATTGGACAAGTGCAACATAGGGCTACTTGCTGCCCTTGTATACCCCGATGCATCACGAGGTTCGTGCCGTCGAGCGTGGTTTTATGTAGAATTATGCTGATGATGCGGCTCTGGAGCAGAAACCTTGCGTACCAGCACGGACCTCATGAACCTACTCTTCGTCATCGACGAACATACGGACGTCAAGCAGGCGCCAGCCGTGAAGGAAATGGTCGAAATTCTCCTCGACGCGATGCACAACACGCAAAAGCCTCGTCCGGTGGGTGAGCCTGTCTGGGGAGAGATCATGAGAGAGTAAGCAGCTCAATGCAAAGTCTTCGCCCCACGACCCTCCTGACTTCATATTGGTAGATGGTCATCGCGCTGCCTCCTACCTGCCACCCCGGAAGCGGTCTCCCATTTCCACAAATCATTCGCCAATTATCTCGAAGCGGTCGCCGTGCAGGCTGAAGAACGTTGCAGCGGTACTGTCCGCTCTATCGACAGCTTCATTACAATCCGCCGCGAGAACAACGCCGGTCGTCCATCCCTCTTTCCGTGCGAGCTTCATTTGAGCATCCCGGAAGAGGTCTTCTACCACCCATACGTCGTGGAGATGCAGACATGCGTTATCGACATGATCACCACGATCAATGTAAGGCGTCCGCGCCAGCGTTTGGATACCGGATCTGACATCATTTCAGGACATCCTGTCGTACAACAGAGAACAAGCCACTCAGACTGACGACTACAACCTACTCACGGTCGTCATGCGGGAGCTTGGCGTAGACCTCGACGGCGCCGTGGCGTGGGTCGTCGATCTTCATCACAGCATCGCAGCTCGTTTCATCGAGGGACTTAAGCACGTCCCCTCCTTTGGGCCTGAGGTCGACACGCAGCTCCAGGAGTACCTGCAGAACATAGCCAACTGGCCGCGCGGTTCGGACAGCTGGAGCTTCGAATCGGGGAGGTACTTTGGGGAGTGGGGTTTAGAGTACCAGAGGACGCGTCGAGTGCCTCTTTTACAGAAGAGTAAGCGGGACTTACAGTCGAATGGCAGGGAGGTCCAGATCTACCTTATAGAAGCCCCGGCCCAACCGACCCCAGCGTAGATGGTTAGGAGACGTGATTTGATCGGCTCAAACTTCTTCAATATTCATACAGCTATCTGCGAGCACTACGTGTAAATCCTTTGCAACAGATATGCCACCTTCCTGCGTTCAATCAGAGTCGAATTCCCCGCCTCTGCCCCCCTTGACCTCCAAATGCCGCGCGGAGTCCATCATGGTCTTTATCTCGTGCCACTGCAGGTTGATAACCTGCCGCTCGTCCAGCCAGTCCATGATCGCGTCCGCATCCGTGAGGTCCTGCGGTGGCTGCTTGCCCGCGGCGTATGCAACGCGGACGAAGCTCCGCCCTTCCTCTTTGGCCTTCAGGCCCTCGACTTCGTCCCTGAGAGCGTGGAAGAGGTGGTACTGGCGGCTTGTTAATCGCATGCCCGTATATTCAAAATGTGAGAACGGAGGATTTACCTCCCAATGGGTGAACTGGTGGTATGTACGCGTCCTCTTCGCACAGAAGCGCCCCAGGTCGAACTGCATCGGAAGTCTTTTGGACTCGTCCTCCTCATCGCTACTCGGCTCCTCCTCTGCGATGGGCTATGGGACGGGTGTGAACTGGGCGTGTAGCGCGTAGCGAAAGAGACAAACCTGGTAGGTCAGCTTGTCATACGGTTCTCCGCTGAGCCGCCCCTGCAGTGTCGACTTGCGGCCTCCGAGATTACAGGCGGCACACCCAAGCACAGTAAACTCTAGGCCGTGTACATCGAGATCGGGGTACGTGTCGAGTGCTTTGCGGAAGTTTGGTCGCCAGGTGGATCCTGCTACTAGGGAATCCCGCATCCCTGACAGCTTTCTTCGTGCAATCTGCAAGGGTACAGAGAAGTATCCGTCTTGTGGAGTATAAACATCAGTCCTAAGTAGCCAATAGCATCAGGAAAACGTTCATACTTTGCTGCAGACGCGTTGCGACCTCGCTCCGCTCGTCATCGTCATGGACGGCCATGTGTACGAACATCTGGCAGATGATCTTGAAGTGGTGCAGGAGGTCTTGGTAGGTGTTCATGCTGAACTCGGCGGGCAGCTCAATTGCCGCGGCCAAGTCGTCCTCCACGATGAATGTGTCGTCTTCTGCCTCGCCGTCTCCGGAGCCTTCGCTTTCATCGTCAGAGCCTGCGTGAGGTTTTGCACCTGCGAAGGGTGCTGTTTTGTTTGGCTCTTCTTCCGATGCGGAGGCAGACGATTCCGAGAGGACGGCTTCCCCGCGCTTCTTGCCTGCATGGGGCTCTTAGCCACAATTAAGGAAAACGGGACATGATGCCTACGCTTCAACTTCTCCAAGTTCTTCTGGAAAGCAGACCGCTTGTCTCGAGTGCGCAGACGCGACTCGATGATTCCTAACACGAGGAATTTAGAGAGGTGATGGAGAGGTGAACCAGGCGGACGCACTCTCTTCTTCGACTTCGTCTAAGAGGTCGACATCCTCCACGACTGGTGAAGATGGTCTCTCCCCCTTGATAAGTTTGCGCCTCCTAGGTTGTACCTCCTCTTCATCTGAATCAAGCACGGCCACTGCTTTCTTTTTGGCTGCCCGTTTTCCCTTGCGCACGTACACTCCCTTTCCCTCTCCTTCCGCGTCTGAGACGACAGGCGAGGCCGATTCGTCACTATGCGCCCTTCGTACCCGCTTCTTCCCCTTCTGTGTATTCGAAGGGCGAGGGGCGACATCCTTCTCGCTCTCGCTGCTAGTGATTTCGACAACTGGGGCTTCGAAGCGGATCGCACCGGCGTCGCTGCTCTGGCTCCCCTCGTCCTCTTCGACGATCCCCGAAGGCCCCGGCACGTTGTCCTCCTCAGAGCTATCTTTTCCTACTCGCCTTCGCTTTCGCGTACGAGAAGGGCGAACGGGGGAGGAATGTTGGTCCAGCCTCGTCTGCGGCTGTCCTGTTCGCGCGTGCGTCTCGTCTGACTCTGACGGTTGGGCTGGGGCCCGGCTAGACGCCGGGCACGGACACGGGGCATGTCGAGCCGCTGGGTGGGCGGGCTCGCTTGCACCATGATTTGGTTTGAGTCAGACTATGAGCGGGCATTTACCATTGTAATGCTGCTGTTAATCACAACAAACATATTTTGGTGCATAACGTGAATGGCATCAAATATGTGCAAGCGTAACTAGGGTGTGGTGGGTGGGACAAAAGCTATTAGGCGAGAGCGTAAGCTAGACTGAAGTGTCGAGACGGCACGAGCTCTCCAGACGAGGTGGTCGTCGAGAGCGAAAACTGCGCGCGAACAAGCGCCGGCTGCTCGGCTGGACGTTGGGTGCCGGCCTCGCGGGCTCGGCCGGCCCCTGCCCAAATGTCGCGCCAGTGCTATGAGTTGGGGAGCTTGGAAAGAATGTATCGAGCTTGCTTTGCCCGCGTTTCTTTGGCGTAGCAGCTGCCTTTGACTTCCTTGGAGGCATGCTCTCATACACACAGTAGAGCAGAGATGTGGGGGAAGCAGTGTGTACTGGTTGCGTGAATGACGAAGCAGTAGCGGAGTGTGAGACTGAGGGAGAGACGCGATCGAGCTGCAGCACGCCGCAAGGCACGACGCGTCTGTGGCTGTGTCGTGCTCTTGGGCACGTGCTTCTCCCGACGCGGTGCACTGTCGCCGGCGCCTATAGGTTACAGTCGCGTCCCACCATCGCATACACCTAGGACCCCGGAAAGCTCACCAAGAGCTCATATCCCGTGGCACCCCGAAAATGGGCCCTCCAGAGGGCCATTTTCCAGGCACAGTTACTATCTATAGTAATAGTTACTATATATGGAAACCCGAAAACGGCTGTTTTGGCGGTTTTTCGGGATATGACCTCTTGGTGAGCTTGCCGGGGTCCTATACACCTCCCTCGCTGTCCCTCTCCCTCTTTCGACTTTCCAACAAGCTTCTTCGCACTCGACGGAGAACCTCATATATGCTGCTTTGAGCTTCACTGCGTCTCTCTCTGTGAGTATACTACTCGCGACCATTCGTCCTTCTCGGGGTGCAGGTTAGCGGACAGGGATTATGTCAGGCCAACCCTCGCTGCGGGTCGAGACCAGCCATCTTGGGGACAACTTTGTCATAGGCAATGGCTCTGCCCCTTCTTCCCCAACATCTCCTCGTTCGCCAGCCTTCTCGTCTGCCAGAGACCGCGCACGGAGCATCTCGCAGTCGGTTCTTCCCTCATTTCGAATTTCTAGCGTCGGAGACGGAGAGAAGGCTACAGAATCCAAGCAACGCTCGTCGAGCCAGTCTATCCCACATGGCTTGAACAGGGCGCGCAATGAATCCCGCAAGCTTCTCGCCCACATCCTGGCCCAACTGCAGAACAGGCCTGTGCCCCCGTCTCTGCTCAATAGCCTCGTATATGGATCAAACCAAACGGAGAAAGGGATAGGCTCTGTCATGAAGTCCGTCAAAGGAGCAGTGAGATATACTGGCACCTTGCGGGAACGTCGTACCCACCAACCCGTCCCTCAAGATGACAACGACTCTGATGATGACCACGACACAGGGTTCACTACGGACCTTACGTTTGATCTCATGAACCAGCTCAAAGACGTCCTCGTTCTATCTATTGCCCACAAATGGGACATTTTTTATGATAGGTTTGTCGCCTCTGAGTTTACGTCTCATCATGCACGCTGACCGCACCATAGCACCGCCCCGCAGACTCAACGAAGTAACAGCGACAAGTTCAGGGAGTCCTTCATGCGACGCAGGAGCCTGTCTGTAGGACGGGGGGATCGCTCTCGCTCACCATCCGTCGGCAGGGAGTCTGAACCTGGGGTCGTTCGGGCACCACAACTCTTGTCGCAATGTATCTCCCTCCTCGCATCCGTAATTACGGAGGACTGCCGCTTCAAAATCTCATCGCCCCGCCCCGCTCGACCTCCGAACTCCCTTCAGGCTGTCACCCTCGACGTTGCGCAGTTCTTACTACATGCCCACCGTCATGATCCACGAGTCATCTCGCAAATTGGATTTGCCTTGCTACCTGCCTTCCTTACCTTCAGCCCTGAAATGCATACACGGTTGTTGTCATTCTTCGACGACGGGGTACTTGGCAATATACTTTCGGATTTGAGGAATATACAAGGCACCCGCCAGCTAACGTCTCCCTCGGCAGGTGCGAAGTCTTGCATCTCGTCTGCGCAGCACGCAGCTAAGCAATGAGTAGATCTATCATACAATGACTCCATGTCCAACTCCGAGCCCCCTATGGTGTCTATCCTCGTGGATGAAGTTCAGGAAGATTCCGGTGCCCCTCAGTCAGGTGCAACATGGAGGCGTTGGACACAGTCTCTGTCGCCCGAAGACGTAGCACTTCGGGCGACGTCGGCGCCATTGCAGGAGCTCTCCGTATATCATCTGTCCTCGCTCATACCACCACTGCTGGCTGCCATCCTTGAGAGCATCGACCTCACCACGACGAAGTCGTCAACGCTTCACAGGTTCCATCGCCTACTCAGTCGAATCGCAGAAAGCAAACCGGATGCATACCTGGACACCTTGGCCGTGGTAGCCTACCATAATCCACGGGCAAGATACGCGGCCATCAGCCTTCTGCTATCCTACTGGCCACATGCCATCGGCCACCTCACGGTCAGCAAGACATTCCCTGCCGTCAACTACCACGAGGCCATCGAGCGCGAGACCCACGGCTCACTCGTTCCCCGCCGCCATCACGCTCATCCATACGCTCACCAGTTCATCCCATGGCGTTTTGCACGGGCCTCCACCCCAGGCCTCTTCGCCGGCATGTCGCAGAACGATTGCCTCTCGTGCACACAGCCGATCGAGGGCTTCGGTCTCCTCTGCCCGCTGTGCATGTGCATGGTGCATTTCGATTGTTACGACTACCCCGACGGCAGCTTCTTCTCGCAGTACAGTGTCGCCGCGGATGCCAGCAAGCAGAAGGTTGCCGTACATCGTTTCTGCCACATCCTCCCCCAGCGCCATGCCGCCGCCCCTGAGATCATACACAAGGAGCAGCACGCCTTCCGGCCTGTCAACCTCTTCAGCCTCACGCTGTGCTTCATCTGCCGAGAACCACTCTGGGGCCCAGTCATGCAAGCCGTCAAGTGTGGCTCGTGCAAGCAGTTCGTCCACTCGGCATGTTTGACGCGCTCATCCCACGCCGACCTGCCGCGATGTCGCTCGGTCGTCATCGACGACACGTACATGACGATCTCGTGGGCCGCCCTACGACAGTCCTTTGCAGACTACTACCGCGAACTCTTCCTTTCGGAGGCCGAGCTCCCCCGTCGGACATACGAGGAGATCTCAGTATTCTTCACCGTGCTGTGGACGCAACTACAAATACTGAACAATGGCCTTGCCCTAGGCTCTATAGTCATCGTGCAGGAAGGGCCCACCTTTGAGGAGGGCCAGCTGGACGAATTCGAGCTCCACTACTTGGTCGACCTCTACGAAGTCTATCTGAAGTCGCGCAATCCGATCGTCTCCGTCACTCTCTCGGACCATTTCGCAGAGAATCGGCTACTCGCGTCCGATACGCACGTCTTCTTCAACTGGAACATCCTGTCCTTCGTATCGAGCGTCATCAAGATGCCTGCGTCCGACCCCGGAGAGTCATTCGACACGCCTTCCGCGGATCTACTCGCGCCCAGTCAACCGGGCCGTACCCAGGGCTCCTCGGCGGACGACAGCACGTACCCCTACGAGGTCGTCACGCTCGCGCATCTCCGGGACCAGCTCGGCGACCAGCTCAACCTGCACTCCGAAGCGGCCGCGCGGTACCTCCTCTCGCACCTCTTCCATCTCGGCTTCTTCCAGCGTGTCGACTCGCAGAGCCGACTGTTCGACGGCGGTCCACACCCCGAGCGCCTGCAGTGCTCGTTCCCGATTCCGCTCGGGCTCGAGGTGTCCGTGGAGGTCGAGACGTTGGTGTCGGCCATTGAGGCCTGCTTGTCTGACATAGACTTGTCTGTCAACGAGGCGGGCCTTCTGCTCCTGGTGCGGAAGTTCTGGCCTGACGGTATGCTTACCGATTACGCACTGCGTCGATTGTCGAAGGCGGTCCTGGAGTGGATCTGGTCTGAGGTCAGTCTTCGCGTGGTGCAGACCCACGTTCTCCGACTGATCATGAGCATGATAGGACGACGACTTGGCCACGATGCTTCGTGACTATGTCGCGCGAGGACTCAGCCTTCCCGGCGTACGCGCAGGTGTTGATCAGCAGCCGTGGCCCTCCTCAACGCAGTCGCGTCCTACCGCGGCGAGCTCTGCCAATAACGGCGGTGACTACGTCGCCGGAAGGCGGGCGTTGTCAAACCGGTATGCTGCGCGATGGCTACTCGCATTGCACGATCAAGGCGTGGACGAGTATGCCACCATGGTGTTCGACGTTCTTGTCGAGCATGCACAAGACCTTCCGATCGCCGATGACTTCTTCCTGGGGAAAGGTCGTGATCCTGTAGCTAAGGTATAGAGGCTTTGAGATTCTGCGATAATCCGAGCTAAATGCCTTCTCGCAGCGGGAAGTAGTCATCACGGAGAAGCTGTTGCATCTAATCCTAAAGCTCAACCAAGCCTCGGTGGTATTTACGACCTTTGATGACCTCTTCCAAAAGTGGCTGTCCAGGGCTTCGTCCTTGGACATCGACCAGCAGATAGTTCGTGCTTTCCCCGCGATTTGAGATTGAAGACCTAGGCTAACTTATGGACAGCCGCTAGCGTCTTTGTCCCGACTGTTCAACAGGGAGCTTGATTCCGCAAGCCAGCGTTTCAGCACAGCTGCCGATCCTCGCCTGACCATGACGGACAACTCCAGCTTGCTGAACGTGAATCCTCTCCGGGTCATCATCGACATCGCTACGAAGAGCAAAGACGGATACGACAGCACGCTACACTGGCTCTGCCTCTTCGTCCGCTCCGGCGTCGAGATCTCCGTCCCGACATTCATGCAGCTCGTCATGCTCGGAAAGAAGTTCGGCGTGTCCTTGGAGGAGAGCTCACTCATCGTGAAAGCGGCGCTATGGTCATGTTGGCTCAAATCAATGGGACGCCAGGACATGCAGAGTGTCATCACAACAATCCATACAAATGTCGGCCAGGAACTCATAGCTCACCTACAGTCTCGCGCGGATAGTGCGGAAGCGCAAGTGTTCCCAAACAAATGAATAGGGGAAAGAAGCTGACCTCCTCACAGGCTGCAACTCGTTCGACTGTCTTTGTCGACGTGCCTATTACTCTACGGGTGTGACAGGACATTTCTCCAGACTTCCGGCCTTATACAGGAAAGCGAGGTCCAAGGACTGCCCTCGAGGTGAGTAGGCGTTCTGAAGCCCACGCACGATACTAATGTTGCAACTCAGGAGGAAGCTGCATGCGCGTGGCACCACTATCACGGATCCCATCATCGTGAACACTGCGCTCATAGACGCGGTGCGGAGCTATGTCGAGACTGGGTCTGACGACGTCGCATGCCTCGCCGCCAAATTCCTCGACGCGTTCATGCATCATGCACCCTTCGTCGAGTCGTACGAGGTGGATAACTTCATTTTGCGGAACGGATCCTCGGTATGCACCTGGTAGGTTATCCTGATGACGATGGGGTACCCATGAGCTGAGGAGCGCATACAGCGTGTGGCAATTCTATGCAGTCCAGGACCCACAAATATCCACAATCCGTACAAGCCTCCTACTGCGAAGTCTTGTCGTCGACCCGCAGCCTTTCCAGTGGCTCCTGCAGCGTCTATTTGAAGAGGGCGGCAGCTGGGAAGTTCGGTGAGTGTATGCACTCGCATATGCAGCTACGATTAATGTGCGTCTATGCAGTTTGGATGCTGTGGTTCGACTGTTCCGCATGATCGAGGATGCGACCAGCCCTGCGTTCGTTGTCGAGGACCGGCAGTGGCGCTCCAGCGTGATAGACATCTTCCGCTACTTCTTTGCGGCTCTTTGGGAAGATGAACGCGTACGCCTATCTATCCACATTCGCAACGAGGTAATACTGACTCCCGAACAGGAAGAGGTCAGGCTCGCCGTCGACACGTGGTCACAGACACTTCTGGCTGCTCACTTCGATGCAATCACGCTCTGCTGGAACGAAGCTCTCGTCAAGTCTCCCATTACAGATCGCGCGAAGTTGGTCGCGTTTCTAAACCAGCTGCGGCCGCACTTCCCGCATTGGCGCTGTAAGTCGTACATTCTGACCTATCCGACGTGAGACTCATGTGAATCTTGCAGTACTCTCCTGGGACGTTGTCCTTGAAACTCTGCTGGAGAGCGAGTTTATTCAGCGGAATGGCGACGAGGAGGAAGGTCCATTGTCAGCCCACTTGGTACATTTTCCCTTTCATCTGCACCTCCCCTAGCTCATCATGCATGCAGTCTATGTATGGTCTCCCTTCGGGAGGTCGACACACGATGCATGTCGATCCAGAGTTGCAGTCACTGCAGGTAGGAAGACTGGCAAGACAAATCATTAAGCTTGCCTCGACTGACAATGTCTGCTAGCACTCTCTGCTGTCTCTGGCGTTGAGGATGCTTTCCGACGGGATTCCGATTGACCCCAGCAGTCTACTCAAGCTGAAAGACCATCTTGCTCGCGCGCTAGGCTTCGCAGAGGTAGAGATAGTGACTGCAGGGACGGGCAACGCGTTCTACGTCCGCTTCGGCAGCCTCGGCGCCGTCCCAGAGGTCGCATATCCATGCCTGAACGAGCTGATGCTGGTCCTGGATGCGGCCGTGCCCTACGACCTGGTGCCCTCAGCAATGGGTGGGCGATTTGCGGACGAAGAAATGGCGTCTTCCTTACTTGTGGGATCCGTGTTCGTCGATGTGTTTTTGGAGACGTTCATCCACTGCGAGGAGCTGGAGCACCTCCCTGCGATCACGCTGAAGAACATGCTGAAGTCTTTGATCATCATCATATACAAACACGACTTCGACAGCAGGACTCTGAAGCTCTTCCAACCCCAGCTTCGCAAGGCAGTCAAGCGAGCACAAGAGCTCCTCCTGATGGACCTCAGCTACGATATCCGGCAACTCGTTCTGACCTTGTGTCATGCGTTCATCAAGAGATGGCCCAACCTCACTGGCAACTTCGTTTGGTATGTGTTCTTACTTTTCGACTGCTTTACAGAGCTCATCCCGCCCCACAGCGAAGTCATTGAGGCTGCCGTCTCTCTGGTGGAGGAACTCGACTATCTCCACAACGGTGACGACATACTGATAGACCAAACGAAGAACTTCTTGCGCACCACTTTGGCGCTGTAGGTGTTCAAACCACTGGTTCTGGATAGTACTGAATGACTCTCGCAGGTATGCCTTCAGCGGCGTTTTCTGTGTGTTGTGCAAGGTACGTGGTCACCTAGCGGGGTATCCAGCCAACTTGTAACGAGAATCTCTGCAGCGCATGCGCTCGCCTGAGTTCTTTGCCATCATCAAACATGTCATAGGTCCCCACGTCAAGGCAGAGCACAATCCAAACCCTATGGAAAATCTTCGAGATGCTCTTCTCCGCGACACCCTGTCGCGTGCACTCGAGGGTGAGGACGAGTCATTGCAAGTCGTTCTGGACAACGTCAACACCTACGTCGAGATTGTTCACCATACGGAATACAGTCCCGCGCTCATGCAATGTAAGCCCCAACCTACGTGCTCATGTGTCTCGACTTACCTGTATCTCCAGTCGTCGGACTATGTCTCGCGAGTTTGACCCGGAGAACGGCAGACCTGCACTTCGCACGATTTGACCCGAGCGCGTTGCTGTTGCTCGCCTGCACGCTCATTCAACACAACAAGGCCCACAGTCGAGTACGTGGCCCCCGCATATACATAGCTTCATCCATCATCCGAAGTCGCTGAACATTGCGCGCAGGACCTCCTCTTGTACCTGGAAACGCTGCTTCGATCATCGCTCGTCCGGTTCAGCGTGTCCGTGCTGAGTTTGCGGCGTGTTCTACACGTCACAACTACGCTTTATCGCAAGGCCGCCAAGGCTTCCGGGACCAACTCGCAGAACGCGCTCGTCAACCCGGTCGCGGGTGCGATGCTCGAGATCACAAAGGACTTCCTCCACTCGAAGGCGCGCGTGTCTCCTGCGACACAGATCGCCCTGGTCGAGGTCAGCTCTGGTTGCTCACGTCTCGTCACGACATACTGACTAAGATACTATACAGGCCTTGACCGCTACGCCGGATCGGGGTAGCACAAGGGCCATGTTCATCCCGCTAGACTCACAAGTCCGCCTCGCAGACGACGGGATCTCGTTCTTGTACTACGAGAGCTCCCAGGACGTACAAGGCGATTTCGGGGCGGCGCAGGCGATCGCGAGGATGATCATGCAGGGTGCGGAAGTGCAGCCAACCCTACTGGGTAGCCTAGATGTGAGCGCATGACTCCCTCTCTCTTGTGTGCGCCGGAGACTGACGCAAAGCACTCAACAGAAAAACCCGATGACCATCCGTGTCTGGAACATCCTTCTGATAGGGGCGCTCTCCAGGCCGGACGGCGCGGCGGCGCTGCTGATGTTCCAGCACTTCACCGCGTTCACGCTCGCATACAACACCGCGCTCAACCAGTACCAGTCGCCCGCCCACATCGCGAGCTCCGACGCGCAGGACCGCGCGCACGGCGACATCAGCTACGCGTATGCGTCCATCAAGCTGTGGCTCTTGCTTGCACGCAAGGCGGCAGCCGAACGCCCGCCGCTCGATGCTTCGGGTGGGCTGCAGGACGGCGAGGCCCTGGCGGCGCAGATGGTATGGAACGAGCTGTGGCCGCCGTTCGAGCACGTAGTCGCGGCGTTCGAGGCAGATGTGCACGCTGGGAACAGTTCGGTAAGTCAGAGGGGACAAGTATCGGAGCGATGCTGACAACGTTCTGTGCAGCCGTTGGCGTCGAGTATCTGGACCTCTGTTGGTGACTTGTTCTTGTTCCTGCGCCAGTCGCGCGCGGTGATCGCGCTCGACACGGTTGTGTCTAGCCGTATCCTCACAAGGCTGAAGGATGTCGTGAGGAGTGAATCGAAGGTTCGTCGCGTCGTTGATTTGTCGTTTGATCCTCAGCTCAAATTTCCCTGCTGTTGCCATAGATCGCCAGGGTTGTGCGGAGCTTGAAGGACCCACCTACGGTAGATTCGCTGGACTACTTCGCGAACCAAGTGATCACGGAGATCGCAGCCGAGGAGAAGCTGCAGGCAGCGAAACGGCAAATCAACCTAGAGCGAGGGCGTAGAGTCGCCAGCTAAACAACGAATTCTCTGTGTCGATCCCGGTTTATGCTTGTATCATATATCGTACAGGTGGAGGTTGGAGGGCAGGATAGATGCTGGCTTGCAGTAGAATTGTACTACATTATTGCACTTTCCTTCTTGAATCAAGTCGTTTCTCTTCATGGCTATCGTGGATGATGCGTGCCCCAAGAAACAGACCGATGGCGGATATTCCTAAGACGACGATGAAGGCGGGTATGCGCAAGGCCCACTCTCGTGAGGGAAACCATGCATGCACTGGGCTAGATTCGTCCAGGATGGGCTGTTCCAAACGCATTTGAATGAATAGTAACGCAAATTATAATATTCCGTACCAGAAGGAGGGTCCATATAGTGTAGTAGAGGAATGTAGACGCGGCAAGCAAGAGCATTAAGCTGCCACATGCTTTATCGCTCATGCCCTATTATGCCGAAGACTCATCAGCGAATCCCGGTTCATTTTTCTGGCTCACAAACACTCTCACCATTATGTCTAGAGCAGTGGAACTTTACTGCGATCATTCAACCATTCCTAGGTCGAGCAGATGGCGGTAGTGAGTGTGGCGGAAAGAGCAGTGAGGAGGAGCTATGAATAGACCTTAGCACCTAAGCGCTCACGGACGCGCCTACAAGCGCCCACATCGACACGTCGCGTCGCGCTGCGCAGCGTGGCCGCCTCATATCCCCGCCTCCGTCGTCCCCCTCCCTCATCCCGGCCATGCTCCTCCTCCCCTTCCTCGCTCTTTTATCCATTCCATTCTGCATTGCGGCGTCTACACAGGACATCCATGACAAACTCCGGGGGCTTGCGGCCGCAAACAATGGCGTCATCAAGCTAGACGAGGGCATCTACAACCTTTTGACGACCCCGAAGCGTAACTGGTCCGCGAGCATCCACTTCACCGCGCTCGACCCCCGGAGGAAATGCGGGCCGTGCAAGTGAGCAATCTTGTCTATTAGAAATATAGCGCAGACCTCACATGGTGCCGCACAGGGACTTCGACCCGTCCTTCAATGCAGTCGCGAAAGCGTGGACCAAAGTGCCCGCTGCGGAGCGGGACTCCCATTTCTTTGCCACCGCAGACTTTGACAACGCTATGGGCGTATTCCAAAAGGTGCGTTGCCTGTCTCGCAGCGTCTAGGGCGTCGTACCAAGCCCTGCATTTCCAGCTGGGCCTCCAAAGTGCGCCCGTTGTCCAAATTCACCCCGCCACCGAAGGCCCTCGCCGGCCTGCGAGCGGCAAGACGTCTCCCGTCATGTACGACTTCGGAAAGTACGTCCAACCTCCCATACTCCTACCCCGCCTCCCGAAATCCTCGCACTGACCCCGCGCACAGCGGCTTCGACGCCGGCCCGCTCGCCGAGCAGCTCTCGCAGTTCACGCCCGTCCCGATCCCGTACAAGGCCCCGATCGACTACGCGCGCATCGGCACGGGCATGGGCGTGCTGCTCATCATCCTCTCCGGCGTGCGCGCGTTCCTCCCTATCCTGCGCTCGCGCTGGCTTTGGGCGGCGGGCACCGTGCTCACGTCGCTCATCATGACCTCCGGCTTCATGTTCGTGCGGATTCGCGGCATGCCGCACAGCGGCGGGAACGGCCAGTGGATCGCGCCCAACTACCAGAACCAGTTCGGGCAGGAGGTCCAGGTCGTGTCGTTCATCTGTGAGTCGCATCTGTATTGCCCAGTGGAAGGAGCCCCGTGTTGACTTCGTCTAGACGGCCTGCTCTCTGCGGCATTCCTCATGCTCACCCTGGTCACACCGTACCAAACGCACCCGGCCCGGCAGCGTCTGCAGGTCTACCTCTGGTCAGGCGTGATCCTCGTCATGTTCTCCGTCCTCATCTCGCTCTTCCGGGTCAAGAACAGGGGTGAGTGCCCACACCGTTGCTGTGTGAGAGAATGGTCGTGTTTATCATATTGTCAGGATATCCGTTCAAGCTCCTGCTGTGAGCGGCGGAGCGGGGCATGTAATAGGAGTGTTCCGAGTATCTACTATCTATCGTCAATGCATGATGCATGGGCCCGTGCGAGAAAGAGAGCTGCCGAAGGAATACCGCCACCGCCGCCACAACAGTCCGAGAGCTGGGAGCAATATGGATACATACGAAAGTAAGGATTGCAGCTGCCAAGCAAGCAGTCGGACAAAACAGAGCACGATTATCTACTGGCCTCCGGCGGCCTCCTGTGAGAAGACATCTACGTAGCGACTGCGCACATTCCGCTTCGGTGGCGGGCGCCTGCCAGCCGGGGGCGGCGGGCCTCCACCAGGAGGCGGGGGTGTAGCTGAGGGCGGCAGCGGTGAAGGGGGAGCGGAAAGCCCTTCGGCGTCGCTGGGCACGAGGTTCGAGCGGACGCGCGGAGGGGGCGCCCTCCTGGGAGGCTCCGAGGTAAGGTCGATAGGGTGTGCCGTCGCGGGGCGCGCAGGCGGGGGACCAACGGGCGACGGTGGCGGCATGGCACCGCCAAAAGACCTGCCCGGAGACGCGGTCTGTGAGCGCGGGGGAGGCGGCGGGGCCGCGGCCTTCGCGGCTTCCGCGGAGGACGACTGTACAGACAACTGGTCAGACAAGCATATCGCAAGGTCAAGGGAGCAGTCACTGACATGTTTGTTGACCCAGCGCTTCAGCTCCTTGTCGTAATAAAAGGACGACTCCTCGCCGAGGTTGGCCTTCACAGGGGCCGGCGAGGGGGCTGCCTCATTCCGCTTCCAGAGTCTGCTGAGCCAGCCGCTGGACGCAGCTTGCTTAAGCTCTGCAGGGATGTTAGCGATTGGGCGGCCCTACACGTTCGTAACCACTCACCAGGCTTCGCGGGTTCCGCTGCCTTGGGCTTCTCCTCTGCACCTTCAGCCGCGTCGCCATTCTCCGCCGTCTCCGCCTTCTTGGACCGGGACGAAGAGTTGCCGAGACCAAGGTTGTCGTCATCCTCTTCGGCTAGTGAGTACTGGTTTGAGCGCGGGAGGGGGCTGCCCTGCTGCTTCGTCGCCGTGGGCGTCATGGACAGCATCGGATCGTCCATCAGCGAGACGAACCCGGAGTTCGACGATGACGAGGAGGGCTGGTCGTCCAGGGTGACGAACGTCGACGCGGTGGGTGTCGCAGCGTCCGAGTCCGACGCGCCCCACCACGAGCCTGTGCTGGGGGGTTTTGAGTGCCCGAAACCTGACACGTCGCCGTGGGAACCGCTCTCAGGTCTGAGGTGATCTGAGCCTTGCGATGGGGCGTAGCCGTTCCCATACGGACTCCGCGCCTGTCCATAGGACGCAGCGTCAGCGAATGTCGCGGCGCTCGCAGACGCGACGCGGGCTATCGGCGATCCTGTGCGCTGGAAGGGACGTACATGGTCCATCGCCGATGAGGCCCTGTTGATGGGAACATGCGACCTAGACGGCGGGCGGGCGCCCAGCGCAGACCCAGCGCGGAACGGTGGTGGCGCGTTTGACATCTCCGTGAGATCGGTGACCGACTGATGTGGGGATGGGTAGGCAGACGTGGTTGCAGATGAGATCGTGCTGAAGTTCGCAAAGGGTCCACTGGTTGACTGCTGTTGAGCCATTCCATGGGACTCCTCGGGCCTGGGAGAGTCTCCCTCGCCGGCAATGAACTTGGTGAAGCGGCCCTCAAGCCAGTTCCCAATGCTGTCCAAGCTAGGCTTGGACATCTTTCCAGGAATCCACGAACCAGACTTGTCTAGCTGCGGTGCCGCTGTCAAGCGATCCGACAGGCCCTTCAGCTGCTCAACGAATGTCACATTGATGAATGGCGAGCCACGGTTGAGAGCGGTGGTGATGGCTTCACAGTAACTGTATCACAATGAGCGGATGGGAAACATCCACAAAAGATTCGCTTACCGATTCGCCAGCTGGACATGTCCCAGCTCCGCCAAGCAAGTCGCACGGAGCAGTCGGTATGGCTGTAGGTGAGGAAGGCCAGTAAAGGCTTCCTGTCCCTTCGCAGGAGTGGCCAGAGACATGGCAAACTCCGCGATCTCCGAGAAGATGATCGGGTCGGGATCCTTGTAGTACGTGGGTGATGTGGTAGCAGAGGGGCCTCCCAGGAGCGTGAGGCGAGGGTGTGTACCCATCGCACCAAGAGGCGACGTTTGCGGAGAAAGCATGTAACTAGATTTTCTTTAGCACCACTGCAAAGAAGACGGGGATGTAAGTACGTACCAAACATGGGCAGCTTCAACCCACTGGTGCGCAGAAAGCTGGTCGCCAAGAGCTGTGAGTGCAGAGGAGGTATCGGGAGTCAGTGGGTTCGACAGCATCATCGCTGCAGTCTTCGCCCAATTGGCAAGCACCTCCTGAGGTACGTTCAATACCTGGACGACGGGGAAGCTAGGTGTCATCGGCGTGATCGACAACTGCGGTGGCTGGGGAATCTGCAAAGTCGGCGGGTGTTGAATGAGTGAACTGGGAGCGACAAGTTCTTGCACTAAGGTTGTTGTTAGCATTTAGCTAGGATACGCATAGGACGTGGCTTACCTGAAGCGGCGCCGTTACCACCGTACAAGCTATAAGCGACGCGCAATGCTTCGCGTCCCTCGCTTGGGTCCCCTTGGGTATGTCCGAGACCATTTGCCAACTCCGCCCGGACCCACTCAGTCACGACCTCCTTCCAGGTATCCTTGTCGATGCTACTCGCGATTAAAAGAGCATGTGGCCACAACTTCTCGTCCGCGGCGTAGTGGCACGCCCCTCGGCGGTCTCCTCGAGCTAGGAGACCCTGGATCTTGTCGAGCTGTGATGACCGAACAGTAGTTGTGGCAACCGTATAATCCTGGGTATTAGGCAGAGCAGACGCGAGACCGTATTGAGGACCATGCAGGAGGTCGGAAGAGGACGCTGGTATGATCCCCGACGAGTCCGATGAGGGAATCGCCCCGTCATGGTCTGGCAACAGCGCAGCGCGCGCTGCTGCATCGACTTCAGCGCTGTAAGATGTTTTTAGTAAACGAAGTCAACACAGATGCAAAAATGGCTTGACCAACCTCCCGCTCAACCGACCGTCGTTCTCGACCATGGCCTTCAGTAACAACACCAAGATGCGTTTTGCCTCAGCTCGACTCCGGTCAACGCTGTCTGCACGGTGGTAGCCAAGCCCGCTCTTGATCTCCTCCGCCCGCTCTTCCAGGTACTTCACAACACGCGCCTTCTTTGTCTTGATCTGCGTTGCTCCGGTACGGACGAGGCTCGCAGTGGGCGATCCCGGGTCGGAGAACAGAGGGCCAGGGTAAGACGCCGCCGAAGAATCCAAAACGCTTTCTGGAATGACCTTGCTGAGCGAGTGGATCTTGATGTCCGTCGACTGTCGCGCAGATAGCGCGACGTCGAAGCCCGTGTTCATCGACGCCCCATGGAAGCACGTTACCAGCTTTCCGCCAAAGCCGAAGCTTACGACAGGTACCCTTGCCGACGTACGACCGAGAGGGTCGTTCGTCCCCAACAAGGATGGCGAGGGCGCATAGGTCGAGTGCACCGGAGCCGCGAGCGTGACAACCTGGCCGCCTAAGCGGTCGTAGCTTGCAGCGCTGGGGATGTACGACGAGTTACCCTGTGGAGGAAGAGCGAAGCTGCTGTACGTGTGCTCGCTGGATTGCCGCGCAGGATACCTTGAGGGCGCATACGGGTCAGGCACCGAAGTTGTAGAGTATGCCGAACCATTTGACGTATTCCGAGCATGGGCGGAGGCAGCAGCTGGCTTTTCCGTAGGAGCGTAAGGATCATAACCACCTTGTTTGGGCGCAGTGACCGAGCGAATCGAGCCCGCTGGTGAAGCCGAACGGTTGAGATCCGTCGCGTGCTGAGGCTCGTACTGATTCGACAACGTGGACCGCCGCGAGAGGCTGGAGATAGGCCGGTTGAAGGGCGGAGGCGCGGCACCGGACCCCCTTCGAGGAGGAGGCTCGTATGCTTGACTTGTAGCCCCTTGCACCGAGCGCACAGAAGATGCCCCTGGGGACTTGGTACGATCGGTAGGCTCAACTTTCGCCACAGGTGCATACGGGTCGACGGGATACGACGCGAATTGGGTGGGAGGAGAAGCGCTCGAAACACTGGAAGGTTTGCGCGGAGACCTTGACCTTTCTGGGGATGACGGACTGCGTAGGGGCGAGGGGTGGCCGACTTCGCTCGGGGATCTAGATTTTGGCGACTTCGGCAGCCTGGGCGAAGTGGGTGGTGACCTGGGTGACCGCGAAGTCCGTGGGGGTGACGAGGGTGGTGACGTATGCTCCCTTGTGAACGCATATTGGCTTGCCTGCGGGGTAGCATCCTCCGGATCCAATTCTGCTCGTGGTGGCGATGCAACCATGCCCGTTCCGAAGACAGACTCTACGTCCTCCTGCTCAGCAATTGGGGGAATATTGGCATGCGCGCTGGTATCGTAGTTCACAGGTTGCGAGAAGGCAGGAGCGTAGGAGGATAGGGTTGGCGACGCAACGCTTGGCGCATACCCTGAAGGAGGCAGTCCGGATGTGCCATACTGACCGTTCGGAACGTACGCAGAACCGTTGCCTACAGGGTTGTGAGGAGGTGCATATGCCGAGGATTGACTGGAGCCATTGGGAAGCGGAGGGGCATAAGGATTGGGCTTCTGCGGGGACGCTGCTATATGAGGCGGCGGATGGCTATCCCGCCGCACAGTGGTGGGGGGCGGGGCATACGGATCTGGAGTCCTCGCCGGACCTCGAGGAGGCGGCTGTAAGGGCTGCGTGACAGGCGCCAAAAGAGGCGGAGACATGGGCGGTGGAGTAGCGTATGTCTGCCTGGGAGGAACACGGGCATGCTTCACCTTGATCGGGGGCAAGGGGGGATCGAATGCATTGGCCGTCTTCGGACGGTAGGGCGCAATCGCGGCCGCTGCAGACACCGCTGGAGGGGGTGGTGGGGCCTCTATAATGGGAGCTGGAGGCGGTGGAATGGCTATGACAGGATTCCCGTATGCCGTGCCGTGCGAACTTGACGCGTAAGGAGCGTAAGAGCCCTGCTGCGAAGCGGGTTCGTAGCTCGTGGGCGCAGTGGGATGTGACGGTTTGTACGGGTCGTACGCCGACTGTGTCGCAGGTGCATGGGTTGAAGGTGCATGCGTCGAAGGTGCAGCGGTATGGGTGGGAGGTTCATAACTTGAATGGGTCTGCGCCGGCTTGTACGGATCATACGTAGTGGACCCATACGCACTCGTCTGTGCTGCTGGTGCCTGCTGAACCGTGGTCTGCGGTGCATACGCAGAGGTCGTCTGACCGTAAGCGGAGTACGTTTGTGGCGCATAGCTCTGTTGCTGAGGATAGGCGGGCTCGTACGCTGCAGTATAATCATAAGCGCCAAATTCAGCGACCACATACAGGGTATCCTACCTGAGACCGCCGGCGCGGCAGTAGACCCGTACTGGGGCTGTGAGTACGAAGCGTACGTTCCATTCTGCTGGGGGTAAGCCTGCTGCTCCGGGTACGCTGGGGCGTATGAGTTTACAGCGGGCGCAGGAGCGCTATACCCGTAGTTCTGCTGCCCGGCAGGATCGTACCACGTCTGTTGCGCCTCTGTCCCACCCGCACCTAGCGCATCACCACCGCCCACCGGAAACGGGTCCGTAGCCGAGCCAAAGAGGTCCGCGACCCCGTCAGAGGCCGTAGCGTTGCCGTGCGTCTGTTCGCGGGTATCGTCTCCCCCGAGCGCGGCGGCGAAGGGGTCGAGTGCGGCGTCCGGAGAGCCAAAAAGAGAAGCGGCCTCGCCAGCGGTGGTCATCGTGCGGGTTGGCCCAGCCAAGTGCCTTGGGAGACGAGGACGAGGGGTGAGAAAAGCAGCGGTGGGCGTGGAGGCTCGCGGTGACGGAGGGTCAGAGGCTTGGAGACGTATTTGGCCGAGTTTGCGCGACCACGTATATCGGCGTACGAAATTGCGACGCGTACTCCCGCGCGCTCCGGCGTCCATGGCGCGCTCCCGGCCCACGCGCTCTAGGCACGCGCTCCCGGTACACCATCTCATGAGCTCTGACAACTGAGGCCTGGGGCAGCGCACCACCGGAACATCACGCAAAGCATCGTCAGCACAGAGTATGTATTGCGGATTATATCGGCTATATGGCGAGAGATCCCGGCGTGTACGCGGCGACTAGTGGAATGAGGGCAATGTAAAAACGATCGGTAGAGTGCGAGCTGCGGTGGGTAACTAAACGATATGCAAGGTATGGTATCGACTAAATCCATGATATGAACAGGGTCCAAAGGCAATATGCGACAGGTAAAAGAGTGAGGTATTATACGTGTGCGGAGAGCGAGTTGCAGCGTCGAGAGGGAGATATGCGGGTGTAGACAAGATGCGAGTACGATAGGGGAGATGCGAAGATGCAAGCGAGAGTCAGACGATGGCGTGAGATGCAAGACTAGATGAGGGATGCGGGGCACTATTAGGATTAGTAGGTGTGGAAGCAATGTCCTAAGACGACGGCTCGACTGCCTCGGGTTGAGTACCGTCGGTTGACGAGCACTTCTCGATGAGTCGCTCGACTGAACTCCGATTATTAGTCAAACACGTCATGACAATACCGCAGGTGTACGTACTAGCTGAGAGGTGCTTGCTGTAGGCACTCGAGTACCGCCGCATGTTGACCAAGTGCGGCCGCACCTTGCTGATCAGGAGCTCCTTCTGGTCGGCGTCCGCAACAGTCAGTGCCCGCTGCAGGACGTAATCTACAAGAGTTGACGTCAATAACAGCACTGACCGCACAGTGAAGGTGTGCTTACTTCCGAAGGAGTCCTTCATGAGGCCCATGATCGGGCTCAAACCGTCCTGCTTGGGAGTCATGATCTCGTCGATCAACTGACGGCGGCTCTCAGGATCCGCGCAGACCAGAGCCTTTTCGCACACATTCGACGCGAACTTGTGCTTCGCCATGTTGTACATCTGGCCGGTAAGCTTGGAGATGATCATCGCGCGGTCCTGGGGCCTCCCGTGCTCGAGCACGAACTGCACGACGTAGTTCTGCCAAACATCGTAAGCAGTTGTTCCGCCGCTCAACTAAGACCAACTTACCCCGAACTGGTCGATCATGAGGTTCGGCACGTACTTGTGCAACTCGTCAAGAAGCGGCCGTGTCTGGTCCTCCGGCATGTACTCGAAACACCGCTGAAGAACTCGGCACCCGTAAGGGTGGGTAGAGAGGTCGTAGACGCTGCCGCGGAAGGCGGTCACGAAAGCGAGGCGGTCCGGTGCAACGTGCTCGATGAGCTTCTGAATAACCTATTGTTGACGGTTAGAGATAAATGGGCGCCAGTATAAGTTGAAACACTAACGTGGTTGCCGTTGGCGTCCTTCACGCACCGGAGGACGTTCGGACCGAGCTCCTGCACGAACAACACCTGCTGCTCAGGCAGAATGTGCTCGATCGCCTGTTCACCGCTCAAGTCAGCTCGAACAATTCAAGCAAGCAGGTAACACTCTGCGCACCTTCTGTACAACTCGGCACCCGTACATCTGCAATGAGAGGCCGAGGATCTGGCCCTCCATTGTCGCGACGAGGCGAGCCTTCTGGGCTGAGGTCCCGTACTCGAACATCTTCTGGACGACCTGTGAACACATTGCATCCGTTAGTTCGAGCCGAGCGTCAGGCAGACGGTCGCAGACGCACGTAATTGCCAAAGACGTCCTGCATCAGCTGAATGGCGTACTGCGGAACGATCTCGTCGAAGATAATCTCCATCTCCTCGCTGGTGGCTGACTCCAGTTTCTGCTGGATGAAGCGCGACCCGTGCTGATCTCCACTGAACTCTACAATATACCCAAAGATGTCCTAGGGTGGGCGGCGTCATCAGCACGAGGAACGCACAGTCGATAAGGTTGCGCCAGCAACTTACCCTGAGCTCCCACTTCCGGGACTTGTTCGCTCGGAACTCGTCCAGCTGAGCACTCCTCATGGTGCCGTCGCCCCCACGACGTCCTTGACGTCCGCCGTGCCCGCTCTGGCTGCCGCCGTGGAGGAAGGGCCCGCCGCGTTGACCGGGGTGGAGTGGTGGACTGTAGTCTACAGGTACGCCGAACTGTGAATGTTGCAACGGCGACGTCCGCATACCAGCGTACAACATACTCTGTGGATGGTTTGTTGGTGAGCAGAGAACCCATCGATAAGTGTGTTGAAACGCACCTGTTCTTGTCGCTTGTCGGGCATACCAGCCAATGGATGAGGAGTAAGCATAGGTGAGTGGGAAGGGGGAGCATGGTAAACTATCGCTTGCGTAGGGTAGAAGTATTGCGAGCCAAGGGGACGCGGAGACCCAGCGTAATCATAGAATTGCTGCAGTTGGAGGTCAGCCATGGAAGGGTGAAGTAATGTCTGGGGTCCCAACCCAGGATATACATTTGGGGCAGCGCTCGCTGGAGTGAGAGCGGGCGAGGAAGCGTACAATGACGGATCCGTCCGGTACGCATCGTACGCGTACGAAGGGCCTGTGTAGTACGCGGCGTACTCCGTCTGGGCGTAACCACCGTAAGGACCGCGTAGTGGCTGCTGAGGGCCACGCATGCCAGGGAGTCCGGATGGAGGGGCGCCGCCCGAAGGCTGAGCGCCCTGACGGTAAGGGCCGTTCTGCGGCGATACGTTGTACTCGTCTTCCACCGCCATGCCACGCATTGCGACTGCCAACTCGTTGTCCACCAACGACGAGCCGGATTGAAGAGACTCGTAGCCCCCCACGGGGCTTGAGTTGGCCATGTGCTGTTGTCCTATAGATGGAGCATCGTCAGCGAGGGTAGGCGGATGGCGCGACACCGCACTCACCAAGGACGGTGTTGTACCGTTGGGGCGAGATCTGGCCCTGCTTGGACATTCCTCCTGCTGGCGCGGGGAGACCACCAGCGGAGACCTGCCTCTGCCTCACCTGTAAGGCGATGCGATGTGAGCGGCTAGTCCATTGCATCAGCAACCGGGGTGCCAGACGCACCAAGTTCGCCAATTCTTTCTGCTGAGCGTCTGCGACTTCGTCCCACGCGCCGCTCACGGATCTTTGGCCCCAGCCGTCGCTCGCGTTTGAGCGATAGTGGGCATCCGCATGTGACACGGAGCTGTCTTGCCCGCTCGCAGCGGAAGAATTGGAGGGGTGCCTCGAGGTGTTCACACCTCCCCATACCTGACTGCGTGTTAGCGCACAAACGACCATATATAGCGAAATAGCGGTTGCGCACCTGCCATCCAGAGTTCAAGGTCTTCAATCCGTTTGAAGGGGCCATAGCGACACCGAACATGTTTGCAGGGCCTTTGCGGTGAGAGTGAATCTGCGAACGGTGTGAATAGCGAGGTCGCGCGGTGATGAGAGTGGCACGGACGGGGTTGGGTGAGTTTGAAGGGGAGTGACCACGGGAGTGCGAGGACGAGCCAGATGGTTTGCGGGAAGTTTCGTGATTAGTGGTCGACATATGAGGTCGAAATCTTGGGACGTGTCGGGTTTATATGGTGGGGCGTTAAGCGGAAGCGGTGACTCACCTACGAAAGGCTACAATATACGACGCTCTATGCGAAACGGGGAACGCGTTTGTTATAAAGCTGTCGGAAAGGTGAGCAAAGAGGGACAGCAAACGGAGGCGGGAGGGAGGACAAGGACGGTGCGTGCAGCACACGGCGGAGTGCGCGCGCGCAGAAAGAAAGGAAGGAGACGCGTCTTAACGCGCGCGCGATCGAAGGGAAGACGTCACGGCCAGGAACGAGAGGGCGCGGGCACTCACCAGTACGGTACGCGTGAATATCTGACCCTCTGGGTGGTGAGGAGGACGGGGCGGGAGGTGGGGAGGATGGCAGCACGCTAACCTCGTGGAGGGAAGGTGAGGGGCGGCGCGAGCACGACGGACGGTCGCGTCGAAATGGGTAAAAATGGGATAAATAATTGTGTTGACATGGTGGAAAATGATTCTGGTGAAACCGGGGGCGGTTACTGGGTCGTCGGGGGACTTGACACGTGTAACGCTCCCCGCAACAGTCCGCCCGCCCAGAGTCCCTGCCGAACAACCTCGCCTGCCCGATTCGGCTGCTGACCTAACAGAACCCGCCAGGCGAGTTGCCATCTCGGGCTCCAGCGCCGTGCCCGATTTGCCTCCATCAATGGGCGTCTTCCACCCCTGACGGAGCTGCGTCGCCTCCCTCGCCCCTCCCACGCCCGCCTCCTCCTACCTCCGCGTCCTCCGCCCACCCAGCGCGCCCTCCGACCACGAACCGCTTCATTCCCGCCGAACCCGCACGCAGATCCCCCGTGACATGCGCCGCACTCGCCGACGGCGCTGTGGCAGGCTGTAGGTCCGCGTGAGTCCACCGTTGATCGAGCGGCCGCTTCCTGCACCGCCGCTTCCTCGTCGTCGGCTTCGCGGAGCCTGGTCGCATCACCTTCGCCGTGACACCGGCAGCGCGCGCAGTCCGCCGTCCGCGTCATCGCTTCGCTCGCGACGATAGCCCTGCCAGCAATTTTTCCTCGCTTGCCCGTTTGCGGGTCCATCATTTCCATTCATTGTATTTGCAAGCCCGATGGGCGATCGGCCGTTCCGTTGTGTATTACCGAGAGAATAATAATCGTGTAGGTTGGTACAAGCAGTGCGCTACGGTCCGTACGGCTAAGCATGAAAGCATCTGACGCGTGAAAGCCTATCGTGAGTTGAAGTTGAACCAAGATTGCCGTTTGGCTGTAGATGCAACCGTTAGCGAGTGATAAACACACAATCACCTCCGGCGAGTACGTACCGGTTCTGCACATACAACGCAAAGACAGCCGAAAGTGTAAGCAAGCAGCACCCATTCATACGCAATCGGCCAAAGACGCACCCGGAGTCCTCGTTCTGCAGCCTCGCCAAAGGGTTTGCGCTGCCCGCGGTCGGAGACGGTCCGGTGCTTGTGATGGCGGCGGCGTTCCCTCCACCGCCGCGGAGCGGCTTGGCAATCCGGCCAAAGCTTAATGGCGAGGACGAAGCGGCCTTTTGCGCTGAAACGGAGGCAAACTTCAGCCCGACAGTGCGGTAGGGCACAATTATGATCCTTACCGCGCGCCTGGTCGAGCCGTTCCTTCACCGCCTGCAGCTGCGCCTCGAACTTCTGGTTCTGCAGCACCAGGCGGCGGTCGGCCTCTTGTAAAAGCGCCTCGAGGTTCTGTATCCGCTCGTTGCGGGCCAGGAGCTTGCGCTCCGCGATCCCCGCCTCCTTCTTCAGGGCAGAGTTCTGGTCTACGAGCTAAAAATTGCGCGCCGCGCTATGAGCTAATGGCAGCTAACGCGTCCCTGGGAAGCCCCAGCGTACCTGCTTCTGCACGACGGTGAGCTGCTCGAGGTTGCGCTCGAGGAAGGCCATCTTCTTCTGTTGCGCCTTGCTGTTGCTGTTGCGGATGACGTTGTTGTATTGCTCCTTGATCTCGTCCAACTGGATCTCGAGCTCGACAACCTACGCGCAATGAGCATCATGACGAACACGCTTAATTGACAGTGTCCTCCTGACCTTCTCGCACCGGTTCTGGAGATCGCGCATGAGCGACTTCTTGACGCCGTCGAACTCGGCAAGCTGCACGCTGATAGCCTTCCGAGTGCGCTCGAGATCCTGCGCGCTCTCCGCAAGGTTCTTGCCGCCCTCGATGCCCGCCGAGGTGACCGCGAACGCACGCTGAAATTTTGCATCAGCGTCTTACTCTAAACCACACGAGGGGGTCTTCCATACCTTCAGTTCCTCATTGACGCTCTTCAGGCTGTCAATCGTGGCGTTAAGAGTGCGGATCTCGTTGCCCTTGAGCTCCAGCTGCTGCTTGAGGTCTACGACCTCCCCGGAATGGGCGTCGCGCTTGGCCGCGTACTGAGCCTCAAGTTTGTTCTGTATCACATTAGCTCGCCTGCAATTCAGTCCACCTAAAGGCCGATCAAACCTACCTTGAGCTCGGACATGGACTCCACGATGTCGACGTTGCTGACCTCCTCATCGTGGATGGTCTTCTCTGTGGAAGCGAACGAGTGATTGTCAGCATGCGCATATACCGGAGGTAAAATTTGAAAACGAACCGAGCAACTCCTCGTACTCGGTCTCGAGGCCGGAAATACGAGACTCGAGCTCATCACGGCGGCGCTGATGCATCTCATTCTCCTCCTGCACTTGCCTGAGACGGTCGACCGTCTCGCGGATGAGTGCCTGCGAGTCTGCAATGCGGCGGCGAAGCGAAACAATGTCGTCGTGTGACAGCGTGGACACGGCAGCGTCCGAATCGACGGCCTCGAGCTTCGCGAGAATTTGACGCAGCTGGTCGTCCTTCTCGGAGAAGGTCCCTTGCTATATGCAGTGGTCAGTGTGTGCCTAGAGTGCGACGGAGGCGGGGGCGACGTACGGCATCGAACTTCGCCATCATGAGTGCCATCTTCTCCTGCTTGCGCTTCTCCTTGTCCTCCGCGGACGCGTCCTTCTGGGCGGCCTTCAGGTCGGCGATCGTCTTCTTGAACTCCTCGAGCTCCGCCTTCGCGTCCTGGTTCTGCTCCTTGAGGATGTCGATGGTGATGATGCTCTCCTTGTTGTCGTAGTTGAGCCGCTCCACCTGCAAGCGCAGCTCGTTGAGCTGGCTGGACATCGTCTTGTTCTCGGTGGAGAGGGAGGACTCCTGCTCCTTCAGGAAAGTCAACTCCTCCTTCAGTTCCGACACGAGCTTCTCCGCTGCCTTGAGCGCGGATTCCCTCTCCCCGAGCTGATCGCTCAACTCGTTCTCGCGCTTGAGGAACTCCTCGCGCTCGTCCTTCTCCAGACCGACGACAGTGGGCGTCTGTGGCCGGCTTTCCAAGTCCCCGCGGAGGTCCTGGAGGAGGGGGTTGACAGGGGTCTGACTGCGAGTCGACGAAGGAGTAGGGGAAGCAGGGGCCTTCTTGGGCGCGGCGGGAGCGGGTGCACCGGCCTTGCCGGGAGCTGCCCAGTCGGCCTGGTCGACCTGACCTCCAGAGCGCCAGATAGCCAGCTCTGCCTCGAGAGCAGCGATATACTTCTGGTACGATGAGTTCGACGCATTCGCCTTCGACAAAAGGTGCTTGAGCTCGAGGGGCGAGAGCTCGGCGTTGACACGAGCGGTGTTCTTGATCGACTTCGCACGTATACCGAAACGCATTGTGGACAGGGTCTCAGCTTCGTTGTACGACGAAGGAGAACAGTTGATGATCAAAGTTGTCCGCGAGTTACCACCCAGCGACTCTTGCAAGATACGAGTGAGCTTCGAGTCGCGATATGGGACATGCTTCGCCTAGCCGCATACACTGGAGTTAACACCACTGTATCTTGGGTAGATGTATACGACGTCACCTTGCTGTCCGTGAGCGCGTTAATGACCATGCCCAGTGCCGACAAGGACTTGTTGATCTTCTTCGCCTCCTCCAAAGTCTGGCCAGACGCTCCCGTCTTACCGACTTTCTCGGAACCAGCCAGATCCACAAGATACAAGTTACCAGTCTTCTGGGCACCCGTCTCCGTATTCCGTTGGTTGATCGTGATGAGGAATATTGAGTGGGAACGAGAACTCTCCGCGTTCATGTCTATAGTTTTCGCGTACATCAGCACTAGCAGACGCATACATACGGCGTACGTACTCGTGGATGAGACAACACGCGCAGCACCTCCCTGCCGCATGATCTCGTACACCTCCCGGGCGCTGCTGACATAGTAATCGGAGAGGTTCTTGACGTAAACGCCCTTGGACTTCTCTTCGTGGACTTGTAGGTTATCGTTCTGGGCTATGAACGCGAACAAACACGTCATTATCAGTTTCAGAACGTCGACAACATCGGAGTAAGGCAATACTTACGAGCAAGCAAATCTCTGATCCTCTCGAGGTATATTTCCATGTACGAAACCTTCACGAGATACTCCAGGTGGGCATCCGATTCTACGATCGACTGGAAGATCTGCTCGGTTATACGGGGTATAAGACCTTTGAGGTCGGGGGAATCTATGTCGGCGCCCTAAGGTGGCACATGTCAGCACGATACGTAGACACAAACAGGTCCTACGAACCATCATGGTGAACGTCTTTCCACTACCGGTTTGACCGTACGCGAAGATCGTGCCGTTGTAACCGTCCAGGACATCTGCAAAGGCACATGATTAGCACCTCAATGAATGTCGATGTGATGACTTCATTCGGGGCAGTCTGAGCATCATGCTTTGGAAGCGGAATAGGTGGGTAGAATGCAGGGTGCTAATCGCTCACCCTTGACGATGCTGCGGGATGGTTAACGGAATATACGCGTCCGCGAGGAAGGAACACATACTCTTTCACTCCATAGTCGAAGACCTCATGCTGTTTCGTCCCCGGGGGAAACACCCTATCGAACGTGAAGCCATCCTTCTCCGGTCCTGAGCCTACTGTCGCCGAGCGTATTTGAACTGTCTGCAGGTTCTCGTCGAAGGCTACCACGATCTCTCCACCCTCCCGCTGCTCGATGGAATTGGGTGGTCGGAACCTGCCAGGGTCACCAACGTTTGGCAAAGCCGAGCACCATAGATGTCCCTGCCCAAATACTCACCGACAGACGACCTTGATATTCGTAGATGTTGACATCTTGAGTGTATGTTGCTAAAGACGCAGGTAAAGAGGGTCGGGTGTGGCTGATATGTTGCAGGTTTGATCGCCGAGGTATACGGCACGCGCACTGGAGAGGCGTGCCCTCTATGTGGAGACGAAGCCGAGTGAAGGAGAGTGGCAGAAGATAGAGACAAGCCTCGAGGCGGCCTTGCAGTCGGAGGACAAGTCCAAGGAGCTGAGGGCGAATGCGGACATGTACGTGCAGCCTATTTACGGCTGTTGTCAAGCACGCGCCAGCTACGCGCACGCGTCCTAAGCGCCCCATATCGAGCGAAGATGGCGCGTCCTCTGTGCGGACATAGAGGCACTATATGTTCAGCACCACGAGGAACGCGACATTGGAAGGTTCATGTTGTTTATTTAACAATACACAGGACGTGGTCATACAAGAGAATCTGAGATGAGTCCGGGAGAGATACGATGGGCGTACACTAAGAACGAAGGGTCGGGAGCAGGTCTGAAGGAGGGGCGATTCAGTCGTCGTCGCTACCCACGGAAGGAGCGCGAGCTGGTCTGCTCGAGGAAGCGACGGGTCTACGTGTCGTCGTGGCGTCTCTCTCAGCGGCGTCCGCAGCATCGATCCACTCCGAGTAGATGTCGATTGGCTCCGTAAGGTCTGCAGACATAGGTTTACATGACGGCTCGGAAGAGGAGAGCATATACGCACGGTTCGCCTTGCTTTGGTATCGCTGGTCACAAATTTTGCAGAACAGCTGCGCTACACCCTCCTTTCGGTCTATGCGAACAGACACAGATTTGTCATGGTGGCAGAAGAGACATGTGAAGTTTGTCTCTGTACACAGCGTCAGCAGCCAGACGATGAACGGACGGCATTCATGCGTACCGAGAGGGTCTTTCCTGCGCGGGCCGGTTGGCTTGCGGGAGGACTTTTTGCGTTTGCCCATGGTAGTTGGTCGAGTGACGCAGGAGGACGAGGACGGGACGGACGCGCGGGGGCGGGGCCGCCGGGGCGCAAGGCGCAAGCGCCGGTGTAATGAGATTCCCACGATACGGCCACGTGATGGACGCGACGCGCGCGGTGTTCAACTGCGAGCCGCGAGTCGGAGTCGGAGTCCCCTCTCTGAACGGAACTGCAATTGTTCTCTGTCCATCATTTCCCCTCTTGCCTCTGCCCTCCATGGCCTCTCGTCGCCCTCCGTCGCGCGTACGGACAACCGGCGCATCTGCTATGCCCCCGCCGTCCACCATTCGTCCCCGCTCTGTTCTCGCGAAATCCGACTCTTCTCAGAGATCAACCGCCACATTAGCCACCACTACCGACCATGCCTCAGAGGCCGGGCCCTCCAGCCTCCCCAAGAGCGGGCGGGAATCACAGATGAAGAATGCGCAACATGCAGATGTCGAGACCAACATTAAGGTCGTCATTCGATGCCGGCGGCGCTCCGAGCGCGAAATCCAAGACAACTCCCCGATAATCACCAGCATAAACGGGCCCAAGGGCGAAGACGTCACGATCGAAACTTCCGCACCCACCAACAACTTTGGCGTTGTTGCGCTACCCACAACAAGAACCTACCCGTTCGACATGGTCTTCGGTCCAGAGGCGGACCAAACATCCGTTTACCAAAATGTCGTCCACCCAATGCTGGAGGAGGTCCTGATGGGTTACAACTGTACGCTGTTTGCATATGGTCAGACTGGAACGGGTAAAACGTGAGCAGCCTCGATCCACCGGCTGTATAACGCAATTGACACGACCGTACGGATAGCCATACCATGCAAGGTGAACTCGGCACCACGCCGATGGGCAACCCTTGCTCCCAGGCAGGGATGATCCCTCGCGTGTTGTTCAAGCTCTTCCAGCATCTCGAAGCTACTTCCACAGACTACAGCGTCAAGATATCATATCTCGAGCTGTACAACGAAGAGCTGCGCGACTTGCTCGCCCCTGACCTCCCCGCTCCGACCGGGTCCAGCCAGCCCATGGGCATGGGCGTATACAAAGACGCGCCGGTACAGGCCAGCCTCAAACTGTTTGACGACGCGGGCAAGAAGGGCATCATTATTCAAGGACTAGAGGAGACACCGGTCAAAAACTCAGCTGATGCCCTCGCGCTGCTCACGAAAGGTAGTCACCGGAGGCAAATCGCGGCTACGAAGTTCAACGACCACTCAAGTCGCTCTCACTCTGTCTTCTCCATCACTATCCACACCACTGCATCCTCCGCCACCGGAGATGGCCTCTTACGGGTCGGTAAACTCAACCTGGTCGACCTTGCAGGATCGGAAAACATTGGCCGCTCGGGCGCTGAGAACAAGCGTGCGAGAGAGGCCGGTATGATCAACCAGAGCTTGCTGACTCTAGGGAGGGTGATCAACGCTCTCGTTGACGGTTCTTCCCATGTCCCCTATCGGTAAGCACTTCTGTACGACCGCCACCGATTCAAGACGCTCATCACCATATAGTGAGTCGAAACTTACGCGTCTTCTGCAAGACTCGCTCGGCGGGCGCACGAAGACGTGTATCATCGCCACTATCTCGCCCGCGCGATCGAACCTGGAAGAGACGCTCTCGACCCTCGACTACGCCATCCGCGCGAAGTCGATCCGCAACCGCCCGGAGGTGAACCAGCAGATGACGCGCAATGCGCTCATCAAGGACTATGTCGCGGAGATCACTCGTCTGCACGCCGACCTGCGTGCGGTCCGCGAGAAGAGCGGTATCATCTTGTCAGAGGAGTCCTGGGCGAAGATGTCTGCGGAGCAGGAGCTACGCGAGACCGAGCTGCAGGAGGCGACGAAGCAGGTCGAGATCCTCCAGAACCAGATGAAGGCCGTACGTGAAGAGTTCGAGGAGGCGATGGCGCTATTAGCTCGCACCGACGAAGAACTCCGCCACACGAAGACCCAGCTTGAGGGCACGACTGTTGAGCTGGCGGGCACGAAGCAACAGCTCATCGCTGTTGAGGGCGCGCTCGAGGAGGAGATCATGGTCCGACAGGCGCACCAGAAGAGCGAGGAAGCTCTCCATGGCGTCGTCCAGGAGTGGAAGTCGGTCGCGAAAGACTACGACAGTGAAGTGAATGCGCTGCATGGCAAGCTCGGTACGTCCCCAGGATCGATCTAACCACACCCTACTTATGATATCCCATAGATCGGAAATCGTCTGCGTTCGGGTCGAACATGAAGGCTGTCACCACGCACAGCAAGACCCTGTCCTCTGAGGCACAGACCATGTCCGCGAAGATGGATGGCTTCATGAAGTTGGCAACGCAGCATCTCAGCAAGGTCACGACCGAGACTGAGCAGTTCCAGACCAAGGAGCTGGAGGCGTTGTCCGCTATCTCCAATCGTCTCAAGGAGCAGCTCGAGAAGGTGCAGCAGGCTCTCGAGCTCATCCATTCCAAGGAAGACGCGTCGGCGGAGACCATCGAGACGATCCGAACCACCATCAGTGAGGCGCAGGAAAGCATGAAATCAGGTTTCGCGACATATGCGGACGAGCTCCACCAGCACTGTGAAGCGATATGCGAGGAAGCTCAAGCTTCCAGCCTCGCCAGCTGTGCTACCGTAAGTTATCTCTCCTGCCGCTATACCTTTCAACTGACGTCCACGCCCGACTTTAGGTTGAGAAAGCGTTCCAGGAGCTGGGTGCTCTTACCGAAGCAATCAAGCAGGAAGCTCTAGACTTCGTCGCTACCGAGCGTAAAACGCTTCAGGAAGCCAAGGCACTTGCCGACAACACCACTAACACGGAGATCCTTCGACTGCGGCAACAGAACTCCCTGCTGACGCGTCTACTGGAAACGGAACGCGTCGAAGCGAAGCGGTCTGCGGACGCGTTGCTCGAGCGCATCGCGGGACTCCTTGGCGACTACACTAACGAGCGCGACCGCAGCCTCCGTGGAACGTTCTCGGAGATGACCGAGAGCAACACCGTCGCGGAACGCGAAATGGAGCAGCTCGGCCAGAAGCAGGGTCAGCAGTTGGAGGCCGCTGTCGTCCGCGGAAGCGCATGGAGCGAACAGCTTGCGAAGAGGGGCGCGAATGGCAAGCGGTTGCGTGACGGCGGCATGAAGGTAAGCGCATCCGCAACGGCATTATGAATCCAGTCACTGAGAACTTTATCAGGCTCTGGATTCTGCGACGGTTTCGATACGTGACGGGATGACGGACGTGCGGGAGGCCATCTCGTCGTCGACTGCCGGGTTTAGCCAAGATCTACAGCGAACCATTCAGGACTCAGATACTACACTCAGTCAGGGTACGTCTCCAGTCACTGGGGGTTTCATGCGCATTTATTCATGAAATTATCCGCAGCATTCGACCGGGAGCATCGTGTCAAGCGTGCACGGATCGAAGCCACCGACGGTCTTGCAGCTGAAGCACAATCGGGCTACCGCTATATGCAGCGCGGGATCGGCTCCACGTCGCGCACGATCGAATCGGCCACGAGCCGTGTGCTCATCGAAACGTCTGGCATGTCCGCGGCGGTCGAGAACCTAAACGCGGCCGCCACCAGCTCGCTCGGAACCATCCGCAACACAACCCAGGGTCTCGCTGCCGAGGCGACGAGGGAGGACAAGCCCACCGGCTTGACGCCGCGGAAGCGCGGCCGACGAGTCGTGGAAGACTTGCCACGCACGGAGCCGAGAGAGGTTCTCGTCCGGCGGTGGCGGCAGCGTGGAATGTCCGCGGTGGGGAGCGAGACGTTCTTGGCCGAGCACCTACCTTTGCCTGAGGATGGCGACTCTCCGTCCGGGTCCCCGGAGTTCATGGCGGTCCACTCGCCCATCGAAGCTCTTGCGGAAGATCTGGAGAACGAACCTACCCCGCTCAATTCACCCCCTGCCCTCGTCAAGTCGCTGGCTTCGTCCGCATCCTCATCTTCCTCCGTTCCACCGGAGCTGCCCCCCGTAGTGGCCGTAAAGGTGCCGACCAAAGTTGTTGCTAACGCCACTGGCACTCTTACGGATCGGTCGACCAACATCGCTCGGAGACCTCAGCGCACTCGGCGGACCGTTCCAAGATGATTATACCCTCGCACGTCTCCGAGTCCGAGCCCCGGTTGCAGGCTCCAGTTCGTTCAGTTCGATGTTGTTACTTTATTCGTCGTTACGCTGTGGACTCATTTGCTATCCATTTCTCTGTCTATCGCATTGTACACCTTGGATGTGGAATGCACACAACCATCTAGTTCTGTATAGCTAATGCGGAGACCGGTACCCACAAACCCGGGACAAAGCACTAAGCCCCTACTCATTCCACCGTAGCCAAGCTTGAAAGCGTCAGATGTCGTGCCGGCCTCCTCTGCAACCACGGTATATTCCTTTAACTCTTGCTGTTTCGCTCTTTCACGTAGCACGCACTCATGGCCTCCTGGGGGCGCTTGCTCTCGCATGACATCAAAGGCCTCACTCCTCCGGTTAGACAGCAAGGACCAGGGGTAGATGGCTCGGAGGACATCGTTGTCGTCCTCCGATAGCAGGTATGTAGTCCTGCATACGTAAATCGATGTTGACGTCCATCTATCGGTTTCGGACGACTTCCTTGACAGATGGACGCGTCCGTGGTCCGCTCAGGACCCGGCGTCCGATGTGTACTGCAGAGGCTGTTCGTTGAAACTACCACTTGAGCCTCCCGCTTTTATCACCCTCGGCTGGCTTCACGATCGGTGTTTACAGGCCCTTGCTACTCTGACCCCCCAGGCCTCATGGGTTATGTTATCTCTCGAGTCTTATTGTACTGTTCCGAGGCCCGTGGTCGTAAGCACGCCCTACCGCCTAAACCTCCCTCCATCTGCCAAGCTTGTTGGGAAGGTCCGTTTGCTGCCCACCTCGGATTGCTTTGCAAGCGGAATCTTCTTTCTCTCTGGCCAGAATCTACGCACCCTCTCTGGCCGAACTTGTCGACACACTGGTGGGCCGGCGGCCGTTATTCATATTCAACATCCCGGGCACAGCTCGAGTGCGGCTCCGCTTCGGGCTGCGCGTGGTGTCAGCTACTCCTCCGTATTCTGCATTCTTCGGCACTACTTGGGATGACACACAAGCCTTTAAACGCCTCGTTGTCCATCGATGTGGGAAAAGACAGGTCCCCTCACTTATATGCTCTGTGTACACCAACCAACCTGCAGGCGCTCAGTGTGGTCATCGACGGCTTCAAACGGTACCGTTTCTCTAGGTGCGTGCACACAACCCCAGGTCTGTTCCCATTCGCTCTAGGCGCAGGACCGCAATTGACAAATACCACCAGATGACCCCGCAGCGTGGCATGTCATCACCCGAAGCCCTATCTTAGACGTTGGCTCCCCACATGCCTTCAATCTCGCAAGGGCATGCATCGACGAATGTGTCAAAGGACATCAACTGTGCTGCACAATCTCCTCCCTAGATCCTCTTCTCCCTACGCGGCTGGTCGACTGCACAGACCCTGGTCGCCCACGCCTGATCTTGACCGGGGAAAGACGTGGTACATACCTCGCCCTCAGCTATGTGTGGGGCGAGACTCAACCCCACCGTACTACCACGTCCAACCTATCGGTCTACACGGACGGGATTGCCCTCCCTCTCCTCCCCCAAACCCTCCGCGATGCCATCCGTGTCACATATTCCCTCGGCTTCCGGTACCTCTGGGTGGATAGCCTGTGCATCATCCAGGATTCAAGCGAGGACATGCGACATGAAATCGGGTGTATGCATCTCATCTACCGTCATGCATACCTCACCATCATCGCCGCCAGCTCGACGCGGGCCAGCTCGGGCTTCCTCCAACCACGACCGGCGGCACCACATGACATCGCTCTGCCTTTCATCTGTCCCTCACGTTCTTCTACATCCGGCGCGGGAGGCGATACAGCGGAGGTGGGCACGGTGCACCTCGCCGACGTGAACAGGGTTGTGCGATACAGCCACACGCAGGAGCCGATCAGCGCGCGGGGCTGGTGTCTGCAAGAGTACTACATGTCTTCCCGCGCGCTCATCTTCACGTCGGAAACAGTCCAGTTCAGGTGCCAAGCAGCCACACAGAACGTCGGGAACGCGTTCTACGATACAGAACAGGAGCAACGCTTGCCCCCTGTGCTCTTCCGCACGGATGCACGGCCCATAGAGCGCGACTCCGAGGAATGGTCCGCGGTACACAACGCTTGGTACAGGATCGTAGAAGACTACACTGGACGCACCGTCGGCAAGCCATCGGACAAACTCGTTGCGTGCGGTGCGATAGCGGAGGTGTTTCATCGCATCCGACGCGCAGAGGCCTTGGGATACCTGGCTGGCTTGTGGTACGACACGCTCCTCGAAGACCTGCTTTGGGGACGGCCTGATGGGGCTCCCTATTTGTGTCGTCCGCCGGGTTTTCGTGCCCCGTCATGGTCCTGGGCCACCGTGGATGGGCGGGTGTGGATGTTGGGGAACCTCTGGATGGGCCCGGGCAAGAGAGCCACTGCGGAGGTAATCCATGCGAAGGTAGACCTCAAAGACCCAGAGCTTCGATTTGGACAAGTGACCGGTGGGTTCGTCGTGTTGCGCGGGGCGATCATACCGTGTGGATTGTGTCCGTCCGGTGGAACCCTGCATGACATCCTACTGCCGCCTGTTCGATGGCCGGGAGCATGCTGCGGGCTCTTCGGTGGTCACGATCACGAAGTCGCACTTTCCAAGGCCGTGTCTATCGACCATGAGGCTGATGTAAATCAACAGACAGTATGGCTCGTCCCGCTCTTGCGGGAGGAGTTGTATAGGTCCATGGTGGGCCTTGTTGTCATACCCGTTGTACTGTCGAACGCCTGTGAAATGGCGAGTAAGAATGTGTATCGCAGGATTGGAATTTTCAGACTACCTAACTCTGCGGATGAGCTGTATTTCGACACATTGCCAGTAGTGGAGATGCAGCTTGTATGAACTTACTTTCTGAGTCTCTCACACATTATTCCAGCCTACACATACGCTAGTGACGTCGCGATTACGGTGTGTTGGTGTGCGAAGTGTCATGGAACGGTCCGTAACATGGTGACAATGCCGGTAGGCTTTACGGAGTAAACACACGTTGAACATCGGCATCGGTCGTCTCTTTCTCTGCCTATGTGAACATGGTGTCCGCACGAGCGGCAACACCTCGCAAACGTGGCCAAGTGCTGGGATTCGTATGGGACATTCAAAATAAGCCTGAGATGACCTGGATGGAGCGGTGTACAAGCCAATCGTGCCCACTCTGCGGGTGCGGGCGGCACGACCGTGAGTGGATATACAGCCCTCTGAGCTGCGACCTGAGCTGCGAGGGTCGGGAGGGCCAAGGATGATGGAGAGAACTCGGAGATGTGGATGAGCTTAAGTGTATAGATCGCCGGAGACGCCCAGGCTTGGAGGCTGGCTGCTGCGCCGAGTCCGGACATCGCCTCCACAACTTCCGCTTCTCGTCTCTCATCCCTTCCCTTCCACTCCCTCTCTCCCCCAGCACCCGTCCCTCGTTAACGCACACGGCCTCTCGTAGGCTCGACACCGTCGCCCATCATGATGACGCCTATGCGTTATGTGGTATTGGTGCTGGGCATCATTGTAAGCTCTCCGCGCAGTCCACTGCCTGCTGTTATATTGACTCTGGCCACGTAGATCAGCTTGCACTTCCTCCTCAGCTTCTCTCACGAGGAGTATGGCCGCGCGACCTCTCTCACCAACCTGTCAGAACACTTTGGCGGTGCCAAGACCCACCCGCCGTACCAGGACGGCGTTCCGGAGGACTACTACGTCACGCCGAACCCCTCGCCAAAAGGCAGACGGGCGAATGCTACCTTTGTCTTCTTGGCTCGCAACAGTGATCTCAGTGGTGTGGCCGTGAGCATGAAGCAAGTCGGTGAGTACGCCTCAGCAATGTGGTGACGGGTCGCGCCTCATGCGACTCCCAGAGGACCGTTTCAACAAGGAATTCCAGTACCCCTACGTGTTTTTGAACGAGGAACCCTTCTCAGAAGAATTCAAGGAGTGCGTATCTCGCCCCCTTGATTGGAGCCATTCCTAATGAACTCGTCCAGCCGTGTGCAAACCCTCACCGACTCCAAGATCGAATTTGGCCTCATCCCGAAGGAGGAATGGGTTCAGCCGGAATGGATAGACGAGGCCCGTGCCACCGCTGCGCGCAAGGACATGATGGAAAAGAACGTCATCTACGGTGGAAGCGTCCCCTACCGCAACATGTGTCGGTTCAACTCTGGCGTGAGTTACGAATGTCTCAGACACAGGCTGCTTGAATGCTGAAGAGCGTACAGTTCTTCTACAGACATGAGCTACTCGCCAAGTACAAGTACTACTGGCGTGTCGAGTGAGTGTGCATTGTTTTATTCCGCCGAATAACACTGATCCGGAAGCAGGCCTGACGTCAACTTCTTCTGTGATATTCACTACGACGTATGATTATCTTCATTGGCTCGTCTTGGCTTTTAGTTGATACGATGTCTTCTGTAGCCCCTGCTCTTCATGCAGGACGAGAAGAAGGTTTACGGTCAGTGCCGAAGTGTTGACCTATGTGCACGCCGCTGAACCCCGTCATCCTGCTTAGGCTTCACTGTGTCGCTCTATGAGTACCCGGCTACTATTCCGACCCTGTGGGACGCGGTCAAAGGTAGGATATACGCGTCAGATTTGAGGTCTGCATTGACTGACCTTGCTTTGCAGAGTTCACTGAGGCGAACCCTGAGCTCTTGCCGAAAGATAATGCCCAGAGATTCGTCTCTGACGATGGAGGCCAGACCTACAACAACTGCCACTGTACGTGCATCTAGCCATCGACTGGCTCCATGACTAACGTTCTGACTCGTGCAGTCTGGAGTAACTTCGAGATCGGTGACCTTGACTTCTGGCGCGGCGAGGCTTACACAAAGTTCTTCGACTTCCTCGACAAGAAGGGCGGCTTTTACTACGAGGTACGGATATCCCACACTCCCTCCACAGTGGATTGGCGTGCTGATACTTCGGCACCGCAGCGGTGGGGCGACGCGCCAGTACACAGCATTGGCGCCGCGCTGTTCGCAAAGAAGGACCAGATCCACTTCTTCAACGACATCGGTGCGTAGTCCTCTGCTTTCCGCCGGTCGTTGCCTGGTCACCGACAGATCGCTGATCCCGGGCATCGACAGGATACCGGCACAACCCCTTCCAACACTGCCCACAAGGCGAGGCGCACAAGAAGGGCAAGTGCTGGTGCGACCCGAAGGACAACTTCGGTGAGTGTGGCCGACATGTCCAGGGTGTTCCGTCCGAGGCTGACATTACGATATTACTACAGATTACGAGTGGTACAGTTGCCTCAAGCGCTACGACGGTCTGTTCAATTGAGCCTCCGGCCTGTGGTCCTTGTATATCCTCCTTTCCCGTACAGTATTTATCTCCGCGTACCCTCTGTACCAGGCGTCTGTTGGTCATACACGACGAAGCAATGCTCGAGATTCCTCGAGATACAAAACTCTGCTTCGAGCCTGCGTGCAGTACAGAATGCGGCCAGTATTGTGCGGACACGAGCACCTCGTAAGCCCTCGACGTGCTATAGGATGGACTGCGAGTAATACTGGAACTGTTATCCGTGCGCAAAACTGTGTCAACAGGCGTCGTTTCGTGGTAGACAATATCACAAGAACTTACGGAGTCGTATAGTCTTGTCCAGTTTGACCCTAGCGACGCGTCGATGAGCCGCTGGACGTGCTCCTCGACAGCAGCCTGCGTGAGGCCCTGCTGGAAGCGGTCTCGCAACATCGATGCCGTCTGCTCGCCGAACGCGACGAAGCACGGCAACCCCGAGTCCTTCTGCATGAGTTCCACCAGCGCTACGAGAAACCCGCCGTCAACTTTCCAAATATCAGCACAGACGACGGCTAGAATCCACTCACTGACGATACGATCGCAATGCTTGCGCGCGGCGTCGAAGCCCTCGCGGAAGAGCTTGCGGAACTCGCGATATGCAGGTGCGTCGAGCCCACCGAGGACCTCGATGTACTCGAGCGGGAGCTTGAACGGCGCGGCCTCGAAGCCGATGTTGCCCGGGGAGTTCGCGAGCATGAACCCAAAGTCGATGTGGATGAGGTGCCCGTCGCGGTCGAGCAGGATGTTCCCGTTGTGCCGGTCCTTGATCTGCAGCAGATGCGTCACGAGCGAGTACCCCGCGAGCGATTTCGCAAAGTTGCGTTGTGCGCGCGCGAACTTCGCCGACGACGGGTCACCGTACGTCTTGTGTAACGTGTGAGCACGGACGGACGCGGAGTAACGTGATAAAGCTTACCGTCTTGAAGTGATCGAGGAGGGTGACGTGCCCGAACCGGCCCTCTGCGAGTCTCCGCGCGTACTCGGCTTTCTTGATGGAGTGTATTGAGACGGCGTCGGTGATCGTCTCGACAAGCCCGGACGAGTTGCCCGTGATGAGGATGCGGAAGCTGGAGGCAGACCGCATGTCGGCGACCAAGAGGCTTGCACGGACAGGTCGACTCACTAGCGCACCCAACACTGGCAGTTCTCGTCCTTCCATATCTTCTCAAACTCCTGTATGAGTTGCACCGCAAGCTGTTCTTGTCGCAGGTCACCGCCAGTCTTGACGATGACGGACACGCAATCCCAGTTGGCTGCACCAAACGTGTCAGGTAACGAACGATCGGGAGTCCACTGAAAATGGCTTACCGAGATGGCCGTACGGCGACGCCTGTCGTACTCGAGCCTGACAAACGCGTGCTCAGCCCTCGTCTGCGGACTGCACGCACCGCGCCAGGACAAACCTTCTTCGCAGCCCACGACTCGCTGAACACCACGGCGGATGGGTCCGCCTTGCTCAGCTCCCGCCGGATGATGCCCTCGTCTTCCGCCGTCTTCATGTCCCCGTTCGCAGTACTGATCTGCACCGAGGCCTCGTTCACGCCGTTCTCGCGCATCCGCGCCATCCGCTCCTCCTCCAGCGCCAGCATCTCCTCCATGATGCGGTCCCGGATCGCCGCTGCCTCAGACGCCTGCAGCTTCATCCGTAACACCTCCGTGGCCGCCCCGGGACCGGGTGGTGGCGCGATGCCGTTGGCAGGCACGCCCGTGATCCAGCTCGTTCCGGGAAGCCAACGTAGGGGCGCGCCGAGCATGGAGGTCTCAGGTGGGGGAGCAGGCATCCCCGGGGCGGTGACAGCGGTGACAGGTTCCCGTACGAGGCTCGCGTTCAGCTGCGCGAGCATGACCGCCGCCGTTCGCATTCGCTCGGAGTACTCGTCCAACGACAGCACGCGCGTCGGAGGCACCGCTGGCTGGCTTTGCTGACGCAGCATGGGGGTACTTGGGCCACTCAGAGGGGGCCGTAGGACAGAAGAGGGTATACTGAGGCCGAGGGAAGGGGTATGCGAGCTGCCGAACGGGTCGTGCCTGTCGAGGAGGGGGGTGTCGGGGTTCGAAGATGTCCGCGACCACGTCACCATGTCAAGTTCCTTGTTCTTCGGCGGAGGAGGTAGGACGATGGAGTCGGAGATGTCGATCTCGTTCGCGCGGAGGGAGCTCTCCGTGCCGTAGAGCTGCTCTACGAGATCTATCTCTTCCTCTTCCGTTGGTGAAGGAGAGAGTACTGAAGGCGACGCGACAGGTGCTTCGAGCGCGGATGATGGTTCTGCGTCGTCCCCAGCGTCGTTGCCCAGAGCTGCCTCAGATCCGTTCACCTGGTCAGGGATGATCACGGAAGGCCGCGGATGAGCCTCGCTCTTGGTGAAGGATACGAGGTCTCTTGACGTCCCCTTCGCCTCGCTCTCCTTCACCACTATCCTCTTGAGAATCTCCTTGTTCGCCCGTTTGCCGGGGTCGAAGTCTAGATCTCCGTGGAGAATCTCGACGAGTAATAGATATGGCGCACGCTCAGCTGAGTTGAGCACGACGCTTTCACCCGGAGGTATTCGCACAATCCGGTGGTGCGGTTGCGGGATTGATTGTGGTGGTTCAACTGTGTCAGAGGACGTACACCACATCGGCATGCAAATCTGGCCACGGCGCAATATCAGTGACTGGTACAGACTTCGCAACCCGCTACGCATGAACTGACCTCGGCCGGTAGCATGTGGTTAAGGCCCGTCAGCTCTGCTCTTAGGGCGCTGACACGAGCGGGTTTAGGCACGACCAACAGCTTGTGGCAGATGTTTTCCAGAGCCAAAATAAATTGTACCTGTATGCACGCTCAATTCAGAGCTCGTGAGCTGGCATACACTAAACGCACCTCTGAGCTACAATAATGGGAGCGCAACATATGCATCTGGGAAGCAAAATCATACTTCTGCAGCAGCAGCTCTGCTTTCGGAAGACTGCTTGGTCTGTACGGGTGTCGCGAGGGGAAAGATGGAGTGGATTGGAACGGCGACGCGGCGGTAGTGACCGGTTTGGGCGGCGCATCCTCCTGTCCGAAGGGATCTTCTGACAGACGAGGTCGCCTAATGTCACGTAAATGAAGCGGAAGCGCTGGGCTTGTCTGCGCGGCGATGGTCTGCCTTCGAGAGGTTGATCGCGAAGGGATAGCAGACAGTGTGCGAGAGTCATTGCGTTCTGCGTGCCCTTGTGAGGGCCCTTCGCCGCTGGGGTCCGGGGAATCGACGGAGTCCTCGTCTTCGCCCAGGCTTTCCCCGGTGGACTGTATGGAAACGGTCCGGACGATACCATCCTCGTCATTCCGCTCTATACTTTTGATATCTTGACCCTGCTCATCGATACTGCCTTGCTCGATCGCAACCGGACCCATGATTTGAGTAAGTGGAGGCATACCAGGTACGCCTGCCAAGACCATCCCAATGCCGACCAAAGCGGGTTCTACATGCGGCCATACCTTCCTCCGCAGAGGTCGGAGTTGCGACGGGAGACTGAGCGCGGAGTAGGGGGTGGAATGGTCAGGGAGGTCGCCGAAGACAATCTCATGGCACTCGTGAATGACCCGTTGGCATATGAGGAAGGAAACGGGATTCGAGCGAGGTTGAGTGAGGTCCTTGAGGTATGCTTGCATATACCATAGGGTCTAGTCCGTTCAGTACACGAATACTAGCACGAACCACACAGAGACGCACCAGCATAGCAATATGTGTGGACTTGTGGGAGATCTCGACCACGAAGCTTTCCAAAGCTTTAGACCGGGACGGTCTTGTTACGAGAAGATGGCTGACATGTGCATATGTCAGGTCCAAATTCTACGGTTTCTGCTGCGTACGTGATCACCATATGAAGCCCCATACTTCGCGGAGGTCCTGGGTATCGAGTTCTCTGAGGCGCCTGGTGAGGTAGTACGTGATTCCGATGTTGTCCGCATAGATCCTGAGATATTGGAGGGCAACATGAACAGAAAAGAAGGACGGCGAAAGGAAGAGACGGAGAAGGAGGGCATGCGACATGAGGGGAGAAACAGAGGTGGCCGCTGTGAGCAAGAGGCTTGAGTGTTGCTTCAGTGGTGGACGCGAGTCCGCGACGTGCATCCAGATCCCGTTGCCCGATCTCAGATTCCCCGGACGCGCCGCCCTGCCACAGGCGCTTATTGCATCTCTCCCGCTCCCCTGCTCGAATCGACTCGCCCACCGCGGCCCTCGCTCTCCGCACCGTCCAGCGACGCTGCACATGTCCCTGGGAGCTCCTACCATCTGGTACACTACTTGCTTCTTTTAGACCGCGCATATCTACCAGCCCTGGCATCTGCTGCGCTGAGCTTCACACACTTGAGAGACTTGGGCCGCGCACTGCATGGAACCGTTCACCTATGCGTCCCTCGCGCAGATCCGAGTCCTTCTCTTACCCATCGGGAACATTCGACGTTCGACGTTTGAGACATGGGCGCAGGATATCAGGAGTATCGACAATGTCCAGCTGGGGGACATAACAACAGACGTCAAGGACGAGAGGTGTACGTCCGGCGCACGCTCTCCCCCTCGTTAGCCAGGCTGACTTTCGTATAGCTCGCTTTATGCCCAATCACCAGCTAGCGAGTGGATATCTGCACCTGACCTATCCTTCTCACCCGCCGCCGGAGTCTCATACGCCTCTGTCCCTCTTCCGAACTTCTGACTTTCCGCTCGTCGTGATCGGCATTGCATCATGCGGCGACAACGATTCACTGGCTACAATCCTCACCCAGTTTCAGACCTCATTACACGAGGTATTCCCGCACGAGTCTTTGTTCCCTCTCGCGAGCAATTGCTTCGTCTTCGAAGAAAGCGACAGTACTACGAATATCAATCTCGGAGACAGCTTTCCTGGATTAGTCGTAATCCCGAACGTCATGGGCCACAAGAAGACGTACGTCGGCACACTCATTGCTGACCTATGTTCCAAAGTACTCGTGGAACTTGCAACAGTGGTTCGTCCAGTATCCTTCGACGCTCGTGGCCAACGTTTTTGAAAGTGTGGTACAGATGCAAACCTTGGAGAGTCCTCTCGGCAACGAATACCTGAATGCCACGCTCTTCCCGATGTTGCCTCCCGCATCGGAACTCCCGCGGTCACTCGACGATGAGCCGAGACGGGACTCTATGCCTTTGCTCCCTTCGCACAACAGCCAGCCGGAGTTAACTTCTCCTGCATTAAGATCGAAGAGCCCCCTTGGCCTTAAAAGGCACTCAACTATGGGACCGAGCCTGCTTCCGAGCCGACATGCAAGTCTGCCTATGAGTCCCGCTCTGCCGAAGAAGCGTCCTACTACGATCGGTGCTGCTTCGTCCCACGGTCGGCTGTTCAAGGTCCTCGCAGATTTCTTCTTACTGGCCGGTCGACTAGAGGAGGCCACTATCTGGTAAATCATCTACTTTGACTGTGTATCGTAAGCATTTCTTATGCGTCTCGCTTTAGGTATACCGAGGCCATCGTGCTATTCAAAAACCCTCATGACGCACCATGGCATGCGTCTGCTTTAGAAGGCCTCGCCACCATCCCGGTCGTAGAAGCGTGGGCTTCCACTCATGGCGTAGTGCGTACTTTGTGAATCGTGTTGCAAGAATTACTGAATGAAAACTCTACCTGTGCAGAACGGCACAGCGGGCGACAAGGATCCTTGGGCGGACCTCGCGGACAAGCTCACCCAAGCTACTGCACTGTATCAGAAGGCCAACCCCACAACCGAACCTGAGGCCTCACTTTCTCTTCTTTCGTATCTTTATTGCTCTTCAGTCTTCCGCCATAGTACACTGCTCTACTCAGCTTGGTCTTCAAAGGGGTGGGGTCCTCTAGCGTTCACCGCCATGATCAGGCCTGGTCCATCGCCATTCCTCCCGGCGACACTCTCCAATAATGCAAGCCCGACATCGGCGTCTAGTGCACGAAATACCTTCGCTGCGCTCGAACGTCTCACCTCCATCACAGGAATCAGCCGTGCGCAAATCGCTGCTTCGCTCACGCAAGCCCATGGACCATGGCTTCTGCACCTGGACGCGAGGGAGCGCGTCCGCGCTCTGCAGTACATTGCCGCAATGTTCGGTTCCTTGGGTTTCGTACGAAAGGAGGCGTACGTCCTTCGCGAGGTGCTCGGGTGCATTATGGACTTGGTCGTGTGCGGGCGGGACGAGCGAAGTGCTGGTAGCGCCCGGGTGCTCAGTGCTGGTCTGACGGCGCGGAACTCGTTGACTGGGACAGCAGCGCAGGGTACGGTAGGTATCAGGGAGAACGAGCGGACAGAGGGCAACGACAGCATTCTGCGTCTTGTGAAGCACGTCTGTAGAGTGCACGGCGTCGATCTCGAGGCCGTGAAACTGTTGGACGTCAACACCCCGAATCGCGATAGCCAGCAGTCGCAAGTCTCTGAAGAGGCAGAGGTCGACGAAGAACTTCTGCGATCGACACAGGAGCCCTTTGGATGGCCCGAGTTGCAAATAGGGATCATTCGCGAGGCGATTGCGGTGGCCGAGGCGCTCCCAGGTATGACGTGTTCACTTGGCAGGATGTAAATCTGCTCTAACATTTTACAGACTACCCTGCGGTGGCTCAGTTCTCGTTATCGTCTCTAAAGTTGTTGCATCCTGTGATGAGCCCTGGCGACCAGCACCACCTGTACAGCACTGCGTCGAGGGCACTGTTAACGGCAAAGCGGAGAGGGGAAAGACGTGCGGTTGATTATTGGTCAGGCAAACCTGTTGTCAGCATCGAGATTCTACCGTATGTACCACGGCTCCCGCTCTCCCTCATAACCTGACGCATGTGTGACCCAGATTGCCTCTTGTACGACTGCCCATCGAGAAGCCCCTCTCCATTCTGTCACAATCTGTCGCGGGGACGACTGCCATCCTCACTGGCGTGAAGGATCCGTTTTTGTACAACCCGCGGAAGTTAATGTCAGGACAGGTCACGCCCTTCCAGTCCCTTCTATCCTTGGTCTTGAAACTGACACTATTACTCTAGGCCAAGACAGTTCTCGTGCAAAACGAGCCGTTTGAGCTAGTCGTCACGCTACAGAATCCCTACGTATTTGATCTCGACTTGCAAAGCCTACAGCTCAGGTGCGTTTTGGTGCTGGTGGTGAGTGTAACTATCGGGCTGAAAAATACGGCTTTCCAGTACATCCGGCGTACCATTCGTTTCAAAGGCATCCCCTGTGGTCGTCCCTGCAAACTCGTTTCATCCTGTAACCATCTCAGGCCGAGCGCTAGAACCTGGAACACTCATCGTTCGGGGATGTATTGTGCAAGCACCGGGCGGTGTTTCCCACGAGTTTGTCTTGCCTTTATCGACAGACGAAGAAGAAGAGCGGCGGTCAGGACGACGCAGCGCGATCGAGTGCGAAGCAGGTCGGTCAAAGCATGCGGGGCTCGACTCGCGGCCGTGGGAGCGATTGAGCAAGAGGGCAAGCACGCAGCCTGGGGCCCCTACGACGTCCACGACAACGAAGAAGGCGATTCGATACTTAGAATGCAAGGTCGTGCCCGAGCAGCCGTTATTGCGGATCAGGCGGACATCGCTCACGCACGGCGCGGTTATGCTGTACAACGGCGAAATGTGGGTTGTAGTCTTGTCTGAGTGGGCGACGTGGGCTGATGTTATTTGTAGGTCGACTATTCGCATTACCCTGGAGAACGTGTCATCATTGCCCGTCGACCTCATCCGGTTAACATTCGACGACTCTACGATTGCACCTGCACAGCAGGCTCTTGCTGATGGCGACCTCTCTGTCTTTGACACTTACGAGACCGAGTACGACCTGGTCCACCGACCTGTGTTCACCTGGGATAGCGAGCACGAGCCGCACGAGATTAAACCTGGTCAGAAGAGGGTGATCACCGTTAATTGCTTTGGAAAGGTTGGGTGGTCAGTAGTCTCGAATGCAATGTGTGTATATGTAACCCCCGCTAATTGTCCAACAGCACGAGCGGCGCCATCCACGCAGCTTACGCCTACGTGCATAGGCCGTCAGAGGGTCTGCAGGAGCCGCCAGAGGTGTTCTACACGCGGCAGCTATCCTATCCGGTGCTGGTCACGGTGTACCACATGCTGGAGTGCCAGGCGATGGACATATTGTCTTACACGGGTACTACTACGACGACGTCCTCGGACGACGGCGCCGACGAAGTCACGTTAGAGGCGAAGACGCGGACGTCGTTGCTGCATGTAGGCGAGATCGCAGACTGGTGCATATTCTCCATCGAAGTGCGGAATACGTACGGGCTGCCCTTTGAGGTGACTTTCGAGCGCAATCAAGAAGGCGAGTTTTCTACTCTTCCTTTACAGGGAGCCAAATCTGACGAACATGGCACGCTTACAGGGGTCGAGCATGCGTCTGTAACGTCTCTGGTGCCTCCTGGCTCTACTTCGCGGTACGTCTCCCTTGATATCGTTTTCTTTTGGTAGTTCTCATCGTGCTGTTGCATCAGGATCGTTCTGCCAGTGAAGAAGATCTCACTAACGGAGGAGCATGTATCGCGTCCGATACCCATGCTTTCGGATCGACAATATGTCGTCACGGCATCCAACCTCACGGCAGCTCAAGAGCGCGCTCAACGCGAGTTGTTTTGGTACCGAGAAGAGCTCTTCAAGGGAGTGCGTGGACGATGGCGCGAGGTGCGTTTCCCCCAACGTTGTTTTGGGTACGCGTCTGACCTGCTCCCGACAGACTGGTGGTACTCGCGCTGGTGACCTCTCACTCCGGCAGCAAAGAATGACTCTCCCTATGCTGGAATCCCTCCGCGTAGAGACCGCACGAGTGCGGATGACTCTGGTACAATACGACGAAGAGGGCAATGCGCAGAATGTGCCAGTCGACCCGGCGGGAAGCAAGTACCTCCCTCGGCCAAATGAGTTCGTGTACCTGATAACATCTATCACGAACCTTTCTCGTGAGTCTTTTGTTATCGCGCTGCTGCCAGTAATCTTATATGATCCTTTTCACAGCCTCAGAGCTCGTCCTCACTCTCAACATGACACTGGAACCGTCTGAACACGTCGTATACCAAGGCGAGCTCCAGGACATACCCATCGGCCGGCTAGCGAAGGGCGAGTCCTACGAGGTCGAAACGCCAGTGGCGTTCGTCGCCTGCGGACGGTTCGACTTCTCTGCGGAGGTGCGCGCGCTCGAGCGGCCGCGGGGGTCGAATCTCGTCGGGTACGGCAAGATGTGCATAGCAGTCAGCGAGCCATAGCATACAGTGGGCGGTTTCTTGCACACATAGGTGTCCGGTCCTCGCCTTGTAGGGGGTATTGAGCACATAGATATCACGACAGACGGATAATAGTACGATAGTGTACAACGCCTCTGCGAGGTGTAGCGTAGTAATATTGTCCAGTTGTCCCGGGTCGGATGTATATACCATTAGTCGAAATCCGAACTCGCTTCTGTGAACGTTGCGCTGTACGCCAGGATCGTCCCGTACACAAGACTGCATATGGGTCAGAAGGGAGCAAGGCGCGAAGCTAGGAGAAGGACATACGCTCCGCCAGCAATGGACATCGCGCACGCGCCAGGGGCAATGACTTCGGAGTGCGCGAGCACCAGGGGCAGCGCGAAGCCCGTGACGACGACAAACGCGGTGATGAATCGGCCGAGATCCACAGGCCCTGACCCGTCGTACTCCGTCGAGAAGTCGTCGCCGCCGCAGCGAGAGAACATGGCATTTGGGAGGGGTGCCACCACGAAGGTCAAGGCTGCGGGTGCCGAGGTTCAGGTCCGGGCCGCGAACCACCCATACGAGTTAAGCGACTCACCGACGAGGAGCGGCAGCCAGTTGCCCCATAGCGCACACGACAGGATGATGAGGAGGAACCCCACTGCCAGCACAAACGAGAGCAGGATGACCGCTGGGATACGCGTTTGAGTACACGCCAGAAGGCAGTCCCAGAGGAAGGTATACCAACTTTTGATGCCTGCGTGAGCCATGGTGGAGGTATTCCCGGACGACAGCAAGAATTTACACGGAGGACGTCGTGGACGGAGGAGGCAGCACTGTGCACGACGCCCGGCTCGATGAGCGCAGTTCACGACACAGCGGCACAGCAGTGCTGACGTAATCACGCGTCGAGGATGAGGAAGCCTTCCGTTTGTGGACGGCCATACCGCGGCGCGTTGGGATTGTCTTCCACCTCTCAACATGAGGCTGTTTTAGAAGCCAAGTCGATCCCACGGATTTTTTGAATCGACCATGCGCTAGCTTTGTGCTCTGCGCACGAACGTCACGCTACATTTCAAGCTTTTACAGGCCCAATTCAGTGGAAATTAAAGAGTAAAAAGTGGTTCGATCCGGGCTCGAACCGGAGGCCTCCTGTGCGCACGTGACATTACGTCATCATCATGTGAGACAGACGTGATAACCAACTACACCATCGAACCATACTGGTGTGTGGCGGATTACATAATCCAGAAATTCTGTAACATTCGAGTACAGGGCCTTTCAAGCTCGCAAGTACATACTTACCAGTACTTGCGACTCGGCGCGGGATAGTCAGTTCCACGATAGATCTTGGCTGGTAGAAGAGCGACGCGATTGATTACAGTATGAATACAATACATCCTGCACTAGCGACAACTGTAACGACGACATAGAGATACATTTACATAGCAGGTGCATGCATAGATAACACGACAACTCTATTCCCAACGATTAGGAGGATCCAATAACGAAACAGCCGTCCGGTTCACCAGCCCGTCCAACGCGCACTGTCTTCTTCCACATTTCCCTCATACCTCCTATCGGGCCTACGCCTACCACGATACGCTCAGGCTGTAGCCTGCCTCGTCGGGGTCGGAGCGGGAACCGCGCCCGCTGCCTGCATGGCAGCGAGATTCGCCTTCAGCGATTTCTGCACCGGGACCCGGCCCTCCTCAGGCACCTCCTCGTGGACGTCGAACGTCACCCCCGGGCGCCGCCGCCGCGGCTTCCCGCGCATCTGCTGCTCGTACTCCTCCCGGTTGCGCCATTCCTGCGCGGCAGTCATGGGGTCTCGGAGCGGGGGCGAGGGACGCCCCGCCGTGGAGCTCCTCGTCGACTCTCCGCCGGTCAGCATCGCGTTGATCTACGCCAGGAACCCGTCAGTCGTCACACGCGTGAACGTGGGGTACGACGGAAATGACTCACCACCGTACCGTCGACCGCGTCCAGGGACGCAGTGGAGACTGTGTGGTGCCGTTTGGCCACCAAACGGAAGGGCGTGAACATCTTTCCGTTCGGGCTGCGTCTCCCATGGATAGGGGTTGGTGCTGCAACGGGCATCTGGGGAGCAGTGTTCTCCCGTCGCGCTTGTGCGGGCGCGGGGATGGAGACAGCGGCAATAGCTACCTGGGGAGCGGGGGCACCAGGCGGCGGCTTAACGGAAACGTGGGCGGCTTGCATCTGCGCCAGGGGCTGGGTGGGCTGCGAGACGTTGCGCTGACGTTTCTCCCGAATGGCTGCGGAAGGAGGCGGCTCGACCTCCCGTGGCTTGGGCGGAGAAGACCTTGAGCGGAAGAGGCTCAGGCCACGGCCGAGTAGGCCCAGCTTCTTCGAGTCTTTCTCCTTCTCCTTGGTCGACGACTTCGAGGTCGTACGGTCCAAGGGTACTGGGGACGATACTGCAGGAAGCATGGAGGGCGCTAGGGACGACGGCGTGAGGAGCACATCAGGGGCCTGGAGAGCAGCATTCGCCATCGGCTTCGCGTGTGAGTGCCCCCGAGACGGCAAGCTACCAGAAGGATACGCTGAGTTGGGCGCTCTGCCCGTATACTGAGGATCGGATACAGTGCGCGAATGAGCTGACGGGAACGGAGGGGGATTGGGAGCCGGGGCTGGGTACGTCTGGTTGCGCGTTGGCTGTGGGGGTGGAGGGTGCAGCGATGGAGCTTTGCCGGCGGGAGAGGAGACGGCGGTAAGACGTGTAGGCCTGACCGTCGGCGCTGGCGATGGCGCAGAACGAGGCGGAACACGCTGGTTAGGCACGGGCATCGTGGTGGCGGTCGGGGGTGCGGAGTGGGGCGGCTCCTGTGCCCGATACCCGTAGTCGGTAGGTTGGGCCGTACGGGACTGGTAGGCCGTCGGGCGGCCATACTGGTCGTAAGAGGTCGTCTGAGTCTGGGTGCTGTAGGATTGCGAATAGTTGGCCGAGTTTCCATTAGGAGCTGACTGAGGCTGGGTGGGGTATCCCGGAGGGGCGGGCGAACGGTATCTAGCGGGCTCGGGGTATCCTGAGGAAACGTTAGGCTGACGGGAAGCCGGGGCATTATCAAGTCGTGAAGCGGCGTTAGATTGTAGGTTGATTACACTGTTGCGATGAGGAAGCTGTTGCTGGAAGGTACTGGCGGGAGACGGTTTCGTCGGGGCGGCATGAGTAATCGTATCGTTCGAGCCATTGCGGTGCGAAGAGTGCAGACGACCGGAGGGTGAATGCTTCGGCGTGCCCGCCGCGGAGCCGACAGATACAGCGTGGCCGATCGCAGGAGAGCGCCCAGGATCGGTGAGATGGTGTCGCGAGGGCGAGTGACCCGCGGTCTGGCTGGAAGCGTAGGCATATGGAGTATCGCCAGCAAGCTGCGCCGCCGATTGATCGTAGCGCGGGGAAGGTTGGTGACCGGACGGATCCCTTCCATGAGTACCGTGGCCCTGCGATCGAGTCCCCGCTGTGTCTTGCGTGATTGTCGCCACCGAAGGGGGCTTGGGCGATCGTGTGTCGTGTGTTGGTGCACCGTGATAATTAGAAGGGTTGACGTGGACAGAGGGCGTCGGTGCGGGAGCCGAGGCACCTGGATAGGTCAAGTTCCGCTTCGGAGACGCAGATGAATACCCTTGGCCCGCGGCAGCGGTGGTCCGCGAAGTGGTCGCCTGTGTAAGAGGGTTGTAGGCCGCCGCAACATGCTGATTTCCGTATCCTCCCGGACCACCAGCACCCGCGGTGTCCTCGTATACCGGGAATCTGGAAGACGTGTCCTGGGAAGCTCCCTTGGCATGGGCAGATGCATGAGGCGCGGGGCTAGCGAGGATGCGATGGAGGTCCGAGACGCCATATTGCTGAGTTGCGCCTGGACCGGCAGTGGCAGCACGGTACGGGTCCGATTGAGGGTGTTGCACGGAGGGGTGTAGGTGTGAATATGACGCCTGCTGTGCATTCGCTGAGTTGGCGTGCGACTGATTCGCAGCGTGTGTAGGTGCCGGAGTGGAACGCGCGCGAGAATCGTGTGACGCCTGCAAATGCTGTCCAGAAACCACCCCGTGTTGAGAGACACCTACAGTCTGCCTTGAAGAGTACGGATCCTGCTGCGTGGGGGCAGCTGACGGAGGCCGCACCACGACGTCCGGTAGTGCAGCCTGCTGGCTTCCATGCCCTGTTGCAGAAGTCACCCCATTGGGCTCCGCGTGCCGTGAGTACGAAGCTGCATTAGGATAGCCTTGCACTGATTGCTGATACGAGCTGGGCACGCCTGCGTTGACGGAAGAATGTTGCTGGGCCCGAGAACCATCCGGATGCATGGAAGGATGAGGTGCCGTCTGCAGCCCGGTGTCTTGAGAACGCCCAGCTGACTGCTGATAGTACTGCGCTGCAGGCTGCGAACGAGAGTCGTAGGCCTGAGGGTCGCCCTGGCGGTTCACGGACGTCGCGCTATGATTCTTCGGGAGTAAGGTGCCAGTGTGCGAGTCGGACGGACCCTGCCCAGCGCGAATGCTGACTATTTGAGGCGGAGGACGAGATGAGGTCAGACCTACGTGAGAAGTAGGCTTGCCTGTGTACGACACACCGGACTGCATAGGCACAGTATCATGAGAGACGGCGGCCGGTGGACGATGTGGGGAGTCTGCCGAGGTTGTAGGCTGCTTCGTTCCTGAAACATCTCGCTGATGCTGTGTTAATATGAGTAACAGCACGTATGCCGTCGCAATAGGCCCTTACCCGTGAGTACCATGCATCCGCGATTTCCTGACTCGAGGTAGGACCAGGAGGGCCCTCAGCCGCGGTAGTCCTTGATTTGTGACGAGAGGATTCTCTGTGTTTGCGCTAAGAGACACGAGTTAGCACGCTTGTACATATGAAGCATAAGAGCCACTTACGCGCTCCTTCTGAACGGCAGGAGCCCTTTCGTTCTCACTTCCGGATGGGCCGGAAGATTGGCCACGTCCAAGGGTGCTGGCCTGCTCCCGACTCACGTAACGCCTATCAGGCACCTTGGTCTGAAACGCATGATGAGTTTGGACGTGCGGAAATGACAACGTCATGCGCTTACTCGCTCCATGCCCGAATGCTCCTGCTCGCTGCTGGAGATGCCAGAATCTTGACCGGCTTGCTGCGCAAGAACGTGATGGCGCTGGGAGCGAGGAGCCTTCGAGGATGACCTCTCGCGTCTGTGGCCAGGAGGTGGAATCGGTAGCGGTGCATCTTCTCTGTCGGACGCGGAAGGATATCCTGCGTCAAGTGCAGCTTGAACGGATGCTGCCCGCCCGCCAGCTGTAAGACCTGTCCAAGGCAGGACAGTAGCGGTCGCTGGAGGAGCAGCCTGCGGTGTTTGGGTTAGCGTGCGTAGTTGTTCCTGTCCGAAGTTTAACTTATCGCAGACACACACAGAGCGCAGCATGCATACCTGATATCCCGCGGGTAGCCTGTCAGTAGATCTCTGTGCAGAAGCTGGTGGTTGAGTGTATGCTTGTCGGATACTGGCGGCATCGGGTGCTCTGCGGTCGGCTGGGACATCTCGATGTCTGGACCTATCTTTCTCCCTATGCCTGTCTCGATCTTTGGATGACCGCTCCTTCTCCCGTGCGGCCTCCTTCTCCTTCCGCCGCCTCCTTTCCCGATCATCACTCCTCTCGGATGCGTAGTCTCTCAGGCTGAGTTTCTCGACGTCGCGTCTGCTGGACTTTTCCCTATCCTTCGTGCGCTCGCGATGGTGCCGAGAGGACGAAGTGGGGTCCCGGCTGGTCTGATCAGGAGGAATTGCGTAGTAGTTCGTAGATGCGGGAGGTTGTGCATATGTGGTTGCGGTCGCGTAATCGTAACGAGAAGGATACGCAGAGCGGGGCGCCGGCGCGTCGTCGGGGGCAGGGACTTTCTCGTTCGAGGACCGAGGGCTTCGTTTGTCGGTCCTCTTCTTGATGTACGCGCGGAGGACGTAAGCGTCCGAGTGTGCATCGGGAGTTCGGGACGTCGTCGAAGGGTGCAGTGATGGCGGAACGGCATACTGCGGCTGTTGTGCTGTGGACGACCTATCCTTGCTGGAGGACTTGTGGCTGGAGTGCGCCGCTGGGTCTGAGGGATCGGTTCGCCGAGAGCTGCGGTGTTTCCTCGAGCTCTCTGGGGGCGCGGCCTGGTCTACGTTGTGGCGCTGTGTGGTAGCCATTGTCTGGCGAGGTCTGTCAGAGTCAGAGTCGGGCCAGAGGCCGTAGGCGTCCTTGCGGGAAGAGGTCGCGGTGCGCTGACGGGTAGACATGACAGAGCATGTGGGTGGACGAGGAAGAAAGAGCCCGAGTCGGCTCTAGGACCGATTTTAATATGGGGGGTGTGGCCGGAGAAGAATGGAGAGGGAAAGCAAGGGGGATGGCCATGAGGCGGGAGAGGCATCCGGCCTTGTTCAACCAGAATTCCACTTGCGGTCGGTTACGTACCGCCACTTGGACTCCCTCCAACGCCGGGCTCCCACCCTCTTCATTTCGTTTCCCCGTCTGTCCGTAGTCCGTCAGTGCGATCAACGTCGCCGTCGCCCAGCAACACTCGTCGGGCTTCTTCCTGCGCTCAGTGCCCACCACAGATCCTCAGCAGCGAGTACAAACAGAGGCGGGCTTTGTCCGCTAGCAGTGGCCATCTCTCACCGCCCCGCGAGCCAAGCACACCTGGGGATCACAACGAGGCGCGTTGGGCGAACCGAGTAGTAGTAGAACAACAGAAAATGCGATTGCACAGCACGGCTGGCTACATGTACCAATGTACAAACACAAGTAATGTATGCGATGTTGACGAATGTATGCACAGAGCACCGTATGACTGCGCCTTCTGGAGACGGCGCAATCTAATATAAGTAGCTCTGGCGGTACCGCAGGGCACGAGGGGAAACCCCGACCGACCGACTCAAAAACAGAGTCGGCCAGCAACCGCACCCAAGTGGCCTGTTCTTACACGATTTTGACTCATTACAGGACAGTAGACAGCGGAAAGGCTGGTGGAGGCCAAGAAGGCCTCCCTGTCGAGACAATTTAAGGATCGTGTGGGATGAGGAAACAAAGAGAACAGAGTTTCGTAAAGAGCCAGCAGACAGAAAACAGACGGGAAGACTCTGCAGGGAGGAGGCTTCTTGCATGCTTTCAGCCAGCTGGCCAGGAAGCTGCTGCGTGTCGCGACGCGCAGATGCGCCCGAGGACGTCGAGGGAGAGAGACAAAATTGCAAATCAGCCTGCGGCAGAGGCGCGCTTTATACGCATGACTAAGAAGGGAAATATATTCCCACGGGTTCCCGGCCAGAATCTCGCCCGCACGCGGAGGCACGACCAGTGCACCTCCCATTGCGTATCACCTGCGTTCCTGCTGCCTCCACCCGCTCCTGCGAACGTTCTTTCGCAGCAGAGCATCCCTCGCAACCACAGAGGACAGAAGACAACTATCGCAACTTTGTCTGCCATGGTGGGTGGCGTGTGCACGCCGGTGTTTGCGCGAGCTGACCAAGTATGCGTTATAGAGCGATACTATGGATGCCCTCGACGAGAAGGCGAACGGAGGTCCGCCGATGGAAGTGGAAGAGATCGTGTCCGTCCATGATCGTAATTATCGCCCTTGTCCTTTTCGAGGACTACGCTCATTGTCTCGATTATCCGCGGTTCAGACGATGCTTTCGCGGCCAAGCACATGCCCGACCTAGGTCACGAAGTCAAGGACTTCACAGTGTTCTCTTGGAAGCTCAACAACTGGAAGAAGCTTGAGAAGAAGCTCACAAGTCCGGACTTCGAATGTGGGGGGCATAAGTGGTACGTCTATGTTGCAGGCCGGCTTGCAAGTCCTTCCTTAACCCTTTGTGGCGCGCAGGCGTATCCTCCTCTTTCCGTTCGGCAACTCCAACGCACCACCAAATGACACGGTCTCTGTCTATCTCGACTACGCTGACCCCAAACGCGCACCGGAGGGCTGGCACGCATGTGCTCAGTTCGCTCTGGTCATCTCGAATGTTCACGACCCCACCATCTACACCGTCAGCCGTGCGTAGTCATCCCGCGTTCCCACTAAACCTTGCTCATGTCGACTTATAGATGCACACCATCGCTTCATTGCTGAGGAATGCGACTGGGGTTTCACGCGCTTTAGCGAACTGCGCAAGTTGTTCAGCGTGCAGGATGGCCATACACGTCCCACAATTGAGGACGAGTCTGCGGACGTGAGCGTCTTTGTTCGTGTCTTGGAGGACCCAACGGGCGTCCTCTGGCACAACTTCGTCAAGTGAGTCTATCTGCACCATACACATAGCTAAGGGGTCCGAGACAAACCCGTTTTAGCTACGACTCCAAGAAGGAGACCGGCTATGTGGGCCTGAAGAACCAAGGCGCGACATGCTACATGAACTCGCTGCTGCAGTCTCTATACTGCACAAGATATTTCAGGAAGGTGTGTATGACGTGATGCTCCTGTTGTTTTGCATCGCTAAGCAATCCGAAGGCCGTCTACCAAATTCCCACGGAGGACGATCATCCAACAGAAAGCGTAGCTTTGGCCCTTCAACGCGTATTCTACCACCTGCAAACATCAGACCAGCCCGTCGGTGAGTAGCATGAGGTAAGTACGCGTAGACGACGGCCATTGAAACTGCGGTACGTTCAGGCACCACGGAGTTGACGAAGTCGTTCGGCTGGAAATCCCTCGACTCCTTCCTCCAGCATGACGTGCAAGAGTTCAACCGTGTCCTTCAGGACAAGCTGGAGTCGAAGATGAAGGTATATTGCTTGTCCAAGACGTTGGGTATGACATCATGTTGACGCGTCTTCAGGGTACCATAGCCGAAGGCGCTATCCAGAAGCTGTTCGTAGGCAAGATGAAGAGCTACATCAAGTGCGTGAATGTCGACTTCGAGTCCTCCAGGATTGAGGATTTCAACGGTAGGGCGCTCGCTGCCTGGATGTTTAGTCGTATTGATCAGGCAATCATAGACATCCAGTTGAACGTGAAGGGGATGAAGAACTTGTACGAGTCGTTCAAGGACTACGTCGCTGTTGAGACTTTGGACGGTGAGAACAAGTACCAGGCGGAGGGATACGGTCTTCAAGAGGCCAAGAAGGGCATCATCTTCCAGTCGTTCCCTCCTGTGCTCCACCTCCAGCTCAAGCGTTTTGAGTATGACATCCAGCGTGACGCCATGGTCAAGGTGCGCAGTTCAGGTACCTTTCTGGGCCAGAAGCTTATTCGAATTCTAGATCAATGATCGCCACGAGTTCCCCTTCGAAATCGACCTGGGCGAGTTCCTCGACGAGACTGCGGACCGGACACACCCCTGGGTGTACAAGCTGCACGGCGTGCTCGTGCACTCTGGCGACCTCCACGGCGGACACTACTTCGCATTGATCAAGCCGGATCGCGAGACAAGGTGGCTCAAGTTCGACGACGACCGCGTAACACCCGTCACTGATCGGGAGGTCCTCGAAGAGAACTTCGGCGGTGAGGTGAACAATGGTATGGTACCGCCAATGCAGCGGAACCAGGTCCGTGCCATGAAGCGGTTCACGAACGCATACATGTTGGTGTACGTCCGTGAGAGCGCAATCGACGACATTCTCGCACCGTGGAAGGACGAAGACACGCCGGCTCATCTTAGTAAGCAACATGCAGGTTCATTGCGTCCCGATACCAACAGTCTTTTACAGAGCGTCGCCTTGAGGAGGAGCGGTTGCAGATGGAAGCCAAGAAGCGCGAGAGAGAAGAGCAGCACCTTTACTTGACCGCGAAGGTTATCACCGACCAGACATTCTCGGAGCACGAAGGTTTCGACCTGGCGACTTTCGACGAGAGGAATTGGCCTGTAACCGATCTTCCGAGCTTCCGCGTCCTCAAGAACGAACCCTACAGCACGTTCAAGGCCCGCGTCGCACAACACTTCAACTACCCCGAGAGCCAAATCCGTTTGTGGGTCCTTGTAAACCGACAAAACAAGACTGTCCGGCCAGACACGCACATCCCCGAGAATGAGCCGCAACTCAGTGCGTACATTCCGTAATACTATTGCGCGTTTACTAACACCTCCGTAGCTGTGGAGGTCATTCGCAACAACATGGCCGTAAGGCAACAGAACGACCTTCGCCTGTACCTCGACATCCTCCCCGACCCTTCTCATGTATGTTTTTTGTGTTACTCGGAATTCTTGCGCACGCTTCTGATATCATTTCAGCCTGAGACCCCTGCCGGGTCAATCATGATCTTCGTCAAGCATTTCGATATCGCGAACCAGAAGCTTACCGGTGTTGGTAAAGTCTACGTGCCCCGATCGAACAAGGTTTCCGACCTTGTCCCCATCATCAACGAGCGCATGCGATTCACGCCTGGTACCCCTCTCAAGCTCTACGAGGTAACAATGTCGAGTTTTGCACGTGTCAATCAGCACTAACGCCTGCAATATAGGAAATTAAGCCGGGCATGATCGAGCAGATGAAGCCCAAGCTCACGTTCACCCAGAGCGAGATCCAGGATGGAGACATCATATGCTTCCAGGTTGAGCTGAGCGAGAAGGAGTGAGTAATTTGCATCACTTACCCAGCGGGATTCTCATCGGCATCGAGTAGGCTGCACGACTACGAGACACAAGGTCTCTACTCGAACCCCGTCCAGTACTACGACTTCCTCCAGAACCGCGTCATGATTCTGTTCAAGCCCAAGTTCGAGGAGTCGGACCCGGAGCACCCCGAATTCCATCTCACGTTGAGCAAGAAGCAGAACTACGATGTGGTACGCCATGCGTTCGATTCACTTTCCAAGGTTCTTCCGCTGACGTGTTCCTCAGATGTCTGCAAAAGTAGGCGAGCGGCTGAACTGGGACCCCATCAAGCTCCGCTTTACGACGATCCACTCGAACGGCTCACCAAAGGCCGTGCTGAAGCGCTCACTGAACCAGAGCATACAGGAGATCATGTCGCCCGCGTACGTCACGCCACAGACGACGGTGATCCTGTACGAGAAGCTCGACGTGAGCATCGTCGAGCTCGAGACGAAGCGCTCCCTCAAGGTCGTCTGGACCGGGATCCACAACAAGGAGGAGGCGACGCACCCCTTCCTGCTGCCGAAGACGAACTCCGTGCACGACCTCGGGCTCGAGCTCGCGAAGCTCGTGAAGCTCACCCCTGGGGGGTCGGGCAAGATCCGCGTGTTCGAGGTGTCCAAGGACGGCAAGACGCAGAAGGAGTTCACCGGCTCCGAGATGATCGGCAACATCCCGGACCCGGTCGAGCTGTATGCGGAGGTGTGTGGTCACACCCCTGTGCGTGCGGTCCGTGGCGTTGACAGTGCGGCTGCATAGGAAATCCCCCGGGAAGAGCTCGAGGCGGACGACGCGGACAAGGTGATCAGCGTCTTCCACTTCTCGAAGGAGGTGTCGCGGACGCACGGTGTCCCGTTCCGCTTCGTCGTCAAGCCGGTACGTGCTTTCCGTATTCAGGTGTTCGGACATTGGCTCATTACAACGTCATGCAGGGCGAGAAGTTCGCGGAGACGAAGAAGCGTCTCCAAGAGCGGATAGGCGTGTCCGACAAGGATTTCGCAAAGTACCGCTTTGCGCTCATACAAGTCGCGACCTTCAAGCAACCATCGTACATCGAAGACGGTAAGCAACATTTTGCATCGCCTTGGTCAAAGCATCGTCGCTCATGGATCGCCGTAGAGGACACGATCTACGACCACAAGTTCGCGCCAGAGGACGTGCTCGGCCTAGATCACGTAGACAAGTCAGGAAAGACTCGCACGGGTGCGGGGGAGAAGGCGATCGTCATCCGTGGATGATGATGGGTCTGCCTCGTCGTTCGCGTTCTGAGTCGTGTTCTTCAATAGCTGCATCCGGTCTCCATCACATGTACTTCTGTCGACTTCCTAGCGTTTCCCACTGTATAACGACCAGCCATTCACAAACGAGGGACTGTACACCATTCCCGATCGTATTGCGTACGAATAACAACGAACAAGGAAATAATTATGACCGAGAGTCTACTTTCGCTTCTTCGACTTCTTCGACGAAGACTGGGTGTGTCATGTAAGCTTCGAGATCAGGACCAGATCACAGCTGGCTCACGGATTTCGACGGAGACCGTGGTGACGATGGCGTCGAGACAGACACGTCGCTGTCGCTAAATGCACCGCTGTCGGCGCCTGCGCTGGGTGGTGCCAGTCCGTTCGACGATTTGGCAGAGGAGGGCGTCTCTGGACGCGCAGGAGTGGAGGGCGTCGAGGGTAGGGACGGCGACGCGGCAAGCTGTGGAGTTGAAGGTGCAGGGGTGGCAGGTGCGGGCGGAGGGGCCTCGACGGCGAACTTGGGGAGGGCTGACTTGCCATACTTGCGCTCTACGAGATCGTCAGCGATGAACGTTCCAATGTTTCACTCCGGAAATACACACCAGCTTCTGCGCGAATGGACGGGATTTGCTCGACTAGAGCACGCATTTTCTCGTTGTGCATCATCTCGGTCGCCGTTTGGAAGATCACGCTGCCCCAGCCTTCAACATACGCGTTTGCTTCCGCCGCTACCTCCAGGATCTCCGCCTCCATTTCCTTCTCGGCGGCGAGCAAGCTGTTCCAGAGATCATCTCCAATAGAGCCTTTCTGGAGGAGATTCTGCAGAGCGGGCTTGTCCTCCCGGAGACGGATAATACGAGTGACATCGGTCATGGCACGGCGGACCAAGGCGGCCTTCAAGAGAGATTCGGAAGCAGGAGGATCGGACATTTGCATGAGAGAGAAGTAGACATCGCGTTCGTGGTGCGGAGGGAAGTAGGACTCGTAGACTTTCTCTAAGACGCGACCTGTTAATTAGCAGCTGTACTCGTGAGCAGTATGGTTGTACTAACGCGCGTTGCGCCGCCTGTAAAAGTAGCTGAAGACGAGAAGACTGCCGAAGACGATGAAGACGTAGAGGACGGGGATGAGGACGGACGCCATCGCGGCGGGCGATGGACAAGGTGGCCGAGAGTGAGCTGTATGTTGAGCGCGATCTGCTGGCAAACTCGGTGACACGCATCCTCGGTCGCGTGGCGGCGAGCGGATTTGGCAGCGCTCTCGTTACGTAAGATAGGCTCGCGCGCACGCCCCCGTGACGCCGGCCATCCGGGGGCCCGGCCGGTGTAGTTCCGCTCAAATGCCGCATCGGACGGCGGCGGTCACGGGTCGGCGGCGCCAAGCGGCGGCCCTGGGCCAGTCGCGTCGGGGCGAGCATATGAAAGTGCGGGGATGCGGGGAAGGCTAATCCTCACCCGCCCTCTCGTCCTCCTACCCCGCATTCTACCCCACACTCGACACTCGCCATGTTCAGGAGCAGCACAGTGGCAGCGCGCAACCTCGCGAAGACATGCAGTCAGAGGCGGTTTGCATCGACCAAGGTCTGCCCTGTCTCTCGCCGCACACCGGTCCAGAGCAGCTCATCGCATCCCACAGACCGTACGAGAGGTACTGGAGGAAGTCGTCCCCAAGAAGCAGCTTCAGCTCAAGCAGCTCGTGAGCCGCTCTCTTGTCATAGAGGACAGGGCGTTACTGACTACTGGGCTAGAAAACGGAGCACAGTCAGGCCGTCCTCGGGGAAGTTCAGGTTCGTGTCCCCGCATGATGACGATAACTCTCTCTAACCACGCGACTAGGTCGGACATGTCGTAGGCGGTATGAGGGGTCTGAAGTCCATGCTCTGGGAGGCTTCCGTCCTGGATCCCCTTGAGGTATGACCGCTGCGCGCCACTACCACTTCACGGGAAGCGCTCATCATACCACAGGGCATCAGGTTCCATGGTCTCAGCATCGCTGATTGCCAGAATGTCCTGCCCGCTGCCCCAGGCGGCAAGGAAATCATTGCAGAGAGCATGCTCTGGCTTCTCTTGACCGGCAAGATCCCCACGGAAGCGGAGACGCGGCAGCTGTCTCGTCAACTCGCTGAGAAGGGAGAGCTTCCTGAGTACATTGAGAAGCTCCTCGATTCGTATGTCCTTTCAGGCAGAGCTCCATGCGCCATGAGTATTGACACATTCTGATAGGCTTCCCCCGACCCTTCATCCAATGACGCAGCTCGGGATGGGTGTTGCTGCCCTGAACCACGAATCTAAGTTCCAGGCTGCATATGAGCGCGGCATCAAGAAGAACGAATACTGGCAGTACGCACTGGAAGACTCGCTGGACCTTCTTGCGAGGTTGCCCGCGCTCGCTGCCCGCATCTACCGGAATGTGTATAACCCCGGGCAGCCCATGCCAAAGGTTGACAAGGATCTTGACCTAGTCGGTGGGTGATTTTTTCGATGTATCGATGCGTCGTGGAGGCTCACTCTGTGCAACAGGGAACTACGCGAACATGCTCGGGTTCGGAGACAACCATGACCTCACCGAGTACTTGCGGCTTTACATCGCGATTCATGGTGACCACGAGGGTGGCAATGCCTCGGCGCACACTTCTCGTACGTGTTGTCTATACATCGGGTGAATGGTGTTCTGACTCGAGGGTAGACCTGGTTGGATCTACTCTCGCTGACCCCTACCTGTCGTATGCCGCCGGCTTGTACGCGCTTGCTGGGCCGCTTCACGGGTAGGTAGATATTGTTCCACTCTGGGCGATAGCTGACCCGCGAGCATAGGTTGGCGAACCAGGAAGTGTTGCGCTGGCAAATGCAGATGCAGAAGGAGCTCGGGGACAACATCACCCACGACGCAATCAGGGAGTCCCTCTGGAAGACCCTGAAGAGCGGGCAGGTTGTACCTGGGTATGAGACACGCCTGTCTGGTATATTCATCCGGATACTGACGGCATTGTCAGTTATGGCCACGGTGTCCTTAGGAACCCGGATCCGCGTTTCATGGCACTGCAGCAGTTCTGTGATACTCGGCCTTCGCTGCTCCAGGATCCCATCGTCCAACTAGTGAAGAAGGTTGGCAGATTGCGCAGCGTAACTAAAAAACACCGGTACTTATCTGTCAAACACAGACGTACGAGGTCGCGCCCGCCGTCCTGAAGGAACATGGAAAGGTCAGAAGCATCTGTCGATCCGTCCGATTATCAGCACGCTAACACAGCCGACGTAGACGAAGAACCCGTACCCCAACGTCGACGCAGCATCTGGTCAGTGATACACAGCTCTGCCACTTGAGGCATGCGCTGATACGCCTGTCCACAGGTTGCGTTCTGTACCACTACGGTCTTACGCAGTTCAAGGTATGCATAACCCTGTCTGCGCCCCGCAGCCATCCCTGACAATGTCACTGTCACTGTCCACAGTACTACACCGTCATCTTCGGCGTCTCGCGAGGTATGTCCGCTCATCGTCCTCTGGACTGCCCGCCTATCTTCCGCAATTGCTGACACCGTCCTCCCGCAGCCCTCGGCTGTCTCACGCAATATGTGTGGTCCAGAGGTGCGTGCAGTGTTGGCGACCGCCGGACACCGGCAGTCTTCTGCCTGTCCTCATGCCGGTGCGATCTTCGTTTCGGACGCTGATCGCGGATGTTTCTTCGTGCGCAGCCCTTGGCCTGCCTATCGAGCGGCCGAAGTGTGAGTCAACATTCTAATTCAAGCTCGAAGGAATGCTCACGTGTTTCTTCGCAAAAAATCAGCGCTGTCCATGGACGCCATCGAGAAGTTGATCAAGCAATGAGCGCGTGCGGCGGCGCGCGCAGGCCTGGCCGGCACTGGCGATCGCAGCGCCATGCATGGAGACCATCTATTCTCAGTCCGGGCCCTGTGACCGCCATGCGCCGGCCACTCGAGCTTCGGATGAGAGCCGTTGTGAGGGACGCATCGGAGTTGGCTGGCTCGGAAAGGATACCACACCTTCTATCTTTTGACCACGACTGTGCTCTGTAAGTAGTGCTGCTGCGCGTGCGGGCGCGGGCGCGCGACCCGGGAATGTAAGATAGGGATCTCGTCGCATTGAATCTGATTGTACATGATCTTGGGTAAACTTCGAACTGCTGCCGCGAAACGCGCGAACGTCCGGAGGGGGCTAATAAGTAGTGGTGGTGGAAGTATAGGAAGGATAATCGATGACGGGATGCGGTACATACTCCGAAGTCAGGAAAATGGGAAAGACGGGAGCTCCGGAAGGCGCGACCGGGCTAACCTACCGGTGGGACTCCCGGACTCGCCTATGATACACGTAAGAGGACAAGAAAAGTTCACGGGATGGGAAGGGGGGAAGCGACAACAGACCAGATAGTGGAAGACGCAGACGGCGCACATATACAGGTGTCCCAGGGGAGCTCAGACACGAAGGGAAGCCAAACAGTCCAGAAAATGATGAAAAGAGCCTTCATGTTGCCCATGTCCCAAGTAGATCATCTCTAACTAGAACCGACGAGGAGCCTGCGCCTGCGGAGGCGGGCCCGGACGTCCTCCAGGACCCGCTGGCGGGTAGACGCCCGGAGGATATACGTTCGGCGGAGGCATCCCTTGACGTGGCTGCCCGGGCCCAGGGGGGAAACCTTGTCCTGGACCTCCGGGGGGACCGTAGCCCTGTGGCGGGGGCGGTCCGCCGTACCCCGGTCCTGGTGGACCGCGGGGCATTCCTTGAGGTGGTATCCCCTGTGGCATTCCCTGCGGCATCCCCTGAGGCATTCCTTGTGGCATGCCCTGAGGCATACCCTGGGGCATACCCTGAGGCATACCTTGAGGCATCCCTTGGGGCATCCCTTGAGGCATCCCCTGCGGCGGCATTCCCTGTGGAGCGTACCCTTGTGGTGGCGGGCCTCGAGAGCCAGGAGGAGGTTGCATATGGGGACCACCGCCCGGGGGCGGTGGACCGCGCTGTTGGGGGATCGGGATGGGAGCGGTGACTGAGCGCTGGGGTCCGTTGGGACCAGGGCCGGGAGAAGCCACACCGGGATCGCGCAGAGCAACGGGCGTTGGCCCAGGACGCTGCTGACCAGGAGCAGGAACTGGGGGACCGCCACCAGCCGCAGAGGGGTTCTTTTCTGCCGCTTTGATGATTTCATCACTGTGCATGGAATGATATGGTGAGCATTAGGAATCGTGCGAGGAGCGAGGAAGTGGAGTTTGATATGGACGCACTCTAACAGGTTGAGAGCCGCGCATAGAACGACCCATTCCACGCAGTCCTCGTTCCCCTCACCCAATGTCTGCCAGACCGCCTTCTCTTCGGGGGTCTTACCCGTGATGCTTATCCGCGTTCCGCCTCCGTTCGGTCCTGGGGGATTCTTTTGGATTTTGCCGAACTCGATCCGCTTCGGCGGGATGTTATGGCCGGCGTAGGCAAAGTAGAACATGGACCAGAACTGCGCGTTCGGGTTGGGTTTCGACACCTGGAAGAGGGGAAGATCGCCTTGGTCGGGTGAGGGAAGCGCGAGCTTGTAGATAGGAGACAGAACGCCGGTATTGGTGATGGTCCATTTCAGGTTGCGAGAGGCCTCGCAGCGGACGACTTTCGAGGAGGACGAGGAGGCGTGACCGGGATCGGACGCGGTGGATTTGCCGTTCGCAGCGTTCTGTCTCGGAGGAAACAGCTTGGCAACACAGAGGTCACCCTGGGGAGACGGCGTCAAGAGATAATTCTCCGCGTTCTGATAGTGTGTGAGTTGGGCGCAGTATCGGGGTAGATGAATGGATCGCGTACGAAATTGGTGTGCAGATACGAGTAAAGAATATTCGTGGGCTGGCCTGTAGACGCGTGAGCCGGGAGAAGCAAGTGAATACGGAAAGTGGTGTACCATGGGGGGTAACGATGAGTGTGGGGAGGTGATTGGGTATAGGCGGATGGGTTGGGGAGGTATAGACGGTATAGATGGCTGAGGAGGCAGCGGTGAGCGTCGGGAACGGGACAGACGACGAGCGCGAGGCACATACCTGCCATGCAGAGCGAGGTGTAGGGGAACCGGGCGGGAGATGGCGGGGACGGGGAGAGAATGGAACGGGGAGGAGGACAGGCGCGGGCCTTAAGAACACCAAAGCAGGATCAGGCGCGTGACAGGATCCCTCCCGTGTCACTGGCGTTGCAGCGCGTGATCCTGGTCGCGTCACAGCGTGTCACGGCAGGTTCGCTGCTCATCGATTCAGCCAGTGGCAGCGACTCGAACGCCTTCCCAGCGTCCTCCACCCGCCGTCCTCACAAAGCCCACCACGCCTCTGCCGACGACCCTGCCCTCGTTTGTCCCGTCTCCGTCCCTCTCCCAACAGCCATGAAGGGTTTTAAGATGAAGGTCAGCCAGGTCCGTCTACCCGCTATCGCGCGCACGCTCACGCTCAGTCTCTTCCCACCTTAAGCTCGGCAGGAAGAATTCCACCGATTCCACCTCCTCCAAGAGCAAAGATCCAAAGGCCGCCGCCGCTGCTGCTGCTGCTGCCGCGGCGCCCCCACCCCCACCGCCAAATACCGCTAAGCCCCTCCCCCAGCCAGGCGTTCCGGGTAGCCATCTCCCAAACACCAGCAGTCACACCCTCCCGAACGCTAACGGCTCCTCAGCCTCCGCTGCTGCAACCCGTGTCAGTGTGGCATCCGCCGCTGCTGATCGCCGGTTTGCCAACCCGGACAGGGCAGGCGCCGCTCCTCCCATTGTCGTGGTCAGTCCAGATCCCTCGGCCGACCAGCAGCACACTATCAGCGAGAACGGAGGGCCCGTCACCCCTCCTCGGGCGGTCTCGCTTACCACCCGAGGACTGCGCCCAGCGCCCAAGGACACCATCCCGATATCAGGAAAGCCGCCGCGCAAGCAGCGCAGCAGTAGGTTTGTTGTGAATGAGAAGGTCGAGATCGAGAGGCTACCACCATTCAACGGTCAGTTTTGCCTTTCTCCTGGTCGAAAAACATTTGCCTTATCCAGCCGCCGCAGAAACTCCCGTCAGCGAACGCGCGCAGCTCTTTATCAGAAAGCTGCACCAATGCGCTGTCGTCTTCGATTTCAATGACGCCAACGCAGAACTTAAGGGTAAGCAGATCAAGACCCAAACACTGCACGAAATGCTCGAGTACATTATGACCCAACGTGGCGTAATTACTGAGAACGTATACCCTGAGGTGGTCAAGATGGTACGTCACAGCGTCTTGCGTTCGCCGAAGTGGAGGCTGAACCCCTACAGTTCGGCACCAACCTCTTCCGCTCTATACCCCCTCCTGTGAACCCCACTGGAGACGCGTTCGATCCCGAAGAAGACGAACCTGTGCTCGAGCTGGCGTGGCCTCATCTCCAGATCGTCTACGAGTTCTTCCTGCGGTTTGTGGAGAGCCCCGATTTCGACACCAACATTGCCAAGCGGTATATCGATCAGAACTTCGTCCTCAACCTGCTCGAGCTGTTCGACTCAGAAGACCCGCGCGAGCGCGACTTCCTGAAGACAACATTGCACCGGATATACGGCAAGTTCCTGAACCTGCGTGCTCCCATCCGCCGAAGCATCAACAATGTCTTCTTCCATTTCATCTACGAGACGGAACGACACAACGGCATCGCGGAACTTCTCGAAATACTCGGTTCCATCATCAACGGCTTCGCGCTGCCTCTCAAGAAGGAGCACAAGACTTTCCTCATGCGGGTGCTCATCCCTCTGCACAAGGTCAAGAGCCTCTCGATGTACCACCCACAGCTCGCGTACTGTGTCGTTCAGTTCTTGGAGAAGGACGCTGCTCTCGCCGAGGAAGTCGTGATGGGGTTGCTGAAGTACTGGCCAAAGGTGAACTCGCCAAAGGAGGTTATGTTCCTGAGCGAGATGGAGGAGGTGCTGGACGTCATCGACCCTGCGGAGTTTCAGAAGATCCAGGAGCCTTTGTTCCAGCAACTCGCGCGCTGCATCAACAGCCAACACTTCCAGGTCGCGGAGCGGGCGCTGATGTATTGGAACAACGAGTACATCGTCAACCTCATGAGCGACAACCTCGCCGTCATCCTCCCCATCGTCTTCCCCGCTCTGTACACCAACTCAAGATCGCATTGGAACCGGTAGGTTCAATCGCGATAGCATATATGAGGACCTAGGCTAACCACCAATCAGGACAATCCATGCGCTGGTCTACAATGCCTTGAAGCTGTTTATGGAGATCAACCCAGATCTCTTCGGCGAAGTTATGGAGCAGTACAAGCAGCGGAAACTATCGTAAGTGAACTCAATCTCGAGGCGCGTCGTGTCTGATTGTTTTCTAGGGAGCGAGACCACGCTGTGCAGCGTTACGAGGAGTGGCAAAAAGTACGGGAAAGGGCACGGGAGAACTGCAACGGGAAGCTGCCCGAGGGTTACGTCGACCCAGAGCCTACGCCGCCGCCACCGCCAGTGGAAGACCTCGACATCATGGACCTGTCGATGGACTTGAAGGCGGTGTCGATAGATGCGGAGGGGCCGTTGAGCGACCTGGACGAGTCGGGCATCGAGCGCGTGCCGATGGCGGACCCGGGGATGGATGTGCGTATGACTGCCTTTGGGATATGATGCGTGATCCGAGGATTGCAATTATTGACCAAGGTCCCTCCCTCCCCCACCTCGATCGACTACCTGTAGCATCCGTTCCCCGAGATCGGCGGCCTGGAGCACTCACCGGGCGGCTTGCACTCGAGACGAAAGAGCGCGTTACCTGGTGAGTGGTCCTGGTTCGCGCGAGGGATGGCGGCCGCTTACTCGCGACACGGATGCGTCCTGCAGTGGACCCAACAGTTCTGCGAGACCTTCAAGCGCACCGAAGTCTCGAGGATTCGGTCACGCCACGGGGGGCGCCGGGCTCGTGAAACCCCACGTCGTCGGACGGCGAGACGGATATCCATACACATTCAAACAGGGCAGCAGTGCTTGATCCCGCCACGCCGGACGTTGTTGTTCACCATTCCCCCCTCTTCCTCCTTGCACTCCTCTACATATGCACGCATACACACACCCTCATCCTCACTCTCACCCTCACGCTGTTGCTACGCCGCTGCTACTGTAGTCACTACATTCTCTCTGTGCCTGCCTGCGCCCGTACGTGGAGCCCCCCGCCCGCGACCTATATCCATTCGTCCGTCCGCTCCTTCTGTGCGCACTTTTTCGCCTCCGCCCGCGTGTTTCTGTCCAGGGATCGTCTCGTCCGCCAGGTCTCGTCCGATAAGTTCTGTGTTTCTCTCTTCTGATACAGTACATGGTACCGCCCCGTAGTATACACCCCATCCTGTCCATATGTATGTGCTTATGCACTCGCATCGACGCCCAACAAAAGTTTCCTCAGGTCGATGCCGCGCAGCACGCGCCTAAGGATCCTGGTGACATTATGTGACAGCGCGTTAGTCATATGTGACGACACGCGTTTGGACGAGATGCGGTGGCTGAGACGCGTCTGCACCAGACTGTTCCTCCCCCTCTCCCCCTGCCTGTTGCCGCACCATCCTCCTCCCACATACATTTTGCGGACAGCCATGTTCAAACCTAAAGAAATAAAGTCCCGAGCGACGAAGGACAGGAAAGTCGGGATAGTGGAGACGCACAACGGCCTGAAATACCCCTTCCGGCTCAACTTGTGCGTATCGCCCAACCACCTAGGTCGCGCACGATCTCACAACGCACCAAAAATACAGCTACGACCGACCACCAACTGACGATATCACGATTGAAGAGTTTGAGACGTTCGCGCTGGACCGGCTGCGCGTCCTCGCGGAGATCGAATCCTCGTATGCGCGCAACCGGACGTTCGAGGAGCTCTTGAGTGTCATACAGGCAATCTGTTTGAAATACCTACCACTCAATGCCAATAGCGCAAAAGAAAAACCTAGAGATGAGGAGCGGCGGAAGGACCACATCGGGCACTTCGTGCTTAGGCTCGCGTTCTGCCGGTCGTAAGTCCCACCATCATTCTCGCCAGGCAGTATTGACTGGACGTACGGTCTTTGCTAGAGAGGAGCTGCGGCGCCGGTTCGTAAAGGCGGAGACGACGCTCTTCAAGATTAGGTTCGAGAAGGACGATCACGCTGAGAAGGAGCAGTTCTTGGGCTCGCGGGATTTCGACTGGGTGCTCGTGCGTATCTGGTCGTATTTGCACACGAGACGTCCTCTTGACGCGTCAGACAGGCTACCAGTGAAGAGGTGCAGGGATTCGACGCGCCCGGAAAGTACTACAAGGTGTGCACCGTTTACTTCCTGTGGGTGCCGTGCGTGCTGAGACGGTGGGTAGGTGAAATGGACGCGAGTGCCGGATCTGGTCGAAAAGCGGCGCGTCGTTCTGAAAGGCGGTATGGCGTACGTACCTGCCACAGAGCAGTCGAGCATCGTAGTGCAAGAATTCCAGACTCATCTGGAGAAGGATCTGGAGGTGCGTTGTACACCAACTGCCCTTCCCGCCTAACGCTGAAGCCCTCGCAGATGACTGCGAAAGCCCTGCCGCGACTAGACGAAGACACGCGTCTCGTCCCTATACTTGATAACCTCTCAAAGGGCTTCCTCGCCGGCGTCTCGTCAGAATGGAGCAACGCGTCCGCGGGAGCCGGCGACGGGCTCACGGCGGACATGGTTGACGAAATGGCGTTCAAGCACTTCCCGGCGTGTATGCGCAACCTGCACATGTGCTTGAGACGAGACAAGCATTTGAAGCACTTTGGTCGCTTGCAGTATGGCCTGTTCCTCAAGGTATGCAATCGTGCATAGCGCCTCACGCTACAGCTACTGATGTCCTGCGACAGATCCTAGGTCTCTCTATCGAGGAGGCACTCGTGTTCTGGCGGAAGTCCTTCAGCAAGATCCAGGACGACAAATTCAACAAGGAGTACCGATACAACATTCGTCACTCTTACGGCCTGGAGGGGAAGCGCGCTAACTACGCGGCGAAAAGGTCCGTCTCCTTCACGTACACCATTATGTCTATCTGACGCGCCCATGACGTCCCGCAGCTGCCAGCAGATCCTCATGTCGGACCAGCCTGGGCCCGGGGACTCGCACGGGTGCCCGTACCGACACTTCTCGGCAGACAACCTCCAGTCCGCATTATTGACGATGTACGGCGAGCAGGGGCTGACGTCGGCGGACATGCCGGAGATCATGCAGACGGTGAAGGCGGGGCACTTCCACGTCGCGTGCACGCGGGTGTTTGAGATCACGCACGCGCGGCAGGGCGTTAAGAAGGGCGATGGTGTCGGGGAGGGCGAGAGCGTGACGCACCCGAACCAGTACGCGGCGCGGAGCCGCGAGCTGGACAAGAAGGCGGAGGGCAAGGACGAGGACGGGGACGTGGTCATGGCGTAGAGCGGACTGTGGTTGGATTTCTCGCTATACGTGTATTTCTCCTGTACTATGCTGTCGTTGTATGTTTTGATGTATCCGCTATGCCCGCAAACATGTTTGTGCACACCGATATGTCTAAATTGTGTCAGCTGCCGCGCCGCCACGACAGCTTCTGCAAGGCTAAACCCTAACCCGTGCTTCGGGCCTGGCGCCTGTCGCGTGACGGTATGAGCGCATGGCGAGGTGCGCGGCGAGGAGATCCACTCGCTCGTCTGCCCCAGCCCACGTCCTCGCTCTCCTCTCTCTCCTCTGTACCAACGTCCGCCCATCATGAGCTTACGAAAGACACCCGCCGCCGCCTCAAACGGCCACGAGGTCTCCCTCGACGACCGCAAGCTCGAGGCCAAGGAGCAGTACGACACCACCGAGGGTCATTTCTCGCTCGTCAGGTATGCATGCTGTGGCTCTGCTACGCATCTGCAACACGATCTCACCGTGCGCGCAGGAACTTCCGGCTCGCGGACCTCGTCACCATCGCCAACGGCATATGCGGCTCCTTCTCCATATTCATGTCCGCAAAGTACCTGGTCACCAGTGACGAGGACTACCTCTGGTCCGCGCTCGTGTTCCCCCTCGCCGGCCTCTTCTTCGACTTCCTCGACGGAAAGGTCGCGCGGTGGCGCAACGAGTCCAGCATGATTGGGCAAGAGCTCGACAGTCTCGCTGACCTCGTACGTTCTCCTCGCATGTGATTGCCCTAGCCTTTTAACTCACGTATACCCCTCGTCTTTGTCTACGCAGATATCCTTCGGTGTCGCGCCCGCGCTGCTCGCATTCGTCGTCGGGTTCCGCACATACCTCGACACGGTCGTGCTCACGGGCTTCATCTGCTGCGGGCTCGCCCGCCTCGCGCGCTTCAACGCGACCGTCGCGTCGATCCCGAAGGACGCGAAGGGCAAGGCGCACTACTTCGAGGGCCTCCCCATCCCGTCCTCGCTCGGGCTCGTCGCCGTGCTCTCCTACTGGAACTCGCAGGGCTGGATCGAGGGCAAGCAGGGCATCCCCTGGGGCACCATCACGCTCTGGGGCAAGCCCGGCGGCGACGGCGAGCTGCACAAGTTCAGCATCGTCTTCGGCCTCTGGGCGGCTGCGATGGTGAGCAAAACGCTGCGTGTGCCGAAGATCTAGTGTGGGCCTGCTGTTGCTGGATTGCATAATGTGGCTTGGGGTAGGTAATGGCGGGGTGCTCTGGTTACGAACGATTGTTACGACGCTGTGGACGAACCGCTACTGTAGTCCGGATAGACACTGAATACACGCTCGATGACGCTACGGGCATTTCTCTGCGATATTAATTGTTTTGTGTGGGCCAGGTGCGAGCGTGGGAAGGATGGAGACGCGTCGCGTCGCGGTGTACGGGCGCGTTTTGACGCTTGCACCGCGACCGCCATCCTCGCCCGCAAAGTACTTTGAAGTGCACGCACGATGGGTGTCTCCTCCGCCGACGTCCAACGCCTCTTCCTCCAGGCCATCCTCTCCCGCCGCATCCTCTCCCAGAAGCTCGCCGCGAAGATCTGGGAGAAGTGCATCGACGGCGTCAAAGGTGCGTCCGGGCCCCGAGCCACTGCTCCTTTCTCCCCGCCGCGCGCCTACGCGCCTGCTTCCTTCGCCCGCCCTTCTCCCGTCACACACGCTCAACTCGCGTCCGAATATGCGCAGAGGCGAACGAGACGGTCGACATCGAGTACCGCGCGGACAGGAACTCGTGGGACAACTTCGTGACGAGCGTGAACGAGGCGTTGAACCCGATCGACCTCGAGTTTGCGCATCTGCACGATGAAGTCAGCGGGAAGGAGATGTATGCTGTGGTGAGCATTTTCGGTCTTTTCCCCCTGTCTATTGTTATTTACGTAGCATCTATGGCGTAGGTTAACCGCAAAGGCGACGAGATCGCGCAGCTAGCGACGGAGTATACTCCCACTGAGATCGCGTACTTCAAAGCAGTGGTACGTGCTCCTCTTTTCCATTGCTGCGCCTGTGTCTCATTTTGACACGGTTTATCTCCAGCTTGAACAAATCATGCTCGCGCCGAACGAATCCTTCTGCGTCTCCGCTATGGCGTGCCTCCGCGAGGTGAACTCGCTCAAAACAAATATGACAAAGACGCAGGCCGAGACCACGCTCAGCAGCTTTGTCGCGCGCGGCTGGCTCCTGAAGAGCAAGTGCGTACCTCTCGTTATTTTCTGACGCTAGCCATATATCTGACCGCTTGCATTAGGCTGGGACGCTACTCCCTCTCGACGCGTACCGTTCTGGAGCTCCAGATTTACCTGCGCAACACGTACGAGGGCGAGCTTCTAGACTGCACGATCTGCATGGAGGTCAGTCTTCGTCCCTCCATATATAGGATGCTCCCCACTCATGCGCGTTGCCCTCGCGCAGCTCGTCACGCGTGGAATCGCATGCTACACGAACCAATGCAAAACGCGGATGCACACGCACTGTTTCAACAACTTCAAGCGGCGACACCACCAGTGCCCGTCATGCAGCCAGAGCTGGGCCGAGGCCAACCTCACCAAACTCCGGCCCGTCGGCGAGGCCGCGTACAGGGAGGGCCAGGACCTGAACCAGCGCCGCGCACCCAGGAAGTCCACCGGGGACGACGACGACGATGATGATGAAGAGGACGAAGAGGAGCGGGATTACGAGAACGGCGACGACGCGGAGCCGGAGCCTTCTCAGAGCCAGCCCGCAGCGACCCAGAAGAAGGGCAAGGGCAAGCGGAAGGCCGCGCGCGAGGAGAGCGAGGAGGAGGCCGAAGAGCAGGAGGAGTCGCCGCCGCCGCAGACGCAGAGGCGCAGGTCGTCCCGACGCTGACGAGAAGTCCCGGTCTCCACCTTCCCTTGCTGTACACCAGACGCCGTCATTATATTGTATCTACGTATAGTCGTGTCCCAAGCATATATGGTCCCTCTAGTATATATCACCCGCGTGCAGCAGTCTCCGGGGAGGTCGTGTTTGTGTTTGCGGCTGCAGGCGCAACATCGACCTGCACCTCCACCGGCGGGAGGGCCTCGACGACGGCGGGCACCGTGAACCCAAAGCGGTCCTTGCCCCACACCTGCCGCTTCTTCGCTCTGCGGCCCTCGCCGAACTCGTCGTTCCACTTGCGCAACTCCGACAGCGTGCCCAGGGCTTCTGATGCGGACGGCGTGATTTCTTTCAGGGCCTGCTCGAAGTTGCGCCAATAGAGCGAGCGGGCGTAAGGGGCCCCAGAAGCCGCCCCCTCCTCCTGGCTTGCCGCAGACGCAGTCTCAACAGCAGGCTTCTCTGCGGTGCTCTCCGCCGCTAGGGGCGTGGTCTCGGGCTCGGGGGCTGTTTCTGTCGAAGCGAAGGTGGAGACCGCTGCCGCTTCGGGTTCTGCGGCCGGTGCGACGGGCGGGGACGGCCGCCAGGGCACGGTGACCCGCTCTTTGACCGCATCGAGCGCGGCGCTCACACACAAGTCTATGCCCGGCCGCGGCGTCAGCACAGAGAACCTCGGAGGTAGGTAGGGGGGCACGCACGCTTCAGGTCCGAGCCGGAGAAACTCTCGGTCTTCCGCGCGAGCACTTGCAGGTCGACGTCATCTGCAAGCGTCTCGTCGCGGAGGAGGATCTTGAGGATCTCTGCGGGATGCGGGGTCAGCGGCTGCGCGGGACCAGCCCCGATAAGGGCTGGGGAGTGATTCGCCAGACGCACCTGCGCGCTCCTTCTCGCCGGGGAGGTCGACGAGGAGCCGGCGGGGCAGGCGGCGGAGGACGGCGTCGTCGAGGTCGAACGGACGGTTCGTCGCGCCGATGACGATCACGTTGCTCTCCTTGGAGGACTTGAGGCCGTCCATCTCCTGCATGAACTCAGTGATCACCCCGCGATGCGCAAGCGAGCTGCCGGATTCCCTCGAGAGGCGCGCCCCGAACAAGGCATCAAGCTCGTCAACGAAGACCACGCAGGGTGACAGGCGGCGTGCGAGCGAAAACACCGCGCGGACGAGCTTCTCGCCTTCGCCGACGTACTAGCAGACAGCGCGGTTAGTCAACTGACGGCGCGCTGAGTGACCGGGCGCACCATGTCCATGATGTCCGAGGGAGAGACGACAAGCATCCTGCATCCGGCCTCCTTGGCGAGCGCGCGGACGACTAACGTCTTACCGGTTCCTGGAGGACCGAAGAGAAGGCAGCCTGTCATGCTGTGTTCCTTGAGGATGCCCTGCTGGAATGCGCTCGGATGGAGCAACGGCAGAGACACCATCGTCCGTATAGAGTCGATTGTATGCGGCGGCAGGTGCACCTGGTTGAAGGTGGTCGTAATAGACGCTACACGGCAAATTAGCGGTCAGATGCGCGTCGCAAATGGGCCGGAAAGCGGGGGGACGCACCCGTGTCGACAATACAGCCCAATAGCCTCTGCTCGTGCTCGTCCAAATCAGGATTTCGCCTGAGCTTCTCGATGATTTCGTCGACGTCCGCCTCGTCCTCGACTTCGGCCCGTTCTTCCTCCTCGTTCTCGCGGTGAAGTTTCCCAGACGGGGGCGTAGAGAACAGCGTCTTCCACATGTCCTGCGACGACCTATCGGCGGCCCAGGCGTCGAAAACCGCGGGCCACGGGACAGGCGTGGGTTCGAGCGAGCGGTTGGACGGGAGGTACGCCAGGCTCGCGGCCACAACGCTCCCGACCGCCCTGTCCGCGATACGCTGCACATTCTGCCAGACTTCCACAGTCTGCCCCCAGCGCTCCCACAGCTGGGCCTTCGCCCGGTCGTGATCATCGCCGTCCAAAGCGGACTGCTCGAGCTCAGGGACGTCCTCCAGCTCGCCAAGGGTGCCGCCCACCTGCGCGACGGCCATGCGCATCGCGAGCTGGTTGACCTCCCGCCGCCGGCTCATGCGGGCGTCCCGCTCCTGCGGTAGCGACCGCAGGGTCGGGAAGACGAGCGAGGCGCGGAAGAAACCAAGCCGGTTGTCTGATTCTGGGGTCCCCTGGCTGCGTCCCGCGAGCGCGCGAGATAATGAGTGGCCCAGGAACGGAGACAGGCCCGAGAAGCCCTCCTGACCCAGCACGACGACGCTCGGACGTCCCCTAGAACCGTCACTGTCATGCATGTCTTCACTCGCCGGATGCAGCCGGGGAACGTCCTCGGATATGCCCCGAGCCCACCGTTTCAACCGCCGCTGAACACGTTTCTCCCGGGCTTTCTCGCTGCCGCTATCTTCGCCAAACTCAGGCTTGTGAGGCGACTTCAGGTTGGAAGACGTCTGTTGGCTGTCTGGTGACTTCGAAGACACGAGATTGACACCCTGCAAGCCGGGCGAAGGCGTGGAAGATAATGGCTCCGGTACCATGAAGGAGGGTGTGATACCGAAGACAATTGCGGTAGGGTTGACCACCGGAGAGTTGGGTCGGGATATAGGGCCTTGTCGGCGTTGCCTGACAGCAGCGAGCAGCGCAGGGTACCACGCAGACGAAGAAGCGGCTAGCGTGGGGTAATCCCTCACATATATTATGCGGGGACGCCTTGCCGGCAAACTTGACGGCTCTTCGCCGTCTCCGGTAGAAGCAGGGCGAAGGTTAACGATTTCGTCGAAGAAACCCTTCAGGCGCGCCATGGGCACACTCCTTGAAGGTTCAATGAGTCGAGACGGCCGCCTTGGCATCGAGGCCATGACATGGACGGTCATTGGAGACATGCTGAAACCTGAAGACGGCTGTTCGTCGTCGTCTTCGTTCTCCCGCTGGGAATTTGGACGTGTAGGCTCCCTTTGAGACGAGGGGAATTGGAGCGGGTTATTCGGTAGCTGCAGCACAGAGGCAGCTGCGCGATACGATATTAATGCGCAAGCAGGGCGAGAGACGTGAATGGTGACATACCTTTGCCAAAGTGTCCGCATTCGCCCGCTGCTAATTGAACCGCATCCAAGACGACCACGTCTGCACCAGTCCTCCGCGCCATTTCTCGCACGGTCGCGTCCAGTACGAAGTCACCGCCTTCTATAGGACAGTACAGAGCTAGCGTCGGCTCGACCAGCGGCGCCCCTCCAGACGAATACGCCGCGCGGTTCTGGGTCTGAGGATGCAGCACGATGTGGAGGTTATGCAGCACCTCATTGAATATCTCCGGCGGCGGGAGGGTGGTGCTTGGTGCGCTGGACGATGACGGGTCGTCGGGCACATCTTCTGGCGTCCAAAGGATGTCCAAGTTCGGGGGAAGAGCTACAGAGTCGGCCTCAGACTTCGGCGCGACCGCCACTGACGAGACGCGAGTTCGGCGTTTCGGCTTCTCTTCGACATCTTCCGACGGAGGTGGGTCTTCAGCACTAGGGCTGGCTGCTGCAGCCGCTGTAGCGCTGGTAGCTTCTGGGTGTTCCGGTGCGGGTGTCTCTGACGAGATTGCACGTCGAGAGAAGCGGGGGATGGGCTGCGTGGACGGGCGGTCTTTCCGAGGGTAGCGGAGTGCCTGAGTCGAGGATAATTGCGCACGAGGGTATTTGGGCAAGGACTTGAGCAACGACCGCGTTTTACGGGCTAGAAGATGATACCGCATCCAAACAGACCAAAAGGGCCGCCAAGCACGAGGCAGAGCAGGGCCAGAGAAAATGCAAGATGTGGTACAGACAGAGCACGCAGGCAGGCGCACACCCGAGTCCCGCCTAGCCGCCCATCCCCCCATCGCACATAATTTGCAAGCGCCCAGAGGGCTTAAGTAGCCGGCGCGTAGATGTCACACAGGCGGGACCGCGAACGAGAGAGAAAGACGTGACATTAGAGGCCCATATATACTACGGAAGAGGGGCGTATGAGTGTCTATGAAGGCGTTCCGGGCGTAGCGTAATGATGAAGTCGTTGCAGCGGGACAGCACACCAAGCTAATCCTGCTTCGTGCGAAGCGCCTCTTCCTCCCTCGCCTTCGCCCGCTCCGCCAGGTCAACACCGACCAGGATCTTGGATGCCTTCCACAGCTGGACCAGGTTGATGACATTTTTGTAGGCACAAATAGGTCCGCAGACCCACGCCATCAGCTCGGGCCAGGTGTACGCGCCCACGAACCCAACCGGGCCGAGCGACTCTGAGAGCGGCGTGTGCACCCACTTCATCAGGTAGAGCGCGATGTAGAAGAGCTCGTTGCCCGCGCAGACGATGAAGAGAGTAGTCTGGGGCATCGCGTGAGTATGTTTTCGCGAGAGCCCGGAATATGCCACTTACGGGGTTGTAGTAAGCTCGCAGAAGACGGCTGACGTCACTTTGCACTTGCTTGTGACTTTTCGAGCCGGTAACGAGAGAGCTATGCCAGCGTGTTAGGCAGCTTGAGGGATAGTGTACGCTGTAGCGTACCTGTTCATGTGCATGTAGTGGCTGCTGAAGTCGAGGGCGATGAGGAACTGGAATCCAAGGGCCCATTCCGGATATGCGGATGTGAGGTAGCACAGGAGTGATGTTGTTGTACAGCTATTACACGCGTCAGAACAGATCAGGATAGACAACAGGAGCAGACTCACCGGTCAGTGACCATGTCCAAGACAGCCCCGAACTTCGAAGCTTGACCCAACGCCCTCGCGGCGTGCCCATCGAACGCGTCCAGTAGACAGGAGATACAGTACAACACCGTGCAGTATTTCGGATGATATGTCATGTAGTGCAGCGACAGCGCAGCCAGAATGATGCGCGCATATCCTATGAAAAGATAAATATGTCAATGCACAGACGCGTAAGGGGGGAGTGCGCATACCGATAAGGTTGGGCACGAAGAGGAAGACGTTCTCCGAGTAGGTCTGTGCCGTGGCGAGATCGACGGCGACCTTGGCGTCGACGACGTCGATGGAGCCTCTCCGCCGCGTCAAGACTGCTGGGCTGTTGGACATGGTGGACGTTGGACGTTGAGGAGCACGGGCGGCCCACGTAGTAAGTAGGATTTGTAGAGGCCGAGTCGGACTCGCGCCGAGCGGCACACGCGGACTCCGGCCCTCCCAATCGGGCAAAACACGCCTGTCACGCGATCGTCACACCTAAATGCCCATCACGCTCCCAGACGCCGGCGATGCTACCGTTCTTCGTCTTGCCACCCAGCCGAGACCTCAGCCTACCTGGACATGTCTTGGTTCTCGCTCTTTCCTATGCAAGTGCTGGGCTGTGTCTTTCCCCACTTTGGTGAGCCTATGCAAGACACCGTGGCGGCAATCCCCATAGCAGGTTAGGCCCGGACGAACGGAGCCAAGATCGCTCTTGCGGCCGCAGCGCGGACGGCTATGTTGTGCGGTTCAACCAGCTGCCAACAGTGGCAGTATCGCCTCGCCGCAGGCCGCAGCTGGAACAAGGCTAACCAGTCCACATGGTGTCGGTCCGAACATGTGCAGGTATGGCCAGCAAAATGCCTTGGGACCTCCATGTGTACACGGCTTTCTTTGAACGTGTCGAGTCTTACTGTATGTGTGTCACTACAAACTGTCAGAAGCAGTGAATCACCGCAGACACTGATGCAAACGGCAGATGCGTGATGCTCCATCCACAGACCACTCCGTGGGAGACGAAGCGACATATAAGAAGCAGCACCGTCATTCAGGCATCCCGCATCCTAGATACGCCGCCCTTTTACCCTCGCCCCCAGACGCTTGAAACGCAAGATTGCGGTCGGGTGACGCCAATAACAGGAGCTTGTCGAGCAGCTCCATGGCCGCTATCGAGGTACAGTTTGAATAGTCGAGGATAAGACGCGGTGGGCTCCGGTACCTCTGTCCACATCGTGGGAGCTGTACCGAACACGGGGTGCGTTATAATTGTATCCTGCGATGTCTTTCTTCTTTTAACTGACTGGCCCGTGCCCATGTCCCTGCAGGAGCGCATGTCATGTGAATTCGTTGCCTAGATAAAAAGCAGCGGGCCTCCAGAAGAGACTTTCAGACGCTGTCAACTAGTCAGCGGACTAGGCCTGCGTAGTAATATGGTTTCGCCGGAGTACCATAGCGTCGCCGGCGCTGCGCAATTTCTGGAGTGAGGCATGGTGGCGTGAGGGACGTTTATGTGATTTTGCCCCTATGCACATGCACCTGCCGAGATATTCGTACAGGCAACTGAATTCCTGAGGCTGGGCGCGGCGATATTGCGTGACTAGGAGAAGGATGGGGCGCGCGGTTTGCCGCTGCGTGGGCGGCCGTGGTGGATGCTGGCCAATCTTACCTCTGGTCTGACGTAAACAAGAAGCTGCGAAGACTGAGAGCCGCTGAGCTGCTGGCGTGCCTGCAGCGTGTTCGCAGCCTCGTTGCGTGAATTCTTCCGGGCAGCCTTCCCCCATACTCCCCGTCGTACACGCCCTGCTATTGAACGGCGAGAGCGACGAGCTGTGCACCCAGCGGGCGAGCGAGCGAGCACGGTGGGGACGGGCGCCACGAGTGGCCATGCGCAGTCTCGATCCGGCGATGGACCCACATGGACTTGCCGACAAAAACCCGATCCGCGCCTGTCTCGACTGAATCCGGCGGAATCCTGGGGCATGACAAAGTACGCGCCCATTCAGCGGCCGGGATATTTTGTGCGGCAAGTCAACACAAACACTCTCTCGTTCGCAGCTGCACGCGTACGCCCTCGATTGCAGCCAGCAGGTATCTATCATCTCCCACAACACCAGGGGTGCGTGTGTCGGGCTGAAACACACGCAGACTCTCCACAGCGATTATCCGTGACAGCCGCGGCCGGGAAGCCCATTCTTCGTGATGACCGCGTCCGGACCCAATCGTCGCAAGGCGGTCGTTGTAGGCGCAGGCCCTGTGGGATGTCTCGCGGCCATGTCCCTCGCCAAGATGGGCTGGTCCGTGGATATTTACGAAGGTCGCCCAGGTATGCCCAATCCCCGGTTCTTCCCAGGTGTCCGCTCCATTGAATTCATTCCGGTGTGCATCCACGAAGACATGCGCCTTCCCTCGTCCAAGGCTGCCGCCCAGCAGCGTTCTATTAATCTAGCCATATCTGCCCGCGGGCTCGCTGCGATACAGGCGATAGACCCTGGTGCAGCGGACCGTTTTTTGAGTACTGTCATTCCCATGCACGGCAGAATGATACACGATGCGCAAGGACGTCTCCAGAGCCAGCCCTATGATCGGGACGGGCAGGTGAGCTCTCTGCTCGGCTTCGGACGGTTTTCAGACGCGTATATTCACCCCATTTCCGCTTGCCGCTCCTTCGGTCGCTTGCCGCACATGGCAATATAGTGTATCAACTCCATCGGCCGCGCTTTCCTCAACGAGGATCTGTTGAAAGAAGCCCTCGCCGTGCCGGGCATCCGCGCGTTTTTCCAGCACAAGGTCGCCTCTATAGACTTCGACCGGCGGATTATGAAGCTGCAAGACGTCGAGGCGGCGCGGGACGTGGATGTCTCCTTCGATTTTTGTGTCGGCGCCGATGGGAGCTACTCGATCGTCCGCCGTCAGCTGATGAGGGTGGTCCGGTGCGTCTATCCTATCACCCACGAATAACCCCCAGCTTCCTCTGGGGTGTCCTGGGACCGGAGCTGACCACTCCTTTGTCCACGGGGGCTCCCACAGGATGGACTATCAGCAGTGGTATATTCCGCACGATTATCTCGAGCTGAAGATGCCGGCTGGCCCCCCGCAGGAACCGGGCGGCGATCCCTCCTTTTTGCTCGACCCCAACCACCTGCACATCTGGCCGCGGCACACCTTTATGCTTATTGCGCTTCCGAATAAGGTTAACGAGCCCGTGCCTCCCCGCTTCTTCTCTCCCCACGGTGCACTCACGCGAGGCGCATGCTAGGACGGGACGTTCACCTGCACGCTCTTCGCGCCCACCGCGGACTTCGACCGCCTCGATTCGGACGAGGCCATCGTGCGGTGGTTCAGCGAGCATTTCCCCGACGCGCTGCCCCTCATCGGCGAACAGGCGCTGCTGGAGGATTTCCATCGGAACCCGCGCAGTGCGCTTATGTCAATCAAAGTACGGGTCTTTCCGCCCCATTTTATTCCTTGCTTTGTCTCTGCACGCGCGACGGGTCGCTGACCTTGCTCTCACCGCCCCATTGCCGCGTCCTGACGACGGATAGGCACGGCCGTATCACTACAAGGACCGCGCCGTGCTCCTCGGGGACGCCGCCCACGCCATGGTTCCATTCTACGGCCAGGGTCTCAACTGTGGGCTAGAAGACGTGCGGGTGCTGGACGTCCTGCTTCGCGAGGCGCAAGTAGACGCGACTTCTCAGGTACCGGAAGGCGAGGAAGACGGCCGGCTCGCGTCCGCGCTCGCGCGGTACTCCGAGACGCGCCACGAGGATCTCGTCGCCATATGCGACCTCGCGATGGACAACTAGTGCGTCGCTATTATTTCACCACGTCGTCCTAATTGTTGCCGTAGACCTGACGATGGCGGTGCTCCATGATAGCGTCGAAATGAGGCACGCGGTCACGACGGTAGCGTACCGCTTCCGCAAGGCGCTGGACAACGTGCTCTACTCCTTCAACCGCAAGAGCGTCGCCGCTCAAGACGTCTTCCCTGCGCTCGCCAAGACGACCTTCGTGAACGCCCCCAGCGGCTGGCTCCCGCTGTACACCATGGTCTCGTTCCGGCCGGACATCAGCTACTCGACGCTTCGGCGGCGGTTCCAGCGGCAGACGGAGATCCTCGAGCTGGCTGGCTGGCTCAGTGTCGGTGCGGCGGTAGGCACGGTCGGCATCACGTGTGTAACGCTCTTGCGACGGCTGTACAGCCGGCCGTGAGTGATCAACAAGTCTGCATTGTTCTCCCGAGCCCCCTGGATAATGAAATGTCGTAATCTTCGCGACCGCGGGAAAAACGCCCCCGTCGCGGCGATGGCGATCTCCTCCTGGATGGGGCTGCGTCGTCTGGGCGGCCGTCGCCGATCTAAACGGCCGGTTGGACATTTTGTGGGATTTTTCGCATAATTTATAGCAACGGCAGGCAGCGCGGGGGGGTCAGCACGGCGGACCGACACGGGAGGCGCAGGGAGGGGCGGGAGCAGAGTGGGCACCTACCCCTATAGCGTGCGCCCACGGTGCGGGGCCAGTTGCGCAGCGCAGGCAGAGTACTTGCGGGTGCTTGTGAAATCACCTTGTTCATCACAAATGAAGTCACCTGTGTGCCTCAGGGTGGGAGAGCAGGGGAATGAGAGAGCAGCAACCGCGCATTCGTAACATAGTTCAGCCAATAGGACAGTACCGGGGGAGTATACGGGACGGACGGGCGTTCATAGGCAAGATCATGAAGCGTCATGGATGGCGGCAATAAATATACAGTACAGAGAAGGATTCGGGAGGGGGGAGTCGGTGTAGATGGGGAAACAGGGCGTGGGCGAAGGTAAGTATGGACAGGTGCGACGGCGGCGGCCGCTCAACTGGAGTTCTTGCGCGGACGCCCCCGCTTCTTCTTCGCAGGGGGAGCGTCGCCCGCGGCGCTGGGCTCGCCCTCTTCGCCTCCGGACGGCTCCGGGAGGGGATTTTTGCGGGGGCGCCCTCTCTTGCGCTTTGGGGCGGGCTCGGAGGACTCCCCTCCCTCGGCCTTCTTCTCTTCCTCGGGCTTCCTCTGGGAGCGATAGGCACAGGAATACGTGGTGAGCGTAATGCGAGGGGTGTGAATGGCTGCCAACGTACTACCTTCGGGGGACGTCCCCTCGGCCTGCGGGGAGCCTCGGTGGAGGGGCCCGCGGTGGTGGCAGCGGCCTCTGCGGCGAGAGTCTTCTTGTTCTTGCTGCCCGGGGGACGGCCCCGCTTGCGTTTGGGCGGAGGGTCGGTTTGGGGAGCTAAGATCGCAAGATCAAGGGACTAGAGTGAGTACGGCGCTTGCTGTGGAGGAGCGGAACGGAGTTGGAAAGGGACAGACCTGTCTCTGGCTCGCCGGAGTTGTCTGCGATCTCGTCGACGTTGGGGTCGTCGGAGGGGGCTCTGTCGGGCGACTCAGACATGGTCGCTGGCTGGGTCGGCGGGGAGGGGAGGGCGGGCGGATGAGGGGAAGAAGGAAAACGCGGGCTTGTCGCGTTTTAACGAGGAAATGGGCCACAGGAATTCTCGCGTGCAGAACGCCCAAAAGAGGGCTTTATTATATCTCGCGGAGAACGTCCAGAAGGAATCATCATCCTCGAATTCTCGCTCTGTACGTAATTTACGTCTCACTGTCAATATCGAAAAGGTATGTCGGCCTCTCCTCTCGCCCACGACCGCCCGCCGCCGCGCCCGGCCCGCGGGGGCGCGCCGCCTGCGCCAGCACATATATTCGCGGCGACACCGCGCGACGGCTCGCACGCCGCCAGATACGGGCGCAAGAGATCGAGGGCGCGTGCAGGCCGGGCACTAAAACGTCCGTCGGTACATGTGAATCGCGCTGATGAGAGCCTTCGTCCAATCCAAAAATCAGATAACGAGGCTCACATGAAATCCCTTGCGCACTGTGGCAACGCAGGAGGAGCCGGCCGGCTGGATGGGCCGTGTCCGGGCCCATCAGCGTCTGGAAAAGGCATCCTAGCTGTTGTTATTTCGCCGCGCTGGATGGCCGGTGATGGGCGTACCTGAGGGCGGACGCTCGGGAGTCACTGGGGCACGAAGAGAGGCAATGGGACTCGCGAGGGATGCAGGAACCACGTTGGTCTTCATCCCGGAATGGCAGTCGACCATCGCGGAAGATAAGCGAACTCCGCCCTAATTCCCGCCACCACTCCGGCGCCTATTCAATTACTGCAACGTGTTCTGCCCGATCCGGACGCCCCCAATAGACGCGCGCGAGGGAGCCCACAGAGTGTGACAAGTCGCTCGAGTACACTCCCCTCCAGCCCCAGCTCGTGCCGTATGTCCGCCTAGCTGCACCATGCGAGCCTTCTCTGCTCCCCTCGTCCCCCTCGCCCTCGTCCTCGCCCTCGTCGCCGCCCGCGTCCACCACTCCCGCGTCCCCGAGGACCCGTACGCGTTCCCCAAATACCGCGTCTCTTTCCTCCATGGGCTTCCCGTCCTCAACGACACCGCCGAGCGCTGGCTCCGCGACGGCCTCCGCGGAGGAGAGCCCGAGTTTCTCGACCAGCCCTGGCAGGAGTCGCACTGGCTTGCCAGTCCGCCAAAGAGCATAGAAGCCGACGACGACGCCTCGCCGTCTGATGTCTGTACAACGTGCACCCGTCCCGAGTTGCCCCCCGCACGCTAACCATATCCCGCGCAGGCAGCCCAGGCCCAGGACGCCAACTACATGCTCCAGCGGATGAGATTCGGCCCAAAGTCGTCCTTCGTATGTCTCATCCCCCCACCGCCAAAGGAGCCTCCCCCCGTGGAGGACACGCCGACCGACGTCGCCACGCCCGTCCACAGCTGGTCCCTCCTCCAGCCGCTATCCGGCAAATGCCTCTACGTGAGTCCCGCCCGGCAGTTGCGCACCCGCACCGCCGATAACATGCCCCCAGCACAGGCAAGGCTGGTTCACATACTCGTACTGCCATAATTCGCATGTCCGGCAGTTCCACGAGCTGCACCATCAGCACATCCCCAGCACAGGTGACGCGCCTCCCCGCCCTATCGCGAATTTTGCTAACCGACCACGCCGCTCGTTGCAGGCGAGTACAAGCCAGAAGAGGATCCGGAGGTAAGCGCAGCCCCGTGACTGCTGCATGCGCTATCTAAATTGACGTCCCATGTCTCTAGTGGGAAGCGTACACGCTCGGAAGGGCGCCGCCCACGCTCGAGGCCGGAGCCGAGCTCACCACCGCTGAAGCCGCCGCCGCTGCCAACCTCGAGCTTGCCCGCGGCGCCGGTTCCCGTTACCTCGTTCAGCGGTGGTCAGACGGCACATACTGCGACAAAACTGGCCGCAAGCGCGACGTCGAGGTCCAGGCAAGTCGTCCCCCTTCCCCCGCACTCACACGCGGCCGCATGCTAATCGGCCGGCCTTCTGCGTCCTTCTGAACAGTTCCATTGTTCGATGACGATGACGGACACCGTGCTCTTCGTGAAAGAGACGCAGACGTGTCACTACGTCGTGCATATAGCTACGCCGCGCCTCTGCGGCGAGCCGGGCTTCCGCTCACGTATCGACGCGGAGGAGGAGCACTTCATCCGCTGCCGGGAGGTCCTTGACGCCGCTGAATATGAAGGAGCCGACCGCGACGTTCGCCCAGCGTCTCATCCGTTCCGCCGCCCCCGGCAACAGAAGAAAGTCATCGCGCCGCCGCCTCCGCCGCCAGCCGATACCAAGGCCGCAGATTCTGCAGACGGGAAGAAGGCCCCAACCGACGTCCACTCCGAAATCCTTCGCCGGGCTCTCCAGCGGCTCATGGCGCACAGAGACAACGGGCCCGACGACACGCACGAGGTCGTCGAACAGCTGCCGGACGGCGAAGGCGAGTTCGTGGTGAGCTTCGTGGACATCGAGCTGCCCGAGGGCGCGGAGGACGCGGACTTCGCGGACATCCTCATCGACGACGGGGCGGACTTCGGCGGCCGCCTGCACGACATCCTGCGCGCGGCCGGGTACGAGATCAGAGGCGAGAAGGCGGACGGCGAGGCGGCTGCTGGGCAGGACGACTCCGCGGAGGAAGGCAAGGCGAAGAAGCAGCGCGACGAGCTGTGACGGAAGGCATGCTTGTTCCTAGTAGACCCGGACGCGTTTGTACTAGCCTACCCCCCTGTGACTTCTGCCGCTATTCGTCTGCTGCTTTGTTATAATTTGCATCCCTGGATTCTGGAAATTTTGCTTGCGCTCTGCACCACACCCGGACATCAAACAATGTTCGGGATTATTCCCCAAGACGCCCCCCAACCTTCCCCCGGGCGGCCAACAAACCGTAAAGCCGTGAACAGCCCCAAGACTCTCACTTTCCGCACTAGAAGGCACGCCCGAGACGCACACGAAGGCCCGGAAATGGCGCGCGCACGCGGAGATGGGACTCGGCGCACTAGTGGATGGAGACGGACAGGGAATGTATTGCTGTGAGCTGTACGCGTACAATTACACGAGCACTCTTTCTATCATAAACAACTGTACAGCGAAAGATTCTTGTTTTGGGTTTCGGGTCGTTCCGGCTGGCCGCCACGCCCCGCTCGCACGCGCGCGCCGCACTGTTCGTCAACGGGACCAAGGAGAACAGACAAAAGGGAGCGGGCACGATAAGAAGAACGTGGGGGCGTGGTGGCACTGGAAGCGAGCACGGAAGGGGGCGTAGCGAAGGTGACGGGGCGCAGGGCGGCCGCGGGCAAGAAAAGAAAGTCAAAGAAAGAATAGAAAAAGGCGCACAATAAGAAACGTGGGGGGAGGGTGGAAGGTGCCGCGGCCGCGGCAGCCCACAGAAGCAGCAGCGTCCGATGCCATCACAGCAGGGATGGAAGAAGCGAGGGTGGGTGGGCGGTGGGGGGAGCATGAAGCATGAATGAAGATGGCAGCAGCGGGGCGCGCCCCAGGTCGTCGTCTGGTCTCTATACAAATAGGTAAGATAATAGGACGCGCGAATTAGGCGCAGCGAAGAGAATAATAGATATATAAAGCAGAAGGTGGTGGGTGGTGGGAGCAGAAGCTGATGCATGCATGTGCGGCGGGACGCGTGGGGCGGTGAGCACGGTGCCATCGCGACGACGGCCGGGCGCGCCGCGGCGGGGGCTCGAACGCCGCGCGGGGGGCTCTAAAAGAACCGCCTCTTGTGGTGTTTCTCGTCCACGTCGACCTTGATGTGCTGGTGCGTGGGGGGCGCGCCGCCCTCGGAGCACGGCACGATGCTCTTCAGCCACTCGTCGCCCTCGTCCTCCTCCTCGGGCGCGTGGCAGTGGTCCACGCAGCGCGGGCTGTCCTTGTCGTGGCTGTTGCACCCGCAGAGCAGGTCGTTCGACTTGCCCTTGCCGCGCACCAGGTCCGAGAGCGTGCACCGCGCGGACGGCTCGACGAACAGCATCCGCCGGATCGCGGGGCGCGACTCGCGCGGGAGCAGCCGGAAGATCGACTCTGCGCCGCCCGTGGAGAACGTCGCGACGGACGCGGCGCTGTTCGCGCGGGGGCGCGGGCGGCGCACGGTCGCAGTCGACTCCTTCGCCTCCGCCTTCGGACGCGTCGGCGTCGGGACTGCGGACGTCGAGGTGACCGTGGTCGTGGAAGAGGACGCGGCGGACGAGGTCTCCGGTTCGCACTTGGAGTCCTGCGCCTTCGTCACCATGTCCTGGGCCGCTCCAACCTTCGCGAGCGCCTTCGCCTTGTCCTCCACGGCGAAGTCGCGTGTCTTGACTGGGCTCCCGCAGACCTCCTCCGTCGGCGTCGGCTCGCTCAGTGGTGCGAGCTCCGTCTTAATCTCCAGCGGCTTTACGGTAGGTGATAGCGCATGCATGGTGTTAGAGCGGTGTGTGGGGCCGATGAAGGGGCGCTTCATGAGCTCTGCAGGGGCGAGCCGCGGGGACACCGGGAGCGACTCTGTAGACGAGCCGGGGCGCGGATACGTGAGCACGGATGGGTCCATGTCCTGTGGGCTGTCGGAATGCGTGATGGGCTCCATCTCGCTGAGCAGTGCGGGGAGAGTGGCTGTCGACTGCGAGTGTGCGCCGGCATGGAGGGACGCGTGGACGCGGTTGCGGCGGAGCATGCGCTCCTGCGCTTCGAGGTCTTCCGACGAGAGAGGTGCGTGCATGGAGGGCGCAGTCAGCTGTGTGCTGCCGGAGCTGGATGACTCGGCGATGGAGGCGCGTTCTGAGACATCGCCGTCGAAGAGGGAGGACGCGGCGGAGCTCTCCACTTGCGTAGAGGACGGCGCATGTGAGTCGGTCATCGTCAGCGCGGACGCGCTCGAAGGGGTGAGCTCCGAGGACTTGGCATCCTCGGGCTTGAGTTGCGCCTTGGTCTCATCCTTGGCCTCGCCCTGCCCGTTCGCCTCCTTCTTAGCCTCGATCTGCTTCTTCGCTGGTGGCTTGGCCGACAAGTCGGGGTGCGCATGTACGAAGGCACGGAAGCTGGGGTCGCTCTTCGGATCGGGGATCTTCCACGGGAAGCGACGGAGGACCATGCACATGAAGATGATAGCCACGCTCCATACGTCGGTCTTGCGGGGGTCGTAGTTGTCCTCCGCGAGCACCTCCGGGGCGAGGTATGGATCGCTCCCGACGATGCCCGTCGCGAGCGTCGTCTTCTTGCCCGGATAGTGGAACACGGTCGCGGTCCCGAAGTCGATGAGCTTCACGACGTTGTCCTTCGTCATGACGCAGTTGTCCAACTTCAAATCGCGATGCGCAAGACCTAGGGAGTGCAAGTACTCGACGCCGTCGCAGATCTGACGGAATACGCAGTAGATTTCTGGGCGCGTCATGTTGCCTGACATGACCACGCTGAACAGATCGTACGGCGCGTATTCCATGACCTGAGCAATGCGATGTGTGTGCCACGATCAATGATCCGCCCTCCGCAACGGGGGGAACATCGTGGACTCACCTCGTAGAAGTGACCATGGTCGGTGACGATGTCGACGGTCTCGATGATGTTCGGGTGCTTGAGCGTGCTCCCGACACAGAACTCGGCGGTGACCTTCTTCTGATACTCCCGCTCCGACTCGCCCTGGCGCTTCGGCCTGAACTCCTTGACGGCGAAAGTCGTGCCCCCGTTCTTGCTCGACGCCTTGATCAGACGCACGGTACCACCCGCACCAGAACCGAGTACCCGCCCCCACTTGCCGTATTTCTTCGACATCTGAACTTGTGTGGCGGACGATAACGAAGGTACGGTGTACGAGTTGTTGGTCGAAAGACCTTTCTTGTGATGGCGGTGGTGGTGGTGATGATCATGGTGATCGTCGAGTTTTGTCGACGACTCTGAGGGAACTGCAGAAGTCGACGGGGTCGTCTGGGAGTGGGTGGGGCTGGCGCGGGAGTTCATGGATCGTGGAGGAGAGCCAGAGCTAGTTTTGCTGTTCGCGGAGGCCGCCCCCGGCGAAGGTGTCTTCGCAACACGCTCCTTGACGGTACCATTCGCTTTGTCGTCATCGTGCTTTCCCACCTTGTCCTTGTGCCCGCGCAACAACGCCGAGAAACGCCCCTCCTTGTGCTTCCCATCGCCAAGGGTTGACAACATATCGCTAGATGCGTTTGCTGAAGCGGAGCCGGAAGCGGTCCCGGGCGTGCCGGGAGGCAACGAGGAAGGCGTGACAGCACCTGGGGGAACGTCAAGCAGGCCGGTTGCCTCCAGGATAGCACTCCGTCGCAAATCTGGCACGCTGACATCCGCGGCAGGGGTGACAAAACCTGTGGATATGGGCGAGCCTCCATGAGAGTGGGGTATATGATGGTTGAGGAATCGCTTCAAGTCATGGAGGGGGTTGTGTGAATGCTTCGCGCTCTTGGGCATGGGAGTGACAGGTGTCGCCGGAGTGGCTGGCGGGTTTGGCGGGATAGTCGCAGATGGCGGGACAGACGGGGGCACCTCGGGGTCTGGAGACGACCGAGATGGGGAGTCTGTAGGGCTAGGTAGTGACGAGGGTAATGGTGTACTCGGCTTACGACTCGGGAAGAGGGAGCGCGAGGAGGATGACGGCTGTTGCAGCTGTGAGGTGCCCATGGTGTCCGAGGTGGGGCTGGTGGACGACGGTGTCCGCGAGGGTGAGGGACTTCTCCGCCTGCCGAAGGAGGTGGATAGGAAGCGGGAAGGCCGCCTGGAGGGGGTAGGAACCTGTAGGAAAGGTGGGAGGGTCGGATGGGGAAAGTCAGCAAGGAGTCGGAGTGATATAGCACGGGTGATAAAAAGAGAATGGGGGAGGGAGAATTAAGCGATACGGACCTGCTCCTTGGGTGCAGCTGGCTGGCTCGGCCGAGCCGGGGTAGTCGGGAACGCGACTTCATCCGGTTTGGGCGAGGGAGACTGGACGGCTATTGCAGGGGATGGGGGTACGAGGGAGGATGATGCGGGGGAGTCGGAGGAAGGGGAGAGGGATGCGGAGGCGGGGAGAGCACTGGGGATGGATAGGTCGAGGGGCTGCATGGGCTTTGTGGACAGCATGGCGACAAGACAGGGACCTCGGACGATGGTGGAGAGAAGGAGAGAGAGACGGGCGCTGGGATGGAGGATGCGGAGTGGGAGAGAGAGCTTGCCGAGGAGGGCGTCGAGTGCGGACGGACTGGGATGGCAGCGACACACACCGCTGACCGCCGGGCGCCTGTGCGCTCACGGGCAGTCCCACTTGTTATGCGGCGCGCATCATCTCGGCTCGCATCTCAGATCCACTCGGTCCGGTTCTTTTCCTCTCTTGGCCTGCCGATGCACCTCTCCCCGCCCCCTCCGTCCCCCTCCTCCTCCTCCCGGCCGCCATCTCTCACCCCGGTCCAGCTCTGATTCGAGCCTCCCGACCGCCTTCCGTGTCCGTGCCCCTCGTCCGTCGTTTTCCTCCGATATCTCGCTCGTGTCCTGCGCGCACCGACGGCTGTGGCTGCGCGCCCCGCCCACAATATACGTCATCGCATGCATCTGTCAGCTCCCATTCGGCTGGTACAGCCGATGCCGGGATCCATGCGCGTCTTGTGCTTGTGCCCTCTTTACTAGGCCTCCTTTCTTTCGTGTGCATACGATTAGAGGGTCTGCCTTTTCGTGGCTCATCTCTTCGCCCTGCGCTCGTCATCCGCACGAGAATGGTCCTGTCCGATCTGCGCGTACTGCAGCGCGAACCTTTCCTCCCGATGGCTCGCATTTATCTACAGCCAATCCTCGTCCATCTCGTTCCTCTGCCGCCTCCCTCTCCAATCGGCATCCTCTGATCATCCCTCATCCGCGCTATCGTCCGATCCTCCTTTCGATCGCTCTGCTCTATTCTGCCCACTGGGTGCGCAGGCGCCCGTGGTCCAAGCCTCTGTTAGCCTCGTCTCTCCTCGTCCTCCGCCTTCTCTGCTTCTTAGCATTCCACCGCCGCCCCCGTTCGTGCAAATGCTCTGTAGCTCGGCACTCAATCTCTCGGCCGTGTTACACCTTGCTGCGGTCAGGCTCCATCCGACGCGCTTCCATGGACGCCTATCCACCTCCGACATCCAAGCCCTCCGCCAAGGTTTCACCAAGTCGGTCCAAGACGCGCCACGCACGGCGTTTTCACTATTGCACTCTGAGTCTCTTTCTCAACTTTGCTCCCGCCTTGCCGTCCACGCTCGACTGCTGAGCATCCCGTGGGACACCGCTCGATCTGCCTCTCGCTCGATATGTCCACCCTTCCCACAAGCTGCGCCCCGACAGCGCACACATGTGCACCACAGCCTATCACTGGCACCATTCTCACGCCCTGTCCCGCTCTGCCGTTGGCTCTCTGCGCGAGGCCCAATGGGCCCACCCTGTTTGTCTGTTCGCGCAGCGGGCTTTGTGCGGGCCTCCGTGCGCAGAACTTTCGCCGACGCTCCGATCCCGATGAGCACGGCGCCCCGGCCATATTTTGGAACGGAATAGAGACCGGTTTTGTGGCCACAGCCTTATTGGCGCGCCCCACAAGTATTGGGCCACACTGCTGACAATCTGCTGCAATTATAGGCCATTGTGGGCGCAGCGCCCACTGTTCCGACGCACGCCATTGTGCCTGGCGCCATACCACACAATGCCACTTGCACGACAGGCAGACGGCCCATTTTCTAGGGCGCATGCGGAGTAATGGTTTCCGGATATCAGTCGTCGTCATTCAGTCGTATTAGCGCACGCCCAATGCTATGCTTCCTTTCCCCACCTCGAAGCTGGCCGCGTACAGGGCGACGTCGCACGACGCTTCTGAATGTGCTTGGACCTGACGACCGAGGCCACACCCTGCCGGCGCCCACCCAGGCCAATCACCACTGACAGCTATCCGGACATTTGCCCTGCGACGTGCGTATATTTATCCCTGCGGGCACAGCGGCGAGCCGGCGGCGCTGCACTGGGACCCAGAGCGTGCCATGTCGCGATATGTTCTCAGACGACCCGCGCCGACGTGCTGTTCTCGTCCGTCGCGACATGTCAGCTGCGTCGCCGTGCGCTCGAGGAAGCACAGGTCCGCACCGGGCGACCGAATACCTCAGTGCGGGGCCCATCACTGCAGGCCTTCGCGGCCCAGAACGCCCCCCGCACCCGAAGGCGAAGAAGCACGGTGGGTGTTTGCGGCGTACTTACGCGGGGTAGGAGGCTTCGCGGGCCTGCTCCGCTCTACGCGTCCGCCTCGTCCTCGTCATGTGAACACGCCGTCTGCTAAGTACCCTCCAGATAACACTCGCCGCACACCTGGATACTGGCTGCTCAGCACAGCAAGCGCGACTCGGACGGCGAAGTATGCTGCAATTGATGAGGATGTGATGGGCTGGCGGAGGTGCGTGCGTGATGTGGACAGCAGTCGCGGTCGACGTTGCATGACGGCTTCTCGTGCGTCTCTCCTGCCCCAGCACATCGCGCATCTCGCTTCTGATACACGCGGTGGGGTCCGTTTCGTCGCGTCGCGTCGCCATTGTCGCCCGATGGGCTGTGCGGGTTGCTAGACACGCTGCGCTGCAACGCAAGGCTTTGGCTGCGCGACGCAAACGACGACCCCGTATCAAGGCTTGGGTTGTGCTGCTGCAGGACCCTTGCGCCTGCGATCTAGCTGCAGCGCTGGAGGTGCGGATCAGGAACTCGGAGGACCTCCATTGACAGGGTTTGACAATTTGACAGCGCGAGCACAGGGAGAGCACTTTGCTCAAGGTTCGCCCCTGGGCCTTTCACGGTTAGGTTCGTTCGTCATGCGCATCCGCCCTCGAGTGTCCAGCACGGCACGAACCTTCTTCCCCATCACAGGCTAGAAGCCTGTGTCGGAAATAGACGTGCAGATAGCCCGTCCGTCGAGCGCTGCTGCACCCCAGCCCGGTCTGTCTGTCCCTCCTCGTGCGCCGCCGCCTCGCTGCTGACACAGCGCACCCCTAGCAGAACCCTCATACGGACGTTCTGATCCTCGCGGACAACGCACGGCTCGCGGAGTCGATTCGAAGACGTGTACGGTGGCTGGTCTGGCCCCCTGCCCAGTGCTCAGACCGGGTTAGGACACCGGACTACCGAACGCACTGCAGCCGAGCGAGAACCCGGCGCACTCTGAACTCTCGTGCCGCCGCCTGACTGTGCTTTACGACATGGACCGCCCAATCACTCCGGGCGTAGTGCACAGCGGGGGCTTTGCGCGGTCCTGGCAGTCCGCACACGTCTTTCGTGGGCGGACGTAACGCGCCGCGCACACCCTGTCAGCCTCCAGTGCGAGTCTGTTGATCCTTGCGCGCGCATCATACCCGAGCTTGTTTAGTGAACGGGCGACACTCGCAATATGGCTATAAATACCCCTGGTACGTCTACACACCAGCGTGCAGCGGTACGGGGCTCGTATATGACCACTCAATGACCTTATCCTTACAGGTTGAGCGAGTCTGGCCAGTGGCTGACTACGTCCTGACCGCTGTGTCCCCGTCGCGGAGGCTGACCTGGGCTGACGCGGTGCGGAGAAGGACGACGGCATGTCAGCCCTTGTCAGCCCGGTTCGAGTGCGTGCGGCACACCTGCGACTCCGAGAGGCACACGCGAAAGGTTCCGCTCAGGAGAGGCGGACTCGCTCGCGTGCTGTCAAGCGGTGCCGCTCAGATAGCGGATAAGTAGGACGTGCGGATGTATACAAGAACATGCTGAGCCCGAGGCTGCCAGCCTGATCGGGCACGGCTGACTAGTCAGAGTAAGCCCGCGAACTGCTGCTAAACGCACGGCATCAGCAACGTGCTACTACTGCTAGCTCGGGATTTCAGGGCATGTTCGAGGATATGCCGACGGTGTGCCCGCAATAACGTACTGCGGCGGTATTCACTGCTAGCGGAAACTTATAAGACCATCGTCGAACCGCTCTTTCAATAGCATGCTGGTGATCCCACTCAGTAGTTGGCGGATACCATTCATACGTTCTTACGTCTGAATGTCTCTTCTGCAATTGCCCCGCTCTGCAAGGAAGGCGTCCCCACACTCCCCTATTCGGCCGCCGCGCGCCAGGCCGGCAAGTGCCTGAGCACCCAGCGCACCACTGCGCACGGCATCGATACGACGGCGTCGCACTCGGGGAAACGCACGCCTCCACCCAATGCGCAGGAGGGCAGCTGAGCCGCGCAGATCCCGCTCTACATTCTCTGACGGCGGCGAGTTACGTAGCGGCTTGTTCGCAATTATATCCCGGCGTCTTTGGCCTGCCCGGATGCTTCGAATGCTCGTCGGCTCCTCCGAGCCTCCAATCAAACAAGCTGCTATAGCAGCAGCCCGCGCACGGACACTTTCAGACGTGTTTCACTGCCGTTCAGAGTAGTCAGCAGCCTGGCCGGGTCCACTGCGCACGCCGCAGTGTCTCCTGTACCACCAGGCTCGGAAAGCCCGCCTTCGGAGGGCTGAGGCCTCCAGCCTGGTGCACGTCGACCAGCCGCACGGTGCGCAACAACAATAATCAATCGATGCCGGACGAACACACCTCCCCGCGGACCCCGCCAGCCTCCATCATGGCCTAGCTAGTCGCCGGCCGAAGGGCGAAGGCGCGATCGGTACGTTCGGACGGCGCCGGCGAGTTGAGCCAGGTTCGGGAGCGCCGCGCGTGCCTGTCTGCGAGAGCTGAGCTGAGCTTCGGGGCCGATCGCGATCGCGCGCCCCTGCGTCATCCGCCTGTCACCGCGCGCGCCACCGTCCCAAGGCACCCGGCGCTCGCGGTCCGCGTCGCCCGCTCCGACGCACTCGGACGGCAGCGGCAGCGGCTGCTGGTGGGGGCTCGGCCGCGCCATACCGAGCCTAGCGGCGGGCGACGTCGTGCGGGACCGGGTACTTACCTGCATGCGCTTGTTGACAGCTGCTGCTGTGCGCAGGGACGCGGGGGCGTGGACGCCGCGGGACGTGTTTGGCTGTATGCGAAGGTTTGGGAATGGGAAAGAACGTACGCTGTTTGGAAGTGCGCCTCGAGGCTACTGGACGAACAGGGGGATCGGCGGCGTGGAGTGGGGTGGACGTACAACCGGGAGGAACGTCGGATTTAATTTCGGGTTCGGGCTTGGGTAGCCAATGGGGCCGGTGGGAGAGGTAACAGCAAGCCAAGAAAGCCACAACACAGAAGGAAAACTCACTGAACAAGCTTAAGGTGTCGCCGTATTGGCATTCGAAGGGCGCCAAGTGCTTGTGCATTGAATATGATCGGCAGACTGGGCAGACTGTATGAACTTCGAGGTCGACATGAAAATGCGCGATCGGACGAGCACTCGCTCATGAACGCACGTTCGCGCGTAAACACATGCAGTGTGGCTATGGTACATCGACTGTGTGTTCGCGACGATAAGACGCACCCAAGACGCACCAAGCGCACACCAAGGATCGCGTGAACCGTACCGGACGAGGATCAGCCCAGGTCGTCCGCGTCCCTCTTCCTCTTCATCTCTCTCGAGACCTTGTGCTGCGCGCTCTCGTGCCTCGCAAGCTCGGCGGGTACCTTGGACACCGGGCTCTTGGAGATTTCTGGGGGACACATCGGAAGAGAAGACATTGGTTAGATGATCAGCGCTCGAGCGCGTGATATCGAAGACGGGCGTACCTTGTTTGAGATCGTACCTGTTGGGTGGGCAGATGCGTCATTAGCACGACGTTGTAAGAAAGACGACATGGAAGTGATACAGCGGAGACGGTCGCACGAGCACATGGACAGTACTGATACGACGCGCCAGCCCAGATGACGAATGAGAAGGAATAGTACGTACATGACTTCGTCGTCGTCGTTGTTGAGGAAGGTGATTGCTGTTCCTTGCTTTCCTGCACGACCAGTACGACCTGGAAGGCGGGTAACAAAACCGTTAATGGCTACCCGGTGCAAGAAATACGAACAACGTACCGATACGATGGACGTATGCCTCGATCGTGTTGGCCATCTGGTAGTTGATGACCAGACTGACGTCCTGAACATCGATACCACGACCAGCAAGGTCGGTAGCGACCAGGATATCCGAGTCGCCCGTCCGCAGGGATTGCAGCGCGGCTTCTCGCTGTTCCTGGTTCTTGCCAGAGTGCAACGTTGCCGCACTCCACTACGTTGCCAACTCAGACACGACCCAACACGTTTGATGGAAGAAACACTCACGCCCGCACGGTGGAGGTCTTTCGCGACCATGTCTGCCGTCTTCTTCTGGTTGACGAACACGATGATCGGCGCACCGTACTGGTTGCTGTTGAGAATCTCGAGCATGCGCTGCCTGTACCGAAACCGTCAGCGCTCTGTCCACGCAACCGCACACGACCGACGCACTTCTTCTTCTCGTCTCCGTGGACGAACTCGACCTTCTGCTCGACGGTATCCACCGCACGGCCGGCCTCACCGATGGTGATAATAGCGGGCTTCTTCAGGTATTTCTTCGTCAGGCGCTCGACCGGCGGGGGCATAGTCGCGGAGAACAGCGTGGTAACACGCGTACGGCCCTTCCTGACCATGGTCTCGCCGTCAACATCCATTTGTGAACCCTGGTCTTCACCTTCCATAGTGTCGGATGGCAACTTGTCCAGAATAAATGTGAGATCGACCTCGAAACCGAGGTTGACCATGCGGTCGGCTTCGTCCATGACGATGTATCGGCACTGCGAGAGGACGATGACATGACGCTCGATGACATCCTTGAGACGACCGGGGGTGGCGATGATGATTTCGGCACCAGACCGCAGGTTGAACTGTTGCTCTTCCACCGAACGCTGTAGAGCCCTATGCATCAGCAGCTTGCGTAGCTGAGGATGTTACGAGAATTACTTACACCTCCGACAATGGACACACAAGTGAAGCCTAGTGGACCAGCGAACTTCTTGGTCTCCGACTCGATCTGCTGTGCCAATTCACGCGTGGGGGCCATGATGAGCGCATATGGACCGAGATGTCTGTTGTCGTCATTGAAGACCGGCAGCTTCGAGATGAATGCCAACATCGGGATGACGAAGGCAGCCGTCTTACCGGAACCTACGCACAAGCTACATTAGACGGAAGTTACCAGCGGAGGAGTAACGGCACTGACCAGTCTCAGCGATACCAATAATGTCTCGATTCTGCAGACCAATCGGGATAGCTTGTCGCTGAATGGCTGACGGCTCTTTGTACCCAATCTGGTCGACAATGTCAAGGATTTCAACTGGGATGGCGGATTCTCTCCATGAACGGAGAGGGTGAGGAATTTGGCCACCTAAATTGTTGCGAGTGAGCATACTGTAAGTCCTTTGGATATAGAGACGCCTACCTCTCGCCGCGATGCTGAAGTCCTCGCGGAAGATACGCCAGTCACGCTCCTTCATCTCGTCCAGCGACTTCTCCGACCAGTGCCGCTCATCAATGCCGGTCTTCGCAGCCCGTCGCCTCTCCAGAGGATCCGCGAGCACCATTCCATCACCGCCTTTCCTCCCGGGCACGATAGTGCCCCCGCCGTCATCCATGCCCGCAATGTGTCCGCGTCCGAACATCACCCCGCCGCCCTGGCGCTGGCTGCCGATAGCTCCGGGTGTCTCCGCATTGTAAGTGTCGTCCTGCTCGTCCCAGTCGAATACGAACTTGCGGTCGTTCATCTTGCGAATTCTCCGTTTCTTCTTGTCCACGCCGAGGTACCGCGAACGGATCGCCGTTAGGTCGTCCTCGTTCATAGGAGGCGCATAGGGCTCGGAGTCTTCCATGATACGGGTGGTGTGTGTCGCACCGTTCGCCGAAGTTGAGGGAACAGGAGGAGGGCCCATGGAAGAAGACGGTGTCGCGGACGAAGAGGCAGGCCCAGTCGGCGGCGCCTTCCCGCGTTCTGCGCGGGGTCCGGTGGGTACGCCTTGGTACGCGGCACCTTGGTGGGAGGCACCTTGGTGCTGGTTATCGCGGCGGTCGTCGTGTTGTTGTCTTCTGTCATGGCCATGGTCTCTGTCACGACCCCCGCCCCGTCCCCTGCCGCGCCCGTACCGACCCCCGTCCCTGCTATCCCTATTATCCCTGTTGTCTCGCCCATATCGGTCATCATCTGTACACGGTTTATTGAGTTTGAACGGAGAGTTCAGGTGTGGAATTACGCACTGCGACCGCCCCCGTCGTGGCCATACCGCGACGAACGCTCTCGTTCCCTGTCTCGCTGCCGGACCTCCTCCGCCTCCCGCTCGAGGGCGTCCCTGTCGCGCTTTGTGAACTCCTCCTTTTCCTTTTGCTCCCTTATCTCCTGTGCGCGTTTCTGTATCGCGATCTGCGCGCGCTGTTCCTTAGTGAGGAATCTAGGCTGTAATACGGGGAAAGTCAGTCACAGTACGCCTTTCCTCCTCTCAGCCACACACGCACCTTTGCAGCAGCCTCCTTCTCCTCCTTCTGCTTCTGGAGTAGAGACTCAATAGATAGCGGTTCTGCCCTAGCGGCCATGATGAGCAAGGCACGATGTGGTCGTCGAGAGCAGGAACTTGCAGCAAGGCGCGCGGCTGCAACGAGAGTGACGGCCACGTGCCCTGAATGCATGCCATTTCCGGAAAACCGACGTTCGTTCTTTGGACGCGGTCTCTTTTGCCACTGCCTGTCTGAACGCCGCACCCGCCAATCTCGTCCACCACACACCCGGACGCCCATCTTGCGGCTCTCTCTCGTCCGTACACCTACGCCACTCAAACTATAAGCCACCTCCCGCCGGGCAGCATTCATGCCCAAAATGCACCGCGATATCGAGGAGCTCCGCACCCAGTCCCCGCGCCCCGAGACGCCAGAGCCGGGCTCGCGGCAGGGCAGGCGGAACCCGCCTGAAGCAGGGGTGCAATTGCTCGACGACGACAGCGCCATATCTATAGCGGTGCGTGCCTTCACACTTTCTTATCGAATTGTCAGCGGCGCGGTGGCTGAACGGGGTTGTGGGGATGCAGCTAGAGTCCTGCCTGAAGCACGTCTTCGCGAAGTACTGCACGCCGCGGCCGGTCCCCGCGCAACAAAGGGGGGAGCTGCTCGAGCCGCCGGAGGGCGCGTACTTGACGAACGAGGGTCTGGACGCGTGGGCGCGCGACACGAACGGCGCACCGTTCGATGAGGCGACGAAGGAGGAGATTCTGGAATTTATGGACGTGACCGAGGACGGCGGCTTGACGTGAGTGGCTTTACTTGATCTCATTCCCATCACTCTAAGTATGGTGATTACAGGTTCAAGGGCTTCATGCAAGTTTACCAGCTACAGACCGAGAACGATGAAGAAGAGACCTGGAGAGATCTTGTAAGTTACCTGGTGCCGCACCTCAAATCCGTCAGAAAGATTTAATTGCCACTGCAGGCCGCACACGGATTTGATCGAACGCTACGGCTAGTAGCTACAAGACGAGAAGATTCAGATATCGATCCGCGACTAGCTACGCAAGCCTCGTGAGTATTCGTAGTATCATTGAGTAGATGATTGACATATACCTTTGCCCTTACAGATCATAATGGTGACTTACAGGCGATATGACGATATGCTATGACGCGTTATTGCCGACCTAATCCACGCCCCGCAACGCAACAATACACCGCTCGCAATGCGCAGGACCGCACAAGTCACACCGTTGCTGATCTCACATGGTCCACAGGCAGAGACGGAAGGGCAAGTTGCGGTGAGCGAAGGGTGAACAGAAGTTACGAGCGAAGAACTCGATCCATTGACGAAGATACCACAAGATTTACGATTTTGATGTTACATCCAGATACCTAAACAAGTACGAACTCTCCTACCTGCCCGCTAATGGCCCGATGTATCACGAGCGAAGAGCCAACTTCCAGATCTCGACGCCCTCCCAATCACCCTTCTCCCAGTGAGCGCCTGACTTCTCGAGAGCCTTGGCAAGCTTCTTGTGGGGAATGCGCTCTACCTTGAAGTTCCAACTATCTCTCGCCTCCGATAGTGCATGGTCTACTAGGGCCGGGTCTCTCCGCTCGAGGCAAAGATAGACGGGCGTAGTCCGGAGCTCGGAAGCGGAGGCAAGGCAAAGGCCGTGTAAAGCGCGCAGGAGAGGTGTGACCAGGTCCGGTGAGTAGATGGTATCGGATGTGAGGATGAGGTCGAACGGAGGACCGAGGACGGGGGCTTGGGGTACGGCAGACTGAGGCTTCTCGGCCTCAGATGAGGCAATAGTTTGCGGATCGTCCCACAGCCAACGGTCAGGAGGGACCGTCCAGTCGAGGATGCGCACTTGCACGGTACCGGAATCGACAGGGAGCCGGGAGAGGTTGCTGGAGATGTTATCGGCAAGGACGGATGAGACAACGTCGTGCAGGTCAGTCGCAATCACGTCCCAGCCCATAGATGCGAGGGCAAGCCTAGAGAGCACATGAAGAGAGAGAACGGAGACAAGGCGTGCGTTGGAGGTGAGACAGAGCTAGGATGCCGGTGCAAGTACGCACGCGGAGAGGCCGATGCCGCTTCCAAGTTCAATCGCTCTGGGACGGAACGCGGCGTCCGGGTGGCCGGATGGCGATGGTCTGCGCTTGAGATTGTCGGAGAAAAACAAGGAGAGACACTGTGCGCCGAGCCAGAGGGCGCTGCCATTTGTTGCGCCGTTGTCAAGCTGCGCGAGATGGAATTGTTGTGTGCGGAAGGGATAGATAAGGACGGGGATGTGCTTTGTTTCGTGGGCGGGGCGGAGCGCGGGGGGCATGGCGATGTCGGAGGAGGAGGAGAGGCTGAGAAGAGATGGGGAGATGCGCCACGAGGCGGAGGGGAGCTACGGGCGCCTGCGCCGTGACCGTGACTGTTGCCTCGCGCAGGGCCCGGACTTGGACTTGGTTTGGCTTTCGCCTTCGCTCTCGCTCTCCATCCCGCGCGCCGTCTCCACGCCTCCCCCGACCGCAGCCCCTCCTCCAAGCTGGCGTCGCGCACCCCCCAGCTGCACCGCTCCTGCCCATGAAGGCGTTTCTCAACCGTCTCAACCGCGGCCTCACAGGCAGCAAGGAGAAAGAGCGAGAGAACGATGCACCCACCCCGAAGGAAAAGATACCCCAGCTCCCTCCCCTTCCCGACTGGCCGCCCCAGCGCGTCACCTCCACCCCCAACTCTGTAAATTCCTTCAAGCCCCTCCCCGAAATCAACACGCGCCCTTTGCCGCCAATCGAAGAGCCTTCGTCGTCATCTACCGACTCCTCCGTTACCACCACCCCAATCGCCGTTAATCAATCCCTTCCCAGTACAGACACGAAGGAAAACGTGCCCGTGGCGAAGCCTGCGTCGTCCACCCCGCAGCCTTCGCGCTCAGAGCCCGATTCCGCTGGTCGCAGCTCGCGCAAGAACGCGAACGGGACCAGTCACAGCACAGACGCGCAGAAGAAAGTTGCCTTTATATCTCCCCCTCCCACACCAGGGCCTGCTCAAGATCGTGGCCTTCCTGCCGCAGACACCCCGACACCGCCAAGCACAGGCGTAAAGTCTACCGTATCACGCTTCCACGCTGCTCATGGCAAGGAGACGCGTGGGTCCACTTCGACTGCAGCCTCTTCACGCACGGATGTCTCCTCCACCCTGAAGTCTAACAAGGCGGCTTCCACGCGGACAGCAACATCCCCGTACCCTGGCAAGAACTACGGAGAGACTGCCTCCCTCCACCAGTCACTACGCTCTGGCACCCCATATTCCTCCATGAGCAACACCGGTAGCCGTATTCTCGCCGCGCAGTCATGGAGTGAAGGCGCAGAGGAGGATTTGGTGTCGAATCTTGGTCAGCGGGAACGGACACGACAAGAAGTCCTGTGGGAGATCGTTGCTAGTGAGGAGCGGTTCGTCATCCACCGTCGCGCCTATTCCGTCGCCGTGGTACTGAGCACTCCACAGATATGTGAACGAGCTTCTAAAGATGAAGGAGACCTTCATCGAGCCCCTACTACACCCTTATGTGGTCACTTCCCCAGTCTCCTCGCCAACCCTAGACTTTGACGACTACGCGCGCGCTGATACCCCAAGAGAATCCCTGGACTATCTCCCCATTGCCGCCCGGTTCCTAGCATCCCCGACTGGCGAGCGCTCGGAATCCCCCTTACAGAACGCGCCAGCCCGAAAAGAGGATAACCACCCCAATATCGACGGCGAGTCCATGAACTCTGCCGAGGAGGACGAAGCGGAGGACCGCATGGGCGCGACCTACCAATCATCGCGCCAGAAGACCGTTGCTATGTCCATGGCAGCTAAGCACAACCATCCGCGCTCCCCTTACGGTACAGCTGCGGCTCGTTCGGGTCCGAGTAAGTTCGGGATATCTGTGCCCTTCCCTTCAAGGTCGCATCAGTCACTTCCGCCTCCACCTCGGACCAACGCTATGACGTCCTCGACGCAATCGCTCGGTCGGCAGTCGTTTATCGCGGACAGCCATCGGGATCGGGACCACCCGCCGTCGATGCGAACAACGGGCACTGGCACGACCCGTGTGCTGCGGAAGTTCAAGAAGAGCAACCCCAATCCTGATGCTATCGTACACGGCGCAGTTGCCCCGGCGCAGCTACCTGAGGATCTCCGGAAGTGCTTGGAAGTCATCGAGGAGGGTATATTGGATGGCCATATCCGTCTCAGCGAGGGTCTCCGGAAACGATATGAGGAGCAGTACCCTTTGGTCAGGTCACTTGCGGATGTATTCGTATCGAATGTGAGTACCACACGCGGTAAGTTGCAAGTGGCCTAGTACTAATTGGGTGTAGGCGCACATACTGCACGGCTACGCGACATATGTCTTGCACTTGGAGCGCGCGCTTGAGCAGGTCGACAACGCCCTTTCGGCGGCGAGCGCGAGCAAGAAGCCCAAGAAACAGGACGCGGACCAGTGGGTCAAAATCACTCAATACCTCCAAAAGCTCGAGATCAGCGCGTCCGAAAAGGGCGAGACCGGGCTCGCGATTTCGCTCTCGAAGCCGTTCCAGCGGTTGCTCAAGTACCCGCTACTTTTCCAGAACTTGCTCTACCACACCGACCCGAGTACGTTCGAGTACGAGAGCACACTGCAGATGGTCGCGGAGGTCGAGACGATCGTCCGGAGTATCGAGGACGAGAAGATCCAGAAGGAGGAGCGCGACAAGACGCGCGACGTGTTCGCGCGTATCGAGGGCCTCGATAAGGTCAAGCAGCTCATGGTGCCGAAACCCTCAAGAGTGCTCGTCGAAGAGCGCCCGCTCACCGGCGTGAATCCGTTGACGGATTCCTCGCTCAAGCCATCATCGTCACCTCCGCCAACATCTGGGAACCCGAAGAACGTAAAGGGCAAGACGTCCTTCAAGCGGTTGAGCGATGTGCTCCAGTCGAACAACAATGGTATCGGCGGCAAGAAGGACTTGTGGCTGGTCGTTTTCAACGACGTCGTCCTGCGGTGTCAACGAACGGGCACGACGTCGTTACCGTTGGTATCCGCGACGAACTCGAGGACGAACTCGCTACCTGAGCTACAGGGCAAGGCGAAGTACGCTACCACGGGCCGGAGGACTGCGCACACGAAGCCGCGCAACATGTACAAGTTCCTCAAGGTGAGAGAAAACGGGTCTGTGGCCGTTTTAGGGCCGAATGTCTCATGCACTGTCACAGATCGAAACATGGGCCATTGGTGACGTCGTACAGCCCCGAGAAGGTGTCGTCTCCATGGAAGAGTGAGTGTTGCATATTTCTCACACCATGTGTGTCGATTTAACGCGACCGTGTAATTAGTGTCGTCAGGTCACGACAGCAAGTTCATTCCGGCGTACAACCACGCCTCGTGCCCATGCCCGACGATGACGAGGAGGGCGCCGAGTCCGACGACTCGGATCGTAAGAGCAAGATGAGCTTCTCCTATTGGGGCGCGGACAAGGTGACGCTCCAGAAGCCCGTCGTCGTCAAGCCCAAGGCCCCAATATCGAACGGCGCGCGCCGCCCGGCCGCTGGAGCAGGTGCGACCACAGCCTACGCACGCGAGTCCTCAGCCAATGCAAAGTTTGGCACGCGCATGGTGTCGACAGAAGTCACACATGCGCCTCGCCCCGCAAGTCGGCGCACCCAGGCGACCCCCACCGTGCGCAAGGTCACTCCACACTCGGACGAGGGCCACTCCGTCAAGGTGACCGTCACCCGCGAACACCGACCGGGATGGGACAGCAGCACCCGCTCGCCCGCGGCGACGCCTGTGCCCGCTGGCAAGCGCACGCGAAACATCTCCCAGACGAGCGGGGCCACGCGCGTCACCACCACTCCGGCTACGACGAGCAAGACCCTGGGGTCGCCCGCACCATCCGAGGATTCGGGAGTCGGCTTCATGCGCACTATCGTCTCCCAGGACCCGTCTCTGAACCGCCTGATCCCATAGACAATGCATTCTCTCATGCTCGTCCCCCCGCCCTCTTCCCCATCTCCACCTGTGTCGTCGTCGCCGTCTGCTCCCACTCCACTTGTTCATGCACTTTTACGTTTCTTCACGCTTCCACGGGAATACTTTACGACCAACTCTGTTCCATCTCTATGATCGCATGCGCACGGGCCGTTTCTATCGCGCTGATATGCTGTTCTTACACTCATCCTTGTTTTCACTCATCTCATCTCACATCTCATCTCACCTCGCTCGCCCCAATGTCCATTGTCACCCCCGAGTACCCATAGTTGATAATACCGTATCACTCCTTATTTCTTTATTCATGCATGCGTCCGCTAATTATCACACGCGCTCCCACTCTCGTTGTGCTGTCCATGTTCCGACCCTATCCCCGCCCGCCCCCGTCGTGCCGTCCTCTCCTTACGCAACCCCCGTACACATGGCTTTCCCGCTCCCCGGCTTACCCCTCACCCTCGACATCCGTGACCTGTCCTGTCGCACGACGATGCATCACCCCCACCCACATGGCACTGCTTCCCGCCCCGCCCCGGCACTGGCTCTATGGCACTGGCATCACATGCAATATGCATCACGGACACGACCACGCTCGTTCGCTCGTTTGTCCGATTATCAGCTATATACGGGTCTAGATTCAACATGTATCAGTGGTACACTTCCAATCGCTTCCTTTCTGCTTCTGCTCCGTTCCCGCTCGCGTGCTACCCGCCCCCTCTCCCGTACCGAGCTGTGCGCCCGACCCTTAACTCGGCTCGGTGTATGCCGCCTGGTGTATGCTAACGCTGCGTCCGCTCGGGTCCGAGGCGCAGCCCCAATCTGCGCGCGGTAACCACCTAGAAAGCGGATTGCTCAATCTGGTGCCGAGCAGAACCCTAAGGTTACACGACGGGCGTACCTGATGACAGTCTCTGCGGCAGCGGCGGGGTACATGCCTGGAAGGGTCAGGTGAGCGGGACTCTCGCACAGAAAAATAGCGCGACGCACTGTCGAACACGTCCCGGATGAAGTACCCCTCCTTCGTGTCCGGGGTGTTGTCCGGCCAGCGTTCTGAGCGCTTCTCGAACGCCTCATCCGACACGACGGACGCGGCGTGCTCTTTCATACTGGCGGAAGGAGGGCGTTAGAGACACGCGGCGCGGCGCGTGCGCACGGAGAGGAGGGGACGTACCCGTCGATCCAGGAGTACCCTACGCCGTCGGAGAATTGCTCCTTCTGGCGCCAGAGGATAGACCGAGGGAGATAAGGCTGGCACAAATGAGGTCAGACGGCACGCGCGTAGACGGACGGGCACAATTCTACACACCTTGCCGTCCGGCGCGCAATCGAACGCTTTCCGGAGGATGTACTACATGCGAGGGCAGAATCAGCAGCCGGGCGAAGACAGGTCGTGTGCACGCGTACCTTCTCCATCTTCGGGCAGCCGTCCGCGTCGACCTCCTGCTCGGAGCCCTTGCTGAACATTTTATCCTTCGGGTCGATGTTCATCGCCACCTCGAGGAAGGCCTTGTCCAGGAAGGGAACGCGCGCCTCAAGACCCCACGCCATCGTCGATCTGTTGCCGCTCAGCACCCCGCATAGCGTCGGAACGGGCTGGATATCACTCACTTGTTCGCGCGCAGACAGTCCGAGGTGTGCAGGTCCTTGACGCGCTTCACCAGCTCCTGGTGGAACGACTTCGGATCAGGCGCGGCGTGGAAGTACAGGTACCCTGTATTGCGCCGCTGTCAGTGCGTTGCGAGGATGCACATGGACACAGCAGGGCGTACCGCCGAAGATCTCGTCGCTGCCCTCGCCACTGAGCACCATCTTCACGCCCATGGCCTTGATCTTCCGGCTAAGCAGGTACATCGGCGTGCTCGCGCGCACTGTCGTAACGTCGAACGTCTCCAGGTGGTAGATGACGTCCGGGATCGCATCGAGGCCCTCCTGCACGGTGAACGTATACTCGTGGTGGACTGTTCCCAGGTAGTGCGCCGCTTTGCGCGCCGCAAGCAAATCCGGCGAGTTCTCAAGTCCGATGGCGAACGAGTGCAGCTGGGGCCAGGACGTGAGGGTTGCTGCAAGCGAGGTAAGGCACACACACACGTAAAGACAGCCGTCGGCGGGCGGACATACCAGTCTCATCAATCAAGCCTTCTCCGGGGGTGGGCGGGCCACTCCTCGCCTCGGCGAGGCTTCGTTTCCTGGCCTCCGTCTGGGCCAGGGCAACCTTCTCCGTTTCGCGCGCCGCGATAGCAGCAATCAAGCTGCTGTCGAGACCGCCGCTCAAGAGAACACCGTACGGCACCTCGGACATGAGCCGTTTCCGGACGGCATCCTCGAGCGACTCGCGCAGAAGCGTGAGGTCGGCGGGTGTAGTGGGAATGGATCCGCCGGGGCTCTTGAGGTCAGAGTTCCACCACGTAGGCTGGAAGTAGCGCGTCGTGGACTGGTCGCGGCTGTCGTAAACGTGGCCGGGCGGGAAGGCGATAATCTTGTCGCACAGGTCGGTGAGCGCCTTGAGCTCAGACGCGAAGAACGTCGAGCCGGGCCGTTTTGAGCTCCAGCCTTGGTAGAGCGTGGTAATGCCGATGGGGTCGCGCGCGGCGATCACGCGGGAGGGGGTGACCGACTCGTCGAGGAGCACGAAGGAGAACATGCCATCGAGGAGGTTGCATACACCCGTGTCCTGCTCTTGGTACTATAGCAGCAATTCGAAGTCAGTACATGAGACGCCACCGTTCGCGCGCCGAAAGACGTACAAGAGGGATGATGACTTCGCAGTCGGAGTGGGTCTTGAACTTGTACGGGTTCTTCAGCTGGCCGCGCAGCTTCAGGTGGTTGTAGATCTCGCCGTTGACGGCGAGGATGATCTTTCCATCGGTGCTCACGAGCGGCTGCGCGCCAGTGTCTGCGGAAAGAAGTGAGACCTCCGAACTCCCGGGTCACGACTGCAGTACTCACCGACACCGACGATAGCAAGACGTTCGTGCGCAAGCAGGGTCTGCTTGCCGCTGTAGCACCCAGACCAGTCAGGACCGCGGTGTCGAATTTTCTTGGAGCACGCGAGGAGACGCGGCCGCTCCGCCGCGGGGTTGTCGATGCCGTGCGCGATCACGATACCGCACATATTGTGAGATTTGTCGGGGCTGGTGTCTGCTGGGCAGCACGAGGTGGTAGGAGAGCAAGATGGTGGTTCTGGATGATGCCTGCGTCCTTATGGGCTCGAGCTAAGCTGACTCGCGGGGTAATGACTCGGAACGAGCAGTTTATCAACTTTTCAATTTCCATGCAAAGTATTGGCGGGGAGGAAGGCTAGATTAGATAACGCGTGCTATACTTACTGCCCGATCGGGATCGTCCCTTGGTCCAGACGTCCGCGCTTCCTTCCGAGCCTCCGTCTCCGAACCATCCTCCTCTTTCCCCGACAAACCGACGGCCAGCGTGCACAGTCGAGTCACTAGGGGCAGGCCGCATAGGACGTGGCATGTCTGGTGGGCTACCTCAGGAAAAATTGCGGAAATCCGACGGTAGTAACCAAGGTGAGCATTTGATGAGATACGCGTACTGAGTGAGCGCGCTGCAATGACTCTTACATCCACATTTCACAGCCGATTATTCTACACAGTGGCACATCTACATCCTGCCATCTAGCCCGAGCAATCCTTAGCCCCAAAGGGCGAACACCTTGGGGTCAGCATGGTCGTTGTAGCGTCCACCCTTGACGGTGTTCTTCGCCAAGAAATCGTTGATCTCAGCAAGCTCGGCCTGAGTTAGTTCGACATCCCCGCCAGCGAGGTTCTCCAAGTTCCGCTTCTTGACGCTGTATCTCAGGCATCAGGTGGCCGTGCGACTACATGTGGCGCAACACCACTTACGAAGACCCGGGCAAAGGAATAACGTGCGGCCCGAGAGCAGCGACCCAAGCAATGGAGAGCTGCGCCGGGGTGACGCCCTTCTTCCCAGCGATAGCCTTGATCCCTTCGACGATTGACATGTTGTGCTTGAAGTTCTGGTGAATATTGTCAGCGATGCACGCATTTCTGAGATACAGGAAACGAACCTCCTCCTCAAAGCGGGTAAAACGGCGGCGCGTGTCGCCCGCTGCATCGGGTGAGTGAGCCCTTGCACTACCGGAGAGGCTCGCATTCACACGTACCAGGCAGGTCATCTAAGCTCTTGATAGCCCCAGTGAGGAAGCCGCGGCCGAGGGGACTGTCGGCGTCACGGCTTAGTGTGCATACATGCTGCCAGAAAAACACGGGAACTCACGAATAGGCAATCACAGATATCCCGAGCTCTTGGGCCGTCGCGATCACTATGACCAACCCAGTGAGCATGTACACTGCGCAAAGAATTCTCTGTGACACTCACCCTTCTTTGTCTCTTCCTCGTACGACCAGAGACTGACCTCGATTTCGACCGAGGCGATCGGATGCACCTGTGAAGACAGCTGTTATTAACAATCTTCTATCGGAGCGGTGTTACATGGAAATACTCACAGCATGGGCCCTCCTCAGCGTCCCAGCTTTACACTCGGACATGCCGATGTGATCAAACTTGCCCTCGCTCTTCAGCTGGGCAATGGTCCTGTAGGCATCCTCGAGAGGCACGTCCGGGTCAACGCGGGCGGACTCGAAGAGGTCGAGACGCTTAGTGCCCCGCAGGGTGGCGTTGATCCTGTCGACACTACGTCTCAGGTTCTCAGGGCTACGGTGGACGGATCTGTCAGCGTTGCCAGCTCGCCGGGCTGCAAGAGGACGGCGTACGAGGAGTCCGGGACCAACTGCCCCTCTTTCAAGCCGCCCTGTGAGGACCAGGGCGTCAGTAACGCGGCGCAGCAGCCAACAAGATCTCCGGGCAACTGACCTTCACCGAAAGAAAGGTGCGCTCCGCGTACTCGGGGTACTTGTCGAAGAACCGAGCGACAAGCTCCAGATTGGCGGTCGAGCAGTTGGGCCCGTAAAATTCACCTACGGTAACATTAGCACGCGGGAATAATGCAGACTTTCGAGATCTTTACCGCTGTTCAGGAACATCTTCACACCGGGTGGCATGGCGTCGACGCCCGCCTTTATGGCCTCAAAGGCATCCTCGTCGGAGAGGGGATGGCTCGGGTCTCTCCATCTGCGCATACATGCCGTGATGAGTGCGACTACGACCATATACATTCGGGCTAGACGAACGTCATCATCATCAAACCATGCTAGGGTAACAAACGGATAAAAATGGTCAGAATGTGGCAATGACAAGCAGCTCTCAATGCAACATACAGCGACTTTTCCGACGGTAATATCGGACGCGGTGCCTCCTAGCTTGACAGTCTTGACGACCATGATTTACTGACTTGGGGGAGGATGGTGTTGGAAAGAAATGAGGTGTGTAACGGTCTAGCTATGCTCAAATGCAGTTGAGCTCGTTGGGAGCTCCGGCGAACGTCCAGCGCTGCTTTATATATTCTGAGGCTCTCGTCCTCAAGTAAGTAACCCGCTGGTTCTTCGCGGGCTCGTCGTTCCTCCGACCGGGGATAGCTCCTATGGGCGCAGCATCACTTGTGTGGCAACCGGTTAACGTCCAGACGGTCAGCAGACAGCAGTATGACAGAGTATGACAGCATCCTGTTTACTACAGAGAGAGTCGCTATCCAAAGTGACCGTTGAACGCCGACCATAGTTTAAGGGTAGTTTGAGGGTATGCCATGGACGCGCCACTAGGATGTGGCGGTTCGCCGCCCACCTTATTCACACCCTGCTCCACGAACCGCCGCGTTGCCGCGCGTATGTGCTGACCAGCGCGCCGCGTGGTGAAGGTTGTGTTGGGACTCTCAATGCGGACCATGTACGAGAGTGTTTTGCATTCAGGTAATTCCCGGGAGCAACTTGATCAGACAATTAGTGGCGGCGTCGTGGGTGTCAGTTCCTGCACATTTTGAGAGTCATACGCGCGGACAGTCAAGATCCCAGCGATACCTTAAGTGAGCGCTTAAGGTTACAGTAATGACTCTTGTGTCCACAGTTCATACATGTTGATTATACACAGCGACACCTACATTTTGTCCGATGACAATTTCCGCACAGAAATGCTTACCCCCACAAGTGCAGCATCTTGGGGTCGACGGCGTCGTTGTAGCGTCCGCCCTTAACAGTGTGCTTCGCCAAGATATCGTCAATCTCAGCCAGCTCGGCCGGAGTCAATTCGACATCTCCGGCGGCGAGGTTCTCCAAGTTACGCTTCTTGTTTCTGTGGCACAGGGATCAGACGGCCGCGTACACGTCCGTTAGGCAGAGGCACTCACGAAGAGCCGGGCAAAGGAATAACGTGCGGTCCAAGAGCAGCAACCCAGGCGATGCTGAGCTGCGCCGGGGTGATGTTCTTCTTCTCAGCGATAGCCTTGATGCCGTCGACGATAGCCATGTTGTGCTTGAAGTTCTGGTGAAGATTTTCGTCAGCGATGCACAAATCTTTGGCCCATGACAAGCGAACCTCCTCCTGGAAGCGAGAGAAGTGGCGGCGCATGTCAGCCGCTACGTCAAGTAGGTGAGTCCTGGAGCTATCGAGGGGAAGGGGTATAATCATGCTTACCAGGGAGGTCGTTAGGGCTCTTAATCGTTCCGGTGAGGAACCCTCTGCCGAGAGGACTGAGGTTCTTGTGCTTAGTGTGCATATATGAGGGAAGCGAATTATGACAACTGACGAGTAGCCGACTACGGCAATGCCAAGCTCTTGGGCCGTCGCGATTACTATTTCCATTACATTCAGCAAGGCTCATCGACGGCTCATTCTCTTTCAGACCTACCCTTCTTCGTCTCCTCCTCATAGGACCACAGACTGATTTCGATTTCGACCGTGGCAATCGGGTGCACCTGCAGAGACGAGTACCGCTTAGTAGCTTTCATCGGATAGTATCATATAAAACTACCTACTGCGTTGGCCTTCCGAAGACTAGCAGCACTGCACTCGGACATGCCAATGTGGTCGAACTTACCCTCGCTCTTGAGTTGGGCGAGTGTCTTGATCGCGTCCTCGAGAGGGACGTTGGCAGCAACGCGCGCAGACTCAAACAGATCGAGACGCTTCGTGCCACGGAGGACCTCATTGATCTTGTCGACACTACGCCTCAAGTTCTCGGGGCTAAAAAAGGGCGATCGGTCAAAAAAACTGCGCTTCGAAATCGCTACAAGGGAGCGTACGAGGAGTCGGGGACCAGCTGTCCTTCCTTTGAGCCGCCCTGTGAGGATATAGGTGTCAGAAACGCGCTTATATTCCGGCGGGAAATCCGGGTATCTGACCTTCACCGAGAGGAAGGTGCGCTCCGCGTACTCGGGGTACTTGTCGAAGAAGCGAGCGAGGAGCTCCAAGTTGGCGGTCGAGCAGTTCGGCCCGTAGAATTCACCTGCGGTAACATGAGCACGCGAGAACAACGATGATGCACGATAACGAGATGTTTACCGCTGTTGAGGAACATCTTCACGCCAGGCGGCATAATGTCGACGCCCGCCTTGATGGCCTCGAAGGCCTCTTCGTCAGGGAGGGGGACGCTCGGGTCCCTCCATCTGAGTATACAGAATGTGATCAGTATACACGCGATCATACGTATATATTCGAGCGGAACGAACGTCATCATCATCAGGCCATGCTAATACATAGGAAAGAATGAGATAAAACGGTCAGAAGATAGCATAGATGATAATCAGTCTGCAATCTGACATACAGCGACTTTTCCGACAGTTATGTCGGACGCGGTACCACCGAGCTTGACAGTCTTGACGGCGACCATGTTTCGATAAGTTGTTGAGGAAAGCTTGAAAAAGAGTTGCAGCAGGTAGCGGTGCGAGTTCAAGTGTGGTGGTTTGTCTCTCAGGTGGACATGGAGCCGCTATATATACTCGAAGGTTCTTGCCCTGAAGTAGCCCGACGGCGGGTTCTTCGCGAATACCTAGCGGCCCCGACCGGAGATTGTTATAGGCGCAGGATCAGGAGTAAGTGCAGTTGGCGTGTATATCCGCCTAAGAACCGCCACTTTTCCTACTGTACAGGATCGCAATCGCAATACCGTGGGCTAGCTAGGCTAGCCTGACTAGGTCAGCCGGTTGCAGTATTGCAGCGTATGACAACACCCCGTTGACCACTAGGCTTGGCGTTCAGCCTACCAGAGTGATAGAGACCACTGAGATGGACAATGGATCAGTAAGTATCATGCCGGGGGGACGCGCCAGCGTACGGCGCGTCCGACGCTGCTATACATACCCCGCTCGGGATACTGCCGCATCGCCGCTCGGTACGTACTACCTCACGCTATGCATGTGATAAGCCTGTAAGAACTTAATAGGCCATGTACGTCAACGTCATGTTACGTTGAGGCCAGCCCCCGAAGCAGAGCTGCCGGTATCCTGCGAATTTCCTGAGAGCCATATGTACACAGACTCACTAGCAGTCAGGAGACTCATCGTACCTGGTGAACCTCATGTCTGGCATGATGCAATGCGCGGAGAGTACGCAAGTCATATGGCCCCTAGAAAGCTAATAACATTCACTGGCAATGTCGGATTGGTTTCAACCGAGAGTCGGTCCGAGACGGGGAACAGCCTCAGGGAACGGCAGCCAAGGTCGTGAGAAGTACTTACTGCACATCGCCCACAATACACTGCGAAGCGACGCGTACCTAGCCATAAGAGAAGAAAGCTGGATAGCAGTCGAGCGAGGTAGCAGGTACGGTGCAAGTGGCATCTGGGCTACCGAGGAGGAGGTGGTGGTCGACGCGGACTCGAGTCGGTGCTGCGGGCCGCCGGTGAGAAGGCCGAATTGGGAAGAATTATATTGGAACCGCGTGGGCATGCTCCGCCGTGTCGTTCCTGGAAGCAGTCCCGTCTTCGAAGCGGACTGGGGTAGCCACTCCGTCTCTCTTTCACCACCATCTCATCTTCCTTCTTGCTTCGTTTTGAGATACCCATTTTTCCAGCATGCAAGGCGACAGGCTAGCAGCACACAGGGTGCGTCAGCGCTCCTCATATCAACCACATTGCAATTTCCTTGGGGTTGACCAGCACTCGGCAAAGCATAGGCTCGCCAGGCACAGCAGCAAGGTGGTCAGGCCCATGAGATGACCCCGGTCGGTGGCGGGGAGTATGCGTCCCCCACCACGCCGCAGAACGGCGCGGGCAACGGGAGCACGGACAACATGGCCAACTTCTACAATGAGGTACGTTCTTCACGTCTCACCTCGCGAATTATTCGCCTTAACGCGACGCGTTATACGCCCGAGGTGTGCTGAACGTTACTTCTGCTCTGTAGGTCACGTCCATACAAGACAGCATCGCACAATTTAGCGGCAATGTCTCCCGGATCTCAGACCTGCATTCTCGCACGCTCAACAGCACCGACGACAACGCGAGCAGGCAAAACGAGGCCGTTCTGGATGACCTAGTCGGACAGACGCGACAGCTGAGCACCGAGCTTAAGGAGAGGATACAGACGTTGTCGTCATATCCGGTCACTCGCGCCCAGGACCAGGCCATTCGCAAGAACCAGGTAAGCACTGCTCCGCTTCTGAACATACGCATCCGGCGGTTGTTAGGAATGTATGTTTACTCGGCACTTTGCCTGCTGCAGACCGCTCTTTTGCGTCAGAAGTTCGTGGAGGTGCTACAGAACTACCAGCAAGTGGAGAGGGATTACCGGGCGAAGTACAGGCAGCGGGTAGAGCGGCAGTTCAAGATCGGTGTGTACCATGCATACTCCACATCTTTGAAACCTATAGCTGACTTCGATATGTTCAGTCAAACCTGATGCCACACCGGAAGAAGTCGCAGCGGTGGTTAATGACACCAATGGCGCAGGTGCTCAGATTTTCACGCAAGCGGTATGCTGTCCTGCTCGTTTGAAACTGAGCTCCGCCTCACGCTTTCGTACAGCTGTCGTCATCAACACGCTATGGCGAGTCTAGGACAGCCTACCGGGAGGTTCAGGACCGTCACAACGACATTCAGAAGATCGAGCGGACGCTTGAGGAACTGGCGCAGCTGTTCAATGACGTGAGTGGCGGACATCATTCATAGAGAAGCGCGGCCAACTCACTCTGATTGGTCCGGGTCGGTGTAGATGTCCGTACTTGTCGCGCAGCAGGATGAGGCCATTGACCAGATCAATACTATGGCGGGCGATGTGGAAGCGGACACGGGTGCTGGGTATGCGACTTTTACCTGATTGTTTTTCGACTTATGTCTGACACGGTTGCGTCCAGTCTCAAGGAGACCGAAATAGCGGTGAAACATGCCCGGTCAGCTCGGCGCAAACGCTGGATCTGCTTCATCATCGCGGTCATCGTTGTGCTGGTCCTCGCGCTCGTGCTCGGTCTGCATTTCGGCCTGCAGAAGAACAACACCAACTAAAGCAGCTTGCGCGGTCTATGCGGCTCGGCTGGACGGGCCTTCTTCATATCATGAACTTGGACGATCTCACGAGACGTATGCATTACCACCGCACCCCTTGACGACAGGTCAACGCTCGCACGCGCGTGCGGCGGGAACATTTCTGAATGACGACACGACGTATCTATTACATGTTTCGTCTAATATACCACTTTGTATTCCAGCCGTTTTCCATAATAGTAATCACGGAGCGTATGCTCTTTAGTATTAGTGCTACAGAAGGAATCAGCTCCATCCAGGTTCACGGTCGAACGCGATCCGCCGCACGGAGGCTCTCAGTTTCTGACTCAGACGTGCATGTGCGTGACGCTCGGCGACCATATCTGCAGCCACAACTGCCCACCGCGATGGGGGCCCAACCTTCGCATCTCGTCGACATCGACGCCCTCCGGACCTCAATTGTGCGGCGGGACGAAACCACCTGAAACGACCGTGCGGCTTCCTCCCTGGTAGCCATTTCCCCACCCTCGCGCTTCTACGGTCCCACTCCCTTCAACCCAGGCCACCCAAGCTGCGCGACCCTCACCCACCCCACTTGGCCCCCGCGCGCACCCAGCACGACACCACATACAACGATGGCGGACGCGTTCAAGCTCGCGCCCGAGCAGGACACCCTGAGCAAGTACCGCGATGAATTCGTTGTGCCGACGTTCCGCCAGATGAAGGCGAGCGCCGTGCCCGCTGAGATCGGTGCGTCCTGACTCCTTGCGCCGCATTACCCCCGCGCGCCACGATCTGCAGCTGAGTTTATTGCATTGCCTCGCCTGGGTGGGCCATATCGCATCGCGCTCGCTGTGGATGGTGTGTAGCGGACGAGCCGAGCACGTACCTCTGCGGGAACTCGCTTGGGCTGCTCCCGAAGCGCTCGAAGAAGCTCGTTGAGGAGGAGCTCGATGTTTGGGGGACGAGGTGCGTATCTGTGCTGTAGTGAACGTATGTCGTGAAACTGACGCTGCGCGTCGATCGTGTCTGTAGAGCGGTCGAGGGCCACTTTGACCACCCGCTAGGCCGGGACTGGATGTTCATCGCGGACACAGTCCACCCGCACCTAGCGCAAATCGTAGGTACGTTGTCCGGGTGGTACTTTACATGCTGTGTGCGCAACTAGGACTCACAGATTCTCACTGTTGACCAGGCGCGAACGAATCGGAGGTCGCGTGCATGGGCACGCTCACCGCGAACCTCCACTTGATGCTGAACGCATTTTACAAGCCCACCGCGGAGCGATATAAGATCCTCTGCGAGGCGAAGGCCTTCCCTTCGGACCAGGTTCGTTTCTCACTCACGTAAACCTCGCTGTTCAGAGCTAATTCTCGTATTGTCTCGTGAATAGTATGCGATGGCGACCCAGCTCACCTCGAGAGGGTACGACCCCGCCGACGCCATTATCGCGATGAGCCCCCGGAAGGGCGAGCATATACTCCGGACTGAAGACATCCTCAGTACCATCGAGAAGGAGGGCTCCAGCATCGCGCTCGTCTTGTTCGCCGGAGTGCAGTTCTACACCGGCCAGTGGTTCCAGATGAAGGAGATCACTGCCGCAGCGAAAGCGCAGGTATGAAGCAATGATTTATCAGTCTAGACAGTAGAAGTGCATTGCTGACGTTTCTCTTGTTGCAGGGATGCGTGTGCGGATGGGACCTTGCGCACGGCGTAGGGAACGTCCCCCTCTCGCTGCACGACTGGGGCGTCGACTTCGCAGTGTGGTGCACGTACAAGTACCTCAACTCCGGCCCAGGCGGCATCGGCGGGCTCTTCGTGCACGAGCGCTGGGCAGACCTCGCAGTCCAGTAAGTACAAGCTCCCCCGCACCCCTCATCCAACTCCGAAGCTCATCCTACTCGCACTCACAGCGAAGCCGGCTGGTGGGGCCACGACCCCGCGACGCGGTTCGACATGCCCCCACAGTTCAAAGCGATCCGCGGCGCGCAGGGCTTCCAGCAGTCGAACCCGTCTGTGCTCGCGACCGTCGCGCTCCTCGGCGCGCTGCAGGTGCTCGCGGACGCAGGCGGCATTCCCGCCGTGCGCGCGCGCTCCCTGCGCCTCACCGGCTACCTCGAGGCGCTCCTGCAGCAGAGCCGGTTCTACGCGCCCCCGGAACTGGCGTTCGCGGACGTGGAGGGGGTCAAGATGACGATCATCACTCCGGCGGACCCGGCGCAGCGCGGGGCGCAGCTGTCGCTCGTGTTCTTGCCGACGGGGAGGGGGGTCATGCCGAGGGTGCTGAAGGGGTTGGAGGCGAGGGGTGTTATTGGCGACTCGAGGAAGCCGGATGTGATTCGGCTGGCGCCTGTTCCGCTGTACAACACCTTCGAGGACGTCGAGCGGGCGGTCAAGGTTTTGGACGAGGTGCTGCAGGAGGTGGAGAAAGAGGGTGTGCCGCCTCCCTCGTAATCGTCATGGGTTCATAGCGTAGGCCGCATGTTAGGAGATGTATAGCAGACAAGAAACACGGTGTAGGTTACATATGGGGAAAAACTATCACGGATCCAGAGTTCGAACGCCAAACGGGTACCCCCTGCTGTGAAGCGAATAAATCATCCTCCGTCGTCTCGATAATCTTAAAACTTGGTAGAACGGTACGTCATATGTACTTCTATCATCCTACTAACTTTGAGTACATTTGAGGATGTTGGAGCCCGACCAGTGGGAGGGTACCAGAGTTTGAACGTTTCGATGACTTGAATGAGTAACGCGACGTAACGCTGCCGAGCCATGCCCAATTTAACACCCGCAGCAAGCGTGCGCTAGGCGGTAGGTTCGACACAAACCCCGAACACTAGAACATGAGAGGTAAACGGTCTTGGTATGAGACTACGCTAGGCGGGACTTAAGGCGCACTCGGCCACCAGCATCGTCGGAGTTCAGGATATTTCGCTAGCAGTAGCGCAAATGTCACGCTTTGAGTCTTACACCTTTTGCTACTCAATTTTCCGTTGCCCATAGCTGCGTAGCACCTCGGGAAAATCGCAGAACCATTTGTGTATACTTACATGGAACGCCCATAGAGCCGTGGCTCGAAGAGCGCCCAGAGGTGCATCGTGCAAAAGCTGTCCTCGTGGACTTACTTCTTCAAGATCGGGACCACGGCCTGCTCTAAAAACTTCTAGTCTTTTGCAGACAGTGTATCGTACATAGAGGTATCAGATTGCGAGGTTTCAAGGTTATCGGCACGCAGTGAGGGAGGGATCTTTCGGAACGTTCGAACTCTGGGTCCCGTTCGAACTCTAGGTCTGTGATAGTAGTGGTTGGTTGTGACTCGGAGACTTAGGCTATTCGCGCCGGTGGAAAACATATCCCCGTCGAGCGAGAAATTCTGCGCGGCCTAGACTGACGCTATACAACAAACGTATATTGGCAAATATATCTTCTCTTCACATATGCACCACCGAGTTCTACACGTACAAACAGCAACAGCCACGGGCCCCAGCGGTACCGAGAACACAGGAAGCCGGCGCTCCCGACGAACGACACAGGGTGGAGCAGGAGAAACGCCGCCGATCGAAGGCTGATAGAGTTGGAGGAGGTGGATCGTTGTCGAGATCTGTAGCTGCGATCGGCCTGCGGACAGACCAATGACGCAATCGACATTCTTGCATCCTACGTCGCAGTAGCGGGCCCGGGAGAGGTGGACTTGTCCTCCTGGTGGCGTTTAACGAAGTCGGCGATGATGCGCGGATACACCTCGCCTTGGAAGATGTCGTCGTGGTTCTCCTCCAGCTCGTGGAAGTTCTTCTCTACCAGCGGACGCGGGCCAGCGGGCAATCCTTCGGTCATCGCAGACAAGTGGGCGTACATCGTCGCGCTCTGGAGCTCGTCGACGAGCTGGTCGCCCTTGGAGTGCATGATGAGCCAGCGGACGTGCTCGGCCCCAGTGCGCAGTGGGTACGACGCAGCGTCTGCCTCCGGGTACGCGTCATGGTCTCCGAATGTGGGAGCGATGAACCACGGCTTATAATTGGGGAAGGAGCGGAGGAGCGCGTCGATGTCGTAAATGCCCTCGGAGAGAAGGACGGCGCGGGTCGCGGCGAGGAGCTGCCGCGAGGGCGTCAGCTCGGCCGCGTAGGGCGACCGCAGGAAGATGGACGCGAGCATGTGCGCGCTGCAGCTGTGGCCGAGGAGGTAGAGCGCGCTCGGGGGCGGCTGCGGGCTGGAGGGGTCCGGGCCGGCCCACGTCGTGAGGAAGTGGAGGCAGCGCAGGACGTCCTCGGCGTGCGAGGGGTGCTGCAGGGGATGGGCTTGGGAGGTCAGCTGGTAGTTGGGGACGGCGACCGCGCAGGCGGTGAGGGAGGCGAGGGTGCGAGCGAGCGCAGCATGGTCGGCCTTGTCGCCGCTGTGTGGGCGCAGTGAGCGGTGCAGCACGCGCAGCAGACTGGGGAGGAAGAACTGACGAACGCCAGGCACCGCCGTGGACGAAGACGAGGAGAGGGCGGTGCGGGGAGGGGCCTGGGGGTGGATAGTAGTCGAAGCCGTGCGCCGGCAGAGGCCCGTACGAAATGGCCGTCATGGCGGTTCGGGTCTAACGCGCGTAGCCCGGTGACGTCACGCCCGCCCACCGGGTCGCCCCTTATAAGCCCGTCGTTCGCGCTCGCTCCTCTTCCTTCACACATCCATCCCCACAATGGCGTTCACTGGCTCAGACATCTGCAAGGTATGCTGCCCCGCTCCTCCTCCTCGTGCTCCCGCGCTGACCCTCTTCCACAGATCCTGTACGTTCACCCCCCGCTTTCTCTCAACCTCAACGTCTCCTGACGTCGTTGCTCCAACAGTTTCGCGATCCTCCTCCCCCCCGTGGGTGTCTTCCTCGAGCGTGGCTGCAACTCAGACTTCCTCATCAACATCCTCTTGGTGAGCACACTCTTTTCGGAGTTCTCGCCACAGCTCGCTGACGATTTCACAGACGATTCTGGGTTACATGTACGTTCAACCCCCGACGCGACTCCACCCGACATTCAGGGCCCTTGCTGACACACGCTTTGCAGTCCCGGTATCATCCACGCGCTCTACATCATCCTCAAATACTAGGCGCACACAGGGCCACCTTCCTATTGCTAGCCGGCCCCATTCCTCGTTACGCCGTTTACGACGCTGTCATGATCGTTCCGACAGACACTGTATATTGAGGTTTCTATAATTCCCGTATTACCTACCGGCGTAGTAGTAGATGTTGTTCTCTGTGCGTCCATGTATTATTGATACCCTTCTTCCATGCCCTCTGTGCATCGTGCGCGTGGTAACCGGTGTGAACTTGAATGGTCAAGTATTCGATGCCATTGTGTGTGGTGCACGTATCTAGTGTGCCTGTATACGTAGTACAACATGTGTTCGTGCTAACTTCTCGCAATCTTCACGTCCCCGAAATACGTATGTATGTGTGTCGCAATGCACGCGCTCTCGCCACCCGGCCCAGCACATCTGCCACCTATCCCCGTCCTTGGCATGAAGAAGGGTGATAGAGTTCACAACTTCATAGGAGAAGTAGGAACGTGGGCCTCGAGTAGTACGGCGTGTCATGCGGCAGGTGTGCTTGCCGTCTTGGCGGGAGCCTCGCCCTCGCTCTCGCCGGACTCGTACTCGGAGCTGTCTTCCTCCGAGCTCTCCGAGTCCGTTTCCTGCTGAGGCGCAGGCGCCTTGGGGGGTTGTGTGGGCGGAGGGACAGGCGCTGTGGAGGGTTGGGTTGTTGGAGGCGCCGCGGCTGGAGGTGCGGCTGTAGGACGGGCCACAGCAGGGGGTGTGGCAGCGAGAGGTGCAATGGCAGGAATGGCAGAGGATGGCGGCGCAGCGGCAGGAGGTGCGGCGGGCTTGGAGGGAGCGCTGTCCTCACTTCCCTCGTCGCTGTCCTCACTCTCCTCTTCCTCCTCGCTCGAGGTTCCCTCTTTTGCAGGTGCCTTTGGTGGTGCTGCGGGTTGGGCTTGTGGTACCGGGGGAGCAACCTCGTCCTCATCCTCGCTTTCCTCCTCCGAGCTACTCTCCTCCTTCGCAGGCGCTGAGACAGATGCCGCGGTCTTGGCTTGCGGCGTAGGCGGGGCAGGCTCGTCCTCGTCCTCGTCTTCCGACTCGTCCTCGCTCTCTTCATCCGTGCTCTCCTCCTGTGCGGGAGTCTTCGAAGGGACGGCTGTCTTAGCCTGGGGTTTTGGCGGCGCCTCGTCCTCGCTCTCATCCTCGGACTCCTCATCCGACTCGCTCTCCGCATCAAACTGCTCAATCATCTTCGCCCCAACCGCCCAACACCTCTTGACGCCCTCGGCAAGCGGCGAGCCCGGCTTCAAGCCCTCGCCCTTCGCCGCCGGCGACGCGTGCCACTTCCGAATATCGTCCTCCTCCACCAAATCCGCCTGGTAGAACGCCGCGAGCACCTGCGCGAACAGCGCCTGGCGCGCCGCCACCGGGGCCGCCGCACAGTGGTACTGCAGCACCTCGACGGTCTCGACCGCGTCGACGCCCCCGATCTTGTCCACGAGCGCGCCCCAGCGGCGCACGACCCCGCCGATCTCCGCGCGCTGTGCCGCAGGGTCCCCGGGGACGAGCGGGACGCGGTCGACGAGCGCGCCGACGACGGCCTCGCGCACGCGCCGGAGGGGCACGTTGGACGCCATGCGGAGCGTCTTGAGCTCGACGGCGGCGTTCTCGACGGAGTGGCCCTCGGCGAAGGCGCGCTCGAGCGACTGCGCGACTTCGGAGCGGAACTCGGTCTCGGCGGCGGCGTAGGAGAGCGAGTGGATCGCGGAGGTCTCGGCGGAGGGGTCGCTGAGGTTGAGCGAGAGGGAGGGCCCGGAGTTGGAGGTCATGGAGGAGGCGCGGGAGCGCATCGAGTAGGAGGTGTCGGTGTCGCTGAAGTCGTCTTCTGTTGTTGAGCCTTCGTCTGATAGCTCGAGGTCGGACGCATCGTCGCCTGTTGAAGAGTCAAAGTTAGTAGGCAGTTCATTATTGAGCGGGCGGGAGAACGTACACATGCGCATAAGCCGTTGGTTGTTGTACTGTTCTCGGACGTCCAAAGTATCGTCTTCCTCGGGTGCGCCCTGAGGCCAGACAAGAGCATTCGAACCCTTCCCTACGATCTCTTCCACGCCTTCTTGGTCTGTTGAGCTCTGTCAGCTCCACGCCCGAAAAGCTACTCAAAAGGAGTGCACTTACGAGCTTCGACCTCCTCCAGGTCGGAGTCCTCTTCTTCCTCATCCTCGTCGTCGGCATCCTCATCGTCGGCTGCCTCCTCCGCGTCCCGCTTCTTGGACACCCGCTCGAACCTCCTCAGCTTCGCATTGTCTCCAATGACGACGCCCTCAGCGATGAGGCACCCTCGTGGTACCCGACAACGATCCCCAATCCGCACCCGCTCCCCAATGATACTGCCCTCAACGACACAGCCTGCGCCAATATGCGTGTCGTCGAATATGTACGCATCGCGCAGCACCGCTCCCGCGCCGACCGTACACCGCTGGCCGATCACCGAGGAGTGCACGGAAGCGTTCGCTTCGATCGTGGTGTGGGCACCGATCAGGGTGTTGTTTCCAATCTTGCATGTCCTTTGTGAGGAGTGCGTCAGCAACCGGGACGCGATACAAGGCTAAGAAAAAAAGGAGCACACGGACCGTGATAGGACGACGGAATTACCCTTCGCGATGTATTTGTTGCCACGCAGGTGCTCATACGAGTGTCCGCCCGGGTGGTTGTCGTCTGGGACCAGAGGGAATGTCCATCTTGACAGAATGTCCTTGCTGTTTGCGGTGTCAGTACGGCACCTGATACCTCGGTCGACCCGGTCCATACCTGACCGCATCGTAGCTGCGGGTGTCCGCCACGCGCGCGGCGTATCCGTCTTTCGCCACATAGCAATATATGTTTTTGATGAGCAGATCCGAAGTGAGCACCCCATGCACGAAGTCTCTCCGGATGTCCAGGTAATCGAAGTTGTCCTGGAATAATGACGGAACCTGCGCAACGAGTGGCTCAGCACATAGTTAGCCACGACATGCGATGGGCACCGACCTCCACGGAGCATACGTCTATTGAGCAGTCGACGAGGTCGTACCGGATCTCGACCTCTGGATGTTCTGCGAGCACTTCGCGCGGGATCTTGACGAGCGGCGTCGCGGGATAGCCAATGGTAGGCTCATAGTGCAAACACTCCGACGTCTCAGGATCCAGCACGAACACGCCGCTCTCCCCCCTCGACCTGCCCAGCCACACGTCAGTCAGCTTCCCCTCACTGAAACGCACCCGCCGCCGCCCTCCCGCACTCACCGCGTCCTGTGCTGCGCGCCGCTCTCCTTCACGACCATGGTCATGATCGCGTCCTTGTTCGTGCGGCGGCGCTCCTTGTGCGCGCGCACGACCTCGTCGATGCGCACGTTGCTCACGAGGTCGCCCGTGACGAGCACGAAGTCGCTCGTGATGATCCCGTGCGTGTAGATGTCGCGCATCGCGTCCCCCGGCGAGAACGTCTCCTTCGCGGTCATGATCGTCACGATCTTCAGCCCTGTGCTCGGTTTCGACCATTTCGAGTCCCTGTAGGGTGCGCGGTGCCGGTGCCGGTTGCGTGCATGGAGGGCGGGCGGGTGTAGAAAAGCGGAGAAGCGGTCGGGGGGAGAGTCGGACGGAGAAGGGAGAAGTAAGTTAGAAGGTATGGAGGGTCGGAGGTAGAAGCGGGCGTACCGTATAGCGGCCTTGACCTGGTCGGCGTATGATCGACATATAACGAAGATCTCCTGCACTCCAGCGAGCGCAAGGCTCTCAAATGTCCAGTCTAGCAGCGTGGCATTGCATATAGGTAGCAGGCACTATGCGGCGTGAGGGCATCAGTACATGCGGTAAAACCGGTCTGTATAGCGCGCACCCTGGGCTTGCCCACCGTGAGTGGCTTGAAACGTTTGTTGAAGCTGTCTGCGAGAATGACAGCCTGGAGGACCTCGTCCTCCTCTGCGATGTCCTTGTCCTTTCCGGATGATGATTTGGGAGGCATCGCTAGTGAGATGAGTGGGTAAAAGTAGGTAGAAGTGCCAAAATGAGCGCTCTCGCGGCGCGACGCGTTCAATACAAGGGTATGACTCGATCGTCTCGATCACATGTTGAAGATTTAGCCATCTCAGTTGGACTCACAGAACCACATGGATGTAGCCATACCACAGCGACATGGGACGACAGCCGTGGAGCAGACGTGTTTCGCAGACGAACTGTAAGATGTATATTGAAAAGGAGGGGACAGTCGCAGCTCATAAGAGAGAAACCTGGATGGCAGCACATCGCCTCATCGTGGTCTGTTACCGTAGAGCAGGGAAACAGTTCATGATTACACGAAGCCATAGACACACACGCGAGCACGATCCAGTGAGAGAATGAAAGTGGGTATGGGGATATCACCTATCCGGATCGACATTAGGCTGGGTAACAGCGGATCAAGACGATGTAGGTATGCGGGCGTAACTCGTGAGGGAAACAAAAAGCAAAGGACCAGATCCGCGTCGTACATTACCCGAAGAAAGAATGAAATGGGGATAGAAGCGAAATCCACTAGCGTGGATGTGGATGGGGGAGGGAGGTACCCAGGAGGGGCGCAGAGAGACAGGAAACATTAGAAGTGCACAGCTCGTCAAGGTCGTAATAATGTATGAGGAACATTTTAGGACCACGCTCACGCTGCCGCCGCAACAACGGGGGCGGCAGGCGGCGCCTCGACCTTGGGCTCCTCCGAGGCAGCAACCGCGGGCGTGGGCTCCGCAGCCGCCTCAGCCGCCGGGTTCTCGAGGGGAGCAACAGGGGTGGGCTCCTCGATCTTAGGGGGGTTCTCCTCGACCTTGGGCGGGGTGTTGTGCTCGGTCTTGGGCTTCGACTTGAAGAACTCGCCGACGCGGGCCGACAACCGACGGCTGACCTTGGGCGACTTCTTCTCTTCCTTCTTCTCCTCCTTCTGCGCAATCAGTCAGACACGGGGACATAGACCAGACGATAGCGACAAACCTTCTCTTCCTTGGGGGCCTCGGTCTCCGCAGCGGCCTCAGCGGGCGCAGCCTCAGCGGCGGGCGCCTCAGTGGCAGGCGCGGTCTCGCTATACGCGTGTCAGACGACATACTAAAACAATAACTGAATGGTTACGCACGTCTCCTTCACGGGCTCAGCGGCAGGAGCCTCCTCGGCCTTGGGGGCCTCAGCGGCAACCTCAGCCGCGGGCTCCTTAGGAGCCTCCTCGGCAGCGGGGGCAGCGGTCTGGATCAAGTGTCAGACATGTGACGACTGTCGCCACAGGAGCTCACGCACCTCTTCCTTCTTCTCAGTCTTCTTAGCGGTCTTCTCCTTGGGCTTCTTCTCAGCCTTCTCCTTCTTCTCGCCCTTGAAGGGAGCGAGGAGCTTGGCGAGGAGGGAGGGGCTCTTGGGGCGCTCCTCCTTCTTGGTCTCAGCCTCAGCCTAAAGATATTTGTCAGATACGATACCGAGCAACATCCAGAAGAAACTTACGGGCTTGGCCTCCTCGGTAGCAGGGGTCTCAGCGGCAGGAGCCTCAGCAGCGGGGGCAGCGTCAGCGGCGGGAGCCTCAGCCTCAGCAGCAGGAGCAGCCTATTACATGATGATGAGGATCCGAGCAGGCAGTGCAACCCGTTTACGACGTACCTCAACCTTAGCCTCCTCCTTGGGAGCCTCCTATTCTAGGGTATTAGGGTCGAGCGCCTAAAGAGCGTTGTTGATTGGCACTTACAGCAGCAGGCGCCTCAGGGGCAGCCTCAGGCGCGGGAGTGGGCTCAACAGCGGGAACCTCCACGGGCTTGGTCTCCTCGACGGGGACGACAGGTGCAGCGACGGTGTCAGACATTATGAAGACTTAGGTGTTCGTGAGCTGGAGGGAGAAAGTGGTTGTTGGTCAGACGACGCGACTTAAAACAGGCAAAAACAAAGCGGGCGGCGTCGCAACGAGGACGATGCGAAGGAAATAAAGGCTTGTGAGGGCCGAAAGGCGACGAAAGACTCACAATAGTGGTATATGGGAAGAGAGCGAGGGCTCTGTGGCCTGGCTACTTGGCAGGAAGGAGAGAGAACGAGAGAAAGAGAGATAGGGAGAGAATAAGCTCTGGGACACGGCGCCCTTCTTATCCTTAAACAGTCCGAACAAACAAGGCTAAACTAAATTTGGCCAGCCCACGGCCAGTCCTGCCAAATCGAGCCACGCGTCTCGTTCTGCTGCAACAACACTCGATCACGCCTGTTTGTTCTCCCGGCCCTTGGCTCGGTCGCGTCGCGTCCACTTCACACTCGCTCTCTACAGCTGTTTGGACTCCTTTTCTCTCTTAACGGAGTGGCGCAGGGGCGTGTGGGCAGCTTCGGCGGGCAAACTGGGGCGGAGGGCGTGGGATAGTGGTTCACAAGGTGATAAAAAATGTATTGATTTGGGAGCGAGCCGAAAGAAGGAAGCGTCCAGTTCGCGTTCCGGCGGGCTAGCGACGATCGGGAATCATGTCGTTCTGCGACGTGCTGCCGTCTCACAGGGCCCGCATCCCGCCCTTGTGTGAGCGCCTGGCGCATGCTGGCTGGCAGCGCCTGATGGCGGCGACTCTGGATGGCGAGGAGGCCCGTCCTGTGCAGGAGCGTTGAGGGAGCCGTGGAGGGGCGACGGCGGGCGCGCTTGGCTCGGCGGTAGTAAGGCTTCTATTCTATTGCGGGTAAGCGTCGGAAGGGTTCTGGACTGCGTGACTCGGCGTGAAGAGGGCGTTTCACATATGCAAATTCGCGCCTCGCACGTGGACGGATCCGTGGAATGCCAGAAAACGCGCCGTTTCTACGTAACGCCCGGATAAGGAAAGACACGGCGGGCGCGGTTCCCACGTAAAACACTTATCCTCCGCCTCCCTGCGCCCTCGCGTGCCCCGGCATCCCCCAAGCCTCTCGCTTCCGCCCGTCTTTAGTCTCCTCTTGTATTCACGCCTCGAGGACTGCTCTCGCGCGACCGCTGGCTTGGTTTTTGTTCTGCAGGCACAAACGCACGCAAACGGACAATACCCCACACACGAGGTCTCCACTATGGCGACACCGCCGCACCCACTCCACCCTGGCCACGGTTTAAGGTCCCTCGTCGGCTGCTTGCACGCTCGCTCGCCTCTCTACCGCCTACAACTCAGTCGACAGCCTTATAGCCCAGGTGCGATCCTGTACGTCTACTCACGACCTTACACGAACTCGCCATGCTTGCTGCAATCACGCCCTTCTTTCTCTTCGTCGCGTTCCTCCTCCTGCTCCTCGTCTCGCTCTCTCTGCCAATCATCAAGAGCATCTTCCTCTTCCGGCTGACTGCAAACGACACCGCTTCCTTCCTGCACGCCTCCGCCTCTGCCTCCGGTGAAGTCCGCTTCGGTGTGTGGGGTTATTGCACGTCTGCGATCACGGTGCAGTGAGTACGGCCCATTCTGATGTCACCATTCTGTCAACTGACGGTATCATCGCGTCCTGTCCGTCCCTATCTCCTGTTCGCCCTGTGATCTCCCAGAGTCATCGGCGTGGACCATGAAACTGCCGGCCAATGTTCTAGTCCTCATCTAGGATATCAATTCGACTCCAACGTGGCGAACGCTCTCCATGTGAGCGGCTTCTCGGACACCATCTCCCGCACTCTCAGCGCAGTCCTGGTGCTCCACCCCATCGGTATGTCATATTGTCCGCTCGCGCGCCATTGTCTTACGCCGCGCAATCTCCCGTGATCCAGCGTGCGCGCTCGCCTTCGTCGCTCTTGTCACTTCCCTGTTCATCACCACTCGGCGTTCACCGGGCACCGTCTCTCGTCCGGCTGCGTTGGCCACTCTGGTCATTGCTCTCTTGGCGGCGGTGATAACGACCGTCATCTTCCTGCTGGATGTCATCTTTGTGGCGGTCGTCCGTAACAAGATCAATGATGAGTCCGACGGCGTCTTGCAGTTGAACTGGGGGAATGCAGTATGTCTTGATATTTCCTGCACGTTCAAAATGATATATTTATGATCATCTTCCGTTCCTTCGCAGGTATGGATGGCCCTCGGCGCAACGATTGCCCTGTGGGCCTCAGTCGTGAGCGACTGTGCAGGTCTCTGCGGCTTTGGCCGGCGCTATAGCAGGTCCGTCATTCATCGTGTGCCGTTCGCTGCGTTCCCGCTATGCTAACATACTCGCTTCCGTGCAGAAAGCGCGCCGACGGAAGATACTGAACGTTCGACCGGAAGACGTCTGACAGGCTCTTCTTCCCCGCCGCTGATTCGACTGTGATTCCCAGGCGGACGATGATACCCGACTGATGCGCGCCACATGGACCGTTTTCCCCTCCATCCGCCGCCCTTGGATCTGCCAGACCGCGGAGGCCGCTCGACGTGATTCTCTTTCGCGCGGAACTCCGAGCATTCAAGCTGCACGTCCGCCTTTCCCCGCATTTGAGCACTTTTCTAACCCTTTGCCCATGCTTGAAACATGACCCGTTTCCTCTTCCTTGCCTGACTGACTCTTGCTAGACATGACCCATTTACGCGAACTGCTGTATCTATATCTTCTACTGTTGCTCGCTACTACCCCTGTTATTGTATACCTTAGCCCTTGTAGGACTCTTTCATATATCCCGTCTATCTAAGCCTGGACCGTCCCACAGATCGAATGATGCTCGCCCTGCGCCGCAACCCATCGATTCGCAACGGTCTCTTGGCCTGAATTCGAGCTGGAGGAACACGATAAGCATCACGCTCGCACCACCGCAAACGTTTCCGGTCGCCGCTGCCGTGATTTGCGGGGGTGGCTGTCATGTTCTCGCGGGCCGCCGCACCTGAGCGCGACCGCGTTTCGCCCTGTACGGCCCCGCACGCACGCTGCCGCCTCTGCTGCGGGCCTGCTCAGCCAGGTACTTAGGAACGCGTCGCTGCTAGTCACCTCGGTTCGCGTTCTCGCAATGCCAGACTCCCCAACCCACATGCCGTCGCGCGAACGCATATGCGCGCATGCTTTTTGCATGCATACTCGGACTGTGGCCACGGCAGTTTCACGATACCCAATACCCGCTCGGACCGAGTCCGCGCCCGCGAGCTTCCCATGCTACTGCCCACGGCTCGCACACAATAGATCGCGAGATGACGACACGCCGCGCCCGAAGGCTCCCTTGCACCTGGACCCTGTGTGTACCAGCCCTATACAAAACTCGCGCGTATGTATGCAATCGACGGCGTGTATCCACGCGAAGGCCCGAAGCACGCCTCCCCGCGTGGCGGGAACGCAGAAGCACGCAGCCCGCAACCCGCCCCGTCCCAAATCCGCCCGTACTCTCGAGAGCTTCGCGGGCAAGAGGCGATAAGCCGGGGGATTTCCACGAGCAGAAGCCCGCGGTCACGCAGCGGCCTCCACCTGCTGTGCCGCGGCGGGCGCGTCCTTGTGCCGTGGCGGCGGCTTGAGGCCCTTCGCCTTCATGCGCTTGCGCTTCATCTCTGCGGATAACGATATCAGCACCGTCGCCAAGAGCACCAATGCAGGCATTATTGCATGCACAAAACACGAGACTCACCCTCGAGATACGGCTTGTCCTCGTCCGCGTCGAACGCGACTGGGGCACCGTCCACCTCCGCATCGACACCGTCCGCATCTGCACCGGCCTGCGCAGGCTTGACCTTCGCGCGGCGCTCGACCTTGAACTTCGCGACGTAGAAACCGTCCATGTTGTGCACGTGCGGGTAGAAGCGGCGCGTCAGGCTCAGCTTGTCGCTGAACGTCTTCCCGCGGTAGCTCGTGAAGCCCGGGCGCCCGAACTCGAGCCCGGTGTCGACGAGCTTTACGTGCGGCCGCTTGCGCAGCGCGTAGTCGACTACCGCCTCGTTCTCGTCAACGGTCACGGAGCACGTCGAGTAGACGAGGAAACCGCCGGTCTTCGAATCTGCCTGGACGCTGTCGATCGCGCACAGGATGAGCTGTTTTTGGAGGTGCGAAAGCAGCGTGAAGTCGCGCTCGGACTGCGGTGACGGATCCACAATCTATCAGCTTCTGTGGTGCAATGCGTAGCTGAGCGGGACGCCCACCTTATTTTGCTTGACGCTTGCGTCCTTGCTTATGACACCAGTTCCGCTGCACGGGGCATCCAGCAGGACCCTGTCGAAGCCACCGATGACTTTGGGAAACTCCCGGCCGTCATATGAGCACACCACGACGTTTTTGCATCCCAGACGGTGCACGTTCGCCGTCAGACTCTTCGTGCGCGCCTTGTTCGCGTCATTCGCGAAGACGACACCGGTGTTCTGCATAAGAGCGGCCATATGTGTAGTCTTGCCGCCAGGCGCGGAGGCCATGTCCAGCACGCGCTCGCCAGGTTGCGACCCGAGCGCGATCACAGGCAAGAACGAGGACGCCGCTTGCAGCATGTAATGCCCGGCGAGGTATTCGGGCGTGGCGCCGATCGGGACGCTACTCTCGAACACCTGCAGGCCGACGTTCGTCCACTTGCCGATGGGTTCCAGGTTCACGCCGCGGTTGATCAGCGCCTGCGCGAGGTCGCGTCGGCGAGTCCGTAAGGTATTTGTACGGATCGTTACGGGTCTTGGGATCTCGTTCGCCTCGAAGAACTCGATCGCCTGGTATCCTGGGATGAGATAATGCATGACCGAGCAAACGCAAGACGCACCTCTGCGACGGGGAAGAGCTGGAAGAGCTTCTCGGTGAGGAAGTCGTTGTACCCGTAGTAGCTCGCAATATCGGACATGAGCGTATGCACATATTCTGATCTTGCCCTGTGAAAGCACGGTGTGGTGGTTAGTGCAAAAACACTTTCCGGCAACGCAGGCACTTACCTGCCCTTGGCTGCGTATTTCCTGAAGTTTCCCAGTACCCGTACGCACTCGCGCATTCTCCGCTGCACGGTGTGCACGTCCGGACCTCCTCGCTTCTTCTCCTCATCGAGCTCCTCCGCGGTGGGCAGTGTGAGGCCTTCTCCATCCTCCTCGCCGCCCTCGCCCTCCTCGTCCATGTCAACATCGTCCGCGTCCCTCAGGTCATCGTCGCTCATTTCTCCATCAAGCGCGGCCCGTCTCAGCTCTTCCGCATCGAGGTCCGCATCCTCCTCCGCTCTTGCGTCCAACGCGCGTGAACGTGCCTCCATGTTCTTCATGGTGATGGGGCCGTCCTCATCATCGTCCTCTTCGTCGCTATCGTCCGAGGATGCATCTGACCCAGTGGGAATAATTTTGGCCGGCCGTGTGTGCTGTTTTGACTTCTTTCCCTTGACAGGAAGCTCCGGCTCGTCGTCGTCCGAACCAAGGTCCAACTCCTGTGCGGGAGCATTGAACGGGTCATCACTGCGGCAATATTTGGTATATTAGAGGGGCGCGAAGGTGGCACGATCGGACATACTCTTCGTCCATGACCAAATCATCCAGGTCCCCCTCGAATCCCACGACTTCATCATCGTCACTGCCATGGAACAGGGTTCTGCGCTATAATCAGCATAACCACTACAGAGCAAAGGAGCTCAACGCACTTGGCATGTGCCTTGAGGTCTCCGTCACTATCGACGTCCTCCCAACCTTCGCTGCTCCCGGCGCCCTCATCTTCGTCCTCGAAGTGTGCCCGCTTCTGCGTCTTCGCTTTCGGCTTGTCAGACTTAGCTTTGGGCTCGCCCTTAGGTTCGCTTTTCGGCTTCCCTTTCACAAGGGAGGGTTGCGCGGGTTTGACATCGCTCTCCCTAGCCTTTTTGGCGGGCCGCTTGCTCGGAGCCTCAGCAACATCGTCCGCCTTGCGCTTGCCGAGTTTCTTCTGCGACGGGCGGTTTTCACGGTCGCCAATAGGTGCGGGGTCTCCCTGCTTGTTCTTCGCGCGGCGTCCCATGTTGAGTGTACAAAGAAAGTGAGAGTGAGTGGATGGGCGAGGACAAGAAATTATTGCACGGTGCACGGCGCTTGTCCCGACTTGCAATTTCGATTTTTTCGCACACTCGAAGCTCTGAGAGCGCGTGCACCACGAACAGCCGCGGACACTCATACCTCGCTCATTTCTCCCTATTTCGACTCTTTTTCCTCATACCTGACCTCGCCTCATCTGCGCGCAGAGATAGACACCGTTCTGGTCGCGATATCGCAACTTCGAACCAACTCCGACCGTCATCCGCGACCTCCTTCAGCGCTAATACTAAACACAAATCATTACACCAATCGCGCATCGTCGACAGGCCTGCGGGGGAGTACGAGAAGGATTATAACGGAGCATCTGAGAGCATCATGTTGTCCGTTCCCTCAAACAGTGCGTTGTTCCGCTTTGAAGTCCGCGCCCATGCAGCTTGAGCAGCACCATTGTCCCACATACTGGTACTACGTACTCGTACGTTATGACGGTTGCCTGTCGTAAGATCTATACATGAGGATGATGATAGAATGGTTACTAACTTGATAGCGGTGTACCTTTGCAACTGAAGCCCCAGTTTAAAGCTCTAGAGAGCACTCAAGACTACTCCAGCAGCTGAAGCTGCTGAAGACACAAGTTATAAGCGCCCGGTGTAGATCCCAAGATCGTAAATAATGTGATCGCGCCTGTGTGGCAATATTTGCAGTGCTCCCGCATTCGGGACCCTAACCTCTTGCCAGACGCCTGCAGAATGACATCAAGGTTTGACCCGAGCACGTCCGGACTCAAGTGCGTCTATCAAACCTCTTCCTCAACCTCCAGCTCGGTCTCGACGAAGCTCGACCATCGCCGCCCACTTGCCAACATGGGCCTCTTCCCGCTCTCGCCTATGTTCTGTCGTCCATTCTTGGGCACCGCACACAGGGCTGCCCGCACGCCGCCCTTGAACGGGCGGTACTTCGTCCCGAGCGCAGCGCAGACCGCCGCCCGGTACCAGCACAGCTACACGAGCGCAGAGTTCGCGCAGAAGATCAGGATAATGCTGCACATGAAGCAGGGAGCCCGGCAGGACTGGTACAAGTTTATTGTCAAGATCGGATTCACCGGCCTCGGTTTGGGTATAACGTTCCTCGCCGCCCCGGTGCTCTACTGCGATCGTATGTGTCCAGTCGATCTTGGATTCACGCTGTCCACTGAACCTGTTCTATCTGACAGCTGTAACGTCCAAGCCTGCGCCTCCAACCACCACCACCGCTCTCCCTCCTCCTCAGGGCAAGGCCGTGTCTGCTCAGCCGTCAACACCTCCTCCACCTCCCCCAACTTCCAGTATCAACTTCTACGAGCTCACCTTCGGCACCGTATGCGGTGTATGCGCGGGCGTATTTGTCAAGAAGGGCGTGAAGGCTGCCGCTTTCGTCCTCGGCGGTGTTTTCGTCCTGCTTCAGGTGAGCTTTGCTCGGATCGGCTCATCAGAGCAAACTATCTGACAGTTTGGCGCGTTGCAGTACCTCGGCTCGCTTTCGCTCGTGCGCGTGAACTGGTCAAGCGCAGCGAATCGATTCGAGAGCGTATTCTACTCAAAAGACCCTGTTACGGGAGCGAAGAGGCCGCCGAACGTCGGCTCCTTTTTCCGCTGGATCATCGATTTCCTCACCGCTGACTTCCAGGGGAGGGCATCGTTCGTTGCGGGCTTCACCCTTGGTATTCGGATCGGTTGATGTGCGTTGCGACAGCGCAGTAGAGAAGAACATTCCAGTGTACTATAATACATTCCACATCATACTCCTCTTCTCGACATTCCAGTATTTATTCCCTTACTCGCACAACGCCCACACTCGTTTGTTCTACGTGTATATATTAGCATACAGCGCACTAGTGACGAATAATATCCAGCACTCACTGCATGCCCGTCGATCAGTTCGTAGATTCGTCAACGATGGCCTTGATTTTCTCGATCAAGGCCTTGTTCTCCTCCTGTCCACGCTGGAACCCCTCGCGAGCTTCCTGAACGTAACCCGCGAGCTCGTGCAACACAGGCGGGAGCTGCTCATAGTCGGCGACCGTATCTTTCAGCTGCTTCTTCTCCGGATGCCAGCCTTGCACACTCGTCTCCTTCAGCCCTCCATCCGACGTCGGCACGAACAGCCTGTCAATCTGCTGCGAGGTCCGGTCGTGCTGGACGCGCCACGCGTTCAGAAACGATCCGGTGTCGGGGAGCCGTGTGCTCTGTGCCGCGAGATCCGCGAGCGTGGCGAAGTCGGCCGATTGCACCTGCAGGACGCGCCCGCGGGCGTCCACCGCGACGTCCGGGCGGAACAGGGCGGCGGTGAAGCCCTCCGGCTCCACAGGCGCGTTCAGGAGGACCGCGAGGACGAGCGCGTCGCGCGTAGGAGTGAAGTCAGCGCTCGCGGGGTGCGGGTTGGCGCGGGCGTGCCAGCCGGTTGCAGATGCGGATGCCATCGTCGGCGTATAGATTGAGGGGAGCGGCGCGCTGCGGAAGAAGAGGATATACGCGCCGAGGAGGGCTGCGAGTGTGATGAAGAGTGGTTTGGCGGCCAGTTTGGCGAGGATGGGGGGCTGCGGAGAGGATGGGACCGCGCGGCAGGTGGTGGTTGGAGGCTAAGTCGTACTGGTCGAGCCTGTGGAGCTGAATGGTTGAAGCCGTTGGACACCCTGTGCGCAATATAACGCGTGCACATGGACGCAGTCCCGAGCACGCACTCGGACTTATCGAGACCGTCGTCATCAGATGCAAACTCTTGGCGGATCGACCGCAGGACAGTTTCGTGCATGGCGCATGTTTTGCATGAACTGATCCACTTGTTGTCTAGATGGCTTGTCGGGTTTCTAAAGAGGTAAACATATAGCAGGAAGAGGAAGAGATGAAGCGCGTGGACGTCGTGGCGCCGGTAAATCACGGATGGCTACATATATAGACGCCTGTACGTTGCAAGAGGAGACGCTCCTAGGCCTTCGCTTCTTACCTTGACATGCTGATCCAGTTCAACGACTCGAGCCACGGGAATCTGCCTCCTCGTTATCCTCCTATATGCCCTCTAGCGCATCCAGTACCCAGGCCTACCCAGGCCATACACTTGTGACTTCGGAAAGGAATAAACGGCCGTTTCAGGCTGATGCATTGCATCCGTTGACAGATCTTCTGAGAAATGGGGAACCGCGGATTTCGCAAAGATACCGCCGCTCCGCAGATGGTCAGACGGGCCACTGCAATTATTCGCGTTCAGGACGGATCTCACAGTAAGCCTACCGTAGTCTGTGCATGCAGGGTAGTGAGCTAATCGGCGCCAGTTTTACTCAATGTAGACATATTGTGTCTCATGACTGCGGTGCGATACGTATGTTCGCAGGCACTGGCTCCAGGATATACGACGCAGTACGCCCGCCATGTCGCCGCATTGCCGCCTCCTGACATATTGCTTCTGCGCACCCACCCGGACTGTGCAGAAGCAGCGCGCAGATCATGCCCATACCTGTCCGAGCGGGACAGCGGCGCGTCGAGCATGATGAGTATGGTGTAAAGCGTGATCGTTACAGCGCAACAGTAAGCTTCGTGAAGGTACGTTGACAGGTGTCGCACGTCAGGCGGCTCGTGCGCGCGACACCGGTTACTACTTCATGAATTTTCGACTCCTCCTGCCGAGATTTGTTGATGGGAGGTGAGAACGTCGGACGTCGCGCATGTCCATACAAGGCATTTCCAGGGCGGTGCACGGCTCTCGCTAGTCGTCATATACTCTCCGCGGCGTCTTTCCGCTGTCTCGTCTTCCCTTCCCGCCCCCTTCTGTGCGTGGCTCAAGTCAAATATGCCAACGCCCCTGGATGTAGCCCAGGCGTCGGCCGAGTACTGGTGGGTCCTTGATCCACACGCACCCATACGTCTCGCTAACGAACTTGCTTGCCGCGCAGGGTTTACGCCGTGCGGTTCAATAACGCACTAGTGCTCGTGGGATTCAGTGCGCGCCACCACACGGATCTTGCGTCGGGAGCTGTTGTACTAACCGAGGCCGTTTTGACAGCGACATTGTACTACGACTACCTCTTGACGCTGTCCGACGAGATTGAGCACTTCTGGAAGTCCGCCAACCTCTCGATAATGTCGGTCCTGTTTGTGGTCAATCGGTACTTCGGCCTCCTGGGACCGATCGCTGTTGTTATAGAATACTTTGGAGATATTTCCGAAATGGTAGGTGAACCCCGTTACCACGAAGAAATCCTGCTGATCCCCTGCACATTCGTTCGTAGACGTAAGGACTCAACTACTTCTGTCTGCGTTCGTACCCTGATGTTGTCACGGATCGCGGCCTCAGATGTCGAAGGCTGCAGACATACCATCAGGCTTATGCGATAGCCGTCCAGGCAATTGTAGCAGGTTCGCGATGGCGCCGTTCCTTCATACCAATCCGCTCACCTTCTGCACAGTTATGCTCATGATCAGGACATACGCGCTGTACGATCGCAGCAGACGGATCCTCGTCATCCTCATCGTGACGCATCTCGCTGGCGCCATCATGTGCCTCGTACGCGCCCACAATAGTCGCTCTGCTGCTGTTCCTAACCTCAAATCCCGAACATAGGTCGCCATCGTCACGAACATCGGGCCTGTGAACACGTTAACACCGCTGCCTTTCAGGTTCACGGGCTGTGACCTCTCCCTCACGAACAACCAGTACGTGCTTCGCGTCTTCTTCCAGGTACATTTCATTAAAGCCGGTCGCTCCCCAGGGCCATCCGTATGCTTCCCAGAGATGCGCGGTATCATATGATGCTTACCGGCGGCCAACAGACCTCGCCCTCGCCTGGGGCGCCATGCTCTGGTTCGACACCACAATCTTCATATTAACCTTGGTGCAAGCGCTCCGAATGCGGCACATGTTCCCAGGACGCCTTCTCGAGATCATGTTTCGGGACGGTATGTCGCACATCTACTACCCTCGGGTTTCCGCCGAGCAGATTCTGACACGACCTGTCGCCGACTCATATCAGGAACCGTGTACTATGGGTGAGTGGAATGCGGTGGAAGCGATGATTGGACCCGCTTCCTGACCTTCTCGTGACAGATTCATGGTGGCGGCCAATGTATCAAACATCTCCACGTTTTTGGTAATGTCGAATTCCACCAGTGTGTGACCAGGACATGCTGACATATCTTCAAAAGATCACCAGGGTACTTTGAACGCAGACGTGCTCACCGGAGATGTGCTAACCATGACCCACAGTCGGGATCGCCCTTGAAGGGCTTGGATACAACACTCACGAACGTGTGCGTCTTTCTCTGACTCATCGCTGTGACGTCTTCAAACCCTACCGTGCTTCAGATTATCGACGACTCTTGCCTCCCGAATTATACTCAACCTACGCAACCCCGCGCTCCAGAGGTTGGGGCGGGACACCGAGACCAACCTCACGAGCGTGTGGAATACGTACACGACCACGGCTGGGCCGGCGATCACTGTATCAACCTACGACTGCACTCTCGCCGAAGACGGCACGCTGCCGACGGACACGCAAATCACCGAGGTCCCGCGATTATCTGAAGCATAATTCCCCGTTCAATCGCCCCCGAGCGTCGCAGCCTAATAGATGAATGGTGTGGTCGGAAAATATACCGGAGGTCACAGGGACCCTTACCCTTCTCTTACTTAGCGGTTAATCTCGGAAAATGTACACTAGCACATGGACGGTATTACTAGTTGTGATGGTACGCATTTCCATCTTGAATTGTCGAATGCGGCAGCTGCTAACCAGCCCACCTAAGCAGGATATGCGATTGTCGTCGCACGGACCTAAATATGGTCATGGTGGCTTCGGTGGCGCCGGCCAAGCCTCGGGGAGTCAACTTGGCTTTGGGCTCGAGACATTTAACACCTCTGCGGAGGCGAGTTGCGAAGATTTTCGCTCGTACAGGCAGCGCCCGAGCCCGCTCCTCTCCTGGCAACCGCAGAAGTACAAGGCCAGCTCGGTCAGAACGGCGTCTCCCCCGGCTCGACCAGTACTCCGGTGGCTAGTCTGACACTGTCAGGTACGGTTATTCGACGTGGGGAGATCCAGAACCAGATTTCACGCGCAGCGTCGTCGACGATCGTCCGGCTCGAGCCTCAAGTCTGCACAGCCAGCTCTCAGCGCACGGCGCACATAAGCACATACGAGCTGCCCTGCACGTCGGCGAGCTGCTCGCCCTGATCGACTCCCGAGGCGCGTCCCTGGCGATGCGCGATCGAGTGTATGGCGCGGCGGCTCCGTTCGCAGGCTCCCTTCCTGCGTATTTTTGGGTGTGGGATCGCCGCGCGGACACGCGAACGCGGGCTCGAGGGCGCGTACGGCAGACGCGAGCCCCGGTGACTTAGAGTTTGTCGCGCTGGCCCCCCGCGGCAGGTGCATGCCCCCCGCGCGCTGTGGCCCCCATCGAAGTGCGCTTCCTCGCGTCCTGACGGGGATGCATTCTTCCATAGGCGGCCCTGGGAGAGCTAGACTGATATACCGCGGCCCAGGCCTTCTTCTGCCATGGCTGTCCTCTCATCTTTCTTTCCGTGTCCGCCGGTGCGCCTCTTAAGACTCGGGCTGATCCCCAGCGGCCGTTCGTCCACAGATCCCGTCCTCCCGTCCGCCTATATATCAGCCGTCTGGCAGGGCTCCCTCGGTAACGCAAGATGTCCTCCGTGCAATCTGTCGCGTCGTACTTGTGAGCCTTCTCCGTCTTCGCCCCCGCATGCCCTGACGTCGCTTACCGATCCTTGTTACCCGTTTAGTGCGTACTCTGTGCGATGGGACACGTCGCTGACCCTGTCTGCGCTGAGTACGTCCCCGGAGCTGATGCGCCGTCCCGCCAGATAACGTTGACGTCCGCATCGCTGCAGCCATCCTGTATTACGACTACGCCATGACCATATTCTCGGAGATCGAGTACTACTGGATCCCCGCGAAGCACTCGCTCTCGTTCTTCCTGTTCGTGACCAACCGGTACATTGGCATCCTTGGGCCCATCCCCGTGTTCTTTGAGTATTTCTCGGCGGTCTCGGAGCATGTAAGTTTTCCCCCGAGCTCGTCTGTGAGAGGATGATCGCTGACATACATGCCGCAGCGGTCAGTGTCGAACCGCCATTGTGCAGACATTTCCACGCGGTCGCGTTCTGACGTGATCCCCTTGGACAGATGTCGGCAGTTGCAACTGTACCACCAGATATTTGCTATGCTGAGTCAAGCGGTTGTCGCCAGTATGTTCCCCACATTGACTTCCGGAGCGTTGCCACTTCGCCCTGGCTAACCTCACACCCAGTCCTGCTCATTCTCCGGACATACGCGCTGTACAACTGCAGCAAACGAATGCTTGCGCTGCTCATTAGTATGCACCTCGGCGGCGCGGTTCATTGCTTGATTCGTCCCAGCGCGCGTCGCGCATTGCATCGCGAGCTAACACGCCGTTTGAAGTCTGCAGTACTGACGAGCAAGAGTCCCTTGACGACCGACACCCCGCTTGGGTTCCGCTACTCCCTATGCAACCTCTCGCTCACCGACGACCAGTGAGTCCGACGCGCGCGCACTTCCGACTGACTGACAACTGACAACGCGATACGCCGCGCGATCTTCACAGAGGTGTCCGTAAGTCAAATCCGCTGTCAGAGAGTGTTTAAACTAAACCTTGACAGATCTTGCGCTTGCGTGGAGCGCGATGCTGTGGTTCGACACCATTATATTCCTGTTGACACTGTACAAGGCGGTTCTCATGCGACGAGAACTGTCTGGGGGGTTGCTCGAGGTCTTGTTCAGAGATGGTGCGTCATTCGCATCGACGTACGGCCGCCATGCTGAATTTACTGCTACAGGAACTATATACTACGGGTATGTTCGTGGTGCTCGGGGGACTTGTGGCACTTGGCTCATCCGTTGATAGAATTCTGGTGGTTGTGAACATGATTAACATCATCACCTTCTTGGTTCGTCCTGCCTCTGGCTGGCGCTGAGCGCACTCTTACTCACGCGTCCATTCTCACAGAAAACAGCAGTAAGTTCAGTACACAATAATGTCAAGCCCGATGTCTGACCAGAATGCGCCAGCCAAACACGCCTTTGAAGGGCATGGCGACGACCATGACGAACGTGTACGTTCCCCGAAGCCTTGCACCCGCACAGAGTGTTTGATTATGTGCGCACCATAGATTGTCGGTCACACTCACGTCCCGCCTAATGCTAAATCTACGAGACCCAAGTCTCCAGCGGCGGAACGAGCACCACGCCGGCACGAGCCGATTCCGCGGGTGGTCTACAGGGCAGTTCACCTCTCGAGTGATGTCCTTCCGATACCCCACTGGCATGGACCCTGAGAGCGTCACGCTCGACGATTTTGGAACCTCTTGCACATCAGAAGGAGCGAATAGTGGGAAGTAAAGTAATGTCGCGTGTGAGTACGTTCCTGAAACCTGCTTCCCTACCACTCACTTACCATGGCCGTGCGCTCGCTAGCAGTCCGCATGTTGTATTGTTGTACCGTATCGAGGACCGTCTACGTTAGAACGGACTGTTTTGCTGTAAACTTGCTGTCAATCTTGTGCCTGGAAAGTTTTGGGGTGTGTAGTAGGCTTGACAGACTGCGCAATTTAATGTAGATCCATCGCATACTGCGATCTAGTTGTGCCTCGGGGATACGAAATCCGGCCCTGTATGTGGTCTGCTCGTTCGATGTACTTATCCTCGCTCGGGCGCTCACCCGGAACTGGTGGTGGTTGTGCAGTCGTATATAGCTGTACGTCACTCGAGAACCCTGACTGCGAAGTTTGGACAGATCGAAGAAGGATGCCTTGACCAACGAGGCGGTGGACACCATGTGTCTCAGCCTTCGCTGCTGCCGTCTTTGGAAATACAGTGGCATATCTCTCGCTACTCGGGACTTCCGTGGCATAACCCAAACCGTGCCCCGGTGACAAGCCGGCGGCAACTACTGTGCTATCATGTTCCCAGCAGTAGATGACACCGGGGTGACGAGTCGCCGCGAGTATGACACGAACTTGGACCACAAATAATCTGCCAATGGGATAGTCGTATCTCTCTTAGGGGGAGAATTTCATGATGCCGTGGCGAGTAAGTTACCGTCTGTTACTGCACAATGGCATGATGATGGTACTGGTGTGCAAGCTCGATCGCGGAGTCCTCCAAGAATATTGAGTACACACAGGCGCTCATGTGGCTGTTCGCTCTGCATCCTGCACTTAAGCGTCTAGCCTTCTGTACATGTGGTCTTGTCCGCTACCACCATGTCATCAAATGGCATCCCTACAGCGTCTCCCAGCACCCAAGCATCTGACCAACTGCCAACGCAGCCTGGTCAAACGTTGAACAACGGACGCTATGAGGTGCACCGAAAGCTAGGCTCTGGCATATACTCAACGACATGGCTAGTCTCCGACACTCGCTCAGAGTAAGTACTGCCCTATTTGAGCTATGGATCGATCCGACGGGAGATGACCGCCGAAAATCCCCAGGTACAGTGAGATCGGAGCCACAAGCAAATACTACGCTGCAAAGATCCTCACAATCGAGGGGTCACGCGAGCACATCGATGGCAGTTCGCGGGAGCTCGAGTTTCTGCAGCAGATCGCCGCGTGCGAGGACGTCAATTCTCTACCTGTCCTCCACGACCACTTCGAGGAGTCTGGGCCTCTGGGGACCCATCTGTGCTTTATAATGAACTTATTAAACTCGGACGTGTCTACCTTCCGTCGAAGCTCGCCGACCAAATCGCTACCGGCGTACACTGTGAAGAAAATACTGACACACACTCTCGAAGGGCTCATACAACTGCATGAACTCAACATCATTCACACAGGTGTGCCGTGGCTGAATATGCCGTCGCCGACGGTGACGGGACCGTATCTTTTAGACCTCAAGCTCGATAACATCCTCTTCAGCCGGGTTGGAAGCGACAAAGACGTCGACAGTGAACTGAAATCGAACCCAGCGATCGCAGACTCCGAGCTCGAGATGGAGGGAAAGAATTATCCCCTCTTTCGCTCGCAGCCTCTCCCTCACGGACATGCTTGGGATGCTTCGCCCTCCCAAGCAGAGGCCATGCAATTCACTATCATCGACCTTGGTCAAGGTGAACACACTCGTCGATTGATCGGTGAGACCCGGCTGAGGCAAACTTGCGCACCGCAGCCCAGCGTGCAGGCGAACAGCCGACCGTGGACGAGTTCTCGGCCTACTCTCTTCGCGCGCCTGAGCTGATTCTGCGCTCGGACTTCGGGCCAAAGATCGACATCTGGGCCCTTGGCTGCCTAGTGCGCCCATCGCTCGTTGTGCATTGGCATCCCCAATTGACGGTTTTTGATATAGACATTCGAAATGTTGACGGGTCGCTGGTTGTTCGCACCCGAAGAAGGAGGCGACGATTGGTCGCTCGAAGACGATCATCTCGCGAAAATGCTGGAGCTCACGGGCGAGCGTTTCAGTCCCGCCATGCTCGAACGTGCCCAGCTGCGATCAAAGTACTTGGATGCACAAGGTGCGTCCGTCGTCCCGTGATGTCCCCATCTGCTGCTCTGAGCTCATCACTCCATTCGCAGGCAATTTACTCCGCCTTGAGCTGATCCCCGGTCAGAGCATTGAGGCTGCTCTGGCAGTATACAAGACTATGCCCACGTCCGAGGTCGCCGGCGCGGCAAGCTTCATCCGCGCATGTCTCAAATTCGAACCCTCTGACCGCGCGTCCGCGAAGGAGCTAAAACTGCACCCATGGCTGACCGGCAGTAGTTGCGCACAGCGCGCGATTGATGCGACGTCGGGATGAAGGAAGAACTGGGCGCGGATGCACGGCGCTGCACGTTCTAGCGGTAGCTGCGCATGTCACAAGTTCATGAATTTTTCATGTGAGTTGGCCAGTCGACCACGTACGTCGAGAGCATGACACTCAACGGGGCCTTACATGGACCATCTAATACGATATCAGTCAGGTACTGAAGAGATAGGAAAGAATGTTACGTGTGAGTGCACACCAAACGATCATGATGTAGCAATGCAATTCAGTCGCTCACGCTAGTCATGCGTTTACCAGTGCCTATGGAGATGTTACATCGCAGCGTACATAAAATCCCATATTCGGCGCACGTTGGAGATCGATGACGGCCCTGGGTCCGCGGGATCTCCGATGCGGGTGGACTGCGCGGGCTGTCAAGCCGTCTCAGATAATGACGTCGCAAAAGAAGCCGTTAGGGTTCGGATTAAGGTTCGGATTTGGGTTCGGGATTAGGGTTCGGGTTTTGCCGGGGTTAGACGCCGCTAACTGTTTGTCCCCCCTGGAGGGAGCCGGTCTGGAATAACACGCGAACGAGGCTTTAGTGTGCCCGCCTGAGTGTTCCCGGCTTGGGGGACCCCCCGAGCGGAGCGAGGGAGGGGAGGGAACACGAATGGCGGGTCCTCTTCGCGCAAAAAACGCTAAGTCCAGACTTTAAGCGCCCTTCCCAATCGGGGAGGTTCTCTACTATTTCCTCAAACAAATCTCGATGGTGCGACGTCATTCTCTGAGACGGCCGACCAGCCGACTGCGCGCTTCCGCGCGCGTCGCCGCGACCAAACCGGGTTCAGAATATACCCACAGTTGCGTGGTTGATCAGTCGGCTACCATCAGACTCCTTCTCTCTCCCAGGAGTGCGTGCTAGTACGAGGCCCGCTATCACCGTGAGTACTTTGCAGGCTTCACGAAGCCCCGCCCCCGCGCGGCATATGATTCGGTGCTCTTCCTGCGGGCAACACGTCTACCACGCAGGCGGGAAGGTGGGTCGACCGTCGCATCGCCGACCGGCGTCTTGAAGTCCCAAATGTACATTGACTAACCCTGTTAATCCAGCTTCCGTCGTTTCCATGCCAGTTGGGACCGACAGGGCAGTTGCCTACCCCGGCTTGTGCTGTTCTGGGCGAAACATGACCCTCGCCTAGGTCACCGGTGGGGGGATGGCGGTGTGACTGGTGCTACTGCGGTATCACCAGGTCCGAACCCGCCGGCAAAGTTGGGCTTCGGGCTTCGGTAACCTTCGCAGGTTGAAGGACATAAGGCCACATATCCCACCCTCGGAGGGGCTCGGTGACCTGCGTGAACCCGCCCCTCCCCCCCGCTCTATCGACCACACTCTTCCCTGGCTCGCCCTCAGGTCCGGCCGGGATGTAAGCAGCTCTGCGCCCGCTGTGGTCTTTGTGGCGTCACGCTAACTTGGGGCGTCTGTCGATCAGGGCCGAGAGTATCCAACTCAACAACAACCTGGCTGCAGCGTCGATAAGTGAGTGGCTTAGTCCCTGTTGGCCCATGGTAGCGGACGGCTGATAGCAACCGATCTCCAGGCCTCCTGTATTTCGACTACAGCTTGACGGTAGGCTCGGAGATCGACCTGTTCTGGGGCTCCGCGAGGTGGTCCGCAGCCTCGGTGCTCTTCGTTATCAACCGATACCTAGGCCTATTGGGGATCCTGCCCGTCATGTTCGAATACTTTGGCAGTTATTCTCCCGAGGTGGGAACTTTTCTGCGTCTGTGTTCATGAGCGCGCTGACTTTCCATTAGCGGTCAGTACATTTACCCCCCTTTACTTGTGGTGCTCCCGTCGAATACCGGGCAGATGTCGACAGCTTCAGACCTATCACCAATACTACTCAATCGCAATGCAGGTCGTCGTCGCCAGTGAGTGACCGCACCAGGACTCCCAACCAGCATGCCACTTACGCGAAGGTGCCTGCCGCTAGTCATCTTGGTCCTTCGAACCGTCGCTCTGTACGACTGGGACAAACGGGTTGTGCGGATGTTTATGACGATGTGCCCCACCCTTGCCCTAGTATGTCATCATCATCCGCATCCCGTCTGAACGCGCCACGCATCCTAATTGCAATTTTCACAGTTCACGGTGCTTGTCGTTGCGGACGTCGTGAGACTGACGCCTGCCGACCCCATAATGCATGGTCCAAAACCCTCTATCATGGGCTACTGCAACCTCTCCCTCACGGTGGCACAGTGCGCATCCGCCCGCCCTTTCATTCATAGTAGGCTGGCTAACCGCCGCCGCACCTTCTCATAGAGGCGTCCGTACGTCCGTCTTCCGTTGGCTGCGAGTGCGCGCCGCTCACCGAAATCGCAGGCGCGGTCGTTGGGTGGCTTTCGATGCTCTGTGTCGAGACGACCATTTTTGGCCTTACCCTGATCAAATCCATCCGCATGCGGGACAGCCTACGCCACGGCGTGCTCGGAGTCGTGTTCCGCGACGGTCAGGTTTACTCTCCTTCCCCAGCCGGTCATTTGGCTGATCTCCCGATATGATAATGCAGGCGCAATATACTACGGGTCAGTTTGCCCGCGCCATCTCTTTCACGTGCTTGTATACTGACACTCCTGTAGCATCCTGGTCCTCGTCGGTGCGGCGAACATAATCACGTTCCTGGTACGTTCCTCCCGAGCAACGACCCCCCTCTTCTACTAAGCACTTCTTCCTGCAGGCACCCGGGGTACAAAATTTCTCTCCCACGGCGAGACGTCCCACTAACGTCCCCTCGCCGTCCGACAGATCAGCGAGAACAGCCGCGGAATCGCGACAACGATCACAAACGCGTACGCCTCTTCTCCCCGCGCACCTCTCCGCGTCCCCCACTCACCCGCCACGCGCACTCCCCCAGGCTGTCGACGACGCTCACCTCGCGCATGTGCCTCAACCTGCGCGACCCAAGCCTGCACCGCGGCGGGCTGCGCATGGGCGGCTGGACGTTCGAGCACTCGCAGCCGACGTATCCCGGCGCGCCCCCCACCGCGAGCCGCGCGCAGCCGCTCTCCTTCCGCCACCGCTCCGCCGGCTACGGCGGCGAGACGACGGACTCGGACATCGAGATGGAGGCGGATGCAGACGCAGACTCGGACTCCTCGGACCCGCACGCCCGCGCGTACTAGTGCGGACGCACCACGCTCCTTATATCCAATTTTTCACGAGTATATTTTCTGTTTCATGACCACGTTGGGAGTGCTGGGTGCCTTGGGCTCTGTGTCTCGCGAAGTCTAAAGTTCGCACCGCCACCTCCAGGTTCTCCTTGTTCGCGTCGATCGCGTCTACGACGTCCTGGTCGGGTGCGCACGTATCCGCCGTGCCTGTATCGCGACCACCCTAGTGTGCACAGACTCTAACTGACAGGATCGCGACCCTGTGCAGCGCCCGCCCGTCGATCATCGGGTGCGTTCTTAACGGACCGACGGGGTCGCCCACCCGTCCGGTCCCTGGAGTCTGCAGTAATCTGGCAGCGTGAGTCCACCGCCAGACGGCGACATATGCCTCGAGGGGCACGTCGCGACCGCGTCAGAGCAGTGTCAGAGCCCGTGCGTCGCGGACGTCCCAACTGCATTCCTTCTTTTTCCGAGCCGCGTATATTGCAGAAAGTCCTGCCGGCTCAAGGGTATAGGAGCGCTACGTCTGTCCGCGCGCACTCAGAAACCCAGTAGTACTTACTTCCACCCTCTCAACCCTCTCAACCCTCTCAACCCAATATCTCCCAATCTACCCCCTCCCCGCCGCAGCCGCAGCCGCAGCCTGCAACACCGCCGCCCTCCACCGCGGGTCGTCCGCCGCCGTCGCCGACGGCGCCCTATACTCATACCCATACCCATACCCCGCCGCGCTGCGCATATGCGGCACGCTCCCATACCTTCTGATCTCCGCCCCCGCCATATACGGGTTCGGCAGCGCGAGGTCGTCGTACGCCCCAGCGCCCGCGCCGCGCCGGCCCACCCGCGGGCCCGCGCTGTACGGCCGGAACAGCGGGTCGCTCGTGCTCCGCAGGTGCGCCGCCTCAGGTAGTCTCGCGCTCGCGTGCATGTGCATGTTGGCGGGGTGCGAGGGGGTGAGCGCGGCGGGGTGCCCGGAGGAGGACGCGCTTATGGGGCTGGGGCTGGCGTTGATGTTGGCGTGGCTGCCAAAGTGGATGCTGGGCGCCATGGAGTGGATGGACACCGCGCTCGGCGTCGCGGCGTGCGTGCGCGCGGGCGCGCCCGCGTAGTGCACCGCGTACGGCGCGAGGTACGCGTACCCCGGGGGCCCGGGCGGCGGCCCGACGGCGTACACCTGCGGGCTCGCCGCCCTGCTGCTATACTGCGAGTTCGGGCCGGGCCCAGCGTAGTGCGCGGGCGGCCCGTACGGCGAGTGGTAGTACAGCTCGGGGGGCGGCTGGCGCACGGGCGTGGGCGGGAAGGCGGAGGCGTAGCTGAGCCCGGACGCGTAGCTGCGCCCGGAGAGCGCGGTCTGCGGGCGCGAGAGCGGGTCCGAGAACGGGTTGGCGTTGTTGAGCAGGAGCGAGCGCTGGGACGCGCGCTGGGCCATCTCCCGCGAAGGGCGCGGAGACGCGGGGAGCGACGCGGGCGCGGTGGGCCGCCGGAAGAGGTGCTCTGAGGCGCGCGAGGCGCGCAGGGAGAAGAGCCGGCGCAACGTGGGGGGCGCGGGCGCGGCGGACTGCTCGCTCTCCATGCTGGAGGTGGAGAAGCGCGACTGGAGGATGGACGGCTCGACCTCGCGCATCTCGGACTCGGTTGCGCCGTACGACGGCGTGCGCTGGAGCGGGCCCATGCGCGCCACGCCCGCCGGGGTGTTGGACGCGGGCGCGGCGTTGGCGACGAAGAACCGCTTGGGGACGGTCTTGGGGCGGGGGGCGGAGTTCTGCGAGTATACGGATGCGGAGCTTGCGGTGCCCGCGGAGCGTGTTGAGGGCCGGCTGTTCAGCGGCTTGTTGTCGGAGGAGGGGAGCAAATGAGTGACGGACTGCGCGGAGATGATGGAGGTTGTCCAGCTCCCGGTTTGTGAATCGAGTAGATCTATGGGTGTAACGAGAGGGAAAGGGCGAGGTACGCGGGACATTATGCAGAGGTATACGGTATAGCCAAGAACTGCGGGTGTGGTGGGCAGACATCAGCGTGGGGATATGAATTTCGAGAGAGGAGACTCACGAAGTCCTGTGATGGACCATGCGCTTGAGAGGAATACAAGCTCGAAAATTTTACATGTCGTCCGTGAGTCTATGGGGAGAACGTAATCAGGACGATCCCGAGACGGGGATTAGGGAATGACTGACTGAAGATAGAACAAGAAAGAGTGAAGCCAAATAGCGTGAACGGCACCGCAGAACCTGGCAAAGGGAGATCCCGTCAGGATCGACGCTGCGGATCCGCGAGGTAGGCACATACCAACATGGATGGCAAGGAGGAAGAGCATCCGAAGGAGCTCTTTCCACAAACGGAATACAACAACGGCCCTACGGCATACGAGTATGAGTTTCAAGTTACGTGCGCATGAAGAGTTTCTCACATGAGATACAACAGTAGGGACGTCACCGCGTTGACGCCGATGAGGGCAAGGATGATAGCGCCTGTAGAACTGGAGCGTAAGGTTGTGTTGCAACCTGGACGTATTGCTTCACGTACGTTGCAAAGTAGAGAAGTGAACCCATTCCTTCGACAAGTATACAGACAAAACAACAGCGAACGCAAGGCTGGCGATAGAAATGAAAGCTGTGCAGAGTCAGCGTCGCGAAAGAAGGCCGGCTGCGCATGCACTCACCAAAGATGACCACCCTGATGGATCTGAACAAGCGCCACCACTCCATCGTGTACAAGTCCAGCCAGAACGAAAGAAAAGAGTGTAAAGGCGAACGAAGAAGAAATAACAGAAAAGCCCACCAGGGACTCCGCAGAGAGAGTCGAAGGGAAGAGGGACTCAGTCAAAGCCCTGTGAACGGGGGACGTACCGGAACAGTTGGTCGTGGGCGTGGCCGCATATTTATACGGAGCTCGGAGAGAGGGAAGTGTCTGACAGGGTCGTGGCATCTGCTATCAGGCAGACGATGACAGCGAAGGACGGTCGTGACTGGCTTTTGTCCAGCCTCCGCCGTGCCAGGCGTGGGCGGTGACGTTCTTGGGCGGGCGCGACAGTCATTCTGCTGGATATTGATGCTATTGCAGCTGCAGCTCTGTCACTGCGCACGGCCTCGTCGCGGTCTGAATCCTACCGGGAGTGCACCCACAGGCGCCAGCGAGCGCGACCAACGCGGAGAGTCACACGGGGAACGCGTGCCGTCACACGCGATCACCCGTCTGCTGGGCCGGAGAGTGACGTCGTGGGCTGTCCCGAGCCTTGCGGCAGCGACAGCTCGCAGGGTTATATTCCGCCGTGCAACCATCCGATATGTCCGAGCAGGAGCCCCTTCTGCCCGCTGCAGCCAACTACGACGGCTGCAGCTCGCTCGAGGCCCAGGAACGCGACCTCGGCTCGAAGAGCACATACCAGCGCGCCAAAATCCGCACCGCCGAGGTCCTCGAGTCCACCCCCCTGCACTACTCTGTCATCTCCCTTGTCAGGATCCCCTCCAACTCTCTGACGTGATGATCATGTACTGATAATTGCCATACGCACACTAGGTCCTAATTGACTCCGCGTGTGTGCTCGCCGACCTCGCCTACACCTTCCTGTCCACCGACTGTACGCCCATCGAGGGCCCGGAGACCCCACTCTGGCTGAACATCCTCGCCAACGTCTCTCTCGTCATCACCACGCTGTTCCTCGCCGAGATACCCTTCACGCTCTGGGCCCTCGGCGCCCAGTACTACAACCCACGCGGCCCCGTGGTCCACGCGATACTGCACCTCTTCGATGCGCTCGTCATCCTCACCACTTTTATACTCGAGATCGTCCTGCGCGGACGCGAGCGAGAACTCGCGTCGCTGCTCGTCATCCTGCGTCTGTGGCGATTGGTTAAGCTTGTGCAAGGTAGGTGCCCATGCTGTGTAACTGCGCACTGCACACTCTTCGAAACGCCTCATCCGAGTTCTCTCTGCTAGGGATTGCCGTCAGCGCAGGGGAACTCGACGAGCAACAGGCCGAGCAGCTCGCCGAGACCCGCGAACAACTCAACGACGCGCTCAAATCTCTCCACGCTGTGCGACAGGAGAACCAAGAGCTCCGTGCACGCATCGCGTTCACGCACGGCACAGAAACAGCGCGCGACGAACTTTAACCCGGGCTCATCCCATTGTGACTTGCATGTATACCCTTCTCTGTCTCGCGCCCTGCTTTCTCCTGCTTTCATGTCCCAGCCTGCACGATATATATCCCATGCCCGATGTCTTGGATACAACTAGGTGTGTACAATGTCAACGATACATATTATTAAGGCGACCTCCGAATCGCTACAGAACGTTCGCGGGTAATGCTACTCGATACAGTGTGTGCGTGTCTATACTACAACGCACACACAACCCGGTTGTGCATGCGGTTCTGCACCTCTTCGATGCGAAATACTGCCCTATACACTACCTTGGCACCAACCTATGCAGGCCTTCGGAGGCCGGTTTGAGCCAGCCCTGCAGACTTATCCGCGAAGTAATCATTACACCTCTAGTGATACATGATGCCGTCAGAGCAAATGCAGAGTATAGTTAATAGGACCGTGATGCAGAGGAAATGGGGGCGAAATGGGGGGATCAGAACCGCTCCCCGCCCTCGCACAAAGTCTCAAGGAAGACCTTCAGGTCCTCCTTGTTGATCTCGAGCACGCTCGTGTCGAACGTGCCGTGCCTCGTCCGCGCGTTACACCGCTCCTTCGCGTCCAAAAACGCCAGACCAAACTCGCTACGCATGCCATCAGCATTCCGTCCCCTCACCTCAAGGCAAAAAAAAGAAAAAGACTCACTTCTTGCGCACGTCGTCGAAATCCGGCGCCCCCGTCACACCAACCACAATATACGTCCCCGCATGCTCGTTCAGGCACGCCACGACGAGCGGGAGCGCCTTGCGCGTGCGGGAGCGCGCGTACGCGGGCGCAGTGGGCGCGACGCGGTCGCGCAGCGCGTCGAGCAGCCACAGCGCGAGGCGCGCGAGGATGCCCGGGTGCGCGAACAGCGGCAGGTCTGGGCCCTGCGTGAGCACGACGACGCGGTGCCCGCGCAGCGTCTTGATGTCCTGCTTGTCGATCACGGACGAGCCCTGGCGCATGATTGCGCGGTGCAGCGCCATTGAGAGCGAGATCGCCTCGCGTAGTCGTTCGATGCTGGGGCGCGTGTTCAGTCGGGTGGACGGGACAGAGAGAAGCAAAAGGGGCTTACTCGCTGAGCGCGTCGTACGCGGACCAGAAGTTCTTCACCCACCACTGCAGCTCGCCGTTGTCGCCGTCGTCCTTCCCGTCGACACCCTGCGCCTTCACGACGTTCGCGAGCACGCCCGGGGGCACGTTCTCGCGCTCGTCGTCGCGGTGGCGGCCCTCGCGCCCGCCGTCCCAGATCTTCCCGCCGCCAAACCACTCGCCGCCATTCCGCGTGCCCTCGACCTCGACCTCGATGCGCGTGCCGCCCGCGACGTCGATCAGCGCGGAGAGCGCCTCGACGGCATCGCCCGCGGAGAGCGGCTGCGAGCGGTAGCCGTAACAGCGCATGAAGGACGGGTAGGAGAGCTCGACGAGGCCGTACTCGGGCGCGAGCTGGTCGAGCTTCTGGCGTAGGGAGAGTCGGAGGTCTTTCGCCATGTGCGAGTATGGTTGCTGCGTCTCTGTTATTGAGAACCTGCAAGATGGTTAGTCCTGGGCTACACAAGGACAAGGTGAGAAAGGCTGCGTACCCCATCTTAGCGAGTAGGCCTGTTAGCCGTTTCCGACCGCGCTCCTTCCAGATACCGAGTTTCGTCGCGACGTAGCCCGAGTGGTACATCGCGTCATAGAGGGTCCAATGTCGGAACATCATAAATCGGAGCTCGTCGGATGAGTATACAGAGTTGTCATCTGGGTTCTGAGACTTGTACTCTTCACCGGGCGCATTTGGTGGGGCGGGATTGAGGCGCGCGACCTCGTCGTGGTATATAGATTGGTATTTGTCGTACTCTTCGCGGGATATGCGAGAGGTGATGTATTGGTATGTGAGGCCGAGGATAGCTAGCCTATAAAATCTCATGGCATGAGTAAGAGTTGCTGCACCGCTCGGACACGGGAGAGTGCCCTGTTTCTTGAACGCCCTGTTCCCCGGAACATATTCCCTGGAACATTTCGGATCGCTTGATTGAGTGACTGGGCCACTGCAGTCACTATCTGGGCACGTCGTCTGCGCGACGTCTCTCAGTGGCCTGTTTGGCTTCCCTGCCTTCGTGTCGCGTAGGCCAGCTCGTGGCCGACTTGTTAACCATCGACACCACACCATCATGCCTCTTTAGGTCATACTCATCCGGTATGAGATGGGCCGTCTCCATTGCAGTGGATGCGACCGCGGCTGCAAGAGCAGGCTCGGCCGCATCGACTAGGAGTTGACAAGAGAAAGAGCGCTACGTGACGCGCGCAGGCCACTCGAAGGCCACGCATTCAGGTCGAAGCAAACCATCGATCCGCGCTTGTTCCATGGGACGGGCTGAATGCGTTCCGCGGAACATCTGCGCCAGGTGACGGGACTTTCTGGGACACGGGGACGTACCATAGGAGATCGTTATCCACCCGTTCTAGCACTGTGGCGAGAATGTACATCGTCCCCGCTGCACTCTGTCCGTGCCATGTACCTGACCTGTAGTACTTGATGAGCTTGTTCTCGTGCTGTGCCCGCTCTTCTCGGGATATTCGATTGGGTTGCTGCACGCAGGTCAGCAAGTTGGGTAATGCTGGAGGTGCGGAGCCCACATCAACTTTGCGCCGCTTTCCCTGTTTCCTGCCTCCCTCGCCTAATGACCGCCGCTTTCTTGAGGGGGAGGCATCGCCGTCTTCATACTCATCTCCATCCTCGTTGTCCTCGCCGTCCTCTTCCGCCTCTTCGTCCTCATCTTCGTCAGAGTCTTCCTCGTCTGAGTCCTCCTCGGGCGCGTACTGCAGACACTGAGTGAGTTACGATGTATCAGAGGGACACCGTGATTCACTCACCGTTAGCACTTCCCATGCCTTGCGCTCGTCCTGCAGACCCTCCACACCACCATCGTCCCATACGACGATCCGGTCTCCGTTTTCTCCGCCGCCAAACACACTAGACAAGTTCTGTGGCCGTGAAGAGTCGATGATGTGCACCGTGAGGCTGGTCGGGAAGTCGCCGAACCACTCTTCGGACGGGAGGTCGAGGATGGCACCCATGTTGAACATGATGAGTGTATGTAGCTATGTACCACGCTCAGACACATCCTCCACATTGATTTCACTCATGACTCACGTCTGCGTATGTTGTGAGCTCGTCCCGTATGCGCTCGAGCTCAGCGTGGCCCGAGACGGGGATGAGTTTGTGCATGACGTCGTCCTGCTTGAAGAGGTCGGCCAGCATCTTGGAGGCGCATAGCGCGTCAACGTCCGGGGCGACCAGTATGATTACTGAGGATGCAGCAGTCCTTGGGGAGCGGCGGTGGGCGGCGAGGATCTTGGCATAGGCTTCGCCATAGGATGGGCGGGAGGCTGAGCCGAGGTGGGGAGGCGGAAGCCAAACCATAGAGTGTTAAAGGCCGTCAAAGTGTGGTACAAGTTAAAAGACGCGTCAAAGTCAGTGCTGCTAGTGTTTGGCGGGGTAGTGGGTGGGTGTAAGATGAGAACGCGTCTCGTCAACAACGCGTCCAAAACGCTGTCCACGCACGCACGTGACACGCGTCGCGTCTGTGGCTGAAATCAGGCACGCTCCCCTCTCAAGCCAGAACGAGCGGTGAAGTGTGATATATTGCGTATTATATGGACTATAGGCCGGGAATCCAGCTGGACCTCTCGCGCACATCCCGCCTCTTCCCGCGGATGCCCCACACGCCCCAGTTCGTCTTCACCATCACGCGCGGGTCAAAGTCCGCGACCTCCCACTTCTCGCTCCCAAACGCATTCGGGCCCGGGGTAACCACCCAGTCGAACTCGCCCGCAACCTCCGGCGCCGCCGACAGCGACTTCACGTCGCGCTCCACATCCGCGGGCGAGAACCCGGTCACGAAGATCGGGCACTTGCTCGCCAGCAGCAGCGGCATCACCGGGCCCCACTCCGTCGGCGACGCGATCTGCAGGTACGGCTCCCCCGTCTCCTCGTTCACCGACGTCGGCGACGGGAACCCGAACCCGGGCGAGAACAGGAAGAAGCAGTCCGTGTACGGGTCGAACGTCTCCTGGAACTGCGCGTGCACCTCCGCGTAGTTGGCTTGCATGCCGGTGATGGTCAGCTGCGGCGTGTATGGAACGGTGTAGGACGGTACGCCGAACTCCTGGATGGACTCCCGCGTGCGCTTGAGGCGCATGATCGGCGCGGGTGTCGGCGGCTGGTAAACGTTGGGCACGTAAACGGGCTTTTCCTCCTCTGCTGGCTGCTGTTCTGGCGGGGTTTGCGAGTCCGACGATGCCGGGGCGGTGTCATTGGGCGCAGAAGAGCCCGCCGCTTCCGCCGACGAAGTGGCGGTCTTAGTAGACCTACTCGACGCAGGCCCTTTGTTGAGCTCGCTGATAGGCTTCGGCAGAGACACTTGAGGACCGATGAAGTACAGGTGGAACAGCGCAGACGGGAACAGCATGCAGAGCTGCTCCCAAACGTGAGGCGGGAGGGCGGACTCTGCTCGTGCGCCAAGGATGAATATCCTCATCTGCGGCTTGGTGGCAGCAGCCTCCGGTGTCTCCGGCGCACCAGGCGGCACATGCAGATTTGTCCGAAGAGCTGTATACACAGCGTAAGCGGGAGGAACACGGACCCCAGCTCTCACTACTCACCTGCCAAAGAGCGGCTGCCCTCGGGGGTCAACCTCTGGTTGCTGATCGTGAGGTTGCTGAACTGGTGCAGCACAGAGCCGACGGTGATCGGGTAGGTGAGGATTTTGCTGGCGTGCCTCCGGGACCGCTCCGAATCCATGGAGGGGAATTCTCGAGTGTACCAAAACACATCCCAGTTCGCAAACGAAATTGCTGCCTCGGTGTCTTGCTCGCCTAGCACAAACACACACGTTCACTCCCATACCCCCACTTGACCGGGACTGAGCATGCGTACCTGGGAGCTCAAACTCGCGCATCCTCCGTCCACTCCTCAGATCATGCTCGTCCTCGTTGACTTCCCTCAACCGTCCACAGTACTTCTGGTGCTCCTCATCCGCCGCCCAGTGCTCCTCCGAGCAGTGCGTCGGCCACCCGCAGTCCGGGCACTCGTGCGCCACCGCGCGCGGCTGCGCCTTCGTGTGCGCGTGCACGCCGTCGTGCTCCGCCGCGCACACGGGGCACGGCGCGAGCTTGCGGATCGCCTCGCCGCGCGCGCGCAGGGCGGGGAACGGCGACTGCGAGAACGGGTGGAAGAGGTCGTCCTCGGCGAGCACCGGCGGCTGGTCCTTCGCCGCGGCGCTGGCGGGCGCGGGCTTGCTTTTGAACCAGCTGATGAAGGGGCGGGTGCTGGCGGGGACGCGGTTGGTGGCAGATGGGGAGGAAATGAGGGGGAGGCGGCTACGGGGCAGACAGGGCGCTGCTGCTCGGCCTGCTAGGAGGCGTGTGCAGGACCGCCGGGGTAGTTGGGAGAGCATGGCCGTCGGCCGTGCTGGGGTTTGTGTCGACCACGGGCTACAGGCTGCAGCGGTCAGTGAGGTGAGCGGAAGAGCGTGAAGAACGTGAGGACTGCAAGCGAGTTGAGGACTCGAGGCGCGCCGATTCGCCGCGTCTACCTTTCACTTGCCGCCCGACGTTGACCTCGGTCCTCGTCCCCTCCGCCACCACCACCTCCTCGACATCGACGAGGGCAGAAGTACTATACGCGAATGCACTCATAGACTATTCGCAATGCTGTCTCTCAGGGCAAGCACACGCACCATTTCGCAGCTCACTAGACTCTCCTCGCGTGCCCCCTCCGTTCCGCTACAATGCACACGCGCATACGCCCTCTCACGCTTTGAGAGGCCCCGTCCTGGTGTCGGTCGCCAACGCCCCAAGCTCGACTCTCAGCAGGCTCGAAGACGGGACGATCCGCTCTCTGACGCGGCTTCGCAGCCTCCTCCAGGTACAGACCCGTTCGCGCGGGAGGACCAGCCGTCCGCGGCCCAGTCGCCGTTATGGGAGGAGAGCGTGCGTGCACCTGCGAGCAATCCGGAAGAAAGCCTCCATAAGCTGCTCATGGAGAACAGCCGGTTGATCATCACCCGGTACGTGTGTCGGGCGTGAAAGGTCCGAGCGAGTAGACTGAGTGAGGGTAGAGAGATCGAGATGCTCAATATATTCATGGGCTTCGAGCAGGCAAATCGCTATGTTATCAGTGAGTAGTCGCTCTACAAAGATAGCAGGGAGTGTGTACTGAGGCGTTGCTATCCAGCGAACGAGGCGGGGGAGACATTGGGTTACATCGCCGAGGAGCCCCGGGGCTTCCTCTCGATGTTCTCGCGGCAGGTGTTCCGCACACACCGACCGTTCCGCGCAATTGTCATGGACAGCCAAGGGTCGCCCATCCTCTGGGTATGTTCCCGTATGATGCAATTCACCTTGACCTTGGGTTGTGCTAAACGATCTCCAGCTCCGTAGACCGTTCGCGTTCATCAACTCGCGGATGTACGTCCAACGACTAAAGGATTTCGACGCGTACACGCCTGAAGGCGAGCCCGTCCTGGACACGTTTGCGGAGGTACAGCAGCGTTGGCACCCATGGCGAAGACGATATGATCTCTTCCTGCGGTATGTATCCATAACCCCCACTCCTGCAACCTCACACTGATTCGCCGTCCCGTTTTGTAGAGAGACCCCGCACCGCATACTGTCTACACTAAACGAGCCGCAGCCTGAACCCGAGCCAGATCTCTTTAATCAGTTTGCAAGGATCGACGGCGGCTTCCTGGCGTGGCACTTCAGTCTCATGGCCGCGCGGGGAGAGGCTATTGCGAGCGTAAATCGTGCCTTCCGAGGATTCGGTCGTGAGGTGAGCTACTATGTACTTGTTCCTTCCCCAAGGCGGCTACTGATCGCAAATTCTCAGCTGTTCACAGACACAGGTAATATCTTCTGCTTTTCGACGTCGATGCCGTTGTATTGAGCGAGCTCGGCTAGGTCAATATTTCGTCAACTTCGATGGGGCGGCGGCGAGTGAGGAAGACGGGTCAGTCGGGAAGCAGTACCTGATCCGCAATCTCTCTGTTGAGGAGCGCGCTGTATGTCTTGCTGCCTTCTATACTGTTCACCTCCGACCGCTCATCACACCAACTATACAGCTCGTGTTGGCGACTGCTGGTAAGGGCGCTGAGGCATGGAGATCGAGGAAATGCGTAACTGACGCTGTTTACAGTCAACATCGACTTCGATTACTTCTCGAGACATTCAGGAGGAGGAATGGGAGGGTAAGCTCGCAGTATGTCTGGCTGGTAGATTTTCCGCTAACGTACCACAGCGGTGGGTTCTTCCTATTCGACTCAGAATGAGGCTACATATGGCCTACTTCACACTGCTTCGTATGTATGATCCGCCCTCCAACAACATTGGGTCGATTTCGCGACGCGAATGTCGGTCGTTGTGTCAAGCGTCTGACGCATACAGTACAACCGCGATCGTTGGGCCTACGCCCATGTACGAAGAATGTTGCCCACCGCCTCCCACGTGTTGCCATGCACACCCCACCGCTCCCCGGGGCCCGTCCCCCACGTCCGGTTCCCCCACTCCTGCCCAATGGCGAGCATAGTGCTCTTCACCGCTGTTGCATTATACGCCTGCCCCGTTCCCTTCGTCTCTGCCAGATAGTCCACGAACGCCGCCCACCGCGGCTTGTAGTACGTCCCGACGAGCCCCGCCCACGCCTTCGACGCGTAGTCGTTGATCTCCCCGTCCGGGCCCCACAACGTGACCTGGTTGCGCGCGTTGTACTCGAGGTACGCGCCGTACGACGCGGACCCGTCCGCCCACTTGCGCGCGTCCGCGATCCAGCTGCTCAGCAGGAAGTGTTCGTTCGTGGACAGCAGCGCGTCGAGGTCGGTGAGCAGCGCGAGGAGCGGCTGGCCCGCGGCGGAGACGGACTGCGCGGTGGAGGACGTGGAGTTGTATGTTTGTATCAGAGTGTCGTAGAGCCCGATGAAGCGGTTCGAGAGCAGCTGGCGCGCGACGTCGACGACGTCGTACACGAACTCGGGCACGGCGCTCAGTGTGGGGTGTTGTGCCCGCGCCTCGAGGAGCAGCTTCAGCGCGGAGAGCATGGTTGCGTCTGTGTCGTATGGAATCGAGGTGGGGTGATGTCCGATGCGGTTCGTCATTCCGGTCAAGGCGGGCGCGAGCTCGTAGATGCCTTTGATGGTCGCCTGCGTGTTCGGGTCCTGGTTGTTGTACACAGTGGTGGACAGAATCCGCCACGCGTCCTGCGCTGCCTTCGGGAGCGGCTTCACAGGGTAGCGGCGCGAGACCCAGCTTGAGACGTAGCTGCTGGTGTTCAGCGATGTCGCCGACCAGGCCTGATCGAGGAGCACGCCGTAGACGATCTCGTTGCCCTCCTGGCCTTCCATCGTGAGCCCGACGCCCTTCATGCTGCTCCCCGGGCTGCTTAGCGCAGTGAGCGGCGCGTGCGTGAGCACGTCCAGGTTTCCCTCCATGCCGATGTTCCCGCCGTAGTCGTGCAGCTCGCACCACACCCACTGCTTGCCAGAGTACGACGCGGTGCGGTTCCACTGCGGCTGCGCCTCCGAGTATAGGTCAAGCACGATCATACTATCGTTCCCGGGCACGCCTCCCAGATACGCCGCGACGCGGTCATCCGTCCAGAACACTGCGTCAGAGAAGAACAGCCAGCCCTGCATGAGCCAGACCGCGGCCGGGTCCGCCGCGCGCAGGCTCGCGAACGTGCCTGCGGAGACGTTGCGCAGGTAGTCGAGGTCGCCGCTGAACGGGTCGTTCTCGTTGTACTGGTCGAGTGTGTACACGTGTGATATGTCCGCGCCGTACGCGGCCTGCTGCTTGGCGATGAACGACTGCTGGAGCGTCGCGAAGAGCGGGTCGAACGGCTCGAGGAAGGAGTCGTTCGTGAGCGATGTGGGGAACCCGGACCACTGGCTGCCGGTGACGATGGACGCGTTCGGGTGGAGTGCGGCGAGGGCGCGGGGCACGAATCCGGTGAAGGAGGGCATGACGGGAGTCATGCCGAGCTCGACCATGCGCGGAAGGAGGCGCTTCTGGAGGGCGAACTGGTCGTCCACCCATGCCGTTGGCAGCTCACCGCCCCAGCTGCCCTGGATGTTTCCGAAGCGGTTCCACGCCTGGAAGGCAGGACCAGAGAGGAAGTCGGAGATGTCTGCGTCGCTGAGTCCGGCCTCCCGGAACGTTTCGATGAGAATATACTCGTAGCCAACCCAGGCAAGCGGGAGGTTGACGCCGCGGAGAGCGAGCCAGTCAAGCTCGAGCTCCCACTGTTCAAAGTCCCAAAACGCGGCGGTGTAGTCGAACGTGACCGTGTTGAAGTGGTACCTTACGAAGAGAAATGTATTCAGGTTGGGCACTGTCAAGGTGTCTCAAGTGGAACGGACCTGTATGACACGATTGCTTGACCTTTGACCGTTTTGCCCACCTTCGGCAGCCGCGACGGAAGCTGGTTGAGTCGAGATCCGGTCCACCATATATCAACACCACCGTACTGGGTGAGATACCTACCGGTCGAAGGTCACAATCAAGCACCCTGCCCGGTATATGCATATGACTCACGTGTAGAAGCCGCGGGCACATGCAGACACGGTGGTACATTGGATATGGATCCCGCTGTGCGCGTCGCTAATCTCGAACGCGTCCGCTTCGCCTTCAAAGAGCGCGAACGTGAATTCATGCGCATGCGCCGGCGCTCGCCGTTTCGCTAACGCGTAGATTCCGTCTAGATCTTGAGAAGCGGCGGCGGCACCGAAGCCAAGGGCCAGAAGAGCACAGAACCCCTTGCGCAGGAGCATGGCGAGCGAGGTTGAGGACAAGAAGCGCACGGACGCACGTTGGGTTCTAAGACGTACTCGATGTCACGCGTCCCATCAATTTCAGTCCACATGGGTCCGCTCAAGAAGCCCGGCCATATCTAATCCGCATATAGAGTTGCTATCGGGAGCTCGCCGCCGGGCGGCGTTAACTGGACACTCTAGAGGCAACCATCAGCTGCAGCTCGACTTATGCAACGCGCTAAGTAGTATTAGTAGGGACGCACTCACCGACAGGAATAGTGTCTGCGGACCATTCATTGCCAGGCCTTTCCAGACACTGTGGCCCTTTGGACAGATAGCCTATAGGTGCTGGTCCCTGGGACTGGTACATATCTGGATAACATCAAGCAGCAACATGAATTTCCAGAGGAGTCTGATAGCCTCAACGGTGGTGGCGGGAGGAGAGAGAAGAGCGCCTACCGACCACCGGAAACGCGCGCCGCTGCACAGCCACTGACGCGACGTCAGGATACGCACGGCCACGTGCCCTGTGGCGAATATGGGCGTCTCCGGGGGCGGTCGCACAGGGCGCGAGGTGCGCGCAACCTCCGTTCGACAACCACAACGTTCCACGACCGCCTCTTGTCCTGCCGCCCTCAGCATGGCGGACACTGAAAGAGTGCCGCGCCCGTCCACGGACGAGGGTATGTCACTCTCTCCAGTTCAACATGTCGTTGCTCGTGTCGCCTGATGTCACCTATCCAGAGTCGGCCCCGCTCTTACGAACAGTCTCCCATCCCGATGGTGGCGAGCACCCCCAGCAAGAACAACCCTCTTTCTTCGAGAGAGTCGCCGCAGTGGTACAGGAGCCGCTATCTCCGTTGACCCAGATTCTACTCGTCGCGACCATCATCTTCCTTCTCCTGAGCTCAGTCTTCATCGGCTTGTTCGCCGGAGCGCAGCACAAGCTCAACGCAGGAAAGGGAGGAGGCACCACCACTATCGTCGTTACTGCTACAAGCACCGCAGTATCCACCGCAACAACGACCGCCGTATCCACTACTACCGTCGCAGTGCCCGCCCCAGGCCCTACCTCTCCGCCAGCTGAGGTGAGTTCTCGCTCGCATCAGCCCTTACTGGACATATTGTCATCTTTGTCATCTCAATCAGCCTGTCTGTCTTTCACCGTCATGCATCAACCTCGCGTCCTCCGTGCTCTCGTCCCTTGATGAGTCTCAGGACCCGTGCGAGAACTTCTACGATTTCGCCAGTGGGTACTCTTATTGTATGCGACGACTGCTTCTCAGTTCGTGTCCCCTCCTTAGATGGTGGGTGGCTCAAGGCGCACCCCATTCCATCGGACAAAGGAAGCTTCGGCAACTTTGAAGCTCTCGCCCAACAGAACAGGCGCATCCTCCAGCAAATCCTGTCCGAGGATGCTTCTACTCGGTTCTCTGAAGTCTCTGCCCTCGCGTCTACCGACTATGATGAGCAGATTCTGAAGAAAATCCGCGGGCTCTACGCTTCCTGCTTGAACGAGGATAGACTCAACGACATTGGAGAGAAGCCGCTCCAGGAAATCGCAGACAAGATTCGTAGCACCTTCCGTGGCAAGTCTACTGTCATCGACAAGCTTTCGGACGACGACCACGCACAGAGGGCCAGGTTGACCGCTACAGTCGCCTTCCTCCATTCACGTGGTAGGCTTTTCCGCTTCATATGGGACTAACCATGCCTGACGTGCACTTTAGCCATTGACTCGCTCTTCTCGTACGAAATTGACGGAGATGCTGGGAACGACCCCAATTTCATGACGCTCTGGATCAGCCAACCGGATCTGGGCCTGCCCTCCAAGGTGAGATAGCAAGGTTTGAACCTATGCTGCAGAAACTCACGTTATACTTCAGGAATACTACGAGGAAGAGTCGATTGTTGACCTCTACGAGTCTGTCCTGGAGCGCTTGCTCCTCACGCTCGATGACGAAGATGAGGAGCTTCTGGCGTCAGCGCAGCCTTCTAAGTTTGTCGTTCACGAAGAGCGCCTCAGGGTGTGGCCTCCCTGGCCTTGGCCGCCGTGGGGCGATGATGATGACGGGAAAGGCGAGCCCGTTAACCGCACTGAACGCGCACACAAGCTTGCGAAGGAGGTGATCGAGTTCGAGAAGAAGATCGCCAACGTCAGCCTAGACCTGTAAGACATCCTCTCTTCTGCCTAACTAGACGCGTGTTAACATCAAATTGTTTCTGCTAGTGATGTTCTGTTCCAAGACCCTCTCGCCACGTACAACCCGGTACCGTTCAAGAACGTCAGCGAGCAGCTCCCGCAGTTCGACTTCTCGACGTACTTCTCCGTTTTCGCCCCGCGCAACTTCCCGGAGACGATCATTCTCACATCTACGACGTACCTGTCTTCGCTTTCGGCCATTCTGGACGACACTGACAAGGACACGCTCGAGGCGTACTTCATCACCCGCGCAGGGCTTGCGTACGCGTCTTACCTCGGACTGGACACGGAGGCGTGGAAGGCCACTCGCAGCCTCGAGGAGGTCTTGAGGGGTATCAAGAAGGGTGCAGTGGGCGACCGCGCGGAATACTGTGTCGCTCGCGTTGAGAGCGCCATGGGCTTCGCGGCCGGCCGGTACTTCGTTAACGAGACCTTCGGCGGGGCCTCCAAGGAGAAGGGAACCAAGGTTATCACCGGTATGGCGCACTGTGTTTGACCATGCCGTTGCAAGCATGCGTGGCTCACGTCCATTCTATAGACATCGTCGAATCCTTCAAAGAGTCCTTGACACACCTCGAGTGGATGGACAAGGAAAGCGCGGATGCTGCCGCAGAGAAGGCGGCCGCCATTCGCGTCAAAGTCGGGTACCCGATTTCGCCGGACACGCTCGACCCGCGGTCCCTCGCGAACTACTACGCCCGCGTGAAGATCAACGAAGACACGTTCTTCGAGAACATGCTCAGCGCAAGGGTCGCCGACGAGATCCGCCGATGGTTCACCCTCGGGAAGCAGCGCGACCTGGAGTCCTGGGAGATGTACCCCTCGATGGTCAACGCTTACTTCAACCCGCCTGCGAACGAGGTAAGTCACCTCTATAAATTGTTATGGTCATCGTTCTGAGCTGGCTTGGTGTAGATTGTGTTCCCTGCCGGTATCCTCCAGCCACCTTTCTTCTCACAGGACTGGTGAGTACCCTCGGAGGTCTTTGCGTCGCTAGGACTCACCGCGAACGATTCACAGGCCCGGGTACATGTCGTACGGCTCGTTCGGGCAGGTTGCGGCGCATGAGCTTACGGTAAGCCCGCTAGTTTATCGGGCAGCGTATACATCAATACTAACGCGTAAGCCGGCAGCATGCGTTCGATTCTGCTGGACGTCTATACAATCAGAATGGCAAGTTGGAGCAGTGGTGGACGAACAAGACCAGCGAAGGCTTCAACGAGAGGCAGAAGTGCATCGTCGATCAGTATTCGAGTATGTTCATTTTGGCTCTTACCGTCGAGTTCACGGCTGAGAGTTCTTGTTTGTAGACTACACCATCGACGATGGCAAAGGTGGCACGATCCATGTCAACGTGAGCAGTGAATCCCCCTTGCTTGTGGTGGCTCAACAGTGCTGACTGATTTGATTCCAGGGAAACTTGTGAGTTACACAAGCGGACTCGGTCTGTTGCGAGCGGCTCTGATATCTTTTCAGGACATCGGGAGAGAATATCGGAGACAGCGGGATCATCCAGGCATACCGCGCCTGGAAGGCACAATATGAGGACGGTGTGGACAGCGGTACTGAGTTCCTGCTCCCAGGGCTGAACTACACTCGGTATGTCATATTCATCGCAGTATTCGTGTATCAAGCGCAAACGTTTCCCTTGCAGCGACCAACTGTTCTTCGTCTCCTTTGCACGCGCTTGGGCGCAGAACATCAAGCCCGAGTCCGCTGTAAGTATCCTCTCTGTCTAGCTGTGGTTGAGCTGTCACTCACTGTCGCGTTTACAGGTTGCTCGTGTACGTACGGACCCACACTCTCCCAACCGGTACCGCGTTGAGGGCACTGTGTCTAACCTACCCGAGTTCGCGAAGGCGTTCAACTGCTCGGCGAAAGCTAGGGTAAGGAGGTTGCCTTGAAACTGTTCAGAACATTTGCTGACATTGTTTCTAGCTGAATCCGCCGCAGGAGAAGAGGTGTATCTTCTGGTAGGCATGCGTTTGAGAGCGAGAGGAAAGTGTACGAACAACGATACTATCGGAGCCGGAATATTTATGCATGTCAACTATACCTGTCGGCTATTGATCGATGAACCGCGTGTACCTTGCAACTGGTGCTATGGAAGGAGTTTTGAGTGCTGTGTGTAAAGTGCAAGGAAGGGGCAGCTGTCGACTGCTACTAGTACAGACACTACGTCATCGACTAACACGCGCCGATCGCGCTAAAGTAGCCTCGTCCAAACCGTCATGACCTCTGCTCTCTCCCGGCTTGCTAACTCGCTATGGCTCTTTGCGCTCCGTCTGCTCGTCGATCCTCAATACTTCATCACTCTCGCTGCGCTGGTCGTGCTCGGTGATGCCTTCCTCACTCAGCTCATCATCCGCTTCGTGCCTTGTCAGCAAGTGCTTCCAATTTCCTCGAGACTGTCTTGACATGTACTTGCAGATACGGAGATCGACTGGGAGACATACATGTACCAGCTCGAGCTGTACATGAAGGGCGAGCGGGACTACGCGCTCATCACAGGTCCGACGGGGCCCATCGTGTACGTGGCATGAGTTCTCTGTATACCCTAGGTATCGACTGTGGCAAGCTAACGCGACGGGTCCGAGAACAGATACCCGGCTGGACATGTATATGTCCACCAGCTTCTATATACCCTCACGGACTCCGGGACGAACCTATGGAAGGGGCAACAAATTTATGCGGCCCTTTACTTGACGTCGCTTGCCTTGACGGCGGCCATCTACAAGCAAGCGGGGGGCGTCCCAAACTGGGTTCTGCTCCTCCTTCCTTTAAGCAAGAGGTTGCACTCGATATACGTGTTGCGGCTCTTCAATGACTGCTGGGCCGTCGTAGCTGCACAAGCTGCCATCTTTGCGTTTGGGAACGGCTGGGATGCACTGGGAATAGTGCTGCTTGGGTGCGTGTATCGGGCTTCATGTTGTGTGCTCTTTGCTTATGTGCATTGCCTGTGTGCAGCTGTGCGCTGTCAGTGAAGATGTCTGTGCTACTGTACGTACCTGGGCTTCTCGTGATCCTCTTCCGGCGGCGGGGCCTCCTCTCCACCGTCCTCCATATGCTCGCCCTCGGGGGCACCCAACTACTCATCGGGGCGCCCTTCTTGCTGCAATATCCCTGGTCGTACCTCAAGAACTCGTACGAGTTCTCAAGGGTGTTCCTTTTCAAATGGACCGTCAACTGGCGCTTTCTGGGCGAAGACCTCTTCCTGAACTCCAGTTGGGCGAAGAGCCTCTTGGTAGCGCACGTCACGACGCTTGTACTCTTCGGACTCTTCAAGTGGTGCAGAAGCGATGGCGGCGTGTTGCAGGTCCTGGACAGAGGACTCAGGACGCCGACGCGTGCCCCGTCCCTGGCCCCGCTTACGGCGGATTGTGAGTCCAACTCTATTTGATTGGATGTATGCGGACCTGAACTTAGTGACATGCTAGATGTCACCACCGTTCTATACACCTCGAACCTGATCGGCATCCTCTTCGCTCGATCGCTTCATTACCAGTTCTACTCCTGGTACGCGATGCAGCTGCCGTTCCTGGCGTGGAGGACCAGGTACCCGCTCCCTGTGCAGTAAGTCCTCTGTGCATGTGTTATTCATCGCGCTGCGAGTGACCTCATGCTATGGTCGCAGGGTAGCACTATTACTCGCGATCGAGTATGCATGGAACGTGTACCCCTCCACCTCGTTATCATCGGGCGTATTGGTGGCCTCGAACGTCGCCCTCGTATTGGGCATCTGGTTCGGGTTTCCGGAAGGGCGGACAGTCCCTCAACCGAAAGCAGCAAAATCGGACTAGTCTAGCATTGTGCAACATATCCAAGCGAAAGCACCGAAAGCACACTACTGTACAAATACACACCCTCTATTCCAGTGCCTACGAGCACCCCCCGTACCCTCAGACCGTCAAACCCTGTGTCTCCACCGCCGCCACAGGAACAGTGCAGCGCCGCAAGCGAGCAGCGACGTCGCGGTGCCCACCCAGAACGTCGCGCGCCAGCACTGCACGCCCGCGCACGCGTTCTCGCCCGGGGGCACGTGCCGCGCGGCGACGAACGCGTAGATGTACGAGAAGATGGTGGTGCCCACGAACGCGGTGTACGAGATGATGCCGAAGTTGCGGCCGAGGTTGGGCAGGCCCCAGATCGAGGACAGCACGCCCGGGCTGCGCAGGAGGGTTTGGTTAGAATGGAGGCACTGTGGGGGCCATGCGCGCAGCAGATTGTGGACTCACAGCACGGTGAACGTCGTGCCGTACGCGATGCCCGTTCCGACACTGCCATGTCCCCGTTAGATTTGTGCGTTCTATATGCGCGCAGGAAGGATTAGCGTACCTGAGCGGCCAGGCGGCCTCCTGGGTGCGGACGGCGAGCTCGAGCCACGCGAACGTCGCGGCGAGCACGAGCGCGGCCCCAACGACGAAGAGCACGCGGCTCGCGTGGCGCTTGCGCGAGAACGCCCACACGCTGTCAACGTAGGACGCGACGGGCGCGAGCACGTCCGCGAGCGGCCCGATGAGCAGGCGCGAGAGCGTGTTGAAGAAGGAGAGCAGGCGGACTTGCGTCGCGACGTTTGCGCTCGCGCTCGAGCCGCTGGCGGACGGGAGGGAGAGCACGATCGTGCCAAGGTTCGAGACGACCATCTCCGCCTGGCGTGAGGAGCGTAAGCATTATGAGGGGCAAATTAAGGGAAGTGTGGGAAGAACGCACCGCGCCGACGACGAGCAGCATCCACAACGCGAGCACCCAGAAGTAGGGGTCCTTGAAGAGCTCGAGCGCGCTCCCGTGCTGCGGCTCCGGTACAGGCACGAAGTGGACGTTAGCAGGCTCCATTGGTATCGGCTCACTGCTGTCCGCCAACAGCGGCTCCGCTTCCTCAAGCGCGTTCAAGGCGTCAGTGTTGTCCGCGTCAGCAGTTCGTGCCTCTCCAGACCCTGTCGGAGCGTCCGCAGGATCCTGGCACGGTGCCGGATTCATGTAGAATATTAGCGTGGTCACTAGGTGCACGCCCCCCGTTACTGCAGACATGAACCCGAAAAAAGCCGCAGCATCCAATGTTTGGCCACGCGGGGTGAAGTACCTGGAGGCGACCACCGAGAGGAAGAAGGGCGAGAGCCCGAATATAGACATGCTTGTCCCGGAGGCGATCCCAATGTATCGCGGGAATGTCTTTGTCGCCGCAAAGACGAGCGAGAAGTACCTGTAGGAGGCTGTAGATCTATACCGGTTTCACAGAGTTGACCCGGTTTGTGACTTACGAGCAAACAGTTGCGAGTCCGATCATCCCGAAGTACAGGACGAGCAGACGGAACGCCCCTGCCGATGGGTGAGAGGCATCCGGGGGTGTCTGGGCGATCACTTGGGCGAAGAGGCCGAAACCTATCGAGTTGAGGATGCAAGCGGCAAGGGAACATGACCAAGGTCCGTAGCGGTCGATGGCCTTCCCGACGAGGGCAGCAAAGGGATATTGGCCGGCCATGCCTCTGTGAACGTGCTCAATGAGATTTCCGGCTGTTGCGGCAGTGATCATAGTTCTTACGCCAATGCAATCGTGGTGAGCTGGGGCTGACTGAGCTTGAGTTTCTCAACGAGCGCGGGCGCTATGAGGGGGAAGCTGTACACGCCTCCGGCGCATATTCTGCAACATGAGACGGTTCAGACATGCATGGGTCAGAATGGAGGCGTGGAATAAACGCACGCATTGGCCGCCACTGCGGTGCATACGAGGATGGGCCGAATGCGGCTGGCCCTGGCATTGGCCCGCATTGTGGACCCGAGCAGTGGCGATGTGCTTCGAATAAAATCAGACAAACAGTGAAATGTCTATGCCGCTAGTCGAGATCCGAGTGAGCGATGGCACGCTGCTGAGGGCAGTAGAGTGAACTCTCGAACAAGGGTACTGAATGGCACTGGCCAAGCACTGGTGCCAGCAGCTGCCTGAGTGGATTAACGACCGGAGGGGAAAGAGGAGTTCCCCGCACGCGCAGTGCTGTGTCCTCCATGGGCCGTCGGCCCGGTGTCCAAAGAGGATGCCGCTGGGACTCGGCCAAAGTCGTTGCGCTCTGGCCACGACGCTCTCTCCGAGCCCTCAGCCAGTCTCGCTCGGTCCTCCGGCGATACTCTTTCACCAAATTTAGCCCTATGGCAAGCTGCGCTGAAGAAGGTTGTGTGCGTCTGGTCCACTGCGGCTAGTCATCAAGACGTCAACAGCGCCTCCATCACTTGAGCGTCCCCTCCGCCGGCGTCGCTAATGTGCATCAGACAAGTGAGTGTCGGGACGGTGATGCATGCAATACGGTCTGATTGAAGCGGATGTTTAGAACTAGATTGATGCTTTTGCGATATCGGCCACGGACTTCGGCGGCCGAGCTTCTGTGGCAGGGCCGGAACAGAGAACCTCCAAGAGACACGACAATGCACACGCCGCAGAAGTCTGGGCGATTCATTTCGCATGTCCAGCTGGTCTCAAAGCGGGTGGAAGCGGACTGAGTGCACACGGTCCTGGGACCATAGAAACGGGCTGATCGAGGGATTGGTTGCCATGCGTGTTTCAGGCTATGAGTCTAAGCGCGGGTGATGCACAGGTGCGCGCGATTGGTACTTAGGCCCGCCGCGCGCGTGTCTCTCCGAGCTTCCTGCTTTGCCTTCCCCCGCCTCCCCCTTTCTCCTTTCTTTCTTTCTTTTCTCCGCGCGGCCACTTGCTTGACGCATTGTCGGACAGGATTCCGGACACGATATCTGGTACTTATACTCGTGTTGGCCCAAGAACCTGATCAACGATCACCACCGTCGACCGGTCTCCAATCCTTCTCTTCCACTCTGCGCTTGCCCGTGACCGCCATGGCCAACTCTCTTTCAGCGTACCGTTATTCTTCTTTTGGTGCGTCTCATGCTTTCTGGAGGGAACGAATGAGGAACTCACGCATGATTTCTCTAGGTCTCTTCATTCTCTGCAACGCTGTCGTATGCTGTGTATCTGTGTGGAATTTGGCCCTTGCTCAACAAATAGGCTGGAATCGTATGCAGTATTGTTATATCCTTCTGAAGCCAGCTAACGCGCCTTCTAGCACTCATTGACGCATACATGATAACTATTGGCGCGCTCGGGATCCTCTTCATCTTCCCTGTGTGCGTGCACTTCATGACTGTGAGCTCTTGCAGTGCTGACTTCTCCCCCACAGCTTGTGCATCGACCTACTACGCAAAAACTCCCTTGTTGGCCGCGTGTGGTTCGAGTGCATATGGGTTGGTGTGTTCTGGGTCCTTCAATTAGGTATGTGCCACAAGTCTCCAAAGAAGGCTTGTCTTGCTAAGATTGTTTTCAGCTGGAGCGGCAGCCATTACTGCTATCTTGCCCAATCTTCTATGCAGCGTTGCAGGTGAGACCTACCTGCATGGACGTACTCAACGACTCTAACCTATTCCCACAGCTGATATTCTTCAACCTTCCTCATGCATATCAACCAAGGTGCTCCTAGCATTCGCATGGCTCGGCGCCGTCAATCGTCAGTTCTTCTCGTAGCCCGAGAGTGTGCGTGTCACTAACAGAAGTGCAGTGCTCGTCTACTTCTGTGTCCTGATGGCCACCGTCATCTACCACATGAAGGACGATTCGCAAGTCTGGTCCGGAAACACGCGCATGTATCCTTGGTACAGAGTGCGCGAAGCTCTCCCCAGCGGCCGGCCAGAGCCCCTCCGGACCTGGTCGAAACCGCCCGTCCCCGCCGCCACGCCCCAGATCCGCCTCCCCTCCGACCTCTCCCGCCGCTCAAGTACCCGGAGCTCGATGTTCGACAGCGAGAAGCTCTCGGCCGTCCCGAGCAGGACGCCGATGACGTCGAATAAGTCCGCGCGCATCCTCCAGAGCGCATGGATCTCAGCGACGGTGACCCCCGCGTCGCCGCCCTCCGACGGCTCGTCCGAGTACGGCACGTCCTCGTCGGACCTCACGTCGACCCCCACAGGCATCCCGCCCTCCGCGATGTACATTCCGTACTCATCCACCATCAAGCCGTCGCCACTCGGCACCGGGCCCCCGCCACGCTCGAGCTCGCTCTCCGCCACGTTCGGCGGTGCACCACTGAGCGCCGCGCCATCACGTAAGGGCGGCGCGATACCGCCGTCACCACTGGTACCGTCCGTGGGCCGGAAAAACAGTTCTTCGGGCCCGCGCCCGAAGTCGAAGCGCAAGTCGACGCGGCCGCCCCCGCTTGATATGACACGGTTGCACAGTGCGTACGGCCGATGAGGCAGCCCGGCGTCGCGTGCGACCCGGGTATGTGCGCTCTGTTGTATTACAGGGTCGCCGCGCGACTCTGCCGTGTTTGCGGGTGTGGATCATGTTGTACGACTATTGCTACGAATAGGACGCCGAGAGGCGATGTTGTACGTACGAGGTGGGCCTGTTATGGCTTTCTTATACCAACCTTTCACGTTCAAAACGCTCCGTTCATGTGTGCTTAACGCTGTGAATTGCTTCCACGACGGGGAGATCGCTAACGCCCCTGCACGAACGGGAAGCCTCCCGGGAACCAGGCTTCCATTATGATTATGGCAAGCATCTACCTCTACGCGACGCGAGTACTGATCATCTCTACCTACATAGCGCTCCTGTTGCCTATTCCAACCTTGCAAGGGACAGGTCCAGGTAGCTACCGAGCTGTGGCGGGCATTTCAGTCAGCTGCTACCGACGCCCGATGAAAGCCTCTCTTCGATTAGTCGTGAACCGTACTAGGTAGCGCACTACACGTACAGGTTCAATATATAGCATGCCAGTCGTTGCGCGAGCTTATCTACCCCGCAAGCAGCAGCACAGGCACCTCACAAACTGTTTGGATCCTACACAACAAAGGACTTGCCTAAGAAATGCCATGCGAGGACTTGCCCTGCGTCGCCATCCTCGGGACGTGCGACACCAAGCTCGACGAGCTCCTTTATGTTCGCAGTCAGCTCCTCGAAGCGCACCGGGTCCGCGTCAAGCTCTTCGACGTCGGGCGTACGCCCAGCCCGCACCCAGCCATCGATGTCGCGCGGCGCTCCATCCTCACCATTTCCAAAGGGGACAACGAACCCACGTCAGGAACGCCTCCTGACGTCTCGACCCTCTCCCGAGCAGCGTTTATATCAACAATGGCCTCACGCGCAACGCCACTCCTCGCATCGCTCGCCACAGCGGGCACCATCCACGGGCTCGTCGCACTCGGCGGCTCGGGCGGGTCCGCCCTCGCGAGCGCGGTCATGCGCCAGCTCCCCCTCGGCTTCCCGAAGCTGCTCGTGAGCACGATGGCCGCGGGCGACGTGCGGGCGTTCGTCGGCGAGGCGGACATCGCGATGCTTTACAGCGTCGTCGACATAGCCGGGCTCAACGACATCCTCTGCCCCGTCCTCGATAACGCCGCGGGCGCGATTGCGGGGATGGCACGCGCCTACCAAACTACACTCCGTTCCTCTCAGCTGGCCGTGGCGGGAGAGGGGGCAAACCGGACCCGCAAGCGCATCGCGATCACGATGTTCGGCGTGACGACGCCAGCGGTGACCGTCGCCCGCGCGCTGCTGGCGCGGTACGCGTGCGACTCGTACGTCTTCCACGCGACCGGGGCCGGGGGGCGCGCGATGGAGCGCCTCGTATCCGAAGGGTTCTTCGACGGCGTGCTTGACCTCACGACGACGGAGCTCGCGGACGAGCTCGTCGGCGGGATCCTGAGCGCGGGACCGCACCGGCTCGAGGCCGCTGCGCGGGCGGGCGTGCCGCAGGTCGTGTCCCTTGGTGCGCTGGACATCGTCAGCTTCGGACCGCGCGCAAGCGTGCCCGAGCGATTCGTGCTGCAGGGCCGTATATTGCGCGAGCACAACGCGTGCGTGACGAACATGCGCACGACGCCGGAGGAATGCGCGCAGCTCGGACGGATGATCGCGGAGAAGCTTCGTGCGGCGGGGGCGCGTCCAGATAGGACGGAGGTATGGCTTCCGATGGGCGGGATGAGTCTGTTGGACAAACACGGGGGACCGTTTTGGGACCCGGAGGCGGTTGAATCGCTGGCGCGTGCGGTGAGGGAGGGGTTTAAGGGAGACGGGGATAGGAAGGTCAGGGTGGTGGAAGCGGAGGGGAATATCAATGACTCTACGTTCGTGGAAGGCATGGTGCAGAGCCTGGTGCGGATGATGCGGCTCGAACCATTGAACGAGCTCGGGATGGGGGAGGAGCCCTTGGGCAGATATTAGAGGTCTGCACACGAGTGTATATTTTCTGGCATGCAAAACGCCTCTCCAGATCTACTCCTGTAACGTCATGATTAGTGTCCACGTCTTCAGGATTGCCATGTAAACACCAATACATACCAGACACCAGTGAATGCCACGTTTCAGGACCCAGTAGACCAACAACCAAGGAACTCACCACTGCACAGACGTCGCTCAACGATCTCGCATATGAGAGGAATGAACAAAATAAATATTGAGACCCGTAGGTCTACCACTCCGGGAAAGCGTGTCATCCTTGTGCAGGGGCCATGCTAATCTTCTCTGTATCGTTCCAATTTTTTCGTATGTCACCCCGAAGGGGACATTAAGTGGCAGAGGGTGAGATGGGTCGTGAGCGAAGACGTGTCTTTTGCCTCCTCTGCGGGTTGCAGTCCTCCCAGGTACGCGGCAATCCCGGCGGAAGCGCCGACCGAGCGCCGGCACCAATGCTCGAGACGCGCGTGTGAGCGCCACCGAAGCGTCGGGCGGTAAACAGGATCGACTTGGGATCGACTACCCTTGGCTGAGTACCACTATGCTGAGCTACCAATCACGTCTACTTACCTCTTGCCATGATCCACTGGGCCGGGTGATGACTTGTACACGACGTACAACGCTTCACAGCATCACAGCCGGGCATAATAAGTACAAGGGACAAGCGCCCCGTCGTTATTTGCTCACCGACCGCTAAGTAAGGTCTATTGTTCTTTCCCGAGCCATTGTCTTCCGCCTGCCGCCCGCCTCTGTTAAAAGCATTATGGGCACGATTGGCTTTGGTTCGTGGCCCCGGGGGTCCATCGTCTGCTTAGACTGCTCCTGCTTTGCATTTCACGCTCCATAGACCGCGCCTTGCTCCGTGTCTTGAATCTTGATTCCTCTGCCCCCGTCAGCCTTTAACTGTCCGGGTTCCTCGATTGCCCCTTAGTCCCACTTGCTGTTTCCTGCTTTCGTGCGCACCCAGGCTCTCTCGACCTTTCTTCGAGTTCATCTGTCCTTCACGCCGCCTACGTTGCGACGCGCCTCCAGTTGCTTTCTGCTACGTTCCGCCCACGATATCTGACGCGCTCTTTGCCCGTGCGATCACCACAACCTATCGTTTATTGCCCACATAATGTTTGCACGCGCCCCCCAACCATCGTGCGTGACGCGGAACCCGTTCATCGTGCTCCGTTTCGTCCTCTTCGGTGAGCAGCAGTCCTACTTCAATGTTTGTGGCGGGCGCTGACGTATTCCCACTAGCTATCCTAGTCTACGTTAATCTGCTCACCATTGGCTTCGCGGTGTGGAACCTGACGGTCCTGAAGGGTCTGGGTGACCAAGGTGAGCTATTTCAGCACGCTTGCTCAAACTACAGTGCTAACTGATCGTCTAGCGCTTGGCGCCCCCGGATTCGTGCTGTTCAACGCATGCATCCTGCTCACTCTCCTGGGGATGTACGTATGTTTGGCCAACTATGATGGAGCCCGCTCTGATCCTCTACCCCAGGTGCCTTATTTCGGCGTGGTATTCCCTCGCTGCATTCGACAAGGTCCGCAACGAGTGTGTATGGACCGGGTCTATGTCGGTGCTGCAACTCGCGAGCTCGATGGACATCACCGTTAGCGGACCCCCAACCCTCTGCTCGGGAGTCAGTATTCTGGCGTGTGCATCGTCCTCGCTTACGGTGGCGCTTTCGTGGGTGTCTAGCACCATGTGTACGTCTCTCTCCACTCAGAAGTCGCTCCAGCGTACTAACAACCATCACAGTGCTGCTGTACTCCTTCTCGCTGCTGACCACCGCCATCTCGCACATGCACGAGGTCCCGGACGTATGGACCGCTTCGGTCCGCACCGTCGCCTGGTTCGCCGTCCCCTCCGACTCCGTCGAGTCCCCCCGGTCGTACACCGAGAAGCCTCGCCTCTCCGACGACGTCTTCGTCGAGGACACCAAGCGCTCCTCCCTCCACTTCCCCACGCCCATCTTCGAGCGGCACGCGAAGGCGCTCCCGCTCTCGCCGCAGTCCGAGCGTGCACCCGAGTCGCCCGCCGCGGCGCCCCCGATCTGGCACGCGCGCCGCCGCAGCTCCGTGCCCTCGCTCGACCTCCCGCCCCCGCCCTCGAAGCGCACGACATGGACGAGCCGCATGTTCAGCGGCGTGCCCTCCCTCTCGCACAAGTGCAGCATGGAGAGCGTCCGCCCTAGCTGGGCGAAGACCGGTGGCGCAGCGGGCCGCCGCGGGGTCGACCACCCGTTCGCGATGCCGCGCCCCGGCGGGCCCGCGCTGAAGCCGCTCGTGCTGCCGACGATCCGGCCGCTGCGCACGATGAAGCTCAAGTCGTGCTGGAGCGCCTCGACCGGCGGCGGCGAGTCGCACCCGCCCCCTGCGCTCCCGCCCAAGGCGCGCGCGCGGCTCTCTGGGGTGGACCCGGCGACGGGGCTGTCCCCGACGAGCACGTTCTACATCGACCTCGAGCGCGACGCGGTTGTGTCGGTGGGCGCGCCGTCGCTGGGGCGCCCGCCGTCGCTGGGGCGCCCACTGTCGTACGACATGTTCCCCGAGGACGTCGTCGACCCGGACGCGCCGATCACGCGCTCGCAGCCGTCGACGTGGATCCGCGCGCATAGCCCTGCGTCGTCGACGTCCGCGTCGCGCTGAGCTTTACTTTCAACTTTTGGACCCCTTCAGCTGCGCTGCATGCAGCGCGCGAGGGCGGACGCTGTGCCGTTCCGTTGAGACGCTGTGCCGCGCACGCCTTCCCCTTGCTTTGCACTCGCATCGCCAGCCGATTTCTCCCCCGCTTTTCTTGGACTGTATTTGTTTTCGGGCTGGACTTGGCTGGACTGTAGTATAGAGCACACACACACTGTATCGAGTAGTATTACCGACGATTCTGTAGCGATTCCGAGAACGCTGTATCGTTGACATTGTACATAGCACTTAATTGTATCCAAGACATCGGGCGCGGTATATTGTGCAGGATGCCGATGACAAGAAACGATCGAAAGCCAGGAGCGAGATGGAGAAGGCTATACTATCACTCGTGCGTTCTGCATGTATCGGGAGTTTTACAGACCCCCGAGACGTCCCTCCCCCCTCACCTCTGGTGGCCAAAATTCAAAGGGATGGACATGAGTATACTCTGTTCATGCTCGTCAAGTTTTTTTTTTTTAGCTCGCTTCGCATTTGTTGTACACCAAGGATGCGTTGACATTATTAATAGCACCTGATTGTATAATCCAAGACATCGGACACGGGGTGGGGCGTGAAAGCGAAAGAAACAACAACCCCAGTCGATTACAACACGCCCTTAGTACTCGGGACGTCGTCTCCGCCCGTACGTTCGATCGCCTGACGGATCGCGAGCGCGAGCGCCTTGAACGCCGACTCGGCCCTACGCAGCACAAAAAATCATAAGCAACACCACAGACAAAACTGAGAGCGGACGCACCGGTGGTGGTCGTTCTCGCCGCGGAGGACGTCGATGTGGAGCGTGACGCCGGCGGCGATCGCGAACGAGTAGAAGATGTGCGGGAACATCTCCGTCGAGAGGTCCCCGACCTTCTCGCGCTTCAGCCCGAGGTCCGTCACGCAGTACGGGCGCGAGCAGATGTCGATCACCGCGCGCGAGAGTGCCTGGAGATGCGTATGCGTCGGTGAGCAAGGAATGAGTAGTTGTTCGGGGAGGCAGACGGACCTCGTCGAGCGGCGCGAAGCCGGTGCCGTATCTGCGGATGCCGCGCACCTCGCCGAGGGCCTGCTTGAACGCAGTGCCCAGCGCTATCGCAGAGTCCTGTGCAGAGCAACATCACAGTAAGCACGCCTGCTCTATGCACCACAGCAAGACCTGGCGGACTTATCTGCAGAGTGGTGGTCGTCGATGTGCAGGTCGCCCTTGCACGTCATCTGGAGCGACATGCCCGAGTGCTTCGCGAGCGCATGGAACATCTACACACAAAGTTCAAGTGATCAGCATCCGCTCAACCGCTCGTGCACGCAATGAGGAAGGAGGCGCAGCGTACGTGGTCGAGGAAGCCGATCCCGGTGGAGACGCTGATCTCCTGCTTGTTGCCCGAGCCAGGCTGGCAGTCGAGGTTGATCGCGACGCTGATCTGCGTCTCCGCCGTCTTGCGCTCAATCACTGCTGTGCGTGCTGCCATTCTTTCTTCTCACTCAATGTTGTGGCTGAATTTTAGGGGCGCGCGCGGGGAGGATGGGTGGCGATAGCGGTGTGAGTCAGCGCGGGGTGAAGTTCTCATCCACTTGCAAACTTGTGTTACCCGTTTAGGAAAGGGGTGTATTCGCGCCGCCGGGCGCTTCGCGGCGGGGGCGAATGGGCGTGCGTGGATTTGGGCTCGGTGCATCGAATCGTGTATGAAAAAAGGGAAAGCAGGAATGGGAGCAGTACTAGTACGAGGTAGAGGCTAGCTGAGAATGGTGAATTTGGGCGAGGACTTCATGGTACATGGGCCATCTCAGCTACATCCCCGACAAACGGCCCTCTCCCTTCTGCCTTCACATCCATGACTCTCCAGTAGTCACAACCTTTCCCGTCGTTCTGCACGCCCGCGTAGCATGTCCACCAATACTTTGCTACGAGCGTCCTCTTCACAGCTTTCGAGCTTGACGCCTTCGTGTCGCTTGTGGCGGCAAAGCCAGCCTTTTCTTTGCCATTGTCGCGCGACTTCGGCTCTGACAGGTCCTCGTAACGGTTCTTCATGTCCGGACGAAGGATGCAGGGGACGCCACACTTGCACAGCGGGGTCGAGCTTGGGGTATAGTCGGGACGATAGAACCGGAATGTGACGTTGATGCGAGCATTACACGCATCTTCAAGCCGCGAAAGCTCCTCCTTGTCGTCTGTCAGGGATGGCGGGGGAGGGAACGATGGACGGTACATGTCGATGCTAGGCTGGGGTGGGATGCCATGCTTGTATACTTCTTGGCAGGATGCGTGCATGATCGCGAGCTGGAGGGTGTTTATCACGAAAATGCATGGATCGACAGTGGCAAGTAGGGACTCACTGAGTTGTGTCGGAGCGGAATGTTATATGTCCTGGCCGCTCGCGTGTCCCGCTCGTCCAAGGGTACAACTTCGCGGAGACGAAAGATGCGACTCACGCCTATGAGCATTTCAGTCAATGGACACATCGAGACGGCAAAGGTGACCCCCACCGAGACTCAGGCTTGCAATGGTGGGATAAGGGCCCAAGCACGTCAACTGGTCGGTGTGGAGCCCAACGCTCTCCTTTCCGCCAGCGTAACAGTTTGAGGCTGCGACATTAGCACGCCATATGATAGCATCTTCGCCCTCCTCGGCAGGGTAGCCACCCCATTCTAGCGGATATCGTCTGCGCTTGTGCATCTGGGTGTTGACGACTTTCTCGATAATCTGACAGGCCTCCTCCATAGGGTCCGGGAAGGTGAGAGGCGGATCGCATTTCATGCCGTTATACCTGCAATACACGCGCCGTATAAGCACCCAGGTGCTGAAGCTGACGGATCGGTGGTACACGCACGAGGAATGTATACATACCAGAATTGCGCCGCTTGGCCCAGGTCGTCTTTTGGCTGGTCGGTCGCACGCACGAAGAAAGTCGTGCTGTGCGAGCTCTCCACAACGCGATCAGCCAACCACCATTTGGTGCGTCTCCAGTCCTTGCTTGCATATAGAAGGGTGTAATACAGCCTGCAAGACGCGACGTTCACACCCTAAGGTCGGCGAGGATAAGGATGACTCTTACTTACCGACACGCTAGCTCAGGCGGGAGTACAGAGTGATGCAGAGTGCAGGGTGTGTGCTCGGCCACCATCTCGGGCGTTGACAGTGTTAATGGTGGTAGTCGCGGGACTTGCGGCTTGTTAGGTGTACCGTCGAAGGAGTTTGGCGGTCGCAGCAACTCTAGAAACTCGGAGTTGCTGACCTTCTTGACGCTAGAGTTGGGCTTTTTCGGCGAAGGTATGCGTGTTGAGGAGGCCGAAGCCTGTGGCCCTCCCTTGGATTTACTGGCAGTAGTAGACCCGGAAGGCTGGTGTGAGACCTCCTTGGCAGCCGTAGGTTCGGGGGAAGGTTCCTTCTGCTTCAGCCAGCTGTTTATACTGACCTTTCCGGACACCTTTCGCCGTTTCTTTGGGGGCTCTACAGACAAAGACTGTGCGGCAGCCTCGATGTCGCCTTGAGAGCTGACGAGCGCGTCGAGCAGGACGGCCTCTTCGAATTCTTGAGGGTGCAAAACGCTCGAGAGCAGGGCGAGCAGTGTTTCGGTGTCCATGTCTCCGCTATGCATAGTGCCAGCGACGTGTGGTGGTGGTTACCGATCAAGCGGGTGACTCCCTCGACAGACTCCAGAGCGCCGCGGGCGGCCTCCGAGACGCGCGGGACGTGACCCGACGCGGACACGTGATACACGCGTTAATTAGTACCTCACCCCGGGTTACGATCGTTACTAACCGTGCAGCAAGTATTGCAACAACTTCATCATGTATGCTATAGAATCCATGAAGACAATATCAATGCACTTCAGCAGCAAACGGGCCTCTTCCTTCAACCTTGACGTCCATCATCTTCCAGTACTTGCAGCCCTTCCCGTCGTTTCTACCACCCACCGCACACGCCCACCAATACCTTGTTACCGCTGCCTTCATACCGCGTGTCCCTCCGCTAGATGCCCCAGGAGGAGAAGCTTGCGTCGACGTTCCGCCTTCCAAATCGTTGCCGGTCTCGTGTGGGTACCGGTTCTTCATATCAGGGCGCAGAATACAAGGAATGCTGCAGTCGCATCTCGGGATCGTGCGCGAGAGAAAGTCGGGACGGAAGAAGCGGAAGGTGACGTTGATTCGCACGTTCGATGCACCCTGCAACTTCGCCAGCCGTGTCTTGTCGTCCGTGAGCGAGGGCGGCGGAGGAAAGGGCGGGTGGAACATGTCGATACTGTTTTGGGGAGGGACAGCATGTTTAAACTTTTCCTGCGTCGATGCGTGCATGATGACCAGCTATGAAAGGCCATCAAACACAACCCTCATTTGCATCGATGCACAGAGACCCACAGAGTTGTGCCGTAGGGGGATATTGAATGTCCGAGCTGAGCGATCGTCCTTCTCGTCTGATGGTACGACCTCACGCAGCCGGAAGGTACGGCCTACACCTGCGTAGCGACACGCAACGAAGTCTTGAGTCCCATATACCTTGGTAAGTCGCTATAAATGCTCACCAAGACTAAGACTAGCGATGGTTGGGTAGGGACCCAGGTGGGTTAGCTGGTCGGAGTGAAAGCAGATGTTCTCCTTCGCGCCTGCATAGCAATTGGATGCCGCGACGTTGGCACGCCAGAGAAGAGGCTCTGCGTCTTTGTCGCTCGTATGCCCTCCCCATTCGAGCGGAAAGCGTTGACGTTTGCGCATCTCTGCGTTTACGATATGCTCGATGATCTGGCAGGCCTCTTCCATTGGGGATGGAAAGAGGGGAGGCAGCTCCCTTCTACGTCCTTGATACCTGAGAAGCGACAGAAGCCGAATGTGATGACGGCAGATATATACCAGCACATAAACGAACTGACCAGTACTCGGTCTCCTCGTGCAAAACATCGCTGGGAGATGTACCACGTCTATAGAAAGAGGACACATGTCCGCTGGAACGCTGCCAATCTGGGCTGGCGCACAGCAGTGTATAGAAAAGACTATGGTGACCGGTCGTTTAGTAACAGTGCGGACCGTTGTACGCTCGGTCGATGCTTACCGACAGGCTAGTTCGGGCGTTAATACAGAATGATGCATAGTGCACGGCGTATGCTCAGCCACAAGTTCCGGGGTTGCAAGAGTGAGGGGGAGCAAGCGTGGGACCCGAGTCTTCGAAGTGGAGGCAGACTGGTTCGTTTGGCTGAGATCTCCAAGGAACTTCATGCCAGCGATGCCTCTGGTCTTTGAGGCACTCGCACGCATAGTTGCAGGAGGGGAACTTCCGCTGGGCGCCCCAGCGGACGACTTGGACGGTGTGTGTGGGGAAAGTATAGTCTTCTCGCCTCTGAGCCAGCTTTCAATACTTCTAGGGTCATTGTCGGCCAGTTTACGTCGCTTCATAGGTGGCTCTGATCGCAAGGCTCGGGCTGCAGCTTCGAGGTCGCCGTTGGCGTCGATGAGTGCGTCCAGCAACACGGCGTGCTCAAGCTCTTCGGGTTGTAGAAGACTGGAGAGCATCGCAAGCAAAGTGTCTGTATCCGTCTCTGCGTCAGTCATGATCTAACGCGAACTGAAAGAGGACGAGTTTGAGCTGCGTCGAGGACAGGGACAAGGAGGGCGCGCTTCGGAGACGCGCAGCCGTAACGCGATCGACTCGCGTCCACGTGATGTGCCCCACTGCCACCGGCCCGCCCGGTATCGAGACGACTCGGGCTGGCTACTAGTACTACGTTGCGGTCAACAGCCATGTCGGACAGGAAGAGTGCCGCCGACACACTGCCTGTGGTCTCCCAACGGACGTCTCCCGCTTCGAATGCGGCGAGGACAGGCGTGTATCGTCATCCTTGCCTTATCCGGGTACGTTCCCCTCTCGTGAAGCGTTCGGAGCCCCACGCTGGTTGCTGATAAGCACCCCGACAGAGTGCCATGATCATTTATGTTGTGCTGTGCTCTTATGTCGTTTACATTTTTTGGGACTCTGATCCCACCGGGCCCGACTTCTCTCATCTCGCTAGTCATTGCGCACACATCACTCCGATACCCGCGCAGTCCTACATCGAACGTCAAGACGCGCTTGCACGGACCCTCGCCTCCGTTAACGCCGCGGCCTACATTGCGGAGCCTGGAGCCAGCGCGGAATACTTTGCCAACATCTCTAGCAGCCACTGGCACCTCTCAGAGCGTCCTCTCCTGCTCGTAGTCCAGCCCACCACGGACGAGCATGGCGAAACACGGGCAAACGTTTCCGTCTTGACGCCGTATTTCGAGGAGACCAGGGCGAGGCTTCTACCGATCCCGAGCGACGCTGGGATTACCTACACGGCATGGCCCGAGGACCACAACCCCTACGAGCACGCTCTCTCGCTACTACCTAAGCTCGCAGGCGCTACCATCTACGTGGACGGCAATGTCAGAACATTCGTCACAGACGGTCTGCAGAAGGCCGCGCCAAAGGCCTTGGTATCGAGCGCGCCCGTCGAGGTCCGGCGGCTTCGTGAGCGCAAGAGCACCGAGGAGATCGATATCCTCAAATGTGCGAACGAGGTAGGAACGCGGATACATGGATGTTTGTTTGTCTTGCTGAACGGGCGTTCTATAGGCAACAGTGCTGTCCATACGAGCGGCACGAGAACATATGAAGATCGGCATGCGAGAATCAGAGGCCGGTCAGCTTGTGACTTCCGCTCTGACGGCTGCTGGCCTGAAAGGCGGATTCGCACTCACCCTGTTTGGAGGCTAGTCCCTTTCCCCCCCTGTTGCTTGTGCTTGCATATTTACATTCCGTAGAAAATGCTGCCTTGCCCCATGGGACCGGAACCAACCGCGTTCTTGGCAAGCACGACTTCGTCCTCGTCGACTGCGGGGGTTCGCTTCATGGGTATGAGAGCGACGTAACCAGGGTTAGTTTACGCATCCAATTCTACATTACCTCGCTGATATTGAGAACTTGTCCACAGACATTCGCGTTACCGGACTCGGTCATTCCGTTGAGGTACCAAGCTCTGTGGGGGATTGTGCATGCGGCACAGCGAACTGCGCTTGAAGTAGCTGCCAACGGCACTATCACGTCTGCCGTCGACCAAGCGGCACGCAAGATCATCAAGGAGGCCGGTTACGGCGAGTTCTTCACGCACCGTCTCGGTCATGGTGAGTCGCAGTCTTTAGTCGTCAGTACTCAGCATTTACAACGTTGTCCCAGGCATTGGTCTCGAAGGCCACGAGTCACCGTACTTGGTCGGTGGGTCCGATGACGTTATTCTGACAGGACACACCTTCTCGGACGAGCCAGGAATTTACATTGAGGGCAAGGTGAGTACTTGCGCTACTTGTGGTGTACCTCGTTTACCGATCTCGTACGGCAGGTCGGCGTCCGGCTGGAGGACTGTTTCTACATCGACAAGAATGGCGTAGCACAGTATCTTACTGCAGGGGTAGGGGCTCCGGCTAGTAGCCCATGGACCCCGTAGGATGGTTGCCAATACCTATAGCACTCTAGCTTTGATTTGTATCTGGAGGTTATTTGTGGATGAAAATCTGTATCCTTGACCTTTGCGTGTAAGGCTTCGCGTCGTGCAACCACTGTATACGCTGAGATGCTGAGATGCGCAACACGCTGACACTCTTCTGAAGCTCAGGAAAGGCTGCCGCCCCTGCGATCCACTTTCAGATATCCAATACCGGGCCGGACCCGGGGAATGATCGAGTTCTTAGCGCTAAGCGCTCATTTCCCATGAAAATGTTCATAGCGCTCACGGCTTGGTACCGCACTCTACTGAACGCCTCGAGCTCGAGCTTCCTGCTTCGCCCTAAAACGCTCCCTACCTGCTTACTATCGTCGTTGCAAAATGCCCTCACCTGAGGAAGCCTCCACATCCTCGCCTCCGCCGGCTGACACCCCACCGGCCGAGGCCGCAACCTTCAAGTCGCTCGGGCTGATCGACCCGCTCCTCGAAGCCCTCGAGCAGATGCAATACAAAGCCCCGACCGAGATCCAAGCAGAGGTGCTCCCGCACGCGCTCCAGGGACGCGACATCATCGGCGTCGCCTCGACGGGCTCCGGCAAGACCGCCGCGTTCGCGCTGCCGATCCTGCAGAAGCTGTGGGAGGAGCCGAAGGGGCTGTTCGCGTGCGTGCTCGCGCCGACGCGCGAGCTCGCGGTGCAGATCGCGCAGCAGTTTGAAAGTATTGGGAGCGCGATGGGCGTGCGGTGCGCGACGATCATTGGGGGCGTGGATATCATGGCGCAGAAGGTCGCGCTTGCGAAGAAGCCGCATATTGTGGTTGCGACGCCGGGGAGGCTGAATGACCATCTGGAGGAGACGAAGGGGTTTAGCTTGAGGAGTCTGCAGTTCTTGGTATGTTTTTGTACTCGCTCAGGGAAGGCGGAGTATTCATATTGCTCTGTCGCTGCATAGGTCCTAGACGAGGCCGACAGGCTGCTTGACATGGACTTCGGTCCTATTATCGACAAAATTCTAAAGGTCATCCCCAAGGAGCGGACAACATACCTCTTCTCGGCGACGATGACTACGAAGGTGGCGAAACTTCAGCGCGCAAGCTTGTCAAATCCTGTCCGCATAGAAGTGAACTCGAAGTGCGTCCACCTCGATTTGATTCGCCCTGACATGCGCTGAGTATTGTGCATCTAGATATTCGACTGTATCGACATTGCTGCAATACTACCTCTTAATACCGCTCCCCCAAAAGGATGTGCACCTCATCTACCTCGCAAACACACTTGCACAAAATTCGATCATCATCTTCACTCGGACTGTGCACGACGCTCAACGGTTAGCATCCCGCAGCGGAAGTCTCAACGTCAGCTAAACAAGAACTCTTTTCAGGCTGTCAATAATTCTCCGAACACTTGGCTTCCCGGCGATACCATTACATGGACAGCTCAGTCAGAGCGCCCGTCTCGGCGCGCTGGGGAAATTCAAGAGTGGCGGTCGGAAAGTGCTCGTTGCGACCGACGTCGCGAGTCGGTCAGTATTTTACACTGTCGTCTTGCCCTTACGAAACATAACTCACCGCCACTCATCACAGAGGTCTCGATATCCCCTCAGTAGACGTTGTCATCAACTACGACATTCCCACACACTCCAAGGACTACATCCACCGTGTTGGCCGTACCGCGCGTGCCGGACGGTCGGGCAAATCCGTCACTCTCGTCACTCAATACGACGTCGAGCTTGTGCTGCGCATCGAGCAAGTGATCGGGAAGAAGATGGAGCTGTGGCCTGTCGACAAGGAAGAAGTCGCCCTGCTACGGGAGCGTGTGGACGAGGCTGGCCGGCTTGCGACAAGCGAGATGCGGGAGCAGGGCATCCGGGGCGGACACAAGAAGCGCAAGCGTGGAGGGGAGGATGGTGGCAAGGGAGATATGGACCGGGACGACGATGTCCACGAGGCCGGCATGCCGATGCACAAGAAGAAGGGCAAGAGCAGCAGGCGGTGATGTGTGTACATTGGGTATATGCTAGTCTACAGCGTGGTTGGAGTTGGTACATCCCATTACTACTTCATAAACATCAGGTCTGACCGCAAAACATACTTGGTGCCCTTCGTGACCGGAGAGCCTTCATGCAACATACAATCCTGACCATGGCTGACATCTTTGTCAGATACGCTCCTGAGGCAGGGATGGTAGCACATACCGGTGCAGGAGCGCAGTTCCACGAGTGAGCGGAGGGACGATTGTCTCTGTCGGTTTTCCCTTGTGCTCTTGGTAGAACAAAGTCTACAAAAGCGGTAGGCGCAGCTCAAACACATGCGAAGCAATAACGTGTCCACTCACCTCGCCCCCTTCAATACCGTCCTGGCTGCCAGTCAAATATATGAGCAGCGTCCACTCCGACTTCGCTCCGGTCTCCGAATCGCGCACCGCATCGTCGTAGTGTGGGCCGAAGTATTGTCCTTGCGTGTACTTGTACACGCGTATATTCGAGTTCAACGAGTGTGCGGGGCGCCGTGCGTTCGGCGCTGCTCCGGCAGGACGCTTTGCCCATGCGGGGTAGGGGAACTCCGGGAGGTGGGGGGCGAGGACGGCGTGGATGCGCTGCGCGAAGTCGACTGAAGGAATCGACATCCGGTCTATCCGTTGAAGGCCATGAAGCATGGCAAAGTTCAGTGAGTTCGATGGCTTTATTCGAGGCAGACGTACGGTTGACCCGTTCGGCCTCCCCCCTCTTCTTCGGCGGGGTGAGCTCTAGCGGGAGGCTATCTATGAACTTCACGTAGGCTTTGCATTCTTCTGGAGAGAAGAAGTCCTGTGCGCGAGTTCAGCGGGAGGCTCCATCGTTGTGTTCCCGATATACTCGGAGACTAGTACTCAGGGCACGTACGTCGATGAGCAGGATCTGGTCCTCGAGTATCGCTCGGCACTCCAGCCCTTCTTTCGGGGACAACTCCGGGAACCTGACTGCAGGTATTTTGCTGGGAGCTGCAGAGGATGCAGGAGTGGTGATCGCGCGTGCCTTCTTCGCCATGGCGGTTCAGGATAAAGCAGGGCCACTCAAGTTGCCGTCAACTGCAGGGATATTTATGTAGGTCGCCGGTCCGCGAAAGTCGGGATGAGCGAAATGCTTCCGCCCCTGGAGGAACGGGGATGGACAGACTGCTTTGTACCTTGAGAACGTCACTTTGCCGGAGTGGTTAACGGGATCGCCTGCTATTCATAGCTGCCAGCGGTTGGGCTTTGCCCGCGAGTGTTCGAATCGCTCAGGTGACGACTTTTTGCTTACAAGCACTCTAAAAGTGACGACAAAAGGCCATTCAAGTGGTTCGCAAAGCACGACAGTCTAGACATGCACACAAGGAAACGTTGAAACTTAAAGATGGCATTATACAAATATACAAAACATCCGCGCGACAGAGACAAGAACAACAGTACAGCGTACGACAAAAAATTACTTAGGGATGTTGCCTAACTCATACGTCCTGCGGCGCCCAGAGAACACACCGTCCGCTTCCATTTCCAGTCGCGACCCTCTCCACGATACTCGGGTGGGAGCAAGTGACCGCCTGCACCGCGGTGATCCTGTATCAGGAGCAAACGTCAGCGCTGCACAAGCTCCTAGAGTGAACATTGGATCGCACTTGGTCTTGTCAGCCAGCTTGACAATATGATCACCCTGAAATACACGTTAGCTAGGTCGTAAGCTGAACGCTGAAAGGTGTCTGACTTTGCACGAGAAGACGTCAACCGAGTGGTCCATGTTCCCGATCTAATACATGTGTCAGAGACGGCTGATCACGCGAAAGGACGCGAACATACCGTGAAGTGAGGGTATACGTCCGGGTTGGTTGTCCACTGAGCCTTTAGAATGGTGAGCCATTTACCCTATGGCGGTTATGTCAGTGAAGAGCTCGCAGTCCATACCAACGCGGGGAAGCCTACCGTCTGGCAGTTGTGCTTGATCTGACTGAAGGGCCGTGATGACGGGAATGGTGCCTCCTTGTCCAGCCACGAAGACTTGATATCCCACACTGCGAGAAGGTTAGAGGGCGCCACTCCTTGTCGGCGAGAGAACTTACGCCGAATGGTGTCGTCGTAGCTCGTGCTCACGATCGAGCGGCCGCGGGAGTCCCAGTATGCCGAGCTCACCGACTTGTTGTGCTGCCACCGTGCACGCACGGTCGACTGGCCCTTCTTGGTGGCGAGCAGCTTGTCGATGGTCTCGCGATCGACTTCGTTAGGCAGGGTTACTATGCTGTTGTCTCTGCCCTTGGACGACGATGAAGGAGTGTTTGGTGCCGAACGGAGGGACCGGGAGCTCAAAGTCTCCAGCATCCTCGCGTCCCATACCCTACGAATCACAAATATCTTAACACAGAACACATGAGATGTGCAGAATGAGCTTACTTCAACTCGCGGCTGTTGGACGCGGTGACCAAGAAATACGGTCGAGTGGGGTTGACGCTTACGCTCCCGATCTTGGTGTCGGATAAGTCATATCGCTTTGCATGCGACCGGTGGGCGCGAAGGTCCATATGGGTCACGCCGCCCGCGACGTCTGAAATCCACATCTCGTTGCCGTGTGGAGGGAGGTCGACAGACGTGATGAGTATGTCGTCGGTTGCGTAGACTTCATGTGCCATTCCGGAAGTCAATGATAGGTTTCGGATAGTGCAGTCGTATGCGGTTGTAAAGACCTGTGTCACTATGAGTACAGCAAATTGTTTCAGGTACCACAAGACATACGCTGAAGGCATCTATGGGGTCAAATTTGACGGAGGATATCGAGGACTTGGATGTGGCGGGCCAGTGCATTTGCAACCTGTAGTACTTCCCGCCCTCCGCGTCTTCAACGGAGGTGAGTTCACCATCCTCGTCTACAGCTTCTTCTATAGGAGCTCGGGCGTCCCAGATCCCGAGTTCGCCGTGCTTGTCTAGACACCGAAGGGTCGATACGACAAATTGGGAGGTCACAACTAAGCTTACCTCCGAAGAATATCAGGTCCTTCGTAGGCTCTGGATGGTACGCCGCACTATATATCCGGTCGTGCGTAACCTTCGCACGCGACACAACCTTGAGCTTCCCCAGCTTCTGTTTGAGCTGCTTCACTTCCGCCTCTTCCTTCACATCGTCGTCGAAGACGTATGCATCGTCCGAGCTCGCCTGCCTTGGACGTGGCGTTTTCAGGATCTCAGCGAACGTGTGTCTGAGCTCCCCCAGTTCCTCGGGTGTGAGCTCGTCGGTGAGCGCCTGCAGATCAAGGTCGTGGTGGCGGGGCCGCTTCGCCTCGCGTTCGCGCTCCGCCGCCGCCAGGAGCTCCTCTTCTTCCTCGCGGCGCCTCTGCTCCTCCGCACGCTACATAACCACGACACATGTTGGGACAGCACTGCCAAGATGTAGAACGCGGCGTACCTCTCGCTTCCTCTTCGCTGCCGGACTCTCGTTCGGATCGACTGTGGGCGCCCTTCTGAGCCGTGTAGACTGGCGCGTGGGCATCGCAGGCTGTTTAGGCTTCTTGACGCGTGGTTGCACGGGCTTCGCGGCGGATTTACCGCTCTTCGTGGGCTTCAATGACTCCGAGGCGTTCGCCAGTCCGAGCTCGGCGAGCAACGCGCGATTGCGGGCAATGGTCGCCTCGCGCTCGAGTTCACTGTTGGGTGGCTGTGAGCTCAGCTGTCCCCGATGGAGACTCTACACAGTGTGCGTACTAGTCTGATGTGTCTGACATATCTGTGATTTCTCTGTGGTGTATCGCGTAGCGTGTGGTATGTGGTGGAAGGGGGTAGCCAGGGGGGGAGTGCAGGGGTGTGCGAGCCTGGTGGGCAAAACAAGACCGACAGCCAGCCGGAGCCGCCCAGCGCCAAAGCTCGATCGTTGCACGGCGCGTGACTAATGATGCGCGTGAAGTCACACTCACAGCATCGTGTGACGGTTGGCGTCCTGGCTCTCCTCTGTCGCCGCGAGGCGCAGGAAATGAAGCAGCAGCAAGTAGCTAGACAGACAACCGGAACGCAATAATATATGCTGTACAACTAACTAGCAGCAGAGGGCGGGGTATCGCTACATGCTGGTATTTGCCCCTCCCATGTTCACCACAAACGTGCTCCGCCCACCCCGGGGCAGCACCAGCACGTTCTCCGCGCCATGTACCTGATACGTTTCGCAGCTAGGTACCACGCTCGAGCGCATCCTGTGTTCGCCCGGGATGGGTAGAGCAGTCACACCGATCTTCGGCAAAGGCAGCTCTCCGTGGTGGAGGGCTATGAGCGTGATCGGCACCGAGAACGTCTCGCCGTCCTGTAGCAGCTGGTGAGCGACACCAGATCAAGCGTGGGCTGGGCGAGAAGTAGACCTTACCTTGGCCAAGAAGTCTCCCCGCTTGCGTCCGCTGACGAGCCACTCCTGTGTGAGATCTTCGATGTCATATCGCATGAGGTACCGGTCGACCTGCTCGTCCTCCGGTGGTGACCAGTGGAACGACGTCTCCACAGTCAGCAGCGCAGAGATAGGCTGGCCCGCGTAAAGCGGCCGTGTGCATTTCTTGGATTTCTCGACTGAAAATGGGTTCTCCATGATCTGCAGGCGTGCCGCTGCAAGGATCTAATTGGCGGGATGCATCAGCAAGGGCAGAAGTGGGCAGGATTTGGAAACCACGTACGTGCATCTGCGGCACGTCGACAGGGATAACGATCTCGCGCCATTCTCCGAATGATGTTGGCGACCTGCGCGTTTTCAAGATCTATGTATGGCTCAGCAGTCGTTTGTAATACAAAAGGAACACCTTGTGCTTACCTCAATCACCCGACGCAACCCAGCTCCCATGTCGTCATCGCCGGGGGTGACTCCGGGCACAGTGAGCTCGCCGGTGACTCCGTACAGTTCTACCCAAGAAGCGGTCGTCTCCAGTGCCTGCACCAGCTTGTCCACTATGTCCTGACGTAGTGGGTCTAGTGACGGTGTTTCGGTGACCACTTCGCTGGCGGCTTGCTCTATGAGCGATTCGACCTCTGTCCCAGGGCGTCAACAACTGAAGCGTACTAACAGACTGCACGATCTACCTTCGCGAAGCATGCGGTACGAGATCTGCAGCTTCAACGGATCTCGCACTGCGACAGGTCAGTTCGCCGTGCCGCGCGCTCCGTACGGCGTGCTTACCTTGACCACGACTAGCATCCATCTGGAACAGGAAACGCCCCGGCTGTGCTGGAGTGATAGTCTTCACAAGAGATTTAGCCCCCGCTCGTTTCAAGGACAGCTACAGACACGTACCACAACGGACGGCTTCTGCGACATGCAGCTCGTGACCTTCACCCCATCCGCCTCGTTCGGCGACAGCAGCTTGGTGGAGCGCACCCGCACATGTTGGTGCGACGTCGTCGATAGCGTGAAGCGCGTGAAGAGTCTGAAGATGGTCTGCGAGTGTCTTAAAGAAGGATGAGGCAGCCACTGACCTCGTTCCACGGAAGAAGTCCTCGACGTTGATCGCCACGGGCAGGGACGTCGCGACGACCCGGCTGAGCCGCAGTGTCCTGGTGACTTCTAGCTCGGATGTGGTGACATACTCGACGGCGACGTTGATTCTCTACGGTACGCTGTGAGCACATCTCACTATAGCCGTACTCGACGCTCGAACACATACCATGAAGTGATATGCCGATGCGTCCGTGTGAGGGATGGCTGCAACGACGGTTTGCCCGTGCTTCAAATCCAAAAAGGTCACGGATTCCTCATCCTTGCGGATGGGCGGTACGTCTACAGGAAATCAGAACTCAGCCGTATAAGCACTGGTGGTCGCTCGCTCACCATCCCCGCTCAGTTCGGCTTCCTCGTACTTGAACTGAATGCCAGACGGCGCACTGAGTTTCACCTGCGCAGTGGCGATATCGTTCCGTCCGGTGGAAAGGATGACCATGATCCTGGAGGACGTTCCGAGTTCGACTACCCGACTGTTAACACAAAATGTCCGCGGCGAAGGCGTAAGGGGCGACTCACTGCGGGGAGGCTGCTTGAGTCGTACGTCGAGTGCCTTGAGATCCTTCGGAATATGCACCAGAGCAGGCATGTTCCCGGCGCGGATCTGCTTGGGAGTCTTCGTGTGCTTCCACTGAAAGTGCAAACGTGCGATGGAGATCTCCGTGCTAGACAGGGTGTACGTGCCCGCCGAGGACGACTGCAAGCCGCAATGAGCCGCGTACGCTGATACTTCGCAACATTCAGGCTTACGGGACAAAAAAGGGTGAGCTCGTTTCGTCCGGGAGCGAGCTGCGCAGCTTCGTGCGTGAACGACAGCCGGCTGTTTTCCCGACCCGTCAGCTGCATTTCGATCTCATCCACAAGTAGTTCCTACAACTGTTTTCAACAAATGGCCACTGCATGAATACGGGAAAGACATACGCAGGGTAGGCGGTTGTGTACCACGACTTTGAGCAGAGAGCCATCCCGGGTATCCGCCAGCTTGGCGTCATGTTCCACGATCGTCAACGACAATGCTGGGTGGTCGGGGTAAGGGGTATCTGCATAGCAAGGCACTCTGTAAGCCATATCAAACGACCGCAGGCGGCAGTCATACCGGAGTCCAGCTCATGTGCAGCGTCCTTGAGAGCCGATACGAGCTGAGCGACGTAGGCTTCGCTGTCATCCGTGCTCAAAAGCAGATCCATCCCCATGTCGTCGACATATGCTCTGAGGAAGTGTAGGAGGATGTGGATCCACTCCCGGTCTTTGGATTTCTCCGCGAAAGCGTGGATATCCAGGGCACGGTTCAACATGAATGCCTCCAGCGACGTCCATCCGTGCGGGGAGTAATGCGCTGGAAGGGATGTGTATGTTTGCAGCGCGCTGGAGAGGCGGCCACGGTGACTGAAGGCGATGTGAGCTACGACGCGTCGTATATATACCAGAAACACGTACACGTCGAGTGCGGCCAGGGAGCCATGGAGCTTCAGTGCGAACTTGCGCCGCCCCGCGGCGGCATAGAGCTCGATCGCGCGGTTCGTGATGGCCACATATAGCTCGTAGAATGCGTCCACATCCACCAGCGCGGAAGCGAGATCCGTTCGCGAAATGGTTTCCGACGCCTCCTTGATTTGTGATTCTTGGGGGCCGGTGTAGTTTGACGATAGGGCAAGGCAGAAGGGCGGCTTGTTTGGGAGGTGACCCGCAGCTATGCCGAACACATCAAGCTAACATCGGGTTGAACACGCGCACATCCGATGAATAGGTATTATGCAATCCTACCTGGTGACGTGCGAGTTCAACAAGTTCGCCCTTCGCAGCGCTGAACGGGGCAAGGGCAGCCTTGCCCAGTTCCAGCGGCCGTGCCCACTCGTCGCATTGGTCGACGACGCTGAGAGCTGAGGAGTAGATCCAGGATTCGATAAAACATGGCGGTAATGTGTCCTGTTCTATATTCATGACGGTCCTCCCCATACATGCGAGTAATTGAACTAACCTCAACGTCCCGCAATGTCCGCGCCATAGTAGTGAGGAAGGTTGCCGTCTTCCGACATATCTCCTCCAAGTCGCCCAGTCCGCTGAGCAGCGCACATTGCCTGGCCAAGAGGTAGACTCGAAAGTCAAAGACGGAGATAGTATTCGCCAGAATCAAGTCGCGATAGGGCTTCTTAGACACAGACAACAGAGGAGCGGAGTTGTCAGAGGACGAGGGAGTGATGAGTGGACCGAACCAGGACAAGTTCTTCTCGCGCAGGACCTGGAAGAACGTCGCCTCTAGCTCATAGTATTGCTGCAATGCATCTTCGTGCAGGTTCATTCCCTCCAAGGAGCTTGCGATGCTTTCCTGCAAGTGAGCTGAGTACCACGCGCTGCTATTAGCCTCACCTTCCTGGACATACCTTCAAGATGAAGAACGTGCAGAAGTTCCATCCGGGCATTTGTCTCTGGCCCTCTGACCGCCTTACTTCCTCCTCTCGCTGAGCGAGCGCGCTATCAAAAGCGGACAACACGCCCTCCTTGATCTTGGTGGTAAGGTCTGCCCACACAGCGGGATTGTCCCTCTCTGCAGACCAAACAAGTTGTACGCATCTGCAGCAGGACTCAGAAGACGTTCACACATAAAAGGGGGATCTTGATTGACCTGTCCTTCTTGTCGGTATTGAAATCCGCTTTGACTTTATCCAGCACGGACGCCTTCATCTGGAACAACCGCCCTTGCGCGACGCTCTGGTCCGGACGTACGATATGAACGAGCAACCATTCTTGATTCTTCCGCTGGCCCACAGAGGCGTGCCATTCCTTAATGTGCTTACGAGTTGTGGCCTTGTACGCTTCACTGTCCTGCTCACTACTGCGTGAGGACTAGCCGCATGGGAGAAGCGGGGCGAATCACCTCGCATATAAACACGAAGATGTTCAGCATAGGCTTTCCGAGGATGCTCTGCGGCACCTGCGACGCTGTCTGGTCCTCCCGCAAAGTTTCCAAAGGGACGAATTTGACATCGAGCTCTTGTATTGTGCGGATGGTAGGCCTGGCAGAGGACTTCCAGTGTAGGTTGCGCAGAGGAAGTTGAGAGAGAAGAGACGCGTGGATCTGCTTCCAGTGGTCGGTAGAGAGGAAGACAAGAGGGGCAGCATATGTGACGACGACGCGTTGGGAGGTAGAAGCCATGGCCATCGCCCACAGAGCCAGCCGTGCGACCCTGCTTTCCTGGGAGTCGGATGCGAATACCTGCGAGCTTCTCTGTCAACCTAAACTCTATTCTCTTACAATGTCGCCACTCCAAATAACCCCGTTCCTTCCTGCCACTTCCTCGCTCGCCCACGAAGATGGTCCGGACTTGTTGGCGAGTATGCGTCTGCCTGTACGAAGTTTGTGCGGATGCAAAGCAGGTATGGCCAGAGATGGTGGCGGAGATGACCAAAGACAGCCGGGTGCACGGGCTGTTCTACGTCATTTCCTCTGTGTCGTCTGCAGCCGGAACCATCCGCGCGCGGGCATCTGACAGGGATGGTCGACTGAGCTGATCTTGCCACGCAGCCCGTACCTGTGTTTCCGGACCTCCGATGCCTCTCGCTGACGCACACGACCATTGACCGGCTCTTTTCCCAGCCATATAAGCCCACCGCAATCCAGATCACCCCCTGTTCCCACCCCCATCGTACAACATGCCCGTCAACCCTCGTGCAGTTCTGCTGCACGCGACCGGCGTCGCCGTCATGACATATGGCTATATGAATCTCCCAGACATGATTGCTAACATCCGAATGGCCGAGATGAAAGGCGGCCATTTCCAGTTTCTCACTATTCAGGGGTATGTCAATATTATGCGCCACAGTGCTTCATGTTCGTTGACTTCATGAGATAACTTAGCCTCGTCCTGGCCTGGATAACTATGATACTGAGCCTTGGTTGCGATCTGTTCCCTTCCAGTAAGGACATATTTGTGTGCCCCCCATCAACGTCAAAGAGCTGATGATTTGCTGTAGGACTACTCAGGAACGCCAAACGAACTATACTGATGACGGCTCTTCCGGTACGTGGCTACGGTGCCATGAAGTCACAGACCACTGATACAATAATATCTCAAGGTGTCCATCGTCATTTCGACCATCTACTGGAACCTACTCCTATTCATGCCACACATGATCTTAATGGCTGACCCCGAAGAAACGACTCCGACGTCATCCAGTCAAGTTTCTGGACCAACGCGTCTATCGCTCCCGGTCGACCTAGCGCTACACGCTGCGCCCGCCATCGCTATGTTTATCGACTTCTACTTTTTCGAACCGCGATATTCGAAGAGCGTGAGCCGGCGAGGTTCAATTGCACTCGCCGCACTGTCCGGTTCTTGGTACTCTTGGTGGGTCGAGCGTTGTGCTAGTTACAACGGCTTCTGTAAGTATTTTGCTCCATTGCACATCACGTCAACACTAACCTTGATGTTTTTGTCAGTCCCGTACCCATTCCTGACCGAGAACCCTTACAACATCCGAGTCCTCATCTATACAGGGGCGACCGTATTTTCGGCAGTGTCCTTTATGGTTCTGAACGCCCTACACCCCTAGCTCCCTTCCGACACCCACATCTAACACTATCACCGTGCTCGCTATGTACCTCAAAGCGAGGCTGCTTGTAGCTTAAATAGACGTAGTAATCCCAGGCTGTATTTCCGTATCTTCAGCCACCGCGACGCGCATCGAGCGCCCGCGGCGCGTCGCGAGTCATCTGAGATCGAGATCTGAGCAGAGCGCGATCGCCCGCTGCTATAAACTCGATCGCCACTCTGACTCGGGTCATCCTATCTCTTCAATCTTGCATTAAGACACCCACTGCAACCCGTTTCTACAACACAGCGCAATATGTCTGCACAACCTACGAAGCAGAAGCTATGGGGTGGGCGTTTCACCGGAAAGACCGACCCTCTGTGAGTCTCTTTACTCGGAGTCCGGACTACATCTGCCAGGAGCGCGCTGATGGTGTAGTATGGTTTCTTAGCATGCACGAGTTCAACCAGTCGCTGCGCTATGACAAGCGCATGTACGCTGCGGACATCGCTGGTTCCATCGCGTATGCCAAATCGTTGGCGCTGGTGGGCATCTTGACGGAGGACGAGCAGAAAAAGATCGTAGACGGTCTCACTGCTGTGGGCAAGGAATGGGAGCAGGGTGTGGTGAGTGCGACGCCAGCCGCGTCCTTCTGGATAAGGCGCTCATTCTCGATGTAGTTCCAAATCCAGGCCGACGACGAGGACATCCACACTGCGAACGAGCGCCGCCTCACCGAGCTTGTCGGTCCTCTTGGCGGAAAGCTCCACACCGGCCGCTCGCGCAACGACCAAGTCGCCACGGACATGCGCTTGTGGCTCCTCGGGGAGGTTCGCGCTGTCGAAAAAGGTCTGAAGGACCTCATCCGCGTGATGGTGGAACGCGCGGACAAGGAGAAGGATATCCTCATGCCCGGCTACACTCACCTGCAGGTTAGTATTAGGCTTGGCACTTACACCACAGAGTCCTAACACCCTTTTGCAGCGCGGCCAACCCATCCGGTGGTCGCATTTCCTCCTCTCGCACGCGTTCTCCTTCCGCGCCGACTTGGAGCGCCTGCAGCAGCTCATCCCCCGGGTATCTATTCTGCCCCTCGGCTCTGGCGCCCTAGCAGGCAACCCCTTCGGAGTGGACCGCGAGTTCCTCGCGAAGGAGCTTGGGTTCCAGTCCGTGGCCGAGAACAGCATGTACGGCGTGAGCGACCGCGACTTCATCGTGGAGTTCTTGATGTGGGCGAGTCTCTCCATGACGCACATCAGTCGCATGGCGGAGGACCTCATCATATACTCGACCGCTGAGTTTGGTTTCGTGGCATTGAGCGACGCATACAGGCAAGCCCGATCCCATTCCGGGTTCTTTTCGGCCATTCATTGACAAACATGCTGCCGTATATTACAGCACTGGTTCGAGCATCATGCCGCAGAAGAAGAACCCCGATTCGCTCGAGCTGCTCCGCGGCAAGTCCGGACGCGTGTTTGGAAACGTAAGTCACTCATTGAACATTCATATGTATCGCCCATCTCGCCTGTTTTTATTGACGTGATCCTCGTTGTTTGCAGATGTCCGGATTCTTGATGACTCTGAAGGGCCTGCCGTCGACATACAACAAGGATCTGCAGGAGGACAAGGAGCCGCTTTTCGACGCGGTCGACACCGTGGCGGCCTCGTTCCAGATTGCAGAAGGCGTAGTCGCGACTATGGAGGTGCGCGCAGTCGGGCTATGTCTCCGCAGCCAGCAGCTCACCCGACGCGTTGACAGGTGCACGGAGAGAAGATGCGGGCAGCGCTGACCATGGACGTCCTGGCCACCGACTTGGCGGAGTACCTCGTCCGGAAGGGGGTATGTATGCTCACCGGTACCGGTGCGCGCGCGTTACTGACCGATGATGTTCCGCGTCGGACGCAATCCAGATCCCCTTCCGCGAGACCCATCATGTCTCAGGGCGCGCGGTGGCATTGGCTGAGGCACGGCAGTGCCAGCTGGACAAGCTCTCGCTGCAGGACTTTAAGGGCCTGCACGAGAAGTTCGAGGAGGACGTCTTCAAAGTGTTCGACTTTGAGGCGAGCGTTGAGCGCCGCCAGTCAATTGGCGGCCCGAGCCGCAAGATGCTGGAGAGGCAGATCGCTGTCCTCAGGGAGGCCATCGCCAACTGAATTAGGCGAATAAAAATGTAGGGTTCAGAGTACGCGAGCCCCATGTAACCGTAGTAGGATAGCCACAAAAGACCCGGGCCGAGTGGTGTGCATACTAGGACCTTGCAGGGCTGTCCGTTATATTGTCTGCGGTACCTGCGGACATCGCCCGCAGCGATGGTTTGACGTCGACCGGATAGGGTTTGCGGCGTTGCGCGCAATTGGCGACCGACGCGCGCCGGGCCCATAGGCGCCTATCAACGAGACAGCGGCTCTCACACCGCCAACACAACACTGCCCTTGCCGCTCTCCCCGACCTCGCCTTCAATCCTTAGGCCTTCTTATCCTCCATACCCCTTTCTCGCTTTCTCAGCACCCTCTTGCCCGGCACCCCGCCCGACGCAGCATTGAGTGCTGCTGCCTGACCCTGCCCCTTTTCTTTCCACCTTGACTACGCCTACACCTACTCTCACTACCACCTAATACCCACATATCTACCATGGCCAGAGACAGACTCGCGGCACTTAGGGTGAGTCTTTACGCCATCTAACTCCGCCCTAGGGGCGTGCTACGTGAATTCCGGTGGCTCATGTTTACGCGGAATAGGCCCAGCAGGGCGGCGGAGCGGCGAACACCAACTCGTGAGTACAGCGCCAGCAGCCTCACCTCATCCTCGTGTATACCAACCCCGTGCGCCGATCCCAGGGACTCGTACCCGATGCAGTCGAACCTGGACTACCGCTCACGCGCGCGCGCAGCGAACCCGTACGCGCAGCAGGACGACAACCCGAGCTACGGATCCGCGGCGGCGGACATGTCGAGCACGACGAACCTGACCGCGCCCGCCGGCGCGGACGGCATGGCGGGGTTCTACAACGAGATTGCGTCGATCCAGGACGACATCCGCACGTTCAACGACAACGTCGCGCGCATCTCGGACACGCACTCGCGCTCGCTGAACGCGACGGACGACGTGGCGACGCAGCGCGTGAACCAGCAGCTCGAGGACCTCGTCGCAGATACCAGCGCACTCAGCAACGTGCTCCGCCGGAGGATCAAGTCGCTCCAGAAGCAGGGCGGCAGCGGGCGCGACGGCGAGATCCGCAAGCAGCAGGTGCGCTCGGGCTGCTCAGTGTGTGGGTGTGCAGGTGTCTGACGAGAGTTGGTGCTGTTGCAGACCGGCTTGGTGAAGCAGAAGTTCATGGAGGCGATCCAAAACTACCAGACCGTCGAGCAGCAGTACAGACAAAAGTACAAGCAGCGTTTGGAGCGCCAGTACAAGATTGGTCAGTGAAACTTGTATCGCCCAGCATTTCCGGTGCTTACCTGCCCTTGCACAGTGAAACCCGAGGCGTCGCCCGAGGAGGTCAAGGCGGTGGTTGATGATGACCAGGGCGGCCAGATCTTCAGTCAGGCTCTGATGAGTTCCAACCGCTACGGCGAGGCGCGGTCGGCATACCGAGAAGTGCAGGAACGTCACGCGGATATCAAGAAGATTGAGAAGACGCTCACAGAGCTGGCTCAGCTCTTTAACGATGTGGGTGATATGAAATGGAATTCGCAATTATGTCTAATCACCCTTTGCCCTTAGATGAGTATTTTGGTAGAACAGCAGGATGAACAGATTACTGTCATCAACGATACCGTCAAGGAGGTCGAGAAGGATGTTGAGACAGGGTGCGTGGTGCATCATTTGACTTGACCGCAGTGTTGCTCATGTGCTCGTGATAGCTTGAACTACACTTCGAAAGCCGTCGACTCCGCACGGTCAGCGCGCAAGAAACGCTGGATCTGCTTCATTCTTTGCATTGTTATTCTCATCATCATTGCCATTGTCGTTGCCGTCGTTGTTCTACAGAACAAGAAGTAGATGGTGACGATCTTCTTCCTCCCGTGTAACATACCTACCATATTCCCGGGACGTTTTACGTAGTTTTCATTTATCGGACTGGGCTTATGATACAGGAGGAGCACGCGTTGCATGCTACCGCTATCGGGTGCGGATGCATCTCCTGCGCCCCTCTCTCATCGGTCTTCGCATCCTACTTATCTATGTATGCCCTCCTCCCGGTCTGCTCTCGGCAATGGATCTTCCTCTTTTAGCTTCTCATGGTGTACCTAGATCGCTAGCTCGTGTCGCCTCCGTGTAAGTAGCGTGGCCTAGCTGGATGTCAGATCCCCCTATCGCGGGCTATCATGCCGCCTTCTACCACGCTATCTGCCTTTGCATCTTGACATGCCGATGTCTGTCCGAGACCAGCTACAATTTTCGAGTGGGGCACCTTCTGAAGGAAGAAGCGTGTGCTGTGCGTGGGGACCTGCGCAGATGACATGCGGCTGAGGGCACATTCACGTATGTTGGACGTCAGCAGGACGAGCCCGCACACCGCGAGTTCCGCGGTTCACAGCGCCCTGAGAGCCTCCGGACAGCCGCCTCAGGCTTCTCAGACACCCGGAGTCGGAAGTCGGAGGCTATCTGGGCGCGCGGGAATGCAACGCCAGTAGCGCGACAAGGCCGGATTGGTCGGGTGAAGGGAAGTCAGCGGACGTCGGGGCGTCCAGGAGAATCGGACACGTCGGCGCAGCGCCGTCGAGAGCAGCGAGAACTCACCGGATGGGTCGCTCTACCACCCACAGGCCGCGTTCCGTGTGCCACCGAGATGCGGGCCTGCCAGCACGCACAGCCCGGACGCATTTGCTTACCCGCGTCGGCAGAGCGTCTTCCGTCGCGACGGAGGAACAAAGGCTCGAATCAAGGCGGCCGCGGGGAGTCGCCTGAATGGGTTGGTCATCTTCTGCGCTGAGCAAGGAGATCGTCGGGCACAGACAAACAGCGAGGCGGTCTGGAGCCGGAAGAAACAAGAAAATTGCGGAAAGAGGGGTTGCGCTGAGCCGAGTGGAATGCGGATATTCGCCTTCAGAGGCGAATCGGGCGGCTGGATCTGTGCAATCTCGTGCAACGCCGCCACGTGCGATCTCAGATCCACATCTCGCGCGAGCTGACGCGTCCCTCCCCTTGCTCGATATATAAGTCTCCCCTCGGGGGCCACCGCCCCCTCCTACCTCTGTACACGCCCACCGCACACATCCCTCCCTCCCGTACGTCTGCCCCGCCCGTCCCACTCGTCGCTAGCGTCGTCCCTAACAGCTGCTTGCTCCACACAGACGTACTTCTATCCCCCCTCACACGACCTCCAGCCACCATGCCCGCCAAGAAGCGCTGCCAGCTCCAGTCTGAGCCCCGTTGCAACCAGGCCGTTCTGCGCCTCGTAGGCCAATGCCCGCACTGTCGTCTTGAGTTCTGCAGCACAGTACGTCCCCTTTGCATCTGCATCGATATCACAGTGGCTGACATCGGCGTCTAGCACCGCATGCCGGAGCACCATGAGTGCCAGAACCTTGAGAGTTGTCGACAGCAAGCATTCGAGAAGAACAAGGCGAAGCTGGAGAGCGAACGGACCGTAGCGTCCAAGATGGCGATGGCATGACCTGTCCTCCCACTCCCCATGCCCACGCCGCCCCCTCCGCCCTTGTCTCCGCGCAGCCACCACACAGGGTTGTTGGGCCCGCAGGCCAGGCCACCGCCACTCGCATCATCTCCACCTTCGTCTCATGTTCATGACTCTGTATATCGGCGCTATCACGACATTCACGGACGCACTCTATACCACATAATATTCTCCCCCCTTCCATAACTCCCGATGTGCCTCCCCCCTTCCCACTTCCCCAGTCGCATACAGGCTACATCGGTGTATATCGTGTTCTCATATCTCTCGCCCCGGGTATTATAAATGTAGATGCTTTGACACACGTTGACGTGCTTGTGAGCGAGCGTGATGGCCTGCAAGACTCATTCTGACCACATCGCAAGGGTGCATTGGCCAATGGGCGGCGTTCCGCGCGCCATTGGTTCCGTTTCGCGCGCGCTTTAGCGGAATCAGCGTTCTGCGCCCTGTGCCGTGGCTGTCAGGCGACGCCTATCTGCCAGTGCCTACGCCTGCCCAGGCTGCTCCACGCTCTTTCCTGACCTCTGGCGATGCGACCGTTCGTAAATACGCGTAACACCCTCAGTGCGATTGCCCAGCAGGTGACCGGACTTTAAGCGGCTGGGGTCGTTGGGCATAAGCCCGCAGCCAAAGACGGAAGCCCAGATGCCTAATCGTTCCCCACCGGACCGCCCTATAAGCAACCCGGGTTGCTCCTCCGAGTCAGATCGCCCCACATCCCAATCGATTTCTCCAGCTGCCTCCCCCTGCCCCCTCTCTTCAACGCAACATCCAGCAGCATACCTCGAGGCTCCCAGTCGACGCGTTCGTACTCCCGTTTCCGGCGTGCTGCCTCCGTGTACTTACCGCCGGCGCGCAGGCTCATCTCGGAACAACCGTTTTTCACGTGTGTCGGTAACACCAACGATCGCCTACCCCGCACCTCCGTGAAGTCCACCCCGCAGGTGAGCCGTCTGTCTTATAGACCGCGCGCTGTGGACCGCCGCAAGGAGCATACAACTTCATCATCCTCCACCACATACCATGGCGCGCCGTCTGAAGCAGATCGCTGACCACCTCCAGCCAAACGCGTCCAACATGTCCACCACGGTCTCTGCTGGTGCGTCCCGTTCTACCCCGCCCGCGGCCTGCCAATCAGCGCGCTGCGGTATGTCCGGTCGCTGACGTCGCCGCTGGGTTCCCCGCAGAACGTTTCGAGGAGGTCCCCCTCGCTCCCCCGGACAGGTGTGTTTCCTTCTTCACCGCCATCAACACGAGGGTCCTGAACGCCGCGCGCTAGCATCTTCAAGTTGACCGCTGCCTACCGGGCTGATACCCACCCCGACAAGATCAACCTTGGTGTCGGCGCGTACCGCGACGATAATGGCAAGCCCTGGGTGCTCCCCGTCGTCAAGAAGGTGCGTGTATGCTCGGACTGCAGTGCCAGGGTTCTGTGGGCGCATTATGAGGAAGTCATGTTAATAACACTGCCAACAACATGTTATTAGCATGGAGTCCGAGGGGGCACAGAGCCCTGTAAACGCATCTTGCGATCAAGCTAACTTGACTTCCCTCAGGCCACGGATATTCTCCTGAATGACGCCACCCTCGACCACGAATATCTCAACATCACCGGCTTGCCGGAATACACCGCGGCAGCGGCGCGCCTCATCTTTGGCGACGATTCGCCCGTGATCAAGGAGGGACGCGTCGCGAGCGTGCAGACCATCTCTGGGACGGGCGCGAACCATCTCGGCGCGCTATTCTTGAGCAAGTTTTATGGCTGGAACGACAAGCGCGTCTATCTCAGTGATCCCACCTGGGGTGCGTCTCCTTTATGCCATTACCGCTGTCGCTGCGCCACCGGCGTTCCCCCTCGGCCGCGGCAGCACTGCGGTCTGACTGCTGACTGACGTGAACGTCGTGTTGCAGTCAACCACCACGCCATCTTCCCCCAGGTCGGCGTGCCGGTCTCCACCTACCCCTACTACGATCCGCAAACGATCGGGCTCGCGTTCCCCGCGTTCCTCGACGCGCTGAAGAACGCGTCTCCGCGCTCCGTGTTCCTCCTGCATGCGTGCGCCCACAACCCCACGGGCGTCGATCCGACACGGGAGCAGTGGGGGGCTATCGCCGACGTGATGCTGGAGAAGGGCCACTTCGCGTTCTTCGACAGCGCCTACCAAGGCTTCGCGAGCGGGGACCTGGTGAACGACGCCTGGGCCGTGCGGGAGTTTGTAAGGCGGAACGTGCCGCTCCTGGTCTGCCAGGTACGTGGGTCATGGGGTGTGTGTAACGGACGGCCGGCTTATTCACACCGTCGAATCTTTAGAGTTTCGCGAAGAACGCCGGGCTGTACGGCGAGCGCGTCGGGGCGCTGCACGTCGTTGGCGCGTCGAAGGAGGCGGCTGCCCGGATCACGAGCCAGCTGTCGGTGCTCGCCCGGGCGGAGATCAGCAACCCGCCCGCACACGGAGCGCGCCTGGTGAGTCTTCCCCGCACCGAGCTGCGACGCGTCAGCGGTTGGCTGATAGATGCATGATTCCGATATAATTGCCACTGCCACTGTGCGGCCCGACAGGTTTCGCTCATCCTCAATGACCCCGCGCTGTTCGAGGAGTGGAAGCGCGACATCAAGACGATGGCCGGGCGCATCATCGACATGCGCAAGGAGCTGCACCGGCTGCTCACGGAGGAGCTGAAGACGCCCGGGAACTGGGATCACATTGTGAACCAGATCGGCATGTTCAGGTACGTGAGATGCGTGCCCGGGTTCCCTCCCATGGACTAGCGCGGCGGGTGCGTGTGGGGTAGCGGCTACGCGGAGGGCGATGGCGATGCTGCCCACGCCGGTGCGCGTGCCTGTGCGTGGACACTTGTGTGCGTCCCGGGACGCGGTCGTGCTGGGTTTTGGCGTGGCAGGTCCGCGTCCAGGCAGGCGCCGCTAGCGCCGATTGACCGCCGCCACATTGGCACACGTTGTCGCACGCGGGCAGGTGTGGCTCGATCACGTGGCGGGAGATTGGCGCATTTAAGGTGCACATGCTGCTCGAGTGCGCGTTTCTGGCGCGCGGGTGGTGGGTGCGGTGAATGGGCGAAGCACACGGGCCTGGTCCCGGCAGGGGCAGAGGCGCGTGTCAGGACGCGCTGCAATGGACTGGTTGAAGTGTTGAAGTTGGAGCATCAGGCGTTTCACGAGAGGAGGGGCACGGCGTGGAAGATGGAGAAGATGCCGTGCTGGTTGCCGCAGGACGGACTGATTGGCAGGAGGCAGAGCGTTTGAGCCAATCAAAGGAAGCAGGGCCGGCCTGATAGCGGCGGACGAGGGCGAAACGGGCGGTCGGAACGCGAGTGGAACCTGGAAACTGACCTGGCTGTGTTTTGCTTTTGCAGTTTCACTGGGATCGGCCCTACACAGAGCCAGGCGCTGGTCGAGAAGGCGCACGTCTACCTGACTGCGAACGGGCGCATTTCGATGGCGGGGCTGAACTCGCACAACGTGCGGTACTTTGCGACCCAGCTGGACAAGGCTGTTCGAGGCACGCTCTAGACGGAAGGGGGGGCAACGGTTGCGGGCGGGGATGTAGGAATGCACTCATCTGGAAGGGAAAGGAGATAGACAAGGAAACGATTACCAGGATACGGAGGCGGCGGCGGCGGCAGTTGTTGTAGACCGGGGACAGAGACGCCGGCGGGTGTAGAATAGAGAGCGTGGGAAATGACGTGTTGTTCCTGAGCGCAGAGCCTGGGCCTGGGGCGCCGAAAGAGGAAGCATGACATCATGGGGAAGAGGCCTGCCAGGATGTTGAGAAGGATCGTTCCGCATCATTTTCATAGAGCACCACAAGCTTGCCATTGCCCGCGCCGAACGAGTCCCCGCAAGCCTCTGCCTCTCTTGCCCTCCGTCCGTGAAGTCCGCGCCCGCCCCTCCTTCCCTTTCCTGTCGCTCTCCCTAGCCCGCCCCTGCCTCCCGCCCCCGCGCACCAGCCGACTCACAGCCCGCCCCGCCCTGCACTGCAGCACCCTGCCCCGCCGCCTGCGCACGCCGTCCGCCGAGCGCCCCCGCGAGAGTGAGAAGTCGAGTGGAAGAGGAAGAGGAATAGGAAGCGCGAGTGCGTGTGCGTGCCAGTCCACACGCCCCCGTCTGCCCCAGTCGACAGCCCTGCGCATGCCCCGGCCCCCCTCCCGCTCCTCCGGATAGATATCCGCCGCTGCCTCTCCGTCTGCTCTGCCGACCGCACGCCCTCCAACGCTGCCTCGCCGCCTGCTCTATATGCTGCATCCACCCCCTCCCTCCCGCCTCCCCCCTCCCTCAAACCACTCCTGCTGCTCCCCCCAGCTCTCTTGCGTCATATCCCCCTCGCTGCCGCCCGTTTCCTCGTGCTCGGCCCTGACCTGTCTTCCCTCGTCTCGGCTCTTCCCAGGCCCTTCTCTCCCTCTTCTTCTTCCCCATCCCCCTACCGTTACTGTGCGTCCGCCCTCTGACGTCCGCCGCGTCGTCCTCTGATCCGTTCTTTCGCAGTAATTACATGGGAATCATCCTTTCGCTAATATTCCCCGGCCAGTTCATGTCCTCCCAATATTCTCCTGCCTCGACTTTCACCGACGACTCTCGCTCACCATCCCCGGACCACGACATCCCATCCACCTCTCTCCTCCACCCCCCAGACGAAGACCTGCCCGACCTGTCCCCCCCTTCAACCCCGAAGTCTTCCGTCGTTGCCTCTCCTCCGCTCGAGGTTCAGTCCTACACCCCACACGCCCTCGGTATCGGCATACTCTCCCCCCAGCCGGTTCTTGGCCGCTTCGCGCCTATTTCTCGTGCAAGCCTGTCTCCGCTCCAGGTTAGAACGTCTCCGGTAGACCAGCGCCCAACCGCACTAGAGTGTCCGTCCCCGCGCGATCGCGGCTCGACCAATCCGTTCGACATTCATGCCCTGCACGCGCTTGGCGCCCGCTCTCCGGAAAGCGCGCACACTTCCCCCCCGCCCCCACCCTCTCTGCGGTATATCGGTGACCCGTCGGCTAGGTCTAGCCCCACCGGTGAGCGTGTCGCGTCCGCAAATTCGTCTGCTACTGGTGCCGTATCTTCCGGCTTGCGTATCGCCATCCCTCCCCCAAATCCTACCGCGTCAAGTTCAACGCCCTCCCCTCCGCTCCTCCCGCCGCCTGCGAATGACCCTGGCGCGAATGCCGCCGCGTCGGACGCTGAACAGGCAGCTTCTGGAAACCCGTTTGATCCCGAGGCACCTCCGGTTGACTTACTGGTGCCCCCGACCGATCTCAATATCGACTTCACGGAGCTCGATACTGAGGGCTACAGCGCACTGGAGAAAATCTACCTCTTCTCCCGCAGCAGAGCCGGGTTCCATAGGGTGTTTATCGCGCACGCGCTCCCGAGATACTTGTTGGGCGCCGAACTCGCTACAAGTGACCTTCCCAGCCAGGAGCAGATTGAACAAATCACCCCGAGTGAGGCGGTCGATTATGTTCTCCCGCTGCTGAACATCCTCGCCACTGATGATGGTGCGTGTCCCAATTCTGTAGCTTTGTTTGTCCGATGCTCACATGAGCATTTGCAATTTTTTCGACGCTCTCCTTTTGGCGCCCTGCTTGTTTGTCCCCTCCCACTCACTGCACTGACCAAACACGTAAACGTGTCCTCCATTCTCACCCTGCGCAACTCCGCGGGTTTCTTCACCGCATTGCCTGCGCGTATCGGCGGCAATTCAAAACGCTACAGACGAAGCCGTTAAGGAGGCTCTAGCTGCCGAGCTCGTGCCCATCATCTGGTGGTTTGTCACCCACTGCAGGCTTGTCGAAGACGACACCATCTCGCAGCCGCCCTCTCCGCCCACGGCCACATCGCCTCCGACACTAGAGCGCGAGTCGTCTCTTCCGCGTCCACCGACTCCGCGTCCTGACGAGCTCTTACATGAGCAGGAAGCTTCGTTGGCCTCGGATATCGCCAGCTTCAGCGCCAGTGAGAGCGGCGATGTCCTGACAGACATCTCTGTCCAGGCCTTCACGCCGCTCCTCGGAACCCTGCTTCTCAGTCCTAACGGCATGGTCGGTGGTTCTGCACGGTACGCTGTGGTGGAGTTGTTGCGGCGACTTCGCCGGGCTGACCAGCGTGAGGACGACGACCGGGCATCACGATATGGTTCTTCAGACGACGTTTCAGTTGACAGCCAGCCACAGCGGCAGCCCAGTCCAACTCCATCGCAGGTAGCCGAGGAACAGGATGCGGCCGAGCATGCGGATGTGGGGCTGTTTCAGCGGAATGAGCGGCGATTGTTCGAACACGAGCTCATTTACCAAGTCGTCATCGGCATGGGACGTCTCGACATGGATGACGGCAGACCCGACCAGCAGGAGGACCTCTACGAGACCAACCCCGGTTCCGGCGTATCGACGGCTGTCCCGACGCCTCACGCGGAGGCGATGGTCACAGGCGCAGATTCGTACTTCCCTACGACGTCAGCACTCGGGCTAGCCGTTGAATCGCTCGCAACGATGTCTACACCAACGTCGCCGCCGTCATCACCGCCGTTAACCGAAGATTCCTCCGCGCCGCCAACCGTCGCGGTGCCTTCTCCCGTGCCCTCGCCCTCCCCGCCCATCTCCTCCGGATCCTCCATCTCGGACTCGCCTGGTAACTCATGCTCGTCAACGCCGTCTCTCACGTCTCTGACTTCCTGTTCGTCTGGCGGGTCAGACCAAGCTGAGTTTAGCGGGACAGATCAACCAAGCTTCGAACCCGGCGAGCTGCCCAAAGAGGACGAGCTCTCGGTCCCGATGGAGGTGGACGAGGTCGCCGGCGCCGACATGCATGTGCCGATGCCGGACGAGTGGCTGCCGACGGACGCGCTTCCTCGGCACGCCGCGCTTCCCACGACCCCGCCGTTCGAGGTCCCGCCGCCGCCGCCGTCGCCACCGCCGCCCGTCGCCGCCCCGATCCCGCTGTCGGTCGACGCGCTCGCGGGAGTCGGCATTCCACTTGTGCAGGTGCAGCCGCCGTCGACTAGTCCGGTTGCGGAGACCGCGCCGCGGGTGGCGGAGGGGTGGCTCAGCCCCGGCTCGGCAGCGCGGAATCTGGCGATGGACGAGGACGACGGGAGCGACGTCAATGAGGAGGCGGCGGTTGGCCGCTTGAGCAGCATGAGTCTGATGGCGGCTGTCACAGCGAGCGGTGAGCGGTGATTTTTTCGGGCCACTAGCGTGCATGAGCTCATATTTGTCATAGGCTCAATCGGGGAGGAGGCGAAGGCCGCGTTTGTGGCCGAGGTCGAGCGTGTCGGGAGAGACTCTATTTATTGGGTGCGGCGAGAAGCTTCCTTCGCTGTTGGGGCACTCGCCAAGGTGGTCCCCGTCGAGGTGGTGACGTCGTCTTTGGTGAGTTTTCCCGGGCGAGTTGGCTGCGTAGTGCAATTTTTCTGACGTGTTCGGTTGCCCGGCAGCTTCCATTATTTGAGAGCCTGTGCCACGACCCGACATGGCACGTACGGCACTCGGTCCTCTTCGCTCTGCCCGCTATCCTTTCTCGCTTGACACCAGACCACCGCCGGAGACTAGCCCTTGAAGTTATCCTGCCGCTCTCAGAAGATGAGGAGCCTACCGTCCGCTCCGCAGTTCTCGAAGCACTGGGCGAGGTCATGTACACATTCGCGCAAGACGAGGGTGGGCCTCCGGACCAGCTGCTCAAGCTCTTCCTCGGTATCCGGGAAACGGAAGATCCAGGTGGAGGTCACGGCAACAGCGAGACGACAACCGTCGAGAAGGAACACGCCCCATCATCGCCGGAAAGCCGTATAGCCCAACCTCCCTCCGCTACATCCACCACAGCGATTAGTTCCGCATGGAGCGACTACGGGACCGATGCTGGAGCGGGCCCTGATATTTATGATGATCCTCAACGTCCCCTGGTCTGCGCCTTCAATTATCCCGCGGTAGCCTTCACGCTCGGGCGCGATCGATGGCCCGAGCTACGGCCTCTTTACCACACTCTCGCGCAGAGCCCCGCCTTCAAGATTAGGCGCACACTCGCCGCTTCCATCGGCGAGATGGCGAAGATTATCGGCGAGGAACACTCACGGGCAGACCTCATGGATGTCTGGCGGGAGAGCCTGCGATCGGACGAGAGCGAGGTGCGGTTGCGGGTGTTAGACGCGATACAGACATTTGTCCGAGCGCTCGCTCAGCCGGAGCGCCGGGAGGTGATCAAGGACCTCGAAGATGCGCTCCTGAACGGGAAGCTGTCGTCGTGGCGCGAGAGGGAGCGGGCGGTGAAGACGTTGGGAGGGCTGGTGGAGGTCGAGGGCATCGACGGAGAGGTGTTAAGAAGGCTGCTGGTCAACGCCCTCGACGACCGTGTGGCGGCCGTCCGAGAAGCGGCAGTTACGGCGGTGAGTGCTAGTGGAGTCCGTCTCAGCAATTCGCCGCTGAATCTGACGTCATTCTTTTTTTGTGCAGATCCCTTCGTTTATCAGGGAGTGGAAAGAGCGGCCGACACTGCTCGAAGAGCTGCGCGCCGACATTAGGGCGTTCGCCGCGGCGGAGACGTTCCGCAAGCGGACCACGTACGTGGTGTGCGTGCAGGAGATGCTCGCGTCGGACCAGGCCGACGTAGCGGTGCGGGACACGACGTTCTGGACGACGCTCTCACAACTCGGTCGGGATCCAATCGTGGACGTGCGCATACGCGTCGCGCGACTGCTCGGTCTGATTTCCGGTGAGTGCATCAGCGTTCCGTGCACGCCGCTCTCGTCATCGTCCCTGTCGTCATCTTTGATTGACCAATCCCCGCACGCACAGACAAGTTCAGCCGCGATAGCGACATTGCGGCAAAGACCGCCGCGCTCGCGCTCGATCTCCTGCGGGACGACTCCCACGAGGTGCGCGCGTTCGCCGCGGCGGTCGCTGCCGGCGCTACTGCCCCCGCGGCTGCACCGAAGCGTCCGACGCCGTTGGACCACATCGGGAAGAGCGCGACGACGTTCTCGCGCCCCCCACCCCCAAGTCCGAACAGCTGAGCCCCGCCGACGCATCATGTGCGGATGGTTCCCAACGGAGGCGGCGCGCACGCCGCCCTGCCGAGCTTGGACGCGCCCTTCTTCCGCAGACGGGTCAGCCGCTACACGATGTGTAGCGCGGCGCAGCGCGCGATGCACAACTATAGACCGCTCGAAGCAGCGGACATGGGGAGGCTCCCAGCACGAGAACCCGGCCCTCGGCGTCGGCACGGGGCGCAGCCTTCTTCGTCCGACGTCATGCGTGCTTCGCGCGGACTTCCACGTCGCGCGTCCCGGCGCACGGTGCGGGACGCGAGACCTCCGCCCGCATGCGTGCCCGTCCCCGTCGGTCAGCAGACCGCCGGCGCCCTCCCACTGTAACTTATCACGCACGACCGCACCCGCTTCCCTGCAGCACTATCGCCGCCGCCATACAGGTTCTCCTCCCTCGTCTGTCTAACGTATTCTCCGAGCTCGAGCTCTCTCTCCCACATTCCCGACAGTGCGTTCCGTCCACGTTGTATCACTACGTACATACATACAGAGCCCTTAGCGTAGCATTAGGTATCCCCCTATTGAAAATAATCAACTGCCAGATGATGTGCTTGGTTTGTTCTCCGTGTCTCGTCTCGTGCGCCTGATTGCTTAGCGTGCTCGCATAGGACCCGCGGACGGGTGGCAGCCAATGGCGGTTTGCATGCATGCTGTCACGCTCATCTCACCACGGAAGCCGTAACACGCAACGATCGTCGCCCTCTGCGTGTCTCCACCATCTCAGCTGCGGCCTCCTCCATTCCCCCCGCCCTCGTCTCGTGCAAGACACGCAACTCGACCCTACAGGACGCCTCCTCTATTCCTTCTTACGAACCTGGCCACGCTGGAGCGAGCGGTCACGGCGTGACCGCACACTGGGGTTAGGGTCGGGTGGGGCGCCTGCCAGGCACGTGGGGACAATAGGCAAGTGCAGTGAATGGGAGGCGCCGGGGAAGGATGATTGAACGGGCTCCCTTTGTTCTACGCGCACGGTGAATGGCGCACGCTTTGTACGCGCCGTGAATTGCTGCCGAGGCATGTATTGAAGACCGCGCGCGGGGAATGCATCACGTCGAGACGCGCCGGACAAGCTTGTTGTCTCTCCCTCCATTCTCGTTCTCGATCCTCTTCCCTGCCTCCGGCGCGCTCTGCGAGCGCAGTTGAGTCGATTCTCGACATCTGGTCTATCGAGCCGGGTCTGCGGTCTTGACGGTCTCCAGTGGCTGGACCGCCTCTCTCTTTTACTACTGCTCGCAGCGCGGACGCTTGCCTTGTGTCTTCCCACCTGTCTCTACTGCTGCTTATCTCGGACGAACTCACGAACCTGTATGACGCGATGGAGCTCGGACGTGCGTTCTTCAAGGTCAGGGCGGCCGTGTTTGGTACGTCTGTTCTTTCGTGTGGTGGATGGGGCGCGGTGCTGACGCGTGGCGGAAGGCGTCATGATGCTCGTCAGCCTGCTGTGGACGATACTGCTGTCTGTGGAGGTGTTTGTGCTGTACGACCAGTCAGACACAGCCCAGAGTGAGTGGCTATTCGCGCTTCGGATTGAAGGCATTCGACTGACTGTGGCCCGTAGGAAATTTTGTCGGGGTGCTCATCTTTATCAACGCACTCACTGCTATCCTACTACCAGCTCTGTAAGTCTGCGCACATGAAGTTCGGGATGGGGCAGCTGACCTTTATCTTCCAGGCTCCTCGTGCAGTTCCGACCATGGCTGGATGCTGCAAGACTGCTATTCCTCCTGTTAGCACAGTTCGGTATGGAGACACACTCGCGTCTCGGTATGGTGTATGTCTGACCTCCCGCAGGTACCGCTGCTCTCTTTACGAGTTGGAATCCCACCTTTCAATGCCCTACTGAAAGTGAGTGATCTCATGTCTTGGTGGCGAGTAGGCGCTCATAAGTACTGGTATGTGCGCCAGATACCAAACGGTGTCAATCGGTCAACCTGGCTATCTTGATTTGTAGCTGGGTCATTCCTGCCATGCGTACGTCGTACCATAGCATATCCATTTGAGGTATCCTTAACTAACATATCCACTTCCCAGTCACTTGGTATTCCGCCTTCCTCGCAGTCATGTACTACTGGCGAAAGGATCATCCGCCAACAGACAGCCCAGAGAAGCGATTGTCGGACTTGCCTATGATGATCCCTTCGCGAAGGCCGTCACTCAGGCGTCCTTCTGTCGCGCCCGTCGCGCCCGTAACACCCATGCGCCCCGCCGTCAACCGGGCGTCCAACACCGCCAGCCAGACGTCGCGCCCGTCGTGGTTGGCCGCGTCCCCCTCGACACCTGTAGCATCTTCTTCCCGAGCACCGCCACAGCGCGGTGTGCCTGCCAATCCCGTATACGAAAGCACCGAGTCCTCTTACTCTTCCCCGAGGTCTTCAGGAAGACTCTCCAAGCCGCCTCCACCGTTGATGTATTGATGCCCTATGTATTCGCCATGTATTAGTATACGCTGTATCGCATAGACCGAGCTGCCCTCTCATTAAGCAGCAGCACCCCCATTGATGAACTGCCTCAGCCTGTTATCCAGCAGATAGATTGCACGAGGCGGATGTCGAGATGACAAGCCATCAGCAGACGGCGATGGGTCGCCCGCCACTGCTGCGGGCCGCTCTGTTCTGGTGCGGCCGACGGGCGTCACCGCATTATTTATGCAGTACCGGGCGCGCCACGTGCGGCTCCCGGATTCTTTCTGCTGGCCTTCGCTTCCCGAACACCTGCTTGGCTCTCGGACGCCGCACCATCTCATGTCCTGACGGCCTGCCTGCTCGTCCGACCTCCTCTTGCTTCTGCTGCACGCCCGCCCTGTGCCCCGTCCATTTCAAACCACACATATCTCCGTGACTCCCGACTCCGTTAGGCGCCATTATGACCAGTGCTCAATGGGAGGCTGCTCGGGTCAAGGTGCGTCATAGCGTCGTGCACAACACTCGACACGGTCGTCTCAAACCACCCGCCATGGCAGGCCCAGCTGCGGCTCACCGCGCAGCGGCTCGGCCAGATGCAGGACCGCATGGAGTCGCAGGCGCAGATCACGCAGCGGGACATCGCGACGCTCCTGCAGCAGGGCAACATCGCGCTCGCCCGCGCGAAGGCGCAGAAGCAGATGCGCGAGGACGTCAAGGGGAACCTGATGCAGATGCTCGAGATGCACCTCGGGGTGATACTCGGACACTTGAACGAACTGGAACGAAGGTGCGCGGCGGCGAGTGGTGTGTGCGGTCTGCGGGGTGCTCACGGGTGTGCAGTGACATGCCCAGCCCCCTTGTAATCGAAGCTGCTTCAAGTATCATCTATGCTGGTCCGAAGATTGAGTCAAAAGGTCGTTACGTCGGAAGGGGCGCCACCGTTCGGTTGCTTACCACGCTTTCATGGGCAGACCTCCACCAAGTCCGGGAATTCCTTCTGCACGCGCTCAGCCCGGACTTCGCGCGTTCTGCGGTCGAGAACCGGGACAACTACGTGTCGCACAAGGTGAGTAATCCTGTAGTGGTCTAAAAAGACGTTGCTCAATACTGGAGCAGGTTCTACGCGCGGTGGCTGCGCCTCCGCCCTCCGCCACCGAATTGGATATGTATTTATACAATGTAGCACGGTCCTACAACGTACACTGGCTACCCGATCTATCACCGCAACAGAAGTACGTGGAGAGGTTATATATTCTGAGCACGAGACTAACCGCCGCGCCCTAGGGTAAACGCGCTGTCGTCTATACTAGACCCCGAGATTGTTGGCATAGTCGACCTTGCCCGTCTCCGACAAATATGTTCTCATGGTAAGTAGTGTTTTCAGTGTTGCCCTCGTAGCGCCGCTAATCGTATCATAGGTCTTCCGTCACATCCTCCCTGGCTACGTCCACGGGTCTGGAAGTAAGTAGTCCCTTTGCCAAGATATAGTCGGTACTGACGGCAGGGTAGATTGTTCCTTCGCACATTGCCCGCGGACAAGTCGGCCTGGCCGAAGGAGTCTCGCACCCAGAGAGACAACTACTATGTGAGTGGATTCGTAACTTCTGTGAGACTGTCGACATAAGCCGACGCTGCCTTTCAGGATCTCGTCCGACGTTTGTTGGAACCTCTCGCCACGCTTCCCAACCCGACTGAGCCTCTGTCTCCCACGGACCAGGCCATTCTGGATGTCTCAAACGAGTTGTCGACTGTGCCGCGGAGTCTCCTAGCATCTCTGGAAGAGGAACCTGAGCCTTGCGCCCAATGTCCGTTCGACGAGACTGCTGCCGCGGACATCACTATACCCTGCGCAGGTAATGTTGAGTCTCGGTTAAAGGCCATCCGATCTAGGGACACCGGAGAGCCTGCCAATTCCGCTGGCGATACCCCCGAAATCCGGTTGGACACTTCAGATGAGCTTCTGGATGCCACCCCGGAAGTCCGTTTGGAGGAGGCCTCGCCTACAAAGACCCGCTCGAAGAATCCACAGGACAACCCTGAGATCTCCCTGTCGGTCCCTGACTCTCCGACGTCAACGCACTCCGGGCTGTCCACCACCTTGCTCCCTTCACGGTCGTACAGCGCGGTGGGCGCGCACCCGAAACACTACTCGGCACTCCTCCGACTCCTGTACATCCATTCCCGCCTGAACCCCGCGAACCGCTCTCCGCAGATCGCTTCGTTGCTGGTACCGATCTACGCCGCATTGGCGGAGGAGGTCGACGATGGGGATATTCCCCACGTTGAGGCTGACACGTTCTGGGTGTTTGAAGCCATGGTCAGCGAATTCGCTGAACTAGAGGATGAGCAGAACGGTGCGATTTGGGTCCAGAAGTTCAGCGAGCGTTTGCGGTGGGCTGATCCAGAGCTTGCTGATGACCTGGTAAGTCTCGAAGATCGGTCGTATGAGGTACGATATTATTGAACACTTAATATCCTATAGGCGACCAAGGGGCTCGATCCTGGCCTCCCACACTACTCCTTGTAAGTGCTGGAACTCCATTGAAACACGCATATGCTAAACTCTGGTGCAGCCGTTGGTTGATTCCTCTGCTGACGCATACACTGCCTCTATCCGCCGTATTGATGGTTTGGGACGCGCTCTTCTCACAACCAATGAGAGAGCGTGGTATGACCCCGAAGCTGGAGTACCTTATGGACGTGTGCACGAGTATGCTTGTGAGCGCTCGTGCTACGCTGCTACTGTGAGCCTGCACATTTTTGTCTTGGCTGTGATTTTTTTTTGACATTGTCAAAGACTCGGGAGAGGACACCGCAAGTCGCAAAACCTGTGGTCCGACGAGGTAGCTGCTATTCCGTCAGCCGCGTTTGGCGACCGGGAGCTCGAGGAGGCTTTCATCGAGGGGATGGCGTTCCTCCAGAATTACCCTTTGGACGCCGTAGGAGGCATCGAGAAGGTGTTGCAGACTGCGTTCGACCTCGCCGCCCAGCGTGAAGCCGCCGCACTGGCAGCTCAGGCCGGGCCTGCTGTCGGGCTCGGGGCGCGTCTCCGGGATACAATGTGGAAAGGTTTCTCAAGTCTCGAGTCCCATCCTGAAGAGGAGGGTTCGAGTGAGGAGGAATCCGATGACGACGACGTGCCGTTGAGGCCGGCCCAGCAGGGCAACCCGTCTACTTTGACGTCGCGACTAGCCAACACTGTCTGGCGCGGTATCACGAATCAGAGTGCGATGGAGGCCTCTCCATCGCCGAGCCCGAGCCCGATGCCGTCCCCTTCGCCATCTCCCCTGCCATCTCCCCTCCCGCCGCCACTCCCTACCTCCCACTCCGCACCCGCAGTTCCCCCGAAGGAGGCGGTGTCGAAGGCCGCCGCCCGTGGCACTTCCATGATCTGGGGCTACGCCGAAAAGCTGAAGGACTCAGATGCCGCCGCCACACTGGCGAAAGTGAGCACCAACTGGAGGGTGAAGGCGCTCGATGCGTGGACAAAGCGGGGCAACGAAGCACCTCAAACCCCCAACACATTGGCTCCTCCACCCACGTCGCACTCTGCGCCCTCTCTCTCGGCGCAGAGCCAAGACCACGGTCGCAGCATCTCGCTCACTGCAATTAAGACGTCGTTCAGGCCGGCGGATGACAACAAACGCGGGTCGCTTCCTGTCATAGACAGGTCAGAAGCGTACTCGCCACCCCCTCGCCCAGTCTTCCGACCCGTCCGAGACAGCATGTTCGTCGCCTCCCCGGTCACTCACAGCGGCAATGCCTCCCCCATCTCCGACACCGGCTCGAACAGGGAATCGATGCGCGCCTCGATGTCTAACTACAAGATGCCGGAGCATACGTCTGCTAGGACCGGCGGCCCACGACCCCTGTTGCTCAGCTCTACTACTCTCATCACTAGCGGAACGGGTCGCTCTCCTATCTCGCCCGCGGCGGAGTCCCGCTGGGCAGAGTCGGTGCGGTCGTCGAAACGGCCGGTAGATCACCGAGCGTCACAGTCGTCAATATCGTCTCTGTCACCTTCCGAGCCGTATCGCGCTCGGAGGGGAGAGTCGAGGTCCGACTGGGAGTCCGACGGTGGTACCATCAGTAGAATCGTCCCGATTAACCGCAAGTCGCCTTCGCCCATGGCGAGGACGTCCCGGTCGTACAAGCGCGAGGAGTCTGTCTCATCTATCAGCCCGCCTACCCCTCCCAAGTCCGCCCGCCGCCTCTCGACGGAGGAGTCTACGCCAGAAGTCGCGCCCAGGAGCCCTGGCGGCTGGAGTCAGGTCGACGTGCCAGACTCGCCGACCACCGTTCCATCTCCGCCACCTCCCAGCACGCCCGACGCAGGCTCGCTCAAGATCAACACCGACATCCACGTCACGCAGCCGGCGTCGCACCGCCAGCAGGGCTCAGTGACGCTGAACGACGACAGCGACGTCACGTTCCCGTCGCAGGGCGGGGAGAAGCTCACCCGGCGGAGCGCGACGCTCTCGCGCGTGCACCGCGAGGCAGAGGCGTCCGACTCATCCGCGAACGACCCGTCGCCGCCGACGCCGCACATCCGCAAGAAGCGCATCCCGAACCGGCTGCACTCCCTGCGCCACTCGAAGGTGTCGGATGACCCGCCGCCGCCGCTGCCGGTGAACGCGGGCAACAACACGCTGCAGGTGCTCGACGCGCCCGAGGACGCGGAGCTCGAGAGCTCGAAGACGCCGCGCGCGGGGAGCTTCGACGCGGAGATCACGGGGAGCGCGCCGCCGTCGCCGCGCTCGCGGCGCACGCGCAAGATCTCGGGGGAGGGCGAGCCGCGGGCAAGGAAGATCTCGACGGAGGGCCGGACGCGCAAGACGTCGACGGAGAGCAGAAGGAAGGTCTCGGCGGAGCGCGAGACGAAGCATAAGCGGGAGAGTGCGGCGGTGGAGGGTGACGATGAGGGATATGGCGAGCTGCTGAGCGCGTACGAGAGCGAGGATGCGTAGTGGCCAGGCTGGATGGTGGCTTTCGAAATAATCTTACGACCGTTACACTAGTTTTCACGTTGCACGACTATTTATTGGCCCCGCTGTCTGTTGAAGCCGATCTACTGCTATCATCAGTGCTATGTATCTGGCTGTTCGCTCGCTCATTCTCTGTCTGCAACGCTTCCCGGACGCCGTGGTACACCTTCAGCAAGATTGGGAAGCGAGGGAGGATGCTCTGCGTGGATAGGTTAGCATACTGTCCCGCTTGAGTGGCCAAGACGGCACCTACCTCAAAGGCGACATCCAGTTTTAGTGCACCTTGCTGGGTGCGGTGAAGCGCTACTAGGTAGTAACGGATATCCCATCCGCGTATGCCCTCGTTGATGAGGAAGTCTTCTAGTGATGACCAGGGTATGAAGCGTCGCGCCGCAAACAGCGGGAAGCCGAGGAAGCCCCTGTGGGTTTCCAGTTGTATTCCCAACGAGGGTAGGATAACGACAGACTCTGCCAGAGGATATTAGTGGGCGATAGCAATGGTATGAATGAGGGTGTTACCCCAGAGCAGGTTTGTCAAGTGACTGTACAAGTGGAAGAGCACTACGACTGCAGTGAACACTGCGTAGCGCGGACTTGATATGATCTATGAAACATTCAGTGGCATTGTCTCCTTGTGACTATAAGTCGCACATACCGTCTGCCAGAAGTATGCTACGCCCAGAACGACACAAGCACCGACGCCAAGACCGCTGAATTTGGCGGTGGCTCCGGGGGCTTGTACGCGATACTCAAGCCATCCCGGGTATTCGAGCACGGTGAACTCAGGCCTTTCTGGGATTGGTATAGTGCGTCTCATGCATTGGAGCTCAGGACGGCAGGTTGCACACCCCGAGCGTTCTGAGGTGGTGAGTGGATGGGTCAGAGGCCACTCGGTCACACCGTGGCACAAACTACGGCGAGCGCCTATGTCAGCACTGCCACCCTTCTACTTCGCTTCGGTGTGGCGCAACCGAACGGTAATTTACCCCACTCCTCCTGGCAACCGTCTTACCTCAGATTCGTCGAGCTTGTCCTGTCTTAGGCTCGTAAACCAGCCTCACGTTCGGAGACGGAAGACAGTCGTTCCTCCCGAAGGGAGGCTGGAACCTCTTGTGAGGGGGGTGGTGGTGACCCCCGTGGGAACGACGCGCCAAAAAGTGTCTCAAGGCCTCTCCTCACGAGCTCTCCTCGCGCATAGATTTTACGCAGCGAATATTCTTGACAAAAAATGGGCAGGCTCGCAGCACGGACGGTTCCTGATAGAACTTTTTTCTGTCATGATATTCTGCACATAGCCCGCAATGCAGCTCTCGACGACGCAGGGCTTCAGCCACCCGTTCAATGTCCGCTGACATCCACTGACATCTCTCACCAGGGGATTGCAACTCAGCCGTTCCCACGGGGGTCACCACCACCCCCCCTCACAAGAGGTTTTAGCCTATCCTGTCTGTTCTCCATACGATTGGAATCGTCTCTCTGCGTAAGCCGCTACACTGCTCTGACAGCTACGCACTAATTGCTCACATTGGAGTCTGTGTTACCATTGGGGAATGTTATGCGGCGACCTCAACGTGTACTCCTACTGACTTGTAGGTTTGTTAGGTATCCTATTCCAGTGACTCTACACTTATGCAGATTGCAATCGACTTCACAGTTTAGTCAGAATGTCTGAGGGCTAGAAGGTTCACGTCCTCCGCCACGCTGCTCACTCGACCCTCACCTCTTGACTCCGGGCTCGATCACAACTGGCGGCGAACCCGGTTCCGATCCGATTATCGTCAGCCTCATGCTAACATGGGAGATGCTATATAGCTGCCGGGGATACCATTCTCACTCTACCTCTTCTAGCGGTCGCACCCCGCCATTCGCTATCAAAGCCGACTTCCACTCCGACTTCCTTCACGCAATGGTCCTGACAGCGACGGCTTTCACTTCGCTTCTGCACTCTCTGGGGCTTATGCAAGGGATATCGAAGCCCATTCGTGGCCCCTTAGCCGCAGCGCCAGCCCCCGCCCAGAACAAGGTGGCAGTATCGAGCGGCCCATCTCCTAATTCAAACTTGGGGACGAACTACCAGGTCCATGCGCCGGGCAATCTCTCCAACATAGGAACTAGTGCAATCAAGGCTTCGACAGCTTGCGATGCTCCGGATTACGACGCCCGTGATTGGGGCGAGCAGCGCTTTGCGCCGTTTGACCAGGCGAAGGCGAACGTCTACCGCTATCGTCAGCAGCAGTCCGTCAACTTGGGATCATGGTGAATTTCGGCCAGTGTTAACTTCACAGAACATAACTGACTCTAGATCCCAGGTTTACCCATGAACAATGGATGACGTCGTCTCTCTTCACCTGCGCTTCTGGCTCTCAGATCTCTGAACTGGATATCGCCACTGGCTGGGGTTCTCCTGATGGTGCTCGGGCTGTACTAGAACGACACTGGGACACCTTCGTCGACGTCTCCGACTTCCAGTACCTCTCCGGAATTGGCATCAATACTGTGCGTCTTCCGATCGGCTACTGGAGTCTCGGGCCTGCATTCTGTCAAGGCACTCCTTTCGAGTCGGTCGCCGACGTCTATCGCAATTCGTGGAGTCGCGTAGTGCATGCTATCAACATGGCCTCTGACGCTGGCATCGGGGTTCTTGTGGATCTGCATGGGGCGCCGGGGAGCCAGAACGGGCAACCGCACTCGGGCATCTCAGACGGTCAGACCAACCTCTTCGGTAACGACTACTACATCGGCAAGACCATGGACGTCCTGACGTTCCTCACCCAACAACTCACGAATGTGACAAACGTCGTCGGGATCCAGATCCTGAACGAGCCCCAGAACGCGGATAGCCTCCCTGCCTTTTGTAAGCTCGTTAGCGATGGGGCCACCGAGGTGTGTATTGGCTAACCCCGACTACTAGATACCCAAGCAATCTCGACCATGCGACAAGTCAGCTCTGCTGCGGCAGCCCTGCCGTTGTACATCCACGACGGCTTCAACTTGGAGCAGTACAGCCAATTTGTCGCCGACAGGTCGGACTTCGTCGTTCAAGATCACCACTCGTACTTCGTCTTCACACCCCAAGACAACGCCGAGTCAGCGTCTGGGCACACCAAGGATATCCAAAGCTCTATCTCCGGCTCGCTAGCTGCAGCCTCGGATCGCCAGCGGAGAAACCTCGTCGTTGATGAGTTTTCATGCGCGCTAACGGAGCAGAGTTTGTCTAGCGAGGCGGACCCCAACCAGGCACGCAGAGCGTTTTGCGAGGGGCAGCTGCAGATATACCAAAACGAGACGGCTGGATGGTCATTCTGGGGTGCGTTGCTCGTCAGATCGCATTTGACATTCGATCTGATTTTTCCGTGCTTTAGCGTACAACAAAGAGGACTGCTCCAACGACCCTGGATGGTGCTTCAAGGCGGCCGTCGGCAACAGCCTACCCTCGTCATTTTTCTCTTACGGCAAAGGTCCCCTCGCGGACCCCTCGCGCCTTCCTGCGCTTGCCGACATGGCGGCCGACATGGACTCTCCGACCCACGAGGAGATGACAAACACTCCGTCTAGTGCACCGGCCGGCCCATCAGGGTACTCCGCCAGCACCCCCTACCCTGAGGTCGGCATATACCCGGTCAACAGGAGGAGCCGTCACCGACCCCGCCGGAGCCAGCGCTTTGCCAACCGTGCTAAACTCGCGGCAGTCGCTCGACGCGACACGCCCGCTCAGTCCTCCCTAGACCCGTCCCAACGTGCAATCTCGAAGGGGTACTCGGACGGCTTCCTGACGGCCAAGATCTTCGCCCTGTACGGCATGTCGAAGCTCGGCTTCACCGGGCAGTACATGAGCGATAGCATCGCCAGCCTGGGGCCGGGGGTCATTGCGCCTGGGAAGGAACACGACTACGAGCAATGGTTCATGGAGGGTCTCGCGGACGGGGAGGCATTGATCAGCTCGTCTGTAAATAGCACCTATGCCTCATGAATGTACGCGTACGTCGAAATGCGGTCCATCACATTTTCTACACGTTTAGGAATTCATTGCGACATCGATCTGGGCCTCGGGTGCCGTGTATAGTCTCCGGTGTTCCTCCCACACTCCTTCCGTTAGGGCAGGCGACTACCAAGTCCGAACTTACGTGACATTACCTGCACCGGCGGATGGTGCCGGGTCGTGCGATGGTAAACGCTAGTCCGACATGTTGGTGCGATACAAGACTAAGCGTAAAGTTGAGTGTGACAGACTGGCGGACACACTCTTCGGCTTCCGTGGTCTTCTGCTGCGAGATCCGCGTTTCGCTGGGAAAATACTCTTAGCCATGGGGGACGTTTAGATTCGACGAATATTCCGCCTATCCATTACCCGCGTGTCCGGTCTCATAAATCAACTCATGACCACATGTTCCGCAGCCTCTTGCCGGCGTATGTTGAGGAAGCTCTGGGGCGTCAAGTGAGTTGACGGCAGCCATCCGCGCGGCAATGTCTTTTGACCACTTCGTAAACGGAACGGTGACTGCCTACTGTGGCGATCGTTCCACAGGAATGCGGAACCTCCGAGCACCCCGGGGGTAGCACAAAACGAGATAAATCAAACTTCGCGCGGCCGAAGCAGAGGAAGCTCGTTAAAGCGAATAAGATAGCCTGCTGCAAGCCTCCAGGTACAATAACCATAACTGTCCACGCCCGATACGCGACGGACACGTGGACGGTTGTGTGTCCCGTTCCCCGAAGATCTGGGGTTAGAGATGTGGCGCTCGTTCCGGACCTTTCAGAGATCCTCTCAGATGCGATGGATCCGTGCTGGTCTTTCCCATGTAGCACGCGGCGCGAGACGTAAACACCGCGGAACTGGAGAGCGGCATCGTAGCATCGGATGACATATGATAGAGGACATCTTGTCTAGGAAATCGGCTAACCACCACTTACCTAGATGCCCAACATGTCGGCTTGGCATGTAAACTAGACTAGAGGTTGGACGATAGGTGGCTTCGACTTCGGGCCATAGTCCCGGGGCTCTCGATAGCTCCGGGCATGTGACGACAACTCGCCGCACTGGTAGCCAGAAACTGCCCAGGTTTGCCGGTAACTTGCCAGAAATGTTGTGATGTGTCGTGACGACAAAGGATTGTACTTCTTAGATGAGCTGCCGTTGATTTGTGGTTTTCGGCACCCTGGTGTGTGTTCCGGAAGGCAAAGACGGGCGCCGGGCTGGAAACTGAGTGGCAAGAGCGACGTTCGACAGGCGCCAGTGTGAGGAGGTTCCATAGGATTCCCAAACGGGACACCCGGGAACTACCGCGACGCCACGTGCACATGCCTCGAGGGAATTTCGGGCAGCGTCCAGAGCGCGAGCTCGTCGGTGAACACAGCGATCGCCTGCCCTTCCTCGCTGCTGTCCACAGCGCCCGAAACTCTAGTTCCCCTGCTTTCGACATTCATTGCTGTCTGAGGCGACTATAACACGAATGTGGTGCTGAACTCGTGCTTTTGAAACCTTCTATCTGCCTGGCATACCTGTTCGCGATGCACCACGCCCACCGCTCTCTTCGCATTGCGCGCACTAGCATTCGTGCTTCCTCCTCATCGGCGCAGGCCGTGGTGTGTACGCTACATATCGTCCTAATGTTTCACACCAGCTCATCCGCGGGTACAGCAGGCAAAGCCGTCCGAAGCGCAAAGCGGACGGGCGACCAACGTGCCCGGGAGTCGGAGTTGGGCTGCTCATGCGCAAGCTAGCTCAAGTGCTGGACCATCCGGAAGCCAGAGCTCTGGTCCGAGCTTACCGCAGCAACGCACCTGGTCTCGTCCTCAACCTCAGCGGGGCTCTGCGTCACTCAGTTTGGGAGACCTTCCAGAGCCCATCCTCGAACGTGCCTCTCAACGCCGAGACGGTGGGGGGAACCGTCAGCGGCAACAAGACTATGCTGCAGGCGGTCGCGATGCGAACTTCAGACAGGCAAATCGGGGAACGCAGCGCTCGCCAAAGTCGGGACCGTCTAAGGATTCTCCATCCCGGGGGCTGCAGAACATCCTCCGCAATGACCGAATCAAGGAGGCTTCTGCCACGCTTGCTGCACAGCAGGCACGGAGAGCGGCGGAAGAGGCAGCGGACGAGACACAGTCAACGCCACCAACACAGCCCAAACCGAAGCCTGCTTCGCGGACGACCTGGGCGGCCCCCACTATCCCGGACGATGCGAATAACTCGCGAGGCTCTGCATGGAGTAAACGCTCTCAGTACAAAGAGAGAGGTTCCATTATGTCTCGTCTCAAGGACGAGGTGGTGATTCCAAGTCATTCTCGCGTCACTAACTCTCGCTCTGGTGTCAAGGAGAAGGAGCAGAAGAAGAATGTCGCGAAAGCGCACAAGCCTATCCATGTGGATGTCTTCATTCCGAGCGTCGTCTCCGTAGGCAACCTGGCCAAACTCTTGAATGTCCGGTTAGGTACGTCAGACGGCCCCTCTGCTATGGCCTCGCGCTCACGATGCTGGTAAGACGTACTCCGCCGGAAGATGATTAAGATAGGAATGGAGGCCGAGGCGTCATATGACCACAGTAAGCTTGACGGTGCTCGCAACACGATTATGTTGCTGATCGTATATGCAGTGCTTACCTCCGAATATGCTTCTCTGGTGGCTATGGAGTTCAACCGTAACCCCGTCATTAACGACGAAGCGGCGTTTGACATCTACCCCCCGTACGTCGGAGGAATCCTCTCGATCACACCGTTCTATCTCATGTCAGATTTCCAGTGCTCCCCACCCGGACCCTTCCTCTCTTTCCACGCGTCCACCGGTCGTTACCATCATGGGGCACGTAGACCACGGGAAAACCACTCTACTGGACACCCTTCGATCTACCTCTGTCGCCAAGGGCGAAGCCGGTGGAATTACCCAGCACATCGGTGCCTTCTCGGTTCCGGTGCCCGCTAGCGCCAATTCCTCAGAGCCTACACGGACAATCACCTTCCTGGATACTCCTGGTCATGCCGCATTCTCTGCTATGCGCGCTCGCGGCGCGAGCGTCACCGACGTAGTCGTACTTGTGGTTGCTGCGGACGACGGCATCATGCCCCAGACTCGCGAAGTCATTGATCTTGTAAAGAACTCCCCGGTTGGTCTGGTTGTTGCGATCAACAAGGTAGATAAGCCTGGCGTCGATGTTGTGAGTTGGAATATTTCCTTAAGCACATACATACAACTGATTGAATATCTTAGTCTAAAGTCGAGCACGCACTTCTCGCGGAGGGCGTGCAGCTGGAAGCCTTCGGCGGCGACGTCCCTGTAGTGCATGTGTCGGGTCTCACCGGCCAGGGTTTGGACCAGTTGGTTGAGACCATCTCTGTTCTTGCAGAGATGCAGGAACTGCACGCAGAGCGCGAGGGTACCCTCCAGGGTTACGTCTTGGAGTCGAAAGTCGCCAAAGGCTTAGGGTGAGCCGTCTGTTTAAGCCTCTTCACGCGGATTGCACTGACAAAATGTGATCAATTAAGACCCGTCGCGACCGTCCTTGTCCTTCGTGGAGGTCTGAAGCCCGGTCAACACCTCATTTGCGGCACGGCGTCCGCAAAGATTCGCGTCATGAACGACTCGAGCGGCAAGCCGGTGAAGGCCGCCTATCCAGGCATGGCCGTCACCGTCTCTGGCTGGAAGGAGCTGCCCGACGCCGGCGACGAGGTGCTGACTGGGACGGAGGCGGAAGTCAAGAAAGCCCTCGCCAACCGCCTTCGCAAGGCTGAGATGGAGTCTTCCCTCGTCGACCTAGAGGCAATCAATGAGCAGCGGCGCTCAGAGCGTGAGCGTGAACGCGAACGTGAAGAACGCGAGCGTGCGACTGCCGAAGGCGAAGAGGCCGAAGAGATGAAGCCCAAGTCCGTAGGTCCGAAGGAGTTGCGCCTTATTATCAAGGGCGACGTCAGCGGGTCCGTGGAGGCCGTGAAAGGTGCCATCGAAGGCATCGGGAACGATATTGCGCGCGTGAAGGTCGTCTCCACTGGCGTCGGGGACGTCGCCGAGTCTGACGTTTTGCGGGCAAAAACGGCTGAAGGTACGTTCTCGCGAGTTACCAACCGTTGGCAACTCGAGCTGACCAATTGACGCAGGGACCATCATCGCCTTCAACGTCAAGGTTCCCCGACCGGTCGAATCGATAGCGCAGTCGCAGCACGTCCCCATCCTCGCGTCCTCGGTCATCTACAAGCTCATCGACGACGTAACGGCGCGGGTCGTCGGGTTGCTCCCGCCAATTATCGAAAAGCGCGTCTCTGGAGAGGCCACCGTGCTAGCCCTCTTTGACATCACTCTCAAGGGAAAGAAGACGACGCAGGTCGGCGGTTGTCGTGTTTCTAACGGTGTTGTTGCGAAGAACAAACTTGCGCGGGTGGTCCGCAACGGTCAGATCATCCATGAAGGTAAGACATACATCGTTTGCCACATACACGGGATAGCTGACATGTGAGGGATACAGGTCGGCTGGATACGCTCAAGCAGCACAAGAACGACGTCATGGAGCTCGCAAAGGGCAACGAGTGTGGCCTGAACCTCGCCGACTTCAACGACCTCCGCGTGGGCGACATCGTCGAGATGTACGAGGAAGTCGAGCTGCCCGGTACCCTATAATCCGTATAATCACCCGCGCCCGCGCGTAGACGGTACTCATCCACTAGACAACATGTCATTATGCTATAGCTACATACAACACTGCTCCTCTACACGCTTTCGCCGTTTCTATTAGTAGTGGGAGTTATGGGCGCGCGCGGTTGACGTCGTCCAGGACGAGCTCCTTCGCCCCGATCGTCCCCGTCCGCCCTCCGACGCCGAACGTGAAGTTGATGTTCCCGAGGTCCCGATCTGTCTTCTCGAGCAGCGTCCAGCTCCGGATATCCTTCTTCTTTAGCCTCAGTTCCAACTGAGGAACCCAGCAGTTAGCTTGGACCTACGCACGCGCTCGTCCGATGCCGGCTCACCTTCGTGCCGAAGAACTTATATGAAGATTCTTCGGGATTGATAGGGCCCCAGAGGTTGAGCGTCTTGCGAAAACGCTTTTTCGCGGGAAGATAAAGGTCGAGGAAAACCTATAAGTGTATTGGTCAGTTGATTCGCGCCCTTCCTGTAGAAAAGGCTGGGGTGGGACACATACTTGGTTCTCCTCGATCGTGACGGTGCTAGTGTCGGCGTCGGCCTTCTTAGCAAATACCGACGCGTGTACCTCCGAAGGTGTCTGGTAGTGGTCAATACGGCACTCCGTGAACTCTTCTTCTTGCTGTAGCGGTATAGCGGGTCAGGCTTTGCATAGCCGCGGCGAGAGGATATGCACTTACCGGGTCGGCTTTCTGCTTTGGTACGAAGACATGTCGACCCTTCTTACAGCCTTCGATCTTCAGGAACTCGTCGAACTCGAGCACGCGACGTTTGCAGCAGAGGTAGCCCTGCCGCCGAGCGTAAGCTACCAATGGCGATGTCGGTGGTAACATGGGGATCACACCTTGCTGCCTTCATGGAAAATCGGCTGTACGCGGCTGTCAACACACCTGAGCTAAAAAAGGTCAGAAAGGCGCGGCTCACAGGCTTCGGGTGATATGTGCACTCGGCCGCCGCGCCACCTTCCGTGCGATGCAGCTCGTCGCTCTCGTATTCCACATTGCAGCCGCTGTGGCGGCACGTCGTACCGACCGTGACGGGTGCCGACAAATCATCCTCTTCCTCCTCAAACTTTGGCGCGGGCGTGGCTTCTCGCGACGCGGCGGCGGACGGCATGTTCACGGGTGCGGACGAATACGTCTCCGCGCCGCCTTGGGACGAGGTCATCTTGAGCTCGACCTGGGGCGTGGGCTGCGCTTTCGGCGCGACTTGGGGCGCTACATCGGTGTGCTGGCCCTTGGTGCATCCCTGGGCGCGCATGCTCGCTCAGCACATCGCGCGCCCGCACGCGCTGTGGCGGAGGGGTACGTACCGGTATTTTGAGGAAGTCGTCAAAGTCCAGGACGGGCTTGTTCACGTCGGAGCAGCAGGACCATGACTTTGATCCTTCGTGGAATACCGGCGCGCCGGTGTGGTATGTGCAGCTCTCAGGGCCGTTGTTTTCGGGGCTGTAGTCCTTGCCGCATCCCTTGTGCGTACAGGTGACCATAGCGAGCAGGTGGCAGCGAGATATGCTCGGAGTGTGCTGTGTGTGTTTTCGTGTGTCCGCGGGGAGCACGGTGGAGCAGGAGAGGGCAGAGAGGGTGCTTGGCGAGGGCGGGGAGTCGGAAGAGGCAATCGCGATCGAACTTGCCAGAAAGCGCGCGCGCGCCTGGCGCACGTGGGGCGCGACTCATGCGCAGACGCGTCTCAGCCGCGCGACGCGACGCGCGCGACCAGCGCTTCCGTCGCTCGTTCCACCCGATCGCCTCCTCCCGCAGGCGCAGCCCATCGTCCCCCGCCGATTCTCATCCTCGCGGCGAATAAATGTCTATTCAGCGGGAGAGGTCGCCCCGTTTCGCTCGATTCACGTCGATGGCTCTGCAGCCCTGCCGGGGCAATTAAATCTGCATCGACATCTAGGTCCAGCCGCGTCCCGATGCAGAGTCACCCTTCGCGGATGCCAGCTCTGTGCATCGCGAATAGAACGACTCGGCGCTCCGAGCGAATCATGTAAAATAGACCGGCGGCCAGACACAACCGCAGCCCCCTGCCCACACCCTTCTACAAAGCCGGGTGCAGTAATGCCCTAGTTCCAAGTCTGGTCAGTTGTGAGGAAGCGGGAGTTCCTCCGGTAGCACCAAACGTCAAATCCGACGAGAAGTCACCTTTCCCTTGCCGCTCGAGACCGCCGCGTTGCGTCGGCCCTCCAGGGGGCGCAGCCATAAGCTGGCATCGCGCACCGAGGGTCTAGACACTCTTCCATTTGCTGTCCACCGGCCCAGTCGGACAGAGGGCGGACATGAGCAGCCCCTGCTCGCTCGCGACAGAGTTCGAGGGTGTCCAGAGGCGTGTATCACCCTAGCTGTACACCGCCGCCTAGAAAGAAGAAGTGGCCGGCCTAATTTCAGAGGAGGGCAAGGCCACGGCGATGCGCTGGAAGTGAAGCAGCGGGTTCCTCGCGGTCGAATTAGAGCATCCGGCTGGGTGAATGACACCTTGTTGCATACGCGTCCGCCTTGAGGCCAGCGGGGCGCTGGCTGTCTTCCTAAGCTGTACGAGGGTGCGGCGCGTTCCGATGCCCAAGGCATCCACGCTACGCTGGTTGGAACGTAAAACTCCCCAACGGGGCGCACATCCTTCCGTGCATTGTGTCGCCATCGGGGTGAGGTTGGCGCAGCCGAGTCGACCGGAGTCTATTTAATTTTGCGGCTGCTTGCTGGTGACCATGATCGGTGAAGTTGAAACGGTGAGGCCGCATCTCTGCGGAAAATCGACGGCGTCAACGCCCTGCCGGTAAACGTCGTTTCCTCGAAGCCTTCTCCCGTTTCGAACGACAGACGACCTTCACCCCGCCACGTCACCGAGAGCCCGCGAGGGGAGGGGCGCCGGTGCTGCTGCCCGTCCGTCTCCTGCGCAAACCCCTCTCGAGCGAGCGCTGCGAACCCCCCGCTGTCGCGGCCTCTGTGCAGATCCTCTTATCAACTCGCGCGCGCAGACAGAAGATCGACATCCGACTCAACTCCGCGACGCTTCCGCCGTCGTTTACCGCCCCTTCTGCGCCTCTGCGACCCTGTACAGAGTGCCACCCCCTGGATCCACACCGCCCGCACTGGAGAGCTCCCTGCGAGCGCGAGGCCATGGCCACCCATCCCCCACCGCTGCTCCGTCGATGCGCAGGATAATATACCCAAAGGTGGTGCGTGTTACTGCTTCAACTCCATCCCCGTCCCACACGGATCGGCAGATCTGCAGCGACCCATGACGGGCTGCGACGGAAAAACTGGACGCCAGCATTCAATTCCGGCAGCCGGAGGGACCGTCGTACGTACTGGGACCACCCGCGGCGCCCGCGTGGATGCGCTCGCCGGAGCAGCATTGGGCGTGTATATGGAGCGGCAGTGTATGCCTGACCACGCACACTCCGTGGGGATGCCGCAATGATCTGATTCGGGGTGCCTGCAGATCTGGAGGGGTGCCGTCACGGTGTCTGGCAGAGATATAGGTCAATACTACTACTACGCCACGAAGGCCGTGCCGCAGAGAAGGACGTACTGCGCAAGCCACCCATGTCCGTTATCCTTGCCATGCTCCGTTGGTGTTGGACGCTGACCATTATGCCCCGACGCATAGGGAATTAATGATGCCTCCTTTCTGTGCTAGTGCTACAGCCCGCGGCAGGCGTGGTCGTCGGTTGGAACTTCCTGAACACATGCTCCAGTGCTCTACGTCCTCGAGCACGGCCCCATCGTCCACATGAGGTAGACCCCCTGGCCATTACGGCGCAAGGAAAACGCCCTATGAACGCATAGTGGCTTCCCGGATGCTCGTCTGTCTCCTTTTGGTCAGCATGTCGAGAACACTTGCGACAGACGCACCATATGATGTCGCACACCCCGAGACAGGTCAGCACCACCAGGCCAAGCCGGGTACCCAGGGCTGCGCACACAGCGCGGCGGGCCGTTGGAGACTCGTAAGTGCACCCGAACCGCGCCCACTGGTGGTCGCGGATGTCGAACTGAATACGCAGTCTGACCTGTGCCTTCCCCATATGTATAGGCCGTCCGACCAATGGTCGCGTGTACAGTCCCGAGGGTGGTGGAGCAATGCGAACATCGTCGAGAGGATCTTGGAGCTGGTGCGGCCGCAGTGCGCGACACGACGGCGACGCCGGAGTTCGAGTTGCAGATGCGAGCTGAGGCGAGTGAGCGCCGTTCGTTCGAGTTAGGTTCCCTCCGAACTTGGTCACTCGACTCCGGCGAAGCGCGTAACTGTGACCCTCCTGCGCTCGACGTCGCGCCACGACGGCCACGCATCCCCCAGAAAGTTCAGAGTTTCCTTCCCTCTCCACACTACGCTCTGACTACCACCTCCAGACAGGAAATGCACACCGCCCGGAGCCCGGACACGTCCTATGTCGGGTTCACGATTGCGGTTCTAGTCCGTGATCGTTGCTCTCTGCTCCGAAGCCAATGGGGACGATCTTCGCTTAGCGCCGCCGCATTGCGGGGAACAGTCGGGGAACACAACGCGTCACCCCGGAGCGTGAGCAGCGTCCTCCTTTCGTCCTCCGAGCCAGCACTTGTGGGCGCCCGCACCTCCATTTGGCAGGCTAGTTGTGTGTCCCAGTTGACGCGATTCAGCGGACTCTGGAGTGTCGGATACACCGGCTTTCCGCTGGCTCCCGGCTAGGCTCCAGGATCGCCAGCCCCCGCATTGGTACCGACATCCAGTATACGGCTATCCTGAATACCAGGTAGATACGAGCATGACAAAGATCAATTGAAACGAGTATAGTACTGTGTAGATCGAGAGCATCGATTGATGTAGCTAAGATATGCCTGGTCCAAACGCTTCCCACACGAGAAAGCCAACGCCCCAGGGTCCGACACGGCCCAGCGTGCGCAAGGCGGCATTCATGCGCCGGCGCATCCGCGATGCCGAGGGGTCGTGCGGAACGTGCGCAGGGTTGCTGAAGAACGACCGCACGCCCTCTTCGTGCATCTTGCGGAGGATGACGGCCGGGATGGAGTGCTGGTCGCGTGCGCGGGCCAGCCTGTCGATTTGCACCGCTTTGCGAGCGGCGTCCCAAGGACGGCAGGTCAGCTCGTACGCGAGGCCCGCGATCGCTCCGCCCGCGACGAGCGTCGTGGCGTGTACTATCCTCGGCGTATGTCTGCGAAGCCCCCCGGGTCGCTTGTCTGCCGCGGGGGTGTGTTCTAAAAACTCTTGAGAGAGCGTCTTCGTCTCGATCGCGCACCGGCGCGTGACATCGAAGATGGCGAAGAACACCGCGAAACCTGCATTACGTGCGCGGGCATGAGTGCGCGGACACGACGGACAGAGCGCGGATTGAACGAGCGAGCGGGCGCGGGCTTACCGCAGATATCTTTGGCACACCCCCAGCCCCAGCCCTCCCAGCCGCGGCCTGCCATCTCCCCGACTTCCTTCATCCAGTCCCTGACCTGGCGCGCTTCGAGCAGCCGCTCTTGGCGCGGCAGGTCCGAGGAGGGCTCCGTGCGCCGGAAGACCTCCTTCCACGCGTCGCTCCACCCCGTCGCACGCGAAGTGCCCTCGAGCGCGAAGCGCATGTTCTCGGCCGGGGCGGCGAGCAGGGCCTGTGCGCCTCCGGCTGTGGCGCCCGATATAGCAGCGAGGGTGGTGGGATGCGAGGCGAGGTAGGGCTCGAGCGTGCTGGACGCTTCGGTGTAGGTCGACCAGAGCACGAAGCCTAGGAGGCCGTTGACGAGCATCGGCGGCAGGAAGTGTTTCGGAATCACCAGCCACTTGCGGACCGCGATGAGATGAGACGCGGCGGAAGGGGCACAGATCGCGAGACGTACATACCCCATGTTCCCTGACGAGCCACGAGAGGTACGAGGGCGAGAGCGCCTGGCCATGGCTATCGGCTAGCCCGCGAAGGGACTGCCAACCGCTCACTGGGAACGAATAGGCTGGTAAGTTGCCGTGCGCGATTTGTGCGAGCTTGGGCTGCGCACCTTTCGAAGGCCTGAAGAGCCTGACGGGGCGGGAGAAGTAGAGGGCGAGGCTGCGGGTAGCTGTGCGCGCTATTGCAGCATAGAGCTCGGAGTAGGACTGTTGCTGTTGCGTGCCATCGTCAGCGTTGTGCGACATGCAAACGCAAGCATGAAGTGCTTCGCCGCTCGCGGGAACACACTGGCTGGTGGCAGACGGCTGCAGGGAGACGCTCGACAGACGCCCAGCAGAGCCGACGAGCGACGCGGCAGGCGCTCGGCGCCACAAAGGACTCGCCCGGCATCCCCCGGCGCGCACTCCGCGATGATGTGCACCAAGATTCTCGATCGCGCACTTTGAGCAGTGCACCCTCTCTTTACAAGGTTGGCTTCCACCGTCAGCTCCCGGTTCGGCATGCGCCCATCCCTTGCTCGCATTCCCCTCAACGCAATGCCGGCTTGCAGGGATCGACCACGGCGTTGCGGGGCGGTCAGCTCACACCTATTCACTCGACAGCTCAGCGGCGCGCCGTTGCCACGAGACTTCGCCTTCTATGCGGACTTCTTCACCGTTCAGGAGCAATCCACGCTGCTGCGAGCAGCTCTGCGGAAATTAGATTCTATGGAAGGAAGTCGATTTCGTCGCCGAAGAAGAGAGTTCCTGAGGACGCCCCCAATTACTACTACTCAAGACCCGGTCCAGGCACTCTTCCTACCAGACGAACTGTATGACTTCCAGGAGGTGGGTCTATATCCGGGCGAGAATCCTGCAACAGAAGATTGATACACTCCTAGGGCCACTTCGACGGTGTAATCAAGTATTACCGTGAGATGCACGTCACCTCCTGGCCGGAAGACATGCCCGAATTACCGCCTTTGCTTGAGAGGCTCCGCGCGGTGCATCCTAATGAGGATACACAAACCCACATACTGCACCTGGCGTCTAGCGGCGAGATCATGGTGTGTGGCATTGGGCACCCCGGGGCATAATATATTCAACCGTCTTCTAGCCACATGTTGACAATCTAGAGGCCAGCGGGTGGGTCCCATCGCTTACAACGTACAACGCCTTTTCTTAGCTCTCTGCAGTTCTTGGATCCTAGGCGTTTCATTGGGCGACGAACGCATCCTTCGGCTGGAAAATCCCTCTTCCCCCGAAGAGCGCTACGAACTCCCACTCCCGTCCGGCAGTGTGTACTTACAGCGGTCAGTGATCCGTGCCTGTTTATGACCGGGCCTTCACGCCTTCCCAGCGATTCCATCCGATACAACTATCAACATTCTATTCTCGGGAAGCCTGACGGTCGACAGCGCTTGAGTCTTATGATTCGGGTGAGCACTTCGCCTCGTGTAAAGCCATATGGTCTCATCGCTTCTTATTTCTCATAGGACCGGAAAACGGCAGGAGACGCATAGTACCCGCCTCGTCCAGCGTCCATGTAGATTACTCGTATTGCAGCCGTATGATTGCAAGGGACATGCGAATAGACGACTTCGATGCCGTCACCGGTGGTAGGTTTCCAGACGCAGAAGACACAAATGGATGGCCGCGGGCAGCGCTTGGTACACGTCTTCCAGGGCTGCGTGGAGACCAACGACGTAACGCTCTCTAGGGTACCTGCAGAGCGGTCAGCGCGCGGCTCTGCACCCGTTGGCCGTAAGTCCTTGCCTCGATCGGACGATATCGTCTACAGTGCACCATACGTCTTCATACCGAACAGCGAAGGGGCGCAGCACATCCCGTATGACGCTTCGCACGCCCGGTCCACGGTCTGGCATCTTCGATCAAACATCTGAGCACGCATCGGCAGACTGTAGCGCTCACCTCCGCCATGCCCGCCTGAAGCGAGGGTTCCTGGTATGCTGTGGTACGCGCGCGAGGGTTGGTAATTGGTAACAAGGTTTAAATTCGAGCAGGGAAGCCCTACCTCGCGGCATCGTCCGCCTGCTTGGACGCCGGGGCGAAGGGCCCAGCCGACACAGTTGCGACTCTGATGCCTAACAATCCCCACTCCCGGCGCAGGAACTGCGCGGCAGATTCGAGTGCATGCAAGTGTGCAGAGCGCATCTCGAGTTGATCGCCGGCTGCGTAGTATATTGAGATACACGCCGCACGGGGAAAGGAGGCAGAGGCGCTGGAAATAACTCACATGCGAGCACAAGCACGACCCGCCCAGAGGCTGCCGCGAGCAGCTTGGAGTAGCCGTGCACCACGGATATGGGCGCCACGAGGCACCGGCGGACGACTTCTGCCCAGGCCGCGACGTCCGCCGCGCCGCCCGCGAGCGGCTGCGGCTGGGGAGCTTCAACGTGGGTGCGTGTAAATCAGGGTCGACGCGCAGACGACGGGTTCCCACATACGGGCGGGAGCACTCGGCGGCAGCACGATCACCGCGACGAGGTGGAGGTTGTGCGTCGCGCAGTAGGCGTCGACGGTCTCGACCGCGTGCGCGCGCTGCGCCCCTGAATTCATGTCGAGCACGATGGGCGCGAGCAGGCCCCACCGCGGCGAACGGCCGGATCTCTTTATCCTCTTGTGCCACTCCTGGATAAGCTGCCGCGCGGGGGTTCAGCTTCAGCGTCGCGAGCGCGGGCGGCAGGCGGCAGAGGGAAGGGTCCTCACTGCAGACACGTTCGATGCGTCCTGGGCGGCCTCGCGCGAGCTCTGCGCCGGCGAGGCTGGGGCTGAGGCTGGCTGGTCAGGGCAGAGCGCGAAGACCGTGCAGCCCTGCTCGGAGAAGGTGAGCGCGAGGTGCCTGCCTATGTCTGCACGGCGCGTTGGCGGTACGCCCGCGTCAGCACGCCCGTGATCGCCTCCTATCAGCTGCAAGGGAACGAACGCACCGTCATCTCCGCCAACGATTACGACGGCGCTTTCTCTGGGCGGGTAGACTTGGCAGGGAGGGAGGGTTAAAAATCGGCTGAGAAGCTCATGGGCCGTGCGTGCGACACCCTGCGAGAGGGCGAGGCACTTGAGCAGGAGCGGGACGTAGATACACGACAGCACCTCAATGCAGAGCTGCAGGACGGACGAGAACAGGGTGCTCGGACGCGCGCCGTCCTGGCCCGCGGTGGAGGTGTTGCGGAGTCCTGGCAGTGAAGCGGTCAGTGCTGGCATTTCATACGCTGCGTGGGTGCCCCAGAATGTCAGTCGGCGGAGATTGAGCGACGAGTGTGCTAGGGGTTGGTGAGAAAGCAGCAAATCACATTCACTGTTCTCGAACGAGAGGCAGCATGCACGAGCTCAGAGCACTCCGTGGGGCGCTTAGATTCGGCGGCCGTGCTACACCACTAAAGGCAAGTACGATCATAGCGTTGCTTAGACGGGGCAAAGACGTTCATTCAGCATGGTTTCTAAGTACCTGCAAGAGTTCATCTGAGGGCGTAGCACACTTGTGTGTGTTAGCGGCAGTGTATACCGAATCGCCGAGCGGCCCATGCCCATTCAATTGCTCATTTATTACTTTGTCGGCCGCCCGTGATACATGCTCGACACCTGGGGCATACTGTGGGTCGCAGGCACACATGTAATATACTCAGATGCATCGCACAACGACCCTCCAGAGATTGTACATGGATAGAAGGGTCAAAGGGGATCGAAAGGAGTGGAACACGTACACCGACGGTGTTACGTCCTGGTGAACGCACGAACCTCAAGAAAGACAGCAGCAGTACCATGTCGAGGACGAAATGATCTGCATGCTCAGCTGGAATGAATGAGATAGGAAGGCACCACTACCATTAAAGCAGCCGGCCATCACAAAGTGGACGATGCGGACATCGCAGCCGGTCTTCCAGTGGATCCTCGAACGCAATTGCCCACGCCCTCTGCGGCCGCTTCCTTCAGAGGAAGATCGTCGGGAAACCAGCTCAACAGCAGCTGATAGCGTACACCGGAAGAGGAGCAGCGCGGCGCATCACGAAGCATGCGCGAGGAGGTCAGTTGACAACCCGCCTTGGGCGAGGAGAAGGCGAAATGAGGAGGTCTTAGTGCGTCTAGGCATCTTAGCAGACCAACGTGCGAGGAGGGCGATAGCGGAGTCTGCGATACATGGGGTGTAGGTGGAGCTGAGGGCCTCTCAGTCGCAGTCGGGGGTTGCGGTCAAGATGCACGCAGCGGCGGGGGTACGAGAGAGTGGGAAGCAGGCTGGAACGGCAGCCCAAGCGCGCTTGAGATTGGACGAGCCACGAGCGCCTCGGACATTCGGCTCGTGTTTCGTGCGAGCGGCAGTGGTGTTCGCGGAAGGAGAAGGACGGCGCGAGGGCCCTTCGACGTCGACGTCTCCGCGTCGAAGACCTCATACGTCCTTGGTCTGCATGGATCATTCTCGGAGGCCGAGGCACGTCCTCGTCCAGCACGCCCCCGCTTGGTCGCAGAAACGTCCGGCGGAACGCGCAAGTGAATCCATGATTTCCGCGAGAAATGGGGTCCAAAGCCGATCGCGCGATGCGTGCACTCGGAACCGATGTGTATATCGTGAGCGTCCCAAATATGGTGTATATGTCTAGCGGGTATACAGTGCGAGTCCGGGAATAGTGTCTAAGCCGGCCATGGAGAATACAACGACAGAGCAGCAGAGCGTGGAAGCGATACATCTATGAAGAGGTCCGTGGAGAATAATAATGTGCGTGTGCGCGAGACGTCTAGTAGGAGTCCGTCGAGCCCGGAAGATAGTACTTTTGGTCGAGTGCCATGAGCGCCATGGCCGTCGAGGGCGGGTGGGATCAATTGGCTTTTGAGACGCTGTTGACACTGGACAAACTAAATCTAATCAGCCTCGGGAAGGACGGGAAGGGAAGGCAGGTACGCACGGCAGCTTCACAGGCCTTGGGTTGCCGTCGTCGAGCTTGATGATGACAAACCGGAGACCCTGAATTCCGGTGAGCAAAGCCGACACACGGGACCTGAGACACGCTCACCTCGATGGTCTCGGTGTCTTGCACTGTGCCGGTGCGAGTCTTCCCGCCCTCGAGGAAGAAGACGCGAGTTCCGATCTGGCGGCGGGTCAGGTCAGTGAGGCACACCCCGAGGATGCTCTGTGAGCCACCTACGGGGAAGGGGTCCATGAGTGTCGGTGAGTGTGGTGCGGTGGGTGTGGGTGTGTTGGCTTACCTAGAGCGACCATGGTGCTCTCTCTTATACTGGAGGCGCAGAAGGTGACGACGCTGAACCCTCTGGACGGCGGATGGATCGGGCCAGCATTTGTATGCGTGGCTCATGGAAGGACGCTTGGTGCATCATCTCAGTTGCAAAGGGGAGATCTATTTTGGTAGGTAGGGTAGGGTCAGAAAGAGGGTTCGAGCGAGTGGACGAGTGCAGAGAGGGATAAGCGAGAGAAATCCCGGGGACAGGACGTACGCCGATGGCGGATCGCCCGGGAGAAGTATAGACGAGGGGGAGGACGCATGCAAGTCAGGGAGCGCAGAGGCAGGCTGGGTCCAGAGCAGAGGTTGGGAATCCATAGCCCAGATAGAGGTGCTTCGCGGGAGGGTGAGGAAAGATACCGGCCTGGTGGGCTCGGAGCTGCAACCAGGGTTGACACGGCGAGACTGCGCAGAATTGGTGACCCGGGATGCTCGCTGCCTGATTTGATTGGCAGAGCACACGAGGCCTGGCTTGAAGCATAGGTCTGCGCCATGACGCAGAGCTTAAGCCTAACAAACCGGCCGGCCTAGCTGAGAAGGGGGGAAGCCTGGCGTCTGTGCAGGGTCTGAGTGTGTTCACCACGGTGCATCTGCGTAGTAACGGCGTCACAGCGCAGTGGAATTAATATTACAATCTTCGATTCGAGCCGCCGGCAGGAAAAGCGACTAGACTGGGCATGAAGCCAAAGTCAAAATCAGAATACGCGAGATCCAGCATGGCGAGGATGACGACGAGCAGAAGACGCAGATGCATGCGCGTGCAAAGCAGAGTGCACAGGCGCTTTAGGCAACTCGCGCACACCGGATACCGCCCCGTCTGATGGCGGCAGCGCTGACGTAATCCAGCTACCCCAGCCACTGAGTCTGCAGTCCGAGCGCGAGGGCCGCTCAGCTCCCTCTCGCCCGACGTCGACGCGACGCTCGGGATGCCTGTGCAGTCTTCGTCTACAAGCTCAAGATCTACCACTACTGCTGCTCCCGCTCGCGCCGATATGTCCGTCATTCTCGTCACCGGCTCGTATGACCATGAAATCCGTTTCTGGGAAGCCTGGAGTGGCATATGCTCCCGCACCATCCCCCGCGTCGGGGAATCTGGAGTGAGGCCGTTCGCTGCGTGCGTCAGAGACACATCATTTATAATTCATTTCGTGTGGTGCCACCCCCACAGCAAGTCAACCGCCTAGCGATATCTCCGGAGTAAGGACGCGTCTCGCTCTGGGCATTCCCTAAAGGCTCATGTCTGCGACATGTAGCAAACGCCTACTAGCGGCCGCCATCCACAAGAAGGCATACATCTACGAGATTGCGGCTGCACCCTCCGCGGGACCGGTGCGTCGCCCCGTTCTTCATGACGTCCGCCCTTACTCAATGCCGAACTGCTCGCGCGCACCAGATTGCGATATTCGAAGGCCACAACGGTAACATCACCGCCGTCTGCTTCCACAGCGAAGGGAAGTGGCTGGTAACGGGAAGCGAGGATGGGACGATCAAGATTTGGGATCTACGGTGCGTAATTGTGGCAAGTCCGCTCGTCCGATCGCTAAGACTGTGGCCTCGCAACACGCAGGAGCAACAGCCATCTCCACCGTAATTACGATAATGAAGCACCCGGTAGGACGGTCTCGCCCCAGTCTTGTTCGCGTCCGACTGACGCGTCGGCTGCGCAGTTAACGACGTCGTAGTGCACCCAAATCAAGGGGAGTTGATTTCGTGCGACCAGGCCGGGAGGATAAAGCAGTGGGATTTATCGGAGAATATCTGCACACACGAGCTGGTGCGTCCTGGCTGCATGGTCACCCATATGATGCTGACCGCTCCATCTCCCAGACTCCCGGGGGTGATACTCCGATGCGCTCTATCAGCCTTGCCTCCGATGGCTCCTGCCTCGTCGCGGGAAGCGTCAAGGCTCGTGCGCCTGCCATTTCTCATGATCGTCTCGCTAACCTGTATCGGCGTAGGGGAAATGCTACGTCTGGAAAATCAACGAGGAACGATCTGATCTGCCCAGATTCCAGGCCGTGACAATGTTCCAAGCGCACAACAAGTACCTCACTCGGCTCCTCTTAAGCCCTGACGTAAAGTCAGTGTCCACAGCGCTTCTCTGTACCTATTTAGGAGCGTTGAACGAATTTCTGGGCAGGTTTCTCGCGACCTGTTCTGCCGACACGACCATCAAGATCTGGTCAATAACGCCCAACTACGAATTTAAATTGGAAAAGACTTTGCAGGGGCACCAACGGTGGGTATGGGACTGCGCGTTCAGTGCGGACTCGGCGTACTTGGTGACCGGTACGTACACGTTCGGACCGTCCTCGCGCTGTACCTTGAGACAAATTGCGTGCCAGCCTCCTCGGACCACACTGCGCGACTATGGGACATGTCGACCGGAGAGACCGTACGACAATACAACGGACATCAGAAGGGTCAGTAATTTCGCATGGTGTCACCGAACGCGCGCTCACGCTCGACCTTCCCAGCGGCCGTGTGTTGCGCATTGCACGATGGGGCTGGTTAGTTTTTTTGCACCCCGGATACCTCGTGTACAGTATCACACAGCGACTTTGCTCGGGCGTCGGCGGCGGGCATGTATTCTCTGAAGTTCTCTTGCGAAGTCTCGAGCCGCGCTGTCTGCGGCCCTCGGGATGGGAACTACTTCCCTTGGTGGCCGGGAGTTCCTCCAACGGTACGTCACGGTGCGCCTGCCCTGAGACTTCTTTTCCAAGGAACCTCAGCACGAGTTGTTCTAGGCTGGCCAGCACTCTGAAATTTCCGAGGTGTGCCGCATTATAGCAGGTGGAAGTCACGCATGCCATAGATGAGCATGCGAGGCCCTGCACGGCGGCTCGATCTGATGGAATTGCGCCCTGATGGCGATCTATGGTACGGGGGCTCGCAGCGAAGCTTCAAGAAGGGGAATAGACTCGATCACACTTCTGCGGGACAGGTCCTCGTCGCGGCCGCGGTGTGGGAGCGCGAGGGCTACTTACCAGCCGTCGGGCAGAGTTTTGCGCGCGGAGGGCAGGAACGGTGGACGGCATCCGTCACGGAGCTGCCGTACCTGCCCTCGGTCTCGTCGCGTCCACATTCAGTCCGCGAAGGGTGGATGGGAACGCTGGGGGACATGAGTGGGGAAAATCCGAGGTTTCTGATATGTGGAAAGCGTCCGTGTGGAGGGAGGGCGCGGGCGGGGCGTCGCGTGGCGGAGCACGCCTCTGGGACATTTTTCCGACGTAAGAGACGGGGAGAGTCCAAGGGGCTCTGGAGCCTCTGGGCGTAGGAGCGTTCCCGCGATTCATGCGGGGGCGCGCATCGCACAGGGCCGGGGACAAAGATACGCCCGCTGGGAACGCTTCGGGGAGCGCAGGTCGTCGACGTCGGGGTCGGAATGGGGGAAGTGGGGGAGGGGAAGGGATACACGTTTGGCTACTGACGTGCGAGGGGTGCGCGCGCTGGGCTGTTCCTTGGCCGTTCCTGGACGATCATGAGCAGCTTCGGCAGCCGCGCGCGGGTTCAATGAAGACGTTCGCGGGTTCTGGCATACGACGAAGGCGCGCTCGAGGGCAACTGAGTTCGGGGGCAAGCAGGACGGTGCGCGGGCGAGACTGGGCTGTGGACGGTCGGGGAGGGCTCCGGTCGGGTGTGGCACGGGAGCGGGCGAGGGCGCCGAGGAGGACGGGACGGAGATCGGGGAGCGGGGGTGGCTGCGGCCGCTCCGGGCGGGGTCCCGCGAGATAAGATGAGATGCGGAATGAGATGGCGTGAATTTGAGCTGTGCGCGCTGTGATTGGCCGGCGATGAGATAAGGGCTGCTAGATGGTTGAAGCTGGGTGGAAAGTGGCGGGAAGGCGATCGGACGCTCGCCCCTCGGGTGAAGGCGGCGGGCGGTCTCTGAACGCTCCCCCACTGACTCCAGCGTCCTGGACACTCTGACTCGCCCTCGCCGCTAGAAATTTTGGCTGCTCCCCGTCGTCGTCCTTTCCAGCGCGCAACGCCCCTTCCCTCCGCCCACCACCATCCTCCCCGCGTCCCCGCGTCCCCGCGTCCGCGCCCTCCTCCACGCAGTTCCCATCAATCACCCTCAGATCTCTCCCTGCGTTCTATGGCTATCGCTGATCGCCTCGCCGATCCCCCTCCGCCTTCCTTGTCTGCCCCAGAGTCTGATTCGCAAAATGGCTTCGATGCCGTCGAACGCGACCCTACGTCGTTCGACTCCTCGCTGCCCGCCAGCCAGGGCCTGTACATGAACGACTATGAAAAGGACGCATGCGGTGTCGGCTTCATTTGCCACATCAAGGGTGACCAGTCCCACAAGATCGTCTCCGACGCCCGCCAGCTCCTGTGCGCCATGACCCACCGTGGCGCCACCGGTGCAGACAGCCGCGACGGTGACGGTGCGGGCGTCATGACCGGTATTCCCCACCTGTTCTTCAAGCGTGAGGCCGAGCGGGACATCGGCTGCGAGCTTCCGGAACCTGGCCAGTACGCCGTCGGTAACGTTTTCTTCAAGGCGAACAACCCCGTCGGCCTCCAGCAGCAGCAGGCGATGTTCTCCAAGATTGCGAACGACTTGGGCCTCCGCGTCCTCGGCTGGAGGGAGGTCCCGACGGACGGTACTATTTTGGGGCCCGCCGCGGCGAGCAAGGAACCTGCTATCCTGCAGCCCTTCGTGGTTCTGCGCTCTCACTACGGTGACGGTACTACCGCGCGTGGCGGTAACTTTGATGCGAAGCACTTTGAGTGTCAGCTCTACATCATGCGCAAGCATGCGACGCACAACATGTTTGTCCCCTTCCCCTATTCACCCGCTATGAACGTAAGCTTAAGTACCGGACCCGTTTGTCTTAAGTTCGCTCTCGAAGGGCTTCTATATTTGCTCGCTCTCCTCGAAGAACATCGTCTACAAGGGTCAGCTCTCGCCGCCGCAAGTATACAACTACTACCACGACCTTAACCATGTTCTGTACCGCGCGCACTTCGCGCTCGTGCACTCGCGTTTCTCTACGAACACCTTCCCGTCCTGGGACCGTGCGCAACCCATGCGTTGGGCCGCACACAACGGTAAGTCCACAGACGCCGCCTCCTCATATAAGGCAGCTCGTTGATTTCGTACGTATCAGGTGAGATCAATACCCTGCGCGGTAACAGGAACTGGATGCGCGCCCGCGAGGGTGTGCTCTCATCGTCTCTGTTCGGAGACCAGCTGGACCTCCTATACCCCATTATCGAGTCCGGTGGTTCCGACTCTGCGGCGTTCGACAACGTGCTCGAGCTCCTCACCGTAAACGGTGTTCTGACGCTCCCCGAGGCGGTCATGATGCTCATTCCCGAGGCGTGGCAAGGGAACGAGACGATGGAGCCTGAGAAGAAGGCGTTCTACAGCTGGGCGGCGTGCCTTCAAGAGCCGTGGGACGGCCCGGCGCTGTTCGCGTTCAGTGACGGTCGCTATTGCGGTGCGAACTTGGACCGTAACGGTCTCCGTCCGTGCCGCTACGTCGTCAGCGATGAAGATATCATTGTCTGCGCGTCCGAAGTCGGCGCCGTCTACATTCCCCCGGAGAGAGTTATCCAGAAGGGCCGTCTTAAGCCCGGACGCATGCTGCTCGTCGACACCGAGGAGGGTCGCATCGTCGATGACAAGGAGCTCAAGCGCAACACCGCGCGCAAGCAGAACTTCGCGTCATGGATTGAGTCGAACATGCTCAACGTCCCGACGATCGTCAAGCGCGTTCAGCGTTCCACGTCTGTGGCCCCGACTATCGACGAGTTCTCACTCAGCACCGACCCGAAGCTGCTTGCGTTCGGGTACACTGTCGAGCAGCTGAACCTGCTCATGCTGCCGATGTTCTCGGACGGCAAGGAGCCGCTCGGCTCTATGGGTAACGACGCGCCCCTCGCGGCAATGTCGTCGCAGCCTCGTCTCATCTACGAGTACTTCAGGCAGCTCTTCGCACAGGTCACGAACCCTCCCATCGACCCTATCCGCGAGTCCATCGTCATGTCGCTCGAGTGCTACGTCGGTCCCGAGGGTAACCTGCTCGAGATGAACCCGCAGCAGTGTCACCGTATCGTGCTGCCGTCTCCCATTCTCACGATCGAGGAAATGAACGCGATGAAGAACCTCAAGTCTGCCTACGGTACCTGGCCTTCGCGCACGATCGACATCACCTTCCCCAAGGAGTACGGTCTTCCGGGGTACAAGACGGCGCTCGAGCGCGTCTGCTCGGAGGCGACGCAGGCCATCGACGATGGCATCAAGGTCATCATCCTCTCCGACCGCGACACTAGCTCCTCGCGCGTTGCGCTCTCCGCCCTGGTTGCGTGTGGTGGTGTACACCACCATCTCGTCACCCAGAAGAAGCGCGCGAAGGTCGCACTCATGATCGAGACGGCCGAGGCGCGTGAGGTCCACCACCTCTGCGTGCTTCTGGGCTACGGTGCGGATGCTATCTGCCCATGGCTGACGATGGAGTGCATCCACAAGGTCGTTCGCGAAGGATTGTGAGTGTTCCGTGATTGACTTCTGCATGGAAGCAGCTGCTCACGCGCTCTCTGGCTCTAGGATCAAAGAGGGTAAGACCCTGACCGACCTAATGGACAACTATCGCCACTCCGTGGACGGCGGGATTCTCAAGGTGATGTCCAAGATGGGCATCTCGACTCTGCAGTCATACAAGGGCGCGCAGATTTTCGAGGCCCTCGGCTTGCACACGGAGGTCATCGAGAAGTGCTTCGTCGGCACCGCGAGCCGTGTCCAGGGTGCTACCTTCGATCTTCTCGCCATGGATGCGTTCGAGATGCACGAGCGCGGCTGGCCTTCGCGTGAGACCGTTCTGCCCCCTGGCATGCCAGAGTCGGGCGAGTACCACTGGCGCTCCGGCGGCGAGGCGCACATCAACGACCCGTCCGGGATCGCCAACCTCCAGGACGCGGTCCGGGAGAAGAACCAGGGCGCGTATGACGCGTACGCGGACAACGCGAACGCGCAGACCCGCGCGGTTCATCTCCGCGGCCTTCTCGACTTCCGCTACGAGAACGCGGCCGCGATTCCGATCGAGCAGGTCGAGCCCTGGAACGAGATCGTGCGCCGGTTCGTGACCGGCGCGATGTCGTACGGCTCGATCTCGATGGAGGCGCACTCGACGCTCGCGGTCGCGATGAACCGCCTCGGCGGGAAGTCGAACACGGGCGAGGGCGGCGAGGACGCGGAGCGGTCGCTCACGCTCCCGAACGGCGACACGATGCGCTCGGCGATCAAGCAGGTCGCGTCCGGCCGCTTCGGCGTCACCTCGAACTACCTCGCGGACGCGGACGAGCTGCAGATCAAGATGGCGCAGGGAGCGAAGCCCGGCGAGGGTGGTGAGCTGCCGGGCCACAAGGTGTCGACGTCGATCGCGCGCACGCGCCATTCGACGGCCGGCGTCGGTCTTATTTCGCCCCCGCCCCACCACGACATCTACTCGATCGAGGACTTGAAGCAGCTCATCTACGACTTGAAGTGCTCGAACCCGCGTGCTCGTGTGTCGGTCAAGCTCGTGTCTGAGGTCGGCGTCGGTATCGTCGCCAGTGGTGTCGCGAAGGCGAAGGCGGACCACATCCTCATCTCCGGCCACGACGGTGGTACCGGTGCCTCGCGCTGGACTGGTATTAAGTACGCCGGTCTGCCGTGGGAGCTCGGTCTTGCGGAGACGCACCAGACGCTTGTCCTCAACGACTTGCGTGGCCGTGTTACGGTGCAGACTGACGGTCAGCTCCGTACCGGTCGTGACATTGCCATTGCTGCTCTTCTCGGTGCTGAGGAGTGGGGCTTCGCTACCACGCCTCTCATTGCTATGGGCTGTATCATGATGAGGAAGTGCCACCGTAAGTTGCTCTCCAGTCGGACATTGCGGTACGTGTTTATTGACGATGGTCTGTAGTGAACACTTGCCCTGTCGGTATCGCTACTCAGGACCCCCAGCTCCGCGCCAAGTTCTCTGGCCAGCCCGAGCAGGTCATCAACTTCTTCTACTACATCGCCGAGGACCTCCGTCGCTACATGGCCAAGCTCGGCTTCCGCACCATCAACGAGATGGTCGGCCGCGCCGACATGCTCAAGGTCGACGAGAAGCTCCGCACGCCGAAGACCGCGCACCTCGACCTCAGCGCGATCCTCAAGCCCGCCTGGCAGATGCGCCCCGGTGCGGCCACGTACCGCGTGCGCCCGCAGGACCACAAGCTGTACATCCGCCTCGACAACAAGTTCATCGACGAGTCTGAGCCCGCGCTCACGAAGGGCCTGCCCGTGCACATCGAGTGCGACGTCACGAACACCGACCGCGCGCTCGGCACGTCCCTCTCGCACCGCGTCTCCAAGCTGTACGGCGAGGAGGGCCTCCCGAAGGACACGATCCACATCATGATGCGTGGCTCCGCTGGGCAGTCGCTCGGCGCGTTCCTCGCGCCCGGTATCACCATCGAGCTCGAGGGCGACGCAAACGACTACGTCGGAAAGGGTTTGTCCGGTGGTCGTCTCATCGTCTACCCGCCCAAGCAGTCGCAGTTCAAGGCCGAGGAGAACATCATCATCGGCAACGTCTGCTTGTACGGTGCGACGTACGGTGAGGCGTTCATCCGTGGTATCGCTGCCGAGCGGTTCGCCGTCCGTAACTCGGGCGCGAACGCCGTCGTCGAGGGCACGGGTGACCACGGTTGCGAGTACATGACTGGTGGTCGTGTCGTCGTCCTCGGCTCCACTGGCCGTAACTTCGCGGCCGGTATGAGCGGTGGTATCGCGTACGTGCTCGACACTGCGCACACGTTCGCGTCGAAGGTGAACATGGAGATGGTCGAGCTCGGCAAGGTCTCCGACCCGCGCGAGATCGCGGAGCTCCGTGGCCTCATCGAGGACCACCGCCACTACACCGGGTCCGAGGTCGCCGACCGCGTCCTGCACGACTTCCACCACCTGCTTCCCCTCTTCGTCCGCGTCATGCCCCACGACTACAAGCGCGTGCTCGAGGAGCAGTTCGCGAAGCAGAAGGAGGAGAAGATGCGCCAGAGCGTGATCGACCTCGTCCCCTCGCGCACCGCGTCCCAGGTCGACCTCGCCTCCGAGGGCCTCGAGGACATCCTCCTCCCGAAGGAGCCCATCCCCCATGCGAGCCGTGCGAGCTCCCGTGCGCGCATCGAGCCCAACGTGGGCGACATGGAAGACTCGCTCGTGGACGACGCGACGACGAAGAGCCGGCTGCACAAGCTCGACAAGACGCGCGGGTTCATGAAGTACAAGCGGCTGACGGAGACGTACCGCCCGCCGCGCAAGCGGGTCAAGGACTGGAAAGAGATCTCGACGCGCCTGACGGACGACGAGCTCAAGTACCAGTCCGCGCGCTGCATGGACTGCGGCGTGCCGTTCTGCCAGTCCGACACCGGGTGCCCGATTTCGAACATCATCCCAAAGTGGAACGACCTCGTGTTCAAGAACCAGTGGCAGGACGCGCTCAACCGCCTGCTCATGACGAACAACTTCCCCGAGTTCACGGGCCGCGTGTGTCCTGCGCCGTGCGAGGGCGCGTGTGTGCTCGGTATCAACGAGCAGCCCGTCGGTATCAAGAGCATTGAGTGCGCGATCATCGACAAGGTATACATTCATTGCACATTCTTTATGTACCGTATGCTGACGTCTTTTTCAGGGCTTCGAGATGGGCTGGATGGCCCCGAAGACTCCTCAGTTCCGCACTGGCAAGAAGATCGCCGTCATTGGTTCTGGCCCTGCGGGTCTCGCTGCTGCCGACCAACTCAACAAGGCCGGCCACTGGGTCACCGTCTACGACCGTAACGACCGCTTTGGTGGTCTGCTCATGTACGGTATCCCGAAGTACGTGTCTCGAGATTCTCCTTCCGTAGATTCGTCTCTGACACCCACTACAGCATGAAGCTCGACAAGTCTGTCGTTCAGCGCCGTATCGATCTCATGGCGGCTGAGGGCGTGACCTTTGTCCCCAACACCTTCGTCGGCAAGGACGTCGACCCGAACGACATCCGCAGCGAGCACGACGCCGTCATCTGCGCGACCGGCGCGACATGGCCGCGCGACCTCAAGATCCCGAACCGCGAGGTCGACGGGATCCACTTCGCGATGGAGTTCCTGCAGATGAACACGAAGTCGCTACTCGACTCGGAGCTCCAGAACGGGTCCTACATCAGCGCGAAGGGCAAGGACGTGATTGTGATCGGCGGCGGCGACACGGGCAACGACTGCATCGGGACCGCGATGCGCCACGGCGCGAAGTCCGTCACGAACTTCGAGCTGCTCCCGCGCCCGCCCGCGGGCCGCGGGCGCGACAACCCGTGGCCGCAGTGGCCGCGCATCTTCCGCACGGACTACGGGCACACGGAGGTCGCGGCGCACTTTGGGAACGACCCGCGCGAGTACTGCATCTCGACGAAGGAGTTCGTCGTTGACGATGACGGGAAGCTGTTGGGTCTGAACACGGTGCGCGTCGAGTGGACGAAGGACAGCGGCGGCCGGTGGAAGATGGAGGAGACGCCTGGCTCGGAGAAGTTCTTCCCCGCGCAGCTCGTGTTCCTCGCGCTCGGTTTCCTGGGCCCTGAGGCGGACTTGCTCAAGTCGCTCGGTGTCAAGCAGGACGCGCGGAGCAACATCCAGACCCCCAAGAACGTACGTATCCTCGCCAACCATGTTCACATGAACGGATTCGCTCACATCTTTCGCGCTATTAGAAATACACGACGACTGTCGATGGCGTGTTCGCGGCGGGTGACTGCAGACGTGGGCAGTCGCTCATCGTCTGGGGTATCCAAGAGGGTCGCCGTTGCGCTGCCGAGGTCGATGCATGGCTCAGCAACGGCTCTACCCGTTTACCGTTCGACGGCGGTATCAAGACGAGGGTAAGCGCACCCCTCTCTCTACTTCATCTTTTGGGTACATCGATGCTGACACCCTCCTTCAGACCTTCATCCCTCCCACGACGACGCTCACGGGCGGCGCGCGTGCGCTCGAGGTCGAGGCCTAAGGCACCGCGGCCCCCTTCTTCTCTCATTTCCGTCCGGACGCGGTTGTAAAACAAACGGTGCGCAGCGGCGCGGGTCGTGGGCCGCCCCGGGGAGCGGGGCGGCAGGAAAGTACACTACTACTAGTATGCAGACCTCTCTGGCGGGTACGATATATTGTCGTTCGCACAAGCAAATATGTACGGAATACGCACTGGGCATCCTTCTCGTCACGCTGTATCGCTTGTATAAATCTATCTCACTATCTTTTTCTCCCTCATTCTTTGGTGTGTGCGTGGGTGATGTTCAAGACGATGACATTGCTATCGGGTTCAACTCGACAAAACGAATACATGACGGATACGTATGATATACTATGTCTAAAAGGTATATCGTCCAAAACTACGTGCGGGATATAAAGCAACGATAAATGTACAGGACAGCGCTGAGTTCATTATCCTAAGACCCCAGCCGAGACTTCACATATTCTGCTCTTCTTCGTAAATACGCACGCCGCCCCGCCCCCAGGTCTCGAGGACGGCCTTTCCGGCCCCAGTCGGCTGTGTGAATGCGACCTCGCCCCGGGCGGGGTCGAGCGGACATCCGAGAATAAACGTCTGCGCGGCTACGGAGAGCAGGCGCGAGGCGATGCCAAGGCGACGGTGCGCGGAGGACACGAAGAGTCGCGGGATGCCGAGCGGAGTGGAGAGGGGTGCGGGGTGCACGTAGAGGTTCGACGCAGAGTCAACGGGGAGCAGCGCAGGGGCTGGGGAGGATGTAGAGAGGGATGCGGAGAGAGATTCAGACTGGGAAGAGGGTAGGGAGGCTGTGGCTGAGGATTCCTGGGAGGATGTCTGGGATGAGGACTGGGAGAGCTCGGCGGGGTTAGCGATGGCCATAGCGGTGGATATGCGTTGCGCAACGACGCATCCGACGATCTTCTCGCGCGTCGTAGTGGTGCCTGGTGTAGACAGAAGGAAGAGGTATATCTTCGATCGTTGAAGGACCGCAGGCGATAGCGGCGGAGACGAGAGCGCCAGGCGGATCGTGTCCAGCAGGATCGCGAGCTGCAGCACATCGCGTCAACCAACGCGCACCAACATAAACAACCGGTGCAAACTCGCGCACCTTCGCTCCAATTTTTCCGCCGACGTCCGGGCGGAAACACACAATCCGTCCGCGAGCGCCGTTTGGAAGCTTCACGCTGCTCTCGAGCTCCTCAACGCCCGCCTTCTCCGCCTCGCGCTGTTCCTCGCGTCCCCACTCGAGCCCTCGCTGGACGCGCGCGCAATGCGCCTTGTGCAGCGTCTCATCGTCCGGCGCGCCGCGTGTGTACGAGAGGTCGCAGAGCGGACATGTGCGCAGCGTCGGGGTGTCCAAGGAGAAGTGTAGTTGCGTGAGTTTGCCCTGCTTCGGTTTTGTGGCTGCAGAGGTGTCGCCCGCCTTCGCCTTCGAGGTAGACGCGCCCAGGGCGCGACGGGGCTTCTTGGATGGTGTGTTGGTTCCTGTGAGGCGATCGGCGAGCGGCCGCTTCCGTTTGAGCGGAGGCGGGGAAGTGAGCTCGGAAGGTGGAGATGAGGGCGGCGCGGGTTTCGCTGCGCGGGTGCTGTATGTGCGTTTGAGTCCGGCGGGCATGGTGAGCTCTGTTCAGGTATCGCAGGCGGGATGGGGAGGAGGAGATAGAGGGAGAGGGCGAGGGAGACACGAGGCAATGCGGGAAGTGATCAATTGCCACCCGGCCCTGTTGACTACCGCCGTCGCGTCGCGTTGGTCTTGTTTGGCCCAACGCGTCAGTCACGTGAACCACACTCGCGCTTGTGGCGGCTCGTTCCTCTGTCTTCTGGGCTTGCAGGGAGAAGACCGGAGTGAGATGTAGTGAGAGCGGGAGGGAAGACTCGGGGCTTATGAGAAGTAGGCAGAGTATAACGGAGGCACTGCGGCATATGCTGTAACAACCATTCCACCCAGTCCTTAGCAAAATAGCATATTATATATCGTAAAGTCTAACATCCAGCCAATCCCTCGCAGCAGTACTTGACCGACGAACATCCGCTCTCTAGCCCATCACCTTCACCGTAGCTCACAGCTCGGACGAGCCCGTGGCACGACTCAGGACCTTCGACCCAAACGAGCTCGCGGCGTCTCGGAGGCGAATGAGCGAGTCGGCGGCTCCCGCAGCGTCGCTGCCATAGAGGTAGTATGCGGCGCGTCCGTGGAGGAAGGAGAGGTGGTGCGGGAGGTAGAAGAAGGCGGCGAACGCGAGGGCGAGCAGGATGGCATACACCACGTACACTGCAGACGTGCGCGGGCAGTCAGAATGCGAGCTAGGACATACTTGCATGCGATACTCACTGACGATGAACCTCTCCCAGGGCTCCATCATGGAGAGCGCGAAAGTGGCCTCGATCCAAATGCGTCGCCGCCAGAAGAAGCGGGCGACGGGGGAAGAGGGCTTGCCGTACGGACAGCGCAGACCGAAGAGGATTTGGGGGATCGTCGCCTCGCGCTTCCACTCGGGGTACGACATGGCAGCAGTTTGGTACGCGGGGTCAGACACGGTCGAGGAAGCCATGTTGGTAGTGTATGCGTGAGGTGGGTGTGTCGTGATAGGTGCAGAAGCCTGAGAAGGAAGTCGTCGGGCAGTACAACAGAGCTGGTGGTCGTAGGGACGAAGGACTCGTAGAAGTGGATGATTAAATGAAATCAGCGGGAGTGACTCCTCCGGGCGTTGCGAACTTACCTAGACTTACCCACGGCCCGTCTCGGCGGCGGTGACTTGATACCATCACCGAAACACTACTTCGAGACGCCGATCTCGGGCACACTTTCTAGACAGGTCGGCCGCTCGGCCGGCCTCCTCTGTCTTCTCCGGAGCCCTAAGTCTCAAGATACAACCAACCACCACCAGCCCAATTGCTTCCCTCAAGCCTTGCTCGGTCAGCTCAACTACGCACATCTACGTCGACGGCGGCTTCTAGACGTTGGCTATGATCAATCGAATTGGTAATTCATCTACAGCGCGCTCACGCAGATGTCCTCATACACTTCAGTACAATCGACAATGCGCCATGGTGCCCTGGAACCGCGGGATACCCAGCCCCAGCGCGCACATGTCGATGTATGACGGGCCAGATCAGTACCAGGCAGGGCCTTGTAACGAGCGACGCGTTTCGTGTGTCGTGATGTTCAGTTACGCATAGGTTTTCTCGAGCGCGGGCGCAACGCTTATTGGCAAATCGCGCCAAACTCGGCGCGCAGGATTGCCAGAACAAATATCGAAAATGATACTTCTATGTGAGTCCAAATACCGTTTCACGGGCTGCAATTGGATCTGACTGGCTTGCGCAGGCATCCCGAATGTGCGCTTTCGACGTCAGACGGAGGTCTCTTCTCTCTCATCACAGGCCATAGCTCAGCGCCCGGCCTCAGCGAGGAACACCACCATCCGCCGATCATGCACGGAACCTCCGCTGCGAGCGGGGTGTCGAAGCACAGTCCGCACAACACGGCATTGGTGCACACCTCGGCCCTGAGCCTATGCGAAGCGGCCTCAAATGATTTATACCATACATAACCAGAAGATACATCGATACAAATAAAACACAGCTACACACTCTCGTGTCTATATACTCGTCGCTCGTCGTGCATGTCGTCAAATATTCACACCCGTCCCTCCTACTTGGTCCACACCGTCGCGGTGTCCGCGAGCCCGTTCGGGCCCGCGCTCGCGGGGACGACGCCCTGGCCGGCGACGCTCAGCGACCACGTCACGCCGACGGTCGACAGGCTGTACACGCTCACGCCCGACGCAGCGTCGATGTCGAACAGCTGGCTCTGGCACGAGTTCGTGTTCAGGCACGCCTGCCCGTAGTTCTGGAAGAAGCTGTACAGGCCCGCGCCTGTGCATCCAGTCATGTCAGCTTTGAATTGGGGACACAGTATGGATGCATGGGGGGAACGCACCGAAGATGGTGATGGCCTGCGAGTTTGAGATCGATACTGCGAAGGCAGACGTCTGCCCGCTGGGGAACGTCGGGTCGTTGAAGTTGCTGTTAACCGAGAACGGTGCGGGCGCGGCGGGAACGGGTTGGTAGTATGGCTGGATGCACATGCGCATAATTTAGTTTCCCTCGTCCACAGTTTATTCGAGACCCGTGATAAAAACACATACCGTCTCAGTCTGTATCAAGCCCATGTAGTGGTTCGCCGCGTTCGCTAGGCGGTACTGGTAAAGAGTGTGGTGCTCCGCTGCAAGCAAAGCAATCAGTACCTGCTCGGCAAAACGATCCTAGAAGATACACAAGGTACGCACAAGCAGTGCCGATCATCCACACCGGCCCCTGAGATTCGGACAAGATCCCACGGCCGCTGAAGAGCGTCGTCTGGCGCGAGCCTCCGCTGTCGAGGTCGTGGTCTGCGAGCCACACCCACGTGCCCTGTAACACGCGTAATTCAAATGAGCGTCTGTCCTGGCGTGGTACCTGCGATGGACATGGGAGGCACTGACCTCGAGGTACGCGTTCGACTGGGGCGTGAGGTGGAGCGCCATGAAGGCCGCAGAGCAAGCCGCGTTGTTAGAGCCGGCGGGGCAGTTGTTGATGAGCAGGTTCGTTCCAGCAGCTGTACGCGCACACATTAGCGACTGTAGTGTTTCGGGACTGCAGGAGCCATAGCTTACCACCACCAAGCCTGATGTGTGTGTCCCACATACCCGCACCACCTTGCGTGTTCGAGTGCACGTTCCACTCGACCACGATCGCGCCCGCAGCTATAGAAAAACAATCAGCGCCAGCCTCCTCGTGCGTAAAGACCACTATCATCGCGTTCAGACTCACCAGGACCGCGCGTAGCAAAGATAATGTCTGAGATCTCGGTGACGCCCTCATCGCCCGGGTTCCCGACACGCACGACCGGGATCGGGTTGTTCTGGTCCGCGAACGCGTTCCCGCCGCCCATGATCACGCTCCACGCCTCGCCGACGAGCTGCGTGCCCGCGGGGATGGTGAGCGTGTTCGTGACGAGGTACGTGCCCGCGTCGAAGAAGATGATCTTGCAGCCCGAGAACTGCGATTGCGGGGTTAGTCATGGCCAATGTGAGGGCGGGGAGTGTCATACCTTGTTAAAGATAGCCTGCAGCGCAGCGGTGTCGTCCGTGGTGCCGTCGCCCTTCGCGCCCTGGTCGCGCACGCTCACGAACTGGCTGACCGCGAATGCCTCGTACCTATATCGCAATGAGCATTACTACTCACTTTCATTCATCAGTACTCACTGAGGGTGCGTCTTCCCGAAGATCCGTCCTGCACTGTCAAGCAGACTCGCCGGCTTGTTAGGCGAAGGAGCATTAGCCTGCGCGAAGCGCGCCGGGGCGTTCGCGCCCGTGCCCGAGAACACGTTCCCCTGCGCCCAGGTGTCGATCGTGGTGGTCCCGCCCGCGAGCACCGTCGCGCCGCCGACGACGCCGACCGCGGTCGGCACGTTCGTGAGCCGGATGTTGTTCAGCACGAGCGAGCCCGCGAGCTTCCCGTTCGAGGGCGCGGAGCTGCGCACGAAGATGGGCGTGTTCGAGACGGTCGCGTCGATGACGGCGATCGCGCCGACCGTCTGCGTGTCCTGCGTGGTGCCGCCGGTCATGAGGTCGAAGCCGACCTGGCAGTTGTTGACTGCATGCTGTTAGCTCTGCGTTCTCGGAAGGCCGGCAGAGGGGACGTACTAGTGACGCTTTGGAAGGTCCATCCTGCATTGAAACGTCAGTTACGGTGAGAGCGGCCCATAGCAGGGAAGAAACTCACCCCAGTTCCAGATAGAGAAGATAGCTGTATGACAGGCGTATTCGTCAGTACAGCAAATAGCACCGAAGCAAGAAGGTATGACGCACCAGTGTCGACGTTGTTCATCGTTACATTGCGGACCGTGAACCTGCGAAGCGCGCATCAAGCACATTAGCTCGTTTCCGCAATGACAGGCCTTACGCCAAAAAGCAGCGAAGGTGTACGGAACAGATGTCAGATTGACGGATACGCACTGTTGGTTCCCGACCCACATGCCAAACTTGCCTGTCGATGCGTAATTGCGTCAGCAGCGTACATCAATGCGCACAGGTGCTCAACCCGTATGACGCGCCGCGTGAATTGGTGCCTTACCTCCGTTGAACACGAGATCTGGAACCGGGGAAATAGACGTCAGCCTATGTAGTTATTTTAGGATGTGGGGCGGAACAGAGTACGTACCACCCAGGAATCCGCCAGAGCCGTTCTCCATCCAGATACCTGTTGAATCCGAGGTGAGCACTTGACGTCATATCGCATAGTTGCAGCACAAGAGCCTCCGTGGAGTGGGACGCGCATGACGCGCGCCCGGCGTCCAAGCGAGAGGTACGAATAGAAAGAAGGCTAGGAAAGCGGTGATATACCTTGATGGGCGTTGCCGGCCGCGGTGCTCATTTCGAAGACGATGTTCATGAGCGACGTCGCCTGCGAGACCTGCCAGTGAATGCCCGTGGCGGACGCGCTGGCGGGCATCTGGCGCAGGTCGATGACGAAGTTGCGCACGCTCCGGAAGAAGTTGTTCTGGTTGACATACCACTGCGCCCCGCCGCCGCCCGGGATGTACGGGTCCGCGTCTGCGCCAAAAACAAAACATATTCAGCACTGGGCACGCGGTCATGGCCCGACCACGCGTCCCTGCGGGTTCTCAGGGTGCGCGTGGGGTGGGAGCGCGGCACGCACCGATGACCGCCATCCCGACGAAGCTCGCGTCGGCGAGCAGCGTGGGCACGTTGCGCGCATCGCCGATGAACTGCGTGTAGTAGTAGGCGCTGCGGGGGCACGCGGGTCAGCGGCGGTGGGATGCACGGCGAATTGCACACATACATGAGGGGCGTAGTAACCTTGTATGTGCTGCGGGAGATAGAAGTGAGATGGGCGCGGTTGCGGTCACATGGACGCGAGGCGTACGTACCCTTTGGGGAAATAGACAACGGCAGGCGTAGTGGTGGAGGAGTCGCATGAGCCGCCTCCGCATCGGGCGCCGGCAGAGATGGCCGCACTGGGGGGGCAAGGGGTAAGCACACATAGACTGGATGTGAGTGTGCAACCTACTTGATGGCAGCAGTATCGTCGGTGACACCATCGCCCTTGGCACCAAAGTCTTTCACGTTACGGAAGACCTGGTAGGACGATGGGGTAGGGTTAAAGGCAGCAATGCCTTGGTGTTTGATGGTCTCCATCCAGAACGCGTCGCCTGGGGCGGCGGTTCCGGGACCAAGAGGGCTGGAACATGTCGAACCCAAGGCCATGACAGGCCCAACGGCAGCAGCGGCCGCTGCTAGGAGAGTCAAAGCGAAGGCGAGCATGATGAGCGGGGGAGGGCGTCGCGTCCGATGGCATGCAAGAGTTCGGACGCGGGGGTTATATACATTCCATGCGGGAGAAGGAAGGCGCGCCACATGTTAAACGAGCAGCGTCGGAGGGAGGGTGACATGAGCATGCAGGCACACGGGGCCGGGACAGATCAGGGAAGGAAATATGCATCGAGACCGAGATCCGTAAGAAGCGCGGCAGAGCACTTTTGGACAGACGTACGGCGGGTCTGGTCGACCATTGGCTCAGGCCCGGACGCCTTGCCGAACTTGTCGTGGACGCGGTGGACGAATTTCGAGAACCGCGTGCGAGCAGATCTCGGGGACGGAGGTGCGTCAGATGTGGACCCAGCGTGATCCTCGGGCGCAGGCGCGGCCATGCTGGGATCACGAAGGGTAGCTATCTGGGTAGCAACAGATTTTCTTCGCGGTAGGAGCACAAGGTCGTCCTCCTCGAGCGATCACACCAGATGGGGGGCCGCAGCAAACAAGGCAGGCGCCCGCGACGATCCTGCTCACGCGCCGTCTCCCACACGCGCTTATGGTAGGTGGATCGCTTCCTCCGTGCCACAACGCTCCGGCCCTTCCGTTTTCACATCTCTCTCGCACTCGCGCTGTCGATTTAACACACGCTAGAGCTCATCAGGCTAGCCCCGCCAGTACCTGGCCTACAGCCGAGGCCGAGCTGTCGTTTCTAAACCCGTCGCGCGTGTACACTTGCCTCCGATCCGCCCCCTCAATCATGTTCGCCCAGACCCTCCGCCGGTGAAAAATAGGCGTATTTGGAGTCTCAAGAACCACATAAGGGGACATGCTTTGAATCTTCACCCACTCCGACGGACGCGAAGGGCGTCGAAGGAGAAGCGAAGCGGTGTGCCCATGCGTTCCTTTCGTCTCCGCCCGACTACAGACTTGGCTGGCCAGCTATATCCGGCTGCGAGCCCTGCATCTCCCCCATCTTTCTCGATAACAGCATGCTTATTACCTCATAGGATCCCGCACGCCAGGCCACGGTTGCCATTCATTTTCTGGATCGAGCTCCACCGTCGCTCTCGGTACCTTGTTCCTTGCCCCTACTTGCGCTGAGCTTGAAAGGTTGATTACCCCGAACTTCGACACTTGAATGCCGGATCGCCCTCTGCAGCGCATGGACGAGGGCTGCTGCAGAGGTGCGCAAATCATTCACGCGTACCAAGTGCGTATGATCCGTCATATCTTTCCTGATCTCGCCAGCGCTCTGCCAATGTCACGATGTCGGCCACCCTCCTCGGTGTCAGACAGCGCCGCGCATCACAAGGATGTGTCCCGTATGCTTTCACGAGGAAGACGGACGGGAAGCCCCACTATCATACCGAGCGCGCCGCCCCGTGACAGCTACCTCCTGCATATGATGCCCGGTCTCCCACGTCGTCTTGCTCATCCATCGTTCTCTGTTCGCAGGCCTCCTTCTTGCGCGTCGGGCCAGTGATGCAACAGGCAAACGCACCGTCTCCCTCTCTATCCGAGCCTGACAAGCTGGCAGCTCTCCGCGGCTTCTCTCCGCCCTGGGACGCCCCACCCTTACGTAGCGGGGCAGCTTCCGAGTGCAGTCTCCGCTCTGAAGGGTGCCCGCGGACGGGTGAAGCTTGAGTCTGACCACAGGACTGAATATCGTGACGGCACCGAGACCTACCGCCCGGGTCATCCTTGTCCTTTGCCCAGACGCTGCACGATGCGCGAGCCCACTGGAATCAGTAGCCATGAGAACAGTGCGCACATGTGCGGAGCTCATGTGTTCTTCCTTAACACATGCAGTCCGAAATTTGCTGGTCTTCAGATCGCGGCATGACCGCAATAGAACAAGGACATCGGCCCGTGTTCCTCAGGCTCATCGTCGTCATCATTCTGTCTGCCTCCCAGTCCCAGAGGGCTAAACGGGGCCTAGGCGCACCGTCAATTCAACGACCGACCTTCATGACGGATCACCGCCACCTCCAGGGACGTGCCCCGAAAAGGCAGGTGTGTATGTACGCACGCCCGGGAGCGGTGCAGTTCCCCTTGGAGCTGTGTCAAAGCTACCACCTGCTACTACTGTAGCGAGCGCCATTTGTGTGAGCCCCGTGATGGTCAAGGAGGGCTCATAGCTGACCCGTACGTCGTTTTCTGCAGGGTCGCAGGTGGGGGTTCCGGCATACATTGCAGAATGTTTTGTCAGAAGCCGAAGCAGAGCGGTATCCTCGCAACGCCGCAGGAGTCCTCGAGGAGTTCCGGGCGTACGCCACGCTTCCTGCACGTGGCGGCGGCGAACGCGTTCTAGGTGAGAGCCTCACAGCATGTCTGACGGCATGCATATAGCCTCACACATGCGAGCGGGTTTAAGAGACGGCGACCTTTACCACTGCCATGCTTCTGTACCCACAATCTCCGCTCTTGCTCCGCAGTAGTGGGTGTGTCTCGGCCGGTGGGTTGCAACGAGGCGTGCCTGCGGACGAAAGGTCGCAGGAATGCAGAGTACCGGAACAGAGCGGTCGCAACGGAGCAAGCTAATCTCGAGCGTGTCCAGACACTACTTGTATGTATGTGTCGCGCTGTACTTTATTGCCTGCCATATTTCTGCAAGAGTATGTGAGAGGCCTGAGGCAACTCAAATGCTTCATCACAGCGAACCTCGCGCGAAACTTCTGACTGCTAGGATATACATGACAGGCGGATTTGCCTTTCATGGCGGTCAAGGCACCCGCCGGGCCTCACATCTTGAGGGCCGTCTCATTCGTCTGGCAAAACACCTGCAGTTGCTGGCGGTTTATAATCAGTCAGGAAGATCAGCGGTCAAATGACAGTAGTGCTGACATCGCACCTGCACTGGCTCGCCGGGAGTGGAGTATGAGCAGTCAGAAGTCCAGGAGAACGGTCACACACGGGCTTCCTTCCGTTAGACTTTGAGTCCGAGCCGGACACCCAGGCTGGAAGCCTGCTTGGGTATTTGAAGCTGAGTACTAATCAGACATGGAAGTTCGAACCGGAATGGTGGGCGTGGCGTTAAGCCGTTACAAACCGCTTTCAACCAACCCGCATATATGTCGCCGATTCATGAGGTTAACAAAGGACGTTGCGAGCACTGGCAAACCGGAAGACTCGGTGGATGAACATAATCACCCGGGACGCTCGAGAGGCGGTGTGCCGGTTTGCAACGGTCGCGAGTCGAAAATACCTCAACTGGAAGTGGTCATGAATGGTCTTGCAGATAGACTGATGCGAAGCCCTCAGAAATACCGTTTGAGTAGATCTGTTCAATCCTCGGCGGCTGCCAATCCGGCTGTCGCCCAGCGCCGCTATCTAACCCAAAAGCCTCTTTCGACTGTGCATGGACGGTTGCAATGAGCACCAGGGCGCACAGTGCGAAGTTTGTTCTGTTGTCATTCTCGAAAAAGTTAGGATGCGGGACGCAGCAGGCGGCCGCCCACTTTCGTGCGGACAATTACACCGCTTGTGACCGTAGCGGTCGCGTACACAGAATATGCGTGCTATTCCTAGCTCACAGCGTGCATCTGAATTTGATGAGCAATGGACTGAAACACTACGTGGAATTGAGGAGAAAGAGGGTGACTGCGGTAGATACTTTGGGATCTCTTTGGACCGTTGTTAATCCGACGCACCTGGTACCATGGGTGAGGGCCATCCATCTACTACGCATACACCCTGTGGAGGTGGCCAGGCGAATATTATCGATATACTGAGCTGCGATATATCGACCGACCGATTTCGCGTACGGTGCCAGCTACAGGTGGCTGTGCTCTAAGTTTGCGCCCGTACGCTCTCCTTCGCTAGCGTGAGTGCATGGCGGGATTGACGCAAGAGTCTTTTCCAGGAAATTCCGGACAGGTATACGTGCGGAGCCTCGTCAAGTGGATCGTAGGGCTTTTGGCAAGGCAGGATCCTTAAGTATTCCGACAGATCGGCCGAAAGATGCAGCGGCCAAGCCCGCAGTTTCGAGAGGCCCGTCAAAGCAGGATCAACGACACAGCACCGCAAGTGAAGCGGATGATATATAACGGGATCGCGCACCGGAATACAAATACGCTACCTCCGAGGTGGATGCGTTCGACTAGAAGTCGTTGCCATTATGTATCGACGTCGTCGAGACGGGGACGGCCAACGTGAGATGGGCGCGGTTTGTAAGTCATCCCGACCCACAGCGTTGACCGCGATCTGCAAACGGCGGGCCCCAGATGACAGGCTGTACGAGTGATATAAGCGAGATATTGCGGTACGCCATGATGGTTCAGCAATAGCTTGAGCAAGTTATACATAGACGACATGAACCCCTTTCGCGCTGGAGGTTGATATCGATCCAGTGGATTTTTGGCCACAAGAACGTTCTGATATAGCACTCACTGCGTCTGTGCGCCTTCGAAAGTCAAGAATAAATCCGCAGGCGGGTTTGCCGCCCTCGGCCGAACAGCTGCTCGACGGACGACAAACAAGGTGCCAGGAATAGGTTCCGAATTGCACGCGGCTGCAGCCTTCCAGCTTCCAGCTCGGCGGCCATCAAACTCGTGTTGTGCTTCCGTCCAGAATGCGGTATGCCGAATGAAGGAATGAGTCCTGTGCTGCAAGCCGAGCGCGGACGCTAGCGAGTATCTTTGCGTACCAATGGAAGAGGATGATGATGAGCGTCCGATGGTTCTGCGAAGAGGTGACGAATTTCAGGAACCAACCGCAACTCGCGAACGCCACACTCCTCACCGTGGGTCTCATTTTTACCTTGCGAGAGGCTGCGCAACTTATTTTGGAACGCTTCCGAGTATACGGGGCTAATATGTAGTCATTGCCAGCGCTGCTCTCGACGATTTTACTCGTACGGAAAAAGCGATGCTTTTTGGGATTTGTGTGCCTCCTTGGCGTCGTCCAGGGGCTGATGTTCAAAGGTCAAGTGACGCTCCTTGACAACCTGTAATAAGTTATGCACGTATGTGAGCTGCGTACCTGCGGGAGTACCTCGAGGCTCCCTGCGCGGATGTCTGCCAAAACATAGGCCATAACACGCGTGCAGGATGCGGAACGAGCAGACCGGCGAAATGAACTTCGACGATGGTTACCTCGTGTGTCGTGGTTCATCTTGGGATGTGATTGGCTCCCCGGGATTTCGGGATTGAGAAGATAAAAGAAGAGGGCCGTGCCGAGATCAGAGGGGAGAGGAGGCCGGAGGAGGGGCAGGGAGAGTGCACCGGCCGGTGATTTACATCACCGCTGGCCGTCTGTTGTTCCGTAACGATGCAACGGTTCGGACTTCAGTGCACGTCAGATCTTGCGCGTAACGGGCGTATTTGGCAGAGGTACCACTGCAATGAGAGGAGGTGAGGACACAGAGGAGACTTTTAGGATTTAGAGAGACCTGATCGAGGCGAGAGGAGGAGGAGCGGGGGCGGCTGATCGACGCAGTGGCCGGAGGGCTCGGCACGGCGCGGCAAGATATTGTGTTCGCGGCGGGGTGTGGGGGAGCGCGCGTTGTGCCGTTCGGTGAGCCTCTCTGCCTCTGCTCTATCTCTCTCTGTCCTGCCTCGTTCGTTTCTTCTCCCCCTCACTCGTTGTGCTCCTCGCTAGCCGAGCCCGCCGTCCATCTCCTACCGAGACCCAACGCACAGGACACACCCACGACGGCACGCGCTCCGTGACTATTAGCCTCACGCTCTCTAAGCGACCCGCTCGCACGACGCTAGTCTACCCCGGTGTGACAGCCGCGCCCCGCCAGTACGTCGCTTCCCATATATTCCCGGCCTTATATCTCCACCCTCGGCTAACCTTTCTCTCTCCCGCGTCCCCCTTCTCTCGTTCTCTGTCGCTCTTTTGCACCGTTCCTTCTGCGCTCTGCAGTGTGGTCTTCCAGGATGTCTGGCACGCCCTACCAGGCTGTATTCAACAACAGTAACGCCAACCTCCACCCTGCAGGCCAACACGAAGATGCTCGCGATACCCAGTACTACACTCCGGAGACTCAGCCACTAGAGCTTCATCACGATGACCTCCCTGCGGGCGCTGGTGCCCCGCGTTTCATGGGTGCTGCTGCCCAGTACGAGGGCAACCGCGCGTCCTACGCGTCTTCCCAGAACAGTATCCCCACTGTCGTCGGCGACGAGTACGACGGACAGAAAGGCCGCGGGTTCTATGGCATGAACTATGATGAGTCCGAGTACGCCTCTCAGGCTGCTCTTGGCGGCCCCAAGACCTCCTCCGAGGGTTCCCCCTATCTCCAGCAGCGTAATGCCTACAACGCCCCAGCAAAATCCCGCAAGAAGATCATCATTGGCTCCCTCATCGCCCTCGCGGTCATCGCCATTGGTGTGGTCGTTGCACTGTACTTCACTGTCATCAAGCCCAAGAACAAGAACAGCACCAGCAACAACACAGCCAGCGGCGCGTCGAACAACGGCTCTTCCAGCGACAACGGTAGCACCTCATCCAGTCCTTCCTCGCTTGTGGCTGTCAGCGGTGGCGATGGCAGCACTGTTACGATGTTTGACGGCTCGACTTTCACGTACACTAACTCTCTCGGCGGCACCTGGTACTACGACCCCGCGAACCCCACTGCGAGCGGTGCGCGGCCAAACTCTTGGACTCCTGCTCTGAACGAGACCTTCCAATTCGGTGTCGACCCTATTCGAGGGTGTGTACGACCATCATGCATGCTGACCTAGTTGACTTAATTTTTACTGTGCAGTGTCAACCTTGGCGGATGGCTGGTTACCGAACCGGTACGTCATTATGAAAGCCTTATTGTGACAGATCTGACAGAGACTGATTGATTCGCCGCAGTTCATGTAAGTGTACTTTGCGAGCCAACTGAGGTAAATGCCGGATTGCTCAACCTCTACGACAGTGTTCCTTCGCTCTACGAGAAGTATGTCAACACCTCAACCCCGGTGGTTGACGAGTGGACCCTTACCCAGCGTCTCACTGCCGACGGCGCCATTGACGAGCTTGAGAACCACTACAAGACCTTCATCGTGAGTCCGAGCCGTGGCATATCCTGTGCCGCGTGTTGACAGCATTGCCGGGCAGACCGAGGCAGATTTCGCCGAGATCGCCGCCGCAGGCCTCAACTTCGTGCGTATCCCCATCGCCTACTGGGCCATCGAAGTCCGTGAGAACGAGCCTTTCCTCGCGAAGACGTCCTGGACGTGCGTGACAACAATCCCTACACATGGCGTAGTCGTGCTCACGCTGTCGCATACACAGGTATTTCCTGAAGGCTATCCAGTGGGCGCGCAAGTACGGTCTCCGTATCAACCTCGACTTGCACTCTCTGCCGGGTTCGCAGAATGGCTGGAACCACTCCGGCCGTCTCGGCGACATCAACGTGCTCCTCGGTCCCATGGGTATCGCGAACGCGGAGCGCTCGGTGGACTACATCCGTGTCATTGCCGAATTCATCTCCCAGCCTGAGTACAGGGACGTCGTCCCCATGTTTGGTGTTACCAACGAGCCGTTCGGCCCCACCATCGGCACGGACGCTATCCACCGCTAGTAAGTATCCAATAACGCTATCGTCTGTCACAGTGGCTCACAGTTTCGTAGCTACCTCCAGGCATACAACACTGTCCGCACTGCCAGCGGCACCGGTGAGGGCAACGGTCCCTGGGTTGTCTTCCACGACGCGTTCTTCGGCCTCACGAACTGGGCGGGCTTCCTCCCGAACGCGGACCGCACGCAGCTCGACATCCATCAGTACATCTGCTTCGGCGGGCAGTCCGCAGACAACTACGGCGCGCGCGTGAGCGCGAACCAGGCGTGCAAGACTTGGGCGTCCGGCCAGAACGACTCGATGACCGCGTTCGGCATGACGCACGTCGGCGAGTGGAGTCTTGCGATCAACGACTGCGGGCAGTGGGTGAACGGTGTGAACCTCGGCGCGCGTTACGACGGCACGTTCAGCGGCGGTGGCTTCCCCTTCACGGGCGACTGCAGCACGTACACGGACTACACGACGTACGACGACCAGTGGAAGGCGGACATGAAGCAGTTCGCGCTCCAGAGCATGTCTGCGCTCCAGGTGCGTGCCCATGCCCCCCGTGTCCGCGCCGCCCCCGTGCACGTTCATGCTGACACTTTGCGCTCTTATCATAGAACTGGTTCTTCTGGACATGGAAGATCGGAAACTCGACCGTGACCGGACAGCCGCCCTCGCCCGCGTGGTCGTACCAGCTCGGGCTGCAGCAGGGCTGGATGCCGACGGACCCACGCCTCTCCGAGGGCATGTGCGACAACAGCGACCCCTTCGTCGGCCCGCTCTCCGCGTGGCAGACGGGCGGCGCGGGCGCGGGCCAGATCCCGCAGACGGTGCAGGCCGCGCTCGCGTGGCCGCCGACCTCGCTCACGGACGTCGCGAACGTAGCCACGATCCCGCAGTACACGCAGACCGGCGCGCTCGTCACGCTCCCCGCGCCCACGGTCACCGCCGTCAGCGGGAAGGCGACGTCGACGCTGTCCGAGGGCAGCTGGAACAACCCGTCGGACACGCCCAGCATGTTCGTGCCGATCGCGACGTGCGGGTACCTCGACCCGTGGATGGGCCCGAACGCGACGCCCGACCCGTGCCCCGCGCAGACCTCTGCCGCCGCGCGCCGCGAGTACGCGCCCCGCGCGCACATCACGCCCGCCCCCGTGCGCTCATAACCGCACTCCCCTTCTCGCCGCTTTCTTTGTTGTGTTGCATACGTCGACGATGACGAGGATTTTTACGGATAGGTACCCTTTAGTAATTAGGTCGGAACTTAGTAACGGGCGCGGCCGGCGCGCTGCGTGCGCCGCTGCCGTGAAGGACAATGCTCAGAATCTTGGACACTGGTACAGCGCCGGTGCATACATATTTCCCCCCGCACGTATACGTACTGTATGCTACGGTTCTACTTACACTTGCTGGTAGCGGACGCGGCCCCGCAGTGTGGGGGGCCGTGGTACTGTGTAGTAGCGCACTGCGAATCCGACGGACTTCTTGGATCGAGGCACGGAGTAAGGGTGGTGCTGCTCATCCACAGCACAGATACATCTCCTATCGTACATGCACTCTGTATACGGCCTCTTCGGGATTTGACGTACGTCGCTCCGGACGCGATCAATGCATTCCGTAGGTGGTGGCGTAGCGATCTTCGAGATCCTCCTGCCCGCCGTACCCGCCCTCGAAGTTCTTGTCCTCGGACTCCGACTTAGCGGCCTCCTTTGCGAGGTCGTCGCGGATCGCCTGCAGCTGTTCCTGCTCCTGTGGCCATATGTTGTCGAGTAAGGATGTATAGCGAATGGATTTATGGACAGAAACCACGTACCTTGGCGCGCGCGTACTGCCCCTCCGCGGCTTGTTCTCTCGACTTCCAGGTAGAGTCCTGAGAGATCTGTGGTCAGGTTGTGTCTATATTAGGAGGAGGTGAGTATACCTCGGCAGTCTTTCCAGATGACATGGTGGTAGGTTGAATCGTGTAAATGCGAGGGATTGCTGGGTCTGTATGCTTATGTCCTCTGCTGCCGGGGGCCTACGTCATGATGTCCGTTTTCGGAGCCTCACTGGCAGCTGTGCCTCCGCCGGACCAACGCATCTCGACCATGGTACAAGAAAAAAACTCGTGATTGTGCAGAAAACAGATAGCATGTACGATACGACAACATTACACATCTACGACACGAGAATAAGTTACGAGTGCTGGTACCCCCCGCCCTGCTGGCCTTGCCCTTGCTGCTGCTGCTGCTGCTGCTGCTGTTGATGTTGCTGCTGCTGTTGCGCTGCGTACTGGTGCGCCTGCTGCTGCTGCTGAGCCTGATGAGCCTGTCGCTGCTGCTGCTGTGCCTGAATCTAGTCTGAGCTCAGAACACACACGCGCACGTCCGGGGCGCGCGCAGAACTCACCTGGGCTACCATCGCCTGCAGCTGCTCTTGCGTCAGCCCGCGCTGCTGCATCTGCATGTAGTACTGCGCCACGTTCTGCGCGTGCAGCATAGGGGTCATCGGCACGCCCTGCACAGATTGGCCAGGGACGACGGATGGCGGTCGCGCCACGGCGGCGTTCGCTGGGCTCGCGGCAGGAAGCGGAGGCGATTGTTGGGGAAGGCCGGGCGATGAGCTCGTCGCGCGCGCGGCGAACGACGGCGAGAGGTGGGCAGCGCTGAGTGCCGGGGCGGCCGCACTGAGCGCAGCTGACGCTGCGGACGGCTGCTGCATTTGCGAGGGGCCCTGGCCGCCAGCCTGCTGGGCCTGGCCCTGCTGGGCGGCCGCCAGAGCTCGGAAGTGCGCTGCTTGCGCTGCTGAGAGCTGTGGCGGGGACATCCGGTTGTTGTTGGTGGCAGCAAGAGCGGCGGCGATGCGCTGCTGCTGCTGCTGCTGCGAGATGCCGACCTGGCTCCGTATCTGCTGCACCATCTGGGGTTGTTGGATACCAGAAGGAGGCCGGGACACCCCGTTGACCGCTGCTGCCTGCTGTGTGAGCGGGGTCTGAGCCTGCTGTGGTTGCTGCTAGGGTAGAGTGAGTATAGATGATTAAAGGTCTGGAAAGAGACGAGCATACAGCGTTTGGAGGGAGACCTTGGACACGCTGCGCCTGTTCACGCAGGAGGTGCTGTCGAGCAATTTCGTCATTTCGCCGTCGCATAGACAGTTCTGTGGCATCTCTCGCCTCCTTCTCGGCTTTCATCCGACTGAGCTCAGCCGGCGTTAACCGTGTCAGTTTGGTCACCGAGCCGTGCGTCTCGTGGACAGCCGTGGCCTTGGGCCGCGGCGCAGCTGTGGTAAGGTGAGCCACTGGGACATGCACGTTATGATCGGCAGGAACGCACCGTTCGACTTCTGCACTGCTTCCCTCCGCTTCGCCGCCTTCCGCAAGGTATCGTGCATATGGGCATGCCGGACCTTCTTCTTGGGCACCATCAACTGGCCAGCGTCGTTCACCGCGCTCCCGCTCGGACCTGCCACGCTCTGGCTCGCCGTCTGCTTCCTCGTCTCCATGCGCGGCGAGGCGACGGCTAGAGCCCTGCTCCGCTCGTCCTCGCCTGCGACCATGTCGTTGTTCAAGAGCGTCGTCCACCGCGCCAGGCACTCAGCCCCGGTCCGTCGGTCCATCGCAATCGTCACTCGGGCGGAGTTGTACGCTTCTGCGACGAGGCCCCAATTGCTCGTGTACTTGTAAATCATCTGTCGCAGGAGAGCATCGTCGGCGGGTGTCCAGACGGGAGCGGGAGGAGCTTTGCGTGCGTCCCCTCTGTCCCTATCAGCTCTATCCCTCTCAGGTCTAGGAGCACCAGGCGGCAGATGAATTCCGGACGGAAGCGGCTTGCCACCCTCGAATAGAGCTGTAATGAAGTATAAGGCACGGCCGCTGCATGTCAGGCCTTCCAAAAGACCTACCACATAGATTGTCCTCTATCGGTCTTGCGGACGGCACCTCGAGGTCAGCAAAGATTGGTGTCTCCTCGATGCGTTTCCAATGCCCATCCTTCCAGTTGACCGCAGGCTTGAGTGTGCCGACGAGCGTCGGCTTGATATACATGTACTTGTTCAGCGGGACGAGTTTCGAGTACGTCGCGTCGTCACCCCGCCTGTTGGGATCGTCCTTGTCCCCTCTTCGATCGGACTTCTTGCGGGTGTCTAAAGTGGGGATCGGAGGCGCGACGTCGAGCATCTCGTATGGGTGCAAGTCGGGGAAGATGGAGGCAAGGTCAGCGGGTGCCGGCGGAGCAGTTGGGTTAAAGTCGTCGGTGGAAAGGTCTGACATGCCCTTGACGAGGTCGAGGTCTTCGAGGTCGAGAAACAGCTTGTCCAGGTCGGAATATACGATACGATCCCGTAGGTGCGCGTACTGGCTCGCTTTGGACTTCGGCTTTCCGTGCGTGCCATCGCCCTCACCAGTTTGTTTTCCGAGTACAGGGTTCTTTGAGGTAGTCTTGAGGGCTGGATGGGCTTCTGATTCCGTTGCTGTTGGTTTCGCAGCTTTGGGCTGCTTGTCTTTCGGCTCCTGCGCTGCCTCTGCCTTCGCGCCATCGACGTCCATGGCGCTCTCGTCGCGAGTTTGACTGGCATCGCCTAGAGAGGCAACATCCTCAATGTCCTCGATCTTCGGCTTCATAGAGACACCCTCATGGGTACCAGGCTGACTCTTGGCGTGTTCTTCGAGCTGTTGTAGGGCGTCCTGAAGGGCAGTCCCAGGCTCAAGGGTGTCAACAACATCCTGCTGTTCCTTGTCTTGCTCGTCCTCGCTCTCCTCATCGGACCCGTAGTCATTGAGCGGCGTCTCGGTCTCCCTCGAGTCAGCACCAGTCTCGTCGGCCTCCTGAGATTCGCGGAAGGGGCCGTCGACCTCACTCGCCTCCGCCATATCGATGTCCTCGAGCGGGGGCGGCTTCCACATCACGCAAATGCCGAGCCGGAGGCGTTCGTCGGGCGTGCCTGCTTTATGCCAGTCTACCGCCGCACGTGCCAGCTTGTACGCGAGAGCCAGCTTCCACCGTCGTTCCTCACGGAAATCAGTGCGCATCCATTTCTGGGGTCGCCCTTAGTGACTGCATGGCAAAAATAAAAACCAGCGTTGCACTACTTACCACCTCGTCCATCAGATAGTCCCAGTGAGTCTTAGTCGACCCACCGACGCCTCGCTGCTTCTTGACTTGCCGGAAGCTCCATGATCCCGCGTCTTTGAGCATGTCGATGCGGTCAAAGGTGCGGATCAAACGCAGTTCCTGCAGGCCCACCTGCACGCACGGCCGTTAGCCAAACCCAAGAAAGCGTGTCTCGAGCGCGCCACGCGGTACTCACGGACCAGTCGCGCGTGCTCAGACACTTAGTAGCACGCTGTAGTTTCTTGTGCACCGGGTTGGCGTGCAGAATCGCGTTCCATTTGACGAGGCTCAGCGGCTGCCAGTCGTTCCTGGACACGCCTTCCCGTTCCTTGTCGCGTTTGCGTTCCCGTTTGGACGTCGTCTTGCCTCTGCGGTGGAACTCGCTCGGCATCAGGCTTAGGGGTGGGAGAGGGTAAGGAGGTTCGGGCCCGAATGGCTGGGGTGGGGTGATATCCATGTCTGTTAGGCCTGCCGCTGCGTCCGAACCAAACGCGAAGTCGATAGAATGCCCCTCGGGTGGTCGAGGTATCGAGTAGTCGATGATATGGTGGTGTTCACCGTCCTCCTCGGCAGGAGATGCGAGCTGGGCGGGAGCCAGAATGTCCATGATGTGATCCTCGCTGTCCTGCTGAGTGAGCTTGAGTAGTTGTGATGGCTGGATGCCTTGAGCCTGAGGCTCCTGTAGCGGGAGAGAGCTCTCAGCCACCTCCATCGGCTCGTCATCCAGCGGTTCAGCCTTGACGGCGCTTTCCTCCCTGCCAGCAACTTGTGACGCGGAAGAAGGCGAGCGCTGAGGACGCGGCGGCGATACACGCGCAGACGACGGTTCTCGAGTAACGGATGGTTCGGTATATGACACGGTCGAGGAATGGTCAACCGACTGCGGCATAGGCGATTCCAGGGTGGTGTCGACGACAGGTGCTTCTCTGACTGCAGCAACAGCCTGGACAGCGGGCGTTCCGTCACGACTCGGCGACCCTTCTGCGGTATCGGCGGGTGTCTCCTCGGCGAGCTTAACGTCAGGGCCAGAAGAAGGCTCCCGAGACGTCGTCCGCCTAGGGTCCTCGTGCGGTGCGTCTAGAACCTCGGGTGGCTGGCTGGATGCGTGGGCTGTGGTTTCGTCAATGTCCATGTCCACATCATGGTCCTGTAACTCAGGAATCCGCGGCTCCTCCTGCACCATATCCTGTTCAACAGCAGGAGGGGGCTCGAGGGACGGAGAGACCGGTAATTCCGAGATGTCATTGTCCTGAGCGGGTTCGTGCCCAATGACCGGCGAGTACGCGGGCGGTGTGACCGGCAGTGCCACTTCCTCGTCCTGCAAACTGTCGATGCATCCCGAGTCCGGGCTGCACAGAGTGAGAGCCATGAGCACCCGGCTAGCTGGCCACACGCGCCCGACTATAGTACTCACTGCTTCTCGAGGTCGAACCGCTCCAAGAACAGCTGCAAGTTCTCCTCTTCGCCGTCGTCTTCGAGCGTGATCACAGAACCCAGGTTGTCGCGCTTCTGGACGAGGTGATACATCTCGCGCAAGAGCGCGTTCCGCCGCTTGCTGATTTCCCTGTAGTTCAGGTTCACCCTCACCGACGGCTCAAGCGAGACGGCACGCGAGGGCACTCACTGTAACTGCATGACGCGCTCTTCAATCAGGGACTCTGCCGTTCCAGACATGGCGCTGGCGCGGTGCGGGGACGCAGGGGGGAAGAATGTATGCAGGGAGTGCGGGGAAGTCACGAGTGTGGCTGAAGGGCAAGCTGGATACCTGGGGTGCGGGATCGTGGTTGCGAATGGTGTTTCGCAGCTTTTTGAATCTTGGTAGGGAGTTGAGAGTCAATGACACGTTCTCGAGGGATCCGGAGGGGTATAAAGGAGACAAATGGCCACAAAGTAGGGGAAAGAGGTGGGGGTAGGAGGGAAAGGTGGTTCGGCATCCTCCGAAAGAGTGTCGTCCCCGTTTCGGTAGTCGACTATGTTCGTTAGACGCCCAAACACTCGGACCGACGCAATGGTACTCGCATGCCGGTGCTTCACTTGTCTGACCATGGCACACGACAAGGCAGCCTAAATGTGCGCAAGAGCATGCATAACATTAGGTGTGCAACTCCACAGCCCAAGAGTTCCCAAAGTGCATACATCACATCTCACTAGGATTGTTATTACGGGTATCGAAGAAATGCAGCTGTACAAACGAATGGCGTATGACGGCACCGACGACGAACGAAGACAGATGCGAGGTGCTGGTGCGGACACGATAGTAAGTTAACTGAATGACGAGCAGAGTCTATGAGCGTCCACAGAGAGAGAAACCAGCGGAGGCGTCCGGCCCGCGCGCTCCCCCGCGCCCCTCGCTAACCCAAAGCCGAGCGGTGGTTACGACTGCGCATGCTTCAGCGACTCGACGGACGTCACAGAGTCCGTTCTCCGCTTCGCGCCCCCAAGCTGCCCGAGCTTCTTGAGGCCGGCGGAGATGCTCTTCTTCTTACCGTGCTTCTTACTCGCCGTCGACGCCTTCGAGTCCACGGACCTGATTGACGCGACGTCCGCCGCAGGGTCTGCGTCGGCCTCCGTCGTATCGGCCTCATCCACCAGCACGCCGTCTGCTTGCAAAGCATCGTCAGAGGTGCCGACGATGCCGCCTCCGCCGATGAGCCGGATGGTAGTATCGGGGTCCTGGTCCTGGATCGACACATCCGGCGCATCCACGAGTACGGGTGAGTCTTCTTCCGACTTTGCCGTTGCGGCAACCTCAGGCTGGGTCTGCGAAGGCCCTGCGAGGGTCGCAGCATCGACGAGAAGGTCGGGCACAGTGGGCGGTGACGCAGTGATTGGCATGACGGGTGGTGAATTTGTGATGACGATGTCGATGGCGGGCTCGGGGGACTTCGACCGTGCCCGGACTTTGCGCGGGGGCACTGCTGTGAGAGGGACGGTGGACGTGGACTCTTGGATAGCGGGGGCGCCTTCGATGTCGTCTTGCCGCGGGAAATGATCCTCTTCGGTATCAGAGTCGAGATTACTGGGAGAGGGGAGGTCGACCGGCATCGGAGCAGGTGGTTTCGAGACAGAAATTGTGGGCAATTGCTGTCGTTGCGAAAAGTTCGTGACGTTGCCTAATGGCGTCGGAAGGGAAGACTCGTCGAGCACAGACGTTTCCGTCTCGCCGTCCGCGTCAGCCAGGACAGGTATAGGGACCTCTGCGCCATTTCCTGTAACCTGGATAGGATCGAGAGAAGCCTTCTCCTGCACATTATGGTTATGACGGAGACCAAGAGACGGAGAACCATGACGTACCTTGCCCTTCTCCGTGTGAGGCTGCATTATGTTCTCAGGAACTATGCCGGCATCGATCCACCTCCGCACGCTCCGGTCTGCCCATGCCTCGAGGACGGGCCAGCCCTTATACTCCCCTGCCAACCGAAGCCCACCCGTTCCTGCGTCGCCTCCCGTGTCGCCCTGACCACCGCCTACTCCGTCGAAGAAGTACGAGTTGTATCCCACGTCGTCCTCACTGCCCTCGCTGCCATCGGCGCCCGTTCCGAGCTCATACCCTTCTCCGCTCTCGAGATCCTCGACAAATCCAGCAAGGAACTTCGCCCACCCGGCCGGGCCGTCGCCCCTCCACATCACGACCTTCGTATCGAAGTCGCGGCCGAAGACGATGACCTGTCCCACGGCGCCGCCCTCGCCGGGGTTCATGTCGATACCGAGGTAGTTCCCGCCCTTGTCCGCTATAAGCGGTATCCAGCCGCGACACGAGTACTCCCTGCGCACCCACCCGGGCGGGATGGACTGCATGAGTTCGCGCAGCGAGGCGTTTGCGCCCGTCGCCGGGTCGTCGTCGACCTCGCGCCAGAAGCGCCATTCCTCCAGGACGTCTTCCAGGGGCAGCAGTGTTAAGCCGAAGAAGAGCCCTTCTGAGCATCCCGCTGCGGACTCCGGTTCCTGTCCGTCGACACACAGATAAGACTCACGCACGGGAGCGGGCAGCGAGAAACCAAAGGCCATCTCCAGTTGTGCGAGGTCCTGCGGAAGAATACCGTAGTTGAGAGTGTCACCAAGTTCTTGATACTCGCGCTCGAGCCACAGCCTCAAACGAGCCCATGTATTCGACAGCGGAGGGTAGGGGTGCCCTGCCGCTGCGGGCTGATGAAGTGGGAGTATTGTGTTAGGGTTGGTGCGGGTAGCACTAGGTGGCATCAGCAGGTCAGTTTCACCTGGGCCGCACGGATGCAATGCATGGAGACATACGAGGGAGGCACATCGTAGTACGGGCCAGAGGGAGAAGCAGGAGGATACGAATACGATGCCGATGAGCCGTATCCTGCGGTTGCAATGGTCTCCGGGTTGAAGGCGTCTGGGTGTGCGCCCTGACTTGGGGAGGACGTCGGGAGACTGAAGGCCTCGTGTGTCGACGTCATGGCCTTGCGGGAGGAGTTGCGCGAGTTTTTGTTGGAGGAAAAGAGGGAGGTTAGCCAGCTCATGGTCGCAGTCCGAGCCTAGCGGGCGGTCCGGGAGGGGAGGGGGTCGTGGTGAGGAGGCAAGGGTGATAGAGGCAGCGGACGGTGGAGCGAGGCAGAAGAACTGCGCCTCGGCGAAGCGCCAGACTCGGGTTCTCTGGCGAAGTGGCCGCAATCACACGAAATGGCTGTGCGCCGGACTGGAAGCAGGGCGCAGACGTGCAGGCAAGCGGGGAGGACGACTGGAGCAGCTTGGAGGACGTCGGGACGGAGAGAGGAGTGCCAGATGTCGGTCGCTCGAACGGGAGCTCGAACAGGGCAGGGGCCGCCGGCCAACTTGAAACATATCACAGTCTCCAAGCGCCCGCAACCAGCAGGCGCCCAGCATAAACCGCCTTGTCCGCACGCCGCGCATGTTAATGCACCACTCTGCTCTGGGCCCCTAGGCTCGTAAACCATCCGTCCGGACATTCGAACTCCGGTGGGTGAGGTTGTCCGAACGGCTGGTCCAACTGGGCGCCCTTTTGGCGGGGTCGCCCAATTAGGTACCCCGTGTGAAAACGTACTTAGCAGAATCGCGAAACGGTGTTTTGGAGTTTGCTTGCTCTATCGTCGAGAGCACGTTGGTGGGCGAGCTGAATTCATTTCCTGGCTCGGACGGCGTTTGAGTACCCGCTTCTCAATTTTTATGTGTGCCGCGCAATGGTGGCCTTCGTAATTGCAGAAATTCACTTTCTAGAGCCTTCAAGCAGGGCACGGTTAAGCGCTGGCCAGTCGGCGGCTACGCGGGCGCTTCCGCGAGCTGTGGGCGAGTGCGCCGAACCTGCGCAGGAGGGCGTAAGTGTTGCTTTATCACCGTTGCACCAGCCCATGTAAGATATCAAGCACACCTGTGGGGACAAGCATGCACCAAAAGTGTTTGGGGGAATTTTTGTGGCTAAAAGAGGCTTACTGGGGCAACTCGCAGCCATTCTCCTGAGGGGAGGATGCGCGATTCTGCTAAGTACGTTTTCACACGGGGTACCTAATTGGGCGACCCCGCCAAAAGGGTGCCCAGTTTGACCAGTCGTTAGGGACGCAAGCTGTCTTTCACTCTCCGCTCCCCCCGAATGACAGCTCCCATGTGCGTCCCGATCGACTGGTTTCGAGTCTACTGGGCCCCGACCCCGTCGCCGCGCGGTGGCGCTGCCCGACCATCCTTTTCCTAGCTCATTTGTGTGCTTACATTTGCCGTAGTATCTTTCACCGTGCGCGTGTGAGCAAGTACTGCTCCAGGCTTCCGCAACCCCGAATGATGTAGGCACTGATACTGGATGCATATGGTACCTCGAAAGCAACATCCGCCGAGCCCGGACTAGGTCCAAGACAGCGCGTCCGAGGGCAGTGCGGTCCTTCTTTGGAACTAGCAGATATGGTGTATTCACATCCTGGTATCTGTGGAGGATCACGCGCACAAGTCGTCTGAGGTAATACTCGCACTTCGGCCAATAATGAATGAGGTCGGACAGGTGGCAATCGTCCTTAATCACCGCTCAGTCCCACGAATCTTAGCCCGGTATATTACACTGTATTACGGTCCCTACATGATACACTAAAACACCCGCAATGGTCATGATGTATGCAAGAACGGATGTATGTACGGTCCGATCCATGTCTCCGCCCACTCAGAACGTCGCCAGCGGGCTCGCGACCTCGAAGTCGCACGCCGTCTTCGCCTTGAGCTCATCCAGCGTCACGCCCTCCGCGATATCGGTGAGCAAAAGCGTCCCGGCCGCGCGGTCGACCTTGAACACCGCCATGTCCGTCACGATCAAGGCGACTGACCGCGCGCCCGTGAGCGGAAGTGAGCACTCCTTCACGATCTTCGGCGTCCCGTCCTTTGCAACGTGCTGCATCGTCACGATGACCTTCGTCTTGTCGGGGTTCGACACGAGGTCCATCGCACCGCCAATGCCCTTGACGAGCTTGCCCGGGATCATGAAGTTTGCGATGTCTCCCGCTTGCGAGACTTGCATCGCGCCCAGGCAGGTAACGTCCATATGTCCACCGCGGATCATGTTGAACGACTCGGCGGAATCTGTACGGCGGTCAGTCGATCCACTATGGTGTAGCGCTGCAAGATAGACGCACCGAAGGTAGACGCGCCGGGGAGCAGCGTGGTCGTCTCCTTACCCGCGTTGATGATATCACTGCAAACGAGCGCGTCGTCAGAATGCGCACAGGCTGCGGGTATGACGCGGCTACGTACGGGTCAACTTGCTCAGCCGTGGGGTAGGGGCCCATGCCAAGGATACCGTTCTCGCTCTCCAGCCAGACCTTCACGGCGGGGTCGAGGTGCTGAAATGACATGTTGGCTTCAAGCTGCAGCATGCATAGGTATGGCAACGCCTACCTCAGGAATAAGCGTGGGGATGCCGACACCGAGGTTGACGTAGAAGCCGTCGCCGATCTCGCGAGCGGCGCGCTTCGCAATACGGTGCCGCCAGTCCTTGGACACCTTGTCGTCGCTCTCTCCAGGAGCGGGCTCCTTCGTCTGCGCCTCCTTGCTCGGCGCCAGCTTCGTAACCTCGATCGACTTGGGCTCGGTCGCCTTCACGATGCGATCGACGTAGACGCCAGGCACATGGATCGCGTTCGGAGACAAGCTTCCGACGGGCCTGCATAATGGGCGTCAGCACATGTCCGGAGCTCGGGCCAGACGTAATGACATTGGACGTACACAATCTCCTCGGCCTCGACGATCGTGAGCTTCGCGTTCCGGGCCATGACGCCGTTGTAGTTGTTCGCGGTATACCTGAACACCAGGTTGCCAACCTCGTCGGCCTTCCACGCGTGCACGAACGCGACGTCGCCCGCAATGGCAGGCTCGAGGATAAACCTCCGGCCATCGAAGTCGCGCCCTTCCTTCTTGTTACCGGGGATCAGGACGCCAGCGCTCATACCGCCGGGCTTGTAGCGAATGGGGATACCGCCATGCTCGACTTCCGTGTTCGCACCGGTAGGCGTGTAGATGGCAGGCTCGCCGGAGGCATGCGCGTGCAAACGCGCGACAAGCGTGCCCTGGGGCACGAGCTCGATACCGACGTCGCCGTTAAGGTATGCGGACTCGAGGTACTTGTTTCTGTAAGCGGGACGCCGTCAGACGCGCGCCAGAAATATAACCGAGCGGTGACGGCATACCCTCCGAGGTATGAGATCATAACCTTCTCAAGCTGACCAGACTTGATGAGTTTTACTGTGACGCAAGGATTAACGTCGGAGGTGATGATATGCAGGTCGAGGGGACGTACCGAGACCATGGTCTCCTGCACCGGCGTTGTTGGAGATGGCGGTGAGGCCCTTAACGTCTCGCCTTTTGGTCATGGCATTGATGAGCGTCTCGGGGATACCAGAGAGTCCGAACCCTGCGCGTACGTTAGCATGAGCATCGCGGGATGTGTATACGTCAACGTACCTCCGGACAGGATGATGTCGCCCGACTTGACATCCTTGACAGCCTCGTCTGCAGAGTCCCAGACCTTGGTCTTCTTGGGTATAGGCGCGTTCACGACCACAGAGTAGTAGCGTATGCGCGCGGCGATGGAGATCCTGCTGCTCGTGCGAGCGCGGGGAATCGCGACGGCGCGGGGGCGAAGTGCCAGCATGGTAGTGGTGGGGATGGTGATGGTGCGAATGTGAACGTGAATGCGGGGTATGCGCGAGAACGGTGCGGGATGGGTGCAGAGAGACGAGCCCTTCGTCTGGCTGCCTGGGTGGGTACGGAGAAGCGAAACGTGGGGTAAAGTGGGGGAAAGATGCCGATCGAAGGGCGGGGAGTGTTATATATGTTTTGGTGGTGGTGGGGAGAGGGCAGCAGACCCTTCCGCCGCATTTCCGTGGCTGCATACTCATCCATGGCAGAGAGTGCACTCGAGAGGTCCAACCACCGCACTCGGCCGCATCCCTCCGCGAGCGCCGGCCGCCCCCGAGCGCTTCCCCGGCCCAGCCAATCACACCAAAAACGATCGAAGCCGGAATGTTCGGAACGTCCTCGACCAATCTCCCGCCGGCCCCGAGGTTTCGTCCTCAACGTTGAGATCGAACCACCCGACACCGTCGTGCGGGAGGGCGGGCGACTACGGCAAGCACGCGCGGCATGCATGAGAGAAAGAACCAGCGCATCCTATCCGAGATATCGCGATATATACAAGAAACGTACAAAGTGCAGATGATACCGCATGGCTGGTAGACCCGTGAACCAACCTCACGTTCAAGTCCGGAGGCGGAAGCCAATCGTTCCTCCCGAAGGGTTACATCTGCCCGAGCGAGCTCGACACATTGAACTCACAGCCCGTCTTCGCCTTGACTTCCTCCAGGGAAACCCCTTCCGCGAGCTCGGTGAGAGTCAACTCTCCTCCTACCCGGTCCACGTCGAAGACGGCCAGCTCGGTGATGATCTGGCTGACCGTCCGCGCACCAGTGAGCGGCAGCGCGCACTCCTTCAGAATCTTCGGGCTGCCGTCCTTGGCGCAGTGCTCCATCACCACAATCACCTTCGTCTTGTCCGGGTTGGACACGAGGTCCATTGCGCCGCCAATCCCCTTCACGAGCTTACCAGGGATCATGAAGTTCGCGATGTCACCCGCCTGCGAGACCTGCATGGCCTGCGAACACAGATCCTTATGAGCGCACTACGTCCACCGGGTGGGGGAATATCGGACTTACCCCTAGGATAGCAACGTCGATGTGCCCGCCACGAATCATCGCGAACGACTCGTAGGAATCTGCAGGTACCAGGAGTGTCAGAATATTCCCGCAGAATCTGTTATGGGCGGTTTCGTACCGAATACTGACGATCCCGGGAGGAGCGTGACCGTCTCTTTTCCGGCGTTGATAATGTCGCTGTGGGCCGGAGGACGCCGGTGAGCATATATAAACGGGCGGCTCGAGTTCCTGCACGAAGCCGGACCACTCACGCATCCACTTTGTCGCTCGGCGGGTACGGGCCCATTCCGAGTATTCCGTTCTCGCTTTGCAACCACACCTTCACGCTGGGCGGCAAAAACTGTTCGTTTGCACACGACGTGAGCTTCTTACACTCGGAAGGAGCGCAAAACGGCGAACCTCGGGCACGAGCGTAGGCATCCCAATACCGAGGTTGACGTGGAAGCCGTCCTTGAGTTCTTTCGCAGCGCGGCGGGCAATCCGGTGCCTCTGCTCCACAGCAGCCTTCTTTGCCGGGTCGACGGGGTTCTCGTCCTTCGCGTTCGCGTCCGTGGCCACGGTGCGGAACTCAACCTGCTTGGGCGCGGTCGCCTTCACGATTCGGTCGACGTAGATCCCAGGGAGGTGGATCGCGTTCGGGGATAGCGATCCCACGGGCACAATATTCTCGGCCTATGGGGCACACTCAGCCGATGGCCTCTCGATGGAAGTTGAAGCGACGTACTTCAACAATAGTAAGTTTTGCGTTGCGCGCCATCGTGCTCGAGAAGTTGTTCGCGGTGTAGCGGAACACACAGTTCCCGACCTCGTCGACCTTCCACGCGCGCACAAACGCGACGTCGCCCGCGATCGCCGGCTCGAGCACGAACTTGCGCCCGTTGAATTCGCGCGTCTCCTTCTTGTTCCCCGGGATCGCGACGCCTGCCTTCATGCCGCCTTCCTTTAGGCGAATGGGGATCGAGCCCTCCTCGACGGCAGTGTTTGCGCCCGTGGGTGTGTAGAACGCGGGGAAGCCGGCGGCTTGCGCGTGCAGACGACCTACCAGCGTCCCCTGTGGGATGAGCTCCATGGAGATCTGGCCGTTCAGGTAGAGGGACTCGAAGTGCTTGTTCCTGGGCGCGATATCAATATGGGTATAAGCCACTCATTCGTGAATGTCTTACCCTCCAATATATGACGCCATAACTGTGCCGATCTGTCCAGTGTACAGCAGCTTACCTTAATATGTACTGGCGTTAGAAAATGGCCAGTTGGAGGTTTGTGGTACACACCGAGCCCCATTTCTCCTGAGCCTACATTGTTGGACACTGCAGTGAGGTCCTTCACTTCGTCTTTCCGCTTCGCGAGGGCTGCGATTAGGGTGTCTTTACAATATTGATGTTAGGACATCGGGATATCTCCTGTTATACATAAGATAACCCACCTGGCGTGCCACAAAGTCCAAACCCTATCCATGACGTCTAGATGAGCATCCCCATACGTACACACGACGGTCCAGGTCCACTCACCGCCGCTCAGGAGCACGTCGCCCGACTTCACATCTGCGATCGCCTCGTCGACCGAGTCCCAGACCTTCTTCTTGCTTGGCACCGCGTCCTCCGCCGCCGTGCTGTACGCCCTGCCCGCCTGACCGAGCGTATCTGCGAGACGGACGAGTGTGATCGTTCCGCGCGCATTCCGGGCGGGCTGCGAGCGCAGCAGCGCGCGCGACGGGACGACCCGTGAGGCGTATGCTCTCCTCGCGCACTGGAGCATCCTGTCTTCCTGACGTTTTCTAGATCACGGCTTCTCAGGTCCGCGCCCTGGGCTTAGACGTTAGAGATGAGACGGGTGCGATGGGAGTGGAGGGAGACCCGGAAGACAGTCGAGGCGCCGCGACGTCTGGTATGTAGTCAGCGTTATAAACAGAGCGGGACGCGCCCGTCCGCCGCCTGCTTCTGGCGGCGCGGTGCCCGAGTGCAGCCCGGCTCTTGCGCTGCATCAGGGGTAGTGTTGCCGCAAGTTGCAAGTCCAGGCAAGTCGGACTTGTAGCTTGGCTTGCGACAACTTGCTCCCACGATCAGCTTGTGCAGCTCGTCCGGATTAAGGACGACTTGATAGCTTGCTTAGTAACGCTATCCCACAATACTATTCGTTCAATCCCTCCTGTAGCCCATCGTGGATCTGTGCTACTGAACTCCATCATCGCGACTCGACTCAATCGCTACGCTATCCTAGTTGTCCTGACCGTAGTTCGTCCCCTTCCCAGATTTCGCTACCCTACCTGCAAACTGAGCAATGGGCTCCCTAATAACTCTGATAAGCATTCAATATACACGTATATCTAACGCTGATGTCGACTTCAGACGGCGCACTATGCATGCGAAACTTGCATAGCATCTTCTCAATGTTCGCAGGCACCTTCGGCCACTTCGCGCGCCGCGCGTGTCCTCTCCTGCTGTGTAAAATGCTAGTTTCGCGGCTACTGCTGCTTAGGAAAAAGGTAAGGCATTGCTGAAGGCTATCGGCAAGGCTTCTCGTCGTTCCGCCTCTACCTTGAATACTAGTATACCTAGCGACCTGTCTTCCAAGGCGACTCTCCCGGCTACTCCGGTCGCTTGCGCCACTGCCTCTGCCCAAAACACTCCCGCCACTGGACCGGCCTTGTCAGCTTGTACTGCGCCCTCCAAAAACATTCCTCTACTCGCTACTACTCCCACCGCCGTCGACCAAGCCCCAGCATCCCTCGAGAGATACTCAAGTATGCTTACACAAGCAAGACAGGCTATCCATAACCTCGGAGCTCATTGCCAAAGAGCGCGACTACACTCTCGAAGGGCAGATCACTGACAACGCCGTTCAAGAGCTTCAAGTTCTTGCTGCGGGAAAGTACTAGTTCTACGAGCTCGAAGACCTGCTTTCTAGTGTAGCTTCACGATAATGAAATCTGTTATATTTTATTCATGCTGCTCAATATGCCGCTACACGCGTGACGATTATCGCTGCGTACTAAGTACTGTAATTTTGAGTAGACAGCATCGGATGCGCCGCTCAGGAGGACCAAGCGCCCTGTCCCGTTTTGGTAGTTTGCGGGCGCCGGACTCGCAAGCCAGCTTGCCGACTTGGCTTGCTCGAGCTTGACTTGCAAGCTGAAAGTGATTCAACCAACTCGACTCGACTTGGCTTGGCTTGCGGCAACACTAATCAGGGGATGTGTACATGTGAGAGCGCATGTGAGGGAACGTAGTGACGCATTTGGGCACAGATCAAGAATGGTTCCGTCTGTTCCGGCCTGCGCGACACAGGCACGATGCGGGGTAAACACACAATGCGGGGGAGTCCGCGTAAACTGTTTTACATACACCGTAGGCAGATTTAGGACGTTTGGGACTAATAGTTTGGGTCGTTGTAGGCCACTGTACATATAACCCTTCAAACACCAGCGCAATCCATTCGTACGACCTAGGTGATTCATCCTTCCTTCTGCTTTGATCTTCTTCGTTATGCACATCGGCGATGACCGTCCTTCACCGTTTTCTGCCGGGACCCTTCGGCCGCGCAAACGGCTTCTTGTCCGAACCCTCCGTAGGAACGCCTGCCGTGGCCGCGGACGCACCGGTGCTTGAAAGTCCAAGCTCGGCTATGAGGTACTTCTCATCTAGCTCCGAGGGATCTGACGTCTCGACCTTCCGCGATGCGATGGTAGAACTGCTTCCCGACGAGCTCAAGAGTTCCTTGACTTCGCGCACTACGGAAAGAACTGCACTGGAGTACAGCATACGGTGTCGCACTGCCGAGGCGGACGGGCAAGAGTAGATTGGGACTGTAGACTAATTTAATTGGTGAACGGGTGTATTCTTGGACGCTGACTTACCAACATCCCTGCGTGGGGGCGACGTAATGTTCTGTGGCCAGGCGAAGAATGCGTACGCTGCGTGTGCGGGAGGTTACTCAATGCACATGAACTCGATGCATCATACGTACAAGGGTCGGAGGCCGGAAGCGCGCTGCTGAGGCCAGAGACGTCAACCTCCTGCGCAGAGGTGAGCAGCAAGGATTCCGTAGCGGGATCAATCGACTACGTTCCGACATGAGATATGCGCATGCATCGCAGTTTGCAACAGGTACACGCACAAGGACCACAAGACGGCTATCTTCTGCCGCGCCGAGCTCTTTGATTGCATTCGCAGCCTCGTCTGTCCAGTTCAGGCCAACACCCTGGCCAACATGGCTCTGCCTTGCCCGACTGCCTTCGTAGATTCTTCCTCCCGCTTCGCGCTCTGCTGCCTTAACGGCTTCCATCTCCTTCTCTCTGGCGCTCATCGGAGGCGGCGCGGCAATATGACGCTTGTGCTTCGCGTATGCTCCTGCGCCGATATCGTCCTTCGAAGTCGCGAAGATGTTGTCCGTGAAGTGCGCCGATCCGAGGCTCTTGGTGAGGGTCGTGCGCGTAGCAGCATACAACATCTGGACCGATGCTCGCCCAGAGTACTTTCACGCATAGCCCTGTGATCTTACCTTATCCCTGACTTTGGCATTATCCGGTACATAATATATGGCTAGCCATTCTGTCGGAGGATCATCCAGCCGAACAAGGATGTATGCCGGCACGTTGTCCTCCAGAATGTCGACGAGTTTGTCCAAATCCTCTTCTAGCGTACCAGAGGGGGCGACCGCGTCACTGGGCACGAGGGATTCTGGCGGGGTGCGCGATCACGATGAGCGACAAGGGACAGAGGCAAGAGAGGACTGTCAGAGACCATTCTCGATTGAGACCTTGAGGAAGCGAATGTTGTTGGAGTCGACAGCGTCTGAGAATGCAGAAGCAAGCTCTGGAGAGACAGTGATGCCGGTGGGCGCAGACATGGTGGTCGTTGTGGAAGGAGCGGAAGCGCGACTGCGAGATTGGGATGTGTGTGCCGGAGACGCGCTCCGGCATCCATGTCCAGGGCTGGTGGCACCTCGGCTCGGAGTTCGTCCTATCCCTCCTCCCACTCGCTTGCTCTCGAGTCTCGACGTCGACGCAGGCCGTCCTTGCCCCAGCTGCCTCCTGTGAGCGTCAGCGCACTGTTAGTATCCATCTGTGTGCTGACACCAGTCATATGGAAGACAGGAAGCGGTACCGGCCAGCACGGCTTCATCGCTCTACGCAGCGCTGTGACCGGCGCGCATACATAACTTACATTGCTCGGTGGTAGTCTCAGCACAGCTCGTTGCAGGCCATGGAGAATCCTCCATACGTCCCATACCAGGCTTACAAGGTATGTAGTAGCTAGTTGTTTCACTTGCGTCTGCTGAGCATGCCGGGTAGTCAAAACGTCATTCCCGCGCCCTGTCCAACCAGCAATCAATTCCGAATATCGCCCCTGCACCCGTGCAATCGCGTCCTGGCGCTGCCCTGAGCAATGGGCACACGTATAGTGAACCCGTCGTCTCGCAGAGCGTCGATGGCGTCGCGGACGCGGAGAAGCAATCTATCGCCCTGCTCAATGGCCGTGGTGCTCTGCAAAGGCCAGTCTCGATGATTGATACCTACACAACCTCTCGTCGAGAACCCTCCCCTGCACCACAGCAAGTTACACGGAACCAGATATCGAAGCCTCTCCCTCCACCTGCGCCCATCCCTGTCCCCGAGCTGCACAATTTGGATCAGCCTGTGTCTCCCTTAGAGCCACGCTTCACGGCTGCGTCTCCTCCAGCAGTGTCTTCTGCTGCACCCTCGCCGTCTCCCGCTCCCACTCCGCCTTCGCATGCTACCTCACTACCCTCGTCTCCGTCCACCCCGGCCTCCCAGATCTCGTCTCCGAAAGCTAACGGCAAATCAATCGCACAGCTGTCACCCATTGCCGGCCCATCTACACTTTCTCCCGCGCTCTCGGAAAGACCGCTCGCGTCGCCGCGGAAGTCTTCCACGTTCCGGCATGTTCGTCCGCCCTCCGCCAGACCGTCCGCGCCATCTTCACCTCTGCGGCCCGCAAGCACGCATGTGAGGAGCTCCTCTGCGATGGTATCCTCCCCGCTACGACCTCCAGACGCCCGCCTACCTGATTCGATGAACGGTGTATCCTCGACCGCGTCGACCCCAAACATGCACGCACTCGACCGTGCGCTACCTGCTATACCCGCGTTCGAACTGCACTCTCAGACACCACCATCGCGCTCTGCTGCCCACTCGCCTGTCCCCGTGGCTCCCGTTGGCCCACCACCGCGGACGTCGTCCTTGGGTCCTACAGGCACGCAGCAACCCACACCCTTGCCACATACCGCTACACCGCCGGCGCTCACACCGTCTACGTCCAATTCGTCTGCAGTCACAGTCGTCTCGCGCGTTTCAGGACGATCCCCGGCGCCTTATAGGCCCGGGTTCCAGCCCAAGGGCGTGTATCGACAGCGCACGGACGAGTTTATCGAGGCTCGTGCACACAGCCGAGACGTCGGCAAGATCGAACGCACACGTCTCGAGCGACGGTTGGAGAAGCTTATTCAGCTGCACTTTCCCCTACCCGGACAGCGGAAGGAAGAGGCTGTGCAACAGCGTCCGATGCCACAGAACCGACGGGCCTCGTCATTCTGGGATCTGGACTTTTCGGACCTTAAGAGCAAGAGTGCGGGCGATCTGTGGCGGGGCGTACTGCAGACACAGGCGTCGTCGCAAGGGACCAAGAACGATATCCGTGGTAAGTCAAACCAGGGAAGTATCCTCTCTGTACTTTGAGTGACACTTTATGCTAGCTGCTGAGCAGAAGATCACTCCTTGGGAGGACGATGCGACCGTGTCACAGTGTCCTCTCTGCACGTAAGTCACATCTGTCGCTCTACCTATTGTATCTCCTCAGATTGACTTTCCGTAAGTGCGTCGTTCCACCCTCTCACTAACCGCAAGCACCACTGTCGCCTATGCGGCGGGATTGTCTGCTCGCTACCAGTCAAATACCCCCAGCGCCCTGAGACGTGTTCCCTTTTATTCGTCGCCGACCAAAGCACTGGTCGAATAGAGGAAGTCGGCGAAGGTGTCGACTACGGCGTCCGACGGCGTACCCCATCAAATGCAGGAAAGAAAGGTGAGACCCTAAGTGAGGAAGAGAAATTCCTTAAGGGTGTGCGGATATGTCGAGAATGCCGACCGGTCTTGCTGTAAGTTGCTCATTAGCGGGGGGATTTTGCAGTGAGGCTCACTATGCATCAGACGACAGCAGTACAGGCAAGAGATGGTCAGCACTCCCTTGTTCTCGAGGCTTTACGAGGTAAGTTGGCTTCCTCGCCAGTGCGGCCGCCGCACTCACGCGTATCGCAGGCCTTCATCAGCCTCGAGAAAGAGATCGAGGAGGAGCTCCCGGTGTTCCAAGAGCTTATGATCAGCCTCAGGTTGGTCCTCTCTATCTCTGCCTCCTGTTTGCCATCTATTGACACGATAGCGCAGTAAACAGGAACGCCCAACTCCAGAGGCGAGCGCTGCGCGGAAACGGCTACTGGAGGCGTTCGCACAGTACGATACGTTCGCGAAGCGCATTCGCAAGCTCCCCTGCGCACCCGGGAGTTCGCAGGACCGCATCCAGAACGCAGTGCTTACTCGCGCGAACATCTTCCTCCAGAAGCACATGTTCCCGCTCCAGGTTCGTGCAACCTGTCGATTATTGATCAATTCCGATGGCCTAATATTCTGCGTAGGCGTTGCCCAAGCCTAAGAAGGCGGGAGCCGCTACTTCACCCGGTCCCGTCCAGCAGGAGGACCAGATCATCGACCCGGACTCTGAAGTCGCGCGCGTCCTGCAGCCGCTACTTGAGCAGGAGGCCTTACTGGAGACCTTCGTCGAGGAGGCGAAGGCGCATCGGAAGTTCGAGGACCTGAAGACGCTGAAAAGCAGTCTGCGGGAGATCCGCGCTGAGATCGAGCGCATACTCGCGAACGCGGAGGAGCAGGCGTCTTCCGGGCGCAGAGCACGGACGTCAACGGCGTAGAAGGCGAGTTGGGTGCCGGTCTCGGTCTTGGTTTCTTGCTAGAGCATATGTTGTACCCTGCTTCTTGGACGATCGCGCTCACGCACATGCTTGGAGACAATGGGATTAGGTTGGATGTGGAGGAATCAATCGCATTCATTAGGACGTCTCGCATCCGGCCGAGGGGCGTGCATCAGTGTCAAACAGGGGTAGTGCGTATGAAGACATTAGAACGATGCGTACAGGACATGGGATGCAACGTGACAATGGAGTAAACGAAAACCGAGCCATTAGCGGGGATAAGTTATGTCGACCAAGCGACGTAAAGGGTTCCGAAAGCGCCGTATTATCGTGGCCAGCCGCACTATACCACACACCTCCCCTCCCCCTCTCCGACAACCACAACTACAGCCAGCGCATGCCGCTGTCTGACACCGCTTCCTCCTCGATCGCTAACGCAGACGACCGGACGCGCCCTGGCTGATACAGATGACAGACTACAGCAGCTTCGCGCCCGATGACGGATTGGCGCTCCGGCTGCGCGATATGTTCGAGCCCAAGCGTCCATCCTCGATGACAGGCATAGGGGTCGGCAGCGGCGACGCGCCGAGCCCCACGCCCGCACCCAGGCCGACCATGGGCGAATACGAGCGCAATCCGGGCGTCGGCGCAGGCGAGAACGACGAGACGTGGAGGAGCATCACGAACTCCTGCGTCGCATTTGTCAGCTGCACTATCTTCGTCCGCAGGGTCAACGAGAGGGTGCTGCCGGCAGCGGGCGCGCCGTTCGTTGGGTGTAGACCTGGGGTACCCGGTGCTGCGACAGACGCGGGCGCACCGGAGGGGCCGCCAGGCGTGCCCCGCGTCTTGACCGCGTTCGACAGTTGTATGACGGTCTAGCACAAAAGGGGTCAGCGGCGCCGAAAGAAGACAAACCACGACGCCAGTACTAGCACGATTTGGGGGGTGATAACCGCCCCTAAATCGGCAGATGGACGGATGGTGCAGCCCGGGTGGGGGTGGCAGACACGAGGCGGCGGCCCACTCACCTTGACGAATATATGTGCGTCGTCGTGGAGCGCCTTCCCATCCATGGCCTGCAGGTGTGCCCCCTCTTGCACCGCGGCGATGCTCTGCCGCAGCCGCTCCGTCACGTCCTTCGCCCGCGCGAGCACCTCCCTGAACTCGTCCTTCCCGCCCACACTCGTGTCCTCGCTATCGAGCATCTCGTCCATCATCTCCCAGATCTCCGGCGCGGCTTCGACCGCGGCCTTCATCGCGCCGATCACCTCCTTATCGACGAGCGTGCTCGACCCCGACAGGTTCCCGCCGAGCTGTGGCGACGAGTTCGACGCAGGCAACAGCGAACTCTGTGACCCTTGCCGAGAATGACTCCCCAGCTGTGCGTCGTACGCTTGCTGCCCAAGCGGGAGGACCAGTCGCCGCATCGTCCTCGGCTGTGGCGGCGTTGAGTGGTGGAAGCTGCCGTTAACCGAAGATGGGAAGGGCGGTGGAGGAACATCGATGTACGACGGTAGCCTCTTCCCGATCTCGACGTCCTTCGAGCTGAAAGACCCTGCATGCCGCCGGCTGATGTGGCTTCTCCCCAAATCTAGCGAGCGCTGCGTCGCCGTCGTCCGGAGGTGCGCGCGCTGAGGGTTCTCCGTTGTAGGCGAGAATGTCGGGGACATCACCGCTGGAGCTGACGCCGGTGGTCTCGGCTTCTCCGTAGCCGCGGTACCGCGCAACGTCGGGGTCTTCGAAACGTAGGATTTCGACGCAGGCGGTGGCCTGGAGTCCCAGAGGTAAGGCCGCACCGCATCTACATGACTTGCCATAGACTGCCACGCCGCTGAGATCTCCGACATCGCACCATACAAGACCAGCAACATCTGTCGTGTATAGCGCACGTCGTCGTGCTTCGCAAGGACCTTCAGCTGCAACGAGAGCATCCCCACCGCCTTCCCGAATACCGTCACGTTGTCCCGGCAGTTCTCCACGACCGCCCTGCATATCGCTGGGCTGGGCAAGGCTCGCCTGCTCACCGTGTCGAATTTGTCCAGGGCGTTAATGAGTTGCGACATGTACGTGCACGCGGGACCAAGCACTTTCAACAGGACCGCCGACAGCCGCTCGTCGATGGCATACACTGTGTAGTGCTGCAGCGTCTGGTAGATATGGGAGAGCGCGAAAAGGATCCCTCGGACGGCGTCGACCACAGCGAGCAACGAATCCGGGATGGCCTTCGAGATCGTGGCAGCAGATAGAGTGGAAAGCCGGCGGAAGTATGAATTTCGCTCTGTGTCCATGGATGGCGCCGGCCGGTCTATGGATATTGGAGACGCTGATACCGGCTCGTCCATAATGGTATTGAACGGGAGATGATGGCTGGAAGACGCTGAGTCCTATCCTCATTGCCTTAGTAAACGAGACACTCACCTAGGTAGGTGATCCGCCGAGGCTGCCGCTGCCCGTTGCGTCCCATTCGGTAGATGTAGCCTGGGCCGCATGTCGGGCAAGCTTTTCTTGATGGCCGGGCTCTTCAGAGGTATTCGAGTCCCACTATGACCGTTTAAGTGTGACGGTATGCGGGTGTGGTAGGCATGAATTCCGTTGGGGCCGGCAGAGTCGTCACTAGGAGATACGCTTGCGTCTGGTGAGCGTGAAGGAGACGGAGATGCGCTCTTTCCCTGGATGCGGGAGAAAAAGGGGTCCAGGTGGAGGCGAGGAGGATTCTCCGGGTGTGGTCGCGAGGGTACCGGAGAGCGGTCAAGTTGGAAGTACGAAGACGTATCAGACTCCAGCGAGAATGAACGTGCATGGTACAGCATATCGGTTTGCAGTGGTGTCCGATCTCGAGGTGCGTCCAATCTGATTATCCGCATAAGAAATAATAGACGACCACGCGCAAAGGACACTCACAAACTAGAGTCGTTTCCCGCGTCACTAGACAAGGAATCATCGCTGTGTTTCCGCTCGCTAGAGTGGTCTTCAAGCCATGTCTGAAGGTGATGAATCCATTCGGTCATGACATGAGGGTCATTGGGGTTACGCGATGTGTCCATTACAGCCGGTGGTGGCCATTCCAAGGGGTTCTGGTCTACTTTGAATAGGCTGAGCTGCCGAAATTGTGCCAGGTAGATGGGAAGTCGGTGTAATTTGTTTCTCGATAGCGAAAACACCTGACAGAGTGTAAAAGTGGCGTTAGAACAGCTTTAGCAAGGGGATATCCAGTAATGTAAAGTGCGCAATCATAATGATTGCGATTGAGCGGTAGTCGAGTAGGCAAAGTTATCCCGAGTCGTAATACTCCACTTAGACCCGGAGAGCTCAGTGTGGACTGCCGCAATCGAAAGGTAACCTTGTCTGTCATTAACGTGGCGGGATCGGCGGCGCACCGTGACAAGCTTAGTGGAACGCCCAAGCCCAAAATGTGCCAAGATGCGGGGTAATGAATATACCGCATACATCGCTCCTGCCGCTGGTAGCGGTTGGTTGTGAAGCACGAGGAAAGGGATGCATACCCTTAGGTTGACCAAAGAGCCTGGTTGGGATGGTAGCCGCTTGATCTTGTTTCGGCTGATGTCCAGGATTTCCAGAGACGGCATAACGGTGAGCTATAAGGCAGGGCTCAGCGAGCGCGTATAATTGCTCAAAAGCGCGACATACGACGTCGGGAAATACGGAGAAGCTGTTGTTCTTCAGAACGAGATAGCGAAGACGCGACAGCAGGGAAAACGCCATAGGTAGAGTGGTGAGGCGATTGTGGGCCAGCGCGATACTATGGGTCGCGTGTAAAACATATATGCAAAAGCACGGGCAAGCGAGCGAAGACGCACCGTACTACGGAGCTGTCCGACCCTGTGTCCTCATCCAGACCAATGCTCGCGAGCTCCTCGGCCCCTGACTCTCCGACATCGGTGAGACCCTTGTACGCCAAGTCGAGAGTCGCCCCGCCATCCGGTGACTTGGCGAGGGCCTCAGTAATATAGTCGCGGGTCAAGGAGAGCGAGGGCAGGGGAGAGAGGGTAGCATTCTTGGACGTCCCAGACGATTTACGTAGAGAATGTTCGCCATCAGAACTAGACATTCGCTAAACAACCTACGAGAGAGAAGACCAGCCAACCAGAACAGCAGAATAAATGAAGAAGACACGACCAGGAGCCCAGACGACGTACGAAGAGGGGGGAGAGAGAGGGGGGAGTACAAGGGCGGGCAGACGCTGCAAGAGCAAGGGGAACCGAAGACGAGCAGTCGAAGGACGCGGTCCCTGCACAGGCACAGACGCCCGCGTCCATACCCGCAAGATCGTTTCAACCGTCACCGTCACGCGTCCTGCCCCTCGTGACCGTGACATGCGCGTCCCAAATTGCAGGCGCTTCTTTTCCCGAGTCTCCGTTAGACGCCCTCAGCGCTCCTCTTCCTCCGTACCTCCGCTCATCGACATGTCTGCTTCGACGGCCTTTGCGGGCAAGTGGGCTAGTCTTCCAGTAGAACTCACGCCATGGATGTATGTCTGATTCCACTGCATTCATTCAATCGAATCGAATTGACTTCTACTCAGTCTAGACGTTATTCACTCTATGGGACACACTCAAATGACGCCTGTGCAAGCGTCCACTATCCCACTTTTTATGAAGCACAAGGACGTCGTCGTTGAGGCCGTCACCGGGTCCGGAAAGACACTCGCCTTCGTCATACCTATCCTAGAGAAGTTGATCCGGAGGGAGCATAAGCTAGCGAAAAACGAAATCGGTGCTCTGATTATCAGCCCGACCAGGTATGTTTCTCGACTTGCTCGCGTAGTAGCCAGCACTCATATATAACCAGAGAGCTGGCCACGCAGATACACTCCATTTTCTCTCTCTTTCTATCATCCCAGCCGTCCCGATATGCGGCCTCCCCATCCCCGGACGAGGCCTCAGGCTCGAATGTCCAGCTCGAGCCGGAATATCCCTCTCCGCTCTTGATGATATCTTCCGACTCTCCGCCTGCGGAGGATGTTCAGCGCTTTCTCTCCACCGGTGCGGACATCGTCATCGGTACACCGGGTCGGGTGGAGGAGTTCCTCCTCGGAAAGGGCAAAAATGTCGTGAGCGTCAAGGAGTTGGAGGTCTTGGTTTTGGACGAGGCGGATCGGTACGTCTATCCCCCTTTAACTTCGACGATATCTCGCCTCACGCTTCCATGAAGTTTACTCGACCTTGGGTTCCAAGCGGCACTGTCCCGGATATTGACCCACCTTCCTAAGCAACGCCGGACCGGTCTCTTCAGCGCAACTATGACAGATGCCGACGCTCTGTCAGAACTCGTCCGCGTCGGGTTGCGCAACCCTGCACGCATCGTCGTTAAGGTTCAGTCAAAGAAGCTAAAAGGCAAAACCATCGCGGCCGATGGAACTACTAAGGTGGAAAGAGAGGTCATTGAGGAACGTCGAATACCTGCCAAGTGAGTGTCTGGCTTCTAGTCCCATGCCTGTCGCAAGCTTATATCATATCATTTCTTTAGCCTTCAGAATTATTACATGACTTGTCAAGCCTCCGAGAAACTCGTACAGTTGACTCGAATTTTACGACACGAAGTAGAACATCAGAAATCTGCGCGGTTCATTGTTTACTTTGCGACTTGCGCATGCGTGGACTACTTCTACCGAGTAAGATGATTTTTCTGAGGCCGATATATCGCAATGCTTACAGTTTGTGATAGGTCCTGACTCCCTTGATGCCCTCCAATACCACGCTCTTCTCTCTGCACGGTCACCTCCCACCTGCCGCCAGAACACGGACTCTCGCCAACTTCGCCACCTCCGCTGCACTCCCATCGGCCCCATCCATTCTCCTTGCGACCGACGTCGCCGCGCGTGGCCTCGACCTTCCCAACGTCGACGTCGTCATCCAATTCGATCCGCCAGCCGACCCGAAGGCGTTTTCGCATCGCTGCGGGCGAACAGCCCGTGCAGGTCGCAGCGGTACGGCATGGGTTTTGTTCGTCGGCCGTGAGGTCGACTATGTCGAGTTCATGTCCGTACGCAAGATCCCCATGAAGGAGCGGCGGCCGTTCAGGCAGGACGGCTCGGTACGGTCAGATGATGATATGGATGCGGAGGACCCGGAGGTGCAGACCGCGATGCAGACCATCCGAGAAAAGCTCCTCACCGATCGCGCGCTCAGTGACAAGGTTTGCACTCTCCGTCTCAATATCGAGCAATGTACTGAATATCCGTTCAGGCTGTGAAGGCATTCGTGTCATTTGCTCGAGCATATTCGAAGCACGAGGCTTCGTATATCTTTCGGCTGAAGGACCTGGACATGGTTGGACTTGCGAAGAGTTTTGGGTTGCTGCGATTACCGCGCATGCCTGAATTGAAAAAGCTTTCACGGGACGGCTGGCAAGATGCCGACGTGGACGTAAGACGCTACCTCGTTCTTTTCGGGCCGCTAGCTAACGGTTGAATACTGATAGTGGAACACCTTCGCATATGTCGACAAGGCACAGGAAACCAAGCGACTCGCGGAAGCGGCAGCTAAGGCCGCGCCGACTCCGGAGGACATCGAGAGACGCAAAGCGGCAAACGCTGAAAAGCAGAAGCTGAACTCGGCTTGGAGCGACAAGATGAAACAGAGGGAAGAGCGGGACAAGCGGAAGGAGAAGAAGGACCGGAAGAAGAAATGGCTCAAGACGCAGGAGGCTGCTGCGGATGCGGCTGCTGCAGAGCAGGGGAGCAAGCGCGGGCTGGAAGACGTGAGCGGGGAGAGTGGAGGCGAGGGCGACGACTGGGCGGAGCTGGCGCGGGAGGAGCGGCTGGCGAAGCGGGTGAAGAAGGGGCACCTGAGCCAGAGCAAGTTCGATGCTGAGTTTGCGGACCTGTAGAAGTAACAGTATCCCACCTTCATGTATCCTTTGCATATTTTTGCACTACGCACACAAACCTGAGCTGTTGAAATGCTCCAGGAACGATACGCGAGTCTAGAGCCGGAGGCGTGGGCGCTACTTACATACGCAGCGGACTTGCTCAAACAAATGTTCATGTGCACAGTCTTGCAACATCTTTCTGCTTCCCGCCCTGCGACGCCTTCACTCTCAGTGTCGAGATGGCCTCAAAATTTTCCCATGGCCAACCACCCCAATTTCTGAAGGCCTCGCGGCGATGTAACGTGAGTCTCCCAGTTTGCATATGCGACCCTGAGCCCGCATACGCGCCTCCGCTCGCTCTTGTTCGCCTGCTCGCGCGCTGATTTCATGCCTTCCTCCTGGGATCCTCGCCGATCGATATCTCTGGCCCACCGCGCTCCCCACGCACCCACAGTTTTACCAGGAGAACGGTCAGCCCTTTCCGGACCGCGGTCACTGCCCCAGACCCAGCAAGCGTTGCTGGTACGCACACCCGGACGACCCGGAGTGGCCTACCGCACGCCTCGTTGCCCCATACGTACCGCCGTACGCACCACATCCAAGCGCGCGCCCACCCTCGCCGTACGGTCCGCCACCCCCTCCCCCGCCGCCGGTCAAAATCGAACCTAGGGAACGCATCCCGAGCTTCTCCTCTGCGCACGGTGCGCACGTAGACCGCGACGGCGACGTCGACATGCATCCACCGCGGGCGCCACACGGACGGGGCCACTCCCCGGCGAACTCGATCGCGTCGTCTTCGGCACGCCGTCCGTCCTATGTCGCGAGCGGAGCCCGAATGCGAGACGAGGAGAAGGACGATGAGAGGGTGCGGTACCGGGACGATGATCGCAGACGAGAGGACGAGAGAAGGTACGAGGAGGACCGGAACAGAGACCGTGACAGGCGGAGAGACGACGACCGGCGCCGAGACGATGACTATCACAGGAGTGAGAGACGACGAGACGACCGATCCAGGGATCGCAGGAGCCGATCGAGCTCGCGCGCTCGGAGGCCGTCGTCGTCCTCTCGCCACCGCCGACCGTCCTCCGCGCACACACCACCGAAGGCCTTGACAAAGGAAGAGAAGATACAGCTTTGGTTAAAGCGCACCGAGTGCGTTTACAATATCTATTACCGTCCAGCTACGCCCATAACATCCATTCGTGCAGCGATTTGAAGCGGACAGTACAAGCCCGCAGCGAGCACCTGCGCTTGCATGAGGAGGTGAAGAAGTACGAGCGGCTCACGAAGTCAGCGCAGTACGAGACCCTGCCAGAGGAAGAAAAGGCTGCGCTCCACAAGCTCCTCGAGTCTACCACTTCGCGCTTCCATGCGAAACAGACAGAGTTGAACGGCCTTGCAGGGAAGCTCGTTCCCGATGACTTCTGGCCCTTCTTCGCGCAACGCGCGCAACAAACCACCGACCCAGGCTATCAAGAGATGATCAGAACCCTCGCCGGTCTGAGGGAGCAGGTCGAAGGCCTTCACGGCGCACTGGCCAGCGTGCAGCCCTCGCAGCCCTTGACAGCGGCGACAGCGGGTCCTTCTACGTCTACAGCGGTGGCTGCGCCTGCGTCGAATCCAGAACCCGGCGAGATCTCGAATGACCCTCCCGCTCGCCCCAAGAAGCGGCGGCGTGTCTCCGTCGACGCAAGTGCACGAGTACCAGACCTCTCCGCGGGAGAGGCGGAGAAGATGCAGGACCATCTCGCCGAGCTCACCCACCGAATCTCAGAGCTGCGCAACGATTTCCTCCAATACGACAGCAAGATTGCCGACGAAGTGGAAGCCGAGCTTGACTACAGACTGGCTGGCCTACGGCTGGGAGTGGGTGGAGAGGAAGATAGGCCCGCCGACCCCGAGCTTCAGCAGAAGGTACAGAGACTGTTGGACGCTAGCAAGGTGGCCGACGAGAAAACAACACAAGCCCTCGCAGACCTCGCAGACTTGAAGACTAAAGGCCAAGCGGAGGAAGAAGAGCGTGCGCTTATGCAGACACAGAGGGACGCCGTTGCGAAGTCTCTAGAGGAGGTACGTCTCAGCACCAGCAGGAATATTCCTCCAAGCGCCTCCTCTTACCCAGCCTACAGACCTTGGCGGAGTTCGCGCAGATGTCGAAGACCATTGCCGACCAAAGGGCGGAGATCCACGCGCTGAGCCAGGCGATCACCGCCATCGGCGCGCAGGGGTCACATCCGCCCCTCCCGCCCGCGCCCCTCACCGCCGAAGAGATCGTCGAGGCGATCCGGCCGCAGCTGCTGAACGCCACGCGTGACGACCTCAACGCGATCCTAGAGGATGTTCGTGCGCACATCCAGAAGGAGCTGCAGGAGCAGTCGAAGTCTGTTAGCGGCGACCTCATGACGCAGATCGGCCCCGTCGTACGCTCGGTCGAATGGATCTCGGCCTGGATCGACCGAATACGAAATCAAAACACCACGATTGTTACGACCTCAGCCGCTGGTAGTTCCACCTCCGCCACCACTACAGACAAGGGGAAGGGTGTTGCGCGATGAAGAAGTACTCAAGATTCTGTAACTCTGTTTTGAACCTCTCCGTTGTTGCTTGTTGTACTTTTTGTGTATATCCTGTTAATGACCCGTCTGCACTATTATCCCAATACTCTACGTAGTACTCAGATATGTCCCGAAGATGCCGCACGAACGCCGCAAAAATCTGGTCCCTCCGAGGATCGAACTCGGAACCCTTGCATGACAAGGCAATTGCATCCCTATAAGTACAAAGCTCTAACCAGTTGAGCTAAGGGACCGCAGGCGTGGAGCTGTTTCTGTTTGACCTGACCATAGGATGAGCACTTCTTCACCTCGATTACTTCTTACTTGAATACACCCGTTCTGCAATGACTCTGGTAGCGATTCGGAGGGAACAACACACGAGCCTACAAGTTGACCACTATTTAATATTATACCCCAGGGTCCGTATTGTCCTCATGAACGCCGCCAGACGTTACGCGAATGAAGCGTGTTCCAACCCGTTCGCCCTGCTCTGGAGAGTGCGTGATCCATATAACAGACTTCAGCCTCGAGTCCGGGGATTTGACCGCTGACGCAAGGTGTTCCTCTACCTTGCCCGATGACTCGGCGTCCAGCGCAGATGTGGGCTCTAGAGACACGCGCCGTCCACCGTCAGTCCGCCGTTATGGGGTACAGCTCCAGAGTAGACGGACACGCACCATCTAAGAGGAGGACCTCCGCCGTGTCAAGCCCGACAGCGATGGCAAGCACAATACGTTGCGCCTCGCCGCCGCTCAGGTTCGCCCACGAGCGGTCCCAGAGCTCCGGCTGTATGCCCCAGGACTCGGCGACCGCGAACGTCGCGTGCGATTCACTGAAATTTGATTCTCCCTGCCGCGTCCCAAGCGCCTCGGAGAGCGCGACCGCCGCCTTGTCCTTCGCGGAGGGGTTCTTGTGCACGGCGAAGGTGGAGACGGCCTGGAGGAAGTCGCGCGGGGAGCCCGGGAGGAGGGACGGGCGTTGCGGGACGTAGAGCACTTGCGTACGGAACTTCGGGATGCCTGGTTCAGAAGGTCATGAGGCCGCCTATAAATATGAATTCGCCAGGCGCACCATAAGACTGCGGTGTCCTGAAGAATGACTGTAAGCTAATGGTTGAACAGAAGGTGCATATAGGGACTCACCGGCCTCTGTAGAGCACTTCGCCGTCGTAGACGTTCAAGTGGGATATACACTTCAAGAGAGTCGACTTCCTATACCATGAACGCGATGCGTACAATAATTAGCACAGTGTACGCTTATACAGGCCACATAGAACAGACCCTGAACCACTCTTGCCTTGAAGTACCACGACCTCGCCCTCGTTGACTTTGAGGTTAACATCGGCGAAGATGGGCTGGCCCTTCTGCTTGTAGCAGCCGATATTCCTCAACTCGAGCAGAGGTGTACCCGGCATTTAAGCGGTCCTGGTAGCTCTTGTGGAAGAAGAGCAGAAGAGAGTGCATACTCGGCCCGACGCAGTTTAGTGGTTCACAATGGGAACAACGTCATCGCCGTCGACCTTGGGCGCTAAGGGGCGCGTCCCAGGCATCGAGCTACGCGCCTGCGACAGATTCTAGAGATTCGGAGCGGAGACTGTGGAAGACCTGGGGAGCTGCGGTGCAGTATAAGCTGAAGGACGATGCAAGATGTGATTGCAAGTATTATCAAAGCATGAGGAGGGGGTACGGGCACACGCAGGCACCTAATATTCTACGCTAAGGTAATGTACTTCAAGGGTCTACGGCTGAGGCATGGGGACAGCGGGGGAGCCGGGTGGCGGGACCATCCCCATCTCCTCGGGACTCAAGCTCGAGGAGTCGATCATTACACCGACGCCGACCTTAGCCGCGTTCTACAGAGAGGGGTGAGCAAGGGCGCATACACTGAGGAGACGACGAGGAACGTACCTTGAAGTGGTCGATCTCACCGGAAACCAGGAACGAGAAGGTGGGGGCGAACCGCTGCTCGAGGTATGCCGACACCTTACCTGTCGAGTCGAGCTGCGCGCGGAACGACGCCATGCGGAGCTCGTATCGCGCCGCGAGCGTCGCCAACGCATCCCGCCGGCCGGGCGCCGCCATGACCTGCAGGTCCGCCGCGACGTCGACCTTCTCGCTTAGCTTCTGCCAGTACGTCGCCTGAAGCACGCCAGGGCCCTGGACCTGCGCGGTCGCGATCCAGTTCCGGTCTGAGCTGGTGTACTTGGCGAGGTACGCGGCGCCGATGTCGGACAACCCAGGCCCCTGGTGCTGCAGGATCGTCTCGACCCCGAACGCGAGGTTTTTCGTGACGGACTGCATGTACGAGCCCATGTAGATACCGGACAGGTCCGCCGGGGACGGGTTGACCGCCTTGGTGTTCAGCGAGTAGTCGCTGCCCTGGTAGTCGTGCTCGAGCTGCAGGAAGCTCTGCCCCGGTTGTGTCGACAGCTGCGGACGTGGCCGTCACTTCCTGATGCTGACGTGTCGCTGTTGCGAGATATGGGGGGTACGACGTACCTGCGCCTGTGCTTTTGAGACGTTGTTCGCGCTCCAGCCCTGGTTGAACCGTCCTGACAAGTTGCCGTCGTTGTCGATGTTACCGTGCAAGAACGCCTAAGGACAAAGTAAGCGGGCTGAACGAGTGGCAACGTGTTCTCCGCCAGCGGTCTGCGTACCTTGTCGTTTGCGAACATGGCACCGAAGTGGTATGTTGGCGGACTCGTCTGGGAGCCCAAGTGGAACGAATGCGTCACTTGGAACATCGGGTTCATCGACAGGCTCTTGGAGAGGTCGGCCCTCGCGCCATCGAACGCATAGTTGGTGAGCAGTGTCTCTAAATGGAGCTCATGAGCATGCGTGAGTGGCATTCACTCGCCACGACATACGTTTCGCCTCCTTTGAGAGGTTCTCGACCGTGCCGGGGTTAGGGAGGTCGAGTGACTTCCTCCACGTGGCGAAACGATTGTAGATGCTACCGAAGGGCCATGATGAGGACGATGCGACCGGCGCCGACGCTGGAGGGAGCGGGACGGGGGGCGGGTCGACGGTGACGGGGGTGGGGACAGACATGACGACTGCAGACAATGCCCGCGCGCGCTGGTGTAGCCTCCAAAAATTCAGGCTCGATTAGGCAGCTGCCACGATGCGCCCCCGGGCGCGACCGTCACGGCTGTAGGCGCTGGCTACTCAGCCCCAGTGAAAACCCCCCCGGTTTGGAACGTATTGCGATGTTTTGCCTCGGGTAAACGCGTATTGGACCGAATAAAACGGGGATATCTGGGACTCGAGTGAAATAAGCGCCGTGCGAAGTCTTCTTTCGACGTCATGCGTGTGTCGAATCGCAGCTTTCGCAAGTTTTTCTCCTCCGACAACGGTCGACGGACGTCAACATTTCTCAATTTCGTGCTGTTCAAATTGCTCCTCGCCATACCGTCACTGTGTCGACACCGCACGAGCGACGTAGCAGCCGTGGGAAGTGCGGCGTCTCCTTCCATTTAAGCTACACTGCAAGTTGGTTTTCCTCTCTACGCAGCTCTTCTCTCGACCACCATGACGACTCTCCCGCTTGATACATCTCTCTGCCTCTCTAGCTTAGTAGGCTGTCTCGCTTACTGTCTGCCGGTCTATGGTAACGGCGCATACAAGCAGGCTTGAGAACTATGCAAGTGAGCTTCAACTTAGCTAATCAACGACGATGACACGACTCTCCGACTCACATGGCGCGACGACAATGACGCGGCTCTCCTAGGACTCACGCGACTCTTGCGACTCTCCAGCGACGACGCAGCACTCCGACGGCGACGCCGGCACAACACATCGGCACAACACATCGGCAGCACGATGTGGCTTTATTCTCGTACCGCGACTACTTGGCAATATACGGAAGGGGGCTTATGATGCCACCTCTGCTCAGTCTTTGCATGCGGACGTCTCCTCGTTCAACACTCCATGCGACCGTCGACGGCTGCCATGTCTGCAGGTGCGGCCAACCTTGCACATACACCGCGACCTTGTTGTGTCGCCCTTGCTAATACGACTACTCGATAGAAGCACTTCCAACGAGGAGGTAAGTAGCCCGCTATCCTCAGCTCTATATGCTGCTAATGAGCCCGATCCGGTTCGTAGAGTGCAGCGCTGTGACGCCTTCGATTGCAGGCGGGGTACGAGGGTACGTCTTTTGTCCTGCATATCATTGTCTTTGGAATTTTGACAGCTCTCCTTAGTTCAATGGATATGCCAGAGGAAACCCACGGGGACTGTTAGTCCAAGCACCAGTAGGTGGGGTTGGAGACGGGTGCCCGGGTGCCACTCGTGGGCGGCGGAGGCGGTGGGCGGGAGTGATCCGGGCCAGATAATACGAGCCTTACTGCATTAAAACGGTCTGATTCAATACAATCCGCCTGCATACGCCAACGGAGGCTGCCTGCTATACTGGAATTTCGACAGTATCGCGTATACGCTGCAATCCGCCCCCATACGACGGAAATCGAATTAATTGTATCTCGTCGGTTTGTCTACGACTCCGTGCACCGTCTTGATACGAATCTATCCGCCCCAGTACGCTCGATGGCGGGTATACTCCAGATCGTCGTATAAATCCGGAGACACCGCTGCAAAACGAATCAATACGCCCCCATACGTCCCAGATACGTCCCAAACCGGGGGGCTTTTCACTGGTACTCAGCGCCGCCGGTCTTTGACGGTACATACACGTACGCATGCACAGTACATCGGCAACCACAGCGGTAGGCTCGAGTCTTGGCCAGAAATACGCGTTTAAGCTGCCTACTTGTACGATGACGACAACTAACTACTACGATGCCTCATGTCCGATAATCGACCACGCTCTCATCGCGTTGATCTGCAGTGGTCAATTATACCGGCTGAGCACTGGCGCAAACACAACGGAAGACAAGCACGTTGAGAACACGATGAGCAAGTCCAGACGCATGTCGATCCCTAACGGTCGTATCGATGGCTCGTCGGATGGGCAGTGAATAGACAACAGTCCACGGCAGCCGTGCAACTGACGTACGCGATAGAGAAAAGATGACCGCAGGCCTTGCGGCTGTAGATCCATGGCGCAGGTCTATAACACCTGGACGTATTCGGAAGACGAGGATCCAGTGGTTGTGCGCGCGAAGATCCCGAGGGAGATGAACTTGAGAGAAGGTGCGCGTCGCGTCGCGGATAGTAGGCGCTCGCCCCAAACGCGTCATGTACGCGTCGCACAAGTGCTCGTGAGTTCTACGAGATGTCTGGCGGTATGGAGAGTCGCGGTGAACTGTCTGCAATGTTCCAGCGTATGTCGGGACAATGGAGAGGGCTGAAAGGGGGAGAGGGAGGAACTGGCTGGAAGGGACGGGCGTGTGACACACGTGACCTGGGCGGTGACGTGACGGGTAGAAAGCTCTGGAAAGGGAAAGAAAGAAGGTGGAATGTGCCGGAACTGTGTCGAAGGTCTACGCTCAACGATGTATATAAGCCCTCGCCCGAGATCGACGCCCCCCAACGATTCAGTTTTACGACGGACTCCCCCTGTACTCTCATCTCTCCTCTCTACCGCTTTTCTTAATTCCCCCCTCTCAAATCTCCACCCACCATGACCAAGGCTATCGGAATCGATCTTGGTACCACCTACTCGTGAGTTTTGCTTTTTTCATGGCCCACTCGCGCAGCGTCCTGACTTTTTTCTCAACAGCTGCGTCGGTGTCTGGCAAAATGATCGTGTTGAGATCATCGCCAACGACCAGGGTAACCGCACCACCCCCTCCTACGTCGCCTTCACCGACACCGAGCGGTTGATCGGTGACTCCGCGAAGAACCAGGTCGCGATGAACCCCCACAACACCGTCTTCGACGCGAAGCGTCTCATCGGCCGCAAGTTCGCGGATGCCGAGGTGCAGTCCGACATCAAGCACTTCCCCTTCACCGTTTTCGACAAGGGCGGCAAGCCCTACATCCGCGTCCAGTACCGCGGTGAGGACAAGGAATTCGTGAGTTCTTTGTTTACATGTATGTGGCTTTGTGCATCATGCTGACTCTTCGCTTCACAGTCGCCTGAGGAGATCTCCTCCATGATCCTCACGAAGATGAAGGAGGTCGCCGAGTCCTACCTCGGCGGCACCGTCACCTCCGCCGTCGTCACCGTCCCCGCGTACTTCAACGACTCGCAACGTCAGGCGACCAAGGACGCCGGCACCATCTCCGGCCTCAACGTCCTCCGTATCATCAACGAGCCCACGGCGGCCGCCATCGCGTACGGTCTCGACAAGAAGACCGTCGGCGAGCGGAACGTCCTCATCTTCGATCTCGGTGGAGGAACCTTCGATGTGTCCCTCCTGACCATCGAGGAGGGTATCTTTGAGGTCAAGGCCACCGCTGGTGACACTCACCTTGGTGGTGAGGACTTCGACAACCGTCTCGTCAACCACTTCGTCCAGGAGTTCAAGCGGAAGCACAAGAAGGGTGAGTTTTTAATGACATCATCGCTGTTTAGGACTATATGCTGATTTATTCTTCGTAGACCTCTCGTCCAACCCCCGTGCTCTCCGTCGTCTCCGCACGGCCTGCGAGCGTGCCAAGCGCACTCTCTCCTCCGCCGCGCAGACCACCATCGAGATCGACTCTCTCTTCGAGGGTGTCGACTTCTACACCTCCCTCACCCGTGCGCGTTTCGAGGAGCTCTGCCAGGACCTCTTCCGCAGCACCCTCGAGCCCGTCGAGAAGGTCCTCCGCGACGCGAAGATCGACAAGGCCGCTGTTCACGAGATCGTCCTCGTCGGTGGCTCCACTCGTATCCCCCGTATCGTCAAGCTCGTCTCGGACTTCTTCAACGGCAAGGAGCCCAACAAGTCGATCAACCCTGACGAGGCCGTCGCGTACGGTGCCGCCGTCCAGGCCGCCATCCTCACCGGTGACACGTCGGAGAAGACCCAGGACCTGCTCCTGCTCGATGTCTCCCCCCTGTCGCTCGGTATCGAGACCGCGGGTGGTGTCATGACGCCGCTCATCAAGCGCAACACGACCGTCCCCACGAAGAAGTCCGAGATCTTCTCGACGTACTCGGACAACCAGCCCGGTGTGCTCATCCAGGTGTACGAGGGCGAGCGTGCGCGGACGAAGGACAACAACCTGCTCGGCAAGTTCGAGCTCGCTGGCATCCCCCCCGCGCCCCGCGGTGTTCCTCAGATCGAGGTCACCTTCGACATCGACGCGAACGGTATCCTCAACGTCTCCGCGTCCGACAAGACGACCGGCAAGTCGAACCGCATCACCATCACCAACGACAAGGGCCGTCTCTCGAAGGAGGAGATCGAGCGCATGGTCAACGAGGCCGAGAAGTACAAGGGTAAGCACAGTTCACCCTTCTGCGCCTTATGAGCATCATACTGACTTACATCTCACAGCCGAGGACGAGGAGGCAACCGCCCGCATCACCTCGCGCAACGCGCTCGAGTCGTACGCGTACAACCTGCGCAACAGCTTGACCGACGAGAAGCTCGCGGACAAGTTCGACGCGGCGGACAAGAAGAAGCTCGAGGACGCCGTGAACTCGACGATCTCGTGGCTCGACAACTCGCAGGAGGCGTCGAAGGAGGAGTACGAGGAGCACCAGAAGGAGCTCGAGGCCGTCGCGAACCCGATCATGCAGAAGCTGTACGCGGGCGCGGGCGGCGCACCCGGCGGCGCGCCTGGGGGCTTCCCGGGAGGCGCACCGGGCGGGTTCCCCGGGGGTGCGCCCGCGGGCGAGGACGGCCCGAGCGTGGAGGAGGTCGACTAGTGGTCTGCGGACTAGCTGCTAGGGGCGTCCTCGGCCGGGTGCTGGGTGGTCATGATCTTCACGAGCTCTCGCGGACACGAAGTCAAAAGCATTCGCATGTACATTAGGCACATCTCTTAGACTCTTACGCTTTTTCTTATCTCTCAACATGTTGTGCGCGTGCTATGACATAGTTTCATGCTCAACTTCTTCGCGTGCCTGCCTCGTCGTCGTTTGTGTTATTGTGACATCGTAAGGTTGAGTGTACATGTATGATGATGATCTTGTAAGTGCTTAAAGGATTGAGGCTGCCTTCAAGCCGCGCACGACGGTTGGCCTCGGGTCGATATGGCTCGTGTTCGTCGTCATTGTACTAGAGGTTAACGTTCTCTGTACTCCTAGCCTCAGACACGCAAGTAGGTACGTTACGTGCTTCGCATTCATCAGCTTTGTGCAGCCTATCCGCCGTTTCATCCCTGAACCTTGAGCGCGCCCGCAAAGACCTTGCCTCCCGCGACAGGGCGGGAAAGCTTGTTCGCGCCTGTGAAGAAGGATACCAGTTAGCTTCTATCGTTCTCGCTCGCCCTGAGACTGAAAATGTGTACCTGCTTCGACGACGAACGTTGCGCTCGCGAACGCGTCCAAGTTCGCGTTGCCTGAAGAAGCCGTCAGCGTCATATTCCCTGAGAAGGACATGCAGTGCTCACTGATATTGCGCATCGCGTAGTACGTCGCGGTCGCGGTAGTCGTGTTCAGCGTGAGCGTGAAGAAGCCGCGGTACGAGCCTTCGCTCCACTGCAGGTCCTCGTTGATCTGCACGTAGTTTTGCGAGATCACGTCCGCCGCGGCGGGCTGGATGTTCGTTCCGAACGCGGACCCGGAGGTCACGGCCGTGCCAGCGAACTCAACGCCGATCGCGCCCTTCCCGGTAATGGGGTCGTACCTGCGTGGAGGCGTGAGTGTGGTATGAGAACGTCGCGGGGAGAGGTACGACGTACGTGACGGTGTCGTTGGGATCTGGGGATATTTGTGGCCGCAGTGAGCGATGATCTGGTGTATTGCGAACGTCATGGATCACTTACGAGCTAGATCGCTGACCCAGTTCGCGTGCGAGTCGCCGGAGAGGATGAGAGTGTTGCTGATCTTGTTATCGTACAGGTGGTTGAGCACCCGAGCGCGGTTGGCGCGGTAGCCATCCCAAGCGTCCTGCAAATCATTTCATGAGATCATGACGCGGCGAACAAATTGTACGACGGCGAGGCACTTACGACGTCAACTGTTTCGTACCGAGAAAGCATGTTAACCTTGCCAGCTACGTGCCCCAATTGAGCTCCACTTACACCCAGAGGTCTCGTTCAACTGAGTGAAGACGATTTGCTGACTGGAGGACGCATATCAGTATCGCATACGCACACCCACAGCCAGATAGCATACCCCACAACGCGCCAGATGGCGCCACGCTGTTTCGAGGCCGCAAGCGTGTTGAAGAACCCTGCGACACGTAAGTATATGCCCTCAATACGCAAACCCTTGAACACTACGTACAGCTCTCCTGGCTGGGGCCCATGAGCGAGCGATCCGTCTCGTCGGCGATGGAATCAATGACTGTAGATATAGGTGAGCATGGTCTTCTCGAGCGTGAAGCGGTGTATCTTACATTCTGTAGACCAGTCGTATTGTTTCATTAATACTGCAAACACTTGCTTGCCAATGCTTGCTTACCAGTGTTGTAGTACAGCTAGAAAGAGAGCACAGTCAGCGATGCGTCATGTCGGCCCGCGCCCATGAACGTACGTCAGTGATATCGCGATCGTATTGACCTGCACATAGTCAGTTACTCGTTCGTTCTCGAAGCTACGCACTCACGAGTGTCGAGCATGGTCAGGTCCTGCAGACACATAAGCAATGGATTGATAGGGTGATGCATGGATGCCGCTCACCAAGAGCTTGCCGATCTGGAAGTTACGCCAGATACGAAGCTTGTCATCCGGGTCAACCTGGCGAATAGGCATCCACTCATGGTACGCTCGAACGGCGGCGAGCTTCCTGTCCGTGAAGCAGGCACCCGACGGAGAAAAGCTGCAACCAACGGCGGAGTCGTTGCTGTTGGCGGTTCCCGCCTTCCAGGACTGATCCGCAACCTCGTGGTCGTCCTGAGGAGCTGTCAGCTTCGCGTGAAGAGAGGCGAGATCGCGATACTCACCCTAGACGCAGTCAAAGTAAGGTCAGGACAGTACGAAACGATAGTTGAGTGAGACACTCACCAAACAGAGATCCATGGCGCCTTGACGTGTGCATCGCGCAAGCTGACGTCGGTCCTGTACTGGTTTAAGCGCAGACGGTAGTCCGCGATAGTCGCTAGCTCTCTGCCGAGCGTTTTGCGCCCAATCTTTGCACTACAGTCGATTGTTAGTTCCCTGGCGTAACATAGGGGATGCATTATCCAACGTACCCGCTCCCAAGGGACTCGTAGATCTGATGTTGCGATCGATAAGCAGTTAAGATACAGAAGCAAGACCACATACGTAGTCACCGAGGTGCACGAAGATGTCGGCAGAAGTGTTGTGAGCAGCTACTCCGTATGCATTGAAGTAACCTATCGGGAAAGCCGTGATTAAGCTGTGCAGTAATAATGTAAATCAACGTACCGGCTTGGTATTGAGAGCAGCTGAAGACAGCTAATTCGAGCGGTTTCCCCCCGTTGACGAGGTGTGCAGGAGCTATGGCGCACGGACTATCAGCTTACCACTGCTCCATAGTTGAGCGTTGGAGCCTACTCACTGTCCGGGGTAGAGATCGTCCTGGTTGCACCGACCGGGCTGACAGTCTTCGGGTTCGTGCAGTCTGCGAACTGGAACCAGTACTTTGTGTCGGGCTTCAAGTTCGTCGCTTCGACCTTGAGGGTGAAGTCGACGTCGTAGCTCGTGAAGGCGTCGCCCGAGTCGACGGGGCGCCCGGATAGTTGGGCGTTGTTGAAGATCTTGAAAGAGACACAAACAGGAATGCTAACGTCCGAAGGAAGGGCGGTGCCAGTAGGGACCGCACGCGTCCAGAGCAGGACGGAGTCGTGGAAGGGATCGCCCTATGATATCATCAGCGAGGGTCTGCGACCTGCGTTGCATCAAGGCGTACACTGGCAACTAAGTCAAAAGAGTCAGTGCCATGGCTCGGCATTCCAGACGTCGACGACTTACCCGAGTGAGTGAAGTTAATGCCGCCGTTGTAGATCCACGGGCTCTAGATGGTCGATTATTTGAGCTAGCCTTAGCGGAACGGCTCGATCATTACTCACGCTACTGAAGTCACCACCGTAGAAGGTGGGGTAATGCTCATCCTTGAATCCGTCCGAGCTCTCGGTGTCGGACAGCTGCCTCTTCGCGTACGCGATACCACGGGCGTGTAGGGACCGAGTATTGTGGGACAGCTTTTACACCCGAGATCAGCGTCAGCACACCCTCGAAGGTCCGCAACCATGATTTAAGTGCTTACGTGCGGCGCGTCCACGAAGGGCGAAGAGTAGGCCAAGTTGCGATCGAACAACTCAGTCGCGCCCGCGACGACACATAGTGCGAAGCCTGTAAACAGCGCAGAAATCATCCTGGCTAGAACTTGTCGCCTGAAGGGACGCATCAACCAGACGTAACGCGCCCGATTTTATGGGCATCGCGAAGATGAACGTGTACCACCGACGGAGGCGTCACTCCACAAGGTAGCATGCGGTTGTAGTCTGATAGGGATACAGAAGCATGTCGTAACACCAGTCGAGGCTCGCTGCACCGCGCACGTTCGCCGGGCTGCGCAAGCGATTGGCAGTACCCGCTACGGGGAGGCGCGCCGAGACTGCAGCTGACGGTGCCAACGTAAGAGGGCACGGTCCGCGGGAGGTGGAGTTCCTCTTCATAGCTTCGTCGGTCAGAGGGGCGTCATGCACGTGGACAGCAACGTACGTACCGTTATTGCCGTTCTATCTCACGCCGTCCAGGCCATGCTCTAGATGATCGTCATATGCAAAGAAGTATAGATCATCGAGCTGGGGTGGCAGGCGTGCACTAGATGCTCAGACGCTCTACAAGCATTGGGCTGGTGAGGCAAGTGGACTCAGTTCGCTGGCTCGAGATGGACTCACACGACATTCTGGTGCAGCGGGAACAATACTGTGGCTAATAACAAGGAATTGTCAATCCAGAGCGAGCAAGGGACACACCAGAGACGTAGGACTGCTCCCTTGCAGAGGTTCCTAAACCGTATCAAACGGGGAACCATTAGACTACATACCGCATTCACTTCGGCTGCTCTTTAGTGCGCTTGAAGGCTTCCCCCGCGGTGACCGGCGAAGAACTGGGCAACTGAACTGAACCTTGATAAAACATGAAGGATCGCCGATAGACTGAACGCGGACACCACAAGTTTATAACTTGAAGCACAGATCGGTCCTTCGTAACATTAGCTTCCGCCGCGTTCTTTCCCCTCCAACCGCCGTTGTGTAGCCGTTGGTCGCGTGCACGTTCACCCTTGAACCTTGAGGACGCCTGCGTTGACTCGGCCACTAGCAACAGGGCGAGACAATCTGTTTTCGCCTATTGGTAGGTGCGATTGGCGTCAGTTCGCCCTCCAGTGTCGACGCAGAGCAACACCAACGAGTGTGGAGCTTACCTGACTTGACGACGAAAGTCGCGCTAGCGAACGCATCGAGGTTGGCGGAACCTACAGCAATACTCTGTCAGCCCGCGTACATCCGCGGTCTCAAAAGTGCAACACTCACTGACGTTCCGCATAGCGTAGTACGTCGCGGTGGCAGTCGTTGTATTGAGGGTGAGCGTAAAGAAGCCACGGTACGAGCCTTCGCTCCACTGCAGGTCCACGTTATCTCGCACGTAGTTGCGCGAGATATCGTTAGCGGCATCCGGCAGAATACCAGCACCAAAGGTAGACGTAGACGACACTGCTGTGCCCGCAAATTCGACACCGATAGCGCCATGCCCGGTGAGGCAGTTGTATCTGAAGGTGCATTAGACTCGTTCGGGGCAGGAGTGATATACGGCATGGAAATATTACGTGATGGTGTCATTGGGGCCTGTGACATGTACACATCAGCATCGTCCTGCGTTTGGAGCGATGGTGCTTACGGGCGAGGTCGCTGGCCCAATTGGCGTGTGAATCACCTGCCAGGATGATCGTGTTGGTGATCTCGTTGTCGTAGAGGTAGTCGAGAACGCGGTTGCGGTTGGCGCGGTAGCCATCCCAGGCATCCTGTCGAGATGTGAGGTCCTTTAAAACATACTATCGAGGCATATTATGTCCGCTCACGACGTCAACTGATGAAACAAACCATGACATTCAGACAAACCGGCGACAAGAGAAGATCGTCGACTTACAGCCTGTCGTCAGATCAATTTGCGAGAATACGATTTGTTGGCTTTAGACGTCGTATCAGTACCACGTCTGTGATGAAGGTGTTGTTGCCATACCCAACGATGCGCCAGATAGCACCCCGCTGCTTGGAGGCTGACAATGTGTTGTAGAACCCTTCGTATCCGCACAATATGAACAAAATGAACGGAGAAGTACGGTCATTGTACTCACAAGCCTCCTGAGGTGCCCCCATAAGCGAGCGATCCTTTTCGTCGGCGATCGAGTCAATGACTACATTGTTAATATGAACGGGACATCGATGAGAGCAGAGAAGGTCACACTCACACTCTAAGCAGGGGGTAGCATGTTGAGTGAATAGTAAGTACATAATTTCGCAGGAACGTCACCCACCAGTGTTGTAATACAGCTTAAAACAGAAGTCAGCTCCACCATTCAGATATCCTGTAACACCATATCGATACTCACATCCGTGATATCACGATCGTATTGACCTGTGAAAGCTCAAAATCCGATTCAAAGCGTATGACATACGCGCAAGACGACTGACGGGTATCAAGCATAGTGAGATCCTGAAGGCCACGTCAACGAATTTCTCGCAGACATCGTGGCTCATCGAACGACATACCAATAGCTTGCCGATCTGGAAGTTACGCCACACGCGGAGCTTGTCGTCCGGGTCGACCTGCCTGATGGGCATCCATTCGTGGTAGGCTCTGACGGCGGCGAGCTTCCGGTCGGTGAAGCACGCGCCAGAAGGGGAGAAGCTACAGCCGACAGCGGTGTCGTTGCTGTCGGCTGTGCCAGCCTTCCAAGCTTGGTCTGCGACTTCATGGTCATCCTGTAGGGCCGCATGATGATCCGTTAGGCAAAACTTTTAAAGATGGGCATTGACCTCGTACATACCCTGGACGAGGAAGAGAGGATCAGAAGGCTATTTACGAATACATAAGCTCTTCATCACTCACCATACAGTAATCCAAGGTGCATTCTGGTGTGCAAACACTAAGCTGACGTCAGTCCTGTACTGGCTCAACCGCCCCCGGTAATCTTCAATCGTCGCCAACTCCCGTCCAAGAGTCTCGCGTCCGATAGCAGCTCTAATGCGCAGAAAGTTAAATCAGCCTAACGTATGTTGGAAGAGCAAGACGAATTTGCGCCTTACCCGTCACCCAAGGACTCGTAGATCTGAAAAGTTGAGTCTATAAGCTTGCACACCGTCGCGACCGCATACGACATACATAGTCACCGAGATGCACCAAAATATCCGTGGAGGTATTGTGAGCAGCGACACCATACGCGTTGAAGTAGCCTATTCCCCACCTGTTCTAAGCATGTGCGGCAAATGGGTGGTAGATAACGATATGCATACCGTCTTGATACCGCGCGCAACTGAACACGGCGAGTGTGAGAGGCTTGCCGCCGTTGACCAAGTGCGCAGGGGCTACCACGAGAGCTCGACAGTCAAATCCCGCCACTACCGACGAGGAACCACTCACTATCGGGCCTGGAGAGGGTCCGAGTCCTCCCTACCGGACTGACCGACTTCGGGTCCGTGCAATCGGCGAACTGGAACCAGTACGTTGTATCGGGCTTGAGGTTTGTAGCTTCCACTTTGAGCGTGAAATCGACGTCGTAGCTTGTGAACGCGTCGCCCGCATCGAGAGGGTGTCCACGCAGCTCCGGGTTGTCGAAGATCTTGAAGGAGACGCAGAGGGGGATACTTTCTTCTGGGTGGCCCAGCGGAGCGGCGCGTGTCCAAAGTAAGACGGAGTCATCCAGAGGATCGCCCTGAGTATGAGTTGGGATATGAGTCTTATTCGCAAATATGTTTTAGAGTGCGTACGCTGGCCACTGAGTGAGTGAAATTGATACCGCCGTTGTAGATAAATGGGCTCTGTGGAAGGGGTGAACGAACGGCGCAGCGGCTGGAAGGAGATCGCACACATACATTGCTAAAGTCACCGCCATAGAACGTCGGATAATGCCCGTCCTTGAACCCGTCCGAACTCTGCGTGTCCGCGAGCTGCCTCTTCACGAAGGCGAGGTGGCGGGCCTGAAGGGAGCGTGTATCGTGCGACAACTGCATAGAACGAGGGTGAGTGCGCAGCTACCAGGTCTCCGGCCAGGTCTCTGTAAGACGACCACTCACCTGCGGGGTCTTCACGAAAGGCGACGAATACGCCAAGTTGCGATCGAACAGTGCAGTCGCGCTCACCAATACACCTGCAAATATCCCTATAGCCAATCTCTGGAACAGCATAGCTGCTTGTGTGCGGGAGTGCACAGTACGGACGGAGGGTGTAATGGAGCACTATAGGCTCGGACCCCCGTTGACAGCGTGGTACCGAAAGGAAGCAGTAGGGGCACGTCCCACCGCCGGAACGGAGACGCTATCTCCCTCAGTCCCTCGCAAGCACGTTCGTTCGCAATGCATGCCATTGGCGACCGAACGCCCCCCCCCCCCCGCCTGCAGAAATTGACCTGTCAAACATGGAGCAACAGGAATAGCCAAAGAGGCTTCGGAAAGGAGAGCGTCGCCTCGCAGATGGATAGCTTCTCTTACGTGTAGCACCAAGGTCGTCCGCAACTCTCCCCAGTAATCGCTCGCCGGGAGGATGGCCCGGACCTAGACCGTCAGAGATAGAAGCCAAAAGTATAACCAGAAACGAAGACATGCTGCTAATTTGAGAATTGAGCGGTCCGATACAGTGAAAGACTCGAAAACCACTCACGCGACCAGATAGCACAATAAGTTGAGACGTTCTTACGGGTTGGACTTGCACCGGTTCCGTGCTGCAAAATGATCGAAGTACATCCTGGAGTCTTGCATAGTGATAGTACAGCAGCATACAACGCGCGCTATCGTACATGATGCAGATCTGTGCCATTGACACATCCCTGAGGATTGCATGAGACCATTAGCGCAGAAAACCACATGGAAGACTCCACTACTCACGGGATTCTTATGCATTTTCGTTCTCGACAAAGCCAGCGTGTTTACAGCTTGGCCTTATACACCGGCACTCCGCGATTGAAGTCGAACGAAACGCCCTCCTCCGCTTCGAGCAGCTGGAAGCGGGACAGGCCATTGAAGTAGCCAGCGTACATCGTGCCGACGACCCCGTGCGTCAGGGCCGCCTGCTTTGGCGGTATCTTCCGCGTCTTGCGGCCCGGGCCCGCAGCCGCGGCGTCGGCGGCGAGCTGCACCTGGCACGACTTCTCGAGGGACACGAAGAAGTGGAGCGTCGCTTCGATGTTAGTCGTGGCCACCAGCAGGCCGTGGTTCTACACCGTAACGTGAGTGTCCGCGTAGCGCATGCCGTCGGCCAACGCAGCTGACCTGCAAGATAACGGCCTGCATACGATGTCAGAGTGGTATAGCGCGGCTTCATGAAGCAAGAATATATACCTTCTTATTCCCAAGCGCCTTCGCGATATTCTCCCCCTCCTCTTCGCTCAATACCACCCCGCCGTACTGGTCATACACTCCATGGTCCTAAGAAAGAAGGTTCGCGCTATCAATATCAACGAAGCCCGATATGCCCGCATGCCCCTCACCTCGTAGAACGCACAGCTGTCCTGCGTGGTTATATCGAGCTCCTTGCCGAGGGTAGAGAAGGCGCGCCCGAAGACAGAGTGGGAATGGGCAGCGCAGTTCACGTCCGGGCGCTTGGCGTGCACGGTCGAGTGTATCATGAATGCAGCCCTGTTGAGCAGCGTGTTGGGACCGGACTCAGCGAATTGGACGTTGGCATGGTGGTCCACGAGCAGGAGGTCCTCCGGTTGGATCAGCGAGAAGTGTTTCCCCTATGCGAGCGCGTGAGTGGTGCGAAGACCGAAGAGTAAATATAAAGGTGCGTACGAAAGGATTGACCCAGAAGCAGTCAGGGCGAATTGAGTCCTGGGGCAACCCGTAAGTGTACTGTGACTAAATGCACGCATCGTCGCGTGCTGCTCACCCGGACAGTGATGTGGCCCGCGACGCCTTCATCGTACCCGAGTTTACCTGATATCATGACACTGAATGAGGCAAATATCTCCTTGCAGCACAAAGCGAGCGCAAAAGCTGACCGAAGATCCTGAAGGCCTGTGCAAGACGGAACTTGATGTACTCGCGCTCCCTCTGCTTGGACGTAAACTTGGGAGGAAGCGGCAGGTCGCCAATGGCAGAGGCGTGGCTTGCCCCCTCATACGGCGCCAAAGGGATCTCGACTGAGGGGAGAGGCATGGCGACGTATAGAGCAGATACGATTGGGAGCAGGGGTGCTGCGTTCGCAGCACAAGATGCAGTAGGCTCTATATACCATGTCGGTAGCCCGGCACGTTCATCGTCATCGCGGTCGCCGATAGACGTAGAAAAAGTCAATCGCGAGACCAAGTCAAGGGCATCAGCTGGTCTTGCGCATATATTTGCGTGTGCGATGAGAGAAAGAAGAGGTCATGAGAGGAGGAAGAAAGGCGACGCCCCCAGTTGCCGCGACCAAGCCGGCGTAAGCGCCCAGCGTCTCGTCGCGGTCGTACACGTGCACCAAACGTGCACGCGACGCGACCGCTTCTGCCACAGACGCGACGCGTCGCGTGGCCACTGATCCACGGAACTCGTTTAGTCTCCTCGTCCATAATATTTTTTGCTTCGTGCTCCGAGGTATCCTTCATGCACTCACAGGCTAACTCACGTTCATCCAGTCTGGAAGCTGTCATTTATCGGTGATGTGCCAAGGACACGCTCCTGAACCAGACACTGATACATAGTAGTAACAATATTTTCCTTTACAAACGGCTACCTCTACTCGTATCAACAGGTTATACACGCAATCAACGATTCCATCGTCCCACGGCGACGTCGTACACTCCAAGAAATACCCTGCACGAAACGGGAGATCACTTCAAGGTTTGGCCACCTTCACGACCTCCCCGCGTTCGAAGTCGAACTTCTCCCCCTCCAGGTGCTCCAGCAGCTCGAAGTGAGGGCGCCCACTGAACCAGCCTCCATAGTTGGACCCGGTCACCTTGTACACCGCCGCAGCCTCCGCGGCCGGGATTTCGATCGGCTTGCGCCCGGTACCAGCCGCCGCGGCCTCAGCAGCAAGCTGGACCTGGCACGACTTCTCCATCGTCATGAAGAAATGCACCGTCGCTTCGATGCTGTCCGTGGCGACGAGGAGGCCGTGGTTCTGCCGCCCGACGTCAGTATATCAAACCCTGTCAGCTTCGGCCGCCGACGCTCACCTGCAAAATCGCAGCCTACATGACATATCAGCGGATGCCAACACAACGATAACGAAAGCCCTACCTTCTTCTTTCCCAACGCCTTCGCGATGTGCTCGCCCTCCTCCTCGCCCAAGACGAGCCCGCCGTACTGGTCATAGAGGGCGTGGTCCTGTCCAGCAAGGTTTCATCAGTCGCCGCAAGAACCGCGGGCACAGCGCTCATCCTCCGTGGGGCGCGGACCGACCTCGTAGAACGCGCAGCTGTCCTGTGTGATCATCGAGAGCTCCTTGCCCAGCGTCGAGAACGCGCGGCCGTAGATCGAATGCGAGTGCGCGGCGCAGTGCACGTCCGGGCGCGCCTCGTGGATGGCGCCGTGGATCATGAAGGCCGCCTTGTTGAGCAGCACGTTCGGGCCCGACTCCTCGACTTGCACCTCAGCGCCGTGGTTGACGAGGATGAGGTCCTCGGGCTGGATCATCGAGAAGTGCTTGCCCTGCCGAGGGTCGTGTGAGTAGGTTTCTATTGCGCATATAGGGTGAAGCGACATACGAATGGGTTCACCCAGAAGCAGTCCGTACGGATGCTGTCCTGTAACGCTTATGAGTCTACGCGCTCCGACGGTCGTCGGCGGGTGTTCAGCGTACCCGGACGGTAATGTGCCCTGCAACACCTTCATCGTAGCCAAGCTTCCCTGTAGACGAGCTGTAGTGAGCCGGCAAGAATCTTTGCGAGAGGGGTGCAGTACTCACCGAAAAGTCTGTACGCCTGAGCGAGGCGGAACTTGAGGAACGCTCGCTCATGCTCCTTCGACGCGAGCTTTGGGGGCATCGGCGGAGCACCGACAGCCACGTCGCGGCTACGCCCCATGTACTTTGAGTTCTCAGGCATCGCAGTGTGGTAGGTAAAGCTGGACAGAGGATGAGTAGATGGTGGAAGCTCCTAACAACCTGGGGCGTCTTAAACCGGAGAGCTGGGAAGTTTATAGCTTCGCCCGGCAACTTACCTTGCCTGCCGTGCGCCGGTTCCGAGTTCGAAGACGCTGCACCCGGAAACAACAGCTACATCGAGGGTCACCTGGTAAAAGACCGAACAATGTCTGGCCAGCACTGTCATGTGGTACGGCCGATACGCCAGTGTCCCTGGTGCGGCCGGCGGCCTTGACAGTGCTGAGCGCTGAGCGCTAAACAATCTACACACCCGGTCACCTCTTCCGGGCGCAACACACAAGCACTGCAGGTACGTCCAAAGCTGTGTTCGAATTCTGAATCTGAACAGCGTCAAAGCAAGCCACTTGAAAAAATGCGCGACTTGGGTGGCACGGGCTAGCGGCAACACAGGAAGAGGAGACAAATATGGCTGAATAGAGTAAGCCAACATACAGTAGGGCCACTGAATAGGACGCGTCGTAATGTATCGGACCTGAACGTAAAACGCAGATTGTCACAGATAGTCTTCGTACTCGCGGAAGCCGTAGTAACGGCGCCCTCGAGTGGGGCCTTGGTAGTCTAGTCCATTACATTAATATGCGGGGCTAGTGATGGTGTAAAATGGGACCTACAGGAACTGGTGTCACGAGCTGGGCTCACACCAGCAACGCTGGCTAGGTTGATGTAACCCTCTGCAGAGCGGCCCGCGGCTTTGCTTGCTCCAGCTGCGACAGGAGCGACCCACTTAGCCCTGCAGAAGACACATGTCGCGGCGCCCTTGGCCGTGTTGGCCCCTGTATCATTTGCGTGTGAGCCTGATATCTACTGCTTTCACCATGCGCCAACACTCACACTGCTGGAAGCATTCCTTGTGCAGTCCGTTGCCACATTCCTCGCAGAACGATAGCAGCGTCTCTGCAACGCCGTGCATGTTCTCGTAACAGATGGGGCAGTCATCTTCTTTCTCAGGCAGGCGTTTCTTCCCACCTTTCTGTGAACCGGAGGGAATGGCCTTTCCTGTAGCCAGGGCGTACGCATTGCGGATGCGTTCATGAGCAATAGCAGCGGGCGCTTGGGGTGCCTCAGCGAATATCTCCTCTAGCTCGGAGGTCAGGAGTGCCCTGTAAACTCGTGAGCAGCCGATGTATATGTTGCATTTGGGGCACTCACTTCTGGTACCAGTACCCAGACTTCTGTGTGACCTGGAGGACTAAGTCGACAAATGAAACATCAGTATACCGGTCCACTATTGGAAATCGAGTATTATTTCATACCTTTGAGGAAGATGAAGAGCTGGGCGAAAGCGTTAGCGCGGGCTTTTTCAGACAGAGCAGCAGTGACTTACAATGTGCTTGCAGTGGTTGCCTTTCATCGCATCAGGGCCTGCAGAACGGTCAATCGACGGACTTTGGGGGAGACAGATCCAACAGAACTCACAGGTACAGGACGGCTTCTTGTCAATTACCACCGTGTACACCTGCATTGTCAAGTATGAGCCACCGCCACAAGGGTTGGGGCCAGGTATGCCTCAGCGTACTAACATTGCCCGTAGAGCCCAGCACGCTGAACTCCTCCTTGAGCTCAGTTCCTTGTCGGCGCCTGTCAATCATGAAGAACCTGGCGCGCGTGGGTTAGCGTTGGGAGACCCGCTACGCTAAACATAATATAACGGGCCTTTGTTGCATGACTCTCTCGACGCGTTCTATGATGTTCTTCGGACACGCCTTCTTGAACATGGCGCCGCGCTTCTCGGGCACGGGCGCGTCGGGGTCCTTCGCCTTGCGCTGCCTCTTCGCTGCCGGTTTCGACGCGACCGGGGGGTTGCTCTCGGAAGGGCCAGGCACAGCAGCGGCAGGATAACTTGAGGCATAGGTGTAAGTCGAGTAGCCGCTGTACGGGTCGTCTACCGCCTTTCTCTTGCGCGGAGGCATCGCGGACGCGATTGAAGACGGGTACAGAGTGTGGCGAGGGCGCGTTCAGAAGGATGCGGATCAAGGTGAAGCGCGCTCCGCGAATTGAGAACGCGCATCGCGTTGTGCTTGGTTTCCCACGACATGTTGCCACAGCTCATCTCCTCCTCCTTCGGCTGGGTCAGAGACCAAGCGTCCGCCAAAGCGGAGGACGCCCTGATATCTATTCTATCGGCGGGACCAATACCGCAGCACGTCGCGTTTATCCTCGATGGGAACAGGCGGTATGCACGTAGCAAAGGAATGCAGGTCAAGCAGGGCCACACCGATGGCTTCTACACTCTCCGAAGGGTACGCCCGCTCCATCGACCTCTGGGTGTGCTCTAATCAACGCGTTCGTAGATGCTTGAAATATGCATCAAGCTGAACGTGCGTTGCGTGAGCGCTTACGCGTTCTCTATCGAGAACTTCAAGCGGTCCCCGGAGGAAGTGACCGCGCTCATGGATCTAGCTGAGGACAAGCTGCTCGAGTTATGCCAACAAGGGTGTGTCTGTACGGCCGCCGTGACCTCCAACCGTGCTAAACCTCCGTAGAGACATCCTTGACAGGTATGGCATCCGCCTTGTCGTCGTCGGCAACAGGGATATGCTGCCAGAGAGGGTTCTCGCTGCTGCAGAAAAGGCCGAGAGCCTCACCAAAAACAATAATAGGTACGACCTCGTTATGCTGTACGTGTTCGGTAAGTTCACACCAATATTAGGGCTGTCTTCAACCTCTGCATGCCGTACACGTCCCGCGACGAAATCACCACTGCGGTGCATAAAGTAATACAAGCGCGTCTGGATGGTGCCGATGACACGTATGCAATTTCTCTCTATGACTATATCCACTCACCAACGCTTTTGCACAGAGAGATCACAGAGGACGACATCGAGGCTCACCTCATGACGTCCATTGCAGGGAGTCCACCTTTGGACATCCTTGTCCGCAGCAGCGGCGTTAAACGATTGAGCGACTACATGCTCTGGCAGGTATGGCACACGGTGTCTGCAACTGTTGGCGTCGTGCTGACCACTGCAATATAGTGCTCTGAAGATACGCAGCTGCAGTTCTCATCCACGTATTGGCCCGAGTTCGGCTTGCTGGACTTCATGCCCATCATCCTGGACTACCAGCGGAAAGTCTGGTCCAAACCCCCGCAGTGACATTTCCTCTCTGCCTTCCTTCAGACTAACTTATTATGTTTCTTCTTGTGATACCTGGGTTTTTGATTGTTGGAATGGGCCGGAACATGATAATAGCCGTGTGCGGGATATGTCTACACATATGTACAGATGCATCAGTCACGGGTCACGGGGCAGAAAAGCGAGAGCGATAGTAGCTACAATTATAACGGACGAATGCAGGAGGGGAAGCGGAGCAACAGACCACAAGAGCAACAACAAAGACAAACCAAGATACAGTGCGAGTCCAAGACGTCCGTTCCAACCACCACACCATCGCCGCATCGCTATGAATGCTGCAAGCTCTGCACAGGGGGCGGCGGGGGCGGCATAAACATGCCCGGCTGGTGGTTCGTCATGGTCCCCACCCGCTGTATGAGGCGCATAATCGGCTGGAACGCAGCATAGACCTGCTCGCATATATCCTGCTGCTGCCTCGCCAGCGCCTCGTCCACCCCGCGGCGCACCGCTCCGAGGCCGTCGTGCAACGCGCCACGCAGCTCGGGGCGGAGCAGCGGGATGACGTGCACCGCGAGCTCGTTGGACGTCGGGGCAGGCGGAGGCGGAGGTGGCTCGCGGTTCAGGTACTCTTGCAGCTGCTTGTGAAGGTTTGCGATCTCGACGTGGCTCTCCGCTATACCTTCGGAGAGCGTCTTCCGCTGCTCAGTGAGCTAGAAGGGGCCCTCCAATTAGTCGCCACACGATGAATAGGAGACAGCGAACACGGACTTTATTCATCTGGAGCTGCAACTCTGCCGTTTCTGCAGCAAGCTGGTGATAGGCACGTTTCCTCTCCAGGTTGCGGCCCTTCTCTTCCTCGATCTGCTTCAAAAGTTCTTCGAGACGCGCCTCACGTCCCTCCAGCTCGCGCTCGAGCTGCGCGACCTCCGCCGTCAGCTGCGCTTGTGTCTTCCGTGGCGCCAGAGGCACCTCGCCCTCCTCTGTTGACCTCGACGCGGCTAGGGGCTCGGACGGGAGCACGATGTCCTTCCGGCTTCGCAGAATCGTCGCCACGATGTCGGCCGTGCCCGTAGGAGTCATGCGTAGCTCCTCGATCTGGTGCTCCAAGTCTGTAACTTGATCTTCCAGGCTGTCGACCTGGGAGTTGACTAGTTCAACGCGCGCCTGTGCCTCCTCCATCTCCTTGGCCGTGGCCTCCTCTTCGGCTGCCTTGGCTTCCTCTTCCTCCTGCTTCAACTGTGCAGTCGTGCGCTCGGTCTCCAGACGCTGCTCTACGAGCGGGCGGACCTCATCGATCCACGCCTTGGTGCTGTTCGCCCAGTAATGCCAGTTCTCGATCTCCGGGGGCAGCACGGGGTCCGCTTCCGTAGGAGGGCCGTCGGTTGGGAAAGCAGCGAGCTTTGCCAGACACTCGTCGAATTTTCGCTGCGTCCGACGCAACTTCCCGTCGTGCTCTGCGCGCACGCGTTCGATCTGGGCATGCGCCACCACCATCGACGCGCTGCGGTACCGCGAGGAGCGCTGCATCGCGCGTTGCTTCGCCTGCGTTTCGTTGAGAGTTGCGAGGTCCATGCCCAGCGCGACGGCTTTCGTGAGCAGCCTGAGGGCACGCGGGTGAACATTGGCACGAGAAGCAACTGGAGGATGTACGCACCTTGTAAAGTCTTTCCATTTATCAAGGGAGGTCTTGAGGCGGCCGTCTACCACGGGCGATATGGGCGAGCTCGCCCGAGACGGCACCTTCGAGCCAGCTCGCGACGAAACAGGAATTTCCTCCATGTTGACTTCTCGGAAAAGGTCTTCCACAGGCTCTGGGGGCTCGACGTCCATCCTCTGTGCGGGCGTGTAGTCCGTGAAGGCGAACGGGCTGGGGGACGGAGTCGACCCGCTCGGACCCGCTACAGAAACGGGGGCGGGCACACCCCAGCTAAGGGTGCGCGTCTCCTCTTTGCGGAGCTCTTTCGCTAGTATGCTCTGAGCCGCCTCATCAGAGGGAGACGTCGCGCGGACGCTGGGAACAGCCGTGGTCGAGGTGCTCGTCGCGAGAGACGGCCGTCGACGCGGGTCTGCCGCTGCGACACGCTCCCTCTGTGGGCTGCGATCGGGTGAGCGGGGCGTACGGGGCGTCGCCCATTGGGGCGTAGACGTAACATTTGCGTCCTTTTCCTTCGCGGGGTCGCCCCAGATGGCCGCCTCTGCTGCCTTCTTCTCCTGGTCGGGCGACTGTTGGTCTGTACTTGTGGAAGAGGGATTGCCCCAGCTGCCCGGCGCCGGAGGGGGGGCACCCCAGTCGGCGGGAGGAGCAGATGCGGGCGCTGAGGACGATGCACCCCAGTCAGCACTCGGCGCACCCCAGTCCAGAGCGGGCGCACCCCAATCCAGAGATGGATCGGCCGGGGGAGGAACTGCAGGCGCAGCGCTCGGTCCTGCTTGGTTGGAACCGCCCGCGGCACCAGCAGAATCCCAGCTCTCCCCTCCGAACGACTTTCCCCACCCTGTTGCAGGGTTCGGGTTTTGTTGCGGCGCGTCCGGCCATCCTCCCCCTGACTTCCTTGGCCCGCCCCACCCCGCGTCGCCTCCACCACTAGGGGGGCCATCCCAGCCGCCGCGGCCACGCCCCGCGCCGTCTGCGCCTCCCCTACCACCCCTTCCCCTACCGCGCGGGCCGCTAGGCATATACGGTCTTGGTTGCTGCGCGTGTCGCCACTCTGGCGAGCTCGGATGGATAAAATGGCAATTTGGGCCTATGGGACAGCCCTTTCCGTACGGGTGCCCGTTGTCGTCGTAGTGCTGCGCGGTGGCTGGTGAGCGGGCGTCCTGGACGTCGCGGTGCGGCTGGGGGGCGTGCGCAGAGCTCGAGGGTAGCGGGACTCACCCGGCAGCGTATAGCCATTTTCGGAGGCCCGGCGAGTGTGCAGGGTCGCTAGCTTGGCCGTGACAGTGGCGGACGGGGAGGTCTCCCGCGAAAGGGTGGTCGGGCGGCGGGATGAGAAACGTGTGCTACGGTAGACTTCGCCGTGTCTTCTGAGGCGTGCACCGTCGAGGGGGGTGGTATAAGCGGACACACAGATAGACAACGAGCGGGAATCCCAGGAGCTGCACGTCGGCACTGGTGCAAGCAGTCGTAGGTTGGGGGCGTGCACAACGAGCCGCGCGACGGTCAGGCGCGGTACCAAGCAGATTCATGCTGCACGATCTCGATCAACCGAAACGTTATCGAGATCTCACTCTGTCCGCCCGCGATTTTGGATATCACTTGTTGGTCTCCCACTGGCAGACCTTTCGTACTCTTTTGGAGGATCCGAGGGGAGGAAGCACTAGATATCACTACATTTTCCACTTTTATGCACACAGCAAGAACTTGAAATCCCTCCATACTTGGGACGTATGTACTCGTGCTCATCCATGCTTGCTGTATCATGTATCCGGCTTTATATGCCACAAAATGACCCGGGCCCAGGGCTGCATACTCAAGAACCACCTATACGCAAAGGTCCAAATTGATGATTCTGCAAGTATCGTAACGGCAATCTTGGCCAACATTTACTCTACACACATTTTCCAGCACTTGTCGCCATCGCCACCAGTTACACAAGCAGAAGAGAAACCGTAAGATGCCATGCTGATTGGACCTCCATCCGAGTCAGTCGTAGTCGTAAGTATGAGGTGGTGATCGGGTGTAGCTAAGCACTAGCTAGTAGGCTGCGCAGCATGCGCGCGTACGGTAAGGGAGGCGGATAGATAGGAGCAGAGGTATCGCAGCGGGTCGTAGGATGGTTCGGGGAGCGAGGGGTAGCAAAAATACAGCAACAGGGGTTCAAATAGTGCCAGCCATCAAAGAAGGGGAATAGAAAGGAAAGCAATAAAAGAGAGAGGACCTCGTACACTCGGGACATGATCGTTCGTCACAGTCGTCAACACATTCCCCTGCGGGACACTTCACCAGCCTCCCCACCACTTCTTCGGGTGCCGCTTCCTAGGACCGCGCATCATCGTCACGGTCGTCTCGACTTCCTCGGGCTCGAAGATCTCCTCTTCGACCACCACCTCGACCGACGTGGTCTTGGGAATGTGTGTCGTAGAGGACGAGCTCACAATGTTGGGAGTCGGCGAAGCGACACGACGAGTGCTGTTGGGGGGAGGAACAGTGACCTGCGAAGGAACCGTGTGGTGTTGGGTGTGGGTGACGGTCCGGGTCTCGGTCGCAATCTCGATGGCGGTCTCAGTGAGAATAATAGGTGGGAGCGGGAGGGCCTGCGAGAGCAAAGCGTGTCAGCGAGCTATTCCAATGCAGTGAGGGGGGTCGTAGTCCAATAGCCTGTCTGCACTCGATGGGAAAGACTGTCACACAGTGACTGTGCGCGATGTGCATCACGTGGGCGCGACTAAAACACGCGTCTCGCACAAGGATCGATGGAGAAGCAAGTGCAGACAGGCTATCAGCATACAAGGACGCGGGGGAACAAGCTGACAAACACCGTGGTCCCCCAAGCCCGGGACGAAGGGAGGGGAGGGGAGGGACAATGGATACGAACTCTACATAAGTGGCAAGCAAAAGATAGAAGAAATTGTCGGCAGAGTTCCCCCTTCGTCTCAGAGCTCGGAGCGGCGCTGCTGGGGTGGAGGCGGGGGTACCTTGGGTTTCCGTCTCGCGCCGCCAGGTGCCAAAGGCGGAGGTGGCTCGTTGTAAATGTACTCTTCCTCAACCGTCTCAGGTTGAACTTCGTTCAGCGCACTAAGATGGCCAAACCAATTAGTACGGAAATATTGCAACGAGTGTGGGACATACACAAGCTGTTCCATGATCCAACCCTCGCGTCTTGAAGCGTCATGCTCGCGGCGGTTGACTTGCTCCTCGCGACGACTGATTTCGCGTTCGCGCTCCGCGATTTTGAGTTCGCGGTCGAGGATGTCCTCAGCACGAATGCGAGCCTGATCCCACCAGCCGGGAGGCGTCAAGGATTCCTCCTTTACGACCTCCTTGATGACGGTCTGGACGGGGGGCGGCGCCTCCGTGACCTTCTCGTAGACGGTAGGGCAAGCAGGGCAGACGAGGGGAGAGGGTGTGGGGGCAATCACGCCGCCTGGAGCACCAGCAAGGATCTCGGCCTCGCGGCGAGCAACTTCGGCCTCACGAACAGCGACGTTGCTCTCGCGAGCAAGCAGGGCTTGAGTGCGCTTCGGTGTAATGATTCCCCAGAAGCCTTGAGCATTGGGCTCCGCACCGGCCGCGGCCGCGGCGGCATTGCTGGCGCTCTGATTTGAGGGCAGAGAAAGCATCACGGCCAGGACGGCCAGAACGAGAGAGAGGACGAGTAGAAGGGTGGTGGATGAGATTGTGCGATGGTGGTGGTGACGAGAGGAGCGTTCGCTACGCTCCCTTTCCCGTTCCCGGTGGGAGGAAGAGGGTTGGGCCATCCTGACGCTGACGGAGTGCGAGGGCGACAAGGACGTGGAAGTAGCGGCTCTGAGTGTGGACGTTATGGTGGGAAACGGAGCGGGGGGATGGGGGTAGCGCTGTTATTGGAATGAAGGAGACGGAATGATCGTCAGAGGGGAGGGGGGAGGGGATAAAAGGGGGAGCGCAGGGAGGAAGGGGAAGAGGTGCAAGGAGCAACACCAACGCGCAGGTTGACTTTTGAACTTGGTTCGTTTTCCCGATTCAGGCTGCTGGGGCACAAACAGGTCACAATATCACCCCAACACGTGTCGGCAGTTTTCCCACCCGCTGATTTATTGTCACACCATGCCTGTTTTCTTTCTCATTGGATTTTCGTTTCACGAGGCGACCGCGTGTTTGGCTTGTCTTGGCCAATCAGAGCCATTTGTTTGTTTCTCCGAAGGCGGAGATAAAAACGAGGGTGGCTGATGTGGCTGATGCGGCGGGATGGACGAGAGTGCCCGGGTCCTTGGACGAGGCAGTGATGGACACGTCACGTCACATTTGCCCACGCTCCGGAGGTCAATCACGCACGCGCGTCCGGTGCCACCGTCGCGTCTTCCGCTCACTGCTCTCCGTCTCTCGCTCGGTGCCTGCCTCTGCTCAGCCCAGCATGTCCTCTCTTCGTCGCTTCGCCCAGACGAACGCTGCCGTCTCTGCATCTCCTAGGGCAGGCGGCTCAACAAGTGCTTCTACCGCCGCATCGCCCACCACCCCCGTCCGCGGTAACCCGACCACACCGCGTGCACGCCTCATCTACCCAATCTCTCCGGTTACTTCACCGTCGTTGTCTGCCTCCCAGCCCTTTGACTGGGAGGCCGCGAGATCGAGAAGACCGCCACCATACTCCACACCTTCTGGTAAGCGGAAAAGCAGGAGCAGCGATGTAGGCACCCCTGGTATGGGCACTCCTGGCAAACGTGTAGTACGCAAAAAGTCTCTCTATGATCGGTGAGTTGCGTTGCAATTTCTATCTGTTGGACGCTGTGGTTCGGCTGCATGGAATGTCCGAAGCCACAGCACTTTGTGAGCAAGTGGTAGCCGAGGCTTCTTGTATGCACGGGATGAGCAATGTCCTATAGCCACTGCAGTGTTGTGATCATCTGTTCAACGAACTCTTAACCCCACATAGCATCACCTCGATACCGTCCCAAATATCCTTCGAAATATCCCAATTCCCGAACAATGTCCCCCTTCCATCGCCTGAAAACTCGGCATGGATTATCGGTGGTACCATGCACTTCCTCCACCTCTGCGTGCGCGTCTCGCAGATCCGCAGGGTCCCCGACTCTGACCTAGGATGGGAAGACATGTACAGAGAGGGCGAGGGCGAAGCGTGGTTTGACTGGGTGCGTTCCCCTTCTTTCTATTATCCTGGCTTCCGATAGCTCACCTTGTTCTCCACCGCCAGACCGTCCCGATGACCTTCATACTCGTTTCCGCATCCATCGTAAACGCGCTCTTCCTCTTCACGCGCATGCGCGTCTACTACCTCAACCTCGCCGCCGAGCCCGTCTCCTCCCCGCACGCCTCCTTCGTCAAGCGCCCCCGCACGCCCCACCGCGCGTCCTCCGATGAGCCCGCCCCGCGCCGGTCGCTTCCCGCCGCCCTAGCAGCGTTCCTGGCCGCGTGCCTCTCCGCGCTCTGGCGCGGGCTGCGGGTGAGCGTGCGCTTTCTGCTGAACCTCAGTCCGCCGAAGGCGCGTGCGCCGCAGCCATGGGAGGAGGACCAGCGCGTGCAGCAGCTCGAGGTATGGACACCCGGCGCGCTCGAGATGGCGCTGTTCGGGACGTACTCGCCCGTGCACGCGCTGCTGTGGATGGCGCTCACGAGCGCGAATTGGATGATGATGTTCCTCATTATGTTCATGGTCGGGGTGCAGGTGCGTGATCGCTAAAACTTAATATTACGGATAGGATTAACCTTTCGGCTTGAAAGACGCGTGCGCTATCGCGCTCGTACGAAGCCATGCTCAAGGACAAGGCTATCATCGCTGCGGAGGTGCTGCACGAGTACGACCAGAAGGTTTGTGGCTCTTTCACACTCCTCCGAGAGCTGTAGTTGACCTCGCAATAGTTCGTTTACCCGCGCGTCAATCCCATTCGCAAGGACGCCTCAGTCATGACGCACGAATCGGAGATGGTCGACGTTTGGGAATGAGTATCCAGTGCTGGGTCCCCATCCATGTTCTCGGAGCGCAAGCTCAATTTCTTCACGGAGTTACTACCACGGTTCCTACATAACATCTCCCGCCTCCCACTCTCTCACATATGCCCGTTGCCCAAGACACTTGTCTCCTTGCATTTCACATCTCTCTTGCACACTAAGGTACTGCCACAGCATGGGTAGATTCGCATACAATATACAGGATATTACATCGGCTCTCAATTTCATACCGCACCTACGCCTTCGCTTCCGCAGGTGCCTCATAGAACTTCATCAAGTCCTGCACGTCCTCCTTGCTACCGAGGAAGACCGGGCAGCGCTCATGGATGGACGTAGGGAGGATGTCGAGGATGCGCTTCGTGCCCGTCGTCGCGACGCCGCCCGCCTGCTCGGTGAGGAACGCCATCGGGAACGCCTCGTAGAGCAGCCGCAGCTTGCCGTTCTTGCTCTTCTTGTCGTTCGGGTAGCCGAAGATGCCGCCGTAGAGCAGCGTGCGGTGCACGTCCGCGACCATCGAGCCGATGTAGCGCGCGCTGTACGGCGACTTGCCGCTCGCAGGGTACTTGATGCTCTTCAGATACTCGACGACCGGCTCGTGGAAGTACATCGCGTTCCCCTCGTTGAACGAGTAGATCTTGCCCCGCGGCGGGATCTTGATCTGCACGGCCCCGTCAGCGTCCCGTATCCCGGATGCAGAGAAAGAAGCGTGGGCACTCACGTCGGGATGCGTGAGGATAAACTCGCCCAGAGAAGCATCAAGCGTGTAGCCGTTCACGCCGTGGCCTGTGCTCAGGACCAGGTTCGCTGACGAACCGTACCTGGGCAGATTCACATGAGCCTCCCGGACCGCCCCGCCCTCACACGCCCACTCACATCGTGTAACCGGCCGCGACCATCTGGCTGCCCGGCCGTAGCACATCCGAAATGGACCCCTTCGACCCCGGCGCCTGCACACACAAACGCATTAGCTCGCGATACGCTACGCCGCGCGCGTTCCGAGCACGGCAGGGAGCAGGGGAATGCGCACGCACGATATGGTAGATGCCGAAGATGGTGCCGATGTTCACACCGGCGTCGATGTTGCTGCTGCCGTCAAGCGGGTCGAACACGACACAGTACTTGCCCTTGTACCGGTCCTCGATGATCACCGCCTCCTCGAGCTCCTCCGAGACGAGCACGGCGCACTTGCCCGACGCGCGCAGCGAGTTCACCATGATGTCGTTCGAGAGCACGTCGAGCTTCTTCTGCTCCTCACCCTGCACGTTCGTCTCGCCCGCGAGGCCGACGCTGAGCACCGCGCGCGAAACGGTGGTGAGATCGCCTTATCGAGAGCCGGTGCAGGCAGGGCACTCACAGGTTGATTAGCCGCGCTTTCCGGACATTGGTCGCGATGAACTTGGACGTCGTCTGGATGGCAGTGAGCAGGAGTGTGAGATCACCCGTCGCGGCGGGGCCGATGCTGAACTGGTCGCTCAGGACATGGCTGGGGCGCGCGAGCACGATGGGCGATGAGATGGGCGCTCGTGCACAAAATATGACGACAGGGCCGACGTACCGGGTAAGCGTGATGATATCGGTGTTGGGCTGTTCCTCTCCAGACATGGCTGCGTGTTGCGGGGTGTACGTGTGTGGTGTGGAGGGAGGTTCAGACGGTGCTGAGAGAGTTTATAGCGTGCGGAGGGGCGGACGGAGAGAGAGATGAGAGTCGGGAACGCGGGTGGCCCCTCTCCGCGTCCTGCCTCATCTCCCCTGCCTATTCGGGTAACTCCCCCACTTCACATGTCCTGAGCTCCGGCGGCGGCCCCCATCCCAGACGGATCGCATTTCCGACACGGCGCTGCGAACGATATATCAGCAAGAATACCGGCACATGCATGCATTACGCACTAGATTATGTAGGTGTACAGTACCAGCCAGCAGAGCGCACGCCACCACCGCCGAACTCACGCCGCCGCTCAGCGTTTCCGCTTCATCCCAGTACCCACCAACGCCGTCCCCACCGGCTCCTTGCCCTTGCGTGTCCTGAGTGGTATCGGGAACGCATCGTCGTCCAGTCCCTCCACCACCATCACCTGCACCTCGGATCCTCGCCCGCTCTTCCCCGTCTTCGCCCGAACGTCGCTGACCTGATCGACCGGCGATCCTCCTTCACTCGTCGTCTGGCTCTGGGCCCCTCGGACCATGTATTCCGTGCGGCCCTGCTCCGGCCCGGACTCATACTGATCCTCTTCCAGCTCGTCCTCTTCGTCCTGCTCGTCGTCGTATAGATGCACGCGGCCATCTGCTACGTATCCCGGTGCCTGGTGTGCGAGAGCTGCTGCAATCTCCGCGGTCAGAGTAGCAGCCATGCGCTCCTCGAGGAGGGGGTTGCCCGCGGTCGGTCCGATCCCGGTCATGTTTGGGTCCCCTTGGGTGAGCAGCGCTGAGAGCGTCCGCACTGACGCTTCAAGATCCTGGTCGGCACTGGTGCTGTTCGCTAATTTCGGCCGCTTAGCCTTGAAGCTGTATTTGCTGCAGGACAGGCGTTAGTGGTGCACAGCCTATATCAGTCTATTCTCGTACATGTTCGGGTCCGGCTCCCATGTTGGGTCGTGCGTCTTCATGTGCGCCGTCAATGTTGTTCGACGCGTGAACGTCTTGTCGCAGCCCGGGTCTTCGCATTGATACGGACGTTTGCCCGTATGTGTCCGACGATGACGAGCGAGACTGCTGGAGTCCCCGAATGTCTTCCCGCACTCAGGGTACTCGCAGAAGTGTGGTTTCTCCCCGGTATGCACACGAAGATGGACGTGCAACGCCGATCGCTGTAAAACAGTCAACAAAGATTTGCCATCTCGGCCCAGAAATAGCTTACCTGGATAAAGGTCTTGCCACATCCTACTTCAGAGCAGACAAACGGCCGCTCGCCCGTATGTATGCGCATATGTCGACAGAGGTCGCTTCTCCGGCTGAAGGACTTCGTGCATTGGTCACATATATGGGCTTGATACGGCTGCTTCTTCTCCTTTGCGCCCCCCGGCTGTGGCGCGTCCCCCGTAGGAAGGGCAGAGGTAGAGGCCAAGGGCTGTTCCTGGAAGCTCTCGTACGACGTAGACGTCGAAGATGCGGGGGCTGGTGCATATGGTGGAGTCGTAGACGACGCCCGAAGATCAGGGGAAAGGTGGGGTATAGTGGGCGAGGACTCGGGGGCTTGAGGCGTCGACTCGAGTTCATGTTGAGGCTCCTGATCGAACTGCGTAAAGTGGCTGAGGATGTCGTTGATGTCTGTATCGGTGAACTCTGGAGGGTGTTCCTCTGCACCGGGGCACTCGATGGGAGAGGATGAACCTTGGCCCACGAACGCGTCCTCTCGCTCGCTCTCACCCTCCTCGTCGAAGTAGTATTCCGACCCGTCCGTCGGGCTTCCTGAGTGCGAAAGTATGGGGACAGTGTCACTTGCAGGGTAATGGAACGCGGGGGCGCTCCGTGTTGCCTTCTTCTCCATCTCTTCATCCTTCCTTCTCTGCGCCAACTCCGGATCCGCCGCGGCCAGTGCCTCCGCGGCGCGCTCTTCCTCCGCGGCCTGTGCATGTGCAGCCTGAAGAACTGCAGCAAGTCCGCTAAGGTTCAGCCCTAGAACCCCAGCAAGCGCATCCACGTCCCGCTGGACATCAGACAAGGTGGGGTCGTCTGGTGGGGAGTGCCCGTTGGAAGTGGACCCGAGGGTGTTGCCGTCATCGTCGCGCTGAGAGGCAGCAGCAGACGCAGCACCTAAGATAGCGGCCGAGTTCTGATGAAGAAAAGTGGATATTTCGCGCTCTAGCTGTTCGATTGTGAAGCTAGGAAGCCCTTCTGTGGGTAACGCGGATGAGAGGTCGTCGTGTTCGAGGTGCTGCTCGTCTGAGGGGGAATAGAGCAGTTGGGGGACGTCGCGCGACACGTGCGCAGAGGGCTGGTGCTGGAATGGGGATGGCGCGGGAGGGGAGTGTGGGCGCGAGGGCGATGAGACCGCGAGCGCGTGGAGGTGGTGGTGTTGATGGTCGTCGGGGAGGGGTTCGTCGTGCACGACGTCCGAGAGAGCCAGCGCGGGCTCGTTATAGTCGTGGTCCATTTCAGCGACCTCCAAGAGCCAAAACTGCAGGTCAGGACGCGCAGAGACGTGTCTGCGGGGGGGACTGTTGAGTGTGCCGACGATATTGTCAGTCGCGCCACGAACATCGGGTAAGCTTGGCGGCTAAGCGTACCTGCTTCGCTTGTAGCTGTGTCACTTGCTCCGGGGCGTTTCGTAGGAGTTCCCGCTCGCCGCTCGGGACACGCGCAGGGACAACGGGAGTGGGGGCAGCGGAGGGGAAGAGAGCAGCAAGGGTGGACGATCGCCTCTGGAGAGGTCCTGCTACGCCATGTTCCAACACATAATGGTATTTCAAACTCCGCCATATTGGCAGTGGGCGTCGCGTTCTAGCGCCGCGTCCCCCGTTCTTCCCGTTCTTCCCTTTCACTCCTGTCTTCTCTTCCTCAGTGTGCACTCGTTGATCAAACACGCACCATACCCGTGCATTGTTCCAATTCATCGCTCTCGGTGCATCGATTTGAGATGTGCGAAAGGTGTTTGCGACAAACGGCGGAGCTCTGGATCAGGTACGCCGGATCCGCGAGCCTCTCGGCTACTATCATATGTGCAGTCCTCCGTGATACGGCAGCGTTACCCGGCGTATCGCAAGTCTCTTCAGGGTCACGGGCGCAGGCAGATCTTGCCGAATACATTCAAGAATCAGTCAAGAACCAAGATGCTCCTCTGACCAGCTCTGACCTCGCTCGCCAGCACCTCCCAGCATCTCGTACTGCGGCGCCTCCCCCAGTCGGCGTGTGTAAATACCCTAGACCTGTGTAGGCCACGTACTGTATGCACGGAAGCAACTGCGGTGGTCAGTGTATCCTCTGGCCTCATATCATATTCCTTTGATTCGTTACGAAACGTTCCATAGCCTTGGTCGCGCTCCTTCCCGTTGCGCCCCTCGCCTGCCAGAGTCTATATATTTTCTTCTCCGGCCGGTGTATATGCTGCACAGCTCGTCTATTCGGTCTTGAGAGTACACGCCTGCGCACGCGAAGTCAGCGCAGCTGACAATGAGGGCAGTATCGCCGGAGCAAGCGATAGACGCCCGAAGTCGAGTATGCCACAAGTAGCGCTTGCTCCGCCCCTCGCATCTCTCACTCCAGCCTCCACCATCCCCTCTTCCCTGCTTGCTTGCTGCCCACGACGTTGTTCAAGACCTATCACCGACCTTAACGGTCGTTGCCACGATGACCGACCGCGCACGCACATACAACGTCGACCTGACCCCTAAGAAGCATCACGGCTATGCTGTCCTTCTGTTCATCTTGGGAACGCTGCTCCCTCCACTAGGTGCTCCACAATTTGCTTAGTTGTTAGTGTGTATATCTGACATAGTACTTGCAGCCGTGGCAGCGCGCTTTGGGCTCGGGTCCGACTTCTGGCTGAACCTGATTTTGACGATCTGCGGGTATATTCCCGGTGCGTGATTATGTTCCTGGACGTTCTACGGGCGCGCTCATACCTCGCAGGACATGTCCATAACTTCTACATCCAGGTGCATATACTCACAATCCATCGCCCCTGCGCATGCTAATCGCACACATCCCAGAACATCCGCAACAACAAGAATCACCGCCGAACGCCAAAGTGGATCCAGAAATACGGTCTCGTTGATACCTCCGAGATCAAACGCAAAGAGCGGCGCTCGCAATGGGCGAATCGCTACGACGAACGCCTCCCCCGCTCCGACCTCGAAGGCAGACCCTACGAGGACGGCCAAGAGGGTAGCTCCAGCGTCGACCTTGCCTCCGACGAGCAGCAGGGCGCTCGCACGCGCACCAATGGAAACGGAGGGCTGTGGAACCCAGGCGAAGAACGCTACTACGGCCAGAATGGGGACTCCAACAGCGTACTTACTGCCGGGTCCGGGCGCTGGCACTACCCCGCCAACTTCGAGGATGCCGCACCGCTGCCGTCGCGCAAGAAGTCGTCCAAGAAGAAGAAGGAGAAGAAGGATCGCTGGGCGCGCACAGAGGATGCATACTCCGTCCACGAGGGCGACAGCTCAACGCGGCGTAGGAAGTCGAAGCGGAAGTCGTCGAAGGCGGTGGCGGACGACGACACCTACTCCCGGCGCAGCGAGTCGACGACTGACTTCCCCGAAGACGCGGAGGGCGGTCTGTACGGCGATCGGCGGCCGGCGGCGGGTGCGGACGGCGCGCAGGAGAACGCCCGAACGACCGACGACGTCATCTTCAACCACGAACTCTAGGGTGGACATGCGAACGCAGGGCGGGCGCAGATGGGAGGGACTGGCCGACAGGGAGCTCACTGTGGAAGGACATACCACACACCGCTGCCAACGACGACATCGTGGTGCGCAGAAGAGCATCGTTACGCTACATGTACTACTTTCACGACTTCGGTATTTATTCACCAGCTAATCAGCGCCGTACCTGGCACACCGCGCATCTGGGCTCCTGATGTTCCTCCCCAGGTACAGCTCCCGCACCAAATGTACGTTCAGTAGGCCTACGCTATGGACCGCATGCAAGAAGATGCGCATCTGTCGAGAACCTTGCCCCGAACTCCCATCAATGGCGTTATCTCCTCCGTCTCGGTATCACCGCGCACCTCAACTGACTGAAACTGAATGCGTGCCCAATCACGGCATTGCTGTCCCTCCTGCGTCGGTTACTGTAGAAGCGTCCACATGGACGCGACCGCCTATTCCCGTAACGAAGCGTCCCCGCTTTCTCAGGAGCGTGCGTATAAAGGCGTGTGCTCTAGCTCCGTGGGCACCCTCCCCTCCACCGTCCAGCGCACTCGTCTGCTTGGCGTCGGTACTCGAGACCATCGGAGATGTTTCCCCAGCTTGGCCAGCTATTCCGGAGCGCGGCCACCGCGCTGTTGCTGACGTCGTTCGCCGTCCGCGCTGCAGTGCTTGTTGACTTCCAGGTCGCGCAACCGCCGCCACTGCCGCAGGATGCGAAGCAGTGCACGGTTCAGATACTGCAGTACGTGAAGTTCAGACGTGTACAGTTGTATGTGAGACAGATCGGCATTTCAACCCCGCAGGCGCACCTTCGGCTTCTCGTTTGGACTGTGAGTGTGCATATACTGGCTTCGATAATCACAGAACAGCTACTGAACGCGTCTCTCCAATCTAGTGCTGAGGTCGTGGAATTCACGTGAGCGCGTACTGGCATATGCAGAGCACTGTATTTACCAACACCGCACGGTTAGCCCGCCTACAGACTGCGGTGCCCCTGGTTCATGGGCAGGTATCAGCCTGAACTTCACTGTCACCTCAAACGGTACACAGTTTGATCGTTTGGGTGAGGGTCTTAGTACAACGCACCTATATATCGGTGTTGATATCACTATTCGCAGGGATTTTCACTTTCCAGAACGTTGAGAGTGAGTCTTTATCGTACGGCGGTCGCGCAGCTGCTTAATGTGGAATGGTTCACAGTCTGGCGGACCTCCACGCCTGAACCTACGCGAGGGGACGGCATCATCTGGACATACTTGAAGGATGTCACCCGCTACACGCCGCTCTTCGCCAAACCTGGCACCTTCATCCTGCAGCTCGACAACCTGATCCAAACCGGGTTGGATGGACAGTACGCAAGTGCGCTGCTTTCTGTTACCTGAAGCTTGCTTTCATCTGACGTGAACTGCAGCCACGCTGCACGCGACCTTCTTTGCGTCTTCCGCCCAACACCCGCCTGCGGCGCAGGCAAACGAGATCATACCTGTGAGCACTCTGGCCAATAACACAGGAAACGATGCTTCTGTTCCGCCTGTCTTCTCGGTATGTTCACTTGCGGCGCACGCGTCATTTGTTTTGGCTGAAGATACAACATAGTTGAACGTCACCGTACCGCGTAATGCCGTGCAAGTCTTTGCTGAGTTGTACGCATCCGGGAACGGCAACGAAGAGTTCTGGGTAAGTCACCCGAGTACGGGGGCTTGGAGTCGCAGTACTGACGAGCAACGCGCAGTACTTCAACACGGCTGACCAGTTTGTGTCCGCGCTGCCCGCCGGCTTCACGTTTGGAGGCGGTCCGTTCCGTGAAGTACGACTGCTCGTCGACGGTCAGGTGGCTGGTGTCGCACTTCCGTAGGCAATTCACACTTCGCTCTCTGATAGCGATACTTATCCTTGCCGTAGGTATGCGGTGATTTTCACTGGCGGTATCGTGCCCACTGCATGGAGGTAGGCAAACCTCCTCGATTTGTAGCTACTGACAGTCATTGACGGGGCTGCATTTGTAGACCCATCACATCCTACGGCGCTCTCGACCTCCCGACATACTTCCTCGACCTGACGCCCTTCGTGCCGATCCTCACAGACGGAAACCCGCACAACATCAGCCTCGACGTCGTGTCTGCCGAAGACGACCACGCGATCAACCAGAACTGGTTCGTCTCCGGCAACCTGCAGGTCGTCACGGACCCGTCGGGGAAGCCGACCACGGGCAAGATCATGAAGTATGAGGCGTCGCCGTTCCCGGTGTCGACGACCACCGGCAGCGTGGGCGCGAACGGAGATGTGAACGTCACCGTCTCCGCGACGCGCAGCCTCCATATCGAGGCGGAGATCACGAGCGGAAGCGGGAAGACGACGCACGTCGCGTGGTCGCAGACCCACGCATTCTCTAATACCCAGCAGTTCTTGAGCGACCTGTCCATCCAGGTACGTGTCTCAGCTAGATAAGCGGGCGACGAGTATTGACTCCCCCGCAGAACGTGTTCCAGACTGCCACAGGGTCGTTTTTGTCCACCCACAATGGCGTCCCGGAGCTCGTTGATACCTTCTCCTTCCCGTTGAACATCAACATCACCAACCTTACCCCTGACGGCAGCACTTGTGCGTATAGATTGACTGTCGGCGGTTTGCAGGTCCATGGCACCTAACGTTTCATGCAGTCATTGCTAACTTCGACCACTCATACGAGCGTACTTCCAACCCGGCGCCTTTCATCCTGGGGTCTACGATCCATGAACGGCAGATTGCCAGTGAGCACTTCCTTTCCTTGTCTCGCTGACCACAACTGACATGGGCGAAGGCGGTTTCTTCCACGAGGCAGCGACCGGAAACACCGGTAACGGCACTAACTCGAACACGTTCTCGTACGTCGATACAGCCGGAAACACATTCAACAGGCAGGTCAGCGCGGTGGACAACAACATCACCTCCGACCACCAGGGCGGCACGCTCGCGCCGCACAGCGCGATCGCATTCCCCAGCTTCAGCCTCCAGACGCCGCTGGTGGTCACGAAGCCCCGGCTGCCCGGGGCGCGCAAGATCGGGAACTAACAGTAGCAGACCACCGCACAAATGCAATGTCATTCCGATCGTTGAGATCGCCTCCCCCAGTCGGACATACACAACTTGGAACACAGGCATCATACCCACAAACGGCAGTACCCTACGCGCCGCTGCTCGGCGCCGCTCCAGTCCCTGTCCCCGGGGAGCATATATACTACCGCGTTTTCACGACACACGTCGCGGGACGATGAGGCCCCGCTATTTCCGTGTTGAACGGTAATGCTGCAGCGCATGGCTGGCTGGCTGGCTAGTGTGAGCGAGCTATCTGGTGAAGATAGCGTCTCGCGCGGCCTCTAGAAGAGACCGACGACGCGGCCGGACTCGGGGTCGAGTCCGACCTCCCAGAAGCCGGGGCGCGTGCCAAGGCCGGGCATGGTCTGCATGTCGCCGAGGATGGGGTACAGGAAGCCCGCACCTGCCGAGAGGCGGACGGAGCGGATGGGGATGGTAAAGCCTGGGTGATCCAACAGAGTCAGGCAAAAGTGCATGTTTAAAGGTCTCGAACAACTCACCGGTAGGGACACCCTTGAGCTTGGGGTCGTGCGAGAACGAGTACTGGGTCTTCGCCATGCAAACTACATGGTGATCAGCACGCATCCCGATTGGTTAGTCCACGATGGTGACTTACTGGGAAGGTCCCCGTAGCCCTGACGGGTGTACGTCTCGACCTGCTTCTGCGCCTGCTCGCTCAGCGTGATGCCGTCCGCACCGTAGATCTCCTTCGAGATGATCTCGATCTTCTTCTCGATGGGGAGGTTGAGGTCGTACAGGAACTTGAAGTTCGACTCGCCCTCGCAGACGGCGATGACCGCCTCTGCGAGCGCGCGGGCACCGGCACCGCCCTCCGCCCAGTGGTTGCTAACCACAGCGGCATCCGCACCAGCAGCTAGAGCCTGCTCACGGACGAGGTCGAGCTCAGCCGGGGTGTCGGATCTAAGGGGAAGGCACGGAACGTCAGCCAATTTTATGGAAGAGGAACGTAAAATGTTTACTCACGAGAACTGGTTGATGGCGACGATGACCTTGACGCCGAACTTGCGCGAGTTCTCGATATGCTTCGCCAAGTTCTTACAGCCCTCGCGGAGCGTGACCAAGTCCTCCTTAGTGTACGTCTCCGCAAGAGGTTTGCCAGGCGACACGTCCGGTCCGCCGCCGTGCATCTTGAGCGCACGGGTGGTCGCGACAATGACAGTGGCATCAGGGTGGAGGCCGCTGACACGGCACTTGATGTTGCAGAACTTCTCCATACCCATGTCGGCGCCGAAACCGCCTTCGGTCAGGACGTAGCCGACGCGGTCGGACGAGTCGCCCTCCTCCGTACCAGCGAGCTTGAGCGCGACGCGGTCGGCCAAGATGGAAGAGTTACCGTGGGCGATGTTAGCGAAGGGACCGGCATGGACGAAGACGGGTGTGCCCTGCAAATTAACGTAAGTAAGTTATAACAGTGAAAAATATATATATGCGGCATACCTCCAGGGTCTGCATGAGGTTGGGCTTGATAGCATCCTTCATGAGGACAGCGAGAGCACCTCCGACACCGAGGTCGTCAGCCGTGACGGGCTCGCCGCGCTTGCTGGTCGCGACGACCATCGCACCCAGACGCTCGCGCATATCCGCGAGGCCCGTCGTGAGCGCAAGGACAGCCATGCACTCGCTGGCGACAGCGATGTCGAACCCAGCGACGCGCTCGTGGCCCTGCTCAGTTGGGTTCTGGCCAATGGTGATCTTGCGGAGGAAGCGGTCGTTCGTGTCGAGGACGCGGTTCCAGGTGATGGTCTCTGGGTCGATGTCGAGGCGCGCGAAGTGGGTGATCTCCTCGGGGGTGAGCTCGTTCGGGTCCGTCTTGTCGATGCCGAGCTTCTTGAGACGCTTGAACATGAGAGGAGCGAACTCGCGCTTGCCCTTCTTGGATGGGACGAGCCGGCTGTAGAGTGCCTTGTCGGATTGAGTGCCCTCGTGGAACATACGTGCGTCGAGAGCCGCGGCTGCATGCAGACGTCAGAAAAGGTAAGATATCGGTGTGACGTCAATGCTCACCCAACAAGTTGTTCGCAGCCGTTACGGCGTGAATATCACCAGTCAAATGGAGGTTGAACTGCAGGGATGAGCCGTCAATATACAGACCGTTAAATGGAAATGAAGCAACGCACCTCATCCATGGGAATGACCTGACTGTAGCCTCCACCAGCGGCACCACCCTTGATACCAAACGTAGGTCCTTGACTGGGCTGACGCACGCAAGCGAAGGCGGGGCGGCCAAGATGCGCGCCAAGAGCCTGTGCAAGACCAATCGTGGTCGTGGACTTGCCCTCACCGAGAGGAGTGGGCGTGATACTAGTACAGTCTCAGCAACGGACTGCGTTGTACACCGAAAGTACGCACCCAGCAATGACGATGTACTTGCCGTCCTTGCGATGGGCAAGGCGGTCCAGAACGCTCAGCTCAACCTTCGCCTTGTACTTGCCGTACAGCTCGACCTCATCTGGGTGCAGACCGAGCTCGTGCGCCAGCTGGGCGACGGGCTTGGGCGTCTGCGCCATAGCGATTTCGATGTCGCTGGGGACCTTGGCCAGGATGTCGAGCTTGAGGGGCTTGATGCGACGTGCACGCGTCTCCTCCCAGAGACGTTCGGCGGCCTTGAGCGTGTTTACCATGAGCAGGGCCACGGTCATAGGTCCGACACCTCCCGGCACGGGGGTGATGTGGGACGCGACGGCAGCAGCAGAGTCGAAGTCGACGTCGCCGACAAGGCGTTGGCCAGACTTCTTCGTAGCATCTACAATACAGGGTTGATACTTGAGAATTTTCGAGTAATTTCATCCCGACTTACCCGGGATGTAGTTGGTGCCGACGTCGATGACCACGGCGCCAGGCTTCAGCCATTCACCCTTGACGAGCTGAGCCTTTCCGATGGCAGACACGACGATGTCAGCTTCCTTGACCTGGTGGAAATACGGTCATCAGTCGGTCTCGCGCTTTACCCACAGTGAGAAGGCCGTACGATAGCTTCCAAGTTCTTGGTGCGGCTGTGGCATTGAGTAACGGTCGCGTCCCGGTGACGAAGCATGGCCGCGACGGGGCTGCCCACGATGTCACTGCGGCCGAGAACGACAGCACGCGAGCCAGCAATTTGGACGCCGGTGGAGTCTAGAAGACGAATAACGCCGGAAGGAGTGCACGGAGTGAACAGGGGGTCGGAGGCACGAGACGAGAGGTGGCCGATGTTGTATGCATGGAATCTACGAGTGGGCAAGCAAGTCAGCAAACAGGTAGAATTTAAGCACAGACAGCAAGCTCTGGCGTAGGCGTGTCCTTTGCCACGCGCGTGAGTTGACTCGAGCAGCTCGTGTGGTGCAAAGCTCACGCCCGCCGGAACCAGTCAACGCGCCGTGGGAGTGAAGGGTCACGACTGAGGGGGTACACGCTCTCAACCTCCATGCCAGAGCTGTCAGTGAGCGGGGAATGCCACGCGCTCCCCGCGCACTGCGTCTCGCGTATCTGATATCGCTTGCGACGAGACTGCTGGAATAGAGTGCACTCACCCGTCGACGTCCTTCTCAGGGCTGACCGCCTCAGTAACGGTGCGCTCGCCATCGGCACCGACGTGAGACCCAAGAGGGAGTTGAACGAGGATACCGCTAACGATTTCGTCCTCGTTCAGCTTTTTTACAATTTCGACAACCTCAGCCACTTCGGCCTCCTCAGGGACCTTCACGTGCTTGAACTCGATGCCGACCTCCTCGGCCGCCTTGGCCTTCATGCGCACATAGACCGACGAGTCCGGGCGCTCGCCAGCCTGGATGATGGCAAGGCTGGGGCGGAAGCGGGGGTACTGCGACTGCAGAGACTTTATCTTCCCCGCGACCTCCTCGCGGATAGATCTGGTGCGAGCCGGTCAATATGGCACACAGCGCTAGAGAGGACGGCGACAAACTTGGCTACTGCAGTGCCATCGATGATCTTCGCGCCCTGTGCGGTGGTGGCCATGGTGCGGAGGTGGTGGGGGGAAGAGAGGGTGCGGCGGGTGCGATATGCGACCTGCAGGAATCGCCGCATCTTGAATTCCCTTTAGAGGCAGGCAGGGGAAAGACGCGTAGCGCGCGATTGGCTAGCGTGCCCCGTGCTCACACGACGCCTGTGACTCTGCGCGCGTTTTTCGAGCGGATTTTGCGTGCGCGCCGGGCGTACGGGAGGGAGAGAGACAGGCGAGGACGAGCGGTCGAGTCAGGCTCGTTTTGAGCCCTGCGTTGGCGCGAGAGCCTCGAAATACGCCGGCCGTCCTCAATGGGTGCTCGCACGTGACGTCTTACCCAAAATTTCCCGACTGGGCGCACCAGCGCTGCCAGCGTCTTGCTCACCACCGTCATCCCTCCGCCGTCCACCGCCGCCCTCCCCCTGCTCCCCTCGCCGCCATGTTCAACGCACAAGCTGCCCAGATCTTCCGCTCGGCCACCGGCTCGCTATCCTCGCGCACACTCGCGCGCCCCTCTACCACCGCGGCCGCGAGGAGAGCCGCGCTCGGTATGAGGTCACGACACTACTCAGACGACAAGTCACAGTCCGCGGAGCAGTCGAAGAAGACCGAGACCGAGAACAGCGAGGAGAACGAGAAGGATGAAGTCGAGGTATCACCAGAGACTTCATTGCTGCACAAGCTGAAGGCGGAGGAGACCAAGGTTGCTGACTGCATGGTGAGTACACACAAGCCGCTAACACCGCGCCCGCGTCACGCCTGTTCCGTTGCTGATGCCGTCCCCCAGAGCCGGTTACGGTATCTGCAGGCAGACTACCTGAACCTCCAGCGTAACTCTGCGCGAGAGAAGGAGCAGGCACGCGACTTCGCTATCACGAAGTTCGCCAAGGACCTTCTCGAGACCGTGGACGTCCTCTCGCTAGCCCTGAAGTCGGTACCAAAAGAGGTCGTCGCTCCTCAGGAATCCTCCGACACCTCCGCCGCATCATCATCATCCTCCTCAGATCCTCCCGCTGAGAAATCCGCGGAGGCGTACCTCAAGGATCTCTACGAGGGCGTGGAGTCGACACAGCGGTTACTCCTGAACACCCTGTTCAAGCACCACGTCAAGCCGTACGACCCCGTAGGGGAGAAATTTGACCCGAACTTGCACGAGGCGCTTTACCAGGTGCCCATTCCAGGGAAGGAGAGCGGAACCGTCTTCGACTGCCAGAAGACCGGGTACATGATCAAGGACCGCGTCTTGCGCGCCGCGCAGGTTGGTGTCGTGCAGGATACCCAGTCATGACGAGGTCGTCGGATCGATTAGGGCAGGGTGTTGCGTTATGCTAGGTGCGCAGAGGGGAGGAGCGGTGGTAGACCATTAACGTAGTATCACGACCATTAATTCAACGAATCTCTACTCCAAACTTGTTCTTGAGGGTCGCAATGACCTGCTCATGTATGGCGTTTGCCTCCTCATTGGACAGGGACCTAACATACGTTACACGTTCAGTACTCAATCCCCATGGTTTCCGTTCACACATACCTGTCCATAGAGCAGTAATTCACACGATAGCATTTGCTACTGCGATTTGTTTTCGGGTGTGTGAACGAGTCGATCTGCATAGAAACTCAGTACGAGAGACCCGATATCCAGCGAGTATGCCATACCAGTACCACATCCTGCACCAAGTCGCCCGCGACATCGCGGACGAGGTCGCAGAAGTCGTTGTCGTGAAGCCCAGTGTCCGGCAACCAGAAGCTCACGTCCTTGTAGCACGCCGGGTATTTTGAGTACGGCTTGAAGGTAGAGATCTGCCCAGCCGTGAACTGAGACAAGAAGCGCGGGTCTTGGGACCAGAACAGCCGGATGTCAGGTATCGAGAACAAGATCATAGCAATGCGTTCCAACCCAAGACCGAAAGCCCAGGAGATGCTATTCGGAACCTCTGAGGGACATACATGAGCGCGTGCAGACACCGAGGGCAAGGTCGGGACATACGTGCGCGGTCCAGAGTCAATTGTTGCACGACACCACACCCGAGGATCTCGAGCCACTTCCCGCGGAAGAACACCTCGACCTCGTAGCTCGGCGTCGTGAACGGGAAGTACGCCTCGATCCAGCGCACGCGCAGCGGCTCCGCCGCGTCCGCCCCCGCGCGCCCCGCGAACAACGTCAACATTAAACTGTTCAGCGACAGCTTCAGGTTGCGCGCGACGAGCTCCGCGAGCTCGGGGTCGTGCGCCTCCTGCGCCGGGTTCGCGGGCGTGATATGCGGGACGTCCTCGATCACGATATTCGAGTGCGCGAGGTGGTGCGAGAGTCGCGCGTTGTCCGCCTCGAGCTCTGCGCGCCCGCTGGCGTCCATGGGGAACACGCGCGCGCCCTCCATCTGGTGGAAGACGGGGTAGTGCGACGCGTCGATCTCGTCGCGCCGGTACACGTCCGCGGAGAGCAGCCATTGGCGCTCGCGGCGCGCGAAGACCTCGACTTCGTGCGCGGACGTGTGCGTGCGGAGCATGAGGTCGCGGTTGATGTAGTAGCTGTCCGTCGCGGCGCGGCCGGGGTGGTCTGCGGGGAAGCCGAGGTCGTCGAAGTTTTTGGCGGGCGTGACGATGGGCGAGAGGCCGGTCATGGAGTTGAAGTCGTGGTAGTGTGAGGAGATGAGCGTTTGGAGGATGCCTAGAGGGTGTGAGGGGTTCATGTAGAGGTTGCGCCCGACCTTGTCTGCAATGGCGGAGGTCACATTCGACACCGTGTCCTTGGGGTACTGCTGCCCGAGCAGGGACACGGTGGCAGGCGTCGAGTAGCATCTCCTAGTCTGTACGACGCGTAGGATATGTCGAGGGAAACGCGTCCGACATAGCGTCGCAGACATTCTGGCCAAGTGTAGCAAGGCCGTACGGTGGCGGACACCAAGAGGTAGACGCGACCGCGTGCTCGTGGACAGAGGTCAAGCTCGAACTAGCGCCCATAAACGCGTTAGACTTTTGTGGCGCTTCGGGCCGCGCCGCGGTCGATCCTCTCCGACGACCACACGATATTCGTGAGTCGCGACCGGAAACATACTGTGCACGCAACTTGTGGGTGTGTGAGGATAGTATAGTACAATGTATTGATTCCGACTGCACAAGAGCACGAGAGTGTGACACAACAGCAACGAGCATGCGAACGCGATCTATGATGTCTAGGTGTACTTGACCCGCAAGGAGAGGTTGAACGGAAGAGTCGTAGCGGTGACCGTGATCTCCCCACCATCCGCAACCAGCTCGGATACCTTCTTCTCCAGGTTCGGACGCGTCGCTTCTTCCAGCTGTGGAGGAGCCTGGAAGTAGATCTGCTTCCCGGGTGCGGACAACGACGGCTTCTTGACCTGACTGAACGCTACAGGTCAGTAATGTGCCTGGAATGTGAAACTAAAGAGTGCACATACATATCCTGCCTCTCTACAAGTATTTCAATGAGACGCTCTACGGTCCAGTCCTTGCTGAGCGTGATGTCCAGAGACTCGCCACCACAAACAGGGCAGTCATCACGCTTCTCGTGCTCGAAGGTGTACGAGTATACACCGTCCGTGCCAATCAGCATGAAGTAGTTGTTCAAATACGCCGCCGAGCTGGTCGCGATCTTGAAGGCCTCATTGCAGCATGACGCTACGAAGTGAGGGATGAGGCTTCATTCACGATGATATAGCACCATTGCGGCAGGTACATACCTGCGATGATTGCGTTGGTAGAGGCGATAGCAGGAATGATGTTCTTCACGACGCCTTGCGTCAATGAATATGTCACACCCTCAATCTTGAATTCTTGGGCGCGGTGAAGCGCGATCTGGTACAGCCATTGGATATGTTCTGGGTTGTCGGTGTCCATCTTCTTGTCTATCCACGAGGTCAATATACCACTCTTACAATATGGGGTTCGAACCTACCTCCATGTACCCGTGGCCACTCTAGTACGGAAGCCCATTCTATGCAGTGTTCAGGAAGGCGTGGCGTGTTAGCAATGGTGCAGATGGGGAACGCGGTAGGCTTGTTGAGCATGTCGAGGGAGCATTCGTAGCATGAGGTCACGGTGGGTAGAATTACACGTGCTTGGCCCTTGAAACCTGCGGTAGCTGAGTCAGACGCGTCGGTGTACGCGGGCAAAACGACTGACCTTCGGTACCACCGTCGATCAGCGGCTTCAGACTCTCTGGGTTTTCAGAATCAACCATGTTCACGAGCGTCGCGTTGATCCACCGCCGTGCCTCAACGGAATCCAGTCCGCAGATGACCAGGTTGAACTGCATGTAGTAATCCTCATCCTTGTCCTGGATCTTGCCGAAGTAGCTATACGAGAATGAGCGGATGTACGCGACGGGGAGTATGAGATATGCACATACGGCGTGACCTTGACCCCGGGAACGCGGTTCATGATAAACTCCGCAGCCACATTTGCCTTGGAGTTACCGACGTCTTTCTGTCTGGTCGCACGTTAGGTAGAGAAACCCGGGGTGATGAATTGCATTCACCTGAAGAGGAACTGGCGGTTCAGGTTGCTAATATCGATTGTGTCCATGTCTATCACATGGATGTCCTTGAAGCCGGACAGTGCGAGATTGGCCAGGATCTCGCAGCCGAGCCCACCGGCACCGATCACGAGAATCTTGCACTTGTTCCGCAGAAAGTCTTTCACCTATATTACACCTGATTAGAGTGTGAGTTCATGGGACAACAGCACGGACTGACCTCATCGCCTGCAAGGAACGAGGGGTCGGTGCGCGGTCCTGGCCTCTCGAGGATCTGGTCGACATGGTAGTATCGGCCCTCCCAATCGCCAGACGACGCGTTTCCGTTGATGACAGCTGCGGCGGCCATATCTCAGACAGTTAGGACGAGGATGTGTAGAGTGGCCGCGAGGATCGCCTGAGTGCGAGCCTGAACACGATGTGGCTGAGGTGTGGTCGGGGAAAGGTGTAGTAGTCATCTAAGCGCCCAAGGCATCCGGGGTACATGGGCGTCTCACACTTTTTGATCGAGATTCTCTTGCACTTCGCTTGTCTCTGCCCATTGCCTCTTGACCTCTGTTCTTTCGCGTCTTTCACACTCAAAATGGCCCAGGCACCCACCGTCTTGCACTTCAGTGGTCACCAATACCTCAGGCATCGTCTGGTCTTGTCGATTCTCAGCGGGAAGCCGGTCCGGATCGACAAAATTCGTACGGACGACAAGAACCCTGGTCTGCGAGGTATACATAGTCATTGAAGCTTTGTGCGGTCGTCGTTCTTATACTTTTGGCGCATATAGACTATGAGGTTAGCTTGCTTAGGCTGCTGGAGAGGGCTACAAACGGCACTATCATCGAGATTTCGGTAACCGGTGAGTTGCATGGCTTTATATGTGCCCAGTCTTTGCTCAAGCCGCGCAGGTACTGCCATCCTCCTCAAGCCCGGAATCATTGCTGGGGGATCCATTATTCACGAATGCCCACTCTCACGCTCAATGGGATACTTCCTGGAGCCCGTCATTATGCTTGCTCCCTTCGCAAAGAAACCATTGCAACTTACGTTGAGAGGCATCACAACGGACGACCACGACCTCTCGGTACGTTACACTCCAATCTCGGCACCTCTGTTCGTTGTTTACACAAATTTCTGGAAATTTAGGTTGATATCATTCGAACCGTTACGCTCCCCCACCTGCAACTGTTCGGCCTCTCAGATGGGCTGGAGCTACGGGTAAGACTCGCTATGCTTGCAATTCGAATCAAATCCCCAAACATGTGCTCATGCGTGCTCCGCAGATTAAGAAGCGAGGTAGTGCTCCTCTTGGAGGGGGCGAGGTACAATTTCTCTGCCCCATCGTGAAACAGGTCAAGACCTTGAATTTTGTGGATCTTGGAAAGGTCAAGCGGATACGCGGTATCTCGTGAGTTTGAATCCGATGTCACCTACCACAGTGTGCTGAACCTCTCCCAGGCATGCCGTCCGCGTCAACCCCCAGTTTTCAAATCGCATGATAGAAGCTGCCCGCTCTGTCCTCAACCGCTATATACCCGACATCTATCTATACTCCGACGTATACAAAGGAGAAGAGAGCGGAAAGTGCGTTGCGTCTACCCATCTGCTACCTGTGTGCTGACATTCGCACCAGGTCTCCGGGGTATGCCTTGACCCTGCTTGCGGAGTCCACGACCGGAGCAATGCACTGCGCTGAGGCCATATCGAAACCCGGTGTGGCTCCTGAAGACATCGCATTGACTGCAGCCAGGGCTCTTCTTTCGGAGATCAAGAAAGGCGGCGTCGTCGACAGGCAACACCAGTCATTGGTGCTCATGATGATGGTTCTCGGTAGCGAGGACGTTGGTCGGTGTAGAATGGGCGAACCGACCGCCAGGACGTACGTTTTCACATTGAGTCCTGCGGTCTTGAGCCTGACTTGAGCTGCCAGAATACAACTATTGCGGGACATCAAGGAGTGTTTCGGCACCGCGTTCAAGATCACCTCCGCAGAGCCAAACGATCCGGATTCTGCGGAGCTTGTACTCTCTTGCTACGGTATCGGCTACGTGAACGCGAACAGGTCATTAGCATAACCATTCGCTGACCATCTCTCTATCCACGGGTATGCGTGGTTCAACGCTGTCTGTATACATGTATCAGCAAGTATAATGCAACACTACTTCCTATCTGTAGATAATGGATATTCGCCCATACTCATCGCTACCTTCCTCGCCACCCCCAGCGGCGAACAGCCACTGTCGCAGCACCGGCCACCCCACCTCGTAATGCGTGCATATCTCGTCCGTATGGTGCTCCCCATCCAACCACGGCAGCAGTTCCGACGGGAACGGCGCCGCGCCCTGCAGCATCCCATGTGACGGCTCGCGGCTCAGACTCGTTCGTGGGCGGAAGAGCCCCAGCTTTGCCGACCGTCCCCCGCTCGAGTGCTCGCTCTCGAGCGGCTCCGCGTTCAGCGCGCTCGCGAGTGCGTCCGGGGACGAGGACGAGATGTACCGCGTCGAGGCGTGGCTGAATCGCTCGGAGCCCTTCAGGTTCAAGTTCTGCGCGACGGTCTCCGACGCGCGCGGGTACAGGCGCGACATCGTCTGGTACGCCTTGTCCTGCAACGGCTTACGGCCGTCACGGGTGCGGAGCTGCTCGAGTGAGCTCTCGGCGGCGCTGGCGCGGCGGGTGGGAGCTACGCGTGTTGCTGAAGGGGATATTGCGACGATCTCTGCGCCGGCGGAGGCGATGGTGGGTTGCGCTTCTGGGATACGGGCACGTACGCGGAGCGACTCTTGTTCTGCGCGAGTCGGAGGAGAGCTTGCGGGTGGTTGGTTGGTGGACGCGAAGCTTTTGCCACGTTTGCGGCCGAGGGACGCCATGGTCGCGCGGCGGTCGGGCAGTTGCTCAGCAGGGTTCGGCAGGATGATCGGCCACCGGTGTACACGGCGCAGGAAACCCTATGGGTGTATGCGGGAGTAAGTGAAAGTGGACGACTCCATTCTGCTCGCACTTGCCTTAATGACGCCGAAGCTGGTGAATCGCCGGACATCGATGCCGAGCTTGTGCACGTCGAACTCTTCCATCCAGTCTCGAACTGTTTTACCAGCCCTGAACCGGGAATACAGGTGCAGTAGCTTTGGCCAATCAGGAATAACCCAGCCTACGCGGAGTGTCAACAAACATCACGGTGTCTAGAACAGGGGGCCGGGCGCACCAGGCTTTGTCACGTATGGCCCGCATTCCTTGATGATATGTTCTTCCCCTGCGAGCCATTGGATGCTTTTCCGCAGCGTGTACATGTTTGAGTATTGGAAGATATCCATCAACATTATGACTTGGTAGTAGCTGAGTGGGCAACGATTAACGCCAATGTAGTTTTGTAAAAAGATCTCCCGTACAGTAGGTGAGATATAGCGAGACGAGTCAAGTTGAGGTCGCAGTTTGCTAGACGCGCGATGCGGCTGATATGGTTGGTGCCGTCGATGTAGGGGCATACCTTCACAACATATGTGATGAGACAGACACCTACCCCACGGTGACCTAGTTGTGGTTACCTTTACGATAGTCAAATCCCAGTTGGGTTCTATCCTGTTGGTGAGGTTGATGAGTGCTAGGGGCACCATCCAGTCCTTTACTGGTGGGGGATTAGGATAGAACGGGAATATCTTCAGTTCTATTGAATTGAACCTGTCGATAGGTATAGACGTCTCCGAGTACGAGTTCAGGTCTTCATAGAGTTGCTCGAGAACGGCATGGATAGCGGGGGCGCTGTCAGGCGAAGACAGGAAACGAGATTCTTTCTACAGCCAGGTCAGTGCCCACCCAACTGCAACCTGTGGCACGACTGACCTCGCACGTGGTGAGCACTCGGCTGACTTTCCTGGCCACCGGTTCGTAGCAGCTGAGATCTGCGGTGCGTTCGAACACGAAGCACACGTTGTACAAGAAGTAGTTCCGCGGGTAATACTCTTCGTCCAGCCTCACAGGCAGACCGAGGACGCGGTGGCTCTTGGCAGCGCAAATGACAAGCCTGCCGCATAGCGCCTTGGGAGGAATGACGTATTTTGAGATGTCATCGAAGGTGAAGAAAAAGCGGTTGAGGGGGGTGGTAGACTTATTAGGGGAGAGCAGACTTTTGGTCTCTAGCCTTTGCGTAGTCGGAGAAGACAAGACAGAACTTGATGGGTGACGCGAGGGAGGGTCGAGGTCTGCCAGTGAAGGGGTGGATGAGGCAGGCGAGGCCGTATAGAGCGTGCTGCTAGATGCTCCAGATGCATGCCCAGACGACGAGGAAGTAGCGATGAGACCCTCAGGGACTTGAGAGATGATCTTGGGTCCCAAATCAACGTCGAAGACAGCGTAGAAGACAGATTCAAGTCGAGGTAGAAAGGATGCGCCGTTGGACGACATGGCAACATGTAGTGATTTCTACGTCATGAGCTAACGTCTGTTGGCTGAGATTACATTGTCAGCCAGTTTTTTACGACAACAGTGAAGTTGGATTGGCCAGAGTCGACGCGCATGGCAGCTGCGCCTCGTCGGAAGTGTGGTAGCGCCTGTAAACATACCTGGTTCACGTCCATGCGACGTAGCGTGGTTTGCGCGATTTCACGCGTTCTGAACAAGGTTGAGATATCAGTTCGTTCAGGCCAATGTGACTCGAGTGTAAGCACACGTACGTGCGCTGCGAAAGGGCTCAGCTTGTCAGTACACTCGATATTGGTGGCAGGCTGGAAGACGCTCAAGCGCCGACGCAGGGATATCCAGAGGCTGGTCGGCCGTCGCAAAGAATGACGTCGCACCATCGAGATTTGTTTGAGGAAATAGTAGAGAACGTCCCCGATTGGGAAGGGCGCTTATAGTCTGGACTTAGCGTTTTTTGCGCGAAGAGGGCCCGCCATTCGTGTTCCCTCCCCTCCCTCGCTCCGCTCGGGGGGTCCCCCAAGCCGGGAACACTCAGGCGGGTACACTAAAGCCTCGTTCGCGTGTTATTCCAGACCGGCTCCCTCTGGGGGGGAGAGGAGGTTGGAGGCGTCTAACCCCGGCAAAACCCGAACCCTAATCCCGAACCCTAATCCGAACCCTAATCCGAACCTTAACGGCTTCTTTTGCGACGTCATTCTTTGCGACGGCATGACAGCCATATCCAGAGCGCTGACTAATACGGGCGTCTCTCGTAGTCGGTGGCGGAGTTGTCATTGAACTCGGTGTGCCAGTGCTCCTGCTCTCTATCCTCCCCTCCGCCCTGGGCCTTCTTTGTCTAGCTGCAACTCTTCTGAGCCCATTATACACTATGCCGAAGGCGGACATAAACAAGGCTGGATGGGAACAGAGCGAGTTCCCTATCCTATGTGAGACATGTGAGTAGAACGCGTCCTTTACTGTGTTTCAACGACTCAGACCACGGCCAGGCTTGGGTGACAATCCCTTCGTTCGTATGGTATGTTATTCCTTGCTCTTCTTCAGGTTGCATATTGACAATGAAATGGCCAGTCGAAACAAGAGTTCGGTCGTTCTTGTGGCACCTGTGCCCGACCTTTCACCGTCTTCCGCTGGAACCCTGGAACCGGTATGCGGTTCAAGACCACCGTCATTTGCCAGACCTGCGCCAAGATCAAGAATGTCTGCCAAACATGTCTCCTGGATCTCGAGTATGGGCTCCCGACGCAAGTTCGCGACACCGCGCTGGGTGTGGAGAGTGAAGCACCTACGAGCGAAATCAACCGGGAGTACTATGCTCAGAATATGGAGAGCAAGGTATGTCTATGAACCTGTTTCGTCATAAACCTCTCAAACCCAACTCTATCGCAGCTTGACGGTGCGGCGAAGTCCCTCCTGGACCTCAACCGGACATCTAGCGCAGGCAAGGACATGTTGAAGCAGCTAGCCCGCACCGACCCTTACTACAAGCGCAACAAACCCCATGTCTGCTCCTTCTACGCCAAGGGAGAGTGCAATCGTGGCGACGCTTGCCCTTACCGGTCAGTAGTTGAGCCAGGCTCCGTCTTTGTCCATACCTGATAGTCGCCGCTCTTCCAGCCACGAGAAGCCCGTACAAAATGAGTTGTCAAAACAAAACATCCAGGACAGATATCATGGACGCAACGATCCGGTCGCGAAGAAGATCATGTCTACTCATGCTGCGAATATGGGACTGCAACCACCAGAAGATCAGAACATTGTACGTCACACATCTTGCCTGTCAAGATAGAGGGGCTCACTGGGTTCTGTAGACCTCTCTATTCCTCTCCCAATTGTCCCCGTCCTCCACGGAGGAGAGCGTACGAACTCGGGTCCTGAAGTCATTGCCCGCCGTGCAGCCTTCGCAGCTGAAATCGGTTGTCCACGTTGGGAAGTCCAGGTATGAGGTTCGACCAATGCGTGTATGATGAAGTGCTGACATCGTGTCGAAGGTGTGCCTTTGTGAACTGGAGAGATAGGGCTACCGCAGAGCTTGCAGCCCAGGCGTGGGCAAACGGACTCGAGATTGATGGAGAGACAGTGGGCGTTCGGTGGGGCAGGAGCAAGGCGGCTTCGGGCTCGAAGTCAGGAAACGCCTTCGCGTCGTCTTCCTCTGCCGTAGCGGCTTGAGCGAGGGCACTAGGTGTACCGTTACGTTGATATGTATGCTACTTGTACCATTAGTTTTGTTTTGCTCCACCCCGTTTAGTGTTTTCTCAAGCGTGAACATCTGAATTTTAAAGCAATAAAATAATGCGCGCCGGAAATAATGGGCGCTAACGCGAACCTGCTTAACCTCTACCTTCACCATGAGCCAGTGCCACAATCCAGAACTTGAGAAAGGCATGTGCTCCGACCTCCGTCGTTGTCGCAGACGTTGACCGAAACCAGTATCCAGCCCTCGCTGCACTGCGGCTTTTGAGAGAAACATGTTCTGCAGCCATCGATGCCCTCCGACAGCCGCTCTCCCCACCGCAAACCGCGCTACTGTCTGAACGCCCCTCTTGCCCAGTCCTGCAGAAGGACTACCAGTCGCTCTTGACTCTTGTCTACACCTCTACAACGAAGTTGACACTCGTTCTACGCCCATCCGCTCCTTCGTACACGGCTGCCATTGCGCCCATCAGCGACCTCGGAACATCCATCACCTCCCTTGCGACATGCGCTACCCTCTACGATCTTCACGGTACCACGCTATCGTCGTATGCTAGGCAGGCGACCCGTGATATCTGCGCCACCGTGAGTTCTCTAGCGGACACCTTCATTGAAAATGGAGGCGAAGAGTATCTGGTGCGGACGGGGACCGTGCATGATCTCGTCGAGAAGGCGCGGCGCGAGATTCCTGCGGACAATCTCGCCGCGGTGAAGGGGAGGTGGACGGCGGATCGGGGCATGCTCGAAGATTCCCTCGAAGAGATCAACTCCATGCTCGAGGGGGGCGACGAGGATGATATGGACACGGGGGGTTTCGATGACGAGTGGGACGAGCTTGGCTTTGGGTCAAGCAAGAAGATGTCTGAGATCGAGCTCGAGCGAACGCGGAAGGTGTGTATCTCCCACATATTCCGAACATGTCTCCGAGATACTCAATCTACCTGGACATGAAGGTACAACCCCTCGTGCGTTTCGCGACCCTGTTGCACAAACGTGTCGTGCCGGACGTGCTCGCCGGACTATCTGGGCCACAGCTAGACTCGGAAGCCCTTACCGCTGCTTTGGATGCCTTACCTTCCCGATCCCACGCCGTCGTCCTTGCGCTCGAGGAAGTGATCGCCGCCCTCTACGCGCCTCAACAGCCCGCCGCCCTATCATCCGCGGTCTCAGCGTTCTCGGACGCTGTCAGGCACCTTCACACATCGGTAGTGACCGATGTCTTCCTCCCTCCGGAGACGGACCTCGCGAATGCAATGGGCGCTCTCAGCGTGGGCGAGGTGAAAAGCGGCAATGGGGCGAAGGCGAAAAAGGACCCTCGGAAGTGGTTCGATGCTTGCTTGGGACAGATCGACAAGTCTGCGAAAGCTGTAGAGGATATGCTATCGCCAGACCCTCACAATGCGACATGATTTTTCGATCATAGGAACTGTGGTGGGCAACTGTTGAACTGTGTAGTCGCTGATATGCCGCGGATCACTCATCCATGTCGAGCAAGCCTTCAATGCTGGCTAACTGCGATTGATTGTTTAGCCCTTTCGACTTGCTGTCGAAAAATGCCAACAAAGGATACCTTCCCTTGTGGTGCATTCACTTGTGTGCGGCGGAGGAGTTATGCGTCACGTCGAACGTTATCCGATATAATTTTGAGCAAGGTAAGAGAAAACATATCAGTACTAGTGCTGCTTCGATTCCTATCTGACATTCGCGACGCCCACAGAGACGTGCATGAGAAACAACCTCCCAGCATCTTTATGCGACCATGTGGAACAACAGGCTAGAAGTTCCTATCGATTGGTACTGGTCGATTACTGGTCGATGCTACATTCGTATCCCTGAGTGTGGTGTCGAATGTACGTCAAGAACCGGTATGTTTACACGGCGGACGTCCAGTAATATCGCTGTAAGTGTACACAGTACTTAAACGGCCAGCTCCGTCCGAGATATGCATAGCCCCCTTCTTGTCGACAGCCCATCATCCATTCACCCCCTCCCCCAACTCACGGCGCAGTCGCACAACACCCAAGCATATATGACGTCTCCCGCAACCGCAGAGGTCTTTGCGTCGACCACGTTCGACTATATCATCGTCGGCGGAGGAACTACCGGGCTCGTCCTCGCTGCTCGGTACGATAGCTCGTCATGTTACCATACCCCAAGCTAAATGGATTGTTATCAGTCTCTCAGAAGACCCCGCCGTTACTGTCGGAGCTATCGAGGCAGGAGAATGGCACCGCGGCGTCGAAGGGATCTCAGTGCCTGGTATGTACGGCATATGCGTGTCGAAACTGACTCGACAGTCGTTAACTGCGACCAAGGTCTCTGTGGCTCGTTGATCGGTAACCCTCAGTACGACTGGTCATTCTCGTCTGACCCTCAGAAGCATGTGAACGACAGAAGCATCTTCCAACCGCGGTCGGTAGTCGCGCGTGAAAATGCTCTCCTTAGTGAAGCCATACTCACTGTTGACTTTTTAGAGGGAAGGCTCTGGGAGGTTCTTCCATGGTGAGCAAACCCGAGTGCTGTGACTTTTTCAACTATCTCACCGTAATTCATAACCAGTTAAATCTGCTGCTCTACAACCGGTGAGACTGTAGCTAGTGAGTTCGGTACTCACAAGTTCTCACCAGCCCATAGAGCTTCAGCCCGCGAATACGATGGTGAGCGTGCCCGTGTGCGCAAATCCTCCTGTCAATGTAACAACAATATGCATTTCCTCCAGCCCTCGAAACGCTAGGCAATCCAGGCTGGAACTGGGCAGAATTTCTGAAGTACATGAAGAAGGTTAGGTATCTGGTAGTCACTGGTACGCGTATTGATGATATTGTTCATGGTGTGCAGGCCGAAACAACCATACCCCTCTCTTCCGACGTCCGGCCAGAGTACGGCATCCCCGCTACTCAAAGGGATGAGTGGCACGGGAACTCGGGTCCAGTGGTGAAGTCGTACCCCACAAACTTCAACACTTTGCACATCCACATCACCGACGCCCTAGAGACGCTAGGCGTGCCAAAGAACCCAGAACCAGTACGTAGCCATGCTGGCACTCTGTGCTCTATGCATGTAGTCTCACTAGACGTGCAGAGCAACGGGATCAACGTTGGCTCAGTCACCACCTTCGCGGCCGTTGATCCGCGGACTGCGACGAGGAGCTACTCCGCTAATGTGCGTTCCACGCCTGTCTTTGGGCTTGCGTGTACGCAAGCTCATTGTCAACTCCTCTATTCAGGCTTATTTCGAGCCTAACGCCGGACGAAAGAACCTTGTCGTCACCACAGGCTCCTCAGTTTCGCGAATCATTTTCCGTCCAGAGTCCTCTCCGCTTCTAGCAACTGGCGTTGAGTTCATTCACGGAGACAGTACGTTCACTGCCATGGCTCGCAAAGAGGTCATTCTATGTGCAGGTTCGCCATACTTTGCCCCTGTCACAAGTGTCGATACTGAGATCCTACGCCGTCTCAGGAGTGTTTCAGAGTCCTCAGCTCCTCGAACTTTCTGGTATGTTGAATGTAACTCACCAGTTGTTTCCGCTGACACATTCATAGGTATCGGGAAAGGGGATATACTGAACAAATACGGAATCAAAATCCTGCTTGACCTGCCGGGCGTAGGCGAGAATCTACGTAAGTAGTGAGCGGTCTTGTAACATCCCGAACACACATGGGCTGACACGGCTACTAGAGGTATTTACCCCCTCATAAACGCCCGTAGAAAGTGCGTCTCACATCCCGTAGGACCATGAAGGGGTAATAATGATACACGAGATCGATCCCAAGTACGAAACCGTCGATTTTCTACAGGACCCGGAAGAATCGAAGCTACAACAAGAGCTATAGTCAGTACATCATTGACGCATTGCATTCCATATTCATGGCTAGCACACTCTGTCTTAGCAAAGCGCAGAAGGGATACCTCTCCTCTGCACTGGCGACAGTCCTTGGCTTCGTACCCGCGAAGGCGCTTGCATCCGACGACCAGGTGAGAAAGTGGAAGGAAATGGGCGAAAACGCGATCCTGGCCGCGCCTCCAGGCGTGAAGAAGCAGCTCGAACTTCAGATGAAATGGCTCGACGACGAAACGTCTGCGGAGGCAGAGTAGGACCGTCATGTACATCCCAGCAACCCCTTGTGCTCATAAACACTTCTCTGTAGATTGATCCCCTTCCCAGGTTTCTTCCTCCCTTGCGGTCTAAAACCGGAACCCAACACCCGGTACTCATCTGTACTGGCGACAACAATGCACCCGCTTTCGCGCGGTTCCGTCCACATCGTTTCCGCAGACCCGAAGCATCCGCCAGCGATAGACCCAAGTACGCGCATTCTTGCATGTATCGAGCATGTGCTGATCCTCTGCAGACTACTTCGCGAACCCGGTCGATCTGGAGATGATGCTCGCGCTGATCAAGTTCACGCTCAAGCTGTATCAGACCACCCCTCTGTGCGACGTCGTGCGCAAGCAGGTCGCACCGAGCCCCGAACAGAGCGCAACAGACGAGGCACTGGTCAAATATATCAAGGACAACTGCAACACGGTGTACCATCCGATCGGGTCTGCCGCAATGCTCCCGCGGGAGGACGGCGGAGTCGTGAGTCCGGATTTGAGGGTCTACGGGACCGCCAACCTGCGCGTGGTACGCCTGCTTACATTTATTAGTATCGGGATGTCGGACTGACATGTGAGCGTTGGAACGCGTGGTAAGGTCGACGCGTCTGTCCTCCCTTTCGTGCGTCCAGCATCATTCTTGTTCCGTCACGCACTAATAGTATTGCGTTCATCAGGAGGTGTCTGCTCACATTCAGTCTACGATCTATGCTCTCGCCGAGAAGGTTTGTAATGGAAGTTGTTCTCTCTCATCATCGTCTGACTTCGCACATAGGCTGCGGACATCATCAAAGGCGTTACGAGTTACCCCGCCCCGCTGTAGACCAGGAACTGTTGAACTTGAAATGTGTACTACGACGTGTACGATAGGATTTGCATATACGTGATAGTCCCTTCAGTGCTACGGATGGTGTTTCAGTTACTCTTCGTTTCGACGGTTCATAACCCCAGACGTGGGCTATACCGAGTGGATGAGATAATCGCAGACAGAAAGTCAATACAGCTCTTGTTTGATGATGTCCGAAGCCTTGTGTTCGTTTCAGCAATGCGCTACGAACCCGGCGAGATAGTATAACACCTACCCTTTCGGCAATCGCATAAACAGCGGTTTGCAGGTGCGCTGCGATCTGCATAGGCACCAGTGACGCGTCTACCACGCGCAGGTTCGAGGTGCCATACACCTTGAGGGATGTGGGATCGACGACACCTACATGACTCTTTTTCAGTACGACGGCACAGGATATAGCCGAGGGAGCAGGAAAGCTCACCTCCGAGCGAACGTGAAACCATGGCAGCAGTTCCAGCGGGGTGGAAGAATGGCCCGGTCGCAGCCCTCAAGTATCTACATAGATAGTGATCCGTTCGATATCCATACTGTGCACTGGTGAGATAATTCTTACGCAATGAGGCCTGCTTCGTCCGTGGAGTTTGCGGGAGGGTTATGGGACCCCGCCACAGCATCCACCAGAGGTGGACTGGCAGCGATTTTTTGCGCGAACTTGACGCTTTCAAGCATCGACTCGAAATCTACGGCAGATAGTAAGGGCAGGTAGGGTGGCGCCTCGAGGACAGGCTCTTACCCACATCATTCCCCACGTACTTGGGGTCGATGACTGGCGCTGCAAGTGGGTCACTGCTGTTGATATGCTACGCTATATGAGTTGCACGAAATAAACGAGATGTGGAAAGTCCTCACAACTGTACCCCGAGCGAAAGGATGCTAAGAAACGGAACATAAGTGTCACGCTGCATCCATAGAGTGAACACAACTCACCATCAGTCCGAGGCTAAGCGTCACGTAAGTCTTATTCGGAGTCGCAGGAATCGACGTTGAGCCTCCGCCTGGCGTCATAATAACCTCTATATGAGCCACGTCGTCGTCAGATAACCAGCCGTCTTGGATCTGGTACTGCGCCCTTGCAAGCGGGGAGATGTCGGGCGACGCCGAGAGCGAGAGCGCGAGCTCGCGAATCTTCGCCGCAGCACCCGGCGGAGTACACGCCGTGAATGGTGGGAATGTTCGTGGGGAGGCCAGCTGGGCAAATACGCCTGTATGGTTCACGGCACTGGCAGCACCAGTGCCATGTAAGCACTCGTACGCAGAACCCCGTGTGCAACCTTACTATTCTTGTTCTTGGTCAAGTAAGAACGTTTCGTTATTTCTCAGCATGTCTAGCAAGTTCAAGTCAGTAGCTGCCATATAATGCACGGCGTAGAAATAGAAGAGATGCCCATACCGTACGTCCAGAAATGACCCCTCAGTTCGAAGTCTAATGCGATAAAAGGCTGGTCCTGCGTCGTTATCAGTACGGCATAGCGAGAGTTGAATCGGGTCCGTGTACCTGCAGGTTCTCGCCGACTCCGGGAAGGTCGATCAACGTTTCGATTCCAAGCGGCTCTAAGATTGCCTGGTTTCCGATACCTATAGGGAATCGTGAGATTGAGATTTTTTTTTACGACCAGGCATGTCGAGAGAGCAGGCTCACCCGAAAGCTCAAGCATTTGAGGGGTCTGGATGGCTCCTGGAGCATAGATGATGCTTTGCAATAGCACATAAGGGCTGTATCAACTTGGCTTACCCGCAGAGAGGATAACTTCCTTTCGTGCTAAAAGGGTGCCGGTGAATCCGGTAGAGTTGATTGCCACTACATTCACGCCAGAAGCTTTCAATGGATGGCTGTAGTTAGACGATGATTCAAAGTCGATCTTGGTCGCCTGCGAGAGATCCCGTAAATTGAAGATTGCCGTACATGCATCCATCAGGGAGATCGTTACCTGCGTGGTCAAAAACACTGTCAAGTTAGGGCGGTCTGCGCTGATATTGTAATATGTGCTCGCTGCGTATGAGCGCTGCCCGACGTCCTTCTTCTTGTCGACAGCGTGTTCAGTGTTGTATATTCCAGTTGCATGTCCGGTATACTGAGGTGCGTTAGCCCACAGTAACTACCCTCGGAAAATCATACGACTACTGACAGCGTCGCTATTTGTCGGAATCCCTAAACCGTTGATTGTCTGCACGTAGGGCGCCGTCAGGTTGCTGTAGAAGTCGTTGTACGACGGCTGAAACTATGAATACCCTAGTCACTCAGAGCTTGCAACAGCACTAACCTGTATAGGCCCCGACTGCCCATGAAACACGTCGAAGACCGACTCTGGAAGTTCGACAGCGCCAGGCAAGATTCCCTGAGGGGGCGGGGGAGATGCGGTCTCGCTCTTCTTGTGATATGGCAGCAAGAATTTCCAGTTCCATCCTGTTGCGCCGAGCTACAAAAGTAATTAATACTGCATCTCCACAGCTAACGCTACGCAGTACCTCTTCCCATGCATCATACTCCTTCGCAGACGCTCGGTTCCAGGCCATGAAATTGAGCCCACTTGACCCACCGAGCATTTTGCCTCTGGCCTGGTGCACGCTCGCGTTGTTTAGAGCTGGTTGCGGCACCGTCTGGAAGTTCCAGTCGAAGGCGGGGTTCCCGATGGCTCGCCCAAAGAACTCTGTATATACTATTAGTCGATATCGGCGTCGTTTGTATTCGGTAGACTTACGCGGAGTGTCCACCAGCGGCTCGTTGACATGATGGACGCCGGCTTCAACTACCGCTACCGTTATCGTAGGATCTTCACTCAGACGAGCGGCGACGACGAGGCCGGCAGTTCCTCCACCTGCATCCGTGCCTTTAGCGCCGTTTCGTCATCGAGAGATACTTGGTATGCGCGTACCAACGATAACGTAGTCGTATTCTGCGTGTGTTCCTGTTCAAGGAAACGAATTCGAATAAAATGTTCGTTCATTGAATGAGCGTAATGAGGTGGGCATACCTTGAGGCGTAGTGCCGGTCACGGATGTACAGGCGCACAAGAGGATGGACAGGTATACTAGATACATCTTGGGCGGGGATGATCCTGCCAAAACACTGGCGAGGACGATATAAAGCCCTTCTCTGAAGCGCCAGGAAGATGCTAAAGAGTATACAAGGAATAGGATGTTCTCCCCATCAGTGGTACCTCCCCATGACAAATTATTCAGTAGTCTCCTTAGCACCGTGTTACAATGTAACGTACCTTGCGCCGCCAATACAGCCATGAGAGTCAACGTAACCGCTTCTAGAACATGGAGCGGAGATACTACGCTTGCAAGCCATGCGGATCCATGAGAATTTGAGATGATATCTTCGACGTACTAGCATCGTGGCCGCTGTGCAGAAGTTAGAAGAGTACACGTACATACCCGCAATCGATGCCGGTCACTGTCATCACAGAAGTACTGCGGGACGGGCACCGTCGGATTGCGCGGGAACTGTATGGCATGAGGATTGACGGCTGACCTCCGATGTTCGGAATCTAAGTCGTTAGACCTTCAGGACCGAAGTACCAACAACTTAGACGAGTGCTGCCATAAATGAGAGGATAATCTGCAATGCTCGCAGTGACAACATAAGAGAGACGTGGCAAGATACTGGACACGATATCCTGTGGACAGAGCCTGCGTACCTCGCCGTGCCTCGTAAGCTTATGCTCGTCGATCTATATGCTATAAGACAACTCACCTATAGCTTCGAATGTGGCACCACCCGAGAATCCCATCATCGAATGACGCTAGGGAAGCGCACGGGAATGCAGAGCCACTACTAACGACGCCACTTCGAAAGTGTCGTCCTCTATCTTCGCCGCAGCCTCCTTCCCATAGCGCCACATCTCCTCCTCCATCGCGTCCACATCCTCACAGTGGATGTACCCGCGGACATGCATCCGCCGCAGAGCTTCGCGAATCCAGACCCGGCACGTCCAGGTCAGTTCGCGCTCTCTGTCTACCTGAGGTACCTCCATAGGGATCTGACGCAGGAGCGCGTTAAGGTCGTCGACGGACTTCCCATCCGGTAAGCGGCCAATGATGGCGGCGGCTGCGACGGCGGGGGAGGTAGCGAGCGCGAGCAGCGTGCGGTCGTAGGACCAACGCTTGTCGTCGCCCTGCTTGTCATTCGTGATGGCGTGTAGCTTTATGCCTCCGTGAGTCTGCGTGCTTGACTCTGCGGCGGGCACATCCGGAATGAAGAGGAACCAGTGAAATCGCGGTGGCGTTGTGCTCATGACGTCGAGCGCCAGTACGATATCTGGATAGCGCGGAGGTGGCGATAGAGTGGTTTTGCTGGGCATGGTAGAGAGATGGCCGAGGTGGAGCTTTGAAGCTGAAGGAAGGGGGAGAGAAGACTTGCGTAAATTAGTCTGAAGGGCGTGTAGACAAGCCCCGCGACACGCTCGGGCGAGTTGGACGTTGAACATACGCGTATAGGCGCTCTTCCCGGCGCCTTCGAGATGTCTCGTGCTAGACAAATGATACTTGCTTGAAGACGAGTAACGGCACAAAAGTGTATTCCTGTGGACGATGAGGCTATAGGGTATACGGTGAGAGTCCAATCTGCCCAAGATAAGAGGGCACTATGCTACATCAGATGTGGTACGAATACATGGGCATGCTGTTGCTCAGCGTTGCTCGCCAGCAAGGACGGGTGTGGATGTAGAGGCCGAGGTCGAAATGGGGACGCGAGTTCGGTCGTGCATCTCTTTGAAGGTGGCACCAAGGACGTTGGGAAAGCGCGCCGTGGAGTGTCGCAAGCGGTGCAGCACGAATCGCTCGATCTTCTCGGGAGAGGCTTGGAGATCGAAGGCATTCTTCTACGTGTGTGTTAGCAAGCCGCACTGCTCGCCGCATATCGTGGGCTTACTGTGTCTGCATTACGTTTGGCACGGGCCTCGTCTCGCATGCGGTTGAGCTCCTTCCTGCGCTCCTCCTCTTTCTGCTTCCTGTTCAAGCCAGAGTTCGGAGTGGACACGCCCGGTTGCTGTAAACGTAGTGAGGACGATGACAGAGAGACTCGTTGGGCAACATCGCATACCGTGCTTTTGAAGAGCTCTGAGTATACGGACGAATCCAGCAGATTGATATCCGCGGAAGCCCCCGCGGGCTTACGAGTACCAACCTGATTGCTCGTTGGCGCGGGCGTGCGCGAAGTTTGGCTCTTCTCCATCACCGCTGGAAGAGGCTTGGGGGCGGACGGCGTGGAAGGGGCAGTCGAGCCCGCTGTGGACGGTTTGTTCTTCTTGATCGTGGGGAGCTTCCGCTTCTTGGGCAGGCTTGCCTCATCCATGAGGTCTGCCGCGAAAGCGCTGCTCACTGGCACCTCGTCGTGAGCTTTGGGGCGCCTAGAGGGGTCTGAGGCGGTCGTAGGAAGCCTGCGCTCGTCCCGGAAGATGATCTCCTTCTCGTCTTTGTCCCTTCCACCCTTGCTCTTTGCGCTCGGTTTCCCCACAATGGCCTTCCCCATCTTGCCCTTCGCGCCCTTCTTGCTCGATGAATAGTCTGGCTCGGGATCGAAATCGTCGTCGTCGGTGACCACGACCTCCGGATCATCGAAGTCGTCGTCTTCATCATCTGTCCACACAACCTGTCTCCGCGGCTTCTTCGACGATGTCTTGTTCTTGGAGGACTTCGCCTCCTTCCCACGGGCCTTGCTCGACGAAGCCGCCGCGTTTGACAGTCGCCGCTTCGCCGGTGCCGGCGAAATCGAGCGCGAAGTCCCGTGGTGAGGTTCGGGGAGGAAGCGTGTGTCTTCAATATCGCCGTCAATGTCGACGTCGACGTCCATATCACCCTCCGCATAGTCGTCGTCCTCCGACCCAGCTGCCGCCTCCCGACTGGCGTGCCGGGCTTTCTTCCGCCGAGAGCTCCGGGCGGGCGGGTCGTACGAGGACCGCTCAGCAACCATCACCTCTTCATCCTCGTCGTCTGATTCGATCCTCTGTATGCGCCGTTTGGCCGGCCTGGACTCGGCAGCGGATGCCTGAGTGCGGTACCAAACATGAGACGGGACGAATGGCTAGAGGCGTTGTACATACCACACTCTGCTTGCTAATCTTTATCCTCAAAGACATGATAGAGTAACACTCAAACGAGGGGTGAACAGGACAGAGAGGAAGTAGACAGCAGTGTTTGGGGGGAGGAGCCCGGAGGACGGTGGCGAGTGGAAGCACGAGGTAGGCGCCCGCCGAGACTCAGTACACCGAGCGCGCGTCGCGTTACGCATGTGTCACGTGTTTTGGTCACATTCTACCGAACGCCTGCCATGGGGCCGTCAAAACTACAAGGGATGTACCGCGCAGAGACCGAGTTATGCAATGTAATTATGAAGCGAATTTAGAGCCCTACCACAACCTCTTAGCTCATACGGAATTTTTTGGGCTTTTAGCCGAGCCTTTTCAGTATAGCCATAAACGGTGGTGTGTGAATACACCGGAACGTGAAAGGCAACCTTGATGTCAAGGAGAGGAACCCACACTAATATAGAATTTGTGTAATAGGGATCACAGTTGAGTTAGATGTACAGAAACGTAGTCCGATGTCCAGTATAGTCCACGACGGAACACAAACATCATTGCGGATCACTGGATGTTGATGGTAGTGTTCACGCTCTCGGCACCTGGAACAAGTGCAGCCTAGGAAAAGGGTTCAGAGACAATTCAATTTCACGACAGTGAGCACATACCCCGCCCAAGAAGTAGTGTCCAATATTGAGCAACGCAGGGCCCTTGGGTGTCGCCGACGGGATGGTCACCGTAAAGTTCTGGAAGCCTGCACTTGATCCGCTTCCAGCCACGATCTGCGGGTCATAGTTGCCCTTGAAGAGTACCTGGCCAATACCGCCTGTGGTGGTAATGGCAGAGCAGTCCCCCCTACACGGGGTCAGACCGATGACGACGGAAACGCTGGTGGTGCCAGAAAGCCCAGGCTACATTTGTGGCATCGTCAGAGTAGTAAGCGATACATGACCGGAGTATACTGACTTTCTTCTCCACGTCCACAAGCAAATCACTTCCCGCCGTGACAGAGGCATCGGCGGCGGGTGCGAAGATGGCTACACTCTGCGCCAAAGCACATCCGACGAGTCCAAGGAAGACAAGAGCAGACTTCATGTCGTCGGCCGGGTTGGAGTGCGGAGGGGAGGCAGAAGTGAGAGAAAGACGACTGAACCCGTGGGGTGCTGTAACGCATGGTGAGTTCTCTTGACATATATACTCACTTCAAACGAAAGCGCTGGTGCTAAACGGTAACCATGCAGGGGAGGCCATGCGCAGCCCGAATCCATTATGGGACCGGCGGCGTTTCGAGTATCGGATCTGACTCCTAGCGAGTTAACGCTTCAGCCTCGAGTTGTCTCTGATTGCAAGTACTCGAGCTCTGACTGTTACTGCGGCTGCAATGTCATGCTATCCATCGGGCGAGCCGCCACTCGCTCGCCCAGAGGAGACGTCCAAGCCTCTGTATGTAGCAGATGAGTGAATTCATGAAAGTCGCGCTGACGATGTATTGATGCCGTCCACTCCGGCCGAAGTCGGCGAACAGCCCTATGGCTATGAACGGGCTCCATAGTACGTCACGCATCATAGCCATAGAGCTGTACTGCTTTTGTTATGAGACATAATGATGAATCAACGCACGGTTTGGTAGTCAAGATGCAGGCTTGTTAGGTGGCGAGCGGCCACGGTTGTGGGGTTCCAAGATCGAAGTGAGACGCTTCGCAGTTTGTGTATGGCGAGATGAATCAGACGGGAACAGTTGCAAAAATACAGTGGTAAATCTGCTCGTCCCGGCAGCTATGAATGATCAAGAGAAATACTTGCAGAATCCACTGCGAATGTGTGTATCCAAGACCGGCTCGGGGTGGTGGGAGAGAGAGAGAGCTAAGGGGTGTGGTCCATTGACGTCGTGCTACGCTAAAGCCTGCCCTAATCTAGCTAATTGTACGTAACTCGTAGACCTCGAATCCAACATAGATAGCGCCGAGTGCACAATACATTCGACCCCTTCGTAGACTAGACCCCACTGCTGGCCAGACCTCCTGTAGACCTAGTCGTTCTTCGGCACATCGGCAGGCCGTATGTGAAAACCTCGTATGAGAAGAGGGCAAAACCGGCGTGGCGCTCGGAAAACCTCGAGGGGAAGCGCCGCTGCAGACACAGGCAACGCCTCGCAACTCTCATACGGCCAAGAAAGACATCTAACAGAAGATCGGGTCAGCGAGGGTTTAATCTCCGGGGACAGGTCACAAGTGATCGTGGCCGGCAGGAGAGGACAAGTTACGAACAACACGTCCGGCCACATATGTACTTATATGTGTAGGCGCTCGTTGAACGCGTCGCGTCTTTGGGCGTCTGTTTCGATCATTTCGTGCTCTCAGCCACCACCCAACCAGTGGCAACTTGACCCAACTTCAAGTGCCCACCACATTCCACCACTACGAGAGACTCTCAGTGGTCCCTGGATAAATTATCCCAAGCAGCGAATCAGCTTTTACCGAAGATGAACACCGTCATACCGAATGGCTTCCGCGCATTACCGCTCCCGCTTGCTCAGCTGTCTCTCGCCGCTGTTCTCAAATGCGGACAGTCTTTTCGCTGGTGTATCTTCTCCTTACATGAACTCAGCCCACCTAGCCCAGAACTGAACATTCCGACACACGAATATCGACTCTGCTTACGCGACCGCGTAGTCTGTCTGCGCCAGTCCTCGACTTCTTTGTTCTACCGCTCAGTCTTTCCACAAACCACCAACGGCGACCCTGAGGCTCGAGAAGCAGAGACTCTGGCTTGGATCCGCGACTACTTTCAACTAGACGTTGACCTGAAGGAGCTCTATGCACAATGGAGCGCCGCGGACCCTGTCTTCCACCGGCTACAGGACCGGTTCGAAGGTATCAGAATGCTTCGGCAAGATCCCTTCGAAAACCTCATGTCGTGAGTACAGTCTCACTGTGAACTTTTTGTTCATCTAGCTTACCGATATTAGGTTCATATGCTCGTCGAACAACAACATATCCCGTATCACTAAGATGGTCAAGGGACTATGTCAGCACTACTCGCCTGCTCTTGTTTCACTTCCTCCGCCATCCGGTTCGACGGCAGCCGAGGAGCCATATCACCCATTTCCCCCACCGTCTGCCTTGGCAGCACCGGAAGTTAGCACGCAGCTGCGTGCGCTGGGCTTCGGATACCGTGCAGACTTTATACAGCGGACTGCAGCTATGCTTGTCGAAACGCACGGGGTGACTCAGAGCCCGAAGACTCGCATGGAGCCGTCGGAGGAGTGGCTCACGACTCTGCGGACACTAAGTACGACGGAGGCGCGGGCAGAGCTGCTTAAGTTCGTAGGCGTAGGCCGTAAAGTGGCTGACTGTATATTGCTGATGAGTCTTGACAAGGTTGGCTGTCCCTGTTTATCTCGCAACACCAATATTGACACCCATACAACAGAGAGAGGTCATACCTGTGGACACACATGTACACCAGATAGCTGTCAAAAACTACGGTCTCAAGGGTGCCGCCAAGGCCGCAAGCATGAACCCAAAACTGTATGAAGAAGTCAGCACCAAGCTGTCTGTAGTATGGGGAGAGTATGCCGGCTGGGCGCATTCCGTGAGTTATATTTACAATGCGCGTAAATTCAATTCCTCACTAGCTCTATCAGGTCCTCTTCACTTCGGACCTGAAGTCGTTCGCCTCATACGGCCTTCCTTCACCGCCGTCTACGCCATCTATGACCCCAGATAGCGCATCCACTTCCGCAGCCATCACTCCCCTCGCTACACCACTCAGCGAAACACCGAGCTCGACAAATAGTCGGAAGCGCAAACAGTCAAGTGGTCGATCTGCGAGACCTTCGAAGCTGATGGTCGAAGTTGCGGACGCACTGCCGGAGCTCACGATCGAAGATCCAACACATAGCTTAGCAGAGCGAGTAAAAAGGCGGCGGAGGGGCGCAGGGCCGTAGGTGCACTCACCTGTTGATATTGGCGGTCCCTATATGTTATGTTGTATATATACTTTCGGACGCTCATTCTCAATTTGAGATGGCGACTTACGGTACGCCTCAAAAGTGAATTATTTCAGCGATCATCGAGGGCCGAGTTCCGATATACACGGAAGCGCCTTGAGCAGCGGACGGCGGTGCACGTCATACCAGGTCCAGCTCTCACTCCTACCCACGCATACATCCATCCGCACCCACCGCTCTCGCCGCGACCATGTCCGAAGCGTCCACATCACAGCAGAAAGCGAAGGAGAAGGAGATCGTCGAGCAGGCGGCCGCGCTCGCCGCCGGCGAAGAGGACGCGCCCACGGGCTCCGAAGGCTCTGAGGACGAGCAGGACGTCGCCGGCTCGTCCTCCGTGCAGGTAATATCGCCGTCCACGTCGAGCAAGAAGAAAAAGAAGAAGCGGTCAAAGGCGGTGAAGGCCCTGAACGCGCTCCGCGGTGGGGGCAAGGACGCGATCCCCGAGGATGTGGTCAAGGTCGTGCTCGAGAAGGTCCGCGCGGAGGGCGGGGAGGCCGCGGCCGCTGCGAACCCCGAGCTCATCAGGCAGGCGCTCGAGCAGATGAAGATCCAGGATGTGATCCAGGGCAAGGCTGGAGTCGGGGGACGTGGTAAGAAGGATACTGGTGGGCATAAGGTGAGCATGAATGCAGCATGTTCCTCTGCGACATCGGAGCTGACTAGATGATGCTTTAGTTCTGGAGCTCGCAGCCGGTACCGCAACTGGGTTGGTTAAGCATGCTTGCGGTCTTGCGTATCGTGCGTTAAACATCTATGTGCAGGAGAGGCCCCTCCAGAGGTGGATGGGCCCATCGAGCCGTCGAAGCCCCGTGAAGAAGTTCAGCAGAACGCGTATCCCCTCCCCAAAGAGTTTATGTGGTCGACACTGGACATTAGCGACCCAGCAGAGGTGCGTTCCGGTAACGCACCCACTATGCATAAGACTAAGTCGCGTTGAGGTCAGCTGCGCGAACTGTACGAATTGCTATCGGCCAATTATGTCGAAGACGACGACGAGTCGTTCCGTTTCCAGTACTCCGCGGAGTTCCTCTCATGGTATGTCTTTCCTGGCATCCTACCGCCCTCTTGTGAGTTAATGAAACTCTGCTCCCAGGGCTTTGATGCCTCCCGGCTACCACAAGGACTGGCATGTGGGTGTCCGGGTGAGCTCAACCAAGAAGTTGGTCGCCTTCATCTCCGCAGTTCCCATACGCGTTCGGGTTCGTGACAAGTGAGTGCTACAATAAGACCTCTGCCAATCCTTGCTAACATGAGCTTTGCTCTCAGCGAGTTCGACGCGAGTGAAGTCAACTACCTTTGCGTGCACAAGAAACTGCGATCAAAGCGGTTAGCACCTGTGCTCATCAAGGAGGTCACTCGCCAATGCCATCTCAAGGGCATTTTCCAAGCGTTGTACACCGGTGGTGTCCTTCTGCCCACACCCGTATCAAGTTGCCGGTTAGTGATCAACACTCGATGTACTTGAATGCATTCTCACCGTCCGTATGCTGGACAGATACTTCCACCGCTGTCTGAATATCCCCAAGCTCGTTTCCGTGCGCTTCACCAGCGTCCCCTCTAGCATGACGCTCGCGCGCATGATCCGCCTGCACAAGCTACCAGATCGCCCGCGTCTACTCGACCAAGGGCTGCGCGAGATGGAGGAGCGTGACGTGCCGCAGGTCACAGACCTCTTCAGCCGGTACATGAAGCGCTTCACCATGTTCCCGGTCATGAGCGAGGACGAGGTCCGCCACCAGTTCCTGAGTGGTCTCGGCGAAGGTCCTCGCGGATCGGACAGCTGGAAGATCAGGCGGGACGGACAGGTCGTCTGGGCGTATGTCGTCGAGGTAAGGCCCATCCCTACCCGTGCCTATGCATGCAGACGCGCTGATACGAGTTATACACAATGCGCAGAACCCGAAGACGCACAAGGTCACCGACTTCGTCTCGTTCTACTCGCTCCCGTCGACGATCATGAATCACGACAAGCACAACCTGCTCAACGCCGCGTACCTGTTCTACTACGCCACGGAGACCGCGTTCGAGCCCGGCGCAGAGGAGAGCGGTCGTCTGAAGAAGCGGCTCGAGGACGTCGTCGGTGACGCGCTCGTCATCGCGGAGAAGGCCGGCTTCGACGTGTTCAACGCGCTCACGCTGATGGACAGCGTCTGCTTCCTGCAGGACCTCCGGGTACGCAGTCCCCGATGCCCATCCGCGCTACTTGCTCATTTTTGCATATCTAGTTTGGCCAGGGCGACGGTCTGCTCAACTTCTACCTGTACAACTGGCGTACCGCGCCTGTGTCTGGTGTCAACGCCGTGGACGACGTGCCCGCGGGCAAGGGTGTCGGAGTCGTGATGCTCTGAGCTGGTTGTGCTGCCATGTGTGCATGCTCTGTGTCTATGATATGAACAGTGGATTCCCGAACGTTGGGCTCTGAATCGAGGAATACCTCGCAGAATGTAACAAACATGTTCTATTGTGATAGACTAAATCGTACAATGCAACCGATACACGGGCCGCTGCTATGCCATCGTCACGTTCGAGGTCGTAGGGTGGGGTAAGGAAAGGGGGGGCTGTGATGCAAGAGGGGTCGGAGTCCAAGAGCATAACATCCATCGCGCGGAAATCGGGAAGCGTCTCAGTCATCGCTGTAGTACATCACGTCGTCCTCGTCGTCCACCCCGAAATCCGGCGTCGGGCTCCGTGGCCGCTCCTCCTGCTGCTTACCGCGTCGTTGCGGTATCACAGGCACGGACGCGCCGCCTGCCCCCGTCGCGCGCGACTGCGAGTTCACAGCGGGCTGCGAGGGACGAGAACCGAGGGTTTGTCCCCCATTGCCCCACGTTGCCGCGGGAGCTTGCTCTCTTTCCTTCTCCTTCCCCTTCACGGACGGCTGAGACTGCGACGTGGATTGCCCACGGCCCGTGAGTGAGTTGCCCGACCCGGCGAAGACGTTTGTCTGTGTGCAGTGAAATCCATTGATAGACCGAACTGGAGCGGTGGACTAATGGAGACATACCTGAGGTGGGGAGTCTGTCGCCTTTGCTTCGGGCGGAACGTATGGCTGAACGGTGAACCCAAAGAACAACTTGCCGAACGGCAGATTGAGCGGCGCCGGGACGTAGACGTCACCGTCAAGGCTGCCGGGTGTCACAATACGATGTTGGCTACAACAAACAAGGTGAGTACCTTTAACTATATAGAAGGCTGAACCAGAACATACTCTGTACGGATAATCTTGCTGCCCTCGGGAGCCGCTTCGGGCTTCCGGTGGCTGATGCCTTTACCTTTGGTCTTGCGTCCAGTGAGCGTTTCGCCCTTGCCCTTGAAACTTTCCCAATGATCGCCGCCTTTGCTGATAGGGCCGCCCCTCGGAGCTGCGCCGGCGAACGCACCACCCAAAGACGATCCAGGTCGGGACGAACCAGGGGTGGAGGAGCTCAGGTCAATGTTGAGCTTGGAGGCCATGGTAGCTGCAGGGGTAGGCTTCGGACGTTCGGGCTCCACATATCCAACAGGAGCCGCGAAATCGACCTCCAAGTCTGTGTCGAGGACACTGATTCCCTCGCCGCCTGGATGTGTCTCCATAACGAGCAGACCGAAGACTATAGAGTTGTAGGAGATCTCAACGATGTCACCCTGTGTGAGGGCGGAGAAGTTACGCAATGCTTGTTCGAGGCTGCGATGCATGGCTTCAGAGTCAAGAGGCACCATCCAAGATGGAGAGAACTCACACTGCCTTAGGGTCTGAGATTTCCAGGAAATCCACCGTCTGTGCCTGCAGCTTGACCATCTTGCCCTTGGGGAGATCTGTGCCAGTAATTCGGATAGGATCGCCTTCGTTCAGCCGCAGCGTCTTCATCATCCAGTGAGGAAGGTGTACGCAACCCTCCTCGGCTATGAATTCGAGGACACCACCATGGGTGGAAGCGGCGGGGTTTGCGGGATTGCGAAGCTTGAACACCCAGGGGGACTCAAGGTCCATTTGTGTGAGATTTGCAAGCGCGGAAGGAGGCATAATGACTGTAAGGGATGAGTATCAAGCATAAATGGCTTCCGCATGGCAGACGTACTCTTTCCACCGTAGCTCAGATTGTCTCGCGGCCTTCCGGGAAGCATTGCGACGCTGTACGCCTTGAAGTATTCATCGTATGCTCTTGGGTTTGGTATACCCATTCTCCGGATGCCAGCTCCACCCAACCCTCTGAGTGATAGTTTAGTACGCAGAGATACCTACAGTAGAATCCACTTACTGGGCGAACTGGGCGAATAAGCCGGCAGGGCCAGCGCCGCCAAACGGATTCTGTTGATCAAACTGATATGTGTGTTAGTATGCTGCAGAAGCCTGTTCTGTCGGTGTACATACGAAGTCCATCGGTGAAAGCGAGATGAGAGTCGGAGGAGAAGAGCGGAGTGCTGCAGGGCGCGCAGACGCGGTGGCCAAACGCGTAATCGAGGGCGCTTAGCGTCTCACGTGAAGCTTGAATGGGCGCCTAAGAAACGACGCGCCTCGCAATTTTATTGAGCACTTTCGACTTCGTTCCATCTCCTCCTCCTCATCCACCATGGCCGCCGTCGTTCCTTCCACAATTCCCACCTCCACGGTGGGGAACAAGGCCTTTAATGACAAGGTACGCGCATAGCCATAGATTTTATGGTGCGGTACTGACCCAAGACCAGGGCAAGCCCATGGAAGTGCGCCTGTCTAACATGGTCGCCGCCAAGGGTGCGATTGAACGCGGATTCTAGCTCGTCACGTCCAATATTGACACCTGTATGTTACAGCTATCAGCGATGCAGTGCGGACGTCTTTGGGTCCGAGGGGTATGGACAAGATGGTGCGTGCTGAGACCCACATATTGTCTTTGCAAAGTATACTCAGCAAGACCTCAAGATCCAAACCTCCAAAGGAGAGTTGATCATCACTAACGATGGTGCTACCATCTTGAAAAGCATTCAAGCCTTGCACCCTGCAGCGAAGATGGTGAGTGTAGCAATTGCTCGCATACAGCCTAAGGCTCACTGAGGATCAGCTTGTCGATCTCTCTGCTGCACAAGACGTCGAGGCGGGCGATGGCACGACATCAGTCGTTGTGCTTGCCGGAAGTCTCCTGGGTGCCGCAGAAAAGATGCTGCAGAAAGGCATGCACCCCACTGTCATTGCGGAATCGTTCCAAAAGGCGTCGGCGAAGGCCGTTGAGTATCTCACCGAGATCTCCACGCCAATCAACCTCGAAGACAAAACCTCCCTCCTCCGTGCAGCGACGACATCATTGAACTCCAAGGTATGTGCGCTGACGATCTCCACACCTCAGAGGTCTTGACGCGGTTTTCGTTTTTAGATTGTGTCGCAATACTCCTCTACCCTTGCTCCCATCGCCGTCTCTGCAGTAACACGCCTTGCCACTTCCACCTCTTCAAATGTCGATCTTCGTGACATCCGGGTTGTCAAGAAGGTTGGCGGCACGATCGAGGATACTGAACTGGTCGATGGTGTGGTCCTCAACCAGAACGTTGTCACTACTGTGGGAGGTCCCACGCGGATAGAGAAGGCGAAGATCGGTCTCATACAGTTCCAGCTGAGCGCCCCCAAGCCTGACGTATGTTCATCACATTCGAGTCGACCTGCAGGCTTTAACGAGCTTGACCTCTAGATGGATAACACGGTTGTCATCAACGACTACCGCCAAATGGACAAGGTGATCAAGGAGGGCCGACAATACCTGCTCAACATCTGCAAGAAGATCAAGAAGGCGAACTGCAACGTGCTTCTCATCCAGAAGTCCATCCTCCGCGACGCCGTCGACGATATCTCGCTCACCTTCCTCAAGCGCCTCAACATCCTCGTCGTGAAGGATGTAGAGCGTGACGAGATTGAGTTCCTTTCGAAGAGCATGGGATGCAAGCCTGTTGCGGATATCGATGCGTTCACTGAGGACAAGCTTGGCTACGCGGACCTCGTGGAGGAGGTCAGCCATGTTGGCGCGAAGGTGGTCCGGATCACAGGCGTGAAGAACAGGGGGCGTACTGTCAGCATTCTCGCGATGGGCAGCAATAGCCTCGTCCTCGAGGAATGCGAACGCAGTCTGCACGACGCTTTGTGTGTCGTTCGCTGCCTCGTCAAGAAGAGGTACATCGCACGCGTCTCCTTTGCGAATTGTTACTGATACTGCAGGTTCGCTTAGGGCACTGATCGCTGGTGGCGGCGCGCCTGAGATCCACGTCTCACGGCTGCTTTCGCAATATGCAAATTCGCTCAAGGGCATGGAGGCATACTGTTTCCAGGCATACGCCGACGCGCTGGAGGTCATCCCGACCACACTTGCCGAGAACGCTGGTCTCAACCCCATCGCGATCGTCACCGAGCTCCGGAACCGGCATGCGCTTGGGGAACGGAACGCAGGCATCAACGTTCGCAAGGTTCGATCGCCTCTTTTATGTCTGCCCTACCATTTGCTAACTCTCAAGCAGGGTCTCATCTCCAACATCTTGGAGGAGGACGTCGTGCAGCCCCTGCTCGTGTCGACCAGCGCCATTGAGCTCTCGACCGAGACGGTTTGCTTGTTGCTCAAGATCGATGATTACGTCCAGACACGATAGATAGCAGACTCAAAATCAAGTGTACAGATATATCGCATATTGCCAACTCATGGGTCTAATGCTGCTCTATGCTCCGCGCTCTGCTTTCCGTTCCTGTAGATCAATCTGCCGACATCTGCTCTTGTGACTACCTCAGAGTCGCCTTGATGATGTTCCGGAGCTGTTCATCTTCACAGCGGAGCCACCACAGACAACTGTCGTCGTCGCTCTCCTTCAGACGTACGGCAGCGAGCCCCTCGTTGGAGGGAGGAGCGGCTATCTCAGGGCATATTACAATCTTCAGGTCGCCTGGAACGACTGTGAGCATAGTTCTCTTGTATGTATCCGCGTAGCATTACATACCTTCGAAAGGAGGTCTGTCACGTTCTGTCACTTTCAAGCGACGTTGTAGTCCTTGCAGCCGCCGCAGTACAGCGTCCATCGAAGACTCGCACCATCCGCGGGAGGTGGACGACTCAAGGCTGCTCCAAGTGGCCTCGAAGTCGTGCTCCGCGATGCTGAGCGTGCTCGCGATCGAGAGGGCCGGCTCGGCCATGAAAGGCGAGTCCAGCCCGAGGAGATCTACAGACTAGCGAGAGGTCAGAGGCACAAATCAAGAATGCCGAAAGAATGGATGCAATACCGAGGCCTCTTCGTCTAGGATCTGCACTATTGGAAGGGGAGATAGGTGGGACCGTGGCGAGCCCTATAAGCGAATGTTGAAGCACTAACTTGTACTGTTCATAGAAGCCGACCTACGCTTGAAATCGAACGCAGGTCGGACGTCTGCGCGGCGAGCGTCAGATCCCCCGCAGTCACTGTCATCGCCAGGGGGTCTTCGTACGCTCGCCCGTAGCCGCCGCTCCGCACGCTGCCGTCGTCCGAGTGTCGCGAGCTGCTGCTGCTCACGCGCCTGAGCCGCTGGGTGGCCCGCGGGGCTTCGTACGCGGTGTAGCGCAGCTTGCCTGGGACGGGGGATGCTCGAGAGGACGAGGGTTCGGGGGAGCGGGGTATCAGTGGTGGGGAACTAGGGACGATTCTTGGTGACCGAGATATGGCCCTTTGTTGGCGTGCTTCGTGCGTCTCTAGCGCGAAGACAAAGTCCGGTAACTGTACGGCGATTAGGTATGCAGCTAAATGGAAAGAGGAACGTTACATACTGATGAAGAGCTTGTACGCGCGATGATTTTCTGAAGCGTATCCTTGGACTGTGAGAGGTTGATGAACTGATCGCATCTCTGCAGGCGGACTTAGCCCACTATGTTATGAGCCCCGATATCTTAGGACCTACTCGCTTGATGTGTCTCCCTCCACTGGAGTGGAGTTTCCTCACTGTGTCGAGAACTTCGACGGGCACCTCGTCACACGCAATAGAAATGCGTAGCATCGTGATAAGACATGCGTCCTGTATCGATGCTATGCAACGTCAGTATAAGGTCAGTTGTTACATATTATAAAATCACGAAACGTACCGGAGTAGGAGGAAAGCCTAGCAGCAAGTCCGCGTAGCAGCTCCACGGGTGAGATGGGAGATAGTTCGAGGTATTCGCACATGAGGGCCGTGAGGATCACCATAAGAGTAGGCCCTGCCTCAGCGTCCTGATCCACAAGAGTGGTGAACAGCACGCCGATGCATCCACTTCGCCATGAGCTATCCCCTGAGGGGAGGCATGAGGGCCAAACAAACGGTACATGAGCTAGGTACGTACCAGTATGTATTCGGATGAGCAACTCCTCCACTGCGTCTTGAAGCACAGGGCGTTTGTTGGGAGGCTCTTCGCCCTCGACTGCTCTGAATATACTTTTGAGTTGATGAGCGTAAGCTTCCCCGTCACCACCGGAAATAATGTCAGCTATCTCCAGAAGACGGGAGAGCGGTTCGTCGGACAGCTGTCCTTGGAGTGCTCGAGCATAGTAGGACTCCACAATGGTCTGGTCAACACGCCACAGCGTACGCAAGGTCTACCGACGACGTGTTAGCTCTGGGGACTTGATCATATGTAGCTGGTCGAAATCTTGACACTGACTTGCTTCCGGATCAGCTTGTCCTCGCTGTCGAGGAGGCTCATGACCCTTTCGACCTCCCATTCATCCAGCACTGCAGGTATCTCTGGACTCGTTCCCGCCCAAAGTTTGGGGTCAACACAAGACAGGCAATAGATGAACATGTAGAGACCGTCTGGCTCGTCTGAGGTCAAGAGTTGACGGACTTCCTGTATGAAGGAGGTGCCAGAGCTTGCTTGTGCTTCCAGCACGGTTTCCGCAGCGCACGTTGAAATTGCATGGAAGCATTGGTGGACAATGGCTTTCGGTAATCGTCATCAGCAGCGAATAGACAGCACTCTAAAAGAGTGTGAACTCACCGTATGCGGATGCACCCTTTGGTGTATAGTAGCGGACGATGTCCAAAAATGTTCGTAGATCATGGACCGACGGCCTGTTACGCGTGTCAATCTACGCCTGGAATGTGAGCATTGTCATGCACCTACGTGGTTGTTGCGACAGCCTGGACAAGTCTAATAAGCAAGTTATAACGAGCGGGCTCAGGCCGTTGTAGCCAGGCGGTCTTTAGGAGATCTGACAAGACTTTGTGATATTTGTCGGCGGGTAAGAGCTCTGCCTGCGATGCCCGGGCGTGAGGACGAGCTCGTATAGACTATGTGGTCATCTCACTTTGACCAAGGTGTTCGTCAGAGTGAGAGCTGCGATCGCTACGGCAGGCTCAGAATCGACGAGCCGCTTCCGCGCTTTGCTCGCGATATTTCTGAGAATATCTGGGTCACGTTCGGACAATGCATTGAACGCGTATAGAGCGCGTCGCTTGACGTGGACGCTACGGCGATGTCGTAATTATTCATGTATCGAGAGGGAGAGGGGTAACACACTGACGAGTTATGCGAGAGCAGGTCATGCAGGCGGGACTGCACCGCGGGTATGACGTCCTTTGAAGGCGACTGTATTAGGGTATCGAGTGCGAGGCATATCCGAGGCACCTCCGCGCTTTCTAGGTCCTGCAATTATGGTACACATTGAAAAGAGCTGCAGTTATGGCGGTCCTACCTTGCGGATAGAATTGACCAGCATGAGTTGAAGCTCGTGTTCCGGGGGCATGACCTCGGCACAGAATAGGTATCCTGCGGACGCTATGTAGTCTGCACTATCGCGCGGTTGCTGCGTGCGTGCCTACCTGTTCGCTTGTCCTGCACCGTCTTCCCAGCCTCTGCTAGGTTGATAGCATGTGGAAGCGCGAACTCGAGGTCGACATGCGTCCCAGGGTTTACGGTCATAGCGCAGTAGAGTAGTAGAATCAAGTACTCCTTGCACTGTTTCTGCAGTTAGAGTCAGCCTTGCTTCACTGCGAGCAATGATATTGTCGATAATACTCACCAGAGTCAAAGTTGACCGGGTCAGCTGATATTGAATCGACTGCACTTCGGCGAGCAGGATTTGGTCCGTCGCCTGAGGCGTAGCAGTCTCTACCTTGCGAACAAGCGCGTAGTGGGCCCTGCTCATCGCCCCCGACGACGAGAATGGCACTTCCATAGTGTCAAGATATCAGCGAGAGAGAGTGGTCAAGCGCAGAGTTCCCCGAGACTCGACATAGCAGTGGTTCGCAGTAAACCCCAGTCTGGCCAACTATGGCTGAAGCAACACGCGCCGAGATCGACCACTGCAGCTTGTCGCGACTTGCTGCTGCACCACCACCTGTCTTACGTATACCGCACCTAACGCTGCTCATCCACGCGTCTCCTCTCTCCACAAGCTTCGAGTCAAATGGAATGGACGCGTGGCCTACTTACTGCGAAGGACATGACGGCGCCCCGGAGAAGAGCAAGGGCAAGACGAAAGTCCAGCGGTTAGAAGATCCTTGGCGCTATCCGGTCTCAGAGCAGGGAGCCCTTGGGGCCGCGACTCTCAGGAGGAAGGGAAGACACTATGAGTGGACGTTTGTGTCCGAGGGAAAATCAGGTATGTCGAGTCTCTTCTCCTAGCACGTACAACATCTAATGCTGCCCTTTAGATTATACGCTAGTCGCTCCCGACGGCCCGGTGGAGGTCTTTCCCCCAACACGTCCGAGGCCATGGCGAGAACCCAAGGCTACCGAGATACAGCGTGCTGAGCAGGGAGTATGTCACCTATTGGAACTAGTTGATCGGAGTCCGTTCTGAACCTCTTCTCAGGCACATTTCCTTCGCACATTCTACCCGGACATAGACGTACAGACTGAGCTCATTCGGGATGAGATCGCAGAAGACACCCGTGTTACTCGGACGCTCAGGCGACAAGACCCCTTCGCTGGCAACATGATGGCCGTATCGTCTTTTCAGGTTTCTCGGAAGAACATGGCATATGTAGTGTTTCCGATGGGTGAAACGAACCGTCAACTGAGTAAGTGATCGTATATGGCAGTGTGGGGAAAAAGTCACTCACTGTGTTTTCATCGTCCTCAGATATGTCCCCACTCATAATCAATACGAGAACGAGAGCTCAGCTGAAGCCGGTCGCTACACCTGTGTATACTTTTGATACCCCCATTAGACAAATAATTGCATCTCCCCACTCCGAGACGGGGAAGAGCAAGTCCGGTATGCCTCAGAATTCACTCCCCGGTGTGACGACAGTCGTGCTGACCGCTGTATTTATAGCTCCGATGCTTGGCGTTAGGACCATGGGGTCAACGACATTTTTGCAAGTCAAAGTTGCCGTCAACAAGTCTACATATGCGGTTGAACCCACGCCTTTTATCACCGTGCAACGGACGGACATCGGGGATAAACACGCTGTCGACATCGCCATCTCACCTACCAACCCATCCATTGGATATGTCGTAAACGATGCCGGGGACATTTTCAGGTGCAGTGTACCTGAGGGCAAGAGGACTATGTAAGTCTCTTTTTCGGTGGGCTGTGGGTATCCCACTGACAGCAGCTGTTGTAGCGAGCTCGTGCATATGGGAGGGGCATCAGAGCAGTCTCTTTACCGCATATCCGCGCGTGGCACACGAGAGACGCTCCTGTCTGTTTCAGCTAAGTCGGCTTCCCTCCTCGATTTGCGGGTAAGCGGTATTTTGAAACGTTAGTAGCACTATGTTTATCAAACCTTCCAGGCTGGGAAACGTCCACATATACTCCATACAGTCACCCAACCAAACATCGTACTGACATCCGCCGAAAGTCTCAGTGACGATCACCTCACCCGTCTGGTCTCAAGCAGAGAGATACTGTGGGTAGACGAGCGCAACGCCCGAAAGCCCCTCCTTTCCATCAAGCACGGAAGAGACCATGATATGACACTCGGCACTCGCACCCAAGTCCTAATCAGCTGTAATGTCGCATCTTCACGTCCAAACCCTTCGCCCACTCACCATCTTCCGTGCAGCCACCTTGACATTCCTCACCTCTAGACGCAACTCTTTGGTCACGGTCTACGATGTCTCTCGTGGTAACGACAACCTCGTTCACATCCACGACCCCCCATACGCGGTGCCTCCTGTCCTCTGCCCGGACGGCCCGCACCTTGGCCATGCGTTCTTTCAAGCGCCTACGTTGGCCGGCAGCAAGCATCTCAGCATCTTCCAGTTGTCGGAACGCGGGAGCGTTTCGCTGTTGAATATCCAGCGATTATCTCGCGAGGCTGAGGAGGCCGAGGATGAGCCGCGGAAGCGAGCAGATTGGCCCCTGGAGGTCCAGGCATTGGCAGCGGACGTCAGTGCTGCGCGGTCCGATCTTGGGTCTCTCGCTGGCAGGGCGCACAGTATCGTAGATCTCCAGCCTGCGTATCAAAGTGAGCCGTATGTTATCTATCGGCTTCTGCAGGATGCTGACCATGGAATCAGGACTTTTCGTTGAGCGTGAAAAGGAAGATCTATCAGCACAAACTGGTGTGGTGTTTGACGTGCTGGATAGCATGCCGACATTCTGGCAGGACACAGATGTTCCCGTAGAACATGCGCTTACTACGTTCGTCGCATTCTCAGTGTCTCAGGACGTCTATGAAACTGACGTTTCCGTAGATTTGACATTGCTATGCGTTCTGGGCCAGAACCTGCCAACGCCTCGAGGAACGACTGGGTTACGGGGAGTGCACTGGATTGTGTTGCCGGGTATCGGGCCCTAGGGCAAGGGCGTGTTCCGCGCGACGAACTCACTCGGAAAGCTGCGTGGCACCTCGACATCTCGCCCTTCATCCGCCGCACCGTGCCCGACCACGGTGAGAACCCGCAGAACACCCTGGAGAACCTCTCCCGTTATGACCTCGCCGATGGACCAGACCGAACAGCACCGTCCTTCCGCAGGGAGAGCGAGGCTCGTTCACAGTTGGCTCTCGACCTTTCTCTGGCGTCTGACGTCTTCGCCCCTAAACGACCTGGCAAGGGCCCTGCCGCGACCCTCGACGAAGATCTGCTGAATATCTCACGCTCTACGGAGGCGATGTCTCTAGGCGACGTCGAGCCAGCCCCAGTACACTTCAGCTTCCTCCGGCCCATCTGCAAGACCGATCCCCGTGGCCTCCCTAGCGCATCCAAGAACGTAATCGGTGAACTCGCCGCCAAATCTATGATGCCCCCAGGGGTCCGCCTATTGTTGCAGGAATGGGACGTCGGCGCGGATCCGATGCAGTACGAGTACCGCGACCCGTACGACGAGGCTGCGGCGCCACCCGCGAACGTTGGACGTCCCTCCAAGGTGCCCCCTCCTCAGGGGGCGCAGTCGGTGCAGGAGCCCAGGCCCTCGACGCAAACGCAAACGCAAACGCAGCGCCCGCCCGCGATAGCGTCTTCCGTACCGAACGCACCGCCTACTATTTCTGCGAGCCAGCCCCCCGTTACACGCAGGCCGCTCGCCGCCGCGCGGTGGCAGGACGCGTTCGTGGCCCCAACACCGCGTCCGCCGTCAAGTCGCAGCCAACCGGCGGAAACGTGGGGCGCACCGGCTTCGTCGCAGGAATTCATGACAAGCACGCAAGTGCTGCCTGGGCCACATGGAGGACGACCGGTGCCTGCGAAGAAGAAGGGCGCCAAGAAACGATTGGGAGGGTTCTGAGCGGTCCAGGGCATTGTCTGGTATGGTAACGGGATGGCATAGGTGGGAGTTTGGGTTGGCTCTCCCTCCCACGGTAGAGCGACTGCATGCAGATCGCCTTCGAAACCTTGTCGCGTTGACGTACCCTTTAGACGCCCATTGTATGTTTCGTCACTTGTACATGCGCTGTATGCAGCTGTGTGTGACATAAAGGGCAGCTCGATGCTGAGCTTTTCATGTACGCCACTGGCAGACCTGGAGTGTGGTGAGGCAGAATCAATTGAGGGCGAGTCGGACCCAGATGAGCGGAGTGGTATGACGCGCGGAGAACCGGTAAGTAGCGGTCGATGTATGCAGAGACCGGGCACGGGCTGCTTCCAGTCGTCTTCTCTCTCCTTGACCCCTTCGTCGACCCCTCCTCCGCCGTCCTCCGCGTTGGCTCGCATTAAATAACATTGTTCTCGTGCGACTGCACGCAATCGGACTGTTGCCCGGCCAGTGACAGCTTCCTATGAGCGAGAAAAGGTGCCCGCCGCGTCTGCATGTCACTCTTTTTCCTGCACACGCCCTGATACACCCTGGCCACACAGGCCGTCGAGCTATTTGTTTGACTCGGCTGCGCTCAATGAGTCTCTCAAAAGTGCGGCCCGCGTTCTCCTCCGTCCAATGCGCGCATCCGAAACGAGTGACCGTGTCCTCCTGCAGGCCACAAGGCAGTCGTATGCGCGTTGTCTGCGAGCTACATCTCGACGTTCGCGGGGTACCCAGTGAGTTCCACGCCCGCTATCGCGCACATGCGCACACGTCGACTGACCACCGCGAAGCTGGACTCCATCAAGTCGAGGCTCCAGACGACGCGCCAACGCATCTCCATTCCTAGGCTCGCCCTGACCGTCTATCAGGAGGAGGGTGTCGTTGGCTTCTATCGAGGGTTATGGATCCCCTTGATGACTATCTCATTCGTCCGTGCGTACCCCTGCTTCTGCTGGACTTACTGAATCCCCAACCTTCTGACGCGCAGGTGCTGCCTCATTCACAATATACACCCGGACGAAGGAGTACTTCCGTGACCGCCACTGGCTAGCGAAAGAGCGCATATTCGATGTCTCTGCGGTCGGCGGTATCAGGTATGTCGGGTACTCTTTCTTTCCTTTCACTGCTCTGACCGTACGCGCCCAGTGGTGCGCTCTCGGGCTCCCTCATATCTTTTGGAAGCGCTCGTAAGTGCTGGATCTCTGCTCGCCTTTGATTTACCATTCTGATACGGAATGTAGCGTTTGAACTGGTCAAGGTGGGCACCCGACCGTTTGCCGAGGCTCCAACCCTAATCGCTCCGCATCCACAGGTCAGACGACAGCTCGAATACTCCATCGCCGCCAGTAAAGGGCTGCGCCTCGCAAAGGCCCCGAGCACCATGGAGGCTGTGCGGGACATATTCCGCTCCAACGGCCTGCTTGGACTTTATACGGGCTTCCGCCTGCATTTCGGTACGTGCACGGCCGCGCGCGATGGTAGCGCCCGCTGACCGCCGTACAGTGAGGGATACGATGGGCACCGCGCTCTATTTCTTCGAGTACGACGGTTTCCGCTACATCATGGGGCGCGCCTCGTCAGGTGAGCAGGGCGGCACCCCGCCCTGGCTGCCAATCCCCTTGTCACTGGTGCCCTTCGTCTGTGGCTCGCTTGCGGGCGTGTCCTCGTGGGCTCTCATCTACCCGCTTGACGTGTAAGTGCCCATCTGACCCGCCGCGCGCGTCCGCTGACGGGCCTTCGATCTATGCGCAGTGTGAAGACTAAGGTGCAACAGCGCGCGTTGGCTGGCGAGCGGCGGAGAGGCGTCCTGGAGACCTTCCACCGGCTCATCCGAGGTGAGCCGCGCGACCTCGACTGTGTGTGCGCGCGACGCACCGTTTGGCTGACGCGCTTGGTGATCACAGGTCCGGACCCCGACGCACCGAAACCGATCCACGTCGGCCTCGCGCGGCTGTATCGCGGGCTCGGGGTGAGCGCGCTCCGGAGCGTGACCACGCACGGACTGCTTTGGACGATCTTCGACCTCACCGCTCAGTACGTGGACCGTCTGCCGGGCAGGGACGGAGACGAGAACCAATGATAGAGAGCCTTTGTAATGCACGAACGGATAGAAGCCTGCTTGTAATGTGTATATTGTGGACACACACTATCTTTCTCGTGGCGCGACACAAAGTGTGAAAATCGAGCAAAGTTGCGGAATTTGAGCGAATCGCAGGCAAGATACATAAGACGGTACAGCGTTACAGCGTAGTGATACATAGGCGACAGCAAGGGTAAACAAAGCAACAACGTAGGAGCGCGGAAGAGCAGTCTACTCGCGGACGGCGTAAGGGTGTCGAACAAGCTCGTCGTAGAGGTCTGTAGGTAGGTCTCTGACGAGGGTCACCGCGATGCCAATGACAGGCAGGGCCTCTAGGGGAGGGAAGGTACGTAGCAGGCGCATGGGGCTGAGAGTCACGCACTGTCAGTTTTGGGCGAAAGAAAAGAAGACGGGGCGGCGTATTCACCTGGGAGAATTCATCACTTCGTCACGCATGAGCAGTAGTTGTGCAATTACGCAAAGGACGTTCAGGTGAACGCCGAACGCAAGCAGGAAGTCCCACAGTTGCAGGACCTGGTCGAGTGGTGGTGTGCATGCGCACAGTGTGAGGACGGCTGCAGTAATATCATGTGCTCAGAAGCATAGACTCCGCGGGACAGTGGCGGAATACTTACAAGGGAAGGCATAGATCTCGGCGGACAGGTTTTTGGAGCGTAAGTGAGCATACAGTTCAGGGTCCACGATCTTGAGGCACCTGTCCAACAACTATGGCATCCGTGAGCTCAGAAACTAGGGCTCCAGGGTCCAAGCACTGCTCACTTTGAGACCATAGTGTACACCTTCTAGTGTTGGCTGCACGTAGAGTGGACAGGACTCCTCGATAAACTTGGCGAAACAGTGGAAGGCCTCCAGCTCGGACGGCATTGTGTATAGGAACGGCGCGGCCAGCACGTTCATTCCTTGCACGTAAGTGAACCCGAGTTGGTCGTTCTCATGTCGATCTGTGGCGATGTTCGCGAGGGCACAGTGCGGGGGTGGCTATGGGCACTCACCATGATTTCGCCATACGAACGCGTCCAGTAACCGCACCAGCATCTCCTCGCTCACGCGCTCCTTGAATCCTCGGTCGGTAGCCAGTGTCCTTTCGGCGCCTAAGGACGAGAGCAAGCTCAGAGAACGCCTGCACATACCTGAACGTGTCGTTCCGGATCTTCTCCCGCACCTCGCAGGGCCCGCGACCAACATACTCCAGGAACGCGCCCGCCGACATATCGCGCACATGCAAGAGGACCTTCCATATTCTTGGGCGCAGCGTAGGGTCCTAGATGGCTCCGTCAGTCTCATAGCCTCGCGGCGTTCCAGGGAGCGTGCCGTACCACCTCAGAGGGGATCCCGTCGACGAGGATCAACCGCCGCAACTTCTTGGTCGCCTCCTCTACATCCGCCGCTGAGCGCGTTTTTGACGTGCTCTTGTATCTATCCAGAATCTTGTTGAACGAGTGCGCCGCCGCAACCGCAGAGGATTCTGTGGCGGAAGACATGAGGCCCAGAGGGAGACGGTCGTGGTAGGACGGTCAAGGTGGAATTGGCGTTGTGGTCTGTAACCGCGACTTCCCCTCACTCAGCGCTTAGCCACGGAAATTCCGGTCCGGGGTCACGCATGGGGCGTCTCAAAATTCCGACGCGACTATGACGAGCGTCTAACTTTCGCTGTCCCCTACCGCCATGCTCAGGCTGTGGTCCTTTGGGACACGCCCCGTCTTCCCTCGATGTAGGGCATTCCACTCTACTGTGGTCAGCAACGCAACTGCGGAAGCTGAATCTTCGTCGGCGTCGACGAGCACTTGGACTCCAACCTCGGTGCGGACAGGCCTCATCGCGCGCAAACGCGGTATGACGGTGATGTGGGACAACCACGGAGTGAGGTTCCCGGTCACAGTCCTTCAGGTGTGTCCGAACACTCTACTATACACGAGACGGACCGCATGACGCCTTGTGTAGCTGGAGAACTGCCAGGTTACCGCGAACATCAAGACCGTCCGGGACGACCAGTCTGAATACCACGCAGTCCAAGTGGCCGCTTCGGACAGGCCCTTGAAGAACACCACCAAGCAGATGCTCGGCCACTTCTCCAAGGCTGGTGTTCCTCCCAAGCGTATTGTGAAGGAGTTCCCTGTGACCCCAGACGCGCATGTGCCAATCGGTAAGTGCACAACGCCCGCTGTTCTGTCCAAGTCGTGTCCTCATGTTGGATCTGACAGGCACCACTCTATCTGCCGTCCACTTCGTTCCCGGCCAGTTTGTTGATGTGATTGCCAAGTCGTAAGTCTATATGCAATGCATTCTCTTTGCTGCGAGTACAACGCTCACTCTTGTACAGACTTGGGAAAGGTTTCCAGGGTACTATGAAGAGGTGGAACTTCAAGGGTCTGCGCGCTAGTCACGGTGTGTCCGTTTCACATCGTGCTGCAGGTTCCATTGGTGCCCATCAAGTATGTCCTCCACTCTCGCCCGCTGTATACGACTGACACACATACCTGTCTGCCAGGATCCCGGTCGTGTCTGGCCCGGAAAGAAGATGGCTGGCAGATTGGGTGGCGAGCGCATCACTACTCAGAACCTTACTGTCGTACGCGTCGACTCCGACCTGGAGCTCATCTACGTACGCGGCTGCGTACCTGGCATTGATGACGCTCAGGTCATGATCCGGGACGCGAAGAAGAAGATGACGCAGCTTGCGCACCACAACAGCGCGAAGGGTCAATTCGAAAAGGTCCTTCCGAAGGGCCTCGTCAAGCTACCCTTCCCTGCAGGCACGAAGGAGCTTGCCCAGGCGTTGCCGCCAGTTATCGTAGCGCCCTCTGCTCGTGTTAGCGACCCGTTCGTTCCTAGGGAATAGATGGCTTCGCTTTTTGTCCCCCTCTCACCACTTTCGCGGCTGACGCCGGCGCCGAGCCGTTGACTGAGGCGAGCATCTATCTCGAGCAGAAGAACGTCTCAGGTGATGGCAGCGCTAATCTCATTTTCACAATGGAAGGCCTATCTTCCCAGACTACACTCTATACGGTGGGGCTCGTAAGCCAAGTCCTTCCGACTCCTTCGGCTCCGTTATGCCCACGCTATCAGCGACTCAGTTATCAACATGGTTCGCGTGAGCACCCACCCCCAACGCCCCGACGTGCACCCTCTCTACCTCCTCTTGAGCCCTTGACGAAGCTTTGCAGTGAGCATGGACAAAGAAGCCAAGCCCAGGGGCAAATCTCATATCGTCTTCGCCGACGTACGCGAAGTCGATGACCTGAAGAAGCTCGGTTATGAGCAGGAGCTAGCACGAGTGAGTGCGAAAGCGGGCTTATGAGCTGTACGTGTATTGAAACATGCGACTCTAGTCGAGAGGACTACCCCACATCCTATTCAGTGCGTTTGCAATTCTTGCTTCATTTCGTTCTCTAGTAACATCATGACAGTGACTCTGGGTGAGCTTTTCGTATTACAACCCGTCGAACAAATGACCTCAATAGAAGCCGAGAAGCCATAATGGCAGTCCGTACGTCCTTGACCAAGCTTGCCAATTATACAATCATAATATTTGACGCCCAGCATATGGTCTCGGTGCCCCCATTGCGACGTCCCTTGTTGCCGGAGGGCCTGTCCCGATGTTCTGGGGGTACATCCTTTCTATGCGTCCCAGACCTCACTGCTGATTTCAATTTTATCTAGGTTACTTCTCGTCTCTCTGCTCTCTCTTTTCGTTGCGCTTTCCCTAGGAGAGATCGCCTCCAAATATCCCACGTCCGCGGGCGCGTACTACTGGTGCTATCGTCTGGCACCACCTCGGCATCGACTCCTCATATCATACATCACCGGATGGCTAACTGTAACAGGAGACTGGATGGTCAGCCTCAGCGTAACGTTTGTGTGTACAATTCCCTGCATGATGTCTCACAGTACTCAAGGTGTCTTCAAGGGCACGGCACAACTTCTCGTCGCAGGCATAAACATATACCATCCTGAATGGGAAGCAACCGCATGGCAAACCTGTACGTGGCTCGATACACGGCCATTCTCTGGCTCACACAACAGCGTAGACCTCATCTTTCTGGGCATGCTCGTCGTAACAAGCATCTTCTGCGTTTTCTTCAATCGATATCTGCCTATGATCGATGTAAGTGAGCTTGACAATTTCTTGCGGCTTAACCTGAGCCCGACATTGGCCCGACATCAGATTCTCTCTGCCTACTGGATCGCCATTGGCCTCGTAGGTATGTCATAGCATACTTCACATTAATGCTCCGCAGCCGCTGATGCGTTCTCCAGTCATGCTTGTGTGCCTTTCTGTGGAGGCGAAGGCAGGGCGGCACTCTGCAGAGTTCGCGTTCACGCACTTCGATACCTCGTTTTCCGGGTGGACGCCTGGTTGGGCCTTCTTCATCGGCCTCTTTCCGGCAAGTGTAATGTTACATACCAGTGTGTGTTTTACGCTGATGTGCTTGTCCTCTTAGGCGGGCTACACATTCTCGGCCATAGGCATGAGTAGGTATCTCGCTTTGCGAAATCGTCTAGCTTGCGCTCATCAAGCCTGCTTTATAGCGACTAGCATGGCCGAGGAAGTACACAACCCTTCCATCAACCTGCCTCGGGCGATAGTTTGGTCTGTTCCCATTGGATGTTTGATGGGCATTGCCTTCATCCTCCCCATCAACTTCACGCTACCAGACACTGGCGTGCTACTAGAAGGTTCGTGGCAATGTCGTCGGATATTAAACACATATGAATCATGGCTGCTAGTGGCATCTGGCCAGCCCATCGCTGTCATGTACACCTTGATCATGGGATCCAGAGGCGGGGGGTTTGGGATGGTGAGTGCTTGGACTACGGCCACATTACACGCGTAGCTGATATTTCTGACAGTGGTTCATCAGTAAGCACGACCTACGTGTCTTCCTTGAAGACTGAACGACGACTTATCCCGTGTCCAGTCTTCGGCGTCGGCATCTTCTGCGCTATCTCGATTAACTGCGCCGCTTCGCGCGCTACCTGGTCGTTCGCCCGCGACAAAGCCATACCGTTCTACAGCACCTTCGCCAAGGTCGACTCGCGGTTCTCGGAGCTGCCTCTCAACGCGTTCCTCCTCTGCATGGGCGTGGAAGCGCTGCTGGGGCTGATCTTCCTCGGGTCCAGCGCAGCGTTCAACGCGTTCGTCGGGGTAGAAGTGATGTGCCTTGGGGCAAGCTACGCGATCCCGATCATTGTGCTGCTCGCTGGGGGCAGGAAGGGCGTTGCGGGCGCGCCTTACCCCCTCGGGAACTGGGGCTGGTTCATCAATGTCATGGCGATCCTTTGGGTTGCGCTGGAGATGGTGCTGTTCTCCATGCCGGCGGCCCTTCCGGTTGACCAATCGACTATGAGTGAGTGAGGCAGGGTCGACTTGGTAGGTCGCATATATTGACGATGATTCCGGCCAGACTACGCGTCCGTCGTGTTCGTTGGATTCGCGGCGATCAGCGCGGTGTGGTATATGATTAGTGAGTGAACAGATTGGTTGCAATGGGTTCCTCATTTAAATATTCTGCAGGTGGCCGTTTCCATTACAGAGGTCCTCCTGGGGTCCACGACACCGACGTCGCAGACGCTGATGAGCATTACGTGAAAGCGTGAGCTCTCATATGAATCCATGTACCTGTTCATCGAGAGAGACAGTGTACATCGCACACATGGTGAACAATGACAATCTAGCATACACTCGCGAAGAGGACGCGGAAACAAGGATCACCGCGGACATGTGCAGCCCCATATATCCGAATAGCCAACACCCTGCTGGCCGCGAGCCTCTCCGTCCCGACAAACCCTTCCCCTACGCGAACTGCTACCACTGGTCGGGGGTGGAGATGGATATCCGGGTGCTGTTTCCACGTGTTCGTGAGGGATTCCAGCTTCCGAATTGACACTTCCTTCTCTCCCTTTTCTCCTCAGCTGTCGATGTCAGTAATTCATTTTCATTAGTTCCTATCGCTACGCTGACGTACACTACCGTTCTTATGACAGAAGCAGATACACGCGCCTACCACGCCGAGTTGACCTGCGCATCAGCGCCCGGCCATTGACAGACGTCCCGACGTGCACGGGTCCGTCCGAGGGTCAACTTGGACATACAGCTTTGACATGCGATGCTAACACCGTCAGCGCTACTGCCGACAAGACGTCCTATGTCGTTGGCGTGTGTCCTTGCTTTCATCAGTTATGGAAAGACGGTGCGGCAAGGTGTCTCGCCCGCCGTCTCTGCTGTTACGTGCCAAGGTCGGCCGGCGCGCAAGGTGTCCCTATAAGAGTGAGGACGCACTTTTGCCTTTCACCAGTGAGCCAGGTGCTCTCCACTCGCCTCTTCTTCCCGCCCTTTGACCTTTGCCTTCAAATTTCCTTCCGGACCATAGGCTCCGCTACTCTTAACTTCATCCTCGTTAAATCTTCCCCCTTCATTGCAATATCTTCCGTTATTATGGGGCCATCACCCTTCCTTGTGTTCATTGCACTCGTCCTCTCAGTGCAAGCACTCCCGCTGAGCATGTAAGTTTTCATTTGATATATAGGCATTCTTTGGTCACTCACATTTCTGTTGGGCCAGTCTTTCAAGTTCAGCCAGCACCACACTGTCATTGCCGACAACTATCTCATCCAACGCAACCTCCACTGCCCTGTCCTCGGCTGCTACTCCGGCACCCACGGCGACTGCAATCGCCACTACAATCAACGACTCTGCCTCTGTCACTGAGACCGACTCTTCCGTCGCTGCTTCCGCCACGGATTCGGATGGATCCCCGACTGACTCTGCCGCGAATGTCTCTGCGACAGATGGTTCGGTCTCCTCCACCGACTCTACCGTCACCTCGGCAAGCGCTGCCGCATCTGCCACTGATTCGTCGGCTCCCCCTTCTGCTACCGACTCCTCCACGAGTGACCCCGCAAGCGCCACGGATAGCACTGCTCAGCCTTCCGCAACCTCTATCTCGTTCGATATCCCGGAGGTCCCTCCCGCTTGTTTAGCGCTTGCCTCGGGTAGTGCACTCCCCACATCTTCCGCCCTCACGTCGTCCGCTGCATCCTTCACATCGTTCACTACCCTTTCCTCGTCTGGATCTTCGTCCGTCGCGGACCCCGTCGCATCGAGCACCGCAAGTAACATCACCACCACTGCCACTGCCACTTTGGCGAGCGCAACATCTTCGGCTTTGCCCACCGATGCTCCGAGCAACGCTACGCTGTCGAGACGCATCGCGCAAGACGACCTCCCTGCAGTTGCGCAGTCATGGCAGGACCTTTGTGTAAGCCTCACGCGCATCCTTCCGCAATCCCGTGTTTTACCTAATGCTTCTCGCAGCTCGTCAGCGGCGGCGATATTTTCACCAACGAGCCGTGTGTGCAGCTTGCCGGAGTGGACGGCATCAACGCCCTCCTCGCCGATGCCGAGCCCTGTGCGCAGCAAGACAACGCGGACGCGATGATCGACTTTGCGCGCTCGCCCGGGGTCACAAACACCGACGCGCTCATCGCGAACGCGGTGGCGTACGCGAGCCACCCGCGGAACGCGCCGAACATTAACGGCGTCATCCCGAGCACGCTCTTCTGCCAGCGCGCGCCGCGGAACCCGGAGCTTGCTGGTGTGGTGCGCCCCCAGCTTGACGGTGTCGACCTTGGGATCTTTGGGGACGTGAATTCGGGGCTATTTGCGTTCGGAGCAGGTGAGTTGCTGTCTCAGGGCCGTTACTACTACCCTCGCGATCGTTATGACTGACAATGATGTAGACGGCACATGCCCTTTTGGACAAACAGCGGACGTGAACACTTGCGGCTGCTCCTGAGCCGAGTAAGTAGTAGAACTTCTTACGGACCACTCGTCTATTATTTTATCATACTGCACACCCCGCCCTGGACGATGGACCATTACCATGTACTTACCAGAACTTAATATGTGACGTTGATGAGAGGAAGTAAGCAAGTCGCGCCGTACTCGTACTTGCGACCCACATGGACAAAGAGTGCCGACCACCCCATCCCCGAACACGTGAAATAATTATCGATTACCTATTTTAGGCTCATACTGGATGCCCTTCCATGCGCGAAGCCGCGTTGACGATTCCGGGATGCCTCTTGTCGCAGATTACGCCGGTCTTCGCCGAGCAGCGCTCGGAAATCGCGTCGAGATTCAGTTTTCTGGGGCAAACCTCTCTTCCGGCTACATATCGCGACAGCACGCCTTCATGAATGCTTCAACATCCTCCAAACTCCACTTTGTGCTTTATGAATGCCTCGAGGGACTACGGAAGCACCAATCCGAATTCCTTGGACTAGTGACAGCCGAGGGCGCTCATTGTCTACGGGTCTCGTCAGCCAACACCACTCCCCCAGGCCGGCCAAGACAAGGAAGCGCCGTGAGAAATGGTTCAAACTGCCATCTCCAGGACACGCTTTACGGATGGTGATGAAAACCAGGAGAAGCGACTGTCGAAGGCACTGTATCATCTCCCCCTTGAAGTACGCCCGCCGGCACCTCCAGGGGCCATCGCGTTGAGATTGTTCGCGTGAGGAGCTAGTATGAGCTGTAGCAACTGCGAGAGGGGAGCCTGAACGGGTACTTTTGTACACATAATTCCAAGGGGACGCTTAGCAAGGGTACCTCAACTTGAGAGATTGCCAAACTGGGCATGACGCTGCGATCGAGGCCCGGTGGAGGCGCGCGGGGCGGCTGTGCCTCGCTCGTCCTCCCAGTGCGCTCCATGACGGCAAAGCTCGTCCACCCACCCAACCCATAACTTATCCTGCCAATGCCCTGAGACCTCCCTGCACCTCCCACCATGACCGTCGACCCTTCCCGCCCGCTCGTCCAGATCGCCTCCTATAACACCAACCTCCAGGCCGAGCGCGGCCTCCCTCAAGACCTTGTCGACTGGCTCGCGCCGACGCTCCAAGTCTCCAGCTTTCTCGCCCGCGAGCGACGCGCGCCCGACATCGTCGCGGTCGGTTTCCAGGAGCTCCTTCCTCTCCACCTCGGCCGTGAGTCTTCTCGTACCTCGCCGATACCCTGATTCTTACCGACGTGCGAGCAGTGTCCGGCCTCTCCAAGGCGGCCATCGAGAACCGGCACGCGCTCATCCTCTCGCAAATCGAGACACACGCGCCGAACAAGGAGCGCTACACGCTCATCGCGAAGGTCGTCAACGTCGGCGTCGCGCTCCTCGTCTACGGCCGCGATGACGGCGTCGGCCGCCGCGCGTGCGACGTGCAGACGCAGTGGACCGGCTGCGGCCCGCTGTACATGGGCAACAAGGGCGCGGTCGGCGTGCGCTTCCGCGTGCCAGACGAGGACGGTGGTGTCGGGGAGGTCTACACGTACGTCCCACGCCGTCCATTGCTTCTTGGGTAGACCGTACCCACACGCGGGGCACACCCAGGTTCGTCTGTGCGCACCTCACCGCGCACGCGCCGAAGCTCGCCCACCGGATCGCGGACTACAACCACATCGTCGGCTCGCTGCTCTTCCCGCCCCTCCCCGCGTCCGCCTCGCCCGCGCCGACGACGATGTTCGCGACCTCGCACCTCTTCTTCTTCGGGGACCTGAACTTTCGGCTGTCCCTTCCCCTGGACCACGCGTTCGCATCGCGCGCGGAGCTCCCTGCGCTCGTGCACGCGCTCTCGACCGACGACGGCCGCGCGGCGCTGAAGGAGCACGACCAGCTGCTGATCGAGCGCGACGTGCGCGGCACGGTGTTCCAGGGCTTCCGCGAGGGCGAGTTCTGGCGCTTCAAGTGCAGCTACAAGTACCGCCTTGGCCAGGTGGACGAGTACGAGTGCGTGCGCACGTCTGTCCGTTTTGCGTGTGTCTCTTGCTGACGCAGCGACGCAGCCCGAAGCGTATGCCGGCGTGGACCGACCGCGTCATGTACGCGACGCACGCAGACTCGCCCGACGCGCCGCAGGCGTCGAGCATCACTAACGTCTTGTATACCGCGATACCCTCCTATACCACCTCGGACCACGTACGCTCCCTTTCTTCTATTCCTTCCTTGCTTCCCTGTTTGACGTACCGCGCTGTTTTGACAGAAACCCATCGTCACCCTACTCCTCCTACCGCCGCCTACCCGCGGCACCACCGCCGTGCCCGTGCTCCGCCTCCCAACAGGATACCACCCGACGCCGGACCCGTGGGCGCACGCGAAGCGGTACACTGGCAGGACATTCGACCGTCTCATCGGCTACTGCTGGTGGCTGCTCACGATGCTCGGCGCGGGCTCGGCGCTGATGGGCCTCGGGAACCTGCTCGTCAGCCTCGGCTTCTGGCGCTGGTGGCGCGCCACGCAGGGCCCGGAGCAGGACCTGCTGCTGCCCTGAGTGTACGTGTATACCCTATTGTAACTGATGTGGTTAGACTTCGTGTATACGCGACGACTGTAGCGCGTTGTCCATGTAAATTAATATTGTTGTGACGGACTGGTATATTGCATATTTAGCTGCTCTAGGCTATGTAGGTCGAGTGCGGGAGTCGTGTGTTTGGATACAAGTACAACAGGTAACAGGTTCCGTCTCAGGCCAACCAGTACCAACCCACAAGCCAAGGGTGAGAGCAGGGCGCAAGCGCTTTACGGCTTGACAACCTTCCGCCCGCTTTCCTCGTCGTCGATAACGATGAGTGGCTGCGCCTCCCCGACGAGGGTCTCCTCGCGCTCGGGGTGTGCCGCCGCGTACGGCTGAACCTGCTCCTCGACGTCCCCGCCCGCGCCAGGCCCGCCCGCGGGGTCCGGCGGGAGGCGCACGAACGCAAGCAGCACGCACGAGACCGTGACCGCGCCCGCAGCGAGGAAGATGATCGCCTTCGGGAACGTCCCGACCGTCTTCGCGTACGTGATCCCGTACACGAACGGCCCGAAGATCTGCGCGCTGCACCCGGACAGTCAGTACGCCCGTCGTGGGGACGGGGGTGGACATTTCAGAGGGGAGAGGGGGCGCAACGCACCTCAGGGCCTGCACGACGCTCATCGCGCCGAAGAGCTTGCCCGAGTCCCGCCCGCCGCGGCGGTTGTACAGCGTGAGCGCGACGCTCTGCACCGCGGGCCCGAAGCCCATGCCGAGTGCGCCGAGGCACGACGTCGCGGCGAAGATCAGGCCGTTGGGTGCGAAGGCCATGAGCAGGTACGTCAACGCGTCTACCGCAAGCGACGCGCGGGCGAGCACTAGGTCAAACGCGGGCGAGTGGTGTGCGGGAGGGGGCCGTGGCGGAGGAGCGTCGTCGTCTGCCGCGGGTGAACGTGCTTCCCCGCCCTCAAGAGGTTCGGCCGGCTCTGTGGGGAGCTGGATCGGAGGAGGCGTGGGTTTGGCCAGTTTGATTATGACTGTGGTCGCAAGGCATACGTTAGGACACCCGCGCTACACATGTACCGGATCGATACATACACGGTAAAATGACTGTTAGAAAGAGAGCCCTGGACACGCCAATGGTGCTGAACCAGTAGCCAACCTGTTTGATATCAGTATGGACGATCACTTAGATAGTCCAAACGTGCACGTACTTGCTCAGTGTCCCATTCGAAGAATGTCTGAATATATTGCATGATGTACACGTATGAACCCTGTGGGTGCGTGAGCGTTGTTTCAAACAGTACTTCGCTGAGACCGCTACCATTAGAGAGACTGTAAACCCATAAGCAGCGACCAAGAGAGCAAGGCTCCAATCGCGCCTCTTCCCCTTCGACGGCGTTCCACCCTGGTTCAGCTCGATTGGTAGGAACAGCATCAGCGGCGTCAAAAACGCAAACAGCCGCTTGAGCAGCACGAGAGCGCCCCCGTGTGCGTGGGCTGCGCGATACTGTTCTTCCTCGACCCGCTGCCGGATGCGCGCAGCCTCCATGTCGCGCTTGTGCAGCGACTCGGGGATGACGAACCAGACGAGCAAGGCGTAGACGAGGTGCAGCCCCGCGGCGATATAGAACACGGAGATGAAGCTGCCGGTAAAGCGGATGACGAGCCCGCCCAGCGTAGGCCCGATTGCCATCCCCGTAAAGAGGAGCCCGAGGTAGCGAGAGAATATCTTGGAACTGGAGACGTGGCGGTCAGTCGATGTATGCATTCTCATAGAGCCAACCTACCGGTTAGCGGGAGACGTGCAGTCCGCCATATATGCGTGCACGTTCCCGGATATAGACGACAGACCTGGACGAAAAGGCCTCAGATTATTGTGGCTAGCCTGTAGGACGTATGTGTGGCTTACCACCTAGAAGACCTTCCATTATCGGCCCCACGACCAAAAACGAATATCCCCCTGGCAGTTGCTTGTAAAAGTAATATACCATGATGATGTTGAAGTCCGTTAGGACAACGCCTACAACGGCGCAACTCAACACGGTGGTGCGGCCGTATCGGTCGGAAAGCTAACATTTCGATGCTCAGTTGCCAATCGTCCACGAAAGTCGAAGAACATACCGAGCCCCACCAAGCGGTGGTCAAACAACTCAAGATTCCCATCGTAGTAGTCATGAGTATGTTCAGCTCGGCGACCGCGGCGGAGACCACAGGGTCCGCATGGCATACTCTCTGGCTCGGTTCTACAGGAAACAGTGGAAAGTGAACCACGTCCCGCTGAAACAGCGTATGTTCACGACTTACGGTCGAGCGTCAATGTGCCGTTATTGTGGCTGAAGAATGATAGCACATCCCGGTCGGGAGTTACGACCGGCTTGTGCACCTCGCACGCGAGGTAAGTGTACAACTCAATCTTGGCTGCCGCGGTGATCGTCATGGCAATGGCAGAGAACGGCACATAGGCCAGAAACCTGTCGCGGGTGGGGACATGTACGTTCAAGCTATGCGCGAGGCACAGAGCGGGTGGGGACTGACCACCAGGGCGAGGGCCTCTTCCACCACGGCTGCTTCTTCCTCCACAAGCGATCGACCTCCTCTTCTCCCGGGTCCTGTCCCTCTCCCTCGCATGCAGCATCGGTAGGCTCGTCCTCCTCCGCGAGCGTCTGCTCACTGTCGTGGTGGGGGTGTACAAACTCGTGCAGGAGCTCCGCAGTCTCCTCGCCGACCGGGCCGCCGGGCACCATGAGATCGTCGGGCCCCTGAGCGAGCAGGGGAATGGTGGACGTCGTGGTATTGCGGGATCCGCGCGGGCGCGAGCTCGGGCGCGAACGTGAGCGCGAAGAGGCATCCTGGCGGAGAAGAGACACGCCTCGCGAGGACGGGGGAGACATGGTGGGAGGTGGGAGGGCCCGCAGCGAGGCGCTTGCTCGACGAGGGCGAGCGGGAGGAGATGGGGAGACACGAGGGCGAGGTGCGTTATAGATATAGCAGAACGATAAGTAGCAGGCGTTCAGGAGATAAGTGAGGATAAGTAGCAGGCGTGCTTGGGAGATAAGTGAGCTCAGAGTGTGGAGCGGCGATGGCGTCCGGCCGGCAACTTGGCTGAGCTGCCGCCACATTCGAATGTCATCACACACCCAGTCGTGCGCGATGTCCAGCCACCAGTGTCCGATACCGGCATATCCCTGCCGCCTTCCGCGGAGTCAGCTCTGCACAACACGCCGTCGCAGCGCAGCAAACGCGTTCAATTGCAGAGCCAGTCTGCATGAACCTTGCAGCATGGCCGGGGGAGCATGTGTGAACGGAGGCGCTATACTTACACCAACATCTCGGATTGCTTCCGGAGGCTCGTCTGAGTACGCCGCTGCCAGTGCCCCGAAAGTCCCTAGCCAGGCACTTACTGTGATCCGCAAGTGCGTGGTACCTAGAGAACCGAGACCCATCCTGGACCCACCGCCCTCACGCTGAACGAATGCGCACGACTATTGGTAGTATACTAGTAGGTACACAACGCCACAATCCACGATCTTACCGTGCTTCCAACCTTACCGGTGGCGGCATCGAAGCGCCTACTCTGCAGGTACCGCCGCGGTCTCCCTTCCACCTGGCCCCTCCCACGCGGTCGTGTCCGCTGGCTCCTGCTCAACCGCGCCTGTCCCCCGCAGCCGGATGAGCATCAGCAGCAGCAAGCTCACAAACAGCGACGCGCAGCACAGGAAGTAGATCGCGCCCGGCACAGTCGCCACCGTCCGCATGTACGTCAGCCCAAACAACGTTGGGCCGACGATGTGCGAGCTGCACGATGACAGAACATCAATGACACACCCGGTCCGCGAGCTCCGCATAGTGAACGCGAACGCACCTCAGAGCGGAGACGACGGTGAGCGCGCCCAGCAGACGACCCGTGTCTGCGCCCCCGCGACGTGCGTATAGCTCCAGCCCGAGACTCTGCATCACTGGCCCGAAACTCGCGCCGAGCGAGATGCACATGCTGTAGACCGCGAAGAGCGCTGCGGTGGCTGCGCTCGGCGTGAGTGCGTAGAAGATGATGTCGGTCACCAGCGCCGCCCGCGCGAGTATTAGATCCAGGGACGCAGCTCGGAGGCGTTTTTTGGGCGCAGGGACGGTCGTAGACTGCTCTGGCTCTTCAGAGGGGAGGAAGAGGGGCTCGGATTCCACCGCAGGCGTTGACGGCTTGCCGGCCGGTTGCCATATGTAAGTGAGGAGCTTGACGATGCCTGGTTGGAACGAGGTCAGGAGAGGGCTACCCCACGATTGGATGACCGTGTACTTACCCGGGAAGACAATTGTGAGGTAGGTTGCCTTAGATATGTTGACGCCACCTATCCAATAATTGATCTGCAGTTGTGTCAGCTGGAATAATCAATGCACCATGAGTCGATGCCTCACATTTTCTGAAGTCCATCCGAAAGTAAGAGATGCATATTGCAATTGTTGATACACGGACGCCTGGGCACACGTATCAGACGATGAACGGATTCGTTCTCGGTGGAACACTCACCAACACCAATGTTCCAAATCCATAGGCCGCGCCCAGGTAAGTCAAGTTCCAGTCTACACGTTTACCCTTGCTAGGCGTCTCGACCTTCTTCGGCAGCAGCACCGCGAGCGGAGAGACGACGTCGAACATGGCACCCCAGCGTTTCAGCTTGCTGATCACACCAGGAGCGGGGGTGCCCAGCTGTTGCGCCTGCGCGGCGCGACGTTCCCGCATCACAGACGGAGAGAGGGACTCCGGGATGATGAACCAGACAAACAGCGCCACGATGGCGTCGATCGTCGTCGTCGCGTAGAACACGGGGAAGAGACGGTGCGTCGCGCGCATTATGAAGCCGCTCAGCAGGGGCCCAACGCTCATGCCGAAGAATAGAAGTCCCATTAGCTGGGAGAAAGCTCGTGACCTAAAGTCGGAAAGCGTCAGGACGTAGAACCAGAAACCACGGAGATAAACCCATACCGCGTCGCGGCGTCAGAACAGTCAGAGATGTAAGCGTGCATCATCACCGAGGCCACCGAGACGGCTCCCACCAGGCCCTCCACGGCAGGTCCAATGACGAACCACCAGTACGTCCCCGGGAGCTTGTCCCAGAAATCGGCCACGATGAGGAAGCTGATGTCGGACACCAAGAGGCCCGCGACGTTGAATCCCAGCACCCACATGCGCCCATGTCGGTCAGATAGCTAGCACGCCCGCATCCATCCCACAGTCAAGCTCTGAACAAGGTGCAGCTCAAGATAGAAGGACGTACAGAGCCCCACCATGCGGTGGTTAGTGTTGTGAGCAGGCCCGATATAGTTGTAAACACCGCGATCAGTCGTGCCACAGCCGCCTGGACCGTGGGGTCCGTCAGACATTCACGGGAGGTGGCGTCGACGCCGTAGACCTGGCAGATTGTGCGGGTGTATATTTCAAAGCGGGGCGCGACGACGCCGGACGTCGAGATGGCCGCCGTCGCAGACAAGGCGAGAATCCTGCATAACGTGCATTCTCAGCATCGCGCGGAGGTGCACTCGCGAGCCTCAACGCACCATATGGGCGACGGCTTCAGCCATCGACGAGACCAAGAGGTCGCTGCCACAGTGTTCACGGACCCGTACGATCCTGCACCTCCAGCTGTAGATAACGCGCCACAGCGTCACGCATAATTTCCCCAGATGATATCAAAGTCTACTCACCGCCGTAGATACCTCCGTCATCCGCAGGTCCGGCAGCCAACAGCGGTTTGGCAGCGGACATGGCGATGGTGGTGGTGGATGTTGGCAGCCCTCCCTGCCGCCGACCCTGCGCCGCCCGAGGAATTGAGCGTGTTCGCGTGCCTCCCCACGCGGAAAGATCAGCCTTCTGTCTCCGGAGACCATCTTCCTAGTGACGGGACACTGTTGTTCCGAGAGTCTCGACACGGCTGACCTGCTCCAGCTAGGGACATGGACAACAGGTATATGCGCGAGCCAAGGAGAAGGAGGGCCTCCGAGCACCGAACGCCAATGAAAACGGCTAGATAACCTCATCTAATCAGATCCAGGAGCTCAAGCTGTGATCTAATCAGATAATTCGTGATCAGCCACCTGCGTCTCCGTCGGCGGTCGGCACGACGCGCTCAGCAGCTGCTCTCGCCTTGCCAGTATCCACACAACTCCTGCCATTCGATCTTGTCTGCGAGATGGTCTGTCCCTCCGTTGTTTTCCCAAAAATGTATCTCTGAGAAGTATCCGCGCTCCGCCCGCTGCTGAATGTGCTTGAATCCGCCGTCAACACGCGCAGTCCAGCACCGTCGATATCCCCCAGGAGCTCAAGGCCGCGCTCCGCAAGTTCAGGTTCGCGCGGCGCAACGCGGGCCACGCCGCGCTGGTCGTGAAGATCAACAAGCAGAAGCTGCTCATGGAGGAGGTCGAGCAGTTCGACGACATCAGCATCGAGGACCTCGCAGAAGGTGTGCACCCCCTCCGCCCGCCCGCCCCGGGGCGATCGCGCTAGATCGCGCGTCCGTCCACGCGTCGTGACATCCGCGCTGTCCCTGCAGAGCTGCCGGAGAACTCGCCGCGCTACGTCCTTCTATCGTACGAGCTCAATCACGCCGACGGACGCAAGAGCTTCCCGCTCGTGCTCGTCAACTGGGCGCCGACCTCGAGCGAGATGAGTCTCTTGACTCTCCACGCGAGCGCGTTCATAGAGTTCCAGAACACAGTACGTACGACGTGTTTTTGTTGCATGAGATGACGATTGAGCGTGTGGGCTAGGCCGACGTCAGCAAGGTCATCGAGGTGCGAGAAGGGGCGGAGAGCTTCACGAAGGAGATGATCGACCAGAAGCTGCTGCATGTATGAAGTACGCTCGACCGCCAGGGAGAACAGCGTCTATCAAGGGCTACGGGACAGAAGAACTCGTACATCTGTACAACACTCTGGATTATCTGCTGTGTTACGCTATCGAAACAGACACACCTCGCACTCATGCTCGACAACCGTATGCGTCCATGATCCCTGCGAGAACCCAGCAATTCCCAACGACATAGACCAGCCCCCGGATCCAGAGACCGAAGAAGACGTTCTGCCCCAAGAACTCCAGCTTGTACGCTTCACTCAGCCATAGCGCTTGTGTGCCGATCCAGACCGCCCCATACGCCACAGCGCGGCGGGTCGACATGGAAAGCTGTGGTATCAGAAGCGGCAAGAAGAGCGTGTACCACAGGAAGTACTGCAATGAGACGTTTAAATTTGAGAAAGAAGCATACCTGCGATGGGGATAGACTGACCTGAGATGTGCAGACCTTGTTGAAGACCACGAATACGAAGGTCTGCACGAACCACGTAAATACCAGGTTCTCTCTCCGCCGACCGAACAGCAGGCCGCTTCCAAGAGCCAGGATCATTTGGGGGACGAAGCTCGTCAAAGGAGACCTGAGGAGCCTCTTCCACAAGACTGTCTCCTGAGCGGAGGAGGCGGAGGGGTAGGTTAGGTACACCAGGTAGAAGTACGGGGAGAAGTTATGTCGGTGGTCCAGGCGGGTTAGGTGGTAGAGATACGACTCCTGTAGGAACGGCTGCCCCCATCTGACCGATGACCTGTCAGTAATGAGGTATACAAGTGTCAGCCACAGCGACTCACATAGCGTACATGGCAGCTCCCAAAGCCAAGAACGTTGTCGCACTGATCACCCCGAACCTGATAGTCCGTCCATTGACAAGTGTGCTGCAAATCCCCTGCCATCCCCTGCCCACAGCGCCTTGACTGCCGATTACGCCCAGGCACGCGACGCCGTAGATGAACGGGTATATCTTCCAGTGCGTAGATAGCCCAAGGAGCACGGCTGAGACGTCCCACCGGTCCTTCAGCGCGTAGTAGAGGGTTGCAAGGACGAACAGTGATAGGACAGACTCCGAGGAACCTCGTGTAGATATGGTGAAGACAAGTGGGTTGAGGAGGTGCAGAGAAACCAGGAAAGTGGCCAGTTGCGAGGTGGAGTCCGCATCTGCATGAGGCGTTGAAGGGGAGGGGTTCTTCTCTGCTTGTACCGGAGAAGACCTGCGGCGCGTCCTAGGTAGAATGAATGATACCAGGAGCTCATACATGAGCAGCCCAGCGAGGATGTCGCATCCCGCGAAGAGCAGCTTCCCGAACGAGGGATGTAACCATTCGTTTGGCGTCAAGAGCACGGCGAGCAGAGGGGTGTAGCGATATGTTGCGCGTGTATACGGGCTGCATAAACCCGTGAGATCATAACTGCAAACGAAAGGCGCGTCGCCGTACCTTCCAACGTGCCAATAAGACGCGAGTGGGCCCTCCGCTCGGTTGTCCGCTGCAGGGTTGAGGACGAACCGTGCGGCGTCACTGAAGACGCGGTAGTCCACGTCCGTGTACTTCACAGCTGAGTGTGCGTCGTGCCATTCGCTATACACTATCAGGGCAAGCCGCAGGACAGATGAGAGCAAGAGGATGCGAGAGAAGGACGGCACATTTTGGAGGATGTGGTATGAGCGTGAGGGCATGACGCATGATTCACTGACGCGCTAGGCGTCCGCGTGTGAGGCCTTGAGCAATGAGGACTGGCCTCACTTGGCATGATGATCCAGTACTTCGACCTCCAGCTGACTATATATCTAGTCAACTTCATGTCATTGCGGTCAAACGTGTGCCGTGTATGACATGTGGTATATTTTTGTCTCGCCCGAAGAGACCGTGGAAGGTACCTGACTGGACTGGAGGGAGGCGAAACAATGTAACATTCCACAACACGAACAATGAGACAAAGAAAACTAGTCCAGAACACGTATGTCTACGTCGGTAAATCACTGAGAGTAGTAGGTTAGCCGGGAGGAGGTGATATGTCGATGACTGTGCTCAGATCTGACGGGGATATGTTAGTGATTGGAGTCGCACGCCTGGAATAGAGTGACAACGTACGTATTGTGAGAGCCATCTGAAGCCTTCTCCGTACCCCTGGCGCTGCACGACTGAGCACATGAAGATCTCAATGGGACGGATGTCGTTGAGGGGGACCTTGCCCTACAACAAAAGGTTTCAGAAGCCACTTCATACATGAGTGGATTTGCAAACGCACCTTGCCAGTGGTCTGGTACAGGCCCAGGTGATGCCGGAGCTCATCCTCACTCACCGCGCCCGGTGCGTCGATCTTGTTGCCGAGGATAAGGAAAGGAACCTTCGAGAGCTCCTCGATGGAGAGGAGTGCGTCGAGCTCCGCCTTGGACTCAGCGAAACGCTCGAAGTCTGCACTGTCAACGAGGAAGACGATGCCATCAACCTCGGGGAAGTAGTCGCGCCAGAGGCGGCGAGCTATTGCGGGAAGAGAGTTAGAATGTGGGACAATGAAACAAGATACGATACAACATACCCTGCAAGTGACCACCCAAGTCGTAGGTCGTGAACTTCACGTTGCCAATGGCAAGCTCCTCCGAAGCTAACAACAGAGTCAATACAAGAACGGTGAGTGCAAACGAATGTACTTACTGGGATGGAGCGTGGGTTGAAGGGTTGCCAGACGGTCATTCTTCAGCATGTGGAGGAGGGTCTTTCCAGACGCTTGAGAGGGTGCGACACTACACAGCCAGAACAACGCAGACGTACCGTCTTGCCAGCATTGTCGAGCCCGAGGAAGAGGATTTTGGCGTTCTTGTGCAGAAGGCCTGAACAGAGCAGAATGAGTGAGGCATCCCTGAATAGAGGTTTGCAACATGAGGCGCACCAAGCTGCGCGAGGACATCCCAGAACCAGTTGATGATGAACATAGCGTTGTCGTAGAAGAGGAAGCGGGCGAGCGAAGGAGGAGGCGATGGAAGGTGGCTGAGGAGGGCGAGGGCGTCTGCTGACCCTGCGCTGCTACAGTGACGTGGACGTAGACGCTCGTTCTCACATCCGTCGAGGCTCGAGACCAGTCCGCAAACACATGGCATCATGTTCCTGACATCGTTCTGTGTGTTGCTGCAGGCCGCTGAGTACGACGGAATGACACAAGATATCCTGCGATAGAAATTTCAGGTCATCCTCATTGTCGTGAGCTCGGAGAATCGACTGTCGGGTCCACTAATGGGCTTCCGTATTATATGCTTTTCTTCTACGTCTTGAATGCTACTTCAATTGGGAGCGCACTTCCTCTCCACGGATAATTATCAGATGTTCATCGCAGAGCGAGCATTCAAATAGAAAGCATGCATTAAATGTCTAGCTAGCTACGAAATCGAAGAGGAAGATGTGGGGAGGATCTGACACTCACTACACCAAGGAAAGGGTGCGCAAGTTCTTAAGCCTCCCTGTCCGAAAGGCATACTCTCCGCTAAACCGAATCGCCGTGTCTCCTGTACAAACGAAGGGACAGGCACTGTCTAAGGGGTCGCGTGAAGAAAAGCCAAAATCTGGCGGCCGATATAAGTACCTTTCAGTTGTTTGCTTGTGTTTGCAACAGGCGCTTACCACCAAACTGAGCCTGATGCAGGCAGCAGGCTGCTCGATCGGCGCCAGTCATAGTGCTTTTACATATCCTACTCTCCACTAGGGAAATGCCGCCTGGGCCGGCGGCTCGAACCTTGTGTGCGGGAGGTACTCTTGCAAGATATTGTACCCGCCGTATGCATGTGCACTACATATCCCGATCTGACACTACGGCTCTATGTATTCATCAATTGACGACTCATATTTAGTATGCAAACATTGAAAATCTTGAGAGGACGGTCCGGTGCACAAATTTCCTACCAGTTGTAAGCCCCATTTGAGTATTCTAACTTCTGTAGTTATTCAGGCAGATAGGGCTGCCCTGTCGCGGCAGGCCTCAACACAACTATTGAACGGGGTTGCAAAAAGACACACTTCATGGACATGCGGAACTCGTAATCCCTGTCCCATCCGCATCTTGTCCGGCGCCAGTGTATAGTTGAGTCCTACTCGATCGTGTGCCCCTGCTCCGCTGCCCGAGCGCTGTACGACTCGCCGACATTCGCGACAGGATCTGATAGCTCATCAAGTTAGCGACCTGAATCTTCTGGGCTTCGATGATCCCATTGGCGGCGCCGCCAGAGCCGCGCACATCGCGTACTTCGTTAGAAAGTACGTCGTCATAGACGACTACCGGGCCAACCACGCAGCGGAGTACAACCCCGACGGCGACTCCGGTTCTTGACCAGGCCTACGGCGACCAAGCCAGGGCGGGGAGTCGACTCGTCGACCGTCCTCTACTGTTCTCCCCACACCAAGGAGCATACCGGTGTCCAGCGTCAGTATGCCTTGATCCTTAGGGGAGCTCACGAGGATATTGCGCGGGGCTGTGCGATGAGGTACATGTTTGTCGTACAGGCGTGCCGCCGCGGGGGTGAAGTACAGCATGGTTTGGAGAACTCATACCGTGCACTCGCGCGACGCGCGGGGTATACGCCCGGGCTCGCGCGCAACTTAGGGAAAATTCCGCGATCACCATGTCTGACGAGGGCAAGTCGCTCTGGGCGCCGTTCTTGGATCTCCCACTGCCGGCTGCACGCACTGTCAGTGGAGAACAACGGCAGGCGCGAGAAAGACGCAGCTGCGGGTTTCAGGGACTCGGGAGGCTCAGACCAACGGAGTGCCAGGCTGCATGTATAGCCTAGTAACTGTCAACTATCGCTTTCTGAGAGAAAACTGGCCGTAAAAGAAGCCCTCTGCTGGAGCCCAGCAAGCGAGGAGACCTGGAGTGAGCGGGAGAGGGAGGAAGAAAAGAAACGTGCTTGAGAGGCGGTCCGCCGGCCCGACGGGCGCTGGTCGAAATGCGCTTCAATTAAGGGGGGGAGGGTGACCTTGCACACAAGGTAATAGTCATAAGTACCGGTCAAGTTGCCCTGAGATCTACTTCCCAAGCCTACACGTCATATTTTCTGTCATGGAACTCCTCACGGGTGCACTCATCTTAGGAGTGACAAACTGTTGCTTAGAGCTGCTCTGTATACAGAAAAAGGCTTCAGAAGTACAAAACCTAAGAAAGCTCTTCAAGCCATTCCCGAAGTGGCGACAAGCCACCGCTCCCAGGATGCTTTTCATCCACGACGGAGACCTCTGCCTTCCCGACAGCAACGGATGTCCCAATGAACCCGATCTCCCCACCTTCCCACTCAGCGAACTTGAACTCGCCGCTACCTGTGCATTCCAGGCCACCCATCTCGGACTCCGCATCTTCTGCCCCCAGACCTTCTACGGCGACACCGTTTACATGTGAGGCTCGGCGTTTTTCCAGCTCCCGCTCCAGAATGGTTCGTACGCGGGTGATTGCGAGCTGTTCCGAAGCAGCTGTTGCAGTACCCTTGAGCAGGTCACATTTGTGCGCGACTATAGCCAGTGATGGCGCCTCGCGTGATGGTGGAAGCGACGTCAGGGCGTGCAGTATAAGGTGAAGATGTCTGCAGCGGAAGCTCGACGGTTAACGGAGCGGTATGCATGGATGGCATGATCTGCGACGTACTCAGCGACAGCGGCCCCGTTGCGTGAGACGGTGCTAGCGTCCACGACGAAAACAATAGCTTTCGCATCGGGGAGGTGTTCTTGGAACTGGTCCCGGATGCGCGGGTGGCCGGGGACGTCAATGACGCGCACAGTCTTATGGGTCGACGGTAGGGCAACGAGCGCAGTATTTGTTTGCATCGACGCGTGCGTCGGGAGTGTTTGCTGATACGCAAGCTGTGCACGTGTCTCAGGATAGATTACAGACACGAAAGACGTGGACACGTACCGCAGATAGAATGGCAGTCTTGCCAGCATCGGGACAACCGGCAAGAATCACAGCATCCCCTCGTTTCGCAGACTTCCTCCGTGCCAGAAGGACAGTAACTGAGACTATGTCAACAGACATTCGCTCGGCAGCATAGTTGATTACTGACCAGAGACCAGGAATACAGCCAGTAACAGTGCTGCTATAGACATTACTTGCGGAGTGAGTACCGAGGCCGGCGAAAGGACCTCGGGCTCGGGCTGTTTCGATGCAGGGTTGGCGTAGTCGTCCATAATGCGCGTACGGTACGTGATTTGTTGTCGTAAAAGCAGTTATGAACGCTAGAGAGCACGGAGAATCGAGTAAGAGGTAGATGGAGATGTACAGTGCAATGGCGTTAACTAGCAGGGTCATCCTGCTAAGCGCTGAACCGGTGATAGATCTGAGATCTACTATTTGTGGATGTTAGGATCCAAAGCCTTTGCCAAGCACTTGCAAACACATCCTATGGCGGTCCTGCGATTCAAGACGTACTCTATATCATCCATTTTCGTGGTTCAACACACACAAAACTATTCAAAACAATCTCAGGAATAATCTCGCGCATCTAGCTCATCATCTTTATCAATTCGAATGCTTCTTGGGCTGGCACAATCGAGCACTCGAAGACATGTATTGTTTGGCTGTACACATGATTCCTATGCTACCTCATAACCCTCATATCCTAAGAGATGCGTAAAAAGCTTTGTCATATCTACTTGCAAGTGCAAGTCGAGGTGTTGGGGGTCTTGCCGAAGGGGCAGGAGCCGGCTACAGAACTAGTTGTCAGGAAAGATGCATTACAAAGTTTGTATTCTGGACTAACCTTGGCCGAAGGGGAAGATCGCGATGTTGGGGGCACCAAAGAGACCGGGGTCGACGCCGTTGAGCTGCGCGCGCACGACACCCTTGAGCTCGGCGTTCTTGGGCGCACGCTGGCAGAACGGCGTGCTGGGCACGACGCCGTTGATGTTCAGCGCGTTGCGCGGGTGCCTTGCGTAAGAGATCGCGTTGTCGATGAGCGCCTGCTTGTTCTTGATGCCCTTCGACTTCGCGAACTTGATCATCGCGTCCGCGTTGTCCTGCTGAGCGCACGGGTCCGCGTTTGCGAGCAGGGCGTTGATGCCGTTGATGCCCGCGAGCTGCACGCAGGGGTCGCCGGTCTGGAGGTCGCCGCCGCTCTTCAAGCACAGGTTCTGCCAGCTCTGCGCGACCGCTCCGAGGTCCGTCTGCGCAATGCGGCGCACGAGGGGCGCATCCTCGGACCGTTCGGTGAAGTCTTCCCGCTTCTTCGCCTTGCAAGCGGCGGGAGCCTTCGCAGCGCGACTGTGGGAGCAATGTATATGATGATGAATTTCACACACAAAAATCGCGAGCTATTCTACACTGACGCTTCCAATTCCGGTTCGTCGCGGCCAAATATCCCACCCGCTCCTGTCGCGGCAATGCGAGCCTGAGCATCCGCTTGAGTGTCGCAGACCAGGCTACAGATTGAAAACGAGTTAACCCCTTCGCAGATTAAAGAGCGAAGAGATCTCACCTGGTACCGGGGGAAAGGACCAAGGGCAGCGCGAAGCAGGTCAAGCCCGTGTTGCATGGGAAGGTCACGAACTTGCCCGCAACGCACTGCGCGAAGCCGCCGTTGACGCACGCGTTCTCGCCCTCTTGGCATGCCGAGTTCGCGTTGAGCGACTGGAACTTCCTGTTCAACGCCTGTGCATCCCTGCCGTTCTGCAACGTGAACGCTGCTCGACTGCGAAACTGTGAGCTTTATTGTCATACCCGCGGCGGAGGCGTACTCACGACTCGAGATCCCGACCGCGGAGGCCACCTGATGCCCCAGTGCGAGCAATGCGGTCAGCGGCATCTTGCTCGGTATCACAAGTGATGCTAGAAGTAAGTTAGCATATGCATCAAGTCATCATACTGTCCTGATATCGAACGAACCTGGTGCCTGGGCTGTTAACCAGCGGTAGTGCAACGCATGTCAACCCACCAGAGCACGGGGTGGTGACGAATTTGTTGTTGACACATTGCGCGAAGGCGCCCTTGATGCAGGCGACCTCGCCGGACTGGCATGCTGAGCTTGCGCTCAACGACGAGAACTTGGCGTTGAGTTTCTGTGCGTCCTTGCCGTTTTGCAGGGTGAAGGAAGCCCGCTTGTCGACAATAGGGCCGGCTGCGACGAGCACCGCAAGAGAGGAGGAGATGATGGCAAAGCTGGAGAAACGCATGATGTCTCGTGAAGAATAGAAAAGGAAAGAGTGTCGTGAGAATAGCAAGGAAGCGACTGAGCGCGAATTCGTGAGGGTGAGGGGCGACCGGGCTCCTGAGGCATCTTAGTGGGCGGCGCGCACTATTTGTACGAAGACGCCTCGGGGGCTGGGCGGTACGGATGTCCTGCGCCCATACGGATCTCAAACACTAGACCTGCCCGAAGGGGGAAGCATCATGATGGAGTCGACGATGCCGGGACATCCGGTCTTGGTTGCCAGGAAAAGTCGATGCATCTCCGATGATGGGCAGCCACCTCCTGGACACCTTGATCTTCATACTTGATGTAGGGAATAAGGTATCGAAATACTGCTGAACGCTAAACTGTGGTCATTTAGAAGGCACACACCTGTTGCTTCCCGAGCATCCAAACAATTGGTTCCTGCACTACAGGTGTTCGAGCATTGATAAGCTGGTATTCATTGCAACAACTCTACTCTTGGATGTGCACGCCTTAAGCACCAGTCTGACTCACCTTCAAACCGTCGTGATGCCAGATCTTGAGGCGCTTCAGCGCCACCGGAGGTGGGCGGTGTGGACACCGGTGCGTTCCACCTCATCCCGCATCAACGCGGCGGTGGGTCACCATTTGACAGGCCTGGGCTAGGGCAGTCCGATGGCGCTTGGGCTGGACAAGTACGTTGTTGGCCGGGTGTCTACGCAACGTTGACGATGAGTAAAGCGAAAAATGACCACGTTTGCAGACTTGATTCCACTCACCCGAGCGGACTGCTTAACGCGCAAAGGCTTAAGCCAATGAGGCAAGCATACGACAGTGCACACGAGTGCCTGAATTCCGAATGGGCTTGTAACAACCAACGCTGATGAGGCCGTCGTGAGGCTATGAATCCGTGCCGCCATGTCCTGGCTTGGCATCCACCCCGTAGCGCTTACACAGATAAATGACCTGTTATGTAAACCCTGTGCTGATGCACACGGCAAATCCTAACGAGCGCTGGAGGGATGGCTGATATTAATATTGTATACTTCAGTGCGCGAGCATGACCCGGTGCCAGCGTCCTCGGTCCAAAGCACTGCACGCACTTAACGCGCTAAGCTCTGCGCGCGACACCAACTGGGTGTGGGATAGAGGGACAAGTGAGTAAATATTCGAGTCTCCGAAGAAGAAGAAGCGCGACGTTGCGACGTCGTCGGCGCAGGCAAGTCAGAGGCGGGGAGAGCGGGTAACAGCAGCGAACGGATGAGGACACTCACAGTCTACAGGGAAGAGTTCCCAGAAACCGTTCACGACGATGTCAGGAGCGTGCTGCTCGCGCCGGATGATTGGAAAGGCTACGGTATGTCAGGCTCAGCAAGAGCTAGCTAGACAAGTTATGGCGAAGATTGCGCTCGGCGCCGCCGTAGGTTAACGGTGCTGGAGTATAGGTACAGTCAGGCTTCAGGGAGCTGTTAGCATTGGCCGGTCACGCCATCGGTTATGTCGGTGGACGAGCCGCGAGGCGTGCGCTCGAGGACGAAAGGCATCATGGCGGCTCACATAGACGGGCAACTCCGAATCGTCGCAGGCACAGCGGCCGCGCGCCTCCGCGCCTCCGCGCCTCGATCACAGTGTCACGCCCAGTTTGGCAATCTCCCAAGTTGCAGTACACTGTAGGTTTCCGCCGCCGGCAGAAAAATCGTTTATACACATACTGAGCTTGATACACGGGGCTATTCTCACCGCTTCGAGCTGGTCTAAATTCTCCGTAAAATACACGACGCACATGTATGACTCAGACATCGATATTAATTGAAGTGCGAGCGTATTATGTGGCACATGGTTATATGCCATGTTGCTGAAGCGCTTCGGAAGTATAGTACGAGTAGAACAACGCGGGTCCAAGAAGAATCATTGAATTGTAACGGTAGTGTTGACCATCTCGACAGTGGGGCTTGCGCCGGCCTGAAAACATTGAATGCGTCAGCACTTAATCTTACGACGTGAACAGGCATGTCTCCTCACCCCCAGCAGATAGAAATGTGCAATCGTGAGCACCGCGGGCCCGCTTTCCATGGCCGACGGGACCTGCACAGTGTAGTTCTGGAAGAGATGCGTGCTGTTCGGTCGCAGCTGCGGGGAGTAGTCCCCCGTGTGGATGATATTGCCGAGGATGCCGCTGGATGCGCCAAGCCCATTGCAGGGTGTTTCCGACCCGCAGCTGATCATACCAATGGCGACGGACACGTCTTCGGAAGGTGAGAGGGAGTCCTAAATGTACTCATCAGATGGGGTAAGGGAGGGCAAGGCGCGCGACACTCACTGCTTTGTCAACGTCGACGACGAAAGTACTGCCGGGCACGAGCGTGGCACCAACAGGAGGGGAGAGTATGGCTACACTCTGGGCAAGAGCGGTACCGACGAGCGAGAGGATGACACACGTGGTCCGCATGATTTTGTTCGAGTACTGAGGGGTATGAGGTTGGAGGACGGATGTTGACGAGCGCTGGAGATGGCGGGATTCGAGGCGCGGTTAGTAGTAGTGAAGTGCGGCGCTGGTACGACACCTTAGGCCTTATATACCAATATCTGCAGTGTGTGGAGCAGAGCGCGATGGCATCGCAAGCCGACACGGTCATCGTATACTCTGAGAGTCATGACCTGCCGTCAACTATGCACCAATTAGAGTTGTCTCGGCACTGGTCACTGACCGTATGTCCGTCGTTTAGTGGAGACTGTAAGGTTGCTTGCTTCCATGCTGCTTCTCGGATGCGTCATTTTGCCCGTGTGACGACCCAATTCCAGTGGCTCCACATTCTGTGGAATGATGTGATGCCTCAGTGAACAAGGAGAAGCTGCAGGACAGCTACGATTGCGGACAACATTACACTGGCAAACATCGCAGATCATGGAGTAGTGCGAGGTCATGGAATCGGCATTGTATGCCGATGAGAGCCGGAAAGATGCCGTGGAGGGGGTGAGGAGTATATCAACGCTGCACGCGTGGAGCGTAGTGAGGTAATTTGAGGTTGGTCCTGCTAGGATTCCGAGGACTGCGAAAAGTCTAATGATCACCGGATCACTGACCGTCATGCGGCAGCCCAGAGATGGGCCGGGCGCGCAGTCGAAGCTGGCTCGCAGTTCAGAAATTGATCCTGTCTTGAGATGTGCACGGAGGACCCTGCGCGTCGTATGATGGAAGAATGAGTAGATAGTACAAGTTCAAGGTTGTCAGGACACAAGTCCGGCTGGACTCAAAGATGCGGTCCAGCGCCACAACTGTTGCACACCGACATGCTCCACAGCGCCAACCGTTTGAAGGTTCGTCTGTGCTGCGCACAAAGGAAACAACTTGGATGATAAGTATGAGTCCGAATGAGAAAGAATGTCCGCCGTGCTCGGCAGCTCAAGCTAAGTGTAATAGCGTCTGTAGTCGGTGATATACCTCTCCGCTTTCAGCTCCTCGTTGTACTTCGGGAAGACGGACGTCAAGACGGTATGCCAAATCCCTTGTCGATACTGGAAGAGGTATGTACCCTTGGTCAGCTCCCTAAGCCATCACATCAGTACTCAGAGGTTCATGCCGTCCATCCGTGAACGCACCAATACTCCGGCATCCATGCGCACGATTCCCAATCGACTATCCCCGAGATTTTCCAGTCATCGTCAATGAGGATGTTATGCGGAGCGAGGTCGTTGTGTGTCAAGCAGAGCCGGTGGGGTCGTTCATGGGCCCTCTTGATCGTTTCGTGCACAACCTTGGCATCCTCCTCGTCCGGTATCCTCAGAGGGCCGGCACGGGCGAGGAGTGAGTGGTGGAAAACATCGATGTTTTCCAACGGACCGACGGCGGGAGCATCCATCGCTAAGCGTTCGCAGTAGATGGGCCCCCCACCGAATCCACAAACGGCGGGGCTCGGCGCAGGGATAGCGCGAAGCGGCGCTAGCAAACGCGCGAGCTGGTCGCTCAGCTCCTGCTCAATCTCCGGGGTGATCAAGTCGTACGAGTCTCCCAGATTATAGCCTGGAAGACGAGACATGATGATCCAGGTCACGTCTTCGACGGTGAAACTGTCGACGATGACCGGGACTGGGATCGACGTGTGAGTGCCGACGAAACGTGTGGCTTCTGCCTCCGCTGGACGGACGAGTGTCCCCCACTTGACGTACATGCCTCCTGGGATGCGCTGCACAGTGCTCTCCCGTTGCCAGAGTCTCATGCCCGCGCAGGCTAGGTACCACCATAGTTCGCGACGAATGCACAATGGGACGGCCGAGACGACACGGGACAGAATGCGATAGATGAAAGGGGGGGCCATGAATGAAGACCTGTCAATAGCAGACTGCCAAGATGTACGTATGTCAGCGAGGCTGTGATACGCTCTGAACTCAAGACATACATGCCACACCCAATCCTGCACAATTCCGGCAGGACAGGGCTCCCTTTGAGGCGACCAACTATGAATTTCTCTGTAAACGATCGCGCCGTCGGCGTGTCCGGACCGTCGGCTATGCAGTCGCCCTTGTATTCGCGGTTCGCAACCAGGGTCGGGAGCGAGGGTAATTGTGAGAGAAGCTTGGCTGCCTTATGATGGAGGAGAGGCAACCCGAGTACGCTAGACTACACGCAGAAGCGCTTGATCGATAGGGCGCTGCGACCGGCGTCTAATTCGACACAGGCTGAAAGCCCCAGTTTCCCGTCTACTTACTAAGTACTGCTCTCTCAAGCTAGACACCCTGGGCCTCACTATACACCTTGTTAACACCGGATATTCCTGGATTAATCCTCAAATATGATTTACTTCTCTCCTCGATGGCTTTACTTGGGTAGTAGGTTAGGGAGCTGTTCGAACTTCGCAAGCGTCAGGTACTGTATCTGCCAAGGACGATGATCACTCCAGCTCGCCCAAATAGTCATATTTGGTTTCCGCATAACCAGCGCGGGCGAGCGGTGGGGCTGATGAATCCTAGGAGCTTCTAGCATCCTGGCAGGGGCCAGCATTGAGCGAAGCATCGCGGGGTTTGTGCGACGAAGTCCGCCGCTGCGACATTCCAAGGAACGACCAAATCTAGAGAGATCATGGTCAGAGTCACACACACACGGAAGTAATGACAAGCGCACCTCGCGGTTGGCATGCTGGGAAGTACCAACGCGGCAGGCTGAGTACAGCATATAAGAAGAACGAGGGTATATCAGCCTGCGATGCAGACACGAGAACCTCATCTCAACGGTACTACTCGGTCCTGAATATTCTCCTGTCTATAAACAACACATCAGCCTCTTGCAGGGACTGTATCGTCCATATCCCTTACCATGCCACCTCGCCCTCGTCCCCAACCCCGTTCCCGCCCGGACAGGCCTATCAGGCTTGATCCGCTCCCTGAGTATCCAGAGATCATCCTCGGCCTCAACCTCAGCCCGACCGTAAGGCCGCCTGTATTCCACTGGATCCTCTTCGTACCGGACCATGGCGCTACTCGTCGGCAACTCACCGCGGGAGAGAAGATGCATGCCCTCTGTCGATTCCAGCCAGGCCCCGATGGTACCATGATCGAAAATTGGGATTACGAGTCCACGAAGTTCACGCTTGGCCAATCGCATACCCTCGCAGCCGCCGCAGTGCTAGGGCAGCTGCCTCCCGGGAGGACGATCAAAGGTTTAAGCAGACTTCTGGGGGCGATCCCCATGAGTGTGCCGGCGGTCGATGCGAGACGGGAGCCGGTGTTCACCTGCAGGGTGTGGGCCCGTGAGGCGGTGCGCCAGATGCACGAGCACGGGTACATTGACTGCACCGATGTCGATTCCCTGGAGGAAGAGATGTGGCGGTACGGGAGGGAGGCCGCGAGCAAGCAAGACAACCGAACGTTCACCACCGCTAGCCTGGTTCGTGTCGTGCACTCAAGCGCTGTCCGGTGATAGACGAGGGATTGGGGAAGGAGTTTAGTGTGCGTTGAGCCTCGCTGGTGCAAATATCAGATGGACTCTGGAGAGTGGTGCATTGGTATCGGCGCCGTGACAAGTATGACCCTGTGTATTATATAAAGCTGTCATCAGCCTAATCGTGTCCATGCAAAGATGTTTGCACAATCATGGGTATATTCACTGCCCCGACGTCGACCGTGACGCTCTGGAGGAAGAGATGTGAAAATGTGGGAGAGAAGCTGTAAAATGCAGATCCGACAACGGGTTGCTCCCCGGTGAGCGCGCTCGCCTTGCTAGTGTCGTGCAGTCACGCGCCGTTCGGTGACCAATGGTGGGAGACGGAGTCCCATAGGTGTTATGGTTGCCGCAGGAGGGTTTAGTTTATGATGTCGCGCTTCGGCCAGCTAGGGATGTGGTTTGCACGTCGAGGGCTGGAGATTCCAAGTACGGTGTCGCATCTGAGAATCTCTACAAGCCACATAGGTTTCTTCAATATAGCGGTCAGAAAAGGACCGATATACGCCTAGGTGCGTGCTACTCACTCATAGTTAGAGTATCTCTAGATGTCCCGGTAATGCAGTCGAGGTGGCGTAGCATAACGGTTTCTGCGAACGGTAAGTATATTTTAAAATTCCTTAAGCAAGAATAGTTCTCAAAGAGCCTTTGGTAGAGCTGTGACGTCCTTTAGACTGCTGCTGCTGCAGACGATGGGGGGACGAGACTGAGCTGAGTCCGGGCACCCGGACTCCTGAAGGATGCATCTTATCTTATCTCTACCAGCATCGATCACGTGCACAAAATTCTTGACCGCGATCGCGTTTGCCGTGCTCTCGGTGTCCTCAACTGCGCCCTCAGCCTCTTTACGCCAAACGCTCTCTCTCTCCAAAAGCCTCGAGTACCACTTCTGGAGCGTGAACGGGACCGCATCTCTGTCTCTGGAATACCATGGGAGCAAACATCGACACCCGCTCTAGTCCTCCGCCAAGGAAGCGGCTTCGGACAGACACTACCGCAAGTACTCAGAAGGCCAAAGCGGAACCTCGACTCTTCGCCCCCTTCCGTGCTCTGGGGCTCATCACCAATAGCGTTCCATTTGTGCTTCAAACGCGCTCACACAAAGGCGCTACCGATGGGCCCCGCATACACCTTGTTACGTGTCTGGGCAAGGCCTGGGCGATGTGGGAGGGTGGCAAAATGGGTCTGCTTTTCGTAGGCAAGTGGCATTAAGCAACTACATTCTGCTTTGGAGCTGACCATGATATGGCCATGGCCTAGGTCCCGATGCCCCCATGCCAATCGCGTCTATGGCGATGGATGGGAACGCGGTATGGATATCCTCGGGTCCATACGTCATAAAATATCTGCGGGGGAAGGAGGTACGGCTTGGTTACTCTCTGCGAGGCGTTCGGACACTCATGTACTCTTAGGTTGACCGACTCTCAAACCCACTTGAAAGCTCGTTAACCCACATTCTCATTTTCGGGACACAACTGCTTGCACTCACTGAGGATGGCGGCAGAATGTTGGTATGGGACACGGAAAGTGGAGGTTAGTGCAGTCTATCTCAGCTCTGGATGTCGGGACGTTGACTCTCTCTTTCAGAGCTCCAGACGACCATCCAGTTCGATCCGGGCTTTACGGCCATTATGATCCATCACCCTGCGACCTATCTGAACAAGGTTCTCGTAGCCAGTAGTCAAGGGAGCATGCAGCTCTGGAACACCAAAACACAGTACGTACCCACCGTCCCTTTCCACGCCTTCACGGGCTGATCTCTCTGCGACCAGAACATTGATACACACATTTCCCTCCGCGTCGCTCCTCACGTCACCCTCAAAAACATCCTCCACAGCTATCACCGCTTTGGCCCGCTCGCCGGCTATCGATGTCGTCGGAATTGGGTTCTCGTCCGGGGAGATCTCAGTTTATGATATTCGTGCGGATGAGCGCCTCATGCGCATGTCCATGCAAGATGGAGGCATTCGTGCGCTCTCATTCCGAAGCGGTAGGTCATGGCCGTGACTGCCAGCTGCTAGGCCCTCATACTGTTTTCATAGATGGCCATCCTATTCTCGCGACAGCCTCTTCTGCGGGGCATATCGCGCTTTGGGACCTCAACTCCGGAGGCAGGCTGCTGCATCTCGTCCGCGGCGCACACGATGGAGCCGTCACTGCTCTGGAATGGGTGCCGGGTCAACCAGTGCTGATCAGCTCGGGAGAAGACAACAGCGTCAAGGTCGGTGCTATCACGTATATGCGAACCTGCATCTTTGCTGAGAGCACGGCCTACATTAGCAATGGTTGTTTGACTCGCCTACAGATGCACCGAGGCTGCTGAAGTTCCGTTCAGGCCACCATGCGCCACCACACCTCATCCGTTATTACGGCGAGGACGGCAAGCAACTCCTGACCGCGTCTCGCGACCGTAGCTTACGGTGCACGAGTGTGGTCCGGGACTCGCGAAGCTTTGAGCTCAGCCAAGGTGAGCAGAAGGTCGAATGAACACCGATGTCACAGTTGACCCATGCGCTGTAGGCTCCCTGGCGAAAAAGGCGTCCAGTCTGTCAATACCCATAGCGTCCCTCAAATTCCCCGCCATATCAGCGTTATCCTACTCGACGATTCGAACCAAGGACTGGGACGACATTCTCACCGCACACACGGACGAAGCGGTCGCGCGTTCATGGACGATGAAGGACAAGCGTGTTGGCAAGCACGTCTTCACTGTTGCAGGCGAGAAAAAGAAGGGCGCCGCGATAGGCTCCGTCAAGGTCCGTACGTTCACCCCGGTGGACTATCGTAGCGTTGCTAATGCTGCCATCAGGCGGTGTGCGTCACGGCGTGTGGCAACTTCGGTATCGCAGCGTCGTCGACCGGCGTCATCAACATGTACAACATCCAGTCCGGAATCCTGCGCCGCACATTCGACGTCGGGCCCTGTCCGTCGAATGTCCCCAGTCGCTTCCGGCCAACTGCGAATGGGAAAAGGAAGGAAGAGCGCTGTATCACGGGCCTCGCGAGTGATGCTTTGGACAGGGTGCTCGTGGCGAGCACGTTGGACGGCACGATCAACGTATGGTCTCCATCAACATGCTCATTTATGGTCACCACTAACATGTATAAACGCCAGTTCTTTGACTTCCACACTGCCGCACTGGAGCACACACTAGTGCTGCCGTCTGCTGCGGTGTCTATCACATTGCATAGGGATAGCGGGCTGCTCGCCGTCATCTGCGACGACCTCGTCGTGCGAATTGTTGACATCGAGACTCGACGTATCGTGCGAGAGCTCGGCGGCTTCCGTGGTCGTGTATTGGACCTGGTCGGTAATTTTTTTGAAATTGTCGGATTCTCCACCCTGACGGGCTTGCGACGTGCAGACGTTCTCGCCGGATTCAAGATGGCTCGTGACAACCTCGATGGACTCGATCATCCGGACGTTCGATATTCCTACTGGCAGGATGATCGACCTGTTCCGCACGTCGAGTGTGGCCACGAGCATCACGTTTTCGCCTACGAATGACTTCCTGGCGACCTCGCATGTTGATAGTGTCGGCGTGTACCTATGGTCAGTTGACGTTGGTCGTCTGCCCTCCCGATCCTTCTCTGACAGATGAATATACAGGGCAAACCGTGCGCAGTACTCGGAGGTATCGTTCGGGAGCATCGTCGAGGACGACGTCGTGGATGTATCGCTACCTTCGATGCAGGGTGTCGCTGAGGAAGAAGGTAAGTTTTGCGTCGACTTGAGTATTTTCGTGCTGATTATACCACTTAGCCTTGGAAGCGCTGTCTGCGCTGACCGTACAAGACCAACCTACGGACGTCTTCGTCACCCCGCCCCAGCTGGACGGCGACCTCGTTACACTCACCCTCCTCCCCCGCTCGCGCTGGCAGACGCTGCTCAACCTCGAGGTCATCCAGGTCAGCCCCCGATTCCACTCCTGCACTCTGACCTGTTCGCCCTAACGGATATGTTGTCCCTGCAGCAACGCAACAAGCCTAAGGAGCCGCCAAAGCAGCCCGAGAAGGCGCCCTTCTTCCTGCCCACGCTACCGGGTGTCGACCAGCGCTTCGCGCCAGAGCAGAAGGTCGCGGCGGAGCAGAAGCAAAAGGACACGCACCGACTCAAGCGAGCCGCGGGGTCCGCCGAGAGCGCGTTCTTCACGAAGCTCTCGGAGGCGCACGAGAGCGCGTCTTCCGATTGTGCGTCCCTCCCCTCCGCCTGCACCCGGAGACCATAACACTGACGTTGCGGCCTGACGCAGACGAGGAGTTCTTCACGTACGCGAAGGCACTGTCTCCCGCGGCGATGGACCTCGAGCTGCGCTCGCTCGTGACGCTCGACGCGCTGCAGATGTTCCTCGGCGCGCTTACGCGCCGCCTGCGCTCGCACCGCGACTTCGAGGCCGTGCAGACGTTCATGAACGTCTTCCTGCGCATGCACGGCGACGTGCTCGCCGCGAACGCCGAGCTGCAGCGTGACCTGGAGACGCTCGCGGGCGCACAGCGCAAGGAGAGCGAGCGGTTGCTGGAGCTGCTTGCGTCCTCGCTGGGCACGCTCGGCTTCGTGCGGGATACGATGTGAGGCGGGATACATACGCTACGCTACAGGCGTCTTGAAGTACATTTAGGCTACAGTTCTACGCGGAATACAGTCGCAATCGGAACGTCCGAATCCGTGTCTAGCGTCCGAAGGTCAGAGGGAAAATAGGTATAAGTTACAACATTCGGAATCAATGTGCTGAGAACGAAGGCTTGAAAGGACAGAGTTCGATGGGGTCCAAGAGGTGCTCTACGGAGAATGTCGTCCAGATTTCGGCAGTGTGCTCGTCGCCTCCCAGGGATGCTTCAAGGCGGACGCCGCGCTGCTTGCTGTGCTCTTGAAGTAGCTCGATGGCCTGCTCCCAGTGTGGACGTGACCGTTGCCTTCTGTTATACCGTCCGAGGGGCAGAAGAAAACGGATGGTCTCCAACGCCGGAAAGAGGTCGCTCCCCAGCCATTCATTCAGGGCCGCGATGTGGTCTAGGCGCAACATGTAGACCATAGACATGTCGTCCATGAGCGTGAGGCGACGGAGGGTCGTTGTAAGTGGCCCGCCCGCAGGTAGGGCTAGCACGGCTTGAACCACGATGCCGCATGGGAGCGTCCACTCGGCCAGGTTCGTACAGAGGTTCAGGCAGCTTATGGCAGAGCGATAGGCGACGAGATGCTGAAGTTGAGAACCGTGGGCTTCGAAGAAGGCTTGCAGCCTTCTCTGCGTGGGCGCCGCGAGGTTGTCGTCGTCCGTACATAGGGTTTGCAGAGCGGGCATGGTCCACGTGGGCGGAGGTCCGCCCCATCCGAACCCTTCAAAAAGAATGAATGCGTGGACGAGCGGGAAATGCGTGTGATTGACGACTTGATGCGAAGCCGACCTGCGAGACGGCAGCAGCCAGAGAGCTTCTACGGAGGATGCCAGTGGGGAGAGGATAGCTTCCAGGAGAGCAGCGTCGCCTTTCAGTTCTAGCCGTTTGAGGTTGGACCGGCGCCCGACGTCGCGCATCGCACGCAGAAAGCGACGGCCCTGGAAAAGCGACGCGTCCGCGGTGGAGAATGCGGTAGAGAAGACCGTCATGTTGGGGCAACAGGCGAATATATGTGCGAGCGCGGCCGAATGCGCTTCGTCCCACCGGTGCACGCCTTCTAGGGCGAGCTCCAGTCTGACTGTCCATTGTCCAGCGGAGTTTTGCCTTGAAGAGTCCTTCCCGTATCGCTTCAACGCGGCGGCCACATCTACAGCATGATCTCCGCTCTTGACAAGAAGATATTGGAAGAGAAACTGAGTGGTAAGGGAAGACCACGCCTTGCATACGCGACCGGCCGTTGTCATGAGGTCCGTAGCTTGACGGTGTCTGCGATGCGCGCTGATCCCGTACTTGTCTCTCGCAAAGGCGATGAAAGATTGGTCGTCGTCGTGTGATAACGCCCCTGGGATATGTGTTGCGAAGGCGAATACCCTCAGCCATATTTCCGGAGGAAGCTCGCGCATGCTGAGATACAGCCTGAGAGCCTGAGCTTGACGAGTGAAGTTCAGGCCGCCATTAGCACGGCTGAGGTATTATGAAGCTGCCAGCAGATGTGCAAGGTACGTGGTGGTGAGAACGAGAGCCTGAGAAGAGTTAAACATGCATGAAGCCCAGAGGTGGTGGAGTGAAGCAGAGGTTCGTCGGCGCCTATAACCCTCTGCCGAAATTCACGCGGGACGCCTGTTCGTGGTCGCTCTCTTACCGGTACCTCTCATCCCTCTCGAGGGTCCGCCAACCGCGACCATGGATCCCACGACGCCCGTAAACGTTGCAAAAGGAGCCGCTGCTACATGCGAGTTCGTTCTCCAGCTTGTCGTGCACCTTTCCAATTTGCTGACCGCATCAATAGCCGTTGTAGCGGGGACATTTGCTGCCCTTCACGGTCTCTACCGCGGCACGCGTCACCCAGGGCCGCTCGCGCTATCTGCGGGAGCTAATGGCGGGATAGCTGGAGCTATCTTTTTCGGTACGTTATGACCTTATACTCCATCCGGTACGTGTACAATGTTAGAACCATCAGGCATCCGCGAAGTTGTTGTCGTTCCTCTGCTGGGGGCAACACTACGGCGAAACGAGCACGCTCAGGCGACCCCAAGTCTGGAAGGAGCCCCGCAGCAACCCTCGTGGGCGCAATTGCGAATACATGGCCTGCTCGATTCAGCAGCGAGCGGTGCCCTGACCGGCGCAATCATCAACAAGTGGAGGAGTATGTCCAACCACTCCTCCATATCTGCCGCGAGCGCTGACCGCGAGGCTGGCAGACGGCAACGTACTCGCCGGTGCACGCACCGCGGGCCTCGTGTGCGCACTCGTTCAGTTGGGCTATAACGAGCTCGGCGTGACGAGAATCAAGTTCGTTACTCGCAAGATCGAGGAGGCGGCCATGCCCGCGCCAGCACCAGCCATACCAGAAGCCACGGATACACCGAAAATGACGTTCTTTGACCACGCTCTGAGTCTCATAGGCTTCCGGAAGCTCTCAGAAGAGGAATATGTGAAAGTCCTCAAGAAACAGCGAGACGAGGCATTGGAGCGGATAGCGATTTTGGAGAGGGAACGTGCGGAGGAGCAGGCGCACGAGTCGACCACGGAATCCAGTCCAGATACCGCATAAATCAGGCTGCTACGCTACTCTACGTATGGTTGTTTATATTTCACTTCTAATGTCGCATACAGCACCTTCGCACACCACTACTCCTAGCTATCCCAGCATGCTTTGCACACTCATCGCTGTAACTCGTCACTGCAATAGACCCCGACTCATACACCTCTATCTACAGAGCCCATACCAGGACTGACGTGCATCCACGGACCGCCGCACACACACCGCCAGCGCCATGCCTTCTGCCAGAACTGCCATCGCACCGACTGCTCCGAACCCGTCCCAGTCTCCACCGCGGCCTCCGAGCGCCCCCCACACCGCAGGCAGACGTGTCCTGGCTGCCGAGGTAGGAGCAGACCTTTGCTCACCACGTCGACGTCCTTGCCCTTATTTGACCGCGAGCTAGGCTCGGATATCGAGAGCCGGGACACGCCGTCGACGAAGTCCGAAGGCTTGATGAACAGGCGTGCGCGGTCGACGGCCTTGGAGCTGAGGATCTTGCTGATCGCTTTGTGGACGTGCGGTTTCAGCGAAGGCACTGGGCAGCACGACGCGAGGCTCCGTCGTAGGTCTGCCGCTGCATAATCGAGTCTGTCAGCCGCTAAAAGCGGAGTCAACAAAATGAACATAAAAACGGACCGTCAAGTCGCTTAGCATCCTGTAGAATTTCCGTCATGAGCGGCCCGAGGGGTTGCAGGTCGACACCGGAGCAGTCCGTGATGTCCATGAGCACGTCCTTCGCGATGTGCGAGTTCTCGCCCTTCGCGGTAAGTTTCGCAACTTGGTCCCGGAAGCGCTTGACGTGCGCGAGCGCGGTTTGCAGGCGGCTGAGCGCGTACGGATGGACGAGAAGCAGGAAAATTGGGCTGTCAAGCGACAGAACTACGGGCCTAGACTTAGCATTATAGCATCGCGGGTGCACGGTAGAGCCTTACCATCCGGAATGTCTCGCTCCTTCGGCGTAGAGGGTTTCGGGGTAGAAGGCGCAGCAACGGGGGTATCCCCGATGAGGATACACTCCTTGAAGAGCCTTTCGACGAGCTCGATGATCCATCCCGACAATCCTACAAGCTGCCAGACGGCGTCTGTGATCAAGCCTCAGTCGCAGGTCCTCTCAACGGAAGACAAGTTACCTACCGAGGTCATACGCATTCCCTTCCTGGCACGAAGAGAACGCCGCACAGCACGCTTTCAAGGATGCGATCTCGAGCGCGGTCTGCCATCGTAACGCGCACAGATCCTTCTCGGCCCCCCTGTCCATACGTCGTGCCCGCGAGCTGAATCACAACCATGGTCAGCTGGCACTTGACTCGCGGTGCTCTGCAGAGCGCACCTGTACACTTCTGTAGCCACTCCCAACAGCTCTGAGATCCACATCTCCACCAGACCGTTGGAGTCGCTTTCCATGTTCGCGAATGTGTTGTACAGCGTGTTGACCGCAACCTCTAGAGGAATTGTCGGCATCGAGAGCGCATGCACGACGTCCGACGGGGAGTTCCTCGAGCGAATCGCTCCCACGAGCTGCCTTGCCAGGTCGCCGTGCAAGTGAGTGGCCGTAATGGAAGCCAAGCCACCCGATACTCTTCGAGGCAGTGCCTGCACTGAAGTGTGCGCCCCTACTAGATGGGAGGACAAGCAGGTTAAGAGCGCCTCGTTCGGCGAGAGAGCGACGCTGACTGGCACTGGGGATACAAGCAGTTGGTCAGTTCCTGCGAGTAGCAGCATAAGAGCACGCGAGAGCCTCTTACCATCAACGTTGCCGTATTCGACGTGTGAGCGGATCGGTACGCTGTCCCAGTCTTCACTGGCGGTCAATTCTGGACTAAAGATGCAAGTTGGTATGAAGTATGAAGTAAACGTATGTGCAGTGCTAACTCACAGCTTGAGCACCTCGATCGCACCCGTAGTAGCTTCCTTCGATTTCTGTTTCCGTCGCGGCAACAGCCCGCGAGCGTCCAGAAATCCTGTTAGCAGTCCCCCTCGACTGACAGAGGGGAGGAGGAAACACGGGATCTTGGTATCGCTGCTGCGTTGAGTTTGACCTTTGAGAATCTGGGAGGAAGTTGTGTGAGATGCAGACGTCAGGCGCACATTCCATCGCAGTAACACGCACCCAAGATAAGCTACCAGGGGCACTGGGCATTTCCCGACCAACGAACGCATAGGAGACAATCTCAGACTTTGGCAAGGATGTATCTATCACGTCGACATAGTTAATACGGGACATATTTCGATGTGAAGATTGGCTCACAATCCCCGGTATCAAGGAACGACGCAACTAGATATAGGTTGTGCACCCCGGCCCCGGGGGGTTTCATTTCCGGCTTCGTGCCTGTTGGAGGCGGAAGATTGATGTGTGGAGGTGTGGGGCAAAAGAAGGTAAGGTCCGCTAGCCGCGCGTTGGGGTGGTATATGGGTGGCAGGGGTCGTGTTCTGAGAGCTGGTACTTCTCATCTCAACTACGGATACCAACGCAAGTGTTTAAATGACTCACGAGGTATCATTATACGGTATACAAGGAGGACCTCGCACAGCGATATTGTGCTTTCCTCACCCCATAGTTCCCACTCGGCGAGGAAGGGGCTTTCAGGAGGCGGAGGTTGTGACATGTCTAATGAGAGCCCGAGGTCCAGGGGATTTTGTAGATGAGAGGAGCTTTGCGACGGCAACAGTCGGGACCGCATCGCAACGAGTATGGTTGAGCCTGCGCTTGTCAGAGACGGTAGGCCGGAAATAACTGGTATATTCACCTCGGTAACTGAGACCTATTGCGGCTTTCACGCATATTCGGTCTCCTCCTATTCTGCCAGGCGAATCATTGGCCGGGGGCGAGCCCACAGGTTCCGGCGCGTGTGGCTGTAGCAAGGATGCACGGACAATCTTGAGGGTCGTCGAAAATGGCGGAAGTTGGCAAACATGTATCTCATGAGCATGGGTGACCAGCAGCAGCAGTGGGGTTGCCAAAGGGGTGATAGGACCAAGTGGTGGAAGACGGCTCGAAGTGCCCGTTTCCGAGACCGTCCACTGGGTTACACAGTAAGACAGTAAGTTAACGTGTACATATATGTATTAGGAACACTGACCTCTCGGTGTGACGATGTCCATGCAGCGGTCACTACTCCGTCGCCTAGTGCGAAAGCCCAGCATTCACTCACAACCCAGTTATCCAACGGACCTTCTTTGCTCCAAAGGCAGCCAAGCCCGTCTACCCCTCTACCTGGAAAATACGCAAAAATCCAGTTGTCTGTTGGGGATACCGATATCACACTGGGCGGCTCGTAGGTGGAAAGGGCGGACATGATTTGGGTTGGAGAGGGTAAGACAAACTGACGAGAACTGGGAAAATGGCGACCCAGTACGACAGGTTGGAACTCGTGCGCAGTGAATATTACAGACGACTTGCTCCATTGGACCGGTCTTGGGAACAAACTTCGTCAGCTGTCAGCGGTGCGTTGGATGAGATGTTGACTGACCTCCTCGTTTCTTCCAGTGAGTGGCTGAAGTCCCACCATCCATGGTGCCATTGTACACTCTCTTTCGCCTTGCCTTTGGCAGCCAGAGACGACAAGCTCCTTTCGTGCATCTTATTGCGCAGGTTCGGGAGTGTTATTATACCTGTTCACGTTGCCCAGTGATGGGATACCGTGTGGCTAGTTGGTCTTGTCCTGGACGTCGAAGTACTTCGATAGGCCGCTTCGATAGGCTGAGACGTTTGAGGGGTAGCACGCACAGGTGCTCTTCGTATGTTTCCAAAGCACTTACGACCTAAAAGCACGGTTTGAGTGAAGCTAGATGAGAACTCAGAACAGAGGGAGTGTGAGGTTGCTGCCGAAGCAGCGCGGGGAACAAGCGCGCAGTCTCAGATCTCAGATCCATCTCGACGGACGCGTCGCGTGTTTGCGCCCGCGTCTGGCCTCCTACCTTCGTCCTCCACTCAGAACCCACTGCATATCGCCAAAACTATGTTGCAATCATCTACCATAGCACGCACCCTTGACGGCGTGCAGACGGATGTGCTCATCCAGACATTTGCGGACCGCATCATCGTCCTAGTGACCCAGTTGGGCAAGGTCGGAAGTCTGGTGAGTATCGCGTGATCGTGTAGTTTGTTCTGGTCGTCACATACATCTACTAGATTGAGGCCAGCATGCCATCGACTATGCCCCTTCTACCGGCTCCTCCTCCGGACGCAGCGCAGCCAAACGAACGCCCTCTACCTGTGCCTCCACCCTCATTGCAACTCACACCCCTGCTGGGGAGTGCACCGACAGAGCGGATGCAGACGCTTCACTCCCTTTACGCGTCTCAAATTGCCACACTTGTGTGGACGCTGGAGGAGGCCAGTGTCCTGGAGGCCGATAGGCGACCTGTAGTGGTCGGTGTTGCGTTGGCGAAGTCGACGTCGGAGCCTGCCCAGTCATCCGAACTGAGTCCGCATGACCGCACCGTTTTCAGGGGCGTTATGGAAATTGTCAGGGAGCTTCTGGAGAGAAGATGAAGGTGTGGGGTTAGTAAGTGGAAACGAGAGATTCCTAGGGTTTGCACTGAATGAACACTCTGTTGTACAATAAATAACTGACCGCCGCATGCTATCAGCATTCGCACAAGTTATACAGGAATACCTGTCCAATGAACCGTACCACACAGGTGAAGGTTGTCCGTAAGTACATGAATCGCTGGGGCGTCTAGGAAGAGCTTCCCATGGACAGCCATGATAGTGGCTATTTGTTATGCTAGCAAGGTTATGTCGGCGCGTAAGTACATCGCATTGTAGCGGTATAAAACGTAGGGGCAAAAGGTCACGTCTCCCAAGCTACCAGCTCCTAGCCAGACCCGATGCCTATATATATGAGAGGGCTATTACATATGTACGAGCAATTGTTTGCCCTTGTTGTCCGTCTTTCGTCTAACGCTCGTTTTATTAGGAACCACTCGCGATGCGTCTCATCAACATTCGCAATCCTCTACCACCTTTGAGTTCCGAACGAAGAACTATCTTACGAAGGCCTGCCGCCGATTCACTCTGCAGCGCGCGACCACCCCCCCAATCCTCAGCAGTACATCCTCGACACAGTCCCCGGGCCCCAGGCCCTGCGACCTCCCCACCTTCCTATGGTCCTTCTTCGAATGTCTTATCCTCCCAGCGTCCCCCATCGAAAGCTTCATCCTCCTGGCGCCCGTGCGCTAGATGTCTATCCGCGCAGCCTCCCTCCTCGCAAGGTCGAAAAGTCAATCCTCTCGACCCAGGCTCCGTACTACAAGACCAATTTTGGGCGAGCCAATGGATCAAATGGGGCTGGACGCTCCAGGAGTTCATCGCTTCACGATCTGCACAGGCTCCTTGTCTCCTGTACATGGCGAGCCTTCGGTACGAAAGAGAGCTTCGTGGACGTCATCGAAGAGATCACCGGTATCATATCCGCGACTCTCACCGGATTCCGTCAGCGTGGCCATGGTCGGATCGGGTCACGGCGCAGGGAGAAGACCGGGCATACTCATTGATATTCGGGGTCAGCCTACCAACCATTTTTGCGGAGGCAGGCTTCGCCATCATTAGGCTACAGGAGTATGTTACAGCACCGCCGAAGCCGTCGACACCACAAGCCATACAGAGCCGATAAATTACATCCCTCGCGCCGCACCAGCTGTCTCAGCGACGACGCGCTTCGACCGGAGTTTCCAGCATGTGCATGTAGCAAGTCAACATCGACAGCATGCATCCTGTGAATGACATGGCAGTGGAGTGACCGCAAGCGCACGGACGACGTCACAAAACCTGCCATAGCTTAAAGCTTCGAGCTCGGTGAGTGAGCCGAACCGTGCCCCTTCCCTCCACAATTATACGCACCCGCCGCCGAAGGCCAAACAGATTATCAGACCCCCCGGAAACCCAGCAGTGTAACCAGGCAAATGACGACGGTATTCTACGGCGCACTCTTCACCCCAGTGTCGCTCAGAGAGTACCGCACGCTGTCCCACGCGCTGCTCGCGGTCGCGCGCGACTCGGGCGACATTGCGTGGGTCGAGGACGACGTGCACCCGAGCGCGCTGAAAGACACGCTCGCGCGCCACGGGCTCACGGAAGACGTCGACCTCATCGAGCTCAAGCTTGGCGAGTTCCTGATGCCCGGCTTCATCGACACGCACATTGTACGCTCTCCGCCGTCGCGCTAGCGCGGTCTTACTGACATCATTTATAGCACGCACCGCAGGTGCCGAACATGGGGAGGTACGTCTCATTACGAGTGTGCACCCGGGGCTCACACTGGCACTCATCATTCCACGCCGCGCAGTGGCCAGGAGTACGAGCTCCTGGACTGGCTCAACCACGTTACCTTTCCTATGGAGGCGCGCTTCGCGGACGCGGACTTTGCAAAGCGGACGTACACGTCTGCTATCAAGCGTACGATTGACTACGGGGTGCGTCCGTCCGTCTGTACAGGTGATATTGCGCGCGGCGCGGAATGCTTGACGAGGGCCTTTGGATTAGTCGACGACATGTTGCTATTACGGCACGCTGCATCTAAACGGGACGAAAGCCCTCGCGGACGTGATACATACATACGGTGCGTGCATTCCACGCAATCTCCGCAAGCGCAGGTACTGACCCGCCTCCCACAGGGCAGCGAGCATTCGTCGGGGTATGTCAGTTCCCCGCGCGTCCGGTCACCCGCCTGCTCACTAGAATCATGAACCCTCGCATCTCCCCGCTTCGTCCACCTGCCCCGTTGTCAGAAGTGCAACATGGACCGGAATCCTCCCGGCGACAGCTCCGAGCTCTCTGCGGACGCGATCACCGCTCCCACCTACGTCGAACCCTCTGCGAACGCGTCCATCGACGCCACGAACGCGCTCATCAAGTACATCCGCGCGCTGCCGCCACCACCCGGAGGCGCAGAGCCGCTCGTGCGCCCGATCCTCACGCCTCGCTTCGCGCTATCGTGCTCGCACGAGCTGCTCGGAAAGCTGAGAAAGGTCGCCGTGGAAGATCCGGGCCTGCACATCCAGACGCACATCTCGGAAAATGCACGCGAGATCGCGTTAACGCTCGAGCAGTTCCCGCCCGATTCGCTGCCTGCGCCCCCGACGCCGCTCCCAGTGGTGGATGATGTGAACGGCGCGAAGGCAAAGAATGAGGGCGGGACGTATGCGGGCGTGTACGATGCGTTCGGGCTGCTGAGGAAGAACACGGTGCTCGCGCACGCGGTGCACCTCAATGAGGAAGAGGTGGCGATCATCAAGGCAAGGGGGGCAGGCATCAGCCACTGTCCGACGAGCAACTTCAACTTACGCAGCGGGTGCGCGCCCGTCGGGATGCTGCTCGACTATGGTATCAAAGTGCGTCTCGAGCTGCTTCCCGTACGTGCTCCTTCTTACCCCCGCTTGTTCTACAGGTGAGTCTCGGGACGGACGTGTCGGGCGGATTCTCGCCCTCGATCCTCGTCGCCGTGCAGCACGCCAGCATGTGCTCCAAGGTCGTTGCGATGCAGTCGCCCACCCCACCCGACAACACGAGCATGGGCTCCGAAGTCGTTGCGATGCAGTCTTCCAGTACACCCCTCAAGTTCGCCAACCAACAGCTGTCAGTCGCGACGTTGTTCTACCTCGCGACGCAGGGCGGCGCGGACGTGTGCGACATGCGGGACCGCATCGGCTCGCTCGTGTCCGGGAAGGCGTTTGACGCGCTCGTGGTGAGCGTACGCAACGACGCGGGGAACCCGGCGATATGGGGCGTAGACATGGACCCCGAGCTCGGCGTGCGGGACGGGGAGAAGAGCGAGGCGGTCGACCTGGATAACCTCCTGGAGCGGTTCCTGTTCTGCGGGGACGACCGGAACATCCAGCGGGTGTACGTGCAGGGCCGGTTTATCGGCGGGAAGGAGCACACAGCGAAAATGAAGGAGAATTGATATTAGAGATATTCACTGAGATGTGTCGATAGGAAGGCAGGAGTGTCCGCGGTGAAATGCCTCAATATGTACAACGTTTTCCAGACATTGAAGGAGATTCTGCGGTCGAAGAGATCTACATACACCACGCCGACGATTCGCGTTCCAACAACCCGCCTCCCATCCTTTCGCTGACTTCATTCGAGTGACCGTGGCCTACCGGTGGAAATATCAGGCGTTCGATGTAGTCCCCCGCGAACTACCTTCCCCAGAGGGACAGGAGGTATACCGAGCTCATGCACCCACGAGGCGCACTCGTCCTCCTTCGAGGCGGTGTTCGGGGAGTCCAGCTTTGAGCAGGCCGACGAGGTCATCTGCAGCTTCTAGCTCAGGACTCGATGATGCAGGCGTGCCAAACCCGTGGCTCGTTATTCAGCCTCACAGTTGTCGACGCCAGGGATCAGGCGAAGAGGGGCAAGTACTTGGGGACGGAGAATGTTTTTAAGGCGTAGACGCAGAAGTTTCCGATTTACAGCTGGGGCGAAGGAGGGGAAAGAGGAGACGGCCGAGTTGATGGAATCGCTGGACAGTGTGTATCTTTTTCTGGATGATCGTACGGTATTAAGGTGTAAACGCAAGGTGCTATAGGCGCATAGATATTTTGCGCTACTTGACACATGCTATCTACTCAGGTTGTAGGTTGACACGTCTCTCTTTGTTGGTCGCGCCATGTCTCGACCACGCCCTTGCCATCCTTGCCGAATCCCCCGATGACAACCCACAGCTGGCTAACCGTCATCGCGTTGACCTTCTCCACACTCCGTGTCGCTTCGCTCCAGACCTTCGTCGCCTGCAGCTCTCCTTCGTCGTCTCGAGAAATATCGTATGCACTGATGGTGCCCAGCAGCGAGCATGCCACCAGATATCCAGGGTCCCGGAACGCGCTGAGATGGGATGAGCCAATTGCCTTACACGAGACACGACCGGGACACCCACATCGAGACCACGGGCCCGTCCGCGACTTGGAGCCACACGCCTTCGTCTTCCTTGAGGCCTTCCCATTTGCGTGTGCGCTTCTTCTTGGCACCCTGCGAGGCGTGCGGCCGCTTTTCGCCGCCTCCGCCGAGCCAGACTCGCCCGTCGGCCGTGCTGGCGGCAAGGAGGCCGGTGGTGCTGATAGAAATGGACAGTACGAAAGGTGGTGATAGTGAGATTCCTTGACTCGGTGGTGTAGCCGCTGTATTTGCTACGATCAGCAGCCTATCGGACGGGATGAGGATATTGCGCCTCACTGATGTCGAAGCGCGACAGGGTAGATCCTTGCGCGACGTCGAAGTGCAGGAGCGCAGAGTCGTAACCCCCGCTGAGAAGCTCGTTTGGCCGGTCCGGGACGAATTTTACGCAGCCGCAGACCTATTGTAGCCATTAACAGAGGTAGGATGCAAACATGCTGAGCAATACTGACCGTCGTATGAGTAGCACGCATACGCGTGATCTTTTGCGACGATAATTCGATGACTCCTATGGAGCCCGAGTCGGAGCCGAAGGCGAGCTGTTTTCCGTTCTCACTGAGACTGAGCTGGCTGATCGGACTCAAGTAAGAGAGGCCGCAACAACGGATATGTGAGAATGGAACGCGCCTCGTTCAAGACGTCCTCTTCGTCTTCTCCGACTTCCAGGATGGCCGTGGCGTCCTCTATGGACATGATCATTTTGGGGGAGTCTACGGGGAGACAGATGGCCTGGATTTTCGTTCAGAAGAGTCGAGGAGAGGTGGACACGCTTGTACAGACCTTGCGGCCGCTAGCGATCCATACGGTGGCTGGGGTGTCTTTCTTTGTATGCGACCATACAACAGAAGAGATCTCATCACCGAGAGCTTTTACTGCACGCGAGACTTTTCCTGACGGAAGGTCGTACCAACGGACGGTACCGTCATCTGCAGAAATGATTTCAATATGCTTTGAAAAAGCCGCGGTAGGTTATACGTACATGAACCAACACACAGCGCGTCGTTGGGCCCCAGAGACAACGCTGAGACGGCAGACGGCACCGTTATCGTGGACTCCAGAACAGGCGACATCTGTGTATCTTTCAAGTATCTTTCAAGTTTATCGGACTTTGTGGGCTCTGCCGTATTCGATGATCATCGGGATCAAACAAGCAAGCGCCGATAAGGGAACCTCGTCATCGGGTGTGGGCGCTTCGTGGAACTGCGTTCAGTAGATCGGACGCCGCCAGGAACTCCCCCATACTTTATCTCCTTCTCCTCTACGCCCACCATCGGCCCACACTTGACAGGACACAGCGCTAGCCTCCCCCAGAATTACCTTGAATATGCCCCAGGACAACTCGAATGGCGTCAGCGCGACAGAAAACGCGCCCAGATCCTTCTCAGATCTCGAGTCTCTGCTCAAGGATGATATCAAGGTCAAAGTGGCTGGTACGCGTCTTCATATCCTGTGAAGCTCTATTCTCACCTGAAATATCATAGGAATTGACGGTTAGTTGCACCAAGCTTTCCATGCAACTTGACGCGTGAAATCCGACTCATTACTCCACTTAGTCGACGGCGTGCTGAGGGGGAAGTATATGGTAAGGAGTTCATGAACTTGGTCGCGTCACGTAATACTGAATTCACACATTGCATAGTCCAAAGAGAAGTTTCTGAGCGCGGCCAGCTCAGAAGGATTCAACTTCTGCAGTGTCATCTTGTAATGCATTCTGCCCCTGACATGTCCGTGGTGCCCAGGCTGACACTCATTTCCTCTTAGCGGCTGGGACATGCACGACACGGTGTACTCAAAAGAACTGCTCATCTCCAATAGGGCCAATGGTTACCGTGATCTTATCGCATCCATTGATCTGGCTACCTACCGTCGAATCCCCTGGGAGGGCAACGTCCCGTTCTTCTTGGTCTCCTTCCTGGACCCTGATACTAGGGAACCCATATTCGCTGACCCTCGCGGCGTCCTGCGCAGGGTCACGGACAGTGCACAAAGTAAAGGTTGGCGTTGCATTGCCGGTTGCGAATACGAGGTCGGTCGCGATCGCCAACTTGCTTATTCGGTGTACTAACATCGTCATAGTACTTCCAATTCAAAGGTTAGAAGGACGGCCGGGCCGTATCGCTATGCCTGCTCATCCTTCACCCCAGAAACTGCGGAATCGCTTGCGAAGAAGAACTTCAAGGATCTTCAGCCTCTGACTCCCGGCAGTGCGTTATCGCGAGCCGTCCCCGATAGCTTCAATGTTTGACGCTCGGGATATCGCAGTGCACGGATACTCCCTCTTGCGCACTCAGCTGAACAACGAATATTATAATGACTTGTTTGACGAAAGTCTCAAGTTTCAGATCCCTATCGAGGGACACCGTCAGTACACCCGACCTAACATCATTTCCGCGTTCTTACCTATTCGACCTTGTTTAGACACGGAAACGGGACCAGGCGTGTTCGAAACAGCCCTCGCCTACACCGATGCCTTGCGCATGGCCGACAACGCAATCCTTTTCAAGTTCCTCGCCAAGAGCGTGGGCATGAAACGGGGCGTAGTACCGAGCTTTATGGCGAAACCGTGGGGAAATGTGAGCACTTTTCCCCTCTACTAGATTTTTTGACTGACGTGTTCAGCTTCCGGGTTGCAGCGGGTATGTTTAGAAAGCGATCAGTATCTGTGGGACTCGCTAACCACCTACATAGACATATTCATGTCTCCCTGCGAGATGAGAAGGGGAAGGGCATCTTCGCTTTGCCAGAAGATCAAGTGAAGACCGGACGTGCCAATGCACAATACGACGACACGAAGTTCCTCAGCCAGGAAGGGGAGTGGTTCTTGGCAGGCGTCCTTGCCGGCCTGCCCGATAGTACGTCCCGCTACTTCTGACCATTTATGCCGAGCTTACGCTTCGACATCTAGTACTGCCTATGGTTGGTGATGCTGTGCTCACCTCGACCTAACAGCGCGCTAATAATGAATTTTTAACTCGCAGCTCGTCCCTACGATAAACGGGTACAAACGTCTTGTCGGCGGCGAAGCATTCTGGGCACCCAACGCCGTCACCTATGGCTACGACTCGCGCAACGCCTCCGTCCGCATCATCTCCCCGCCCTCGGTCCCGCCCTCTGCGACGCGCCTCGAGATCCGCGTGCCCGGCGCCGACATGAACCCCTACTTCGCCATGAGCGCCATCTTCGCGCTCGGCCTGCGCGGGATCGAGAAGAAGCTGTCGCTCCCCGGCCCTCCCGTCAGCCAGCTGACGCCAGAGGACAAGAAGAGCGGAAAGGTTCGTGGCTTATGCTAGGTACACCCACATCGAACGGTCGGAGCTCATATGTGCACATGCAGGTACAAATGCTGCCCACATCCCTTGAGGCTGCCACAGAGCGCATGATGCGCCCTGACAGCATCGCGCGGGAGGAGTCTGTGTTCGGCAATGACTTCGTGGAGCACTTTGGTGGGACTAGGCAGCACGAGGTGCGTCTGTGGAACGAGGCGGTCACGAACTGGGAAGGTGGGTATTTTATTGTCCTGTGCCGAGATGCGAAGCTCATTCATCCACAGTTGAGAGGTACATTGAGCTGGCCTAGAGCGCTGGACAACGCGAAGTACAAATACATGTATAATACTATCAGCGGCACAATCTCAAGGGAAACATCTGTTTCTTGGTTTGAGGAGTCGACCACCAGAACGTATCAAACAGAAAATCCATCGTATATAACGCAACGATACTGTACACAGCAGGGGGTATAGCGCGAGACTGTCTTGATCTATCCACTTCGATTTAAGCTACAGCACCTGCCGCACCAGGGCCGGCGGCCTGAGCGGCCTGCACAACTTCTGCGGGGACCGCAGCCGTCGTGGACGGCGCTGCCTCTCCGGGCACCGCGGGTGCTTCTGCAGGGACCTCTTCCTTACCCTTCTGCGAATGCAGCCACTCGAGAAAATGCGCGACGTCCTGTCCAAGTGACCTGTCAGGATACCTATCCGGGTGCGAATGCGTGCGCCTACCTTTGAAATTGTGCTGGCCATGGACGACTCGACGACGAACTGCGGGATCTTCCCGCCGGGGGTGCTGGAGGTCGCCATGCGCCACTCGACCTTGCCGTTCTCGAGCTCCTGCAGGCGCTCGACGCTCACGTAGCGGCCCTTGACGCCGCTCTCCTCCAGCTTGGCGTAGTCTGCATTGTCCGAGACGTCGACCGGGAGCGAGACGATGAGCCTGACCCCTTTGGGATGAGTATCTCGCCCGGGAAGAATGAGCGGGACAAACGTACCCGGTCCTGGGCGAGTCGGTGCTGAGCCAGGTCGTCTGGACGACCGTGAAGACGCGCGGGGAGACGGGCGGCGGGAAGTGGTAGAAGAGCGTCCACACGGACTGGGTGTCCGAGATGCGCTTGATCAACGTTACTTTCTTGATCTCCGGGATGTACCTGCAGGAGAGTAGCACGCTCAGCATCCACCCCAAAAGGCTGCATTGGAAGGAGATGGCGCGGCACTCACTGCATCTCGTTCTCTGCTTTGTCCTGGCCGAGCTTGCTCCAGAACTGGTCGAAGGTCGCGTCCTCCTTCGCGTGCTCGCTCACGCGGCAGAACCAGCCCGCGCCATCCTTCGGGCCCTTGGAGCGCGAGGAGGTCTTTACGGTGTTGTGCTGGTAGACCTTGCCCTGCTTCCAGGACGCGGTGCTCTCGAGGAGCTCCTTGCCGGCCTTGATGATCTCGTCTTCGGCAGGGATCTCTGCAGCGGGGGTTGGTGGCAAGCGGCGGCGGCACTACAAAGCAAGGACGTACCCGCGCTCTTTACCGGAGTAATCGATAGATACAGACTCGACTCAGACATGATCACAGAGGAATGGCTCAGGGTCTCGGTGGTCTGTTGGTTGTCTGTGAGAGAGTCTGCTTGGCCCAAATGGGCTGCGCGAGGAGTTCATGACCGTGTGGACGGACGGATTAGCACTCTATTCTTAGTTCACCCACGCTCGCTGTCTCCTATGTCAACCGAATACGATGCCATATATAACGCAAACACAGCAGGGCCAGTCTGATCAGGGGAAGAGTGGAGGTGCGGTGCTTGAGGCTGGTGCAGAGCGGCATACATAATCGAGCGGATCGGACTCAGTCACTGGCATCGATGCCGTTCCTCGGAGTCTCGGACCCTGCTCGGACCCTCGAGCTTTCTGCCCGCGACCTCCACCACATCTGCTGCGCCCTGCACTCGTTTGTCCCGACGGCACCACACGTCCCTTGTCGCATCCCGCGCGCCGTGCCGGACCCTAATACGCAAGCTAGAAATGGCAAGGCGCATGCTCTGGGCATCACCGCCCCTGCAGCATGGCTTGCCACGGTCCACCACGCCTCCTGGGGCCGCTTGACGTATCAGAAGCAGGGAAAGGAGTCATGTTGGAACCACAAATGCAGTAGCAAGGTTACCATGTGGGGCACAGCTTCGTGGTGGTATGATATTAGGGTGCTCGGGGCCAGATCCTGGCAAGACGGCGTCAAACACCTTACGTCCAACTTGTACTCTCCCACCTCGAGGCTCGCGCGCACACGCTATGGCGACTGCGGTTGTCCCCTCAATGCCCGACGTCGTCGACCGCGCGCAGACGAGCTCGGTGGACGAGGACACGCCCCGGTTGACCCTCGGGCACCTGTTGCACCCTGAGCACTGGGAACTCCCGCACTGGAACGGGCCGCGGTGAGTGCAATCACTGGTTGATAGCGTGGCGCGGTACTCATACACCGATATCTGGGTTGTGCTATCCTTAGTGCTCACGAGCTCGAGGGCATCACAGAGAAGGTCAGTTCAGATTCCAGTGCACAGACACGGTTCACTGCATACTGAGGCGGAGTTCGTATAGCTGGACGTCCTGGATCATTCGGTCGCACTACTCAAGCGGTACCGCAACAGCCTTCGCCCCATCCACAAATTATCTCCCGACATACTTGCCCTCATCTTCCTTGAGCTCGTGGATGATGAGGACAACCCCCTCGGCGGGCAATTCGGCGCGTTCTCATGGACCTACCTCGCACACATATGCTACCGTTGGCGCGCCATAGCGCTTGATTGCGCCGCCCTATGGACACAATTGAGCACGCGCTACCCCGAAGCCGCGCTGACCTGCTTGGAACGCTCTGGCGACGCGCCACTGTCCTTCGTCGTCCACTACCGTGCTACCGTTAGCAATGCGAAGGCGCTCATCGACCGCGTCCGCCCGCATATGTACCGCATGCGCCACCTTTACGTCCCGTGGACCGCCGTGAACGACGACAGTGGCAATATCACGGAGCTGCTCTCCTCCCTCCTCGACGCAGACGCGCCTCAGCTCGAGACATTCTACGTGTACCGCTTCAGGGCCGACGGTGCTTGTTTCACGCTTCCGACCGTCTTTGGTGGCCACACGCCTCGCCTGCGCGTTCTGAAGCTGGCGTACTCCTGCCCCCACATGGGCTGCGTTTCGTTCTCAAACCTGAGGGAGCTCTTCATCCGAGGCAGGAAGCGCCACGCAATCACCATGGAGCTAGCACGCTTGCTAGAGATGCTGGAAGCGTGTCCCTTGCTGGAAGTCCTCGTTACGGTCAAGTCGAGCTTCGTTATCACGGAGCCCCTTGAGCTTGAACAGGACGGAGAGCCGCTCCGCCAAATCCGACTCGACAACCTGCGGCGGCTCGACATCTCGCGCTGCGCGGCGTCCGTTGCGGCGACCCTGCTTAGCCGGCTCATCGTGCCGAACTGCCAGCTCTCCATGAGTGTGTGGCTGGAGCGCGGGAGCGACTTCCGCTTCCTCTTCGGCGTGCCTGTCGACCTATGCGCGGACCACCCGCTGCGCGACATCCGCAAGCTGCAGGTCGCGTACCGTAGCTCGGGCTCGGCCGTCGTCCTGGACGGCAGCACGCGCGCGCACCCGTTCCAGATCACGGCGACAATCGGGCAGGGCAGCAACATCGGGGACATGCCGACAATGTCGGGCCCGCTGCTGCTCTCAATCGCGAAGACGCTCGACCTTTCGCTGCTCGAGGAGTTCACGATCGCGGAGACGTCGTACTACCACCCACACGTCGGATTCTCGAAGGATCTCTGGGTGCAGGTGCTCGCGCGCATGCCGATCCTGCGCACGTTGCACATCCGCCTCCAGAGCATCACCGACAGCGGGTTCTGCAGAGTCGTGCTCTCCGCGCTGTCTGCTACGGAGGAGTTCACGGGCCGGATCGTGTGCCCGAGTCTGGAGACGATCACGCTCATGGAAGACCGGACGTGGTCGTCGCTGCAGTGGTACAAGTTTGCGAAGGCGCGGAAGGAGCAGGGCCACCAGCTCCGCCGGCTGTCGCTGTGCTTGCCGCACTATGAGAACGTGGAGGATATGGCGGAGACGGACCTGGCGGAGCTCAGGGAGGTGGTGGAGAATGTCGATCTCGACCCTCCGGAAACGCCTCAGGTCGAGTTCCCGGCTGCGGCGTGGTGAACGTAGAGGATGTCGTGCGTTCGGATTCAGACTGCTGGATGGAATATGTGTATATTAGTCAACTGCTGCCGCGTGCGTGCTCGTCTCGCTAGTGCTTCCCCGTGTATACTATACTTCGGAACCTGATGCGTCCTCGAAATGTGATTATGATATTAGTTACAGTGTACCGTGGGTGTGTACGTTACACGTTTTGAAATGAATGTTCCGCGCAACGAAGCAGGAAGACGGAGGGCAAGCAAGATGGTGCAACGGGGGAAGGGAATCCCGTCATGATGGCGTCGCCTCTGCAGCGGCCTCTTTCTTGAACGCATTGAGGTCTACGAGGCCGAAGAAGCGACTGCGGCCAAGAGTGACGTCGTCGCGAGGGAGCTTCTCGCCCTTGTTCAGGACCACGCCGATGTACTTGCGGTCCTTGCGCGAGCCTGGGATCTTGTAAAAGCGCACGTAGCCAGGGACCATAGCGTAGAGCGTGTGGTCGCGACCCATCTTGACCTGGACAATGCATCAGTGGTTCAGGACGCGGCGTACTACGAAGTTGCTGCGTATTGTTACGCACATGTTGGCCCGGGTGGAAAACCGTGCCTCGCTGGCGGACAAGGATATTTCCGGGAATGACATATTCGTCTGGAGCAGCTTCGTGAGTTTCGGTCTCGAACGGGAAACGACGCGGCACGCACCAGAGAACTTCTTCACACCCAGACGCTTTCCGGGGGAGCCACCATGGTTGGCCACCGTCCCTCCAGCACGCTTTGTGGCCGTACGGACAGAGCCAAGCCCTATCCGGATACCAAGCACGGTCAGGGAGGGTTTCGAATACAAGAACAAATGAAACACATACCGGCTGGCCTGAACGGATTTCTCAGCAGGTCCGCGCACCGCCAAAGGCCTTGGAGTGACATGCTGTGTTATTGTCCGCTGTGGCCAGAGAACAACGAGGGATAGACGGGGAAGGACCGTGCGGAGGAGAGAGAGAACTATGCACTGGCCCTGCCGTTGTGCCACCGCGCGGAGACGCTGGCTTATATAAGCCAATTTGAGGGCCTACTTGGACTCGATCTCGCACCGCTCCCTTCATCAAACCACCATCGTCCACCCTCCGTCCCCACTCTCCCCTACACCTTGCACACCATGGTTCTTCTTGTGACTTCTGACAACGAGCAGTTCGTCGTTGACAAGGAAGTAGCGGAGCGCAGTGTCCTGATTAAGAACATGCTCGAGGGTGCGTGTGCCCGCCACTGCGCCCCCATAAGCGCGACTAACCTTGTTCGCTTTCGCAGATGTTGGCGAGAGCGACCAGCCCATCCCTCTTCCCAACGTCTCCTCGAGTGTCCTCAAGAAGGTACGCGCGTTTTGCAGCGGTTTGGAAGTGATGTTCACCGACGCCACACAGGTCCTCGAGTACTGTGAGCACCACCGGGGAGAGCCCCTGCCCGCTGCGGATGCCGAGCAGAGCCAGGACGAGACCCGCAAGCGGACGACCGACATCAGCGAGTGGGACCAGAAGTTCATCACCGTCGATCAGGAGATGCTCTTCGAAATCATCCTCGCCGCCAACTACCTCGACATCAAGCCCCTCCTGTGAGTGTCGGTGGCGCGCATTATCATCTCACAGCTGCTCACGTTCGTGCCACAGCGATGTCGGCTGCAAGACGGTCGCGAACATGATCAAGGGTAAGACCCCCGAGGAGATCCGCAAGCTCTTCAACATCGTGAACGACTTCACGCCCGAGGAGGAGGTACGTCCATTGTTCGCTCTTTTTGTCGCGTTGCCTCACACGTTCTCTCTCCACAGGCCCAGATCAAGAAGGAAAACGTAAGTCATGTGCTGATGCGCCTCAATGACTACACGCTGACGATCTGCTGCTTTCTAGGAATGGGCTGAGGACCGCTAGAATGACGAAGGAACTGGAGGCGTATCTCGTCGTTTATCGTTGCGCGCTGTGTACATGTTTTCCGACTCATCTTCTGTATTCATATCGCATGGGAAACCATCATGAAATCCACTGACTCCTCTCCTCTCCTCGTGCCCGAACTGCGCGCGTATAAGGCAACGCGTATCGTCCCTCGCCGCAGCGTGCGCGTCTTGCGACTCGTTTTGCTCCGGTACCGCGTCACGTCCTTTGTCAATGTGTGACGGCCGGGTGACTGATCGCGGTCTAGCAGCACGTGCTGTGTCACAGACGTGGACCGGTTTGGGCGGGTGGCGGTCGCTGCTTGCCACTTATCCAGCTGCTTTCTGTGTCTCACTCTCCCGGGTCCCTCTTGTTCTGCTACCATCACCATGCCTCGAATACCAGACCTCCCTGGAATACCTGTCGCTCACGGCACACCGCAAGAGCAATGGCTCAAGCGATATGTGGCCGGTCTATGCGGTCTTGACCATGAACGGTATGTGGCGGAGCCTGCATACACTTCGATCGCTTCACAAAGTGCCCCGTTACGTTAGCTTTCCGGGTGCACAGCCCGTCAGCTTTGCTGCCAAAGACCTGGAGAAACTGGAGAAGCACGAGTACGTGGTGCCACAACGTCGCGCTTTTCGGCTGGAACTGAACGGTGTTCACGCTATTCGCGTCGCAGTTTCTGGGTGGCGGAGAAATCAGATGGCATTCGCGTCCTCCTCTTTGTGCACACCGATATCAATACCATGGACCAGATGGTGTACCTGGTGAGCTGCGGTACCCTTGGATAGATATTTCATGTGCTGTGGCGTTCTTACACCTTTGCCTTAACTGGTAGATTGACCGTCACAACACATACCGCCAGCTCAATGGCCTGTACTTCGCACACCACGAAGACCCACGACGGCCGTTACGTAGCTCGATCGTTGATGGTGAGCTCGTATATGACGTCGATCCTCGTAGCAAACAGGTTTGTGCATGCACTTTTGGCTCCCTTTTATCCGCCTTACCCATGGGTTTGCTCTAGGAAACGCTGCGCTTCCTGGCGTTTGACTGCCTAGTTGTCGACGACCAGAACGTCATGGACCGAACCCTGGACAAGCGATATGGGGTATACCTCGTCCCTTTTGTACCATTCGTTCTCGTGATCCTCATAGCGGTGCTTTGTCACAGCGACTACAAGCGTGGATGTACAAGCCCTTCCAGAAGATGCTGCACGACCATCCGCACGTGGCCATGTCGCAACCGTTCGAGTGCGTGCGCGCAAATGAACGCGAGAAAATGCAACGCTGACCTCTCGTGCGCGCAGCTTCAAGGTCAAGGACGTCAAGCCCTCGTACCGCGTCGAGGACGTGTTCAACATCGACATCCCGCGCCTGCAGCATGGGAACGACGGGCTCATCTACACTTGCGTGAGCACGCCATATGTGCCCGGAACGGATCCAAACATGTACGCTCTTCCCCTTCCTTCCTCGTCTAGCGAAGGTCCGCCCGTGCTCACGCAACCCGCGCTATTCATAGTTTGAAGTGGAAGCCGCCGTCGGAGAACTCGATCGACTTCAAGCTCGCGCTGCGCTTCCCGCCCACGCCCGGAAAGCCCATGGTGCCCGACTTCCAGATAAAGCCCATCTTCGAGCTGCACGTCTGGTGCGGGGACGACCGCGGCAAGCCGCGGTACGAGCTCTACGATGTCATGCATGTCGAGGACGACGAGTGGGAAAAGTATGTTTGTGCAGACAATTTGTCGGAATTTGCACTGATGGCTGCACGTGCGCCAGAATGAAAACGTCGAACGAGCAACTCGACGACCGCATCGTGGAGGTGCACTGGGACAGCGACGGCGAGCACTGGCGCATGATGCGCTTCCGCGGCGACAAGCCGAACGGGAACCACAAGTCCGTCGTCGACAACATCATCAAGAGCATCGCGGACGGGATCGAGAAGGACGTCGTACGTCCCCGCCCCCTCCTCGCCCGAGTCCCCCCCACTCACCCGCGTAATATTCGCAGCTCCTCGCGCGCTCGGCGGCGATCCGGAATAACTGGAAGATGCGCCAGGGCGCGCCGACCGGCCCCGCGCCCGCACCGCAGAAACCACACGCGCTCCCAGCAAAGCCGCTGCCGCTCCCGCCGCCAACAGCAGCGTCGCTCCCGCCCAGGCCCCCACAGCTCGCGGACGTGCCGCCCGCCGAGGCGCGCTACGGCCCCCTTGCAACGTCGCGCTGGAGCAAGGTGACCGGGCCCGAGATGGTCGCGGGCATGTACAGGTGAACGCACGCTCTGGCCTTACAGACGGGCGCGGTTTGGCCGGTGGACGCAGAAAGCAGAGACAGCGGCGGAGCCCTTCAAGAGGTCTTTGGCCGGGCATGGTGCGCCCCCTCCACCTCCGGCGTCGCGCATCCAGCCCATAGTGTATGCGAAGGGCAGGCCCGGAGGTGCCGCAGGGAGGGGGTGCAGCTACTTGCGGCCAATTGGATGGGCCGTAGGGAGTCCACCTCGACGCAGACGGTTGGAGGAAGCTTGGGCACACGCAGGAGACGTCGGGCGGGCAGTTGCTACAACACCATCATCGATTCAGGCCCTGCGCCCGCCCCGGCAGACGCAGGCCTGTGTCTCTGTACGTATGTACATCGGCAGCGAGACCGCTATGTATGTAGCGTACACAGCAGCGCTAATAAGCCTCCTCCACGGAGGGCTTTTACGGGAATACGTATCTGGGGGGAGTGTTGGGTAGGGGGGTACTGGGTGGGGAGGTAAGAGTCGTAAAAAGGTCATCAGCAGTGGATCATCATCATCATCACGTATAAGAGGGGAAGCTCGGACGGGCCGTCGGCGGGGGAGGGGACGCCGTACGTGCGCGCCGGAGGGGGTGGGACAGGAAAGCAAACGAGTACTAATGCACCAACGCGGGAGACAGCACGATCGCGGCGATCGAGAGAGGAATGCATGTCTAGTCGTTACAGAGTGTGGGGAGGGTGGATCTCACGACACGGAAGAACGGAAACACGAAACAAGCGCAGCGGACATGTACTGGACAGGGGGACACGGACACGGGACACGAAACACAAACAAGGTACGGGCCGACGCGGAGGGCTCAGAACAAATAGAGAGCGCGCACGCGTAATCGCAGGGGGTGGGACAACTACAGAACAGGTAGGAGGAGCCGGGGCGCGTAGTTTTCGCCACGTCGTCGCGGTCGTCCTGGGGGCAAAGCAAGAGCGGGGACGCGGATGGGCCGGGGGCCAAGCGTGGGCGTGAGCGTCGTAGACGGAGACGTGGTGGGCTCGTGAGGCGCGGGCGGGGACCGCGGCGTGAACGTGGGGCGTGGTACGGAACGTTGCATTGCGCGGGACGTGAACGTGAAGTGGGGGGCGGTGAACGGCGCGTGTAAATGTGGTGAAACAAGATGCAAGAGTACACTGTCCGGGAGATGATGTAGAGAGAGAATGAGAAGCATGCGCGGCAACCGCCTGCGCGGTGCCTGGTGTGAGAGAGGACAGACGTACAAGGGTGGTGGTGGGACAGTAGGCGGGATGTGAGCCAGACAAGAGGCAAGAGGACCGGGGCCGACCAACTCAATGGCCTACCTCGCAGTGCCTTGCGCTAGCGTGGCAGGCGATCCAACGACCTTGGGGAAGTGGGAATGTGAGAGGCCGCGTGGACAACCAAGGGCCCGTGGTGGGAGGATAGAATGAGCCAGGGGAAACAAGAGGATGTGGCCTTCGCCTTTTCTTCATCCGCGATCTTACACCTTGCTCTCCATCGGTCCACATTGGGAGAGCGCTCCGCGGCATGCACCTCAGTAAAAGAGGTCGTCCATCTCGTTGTCTTCCATTGTAGACGAGAAGAAAGGCGGGGGCGAGGGGACGATGTCGCCAAACCGATCGTCGCCAGACCGGGAGGTGGACAGACGGAACTCAACCGCGGAGTAGCTCACAGAGCGCGCGACCATGGACGATGCGCGCGCATTGGTAGGACGGCGGGGTGCCAGGCTGGGCGCGAATGCGGGTGGGTGGACGGGCATGTCGGGCCGCAGGACGTCCATGTAGGTCGGGAGAGTGAAGAGCGAGTCTGCTGGAGAGCTCTCGACCGACGATTGCGACGATACCGACGCGTGCCTACGCAGGGGTGTCCGTGGCGCAACGGAGAGGGACGCGAATTGGGGCAGGGGCGACATGGACTGTGAGAGAAAAATAAGGTGCCTGGTTGTCAGTCTCGCGAGCGGTGGCGTGCGAGGGGTCTCATGAACAGACCTCCGGATAGCCCATCCCAAACGAGTCGTCATCCGTAGAGACGTCCCACAGGGGGCTTGAGAGGAGATCGTCGCCCTCGAAGCCGCCCATAGCCGAGCCTGCGCTGATAGCGGCGGCAGGGGCCGCCACAGGGGGCGGGATCGCGACGTCGTCCTCTGGGAGGACGTTCGGCGCACCGTGACGAAGCTGCACGTTCTCTGCCGCACCCTGGTCATCCGAGTCCTCCTCCGTACCCACGGGGTCAGCGACAAAGTCGCGCTGAGTGTCGTGAACGAGCCACCAGTCGATGTCGGCGAGAACACGGCGGCTGCCGGTGTCCGAACCCGACGACCTGCGGGGCTGGGGATTGGCAGCACGCGTAGCGTGGACATTCGCGTTCGCGGAGGACGAGGGGTAGGCGTAGGGAGAGGACCTGACAGAAGGGGAAGAAAGGGTGCGGCGAAGAGACGGCATGGCGACGTCGGGGGACGAGGACGGGGGCGAGGGGACCGGGTGCGACGAGGAGGTTGGTGGAGGGGGCGAGCACGAAGAAGCCGAGGGTATAGGTCGACGACGACGGCTGCCTGGCGCAGACAGGGGGCGAGCTGAGAGCCAGGCGGGGTATATAAAGATTTTGGTACGTGGGCAATCGGATGTGAAGGGTGAAGGAACGCCGGCCTGCAGAGCGCTAGTCCATCATTCGCGCCTTCAACGTCCGCAGCCATGCAGCCGCTACTGCCTCCGCCCACAACATACACACCCCATCCTCTCCATTGCGAGCTCGCCTGGAACGCCTCCCTCTGTCTTTCCTCCCAGAACATACGGAATGCAGGTGCGCTCGGCTGCCCGCATGGTGGGCCCACCGAGACCGCGGACGACCCCCTACCGCCGCCCACGTCATGGCCCTGATCTCTCCAGCTGCACAGCGACCGGGTGATCCCCCTCGCCATCCGCACCCAGCGACTGTGCACCAGCTCTTCCTCGTGCACGAACATCGCGCGTTCACAAGTGATCTGCCCTTGCTGCTCCACCCACACAGTTGCGTGCCTACCTTGACACTCTCCTCCGGAATACAACGCACCTTGAACCCCGCACCCAATCGCGTCGTCGCAAGCAACGGCCGCTCTTGTCCGTCGACGCCTTCTTCCCCGCCTCTCCCGCATCCTTCTTGTTTCCTCGAAAGCACAATGTATCCTAATCAGAGGCCCTTCTTTTCCCCTTCCAGCCTCTCGCTTACTGAACCTTCTAGCCCGCTACCTCCGCACTCAACGCCACACGATCAAGTAGCCGGGACGTTGCCAGCGCGAGCAGCATCTCCACCAAGCACTCCGCGCACGCCGGCTCTTCCTACTGCCAGGAACACTGCGAATGTGGTGCATATCGCCGACATTTGAGAGACCTTTACGCGTGCGGAATCGGGCTCTGATGCGCTCGCCTCAAACGTCACTTCGCAGCCATGTGCTTTTGCCAAGTGTGAGACGCCGTTCCTCGCAGCCACAGACGCGTCCCCCGCGCTCCCGACGCGTCTTTGCTCATCTTCGACGCGTCTTCCGTCACGAACACCCACCGCAACTCCCTTGTGAATGTTCCAGAGGCAAAGAACGCGTCGCATCAGGGCGCGCGGTGCGTTTCAGTGCGCGAACACCCTGTCTTATCCGTGAGACCACGGACCGGCTCGGTCATTCACCCCACCATTCGCGTCGACGCCGCCTTCCATACTGATGGCGCGCACACGCTGTTCGCCCCGGTACACGTCGGCGCGACCGCTGCCTGTCGTCTTCTGGCGCCAGATGGCAGAACGGGCGTCGGACCTGCCATGCGGGGCCTCGCACGCGATGACGACCAGCTGCCTTCGTGATCTCCATGCCCGGTCCCGGGCAGATTCGCAAGGCACGGAGCCGCGATGCCTTCCCTGACAGACGCGGGATGCAGACACAAGTAGACTCTCGGAGTGGGGTCTCTCCACAGCGCGTTCTCTACCAATGCAGGGAGGCACTTTCTATCGCCGGACGCTAGTGTGTGCATTATCAGACATGCGGCATGATTTATGGTGCGCCCAGTGCACCCCGCGCAGCTGTTGCTGATGGTCGTATATGGCATGGCGCCAGCGGTGCCTTCCCGATGTCATGCCGCTATGCAGGCTCGTGGACGCCGGGCCATATTCCCTGGCCGGGTGTGGGGGTGTCAGCCCCACTTCCAAATTCCCAGTTTCATCACGCGCATTAGTTGTCAGGCACGGTGCGGTAGAGCCTGTGCTCGGGCTTGACGGACGGCTGGGCCACGGATTGCCGGTGTCTTACTGTGCGCGCACTGGATATAAATATGTGGCGCTTTTGAGGGATCGCATCGAAGGGTTGAGAGACCCGGTCGTCTTCCTTCAGGTTGTCACATCTAGCGTTGTGCGGGTGATGCGGCCAATATCCCCTTGCTCGGGTGTGAAGCGCTAGAGCTTGCATGGTATGTAATGGATTATTGTAAGTATGTGTTGATTGTACTGATGATTCACTTGGCAGTGGCTCGAAACATAATCGTTTGCTCTCTTGATCATTGATGTACTTCCTACAGCTTCTTCGGAAGGACCCATACATGCGTGGAAGGTGTAGTACGTTTGAGCCAGACTTCACTATGCTTGGCTGAATGCAAAATACGCGCTACTGGTAGAGAGAGGTACTTTCATTGCTCGCTGATTTTTAAAAGTGTGGGACTCGCGAAGCGGCTGCAGATTTTGGAGAGTCTTCTCTTGGATCCCATCACGGTGTTGTGGCATGTATGGGCCAACAGGCCCCGAGATAACTAAGGTTTACGTAGAATGCAGCGGTCGTGTGCCATACCCTACCACGCGCAATCAATCCACCGTCACCTAAAACTGCTCAGTTGGCACAGAAGTACCAGCTTCTCTTCCACCGGAATGAACGTATGCACCAATGTCGCTGTGTGTGAAGCGGGGGCCGCTATCTACGCGTTCCTACTTAGATACCATAACGGGACGATGCGCGCACGGAGCGCCCGTCGGGGAGGCGCGCCTGTCCCGATCGGGCTCGACGATCCGGGCGTCGCGCGGCGCGCGGAGGGCGTGGCCCGCGAGTCTGTGGCTGATACGCATCCGTCGCCACAGACAGCCGTGCGCCCGCCTTATCACGCCCTGCATCCTGCCTCCATTCCACCTCCTGCGCTCTGCCAGCACATACTACGCACCCAACGCTAGCCAAATAGACTCCCTGAACACACTGCAGTGAAACTAGGCAAATGACGACGGTATTCTATGGCGCGCTCATCACCCCGGTCTCGCTCACGGAGCACCGCACACTGCCGCATGCGCTGCTCGCGGTCGCGCGCGACACGGGAGACATCGCGTGGGTCGAGGACGACGTGCACCCGAGCGCGCTGCAGGATGCGCTCGCGCGCCACGGGCTCGGCGCGGAGGACGTCGACCTCGTCGAGCTCAAGCTCGGCGAGTTCCTGATGCCCGGCTTCATCGACACGCACATCGTACGTTCCCCGCCCTCGCGCTAAAGCCAGCGCGGTCTGACTTACGCCGTGTGCAGCACGCACCGCAGGTGCCGAACATCGGGAGGTGCGTCTCATTACGAGTGTGCGCTGCCGGGGGTTCACGCGGGCACTCATCATCCCGCGCCGCGTAGTGGCCAGCAGTACGAGCTCCTGGACTGGCTCGACCACGTCACGTTTCCGATGGAGGCGCGCTTCGCGGACGCGGACTTTGCACGGCGGACGTACACGTCTGTGATCAAGCGTACGATTGACTACGGGGTGCGTCTGCCCCTCCGAGCATGTAATGATGCGCGCGGCGCCGGATGCTTAACGAGGACTCTTCGAACAGTCGACGACATGTTGCTATTACGGCACGCTGCATCTGGACGGCACAACGGCCCTCGCGGACGTGATACATGCATACGGTGCGTGCATGCCCCGCAACCCCCGCAAGCGCAAGTACTGACCCCGCCTCCCACAGGGCAGCGAGCATTCGTCGGGGTGCGTCAGTTCCCCGCGCGCCCGCTCACCCGCCTGCTCACCTGAATCATGCACCCCCGCATCTCCCCGATTCGCCCACCCTCCCGGCTGTCAGAAATGTAACATGGACCGGAACTCGCCCGATTACTACGTCGAGCCCTCCGCGGACGCGTCCATCGCCGCCACGCACGCGCTCATCAAGCACATCCGCGCGCTCCCCCCGCCACCAGGCGGCGCAGAACCACTCGTGCGCCCGATCCTCACGCCGCGCTTCGCGATCTCGTGCTCGCACGAGCTGCTCGGGAAGCTGGGGACGCTCGCGCAGGCGGACCCGGGCCTGCACATCCAGACGCACATCTCGGAGAACGCGGGCGAGATCGCGTTCACGCGCGAGCTGTTCCCGCCCGACTCGCTGCCCGCGCCGCCGAGGCCGCTCCCGGCGGTGAACGGGGCGGGGGCGAAGAGCGGGGGCGGGACGTACGCGGGCGTGTATGATGCGTTCGGGTTGTTGAGGGAGAATACGGTGCTTGCGCATGCGGTGCATCTCGATGAGGAGGAGGTGGCGATCATCAAGGCGAGGGGGGCGGGCATCAGCCACTGTCCGACGAGCAACTTCAACTTGAGAAGCGGGTGTGCACGCGTCGGGATGCTGCTCGACCACGGCATTAAAGTAGGTCCCCGATTCATTTGCTGTATACACTTCTCTGACGACCGCGTGTTCTGCAGGTGAGTCTCGGGACGGACGTGTCGGGCGGTTTCTCGCCCTCAATCCTCGCCGCCATGCAACACGCGAGTATGTGCTCCAAGGTCGTCGCGATGCAGTCGCCCAGTCCACCGCCCAACACGCGCTTCACCGACCGACAGCTACCGATCGCGACGTTGCTCTATCTCGCAACACAGGGCGGCGCGGACGTGTGCGACATGCGGGACCGTGTGGGTTCGCTCGCGCCCGGGAAGGCGTTCGACGCGCTTGTGGTGAGTGTGCGCAGCGACGCGGGGAACCCGGCGACGTGGGGCGTGGACATGGACCTCGAGCTCGGCGTGCGGGACGGGGGCAAGAGTGAGGAGGTCGAGCTGGAGAACTTCCTGGAGCGGTTCTTGTTTTGTGGAGACGACCGGAACATCAGGCGGGTGTACGTGCAGGGCCGGTTTATTGGCGGGAAGGAGCACAGAGCGTAGCTCGAAGGAGAATTGGATAATCACAGAAGTGCGTCGAGATGAAGACGGGCGCGCCCGTGGTGAAGTACATTGACATCTACCACGCTATCCAAACATTCAAGGAGAGTGATGCATTGTCCAGCAATATTTCACCTCGCCTCCTAGGGGCGCTTGCGCGTCCAATTCCTTGCTCATTGGCATATAGTCGGCCTTGAAGCTTGAAGTCTAGGTCTGTGGCACAAACAGCAAGCGTGCTGTTAACGGGGTCCATTACCAGCAAGCTTGTGTATACATGAGTGGCTACGGCGGTCCGTCGTCGTACAAGTGAGTCGTGGGTGAATCCTATGAACATGATTGATACGGAGTATAGCAGAGCAGCGCAATACCGCGACAGTCTATCGATATGAAAGCGAGTCCCCTTGAGATAGTGAAGTGTATCTACATCTACAACGCCATCCCAACATTGAAGAAAAGGCACACACTGTCCGGCGATTCCATTAACTCGGCCGTCTCCTCTTTCGCCTCCTTCGCCAGCTGCATATCGGAAATTTCTGCCTCTACGCCTCTGAGAACATTTTCCGTGCGCATGTACTTGTCCTTCTTCGCCTTGTCTCTGATGTCGACGACTGTGAGACTGAGAAGCGAGCCGCTGGATTGGCACGTTTGCATGGTCAGGCGGAGGTTGTAGATGACCTCGTTGGCCCACTCGATGCTGAACTCCTTGAACGCCTCGAAGGAGGACGAGTGTGCCTTGTGCGTCCAGGAAGCGACGTGCATCGATGGGTTGTGGAAGATATTAAACTGCGAGTTCGGGAACCCCTTTGGGGGATGTAATTCGCGAGGCACTACATAGCGCGTCTGAGATCGCCATCGGTAGGCCACGGTAACCCGTATGAGCGCGTCGCCGCTCTCGCAGGAGCATGGCCCCGCCGTGATGTGGATATGCAAACGGCGGTTGGCGAGGTGAAAGACGCGCGTTTTGAGGGAGGATGTCTTCCCAGATGTTCGCGCGCAGATAGTCGTCGGCCAACTGTCCTCGACGAGAACGAATCCTTCGCATTCGAGCACAGACCGGCACCAAGGCGTAAGCCTGACGTCGAACAGCTCCTGGGGGTCGGTGCTCTGCGCGAGACCGACGAGCGAGAGGATGGGTGGGGGGTTGTTGGACCGCGAACCGTCGGCGTGGTGTATGTAGATCTCCTCGACCGTGATGCGAGAACGGTTAGATTCGATCCACTGGCGGGGGATGGTCGCTATACGGTAAAGATAGCGTGCCCCTCCTTCGACGTCGTCGAACCCTACTTTGAACTCTCGGCGCACAGTGTCCTGGGGTCTCAGGAGGAGCGCCATCACGCGCCCCTTCGAGTCGACGCAGCCCAGTAGAGCCATAGCGAACTTGACTGGGGTCTTGCTAGTCGCGATATCGGCTCGCCACCACATGAGAGGAAGTCTGGCGTGGACTCCATAGCAGGTGTGTGTGTATTCCGGAAGCGGGAGGTCCGGTCTCTTCAAGAGCCCCGCGAGCCACTGGTGAGGCATGACTTGTAGCTGATCTGATGCAGTGCTTTCATCTGGATCCCAGGAGAGTCGTTGGAATTCGGCGGGCGAGGCGGCGAAAAGCGACGAATTCGATGGCAGGTGGAATGGGCGCCCTCCCAAGCCGGAGAAGTGTCTCGCAGCGTCCCGCGTGGGCCTCCGAATGAGCGAGGGGAATCGTAGCACGCTCCGGCGGGGCCGCTCCGTACTCTGTGTGAGCGCGCGTCCCCAGATGAACAGAGTTTCGTCTGGTACGCGTTTGAGGATTTCCTCCTGGAGCCGGATGAATGCGAAGCCTCCTTCTCCGTAGATGGTCGGCAGGTTGACCCCGAATATTCCCATCAACGAGTAGGCCCGGTCTTCCTCGCGCGTGGTGACGCGATCCGACGCCCATGACATTCGCATGGCCACACTGACGGAATCCACGGAGGCTGCATGTGTGAGGATGGCGGGTGTGATGCCGGTGATCTCTTCGATGATGTCCGCAAAGCTCTGCTTCGTCCCGAAGGGGCGCCAAGTCCGACAGACAAAGAGCAGAGACCGGGGAGCAATGAGCTCCTGCAGTGTCCAGCCCCGTTTGAACCACTGACTGCCTCGAAATTGAATTTGGAACACGGCGTCTTGGCTGAGAGGGGTGCCTGGTCGGCCCGCGACCGTAAAATGGGGATGGGTTTGGCCTTTCGATTTCGGGGTCGCGAGAGTTAGGCCCACCGGGTGCGGGTCCTCGACGTCTGCGAGATAAGCGATGCAAATGCTTGCCATCTGGTACCATTTGTACATGGAGTTGATCGCCTCGGAGAGCTCCGCGCTGCTGCCCTTGTCGATGCAGCATGTGTCGATCCACGCGTAGGGGATTCCATGGCGCTGAGCGAAGGTGCAAAGCTCCCTGACTTTCGCGGGGACCGTGTCGAAGATGTACCGCGGAGGATCAGGGTGATCGCGCGCTGCGGAGTGGATCGCGAGTAGACCTTCGTAAGAGAGCTCTTCGTTGGGGACCCAGACGTGGGAGAGAATTGCGTATTGAACGTCGCTCGGGCTGTTGACCCAAACGAACAAGCCCGTGCGGGTGTCGATGAGGCGCATCGCGGGTTACTACTGAAAATACAAGGGTCAGTATAACGGACGTAGAGGACGCAGTAGAGCACGTACACGAAGACACCAATGTCTCATATTGACAACGGTGTCGGGCAGCTCTGACAAGTGGGAACCTGAACGGTGATCCCCTTTATACCACTGATGTACGCTGCGTGTTACCATATCAGCAGGATGAAGCCCGCCATCAGGGATTCTCGCCTTCGTTACTCACGCTATCATCCTGGGGAATTTAGGGACATCCTTGACGTATTCTATAAATGAGCGCATACATGGCGGACGAGTCAGATGACATACATCTTGGCTGTAGTGCAACGTACATGAGTTGTCAATATACAGCAGTACTGAGGTTTACTCGTACCATGTCATCCAATCCTTAGAGTCTCCAAACTACCATTTGAAGCAGTCACAATCATACATATATCGCCGCAGTATTATATGTGCGAGGAGTGTGGAGATTATGAGGCGCGGCGGTTGGTGTACAGAGACATGAGAGTCGAATAACGCGACTCGCCAGATCTGAGCGGGGTGGGTGATCGCGGTCACATGTTGCTTCGCACGTATATTGGGCGCTCAAGCGCTCAAGCATCGGCGCGTATACCAACGCGTCTTTCAGTCTGTTCCACTCATCCTACTCATGATCAACTGGAGACTGTGACGGATACAGATCTATATCAAGCTCATCTACTGAGGTATAGGCCGCGCGAACTTGCTCGTAAGTCCTCCTCGAACTAGCGAATCAGAGCGGGCTTGCGATTTCGACTGGGCGGCAGGACTGGCACTTGTGCGTCGATCTCGCTCCCCACGAGTCTGCCACAGAGGCTGACGGTCTAGAGGGCCCACTGTGGCTAGCAATGTCAACAATAGAGGCCAAACAATGTCAGCCGCCTCCGCTCGCTCCAGGTTTAAGAACCGGGGGAGGGCGCGTTCTCGAGCTCCCCATTCTCTTTCCCGTTCCCCTTCCTTTCCCCGTCTCGTCCCATCCCTGTCTGCGCCCCCTCCCGTCCGTGTCCTCCCCGCCTGTATTCTACCCGCTTGTATCCTGTTCTGGTCTGGTTCTTCTCAAGGTTCTGCAAGGTGGGTCGCGGTATGTCTTTCTCTTTCCGGTCTGGTTCTCCTCTAGGTCCAAGGTTCAAGACTCAAGGCTCAAGAATGTTCAAGGCTCAAGGTTCGACGTCCAAGCTCTCAAGATCTCAAGATTCAAGGTAGTTCACGGTATGTCTTTCTCTTTCCCGTCTGGTTCTCCTCTAGGTTCAAGACTCAAGACTCAAGACTCAAGACTCAAGATTCAAGGCTCAAGCTTCAAGGTCCAAGCTCTCAAGATTCAAGGTAGGTCATGGTATGTCTTTCTCGTCTGGTTCTCCTCTAGGTTCAAGGTTCAAGACGCAAGACTCAAGCGCAAGACTCAAGATTCGACTCAAGGTTCAAGCTTCCGACGTTCAAGGTAGGTCACGGTAGGTCTTTCCTTCTATCCAAGGTAGGTCTGATTTCTCTTTCTTTCCCCTCCGTCTCGCCCCATCCCCGTCTGCGCCCCCTCCCGTCCGTGTCCTCCCCTCCTGTATTCTACCCGCTTGTATCCTGTTCCGGTCTTGCAACGGTAGGTCTTTTTTTCCCCGAGGGATGGACTTCGGTCCTGACGCATACCTTTTCGTGGTCCTCGGGATAAGTACCCGCCTGCGCGCCGTTCCCGATGGGGGCGCCGCGCATGCGGGGAAACCAAAATGCGTTTTCTCTTCTATCATCGTCCATTTTAACTGACTCGAGGTGCCTCACCTTCCACATGCACTTGCCCTTCTAGACCTTATCCCTCGGGTCGACGAGGAGCGCTTCGTTCGTAATACCGGCGTGGAAGAGGATTGCGTACAGGTTACATACATATTGGTTATACAGCGTACCTATGTGAGGAATACAACACTCATACAATGTCATCACGATCCTTAAAGTCTCCAAACTCCCACTTGAAGCAGTCCTGAGTGTCCCACCGTCAGTGCCCGAACCTCAGGATGGCAGAACGAGACTTACTATGCAGTCCTCCTCCGCCTTAGCGGCAGGAACCTCCCTCGATCTACCGTCCACGTCCTCTTCCCATCCGTCCTCCACCTCCGCCTCTATCACATGCGTGATGACCTCCTTGATGACATGCTTCCGGATGTCGACCCGCCAGCCTAGCTTCCCAACCGTGTCGTACACGATCGACTTGCCCAGATGGCAGCGGCTCTCCAGCGCATAGCCCGCCTGGGCGCACGGCGACCCGACGCCCGTGCATGCGCCCTGTGGGATTGGGTCCGCGTTGTGGTACACATGCGTTACGGGAGCGCGGCTGTAGGGGGTTGCGGAGTGGTTGTTCGAAGGCGGGGAGGGAGGCATGGGGAGGTGGAGCCGCTGTGCGGCAAGACGCTCCCCGGGGGACTCGAAGGCGACGGAGGGGAGACCGAATGTGGTCCCTAGTAGCGAAGCGAGGGCGCCTCCGAGAGAATGGCCTACGAGCCAGATGTTGGCATGCGGATACAACGCGGTTAAGTTATTCACCAAGTTCTGCAGAACAGACGACGTATCAGCGTGAGTGTCTCAGTCGTATGTTTATGCGGTTCGAACTTACCACCCCGACGTTGTAGAACAGGCTGTCTTGTACCAGTGCATCGGTCAGACAAGTGTTGTCGCAGCGCCAGTTGTTGGCATAGCACTTGCATACAGTGTTGAATATCCAAGTGATATCGACTCTTGCGCAGCAGCACGAGAAGAGCAGATTATCGTTGAACTTGTCCTTCTTGGATGTCGGACCCTGCAACGTCGTGCCCTTGATCGACAGGACGGCCGTTGCGTTATCGGGGGACATGAACACATGTCCGCGGAATCCATCGGCTGCGTCTTCCCAACCAAACGGAAAGCTCTGCACCCAATAGAGGTCCACATGGGACGCATCAAAGGATAAGCTCACGAAGCCGAAGGACGAAGTGGAAGATCGCGTACGGTATTCCAGGCTGCGTCGATGTCGTACCAGTTCTTGCGCCCAGGAAGCGCGTAGGCATTCCCGGTCATGCGTGCGAGCTGCGATAGAGTATGTCTGTCCTCGATATCTGGGCCGAGGACGTGCACTTCATCCCACTCGACCGGTTCGCTCTCCTCGGACCGCAGCGATCGGAGACGGGCATGCTGAAATCTGGCTGGAGAGCGAGGGCGATAGACAGTCGTTGGCTTGGCCTGTAGAGTGACTAGGCTCGAAGACGGTGCAGTGTCGACATCCGATATGTCGAAAGCGAGTTGACCGAAGTCGTCAAGGTCATCTCGGGGCTGGGGTCTGTATTCGTGCTGTAGCTCGAATGAGATTGGCGTGCCAGGCAGAGCCGATGTACCGGTCGCCGCAGCGTTACATGTTGCGAGGAGTGTGGTGAGCAGCAGCGAGACTATGGGGCGCATTGGTTGGTGTACAGAGACATGAGAGCCGTGGAACGGGACTCCGATGAGGAGAGCAGGCCGAGGATGGCGGCACAGCTATCCCAATTGAGGCTTATTCCCCGTTCCAGGGACTTATGGGATAACCGTTCTTGGAATCCTTAGGGTTAAACTGCCCCAGAACGGATTGGATTTCGCCGCCTAATACTCTGTGAGGCGATTCAACCCAACGTTCCAAATCGGGCAAACTTAAAGCGCCCAAAGACATCCCAATCGGGCAAACCCCGGCGCCTGCCCTCTGATATATACTCCCACCTCCTCTCCCTTCCCCCCCTCGTCGACGCCCCCTCCCCGGGTGTCGCGCTGCTCAGCGGTGTCCCCGCTGAGCACGCGTTCGGCATCTTTGGTGCAGGGGCGGCCTCTTCCCGCCCATCCCCGCCTCCTCGCTTATTCGCTCACCCCGCGCCCTCGCGTACCCGCGCCCTCGCGTACCCGCCCCCTCGCGTACCCGCCCCCTCGCGTACCCGCCTTCTCGCGTACCCG